AGTCGTCTCTTTGTCTCTACAGCTTCTCCTAGCTTGCTGTCAGCTCGTCTTTCTTTTATTAATTGCTCAATTCGATACCAAAACCCGCCCATTTTCTCTGGCTGCTTTCCCTTGAGACATGGCCTCCCTCGACGCCGACCAGAAAAAGGCCGAATATAAGCAGCAAGGCGCCATTGCCGCTGCCCAGGAGGCTGCTCTTGATCCCCAGTCCTCCGTGCGTCCGGAGACGGTAGAGAAGGTCCTCGTCGACGAGACTCGCAAGGCCGGTCTGCCTGCCTTCCAGTTCGACCCGGATGCCACCCCAGAGCAAAAGGCCGCGGCCGCCAGATCAGTACGTCTCCTTTTTGCTTGTCATTTCTTATTTTTTTTTTTATCTTCTTCTTTTATTAATTGTTTTTTTTTTTTTTTTTTTAGCGTGTGTCGCCCGATCTTCACCACGAAAAGAAACCTCAGGGGGTGGCCGTCGTCACTGACCTGGTGAGTTCCGACCGACTGACCGACCGACCGATCGATCAACCATCCCATTGATCCTCCTCCACGATCCCTATCACCTATTCTGACTGATAAAATTGTAGAATGATGGTACTCCCGCCAAATATAACCTCCCTACTCCTCCCGCCACCTCCGAGTTGCTCAAGGAACCCCCTGCCGTCCCTGAGCCGGGGAAACCAGTCCCCCCGGGGGAATTGACTGAAGACCTGCGTTGGGCTCGCGATCGCACTGGCTGGGCTCCTCAGTTTGAAACCCAGAAGATTGATGGCGAGGAGGATGAGGGAACCCTGCTGGAGCACCAGACGTTGCTTGAGGGCAAGCTGGATGACAAATTCTTTGGAGGTGTGTTTTTTCGCCTCCCCCCCCCCCCCCCCCCTTTGCTGAGGAGCTAGCTAAATTTTACAGACTGGTACCATAATGCTGGTATCATCGTCTTCGCCTGCCTGGCCTCATGGCTGGTCGCAGTGTTGGGCGGTGGTTTAGGCTGGATTTTCATCGTCATGGCTGCGTGCAGCACCTACTATCGCACCTCGATCCGGCGCGTGCGCCGCAACTTCCGCGATGATATCCATCGCGAGATGGCCAAGCAGCGTCTGGAGACCGACACGGAGAGTCTCGAGTGGATCAACAGCTTCCTCGTCAAGTTCTGGCCCATCTACGCCCCCGTCCTCTGCGACACCATCATCAACTCCGTCGACCAGGTCCTCAGCACCGCCACGCCCGCCATGCTCGACAGTTTGCGTCTCAAGACCTTTATCCTCGGCACCAAGCCCCCGCGCCTCGAGCATGTCAAGACCTACCCCAAGACCGAGGTCGACACCGTCCTCATGGACTGGAAGTTCAGCTTCACCCCGACCGACACCCTGGATATGACCGCTCGCCAGATCAAGAACAAGATCAACCCCAAGATCGTCCTCGAGGTCCGGATCGGCAAGGGTCTCGTCAGCAAGGGCCTCGACGTCATCGTCGAGAACATGGCCTGCTCCGGCCTCATGCGCGTCAAGGTCAAGCTCCAGATCCCCTTCCCCCACATCGAACGCGTCGAGGTCTGTTTTCTCGAGCGCCCGGACTTTGACTACGTCTGCAAACCCCTCGGCGGTGACATGCTCGGCTTTGACATCAACTTCATCCCGGGTCTCGAGAACTTCATCAAGGATCAGATCCACGCCAACATCGGCCCCATGATGTACGCCCCCAACGTCTTCCCCGTCGAGATCGCCAAGATGCTGGCCGGCAACCCCGTCGACCAGGCCATCGGCGTCGCCGCCGTCACCCTCCACGGCGCCCAGCAGCTGCGCAACAGCGACAAGTTCGCCGGCACCCTCGACCCCTACGCCATCGTCTCCCTCAACAACCGCACCGAACTCGGTCGCACCAAGACCGTCCAGGACACCGACAGTCCTCGCTGGGGCGAGACCATCTACGTCATCCTCACCTCCTTCACCGACGTCCTGACCATGCAGGTCTACGACTGGAACGAGTTCCGCAAGGACAAGGAGCTGGGCGTCGCCTCCTTCGCCCTCGACCGCCTCCAGGAAGAGTCTGAGCACGAGAGCCTCTACCTCGAGGTCTCCGCCAGCGGGCGCTCCCGCGGCGCCGTCCACGCCGACATCCGCTTCTTCCCCGTCCTCGAGGGCCGCACCCTCGAGGGCGGCGCCACCGAGCCGCCCCCGGAGCTCAACACGGGTATCGCCCGCTTCACCGTCGAACAGGCCAAGGACCTCGACGGCACCAAGAGTCTGGTCGGCCAGCTGAACCCCTACGCCGTCCTGCTCCTCAACGGCAAGGAGATCCACGTCACCAAGAAGCTCAAGCGCACCAACAACCCCATCTTCCAGGATGCCTCCAAGGAGTTCCTCGTCACCGACCGCAAGAACGCCAAGCTGGGACTCGTCATCAAGGACGACCGCGATCTCATGGCCGATCCCATCCTGGGCAGCTACCAGATCAAACTGCCCGACCTGCTCAAGATGATGGAGAAGGGCCAGGAATGGTTCCAGCTGGCGGGTGCCAAAACCGGCCGCGCCAAGCTCACCCTCCAGTGGAAGTCGGTCGCCGTCGGCGGCATCTCCGGCAGCGCGGGCTACCTTGAACCCATCGGTGTCATGCGCTTCCACTTCCAGAACGCGCGCGACCTGCGTAACCTGGAGACCATGGGCAAGTCCGACCCCTACGCCCGCGTCCTGCTCTCCGGCGTCATGAAGGGTCGCACCGTCACCTTCCGGAACAACCTCAACCCGGACTGGGACGAGGTGGTCTACGTGCCCATCCACAGCATCCGCGAGAAGCTCACCATCGAAGTCATGGACGAAGAATCCCTCGGCAAGGACCGCTCGCTCGGCGCCACCGACCTGTCCGCCGCCGACTTTGTCCACGAGGGCGAAAATGGCGAGTACCTGGTCGACGACGAGAAGCAGCTCACCTCCAGCAACCTGCGCCTCGGCTCCTCCACCAAGGGCAAGATCAACTACACCGTCGCCTTCTACCCCACCGTCCCCGTCGTCAATCCCGACGACGAAGTCGAGGAGGAAGAAACTGCCAACGGTGAAGCCGTTGCCGGGGATGCTGCCTCCCGCAAGAGCCTCGACGCCCGCAGCAAGTCTGGCTCTATCCGTCACTCCAAATCGGTCAGCGTCGACTCGAAAGCTACCAATGGAGTCGAAGCTGCTCCTGCTCCTGCTGCTGCTGCTCCCACCACCACCACCACTACCACCAATGGCCGACTCAGTGTCGAGACCAACGGCTCCAAGCCGACCACGGGCAAGGACTCGGACTCTCAGTCCATGGTTTCCGTCAAAGAGGTTCCCAAGATTTTTATTTCCGCCGAGGATCTATCCCAATATGGTATTTTGTCCATGATTTCTCCCATACGAGACGAGATGCTAACAAATCAGAATCTGGTTTCCTCGTGTTCAAGTTCCACGAAGCACAACTGTCGCGGACTAATGTCCAGCTCGAGGTTCTCATGGACGACTACATGTTCCCTTCCTACGTCTCACCACGCCTGCGCTCGCGCTCTGCCAAGTTTGAAGATGGTAAGTTCCTCCTTTTTCCATGGGTAGAGGGTAGAAAACAAGAATACTGACGGGTCAGTTGGCGATGCCTTTATCCGAGAACTCGAGTTCTCCAAGATCACGCTGCGCCTGGTGGAAAAGAACGATGGCAAAGATGAGGGTGACGACCATACCGTCGCCAAGTTGACGGGTGATACGCTGCCAACCCTGCAGCGTATTCTGGTGAGTTTTTTCCTTCTTCTTTCCTCCCCCCCCCCCCCCCCTTTATACAAAACATCGCTGATGCAATTAGTACACACCTACGGAGTTGACGCTACGCTCAGATAGCGGGGAAGTCAGCAAGGTGACGGTGAGCGCGCGGTACATCCCCGCGAAGATGAAGTTGGACCCGAGGGAGAGCATCAACAACATGGGCACTCTGCGGGTGGACGTACTGGATGCGGCGGACCTACCGTCCGCCGACCGCAACGGGTACAGTGACCCGTACTGCAAGTTCAAGCTGGAGGACAAGGAGGTGCACAAGACCAAGGTGCAGAAGAAGACGCTGCACCCAGCGTGGAACGAGTTCTTCGAGACGCCCGTCAAGTCGCGGATCGGGTCAGACTTCCGTGTGGATGTGTATGACTGGGACTTTGGCGACTCGGCGGACTACTTGGGCGGCACTCCGATTGACCTGACGGTGCTGGATCCCTTTGTGGCAAAGGAGGTGACGCTGCCGCTGGACGGCAAGTCCGGGGCGATCCGACTGAAGATGCTTTTCAAGCCGTCGTACGTGATGCGCTCACGGCAGGGCTCATCGACCTTCATCTCCGGCACGTTCGCCGCACCCGGCAAGATCGTCGGCGCCCCCGTCAAGGGCGTGGGCATGGTTGGGGGTGGTGTGCTCAAGGGCGCCTCGTTCCTTAAGCACGGCCTTATGTCGCGGATCCACAAGAACGGCGGCGGCGGCGGCGGTGACGATGCGGCTTCGGTCATGACCACGGGCAGCCGCGAGGAGTCCCTGGAAGCGACCAGCAGCGTGGTGCCTCCCGTGATGGTGGACGGAGCCACGCCCACCACCCCGCCGAGCACGGCGCCCACCACCCCGCAACAGCTGCAACACTCGCGCAACCGCAGCCTGGCGTCGCAGTTTGGCGACCGGCTGAGTGTCAGCGGTACCGCTCCCGGCAGCGGGGGTACGGGCGCCGCCGGCACCGCGACGATCACGGTGGTGTCGGCGAGCGGGTTCGCCCCGTCGACAAACGTACGGGTGCACGTCAAGACGCTCAACAGCAAGGGGGCGGCGAAAGAGGTGCACAAGACCAAGGCGCACAAGGTGCCCGGCAGCGGGGGACCGGTGCAGTTCGACGCGTCCCACGAGACCGTGCGGGTGTCTCACACGACGGCGGATGCGCAGTACCAGCTGCGGGTGGTGGACCACTCGACCTTCGGGTCGGACGAGCTGCTGGGCGAGAGTCTGTTCTTCGTCGACGATCAGGGGTCCGTGGCCGGCCAGGAGAAGTCGGTCAAGGTGGGCAACGGGGTCGTCAATGTGCGCAGTAGCTTTGCGCCCTCGGGCGACGCTGCCAACAGCCTCCGGCCCAGCACGTCGCACTCGCAGAACGGCGACGGGCCCTCGGACGTCGTGATGGACAGCCCGGACTCGCGGCGCGAAAAGGCGCCCCGGCGCAGTTTCCTGGGCAAGCGCAGCGTGAGCGGTGTATAGTTATCCCTTAAGTTTCCTTCTCAGTTGCCTTCCTTCTTCTTGCTTTACTCTCATTTCTTGCTTGTTCTATTTTCCTGTTCTCGTCTGTCCCTTACTGGTATGATGATACCTCTCGGTTACGACTCCATGACTGTACATGAATCAGACTGTAGTGATTAGTTTTACGCTATTCCTTGTAGTTCCAATAATCTAGTCATTATTTATTATTCTTGTTCCAAGTCTCCCCTGACTCCTATACCTCGTCTCCATCTGTACCAAACCATTCGGGGCTGTGCAAAGAGGGTCTGGTCCAGGCCCATACCACTGAGACAGTCCACTTGATTCAGGGAGGAATATTAATAGAGAATTAATGTATAGAGGTATTGCTTAATAGTATTATTAGTATTACAATGATTATTAGTATTATATAGATTATTAGTATACTCGTACAGAGTATTAGCAGAGTATTCTGTATTCTATTATTCTTTTCTATATTCTATTCTACATTCTATTCTATATTCTATTCTGTACTCTATTCTATTCTGTATTCTATTCTATCATATATAAGATATATATAGACCTCCTGTAGTGCATCCTACATATTATATCTACAGAGTACATTATATCATATTAACTATGATTCTATAAATAATAATATAGCACAATCCCGTGATTGGAGAAGATGAGATAATTTGTTGCTTCAGTCTTGGCAATCGCCCACCCCTAAAACCAACCAACCCAACCAAACTGTCCTCTTATATCTCTCTCTCTCTCTCTCTCTCTCTCTCTCTCTCTCCTCCCTCCATCTCCATCTCCATCTCCATCTCCATCTTCCCTCTCAACTCCATCAATTCATCAATTCTATCTCTTCAAAGGTTCCTTTTCCTCCCTACTTTAATTCTTCTAATCGCTTCTTCTATTACTTCCCTCTAGGTAAGTCACCATGACGGTACTCTGGCGACACTGGTTTCCCCTCCCCCTCCTTCCGCTGATCGTCGTCTCTCCTGGCAACTGCCCCTCCTCCTTTTCTTGTTTTTCTCTCTCTCCTCGTTCTATTTCTCCTTTTCTCTTCCCTCTTACTTTTTTCTCTTATAATCTTTGCTGTCTTTCTCCCTCTCTCTCTTTCCCTCCCTCTTATTCGTCTCATCTCATATTTTCCCTTCACCGCTAATTGTTTTATCCAGTATGGCTTCCAGACTCCCCAGTCATCTTAGAGCCCCCGTCACCGAAGCCTCGGCCGGTTCCTTTGAGGGCAAGCACCATGGCAAGTCGCAGTCTCATATGGTGAGTAGTAGTATACCTGTCTAGCTGTGTTGCAGACTACTAACTGCCAAGGCATTTGAAAATGCTTCGACTAGCGTCGCCGCTTCGCAGATGCGGAATGCGTTGAACGCCCTCGCAGAGTCGGTCCCCGACGCCAACGAACGGAAGCGCTTCGAGGCCGAGATGGACAACTTCTTCGCTCTTTTCCGTCGCTTCCTCAACGACAAGGCCAAGGGCAACGCCGTCAACTGGGATCGCATCTCCCCCCCGCAGCCGTCGCAGGTGGTCAACTACGATAAGCTCGGCAACGAGGCCTCGGTCGAGTTCCTGAACAAGCTCGCCGTCGTCAAGCTCAACGGTGGTCTGGGTACCTCGATGGGCTGTGTCGGTCCCAAGTCCGTCATCGAGGTTCGCGAGGGCATGTCCTTTTTGGATCTGTCGGTCCGCCAGATCGAGCACCTCAACCGTACCTACAACGTCAACGTTCCCTTTGTCCTCATGAACTCGTTCAACACCGACCAGGACACCCAGTCCATCATCAAGAAGTACGAGAGCCACAACGTCGACATCATCACCTTCAACCAGTCCCGCTACCCGCGCATCATCAAGGATTCCCTGCTGCCCGCCCCCAAGAGCTTCGACTCCCCGCTCCAGGACTGGTACCCCCCCGGCCACGGCGACGTCTTCGAGTCGCTCTACAACTCGGGCACCCTCGACCAGCTCCTCGCCCGCGGCGTCGAGTACATCTTCCTCTCCAACGCCGATAACCTCGGCGCCGTCGTCGACCTCCGCATCCTCCAGCACATGGTCGACACCAAGGCCGAGTACATCATGGAGCTGACCGACAAGACCAAGGCCGACGTCAAGGGCGGCACCATCATCGACTCGGACGGTAAGGTTCGCCTGCTCGAGATCGCCCAGGTGCCCAAGGAGCACGTCAACGAGTTCAAGTCCATCAAGAAGTTCAAGTACTTCAACACCAACAACATCTGGATGAACCTGCGCGCCATCAAGCGCGTCGTCGAGGAGAACGAGCTCGAGATGGAGATCATCCCCAACGAGAAATCCATCCCCGCCGACAAGAAGGGCGAGGCCGACCAGGCCATCTACCAGCTCGAAACCGCCGTCGGCGCCGCCATCCGCCACTTCAAGAACGCCCACGGCGTCAACGTGCCCCGCCGCCGCTTCCTGCCCGTCAAGACCTGCTCCGACCTCCTCCTCGTCAAGTCGGACCTGTACCGCCTCGAGCACGGTCAGCTGCTCATGGACCCCAACCGCTTTGGCGGCGTCCCCGTCATCAAGCTCGGCGGCGACTTCAAGAAGGTCTCGGACTTCCAGAAGCGCATCCCCTCCATCCCCCGCATCGTCGAGCTCGACCACCTCACCATCACCGGCGCCGTCAACCTCGGCCGCAACGTCACTCTCAAGGGCACCGTCATCATTGTCGCCACCGAGGGCAGCACCATCGACGTGCCCCCGGGCTCCGTCCTGGAGAACTGCGTCGTCCAGGGCAGCCTGCGCATCCTGGAGCACTAGTTGCCCTCAAGACTTCTTTTTTTTTTTTCTTCCCCTCCCCCTTTTTCTTTTCTTCTTCCTCTTTTCTCTCCGCGAGAACTGGTATCTTTTTCCCGGGCATAATGCAGAATAGTGATAGATCTTCGGAGTCTGCCGAGGTGCGAAAAGTGCAACCTCTTGTTTTAGCGTACATTCTTTAATGGATACTGTACTTCAGTACTACACTTTTGGTACTCTTGTCTATGATTGAGTAGATTATGATGTAGACTATAATCTGTACTATAGATAATAGTATTATAGAGACTAGAGTCTAGAGTTACGAGTACTATAAAGTCACGTGATTCGTCCCTCCTTCCCTCTCCAGCAAAAGCCTCTCCTCTCTCTCTCACTCTCCCAGGAGATATCTCCCTTCCTACCTAGGAACCCATCACCCTACCGACAGACAGAATGACAGTGTCTCTGCGTGATTGGGCTGCCAGACAAACACTCCAACCGGGTCTCATGTGGCCCAGGCGATCAAGCGATCTCTATGGCACGGAATTGATTTCCTTATGACTTCAATTTGCGTCATTCCTCTCGCCCAGGAAAAGAAAAACAATGGAACTCCCTACCAGGTAAAATCCTTTCTCTCTGTTTCCCCCCCCCCCCCCACCTCCTTCTCTGATGTATCCTTTATAAACATTCCTTGTATAGACATATTCCAGATTCCGTTGTCTCATGTTTGGATGGTACCATGGGAGATCCGCTGGCACTGTTCCGCAACATCGCCCCGCTTGGATCCGAGGGAGGAGGAGGAGGAGGGAGTTCAACGGAGTCTAGAGAGACGGGCAGGGAGAGGCAAGGACCAGTGCGGCATTGGAAGAAGAGGGTGTCCACGGCTTGTCTGGCTTGTAAGAAGTCGAAGCGGAAGGTAGTCCCCTCATCTACATACATACACATACGTTTATGTATGTCTATATATATATATATATGTGTGTGTGTGTGTGTGTGTGTGTGTGTTTATTAATTATGTTAGTGCTCCGGAGTCGCTCCCTGTGAAAATTGCCGCACCTTTAATAGGGTGTGTATATTCGATGAATCGTTGGATCAGCGACGCCGCGTAGCGGCCAAACGGACAGCAGACGAGCTCAATTACCATCGCGACCTGCTGAATGATCTGTTTACTGTCATTCGGTCGGAGGATCCGGGACATGCCCAGAGGTTGATGGAGTTGATACGGGGGGATGCTTCGGCGGATGAGGTACGCGGTTATGTTGATGAGACGCTGAGGGCTATGAAGGCTGGCACTTTGAAAAGAGAAGAAGACGATGGTGATGACGAAGATGAAGATGAAGATGAAGATGATGATGATGATGATGATGATGATGATGAAGAGGAAAGACATTCGGAGGTGATCAGCCGGCTCGAGGATCTACAGCAGCTTTGGCATCTCGAAGAACCTACTCCTGCCTTTCGTCGTAAAGTCATGGACCTCCATTATCTGTGTGACGATGCTCCGTACAAGGTCCCGGCTAGACCGTGGACAACTGTCACGGCAGATGACGACCTCGTCTCCCATCTCGTCTCGCTCTATTTCACCTGGGACTATCCCTTTTACGCCTTTCTCGACCTCGACGTCTTTGTTCGCCATATGGCGAGGGGTGATCTCGCCTCGGATTTCTGCAGTCCGTTTCTTGTCAACGCCTTACTTGCCAATGCTTGCGTAGGTGGTTTATACACCCCCCCTTGTACACGCTGCTTCTTCTTCCCTGTACACATACAGCTGTGAGCACTTTGAACTAATCTTCGGCTAGCATTTTTCAGAGTTCTCCGAGGCATATGTCGTTCCAGGCGATATCATGACCAAAGGTGCCGACTTTCTCGCCGAAGCAGAGCGGCTTCAGGCTCTGGAAACCCAACAGCAGCAGCAGCAGCAGCAGCAGCAGCCAACCCTAGCCTCGCTACAGGCTACCCTGATGCTGTACGAGCGCTACTCCATGTCCGGCAAGGACGATCTCGGCTACATCATGCTGCATCGTTCAGTGCAGCTGGGAGAGGCGCTCGGCCTGGTCAACGGTTCCCTGGGCGGCCGCCTCTTGCCAGAGTATCGTCGCCGGCAGCTCTCTGTCGACATGGACAGGTCCCTTAAGCGGAGTGCCTGGGGCCTGTTCCAGGCCGACACAATCGCCCATACCAGCTTCTTGCGCTCCAGTCTCGTCCACCGCGTCGACGTGAACCGTCTCCACCGCAACGAGTCGCAGGCTTCGGACCTCTGGACTCCATATCCGAGTCACCGCGCCCCGCGTCCCGTCTGGCTGAGTCAGTACTTTGACGAGAGCTGCGATCTCTGCTTCATCGCCCGCGACATCTCGCGCGAGATGTTCTCCGAGGGTCGTACCTGTCCGCTCGCCGGAGAGGCCTTGCGCAAGCATCGCCAGGTTTTTTACGCCCGTCTGCGGCGCTGGGAGGAACGTCTCCCTGCTACCTTTGACCTGGCGCGGCGACCTGCTCCACACATTCTTCTTTTACGGTAAGTGCTTTCTCTCTCTCTCTCTCTTGCTTCTCAATTTCAAGTCGTACTGATCAAATAGAATGAGATATCACACCTTGGTGATTAACCTGTTCAGCCACGAGGACGTCGACTACGACTCGTCCTCCATGACATCATCCGCTGGCTCGCAGCGGGAGATCAGCCCGACAACAACGACGGCAACGATGAAGCCCGGGAGTGCGGCGATAATGACTGCGACGCTTCGGCAGTCGTCGGCGCGCGCCATCGCGCAATTGGCCCGTCTGCACCGCAGCGAGTACGGGATGCGCCGGGCACACTCGTTCGCCATGTACGCGATCAACCTGGCGCTGTTTGCCCTTCTGGAGCTCGACGCCTTTGACATCTTGGACCCGGATTTCCTTTCTCTGGCGAGCGCCTTCTCCATCGTTGCCAGTCGGTCCTTGCTCGGCCGCAACCTCTTCCACATCTTCCGCCAGTCTGTCCGGGCCAAGAACCAGGGTCGTCGCGCGCGCGAGTCGGCCAGCTTACCGGATGAACTGAAGGAGCTTTTCGACGAGCAGTCCGCCGCCCACGGCTGTACCCGATGGGATGAGTATGCGCAGGGCTTGCAGAAACTCAACGAGCATGCCAAGTATCACGGCATTGGCAATGCACAGCGCAGCCTACAGGATTATCCGGGCTTTCGTCTCTATGATATGCTCGACCGGTATGAGAGTCTGAGTTTGGGGAAAGACGACCTGCTCCCGGAACGACACAAACCGGATGGCTTATAGCACCATTTATTTTCCTGTATCCAAGAATTATAAATCTTTTTTTTTTTTGGATACCTTTATCAACATGTACCTAGGTATTATGTTATTTATGTATTCGCCACTGACCCCTCCTTTGGGTCCCAACTCCGCAGATGACGTCTACGTTCAAGCCGCCTATTCGCTGCCTCATCCTGATGATCATCATGAATTGCTGGGATATGCCGTGGATTCGACCGTCTGTTTACTCAGTACTTTTTTTCTTTGGTCTATGGAGATCTGACCGTCGAGGTACTCGAGAGAGCTGGAAGCTGATTTCCTTTTTCTTTTGTTTTCCCTCTCTCTCTCTCTCTCTCTTTCGCCATGTCCTGTCTCCTACCAAAGCATGTCCATTGGTAACATGCGTTCATAACCAAGGAATGGATTATCGCCAGGATAATAACACTTCCAGTCAGATGGACTGTGACCCTCCAGCAACAGCTGCTAGACGTGGAACTGAATTCTTGCCTCCACCCCCTCCTTCGTCGCTGAACAAGCAAACTCGTCGCTTGCATACAAGCTTTCCTCCTCGTCCTTCCTCGATCCCACAGCAGCAGCAGCAGCAGCAGCAAATACAACAACAGGGTCAACCGGGGATCGCCAAGGTCGCCATTCCCAAGGTTACCACCAGCGACAGCAGCAGACTGCGACGGCGGTCTGCGCGGGCGTGTGAATCCTGCCGGCACCGTAAGATCAAGTGTAACGGGAACAAGCCGACCTGTCGACAGTGTGTCGAACACGGGCAGACATGTCGGTACGTGGATATCAAGCGCGTCCGTGATCAGAAGGAGCTGGGTCTGTTGGCGAAACAGGTCGAGCGCTACGAGGAGTTACTGAGGACGTTGGTTCCGGAGGTGGATGCCTTGACGGCCGGCCAGATCAGAAAGACTTTACGGGTGAGTGGTTGCGAAGACGATCTTTTTTTTTTTTTTGGTTGTTGATTTACTTTCGTTCAATCAATCACAGCTAACAACAAAAAAAGCACTTTCGCCCTGGCGAGGAGGAAGACTCGGATTCATACGTCGGAACACTGGAGGAACTGGATCTCATCGACGAGGATCTCAACCGCAACGAGCGCAGCCGGGCAACAGGTTTTTTCGGTAAGACCTCGGAGGTATCTTGGATGCAGAAGCTGGAGGACAGCGCAGAACGACAGGGTCATGGTAGCTTTTCCAACCAGGCGGGGTCGGTGTGTGATCGTATTTCAAATGATCCGAATCTTATATCCATGGGAGGGGGGAGCAACCCACTCAATGCGATGAGCTACCACCTCGATGATCTGAACATCTCCGTTGTCGGGCCCGTAGATCCCTACGCTGTGCCGACCAAGGAGGTCGCCGACCGTTTCTTCAACGCGTACATGGCCTCCGTGCATCCTTCCTTTGCCGTCATCCGTCGCACGACTTTCACCACGCAGTATGAACTCTTCTGGCGGGATCGGACCCGGCCGAACCGTCGCTGGCTCGCTATCCTCAACATGATCTTCGCCTTGGGTTGTCGGTGCTGTCGATTAGCGGGTCAGGAGCATACAGATAGACATGAAGGTGACGCTGAAGCTGAAGCTGAAGCTCAAAGCGAGGCTGGAGGTCAAGGTGAAGGTGAACAACTTAAGAATGAAGACGACCACATCTTCCTTACCCGCGCGCGCATGCTCAGTCTCAATGGCAGCGTGCTCTTCGAGCATCCGGATCTGCAGCAGATCCAGGTCGAGTTTCTGGTTGCCTTTTATCTCATGGCTATCGGGCAGATCAATCGGTATTTCTTTCATTGTCATTTTATTAATTTTTTTTTTCTTTTCTTTCTTTTTTTTTTCTTTTCTTTCTTTTCTTTTTCTTTTCTTTCTTTTTTTTTTTTTCTCACCATATATAGGGCATCGAAAATCTCCAGTATGGCATTTCGATCAGCCATCTCGCTCGGGATCAATTTACGGCTCGTGGACAACCGGACCCACGACGGCTCCAAAGAGGCCCGCGGTCGTCTATGGTGGTCGCTGTACGTGCTGGAACACCTATTGACGGCCATCACTGGGCGCGTGTCTGGCCTCACGGAAGGGTTGAGCTCGGTTTCCGTGCCGGTCCCCTACGAGGAGGAGATCTTTGACACCCCAGTCGTGCAGCGACTGTTCCAGGACGGGGCGTGGCGTGAGACCTGTCTCAAGCCCACGCTGTTCGAGGCCGAGGACGAAGAAGGCCAAGTGACGGCCGAGTGGCTGGCCGGCTGCGATCCTGGGCCCTCGCTGTTTTTCTTCCTGGCCGTTGACCTCGCCATGATCACCCAGGCGATCATCAACCGCATCTACAGTATCGAGGGTCTGCGTGACAAGGGCAGCCAGGTTGAGTCGCGGATCCTACGCTTCGACGCCCGACTGGATAGCTGGTTAAGAAAGGTGCCGGATGCGTACCGATTCACCAATGGTACTACTACTACTACTACTACTACCGCCGCTGATGCCGCCCGACTTTCCTCCTCCCGTGAGCGCGTCACCCTCGCCATGGGCTACTATAGCGCCCGTATCACGCTGTACCGCCCGTGCCTGACGTCCTCGACCCGTCTGGTCCTGGGATCCTCTTCCAGCGGTACAGCGGTGCCTGTGCCTGCGCCAGTGCCCTCGCCAGTACCCTCCAAGTTCAAAATGGCCAAGGCGGTGATCTGTCTACAGTCGGCGTGTGCGTTGATCTCCACGCTCCCCGACGAACCGGACGTGAGCTGGCTAGCCCACACAACGCCCTGGTGGAACGTCCTGCACTACCTGATGCAAGCGACGACGGCGTTGCTGCTGGGTCTTTCCTCTTCCTCTTCCGCCGACACGGCGCTGTCAAGCTCGACGATCCTCGAGCACGTGAAAAAGGCGATCCGTTGGCTTTACCAGCTGGGTGTCTCGCACGCGGCCTCGCGCCGCGCATTTAACTTGTGTGCTGGCTTTTTACGACGCCTGGCACCCGTTCTGCGCGTCGATGTCTCGGATTTACCATCTGCGGGGTCGTCTGTCTCGACAGATACTCCTTCGTCATCGTCGATACCGGAGTCGCCTTTTTCAGAAGTGGATGTTATTGATGATGCTTTCAGGCAGTTTGTTAGTAATTAAACCTACTCTCCTACACTCTTATAACTATGAACCATGTATGTAGTTAGATTCTTATAGAAGATTAGTATTGAGAATTATTTATGAGGATTGATAGATAAATACAATGCGACGCTCAACTGACAAGACACACCGACAGACACAGACACAACGCTAAGCCGAACCACACAGCGTAGAAAGTGAAAAAGTACGAGGAGAGTAAAATAAAACCATGTAGGGAGTAGTATGGAAAAGGGGGAAGAAGGGGGGAACAGACTTCTGGCTTGCTTTAGGAATCGATTTCTCATTAGATGTGGGAAGAAAGAAGAGAAAAAAAAAACAGAATAGACTGGAGAAATAGACTGGAGAAAACGGGGAGAAGGGAAGAAAGAGTCGACGAAGAGGTATGAGAGCGTAAAGGGGGGGAGCGTAAATTTGAAGTCAAGAGACCAAGGCGGAGATACTCTTAACTTCACTGCTGCATATGCGGCATGTGCATGTGCATCTGCATTGGCATGGGCGGACAGGCGCGTTTGCGCGCATCGGCCGGGTCGTCGATGGACGAGGGTCGTTTCTGGCCGGTATTGAAGTTCAGCGAGGCTTGGGGCTGCGACCCGGGCGGACCTTGTGGTTGCTGCTGCTGCTGCTGCTGTTGCGGTTGCGGTTGTGGCTGTTGCGGCTGTTGCGGCTGTTGATGCGCATACATCTGCGGATGAGGTTGGGCAAGGTGGTAGAGCGTTGGGGGGCGGGTCTGAGCGAAGATCTGTCGGTAGCTCTGTGTTGTCGGGGGTGCCTGCGAGTAGAACTGGTGGGCTGGTTGGGTTTGCGCGTGGCTGGTGGGATACCCCGTCGTCAAGGGGGAATGATGCGCAGCCGCCGGCTGCTGTGCGGAGACAGACATCTGGCTGTATGGTTGTTGCTGCTGCTGCTGCTGTGCCGCGGGCTGTGGGACAGGTTGCTGCGACACGGGCGTCTGGCCTTGCGAATGCGCCGCCTGCGACTGCGCTTGTGCTCGGGCCTGCGCCTGCGCATACATTTGCTGAGCTGTCAGCTTCGGTGTGCCGGCCTGGATGTGTGGTCGTGGTTGGGTTTGTGCAGGACTTCGCGTATAGGCTGTGGACTGTTGAGTCTGGGCACGGGACTGTGAGTCGGTTGGGAACGTCTGGTGTTGGGATGATGGACGCGACTGCGGCTGCTGCGACTGGATCGGGCTTTGCAGGAACACTTGTTGATGTTGGGACGACGGGCGAGATTGTGGCGCCATCTGCGTCTGGCCAAAACCAGGTTGCACGCGGAGTTGTGCCTGCACCTGAGCGGGCGTATACGTCTGCTGTGGCTGGGTTTGGAGTGACTGCTGCTGCTGCTGCGACTGGGCCTGGGGATGCGGCAAAGACGTGTTGTAGATGGGTTGTGGAGGGATTGATTGCTGTACTGATGGGTGTGAGTGTGGAATCTGTTGTTGTTGTTGTTGCTGCTGTTGCTGTTGCTGGAGTTGCGCCTGAAGCTGAGGCTGGGCGTCCACCGGCGTCGATTGAGGCTGGGATTGGCCTTCATTTGACGGTTGAGGCAGTTGAGAATCGGCGTTGGCCTCCATGTTGACTCCTCCTCCAGGCGCCGCCGCTGCCGCCGCCGCCGCCTCGGCCGCAGCGGCGGCAGCTATATCGACCTTACGTGGTCTCCCACGACGTCGCCCGGGGGTTTTCGGTGTCGTAGACTTCTTCTTTGGAGTTGGAATAGGCTTGCCATCCGGTCCTAGCACGGGTATCTTCCTTGGCCGTCCACGGCCACGCTTTATCGGAGTGCCATCCGGACCCAGTAGAGGCGGAGGGGGTGGTAGAGGTAAACCAGTGACCGGGTCTATTGGCCTGGGCTTCTTAGGTTTCGGTTTGGGTCGTTCGCTGCCATCCGGATTTGTCTCTATCTTTTTCGGTCGTCCTCGCCGGCGTGGGGTTGAAGCTATCGGAGGGGCACCAGCAGCATCTGCGGTCGCTACTGGCGCTCCGACGGGCCCTACAGCCTGAGCAGCTGGGATTGCCTGTGCTGGCGCTTCGGGAAACAGCCCCAGAACGCCTGTAATCCCAGCTGGAGCCTGAGGAAGGCCTGTGGGCGCCTGGCTGGCACTTGGGTTAGAAGCTGCTGCCTTGGCAGCCTTTGATTGCCGTGATCGTTTCTTTTTGGGCTCATTCTTGGCCTCTGGGATGTCCTGAACGGGAGCAACCCCGTTCAGGGTAGACGGTGTGGACGAAGCCTGGTGTTGTTGTGGTTGCTGCTGCTGCTGCTGCTGCTGCTGCTGCTGCTCTTGTTGTGAGAGAGTTTGGTTTGTGGGCTGAGATGGAGAGAGCACGAGTTGACTCAGCTGCTGAGGCTCTGGCTGTGTCTGGCGTTGTTGATTCCATATTTGATGCTGGAGTTGCGGGAGTGGCTGCCGGTTTGCTTGCTGTGGTGGTTGATAGTGATGAAATTGGTGCTGTTGAACAGGTTGCTGGTGCTGCTGTTGTGTCGTCTTTGGCGCCTGCTGCTGCTGAGGCACTTTTTGTAATAGCGGTTGAGCTTGCTGTTGCTGTTGCTGTTGCTGCTGCTGCTGATTTGCACTAACCGCCATAAAATTATTTCGTTGCATCGGATCTCTCGATTGCAACTGCTGCTGGAAGCTCCGGTTGTCCAATGACTGAGGCAACGGCTGCGGCAGAGCCTGAGGCGATGACACACCCATCGCCATGGCCGCCTGCGGGGTCATGGAGGGATGCGGTCTGAAATTGGCCATGGGGTTCATGGAACGGTTCAGGCTCTGCTGTAGCGACAGATATGGGTCCTTCAACTGAGCAGTAGACTGTGTATTCCGTCCCATCAGATCCGGCGAGCCCTGGCCCGCATAATGACCGGCAAAGGCACCGTACTGGCCCGAACCCGGGAACAAGTCTGGCGACGGCATCTGCCGAGGAGACTGCGCGATCATCGACCTCGCGGTCGCGGCTGTGCCCATTACATCTGGAATTCGAGCCGTCGCATTCAGAGCCGGCGAGGGCTGCTGACGCTGCTGGTGTTGCTGTTGCTGCTGCTGCTGCTGGTGTTGTTGCGGGAGCGATTGCGGCTGATGCTGCTGTTGCGGCGACTGCTGCGCGGACCGGCCCCGCACCAGCGGATTATTCTGTAGACTGGCAGCGGCCATGGAGGGCGAGGGGTTCTGCTGGAAGGGATGGCCGCCGTAGCCCATCATGATGGCGGATCAAGAGTCAGCACGCCCAGGCTTGCCCGAGCAGCTGCTTTTGCTGTCTGAGGCAGTCACGGGCGTGAAGCTCCGCGTGGAGATGGCGACGCGCCCCAAAGAGGCCTAGCGGCGCGGCTAGAGTCGAGAGCGGGATAGCGCAAGTAGCGCAAGCCGGCCAGGAGAAGCTAGCCCAAGGCAGTTAGCGCCGCGATGTGGGAGGTATTAGTCATGGATTACTAAGAATAGGCGTGGGTGCCGTGGGTGGCGCGGGCGGCGCTAGGCCGGTTGCGGCGGTACGGTTGGGCAGAGCGGCGGGCGGGCAGAAAATAAAAGGGAGGGAAATAATAATAATAATAATAAAAAATAATAAACGGGCGCGCACGACGACGCGACGGGCTTGCTGGGAAGCGCTGAGGGGCGGGCGGAGGCAGTTGGGACTGGGAAGCACAGGCACACACCCCGAGGAAGTCGACTCGCCTCGCAGCGACGATGGACCCGACGTTGACGACGCGCGGAGGATGCCCTGGCAAAGGGGTTGTTGGCAGGGACGTCTCGCTGTCGCGCCGCTGAAGTTTTATTGGGATTTTTCTGGCTGCCTCGGGAATCAACGCCCACGTGACCGTGCCCAATCACCGCCAGGGCCAGGGCCAACGCAGACGGACGGCAGGGCCAACAAACTCCCAGACCGCCGCTGGATCCCACCACGGCGAATCACCGCCACCGCCAGTCATCGCTGCGAGCCGCTGACGACGCTCAGGGCGAAAGAGGCGAGGCGGAGTCGACAGCTGATTGATTTCCTGATCTCTGCCCTCCAAGTTCCCTGCCGCTGCCCACTGCCCACTGCCCAGTTGCCAGGCTGCACCTCTAAGCTCTACGGAGTACTCCGCAAGCCTGGCTCCCCTGGCTCCCCTGGTCCCCCCCCCCAGGTAAGTTGATCGCCGAGAAGACCCCGAAGCAGGCACAGCTAACCAGTGAGACATACGGAGTAGACCGAGGCACCCGAATCCCTATTAGCGGAACCATGGGCCTATCATACCGTAATAATGGTGGGAGTAGTATTACTCTCTAGGAGTGTCTTAAAGCTGGCACTGCTAAGAACAAGTCGGTTGAGAAAGCTAAGGGGGTATAGAGCACCTACTAGGTACTCCGTAGAGTCCAGAGAGTCAGGAACCCTCGGTCTGTCATTCAGCCTTGCTGATGAACAGTGTACGGAGTACAATCTGGTGTGCTTGTGCAACACAGTACTCGCTCAACCAGCTCGACTAGATAATTACATGCTAGGATACATCTCGATTAGATTTTCGTTCAAATATTACATGATATGCCTGCTTAAACGTTTTATTATATATCCGACCGGAGTACTTCACAGGTGCAATCAATGCTTAATCGATTCTGGTTCATAGCTAGATAGCTTACCGACTTGTAGGTACCTGAGGCACCCACCCCAGATGGCCATGGAAATGTTACACTGGACTGAATAATCACGTGATAATATGACGTACTCGTATGCTTCCTTCCCTTTACGGAAGGAGGGTGTTTCCCAGTCTGTCATGTCACGTCCCTCCCGTCTCTTACCGCCATCTCGTCTTCCTTTTTTTCTCCCCCTCCTCCTCCTCCTCCTTCTCGCTGCGTGTATCGACCTTTTTCTATCTCACTGTCAGTCCCTGGAGAAGAATATTGACTATGAGGATACTATAATCTGCTTCAAATTAGATACTGACGACATCCTACCGATAATCACTAGCTGAACAGAACAGAATAATGGAGAATAACAAAAATTCAAGATCAGGGGAGGATAACCCCTCTTCTCTTCTCTTCTTCTCCCTTCCCCCTTTTTCCCTCCTCTCTTATGCCCTACAAAACATCAGGACGCCAAGACCAAGAATTAATCAGAATAAAACAAACTTTTGCTGATGAAAAAGAAATGCGTGCAGCTAAACATCCAAACGATAACGGAGGCTATTGAATGGCTTGTCTACATCTCGACCTTGACTACTCCCGGGATTGGGTGATCATGACACAAGTGACGCTTGAATATCAAGCTGTTGTCCCTGGCCACCATTGTTTTCTCGCCTTTGGGTCCCGGAAGGAATCCGATCCGTTGCAGATACTCGGCATTCTTGATGATAGTCGCCCGTACAACATGGGTCAACACCCCGGGGATAGAGCGTTCCAGTCGTTCGGCGCCCGCCTGGGCATCACCCCTGGCGAGACTCTCCAGTAGCGGGTATAACGGGTGTTCCTCCCCCTTGGAGTCGGCGTCGCTGGAGACCACTTGCATCCACTTGGCCGCCGGCAGCGCGCGGAGATCGTAGTGGAAGTGGTTCTGGAAGATTTCCCAGAACTGCCGGACTGTCAGACCGTCAGTGATGCTCCGCTCCGCACACACCCCGGGCCGGGAGGGCTGGAACAGCTCGTCGACAATAACCTCGGCGACCCGCTCGGCACCTGCGATATACAGCCAGAGGTGGTCTTCGTCGCTGTTGTAGGCGTGCCCCATGATGGACCCGGCCACCATCCGCCAGATGAAGTCGTCCGTGTTGGCGATCCCCTCCGTGGCCGTGCCGATAATGTATCCTGGCTTCACGATCGAGGCGTGATTGGACTTGGACAGCCGGGCAAATTCCTTGACCAGCATATGCGAGTACAGCTTCGTGAGGTCGTATCCGTTCATCGTCTCCACCTCTTCCAACAGGTCCATTGCGCTCTCGGTTTCCGAGTTGGACGACCGCCCGCCAGACACGTAGACAAACCGCGGCTTGACGGGTGACTGGCCGATTGCCTGCAACAAAGACATTGTCGACAACACATTGACCGCCTTGAGCGCCGCATAGCTCTTGGTCCAGTTGACGTCCGCCGCGTTGTGAATCACCGCGTCAATCGTCCCCTCCACGGGGCCGCTCCCAGTCAGACATTGCCACTGCGACGCATTGAGTCCCAGCTGGGGTAAGCTGAGATCGCCCGTCCACACCTGGATGCGATGCGCAAAATGCTCCAGCTTCCACCCGGCCTTGGCCGCCGAGCTCGCCAGCCGCTGTAAGCCTTGCTCCGCCGTCCGCGCGCGCGTGTGGCAGATGATCGTCGCCTGGGGGATCGCCATCAGCAGCTGGCGCAGCACATAAGTCCCCAGAAATCCCGTCGCCCCCGTGATGAAGACACGCCGCAGGCCGTGGTCTGCCGAGGGGAGCGCCGTACGCAGCTGCAGCCTGAGATCTGCGAGCTCCTGGAGCAGGTTCATGCGCGTCTTCGCGGGAGCCTCCAGCGTTGAGGCGGACTCGTCAACTCCCTGTAGGTGGTCGAGGATGCGTTGCGCCAAACTACTCAAACTCATGCTCCCCAGCACGGGGATATCGATGGACAGGCGGTAGGTTGTCTTGACGAACCGGTTCAACGCCATCATCTTGAGCGAGTCCAGCCCGGCGTCAGCCAGGGGTAGTGAGTCCGGGAACTTGGTCTGGCTCAGGTTGAATACCGTGCTCTTGATCTGCCGCAGGACGAGTGAATTCTGCTTCTTCCGGTTCCAGATCCCATCGTGGTTCTCCTCGTCAAGGGTCGGTGCGGAGTTGCTGCTACTTGGAGGGGAGAGCGATGCCACCCACTTGCCCATCCTGATCCTGTCTACCTTGCCCGATGAGAGGAGAGGCATCTCGGCGATCGCGAGCCAGTGCGAAGGCACCATGTAGCTCGGGAGGCGCGTCGAGACAAATTCGCGAAGGCCTCGGGGACTCCCACCCAGCTCGTCTCGCTCGCTCTCCGTCAGGCACCTGATTGACGGTTTGGCATCACTGTCGTCACTAGCATCGCCAGTCGAGCTGCTACTATTTTCCGAGTGAAGTTGGTAGGCCACAGAAATGGCGTCCCGATACGCTCCGTCCGAGACAAATACTGCTGCACAGACCTTGATATCTGGATGTGAGGAGAGAGTCTGCTCGACTTCGCCCAACTCGACTCGCTGCCCGCGGATTTTCACCATGGGACCCTTGCGGCGCACAAATTGGAATGACCCGCTGGCGTCCTGACGGACGATGTCACCTGTTCGGTACACCTGGACTGGCTGGCCCGCTGTGACCAGGCCCGATGAAGATGACGATGGCCGCCACCATGCCGGCCGCTCGATGAACTTCTCCGCCATTGCTGTCGGATTGTCGAGGTACCCACGAGCCAGAACGGGGCCAGTAACCACCAGTTCTCCCTCGCTGCCCGTAGGAAGGAGACGATTTGTGTCTTCGGGATCCGTGATCCACGCGTCCACGCCGTATGTGGTTCCGATATATTTGGGATCGCTCGACGGCTTCAATACCCCGATGAACGAGGTTGAGATTTCGGTTGATCCATACCCATTGATCAGAACCACTTTGTCCGCCCAGGTATCGATTATAGTCTGCGTGACGGGCTCGCCGGCCAGGAGCAGGGTTTTCAGCGTGGGCACCTCCTCTGGCGCGATCAGGCTCAGTACGGTGGGCGTGAAGAAGGCCCAGTTGACTCGCATGGCCTCCATGGCGTGTGCGATATCGTGGACTCGCTCGTGTTCCGAGGGAACGCACACACAACCGCCGCGGATTAGCGTGGTGAAGATGTCGTAGATGCTCATGTCGAAGGTGTATGCAGCGTACTGAAACACTCGCGTCGTCTCGTCCACACGCATCGCCTCCCCGTGATACTTGGCGCTGGTGCAGATGGCACCATGTTCAAGAATCACCCCCTTGGGCTTCCCCGAGCTCCCCGAAGTGAAGACGACAAAGGCCGGGTCGCCGGGTTGAGCGATGGATCCCCCCACGTCCTCCTCCAGCAGGCTCTCGTCGAGGAAAAAGTCGTTGTCCAGTTCCGGCGATACTACTATCAAATGCTGCAGTGGGGTCTCGGCAAATAGGTGCGCGTGAGTTGGCGAGGCTAAGACGAACCGAGTCTGGACGGCTTCTAGAATGATCTGACGGCGGTGTTGGGGATGTGTTGGGTCCAGAGCGACACACGCGCCGCCCGCGTGGAGGATGCCCATCATGGCGATTATGGCTGCCGTGGACTTTTCAAAGCAAAAGGGAACGTACATCCCGCGCCGGAGGCCGAGCTGGCGCAGCCGGACGGCAAGACGCCTCGACCACGCATCGAGCTGTCTATAGCTGACGGATGTGGTGGAAGTGGTGCACAGCGCCGTAGCCTCAGGTCCAGATCGAACGCGCTGGCCGATCAATTCGTGCACACAACGAGCCTCGAGCCCCCAAATGTTCTCTTGCGGCTTGAGGTTGAGCGAGAGCGACATGCCCAGTTGCTCTCCACTGCTCAAACGCCGGCGCATGGGGACTTCACCGCAACTCACGGTCAAAGACGTACTTTCCACCATCATGGCTTTTCCAATTGAATACAGCAACGTGAAAAAAAAAAAAAAAAAGATAAATTTTACCTGCGATACTAGGACGGAGGAGGATTGTTCGAGTGTGTGGTCCGGTCAAGCAAGCACCGCATGGAAAATGGAGGACACTCGGCGTTCTAAAGGAATAACTCCTGTCCTACATTGATTGTGCCTCGCGAGATGCACGACACTCTCCTTTGACAAAGCTGTTGCTATTACAACAATCCCCTGCCCGCCCCCCCCCCCTCGCCCCGAACAGCGTCTATTAGGCAAATGGACCCGTCGATACATCTCCATCCGGTGAAGGACTGACACATGCATGAAAGTAAGGGGTCCTAGATACTTCCGTGACAGAATGAAATTGAGTTTTTCGGTTAATGGGTGGATAGACAGAATACGGAGTACAAGGTGTTGACTACAGAAGACACAAAGATGGTGATCATTCAGCTGCGCCCATGCAACCACCGCCCGTGGGGGGGGGAGAGAGGTGAGGTGAGGGACGGAGGTCTGCAGAAAAGTCAGGAAATATCTGATGCTCATCAAGCCGGGAAATTATGGGTAGATCGTCTCTGTGACAGATTGAGGGAATGTTAATGACGGTCAATTGCGATCACGACTAGCTGGGTCCCCATCCCCCCACCTGCGGTACATCGATTTGTTGCGTTGTTGGGCGTCAGGCACGCCACGACTATTGATCCTTGTGCGTTCAGTCCTCCAGATGGCCGCTTCTAACTATCATCTGCAGAATGCAGGCTTGCGGTCCTGTCTGGCCCTTGACAGACTCTCTCGTCCTACGAATACCCAGGATCTCTCACGATGATCGGTATCGTGCAGGCATCCGGCTGAGCTCTGTCACAAACAAAAGACACCGCTTCGTTGGAGCCCACTTTCACCTCTGCCACCAGGGAAGGCTACTCCGTATCCCGGCTCCAATTGATGGGGGCGAAGCATCCATACGTAGCGATAGAGAGATGGAGAGAGGGGGGGGGAGATAGAGAGAGAAAGACGAGTGGCTAGCAGGGACCGGTGCAGACGAGAGACGAGTGGTCTGAAAAACAAACCCAGTATCAGGGACAGAGAGGTATAAAGATGTCCATAGATCATCCTGCCATTCCTTTTCAACCATCATTCCCTCCTTCATCTGAGCAGCCTTTGAAAGAGCTATATCTGAACTATCGTCAACCCATAGGCACACAGCCACCATGAAAGCCCTCTCCGTGCTCTGTCTCACCCAAGCCCTGGCCTCATTGGCGTTGGGGTTCTCTGACCAGGAACCTATACTCGATGCTGTCGAGGAAGAGGCCCGACAGAAGTGGGACTTCTTTGTGAGTTCCTTTTTTTTAGTAATTTATGTATTATAGATAGATATATATCTATATATATATCTCCCCGTGCTTTGTGTTGCTTTTGTTATGCGTTTGCATATTGCTTTCTTGCTCCAAATTGCTCCATCTTGTCTACTCGTTGATCTATCAAAGAGAGTGTCATGAACTGACCTGTCGTTCAGTGGGGATATTCAGGGATATCAACCTTTGGCCATCTGCCTCACAAGCGATGCCTGGTGGAGCCGTATGAGCGGTTTGACATTGGTGTCATCGGCGTGCCTTTTGACACGGCTGTCAGCTATCGACCGGGTAAGAGAGGCGGAAATACCCCTTCTTTTTTGTCTGTTGAGATACTGGTTAGAGTCTTGAGACTAATTCGTTCATCAACCGTAGGCGCCCGGTTCGGCCCCCGGGCGATCCGCGCAGCGTCGAACCGCCATCTGCCCAGCCGTGGGTTCAGTACGTACTCTGGATTGAATCCGTACATGTCATGGGCCAAGGTGTTAGACTGTGGCGATGTGCCCGTGAACCCATTCGACAACGACCTCGCGCTGCGGCAGATGACCGAGGCGCTGGAGGAGCTGAGTGCCAAGCGGCAGACGACGTCAGATCGCGAGGATCTGAAGGTGCCCAAACTTCTCATTCTGGGCGGGGACCACTCAATCGCGCTGCCGGCGCTGCGGGCGATGAACAAGGCCTACGGTCAGCCGGTCGCAGTGGTGCACTTTGACGCGCACCTCGACACCCTGCACCCCAGCAGCTACCCTAGCGTGTGGAGTTCCAAGCAGACCGAGTTCACCCACGGATCCATGTTCTGGCAGGCCGGGAACGAAGGCCTGGTGCTCAATGATTCCTCCATCCACGCCGGCCTGCGGACACGCATCACGGGTGACGACTGGGCAGACTACATCCGCGACGACGAGCAGGGCTTCCTCCGGCTGACGACCGAGGACATCGACGATATCGGACCCCAGGGCATCGTGGACCGGATCATCGAGCGGGTCGGTACGGAGCGCCCGGTCTACCTGTCGATCGACATCGATGTGCTCGATCCTAGCATTGCCCCGGGCACGGGGGCGCCCGAACCTGGTGGCTGGACGATGCGCGAGATGAACCGCATCATCCGCGGGATGGACAAGCTCAATATCGTCGGTGCAGACATTGTCGAGGTGTCGCCGGCGTTTGACGACCACACGGAGAACACTGCCTTTGCCGCCGCGCAGCTTGGATACGAGATTATTTTGAACTGGGTCAAGAAGGGACTGGACAAGGCGCCACTCACGGAGCAGGAAGCCAAGATCCTTTCGGCGGAGCAAAAGGAGGAGGGGACTAAGATCCACACGGAGCTGTAAACATGTCTTTGATTTTTTTCCTGTGTGTGTGTGTGTGTATGTGTGTGTGGTTCTACTTTCTTTTCTTGGAAGCTTGAAGAGCCTAGAGTTATGCATATGTCTAAGACTATAGTTAGACTGTCGGGGGGATAGTGAGTGGTATAGTTAGTATAGAATAGAGTTGGAGCAAATTGATCGCAGTCATTAACAAACCCCCATTAACCAACTAGAGTGAATTGAATGATCAGCCAAGCGAGAGAGACTCCCTCCAGTGAGTTATCCAAGTGCAGTCATAGAAGCAAGGAGCAAATCTATACAGGTTACCTCCAAAGCATGCACAACACCCACCCTCCACGCAAGGCAACACCAGATCCCGCTCACTCTCAAGCAGCTGGAACATGTGTCCGGGGCCAGCGAGGAGCTGAACTTTGAAAAAAGAAAGATGCAGCAACAGAGACATTGCAGCATGCGGTGGAAATCGTAATCACGCACCTCGATGGCGCGAGATTCTTGCGGCTTGCCGTACGGAGTTCATCGATGGCATACAGGAATCAGAAGCAAGCAGTCCGAATTGCGATGTCTCTGCCTGTCTCCATCGTCTAGACTATTGAATATCGCCCCGGTGGCGTTCTCACACTCGACGACTCGCAACGAAGGAGGAACTGGAGGAGGAGGGTGGAGTAGTTCTTCCCGGCCAAGTGGAACTGAAGCAGGGATCGACGGCGGGCGATGGTCATCTGTACGACGTGAGTAGGCAAGAGGTGGAGACACAGAGAGAGAGGGAGAGAGAGATGCAGATAGAGAGAGAGAAAGAAGATGGCAGGGAAAAAGAGAGAGAGAGAGAGAGAGAGAGAGAGAGAGAAGGTCAGGAGGGAGGAGGGGTTTTTGTCCACCAAAACAACATCTTTCCTGAATCAAACATTGAACTCTGCTTCTGCCTTTCTCTCCCTCTCCCTCTCTATTCTTCTCTCTTTCTTTTCTCTCTTTCTTTTGTCCCCTCAGCAGCAGCCGCTTTCTCTCCTGCTGCTTTTCTTTCCCCCTCCAGTCTTCGTCATGTCCGACGCCGTGACTCGTCCGCCGGTGTTTTTGAAGCAGCGGTCATCGACCAACTTCATTCTCTTTACGATCTGTCTGGCATTGTTTACGGTATGTGTGCTCGGGAGGTCCTTGCTTCAGTGACTGGCAGTTCTGACTCTCTTTTTCTCTCTCCAGGATGGATTTCTTTACGCTGTGGTAGGTGGTAGACGGGGCTGGAAATACTGAAGAGGTGTGTTTCTGATCGAGATAGGTGATTCCAACGCTTCCCTTTGTCTTGGTGGAACAGTCTGGAGTCCCGGAGGAAGACGGTAAGAAATATATCTATGTTCATTGACATTAGTGTTGTATGCTGCTGACTGGCTCCCTCTCAGTGCAGAAATGGAGTTCGTGGATGCTGAGTATCTTTGGGGGGGCAACGCTGCTTGCATCTCGTACGTCTGTTCTAGAACCAAAACATATCAAATCTGAAATTTAACTAATGATGATGATGATAATAATAGCTCTCTGTGGATGGATGGCCGATAATCTTCCCTCCCGCCGGATCCCGTTGCTGGTCGGACTGTCGATGCAGGCTGGTTCGACGGTGCTCTACTCGATCCACCCGGACAAGTATCTGATGCTGGCCGCTCGCGGACTGCAGGGCTTGTCAGCGGCCGTCATCTTTACCGTCGGCCTGGCGCTGTTGGTCGACACGGTGGGACATGCCAATATCGGCCGTGACGCGGGCATGGCCCTCTCGAGCGCGAATCTGGGAGTGCTCATCTCACCACCGCTGGGCGGGTTTGTGTACAAGCAATTTGGCTACTATGGCGTTGTGATCATGATGGTCGGCCTGGTCATTGTCGATATCTTCCTGCGACTGGTCATGATCGAAAAGAAACATGCTCAAAAGTGGCTGCAGCCTGATCCTGTCTCACCCATAAACGGGGATGAGTTTCACACAACATACGGGACGATGGACGAGACTAATGCCAAAAAGATCACAGGCGAGGGCGATGCTTCTTCTTCTTCTTCTTTCCCCCCCTCTTCTTTGCCTTCTTCCTCGGAGGAGTCCCCTCTCATCGCGCAGAAACAGGAACAAGGCAAGGCTGTTGCTGTGCCATTGTTTCACCTGCTCAAGACTCCTCGCATCCGCGCCATCGTGTACGGTACCTTTGTCTCATACGTGCTGCTAAGCGGATTTGACAGCGACCTGCCTGTCTTCGTCAAACTCCGCTTTCATTGGGATTCCTTCCAGGCTGGCATCATCTTCCTGGGCATCGCGCTCCCCTCGCTGGGCGGCCCAATTGCGGGATTCATCTCCGACCGCATTGGCGCAGGCATGCTGGCCAGCATCTCCTGCGCAGTTGGGGCCATATGCACCGTCGGCGTCGTCTTTGTCCGACAAAACACCATCTTTGACATCTCCCTGCTCTGTGTCCTGACCACAGGCATCGGCGCCGCGATCAACTTCGTCCTGTCCCCCATCGCAGGCGACCTGGCCCTCACCGTCGAGAAGATGGAGGAGAAGCGGCCGGGCCTGTTCGGTCCGATGGGCGCCTACGCCCAGGCCTTCTCCCTTTTCAACTGCGCCATCGCCGCGGGGACGGTCGTCGGCCCTCTCTGGACGGGACTCGGCATCTCCCAGCTTGGTTGGGGATATACTAATCTCGTCATGGGGGCGATGGCCCTCTCTGCCGCCATTGTTCTGGTATGTCAATCCACAGAATGAGTGGTTCGCTTTATTTTCACTTTTTCTTGTCTTCAGTACTAATTCTTGACTCAGGCTCTCTTTGTACAGGACCGCCCACTGCGCCTGAAGCCTGTCGGGGGCTCGGTCTAGTCCGATCTGCCCGTTTTCCAATATTCATTCTTTATATAACTCGCTCTTTGCTATTTCCCTGCATCTTCCTTTCTTTTCTGATCATGATTTTCATCTTGGTCCCTTTTGCTGCTCGGTATATTCTCCTTCTATGCTTCCGCCTCCGCCCCCCTTTTTTTTGTTGTTATTGTATGCTAGTAAAAATACTGTCTATGAGAATGATAATGTTTAAGCCTATTTTGATCTATCATTGTTTACATTATGCAGGATTTGCAGACTATAGAACAATTGTCTACAGTTGATTGTTTCTATTAAGTAAGATCTTCACTTTTAGCTGGATCTACAAAAAAAAGGTACCGTCGATCAGATCAGATCAGATCAAGATCGACGCTGCAGATGCTGTCACATTAAGGAGGGCAAAGAAAAGAATTCAGTATAAAGTATACACTTTACAAAGTGGAATGAAAGACATTGAGAACTTTATCTCCTTAGTATTTGATTATATACTGTCTGTACTCTGCACACTCTATACTTCCATACCATCTTTTCACCTCTTAGATTTCCCTTAGACGCACCATTAACTTCCCCCCAGTGGGATAGGCCGAGTACGAGTCTGTGGCTTGCATGTCCTGCGCGCTCGTCTCAACCACCTCGGTGAAGAAGTTTGCGTACAATGCAGCGGTGACCAATTTGAGTTCTGGCCAGTTAGCTACAGCTTGCATATATGTATGTCATGAGAGGGGATGAGAGAGAAAAAAAAGAAAAGAAAAAAGAGTAAAAGGGAGAGTGGCTTACCTTGGATGGCGAAATTATTGCCAATACACATGCGCCCCCCACTGCCAAAAGCCCAGAACCAACGCTTCATTTCTTTGAGGTGCTCGCCGGGCTCCATCCACCGGTAAGGATTGAAGCGGTCCGGGTCTGGGAAAACGGCCGGGTTGCGATGCAGGCAGTAGGCGCGCGCACTGATGCGGATCCCCGGGGGGATCTCGTCAAAGTCGCCTAGTTTTGTGGGCCGATGCGAAGGGGTGAGTCGTGTCTGCGGGCCGCCAATGGGGGGCACCAGGCGCAGGATCTCCTGAATGACCGAGTCGAGGAAGGGGAGGGCGTCGAGTTGTTTGGTCAGCGAGACGTCCGGGGCGCGCAGCTTGTTTTTGATCTCCACCAGTAGCGATGGAGCTGAGGTCAGCTCCGCTCGTAAAGCGTCCTGGAGATCTCGGTTCTTGGACATTTCGTACACCAGATAGGTCAGGGCGATCCCGGAGGTTTCATGGCCGGCAACTAAACATTCTCAAGTTAGCATTGAGAACTTGACGGTACAGGAAGGAGGGGGGAAGGCAAATCCACTCACTGATATGGTCACACATCTCCGATACGATATCCATCCGCTCATCGGCCGTGAGCCCGGACTCATCCTTCTTGGTCTTGAGCATGGCGTCCCGCAGCTGGCCGTAAACAACAGCCTGGTCGGCCGCGTCCAGGTGCCCCCCTCGATGCAGCTTCTCCTCAGCCCCATCCACCATGGAAATACACCAGGCCTCGAACTGCTCGGTGGCCGCCACCACTGCCGCGGGTAGGATGTTGAAGCCGATCTTCTGCAGGCCGTCCATCACACCCTGGGTCTCCTGTGCGTAGTAGGCGTATGGAAGACGCGACTGATACGCGCTCAGGATGGCCTGCCGCCGCGTCCGGTCCTCAACCAGGTTCGACGAGCTGGACAGGCCGAACAGAAATGCAGTGACAAAGTCCATCGCACTCGCCAAAAGCAGATCGTGCACGTCCAGGGCCTCCCCAGTCCCAGCTGCCTGCTGCAGTATCGGCAAAAGGCGGTCGTGCAGGATCTGCGTCGACTGCTGCTTCAGCGCCGGTGAGCCCTGGATGAACGATTTCGAATAGACGTGCGATAGCATGCGTTTGCGGTCTGCGTGAGGGCGGAATGTGTACGTTGAAAACATATTAGGACGCCTAGAGCCAGTCAGTAAGCCATTAGAATCGAAAAAAAGGAGGAAGAAATTCTGCTGGGAGGGGGGGGGAAGAGAGAAAGCAAAGCAGGTCATGTGAACTCGGCTTCTTTGGGGAAAACGTACCCAACGTTAAAAAAGCTGCGATACCAGGGATGCTTCTCGAACCCCCCACCATACACCACCCGTACACCCTCGGCGCTGTTGACGCTGAGCTCGCGGGGTGCCAGGCGCACGACAGGTCCGTATTTCTCGTGAGCAGCCTGGACGAAGCGGTTCTCGTGGCCGGTGAAGCGCACCCAGTGCATGACCAGCGATGACAGGCCGCACAGCGGATGGGCGATGGGGATGGAGTCTAGGGCCTTGAGTGAGGTGCGTCTGCGGTGCAGAGAGACGGCCAGCAGCACGATGGCTGCCAGCACTAACAGGCTGGAGTCGGTCATGGCGAGTGGCACGAAAAGAGGGGAGGTTGACTCGAGGTTCGGCCCCAAGATGCTGGAGCTGACTACGAAGATCTTATAGCATAGCTGACCGCTGCTCTCAGACTTGACGTGTGATATATACACCACCCCGGAGGACACATCTTGATAACCAGACGGACGGATTGGCTGCGAGTGATAGGCTGAGGCTGCTCCTTGCTGGATGCATTCTCTTCCGGTTCTACGAAAGGGGCAGGTGGGAGGAAGCTCATGCAGCGATGATCAGTGTGTGGGTGACGTACATTGAGATCCGATGTCTTTAAAAGGACGACCCTGGGTGCTGTCAAGAGGCTTTCTATTCTGTTGTTCGTGTTCAACCCCCTCCCCCCCCCCCATCCTGTTTTGCATCTTGGATCGTCACCATGGCATTCGCCGACCTTCCTCCCCTGTCTTCCTACGATGTCTATGAGAAGGCACCTCTGCTGAGCTTCGTCTCGGATAAGGCGCTGGCCATTATGCTCCCGCCCATTTCCTACGCCGTCTTCTCCATCCTGTGGGAATGGATCGACCGCAGCGAGCTCCTGACAAAGTACAAGCTATACCCGCCCGAGGAGATGACCAAGCGCAATCGTATCTCCAAGTGGGAGTGTTTGCGCGGCGTCGTGGCCTACCATGTGATGCAGATCGCGGTCACTGTAGCCCTAACGTGGAATGACGACGGCAAGACTTACGGAGGCCAGGAGCAGTTCTACATCCTGCGCTGGGCCTCGAAGCTTCGCATCCTGCAGCACATGTTGCCCAGCCTGTTGGCCTTGTTCGGTGTCGACTCACTGGCTTGGAGTTCCAAGGTCCAAGCTACCTCGCCCACGCTGTCGGCCGTGCTCTCTGGGGGGGACTACACCGGTTTGAAGAACAACGCGACCGCAACCGGCAGCCTACTCGCCCAGTCGGTGCCTCTCGTTCAGGGCTTTGCTCCGTGGGAGATTGTTGGTGGCAAGGCGCTGTACTATATACTGGTGCCTGCCTTTCAGCTGTGGATGTGCTTCTTCATTGCCGATACTTGGTATGTTAGCAGTCAAAAGCGGAAAAAAAAAAAAAAAAAAAAAAAAAAAAAGAACCAATGAGCTAACGAAATAGGTTCTACTTTGGTCACCGAATGATGCACAACTACAAATGGCTCTACAGTATGTGACGCCTCTTCATTAAATTCGACGGTACTGACCGTTTTTAGAAAACTTCCACTCGATGCACCACCGGCTCTACATCACCTATGCGTAAGTTGTCAATCGCAACTACAGTCCACGGGGCTACGGACCAGCTAATATGGAACAGTTTCGGCGCTGTGTACAGTCATCCTGTGGAGGGCTTCCTAGTAGACACAATCGCTTTCACTCTCGGGGTGGTGCTGTCGAACCTGTCGATCCGACAGGGGATGGTGTTCAACGTCCTGGCGACGTGGAAGGCGCTGGTGGACCACTGCGGATACGCGCTGCCATGGGACCCCTTTGAGCTGGTCACGGCGGCGGACTCGAAGTTTCACGATGTGCACCATCAGACATGGGGGCTTAAGAGCAACTTTGCCCTCTTTTTCACCTTCTGGGACCAGCTGCTGGGGACAGCCAAGGAGTCGCGATACGGGCGGGAGACCATGATCAAAGCGGATGACAAGATAGAGGAATAAGCTGGCTGAGCTGAAGCATGACGGTCGTTTATGGAGCAGAGGTAGAGAGGACGGATGCGATCGAGCTATTCGACGCCAGATGATGATCTGATGAGGTAGATGGAAGTTTGGACTATAGGAGGTAGTAACTTATGATCTGGACAGTCTAAATGTACTGAATAAAAATAACTGAAAATCGCCTGGTTTCTTCAATTTGAAAATGCTTGGATACTTCAAATTACAACACTGTATACTTGAATGGTGATCAACCTTTCTTCTCCTCGCATTGACCAAATCAGGCTTTCAACTCCACCTGCAACTGCATCAACCTGCGTCTGCATCTGCATCTGCATGCTCGAACCACCGTCAAAGTCTACGAGTACGGGGTTTACAGAGTACTCAATAGACTACATGAGCATAATGCATCTGTACTCACCGACTCCAAATAAGGGCAATGAGGGTAGAAAGTTCTCTCCTACCATCTGAGTAGGTACTCCGTATTCTCCTCCCTTCTATTGACCATCTTCCTTTCTATTATCAGTCTTTTTTCTATCTTTTTACAGTCCATACGGAGTGTCCATCTATCTACACGGAGTATCCATCTATCTATACGGAGTCTTGCTGTTCACGATGTATCCAACCACTTTCGAAGGTCTGCTCACCACCTCGCACTCCGACTGGAAGACCTTCACTAGAAGAGAGGTAGGGCCCTTAATCTACCATCTATCTATCCATCTATCTAACAGTGTACAGTTCACTCCTAAGACTCTCACCCCCCACGATGTTGACATCAAAGTCACAACCTGCGGCATCTGCAGCAGCGACATCCACACCGCGAACGGGGGCTGGGGCGACGCTCATCTGCCTCTTTGTCTCGGCCATGAGATTGTAGGGACAGTCGTGAAGATCGGAGATAGAGTCACCACGGTGAAGCTCGGCGACAGAGTCGGCGTGGGTGCTCAGGCGTGGGCATGTCTCGATTGTGAAGTCTGCACTGCCTCCAACGAACAATACTGTGAGAAATACGTTGGTAAGTTTCTTTTTCCTTTTTCCCATCTTTTTTTCCCCTTCATTTCTTTTCTTTGACTATTCTTTATTAATAATTTAAGATACGTATAATGGCGTGTATCCCGACGGAAGCATCTCCCAAGGCGGCCTCGCCAGCCACGTCCGCGTCCACGAACACTTTGTCTTCTCCATTCCAGACAGTCTTTCATCTTCTGCGGCCGCACCGATGCTCTGCGCCGGGTTAACCACGTACAGCGCTCTGGTCCGGAACGGCTGTGGTCCGGGATTACGGGTTGCAGTCGTGGGGATTGGCGGATTAGGCCATTTTGCGCTGCAGTGGGCGAGGGCTCTCGGGGCGGAAACAGTGGCTGCCATCTCGCGATCCGGGGCGAAACGAGACGACGCGATGAAACTGGGGGCTAGTGTCTTCATTGATTCGGCAAGGGAGGACTGGACGGCGGAATGGAAGCGTGGGTTCGATTTGGTGCTCAACACGGCCAACGTGGCGCACAGGGATACCTTCTCCGCGTACCTGGATCTGCTGGCTGTGAACGGGACGTTTCATACAGTCGGGCTACCGGAGACCCCGTTGCCTGCCCTCTCTGCCCAGGACATTGTCCTGCGTGGGATCAAGATCGGAGGTAGCAATCTCGGCAGCCGGGTCGAGATGCTAGCCATGTTGAAGCTGGCGGGGGAGAAGGGGATCGGGGCATGGGTCGAGGAGATGCAGGTGAATGAAGGAAACTGTAAAGAGGTGATGGAGAGGATGCAGGAGAACAGGGCACGCTATCGATATGCGCTGGTGGGATTTGAGAGTTTTTTTGCAGTCTAGATACTACTCAAGTATATGTATAGTGAATATACTGCTATCTCAGTAATCCGTGCTCTCCAACTCCGCCGGATAGACAAAATCATTCTGCTCCCTGACTTCATCCATGACGCGCATGATGGCAATACTCTCCTGCAGGGACATGATTTCGCTCTCCAGCTTCCCATCCCGTAGACAGCGCCCACACTCGTCCGCCTCCCAGAACATACCGTGGCCGGGGATCGGCATCTCGACGTCCTGGATCGGCTTCTTCCCCGCTGCCGTCTCTCCTTCCTGCAGCTTAGGAATAAGCCTGTACGCCGTCGGACGATAGCACGGCCCGTCGATCTGGATCTCGCCTTTTGTCCCCTGGATGCGAATCGCGGGCCGCGCGCTGTTCATCCCATCCGGGTCCGAACTCACCCGCAGCCCGGAGAGAGCGATGCCCTGCGCCCCGCTGCGAGGAAACCGAAGTAGCACCGAGGTCGTCTCGTCGCTGCCCGTCGGGGCGTATTTGGTCATGGTCGACATGACCTTCGGGTACTCGTCGCCGCCGAGTCGGTAGAGGATCTCAAACACCCAGGTGAGAGAATATATTCCTACTACATCCAGTTAGCAAGCTACCTTGACCTTGGCCTATAGTTATAAAGGAAGAGTACAGTCTAGGAGAACACCCCCCGCAAGATCGAGATTGACAAGACGGTGCTCGGTCCCCCATTTCGTCTCGATCTCCTCGCCGAAACTCATATCAGCCAGGACACGGTGGACGGAGCCCAGCTGACCGGAGGAGACGATCTGCCCGACCGCCTTGGTGAGGGGGAAGAAGCGCGTCCAGACGGCTTCCATGAGGAAGACGCCGTTCTGTTTCGCCGTGTCGGCGAGGATCTGGGCCTGGCGCGCGTTGACGGTGATGGGTTTCTCGCACAGCACGGCCTTGCCCGCCTGCAGACAGAGCATGGCGTTGCGGAAGTGGTGGGAGTGCGGGGTGGCGACGTAGACGATGTCGACGTTCGGGTCGGCCGCCAGGGCTTCGTACGAGTCGTGCAGCGTCGCGCTGGGGAGGTTGTGGGCGTCGGCGAAGGCTTTGGCGCGCTCCAGCGACGACGACGACGCGATCGCCGTCACCGTGTGCTGGATGTCGGTCACATTGCGGGAGGAGGGGGGGACGAGGAGGTCTTTCGTGAACACTGTCTCTTATTAGATGTAAAATAAATCATGTCGAAAGTTCAGGTAGCCTGTTACAAGATGCAATGCCTCCGGTGGCTACAGACAGTTAGTGTCAGATATCTATCGAGTGCCAGGTACCATACCGAGGATTCCCCAGCGGACAGTGAATGTCTGAATAGTCATGGTAGGCAGTGGAAAAGATTCAAGACTGAGTCAGATCTGATAGAGTGGAAGTGATGAGGTAGAGTACAGAGTATAAACTTGGAGAGAGAGTGAGTGAGTGAGAGAGTGATATATCATCATATTTCCATCTGGACTGCATATGCTCTGCAGATTGACCTGTCATGATCTCTCACCGATATTAGGAATTAAAATACAGATTAATGAAATTAACACAAGCAGTATTTTAATAATATTATATTTAAGATGGTACTCCATTGTACGGAGTATGTTTACTATGATCGGCCTCTCCTCTCTACTCTTATAACTTCTCGAGCAGGACTTGGGACTTCTGTATTACATGCTTCAGGAGAATAGGTATTAAGGACGCCTATTTAGCTGACCGAACTATCTGTCGTACTGCTGTAGTAGTTGGTCTAGTTCAACACACCCACCTGGCCCCGTGATGACAGCCTCAGCCAGGTTGGGATACAGACTGCTGAATCGCAAGCGGCCCTGGTGCGTCTTCCAGACCTCTCGCTCGAAGTGCGCAAACACCTCGGCCACCTCGCCTGGCAGTTCTTTGCCTCGGGGTTCCCTCGCCCGCCGTTCGGCGCTCAGCTGTACCAGTCGGAACGTCCCAATAGAGAGCGGCCAGCGCCGCCATAGACTCTGCGCGGACCGGCTCAGCGACAGGAACGCCGCCCGGCACTCTGCCTGGTCCAGCTCCTCCAGCAGGGTGAACAGCGCCACCGTGATCCAGTGCACATACACCGCCGGCACCTGCTGCCCGCCCCATTTCACGTGGTGCGTGTGCACCAGTTGAGCCACCGTCCGCGCGGACTCGACACACCGTGCCCGCGCGCTCGCCGCGTTCGCCAGCGCCAGCGCCGGCATCGACGGCTCCGGGTGCCGCAGGAACCCGTACAGCGTCATGATGATGGTGTGATAGTACATTCTATAACCGGTCAGAGAGAAATCAGTTCGGTTTCATCGTAGGAAAAGGGCATACTGCAGATTCAATGTCCCTGGCGAGGAACCGCGGTTTGTCCCCTGGATACAGTCCGGCAGCGCGGCGTACCAGGTCGACAGCCGACGGGACAGCGAGCGTGCCGTCACCTCTAATTGCGCGAGTGGCAGTCTGTCCTCGCCAAACAGACAGCTTGTCGTGTCGTAGCTGATCTCCGTTAGGTCCACCAGGTGGTTGAAGATACAGCTCGTGTGTACCGGTAGCGAGTCCATAGGGAGCGGGTACGGCGTCCACAGGTCGGCCGGGTCATGGCACTCCGGAACTAGGGAGCATAGCGGTTTCTTCTTCATCGGCGGCATCTTGTGTAACTTCAGGGCTCCGGCGCTGTTCTCCTTAGCTTATAGAAACGCCCCCACACGCGGTCTTCTCCCCAAGACTTATATACTACGTACGTCACTGCGACAAATAGGCCCATAGTCGCATCTCTGACTGCGTGCTCTGTCCCCCCGAGGTCACGCATCGCGCACAGCTCGCGCGCGCTCTCTACTGCGTTTGTCACGTACATCCACCCCACGCGATCTTTTCCCATGAACGTAGAACTACCCTGTCAGCCTGAAGACCAATTTGGAGTACAGGACAGAACCCCAGACTTGGTGAAGGAAGGAGATACCATGTATACATGACGCCTAGCCCTTGCATGGTGGTCAGAGTGCTTCGCCCTTCCTCGAGATCGAGCAATCGTTTGGCTTCCTGGTAGAAATGGGCGCCCTTGGTGGCTAGATCGTTGTATATCGAGTAGCTCTCGGCATAGTCCGAATAGGCCTTGAGGAAGGAAGAGGATGTTGGCAATCTATATCTACTTTTTTTTTATTTATCACGAAAGAAATGAGATGAAGAAAAACAAAATCAACTTACGCAAGCCTCGGCGAGAATGGCGTTGACGAGAAATGATGAGCAAAACGGCGGTTCCGGGTCCCCGGCGCACATGGAGTTTAGAAATAGGTCGCGGTTGACGAGGTTGAACAGGGAGCTCCCGTGCCAGGTGAACCACAGGGAGACTAGGTGTGAGACGAAATGGTCGTCGGTGGTGACTGAGGTCCACGGCTGCGCGGGCACGTCGTAGAGGGGCTTATCGGCCAGGCGCTTGACATCCATCACCTTGGGCCGGACGACAGGCCAGTCGGTACTGATGGAACGGCTCCGCAACGATGGCGACAGGGAGGAGGATGAGGAAGAGAGCACTCGCTTGGGCCGCGTGCCGCCATCGAACAGGTACGCCCGCAGCGCTTCGACGGCACTGTCGCCGAGACGGATCACATCGAGCACCTCGGCCACACGCCCGGAGCTGCCGCCGCGGAGGATCTCCAGCAGGCCCAGCAGCAGGTCGCGGTCTTGCTGCAGAGACTCGATCTTCCGCTTGGCCGACAGGCGGCGGCGGCCGTCATTTTCCTCGTCGATGCGGCATCCCAGGCGGTTGTCGATGCAGTTCCTGCACGGGGTCTCGCCCGTGCATTTCACCTTGCGACGGCGGCACTGGGTGCAGGCGCGCGACACCTTGGTCATGGGCTTGGGGTCGCGAACCTCGTGTATGTAGCCCGGCGGCGCCGGAGCCAGCGCGGGGACCGTCGCGCGGGCGGCGGCAGAATTGGGCATGAAATGAAGGAGGCCCCCGACAGCAGCAAATAGTAGCTAAGCGGTAGTACGGATTAGCAGTCATCGTAATATAAGGTAGGTAATTAATAATTAGCTAGTCTCGACCTACCTAATCAGCACACTGCCTCCTCTTTGGACAAGGGACGCAGGTCTAGACGCCCGCGTCGGGGCCAGGCCATCGTCCTTTATATGAAGACAGTGCTTCACCACAACATGGTGGAGCTGGGGGGGGTGGATTCTGGGATTCCTCACGATTGGAGGCAGAGTCCTTTAACGCGTCCGAATGGAATGGCCATTGGACGAGTCGAAAACAGGGCAGGTCGGGGAGCGTTGAAAAGTGACGTCGGTCGGAAAAGGTTTCCAGGACACGATTTGCTGCTTTGTAGCTGGTGGATTCCTGATCGCTATCGATCTCACGATCGGTGACGCAAGAGGTACTCTGATCGCCATGATGGGATTAGCGAGTCTACCCTAAGAAGCAGAATAAAATGGGCCCCCCAAGAAGCTGAAATGAAGCGGCAACTGGTAGGGGGGAGGCATGAGACGAGGAGAAGAAGAGGTTTGTTGGGGAGGGGAGATCACATGATGGTTGATGCTCTTGAGTCTTGACTCTTGAGTCTTCTTGCTGCCTCGGCCGGTTTTGTTTCTTCTTCAGCACTCACTACAATTGAGACGGGTGTCCCAGGGACAGTTGGCAAGTAGGCAAGAAAGACCATGGGATTCTCCGGCATGTCTGCTCGATCCGGGAGACATAAAGAGCCAGAAACCATGTAGATCGGTTGGTTACCAGCTTAAGGAGGAGTTGCGAAATAAGTTGAACCACAGGTAACTGAATGCAGGCAGCCAGACTGAGCACTCCAGATAATCCCCGTTACTGACTCCTTCTGTGACAGTGCACACTGTGTCTGTGACTGTGACGTGTTTTCCTCGATTCGAGCGCGAGCGATTCTTGCTTCTTGTCGATCTCTGCCTGCTTAGATCCTGGCCGGCCCGGATTTCTCTGGTCTCGAGAGGCAAGAAAGGGGTGGGAAACCGTTCCCGGCAAGCAGTGAGAAGTTGAGACCAATTCGATTGATCAAGAGGCCCTCAACCGGCCATTCGGGTCCGACTGGCCGATCATCTCATCTATCAGCCGCAGCGACTCGCATCGAGACAATACTTATTGTTGAACGGCAATAATAATTCTGGGAGTGGCGGTCTGGAGTTTGCAACCAGACCAGCTACTTGTTCTGAGCGTTGCTATCACTGCTGGATTCTCTCGGAGACCCTTGCCATTCACTGTATGACATAGGTACGCCAAGGGCGTGGAGCTCAACCTTACAGCTACCGTGAGTCTTTAGGTAGTGACCATGCTCAAAAGTCATCGGTATTTTGGTAATGCGTACCTACTAAATTGTCAAGGGTGCACCTCCATTCGTCCGTCTCTGTCCTCCAATTCTTTCTTGTTGACGTTGTTTTGATTGCAGAAACAGCCGTACCACTCTATCAACCCCCAGTATGTCGTCACGAAGAAGTGAATGGCATCAAAGTTCGAGACTACCGAGTCCCAGCTTGGGACGCTATTCAGGAGCTACAATAATAATTACGATCTGGCTGGATTGGAAATAGAGAGCTAGTCCATCTGTCAGTCGACAAACATTAACGCCTACCTTCTACCCGTTCAACAAACATGACTCTTGGTCTTTCACAGATACAGTTCAGTTCATCGGTCGGGTGTTATTGCCTTAGGCTCTATTTCACCTAGCCATGATGGAGCATATTCTAAGCAGTTGCGCTCCCGCACAGCTTCTACTACGGGGTACTCCGTATCTTGGAATAGGTGCGATCTGCAGCCGACAAAAAAATACCCGCAACGGTGCTGCTGATTGATGGGAGAGTGCTGGGAACCCGGTACAGAGATCTCAGGCCCAAAGAACAGGTGAGGGATTATCAAGGAAGATTTAAAAAGAGCTCTACAGAGTACAGTGTTCTCTCCTATTCCCCTGCTTTCGAGGTTCCAGAGTTGAAATCACTTTCAGGGAAATCAACAATGAACCAGACAGTGCCTAAATACTACTAGTTAGTTATAGGCTACTCGCATCCACTTGGCAACGCATGGTTGGAGGTGAGCTTCATGCCTCCCCCACCACCTTATCAGAGAGAGGGTCTCAAACTTGATTCTGACATTCTCCGAGAGATCCAGCATGAGGCTTGAATTACTTGGAATTCTACAGACAACAATGATGCCCACCTTGTCGAATTCCCAGCAGGTCAATATGTAGTACTGGAAAAGTACGAAGTAGTACTCCGTACTTAGTTACCTAGTACATCACCTATTGACTAAGTAGCACCTACTAACTAGTTACTCCTATTTAATTAACCAGGGTCAGTAGAATTTAGTGCTGATCAATCATTACTACGACATAGTTATTCGCAACACTACCAAGACTAGGAGCAATACGCTAACGAATAGCTTAGACCATGGCCGATTGGATCGGATCTTTAATTCGATGGATTTTGTATGCAACCAGGGTGCGTCCCAGTGCAACAGAAGGAATGAACCCAATAGTGACGCCAAGGAGGGACAACAGGGAATTCGTCTGACTGCCGAGTCTTGACAGCCTGCACTGCAGGGCATCAAGTATGAGGCATTTAACCTGCGAATAGCGACATCGGTGGCATATTATTGGTCTCTGTTGATACCTTCGATCCAACACATCATCTATCAGGGCTTACGGATGATATTTCAAATCCTTGGCTTGTTTCTTGAGCGTGAAGTATTGACTCACACCATCTATTGATAATCCCTATCTACAGATGAAAGATAGTGCCATAAGAGTATGACTGGTTAGACCGAGTAGATGATAATCCTTCGGAGTACTACATACTAAGACATTGACTAGCAATAGTTTAATCTACGGAGTATGCCTGTTCACGGGCTCTGCACGGAGTCCGTCTGCGAGTCATGAACATAGGAGTAGATTGTAACTAGTTTGGAGTACCTAGTTATAACTAGTTAACTACTAACTACATTTAAGTACTCTACATATTCGTACTACTCCGTACATACGTGGCTGCTGACTAGTGTTAGACATGGAATAGAGAAGACGCTCTGGCCAGCAGTTGCTATACAGCCTATACTACATAGACAGTACTACTCTCTAGTACTGACTGCCGGTTTGATGATCATCAATACGGAGTACTCCGTATTGATATCCCCTTCCCCTGAGACTCCGTATTGCTGATTTAATTCCCCTCTGAGATCCCTGCCGAATCCCTGCCGAATCCTTGTCTAGGGAATACTACTCCAAACATACGACATAACTAGGTACCTACCTAGGTAAGATATTATAGTAAGGACTTGTAAATACCAGCTCTGTTGACTGCACGTGGCAAGGTGGCAAAGGGGAAATTCTTTTCCACGTACTCCGGGGACATGGATCAGCTCTCCGAACGCCAGAAGGAATAGAGTCGGGAGGAAAGGATAATTATGTAGTAAGAAATGAAGCTTGCGCAAATCAAGTGTATTCGATGACAAACGAATTCACCAAGTCCTGGTACGGAGTACATGAAGTAAGGTACCTACCTTTACCTACCTAGTAACTAAGGTACAGTGTACCTAGGTTTTACTACGGCGTACTAGGTAAGGTACCTAGGTACCTGTCCTTGTACTGCTCCGTACGGTATTACTCTAGCCTGTCCAGGCCTAGTCTTCGCCACTAGACCCACATATCAGACCATAAAGTGGCCATGATTGGCCGTACAGAGTCGGCAACTTTGCTGTTTCCGGTTAGCCTAATCGCCTGGTCGCTTGCGTTTCAACCTCGGAAGGAGCGAACCGAGGAAGAGAAGAAAGAAGAAAGAAGAAAGAAGAAGAGAAGAGAGAAGGCAGTCATACGGAGTATTAGGGACATCCTACAAGTGCATGGTAATAACAGTAAGTTGCTTCTACTTAGTTACAGGTATTAGTACCTATGTAGATAGTACTAGTATCTAGTAGTTAACTAAGGCATGAGTTCTACGTACAGCGTATCGTATACGGAGTTGTATACTTTCGTGGTGTTCTTTCTCGCTTCCATCAAGGCTCTCCGACGGGGATCCGTGGCACGATGGACAGGCACGTTACATTTTGTGGATCGACGCATCGCAGGGAAGCTTCGCCATCTCCACTGAGGCAATAGTAAATGCTTATCAGCGAAATTTGTGTCTGGTACGTACTTTGCGTACTCTGATCCACTCCAGCTCCTGGTCCAACGTCTGTCACCAATTGGTCTGCAGGACTAGCGGCTGGCCAATTTATTCTCATATTGAAATACTGACTTCCCCTGCTTTTTCCTCTTCCTTACCCGTGTGTGTGTGAGAGAGAGAGAGAGAGGAACCTCCAAAAAACCAAAATCCCTCTTATTTCTCTCCATGTCAACCTTTGTCTCCGCCGCCAACCTGGGCGGCGTCGCCGATCCTCGCCTCGGGGGGGAGGCCGACGCCATTGGCACCAGCGACGAGCACCGCGCCGATATTGCGCATGAGATCGAACCTCCCATCCTCGAGGGCCACGGCGCCATCTACAATGACCGCAGTATCACCTTCGAGAACTATCACTACTGGGCCACCCGCTCGCGAGAGATCGAAAAGCACATCCGCACCGACAACCAGGGCTTCTCGCAGATCTGGAGCATGATCGTCGGCAAGAAGATCGAACCGGAGCCCCCCGTCCTCGATGCCTCCCTGCCGCCCCTCGACCAGGAGAACCCCGTTGCCGAGAAGATCACCGAGAAGGCTCCCGGTCAGGATACTTCCAAGGGCAGCGACGGTGTCGATCGCTGGGGGATCACCGAGACCGAATGGGAGCGTGCCCAGCGTGCCACCCGGACGGCCACTTGGGGTGAGTGAGATACCTATATTCTTGAGTCTTCATTACTTACCAGTCGATAGGTTCTATCTTCTACCTGATTACTACCGATATTCTCGGTCCTACCAACGTGCCTTGGGCTATCAGCGTAAGTTGGATTGCTCGGCTTGACTCGATTTGTTGGCTAATTCACTTGATAGCAAATGGGTTATGGACCTGGTTTTGTATGCCTCCCTATACTCTCACCCTGATTAAGAGCCAGACTAATCATTCAGGCCCTGTACACCGTTTTTGGGGGTCTGGCTTGCTACTCCGGAATGCAGCTCTGGAAGATCTTCGTCGGACTGGATTCCACCCGCTTCCCCATGCGCAGTAAGTTGACTTGCCCCTTCTACTCGGCCTGTTCTCACATCGACAGACTACGGTGATGTCGCCTTCCGTGTCTTCGGCAACTGGGCCCGCCAGGGCGTCAACGTCCTGCAGAGCTTCCAGTTCTTCTTGAACATCGCCCTCATCGTCGAGAGCAGCGGGCAGTCTCTGGCCCAAATGGCTGAGGGGGCCAGCGGCACTGGCTCTTTGTGCTGTAAGTTGCCCTTGTTTTACTGGACCTTTCCTTTTCCTTCTTCTCACTCTTTCAGTCGTCCTCGCCGAGTTCATCTTCTTGGTTATCGGTGCCTGTCTCGGTCAGATCCGTACCCTGCAGCGTCTGTCCTGGCTGTCCAACATTGCCATCTGGCTGAACGTCATTGTCGTGATCATGACGTGAGTTTTCTCTATTTCACTCGGAATTTGCTTTTTTTTTTTTCTTCTAACATACCAGTATGATTGTTGTTCAATACTACCCCCCCAACTACGCGGCGGCGGAGATCGAAAACGGGGTGAGCTACGGGCCGATCGAGACGAGCGCCAACTGGCCCTCGAACTCGACCTTCTCCAGCCGGATCAGCGGGATCATGAACTGCATCTTCGCGTACGGTGGCGCGACCCTGTTCAACGAGCTGATGGCCGAGATGCGCCGCCCCTACGACTTCTGGAAGGGCTTCATCTGCGCCGAGGTCTTCATCTACATCTGCTACCTGGTCTCCGGCATGGTCGTGTACAGTGCCCAGGGCCAATTCACCTACAGCCCTTCCTACCAGGGCATTCCCGACTCGGCCTACAACTGGCAAACCCTGGGTAACGCCCTCTCCTTCATCACGGGCGCCATCGCCGGTATCCTGTACGGCAACATCGGCATCAAGGTGTTTTACTCGGCTGTCCTACGTGATATCTTCAACTTTCCTGCTTTGGATAAGAAGAAGGGCAAGATTGTCTGGGTTTGCATTGGTAAGTACTTCCTTTGAAAGAACAAACAAAATGGAAAAAAAAAAAAAAAAAAAAAAAATCAAGAAACTAATTGTCAGTTCCCGTCTACTGGTCGCTGGCCTTTGTCGTCGCCGCCGCCATCCCCCAGATCGTCAACCTGACGACCTTTGTGGGCGCCCTCTGTATCCAGCAGTTCTCCTACACCTTCCCCCCCCTCCTTCTAGTCGGATACAACGTCCAGAAGGACGCCATCCTGCCCGAGGAGGAATTCGACCCGCGCACCGGCCAGGCCAATCGCGTGGATCACGGCTTCAAGCGCTGGATCCGTGGCTTCAAGAAGCAGTTAGCCTGGAACACCTTTGACCTGCTGTACTCGCTTGCTGCCCTTGCCACGGCCGGTCTGGGTCTGTGGGCCGCAATCGTTGACATGAGAGCGGACTTTGCCGAGACCCCTTTGACGCCTTTTACCTGCACTTCTCCTACTGGCTAATCTACATCTATATATATGTCTATATATATATCTATATATCTATATCCATTTCTTAGAACGATTATGCAATGTTAGTCTTCTACTTTCAACTCTCGGTATGCCTCTGAGAATCGTACCTAGAACGTATAACACCCTCGCTTCTGGTTGTCTTGGACGAAAAAAGTCGCGGCAGTGTAGTTCCTATAGAATTTATTAACTTAAACCCTCCCACTATACTATACTATACTATCTATAACTACTATACTTTGCGTTCATGCGTAAGCCTGAGATTCTTCGGATTACATAACAAATCACATGTCAGCAGCAGCAGTAGTAATAGTATCAGTAATAACTAACTCTACTACGAGTACTACTACACTTTCTCACTATAATGACTCAAGAACTGCAAACCCTCGCCGTGATCGACCCCGAGATCGACGCCCTGGTCCAAACAGGCCGGTTCAACTGGACCGTCGACCTGTCCCAGCCGGACAAAGCCATCCAGCACCTCCGAGCCTTTCTCAAGCAGCAGCCTGTGCCTGCGCCCGACCGCGCCGTCAAGGAGTGGACGACCAGCTACGAGACGCAAGACGGCACAGAGTTGAGCCTGTATGTGTTCGCGCCGGCGTCGTCTGCTCCGCCGCCGCTACCCTTCCTCCCGTTACTCGTCTGGTACCACGGCGGCGGCGGCTGTATCGGGTCTCCCGAGCTGACGGCCCCCTTCTGTCGGGACATTGTTCGCACGCACGCCTGCGTGGTCGTCGCTCCCGAGTACCGTCTCGGTCCGGAACACAAGTATCCCACGGGGGTGTACGATAGCTGGGCGGCTTTACAGCATGTCGCAGCCCGTGCGGCGGAGTACGGGGCCGATCCTGCTTCGTCCTTCCTGGTCGGTGGGGAGAGCAACGGCGGCGTCAACGCTGCTGTCCTGACCCTCTTGGCTCGAGATAACAACCTCTCCCCGCCGCTGACGGGCGTGTTCCTGAGTGCCGCCTCGTTCATCCCGCCGGATGACGTGCCGGATCGGTATCGCCAGGCCTACCTCTCCCGGATGGATCCGGCCTGTCTGGACGCACCGGGGCTGAACAGGGACGTCAAGCAGTTGTTCGATATCTGTTATGCGGGAGACTATTCGTCGCCGCTGTTCCGGACGATTCTGTGGCCGACGGGGTGGAAGGGGCATCCGCGCACCTATTTCCAGAGCTGTGGGTTAGACATCAATCGAGACGATAGCTTCATCTACCGGGATGTCTTGCGGGAGAATGGTACTGAGACGAAACTGGATGTCTATCCTGGCTGCACCCATTGTTTCTGGGGGATGTTCGGCATGATCTCCCAGGCGAGGAAGTGGAAGGTAGACACACAGCGGGGGATTGCTTGGCTATTGAGGAGAGAGGCGCATTAGAATCAGAATTGTAGTTACTCTGAATGATGGATTTGATTATTTTTCTCCTCTATCAACTTGTTTGGTCTGTTTGCTTCGACCACGTGCTGCTCCTGTCATTCTCGATTCTTCCTCTTCCTCTTCTTCTCTCCTCCATCACAGCATCAATTCTACTTCTACAGTCATCCATGAAGTTCTTGCTCTGAGACTGCTCGACGGATTGATACTATAGAGTGACTAATGATGGCCGCGGTCTATATGAAACACTAGGACCCTCACCTCCTCGACCCTGCATTTATTTTGCCCAGAACAGGCCAGTGTCCTCGATTGGCCGCAAGACCACCACGGCGACTATTTCTCTGGTCTCAAAAGGTTAAATACCTCGAGATAAATCAAGATGGAACACAGGGCTCAGCTTCATTCACCGTGATGGGGATAATTCCCCTGTCTTGGAACCGGTGGAGTCGGTCAGGTCGGATCCAAGCATCGACGGTGGTTTGATCGTGGAGATTAGTGAGTTCAGGAATCGTCTCAATAGAATCGGACCTGTAGCTGATACCAGCTATTCTCTGCTAGTTTGTTTCAATTATAACTAACCCTATATTGCCCTACTCTAATAGCAACACACAATACGGAGTACGGAGTACGGAGTACCTAATAATACCAAACAATATAAGGCACTTGGTGCGCCTTCTCTACAATCTTCCATACATTCTTTTTTCTTTCTCTCGCGGTCTCCCAGAAGTAGTTGACTACTCTCGGTTTCTCTCCTTCTCTCTCTCTTCTTTTCCTTTTCAACCTTTCTTTGTCATTCTTTATCGACCTTCCCTTTGATAGGGCAGGCCACTGCATATCGACGATGCATTCCATTCGTTCTACTCTCGCTGCAGTCGTGGGCCTGGGGCCCCTTCTTGTAGCTGCCCAGCTGTCGGGCTCTGTCGGTCCTCTGACGTCGATCTCGGCCAAAAACAGCACCAAGAACTGTAACGTGCTGGACTACGGCGCCGTGGCCGACAACTCGACCGACCTGGGCACCCCGCTGACTGACGCCTTTGATGACTGCAAGGACGGCGGTGTGGTTTACATCCCCCCGGGCTCCTACGCCATGAGCACCTGGGTTGATCTCAGTGGTGGAAACGCCTGGGCCCTGCAGATGGACGGTATCATCTACAGAACCGGTACCGATGGCGGGAACATGATCTACATCGAGCACAGCACCGACTTTGAGCTTTTCTCCAGTACTTCCGCCGGTGCGATGCAGGGTTTCGGCTACGAATTCCATATCGATGACAACTGGGACGGACCCCGTCTCCTCCGTCTGTACGACGTCTCGGATTTTTCCGTTCACGACATCGCCTTGACCGACTCGCCCTCGTTCCACTTTTCAATGGATACCTGCACCAATGGAGAGATCTACAACATGGCCATTCGCGGTGCGGACGCCGGCGGTACCGATGGTATCGATGTCTGGAGTAACAACATCTGGATCCATGATGTGAGTTCCAAACGTGCCTGGGCTGAATAGAACATCCTAATATGATGATGTCGAACAGATCGAAGTTACCAACAAGGATGAGTGTGTCACCGTCAAGGTAAGAAGGGATTCATTCTCTATCCTTCACATCGACCTAACGGAACGTTATAGAGTCCCTCCAAAAACATCCTTGTCGAAGATATTTACTGCAACTGGTCGTATGTAGAACCTCTCTTCCTGGAAACAAATACCCTCGGCCGGTGCTGACTCAACTCTATAGAGGTGGTTGTGCTATGGGCTCCCTGGGCTCTGATACCAACGTCTCCGATATTGTTTACCGCAACATCTATACCTGGAGCTCCAACCAGATGTACATGATCAAGAGCAATGGCGGCAACGGAACTGTCGAGAACGTTGTTTTGGAGAACTTTATCGGTGAGTCCGTCCTTTCTCCTTCTTGGCTGAGAGTATGCTAATCTTTACCAGGCCACGGCAACGCATACTCCCTTTACATCGACAGCTACTGGAGCAGCATGGCCGTCGTTGCAGGCGATGGGGTGACCCTGAACAACATCACCTTCACCGGCTGGACAGGCACTGAGGCGGATGGGGCGGAGCGCGGTCCCATCGACGTAACCTGCTCGGACACCAACCCTTGCACAGACATCACCATCGAAGACTTTGCCATGTGGACCGAGTCCGGCGACTACCAGTGGTACAAGTGCGAGAGCGGCTACGGTACCGGTGCCTGCCTCGAATCCGGTGATGACTACGTCTCCTACACCACCACCAGCACCGTCACTGCCGCTCCCTCGGGATACTCGGCCGCCACCATGGCTAGTGACCTGACCGCCGCCTTCGGCACCACCAATTATATCCCCATCCCGACCATCCCGACCTCCTTCTTCCCTGGAGCGACCCCCATCAGCCCCCTGGCTGCCGATGCAGCAACCGCTTCTTCTTCTTCTTCCTCCTCCTCCTCTTCCTCCGCTGCTGCCGCGGCGAAGGTTCCTGTTAGCGTCGCTGCTTCCGCTCCTCAGGATGTCGAAACCTCTGTTGCTGCCTCGAGTGCCGCTGCTGCTGCTGCTACTTCTGCTGCTGGATCTGCTTCCGCCACCGGGGCAGCCTGCCTTCTGGCAAAGTCCGCGTCTGCGAGCGGAGCGGTGGCTGCCAGCTCCACAACCGCTCCGGCCGTTGTCGTAGCATCATCCTCTGTCAGGATGCACACCGTCACCGGCAAGAACCGTAGCAGGCACCCTGTCCACTCTTCTTCTGCCGTCGCCGCCAGTCAGCCCTCCGCGGCAGCCGTTCAGTCCTCTGCGGCGCCTGGTGGGTTTGTTGAGTCTTCTTCTTCCGCGGCCGCTGGTTCGGGCTCTGCCCCCACCGGTTTCGCCAGCGTCCCCGCCGCCCAGGCTTCCACTCCCGCCGCCGCCGCCGCCGCTGCCGCCTCTTCTTCCACTCACAAGCACAAGAAGTCCGCCTGCCACGCTTCATACAGCGCCACCGCCGCCGCCTCCGCCTCCGCCTCCGCGTCTGCCGTTGTCAAGGACGTAAGTCCCTCTGGCGCTGCTGCCGTCGGTGCCGGCGAAGATTCAACCACCACCGTGACTTCGACCTCGACTGCCGTGGTTGTCGCCTACGTCACCGGCTCTTCCGCTCCCAAGCCGCACAATGAAGACACCTCCTCGGGTTCTTCTAGCTCTGCTGTTGCCGCTGCTGGAGGAAGCACTGCCACTGCCACTACCGTTGCTGCTGCTGCTACTGGCACTACGACTAGCACCAGCACTGGCGCTGCTTCCACTTCTACCACTTCTTCCTCCAGCTCTAGCTTCAGCCTCTCCAATCTGACCGAGTACCTCAACTCGCTGAGCGCCGAGCAGGTCCTGGAGTTCCTTAAGAGCACCCTCACCTGGCTGCTCGACGATAAGAAGATCCACGCTCGTGCCTTGACTGCTTAGGGTAGATAGATAGATCTCTCTACTGACTTTTTACCTGATATTTATATATAATTCATTACTCTGTATCTTTATTCTGGAATGTCACTCATTCATTCACCTTGTTCATGCATCCGTATTATTAACTGTATGGTATTGAAGGTAGTAAATAAAGTATTGTAGTCTTATAATCCAAGACATGCTCACAAAGATAAAGTAGTTAGTTATAGACTCGCCTTCCCTCGTGACTCATACGGGATCAAGACTACAAGCAGAGCTGCGATGAGAAACAGCGCACCGCTGAGGTAAACAGGCACGGCTGTTTCAAGATTGGCAAACATGGCGATGACGGGGGCCAAGACGCCGAAGATACGGTTGGCGGAGGCGGCGAGGGCGTTCCCCGTGCCGCGGTGTTTAGTCAGAAAGATCTCAGGCGTGTAGGCGTAGAGGACGGCGTACATGATGTTACTCATGAAGGTGTAGGCGCAGTTCCAGGCGAGGAGGGTGTTGGAGGATGTCGCCGAGGTGGAGGCCAGGAGAAACACGCCCGTGAGCGCGGTGGAGAGCGAGAGGGCGCCCCTGCGTCCGAACCGGGGCAGGTCGACGAGCACGCCGCCGAGCAGACAGCCCGGCACGCCTAGGAGGGCGATGATGAGCGAGTTACGGTAGGTTAGGTAAGTTGAACCGTCGCCAAACTCGACGCCGCGCGTCTGCTGGATGTACGGCAGGAAGGCGTTGTAGAGTGGGAATCCCAGGCCGATCAGGGCCCAGACGAGCACGATCAGGGTCGTTGCGTACGCGCGCTTGGGTGTCTGGAACAACGCTTTGATGTGCGCCAGGTCGAGCTTCGAGAGCCGTCGACGCAGAATCTCCGCTGTACTCGGGCCGCTGTTCCCCTGCTGTTGCCGCTCCTGCTGCTGCTGCTGCTGCTGGTAGTCGCAGTCATCCAGATCAGCCACTGTGAGAGATGAGGCCTTGCCGTTCCTCCGCGCCACTTCGTGCACCACGCGAACCGCTTCGTCGTTCCTGCCCTTGCCCATCAGGTACTTGGGTGACTCGAAGATGGTGAAATAGGAAAGCCGGACAGCGAACATCAGCATCGCGATGGCTCCCATGGCAAGCAGGAAGTACCTCCATCCCATATCCTCGGTTCGGGTGCATCTAGATTCATCTACACAGGTGAAGTCTCCCAGTAGCGGCCAGGCTACGAGAGTTGCCAGCACCTGCGCAAACGCCCAGTCGATCGACAACACTGTGAGCAGATACTGGTGGGAGGCCGGGAGAAACTCAAGGAAGATGGCTGAATCAACTGGGAGATTTCCTCCGACGCCCACCGACCACAAGGCTGCAAAGGTACAGACTGCGCCGAAAGTCGGGGCCCCCGCGGCGATCAGGCCAAACACTGCCGTGATGCCGATGGTGAGGTTGAAGGCCCAGCGTCGTCCGAACAGGTCGCAGCCAAACCCCCAGAACATCGCCCCGGCCAGCAAGCCGAGGTTCTGAGAGAGAGTGAGCAACGGTGGGTGTGATGGGGCGAACTCGTACGCGATGGGGGTGAGAATGAGCGAGGTGACGACAGGCCACAGGTTGTCCGAAGCCCAACCGAAGCCGATCACGACAAATAGCTGCCATTGATAGCGTCCCATGCCTATCTCCTGGATAGCATCATTCAGGACCTCTGCCTTGGCTTTATATGCGATATCGAGTGCCTCGGTAGCGGTATCCTCCTCCTCCCCGCCGCCGACCCACGGACGAGGCCCAACCTCCACAGCAGGCTGTGTACCGGGATTCTTAACGGTACCTGACATCGTAGCAGGGTAGAGATGAGAAAGACTGCAGTCTTTTTAAACTGACCGTCTGTTTATAAATGCACCATTTAGGCTTTTCAGCCGAGCAGCTGCGCGCGCCTCTGGAGTGCGCCGATTGGAATCTCGATGACGTGATCCCTGCACGGCGTATCTCCAACGCAGATCTCTTCTTCCATCAAGCCTCACCACGATGTTTGCAATCAGGTCTTCGCAGGTCGCCCTTTATCAACTTGCGTGGCAAGGTCTATTGGCGGGGTAAAATGACTCGGATCGGTTCCTTGCCGAGACGTCGAGCGATATTGAGATGATATGGCTATCGGTTAGTTCTGAGGGCCAGTATTGCAATGCAATGCCTTAACGAGGAGTTTGGAGATCCTCGTCCACCTGTCAGGTCTGCTGTCAGCCCAAGATCGACAGACTCCTGTAGAGGGTATATTTGGAGATCACAATCCTGACTGAGGGACATTTTGTTTGTTGGCCAAATGAGGAAGTTAGGGCAGTATCGTAGGGTTTGCAGGATCGTCTGACCTTGTCTCTCAATATGACAATGTCTCTCTTCTTCACCCTGCTTGATATGAGAGTTAGAGTAATAGTGAGTAGGGGACTGGATTGAGATTGCTATATATTATTGATAAAGGGTATGTTTTGGTTATGAGAGGATCAAATCACATAATGAGTAGATAAGTTGAGATTTCAAATCTAAAACCCATTTATTGGATTAGAGAGGTCAAATCATATAGCAATAGTAATCAAGAAGTCTATACTGTGGTTAGTTTCTCATACAGTGTATTATACTATTTCATTAATCCATAGCAGCCGTCATGGTGATGCAATGTTCATACCTAATCGATTAGCCAGATGAATCGTCCGGTTGACCGTATCCAAGCCAGTCTGCTAAGATGAGGAGATCACAGACCCTAGGGCTCTTGTCAGGCCATTGTCGGATGATCTGGGGAAGGCCTGATGGTCATTTCAATCTGCTGGTCAAGAAGCCGGACTACAGACCGTACACGCATTATCTACACCGGTGATTTTTTTTTTCTTTTCTTACCCGTCAGTGTCAAGCGTTGGGAGAAATGGGAGAGATTCACTGACTCTTTTTCGGTCTTCTTTATCAGTATCGGAAGATGGATGCCTGAAGACCACCAAACGCATAAAGACTGGGTAGGAGGAGTCATCAAACAAGTTGACCACAATCCCAAAGATCTGCATCCAGTACTGAGGGAGTTTGAGCAATTGATCGAGAGTAACACCCGTGTATACATGCTTCTGGAGTCTATGTTTCAGGAGGTCCCCAAGAAAAGGCCATACAGCACGGATCCTACGGGTGAGCCCCAGATCAGAGACTACAGGCATCTGCTGCAGGTATTGAGCCACCTCCTTACCACCGCACCGTCATGGAACGACAAGTCCAACCGCGTAGGTCTTGTCGGGCTTCCCATCAATGCCATCTTGGACTGGCCCATGGGCACGCCGAGTGGGTATGCCGCCTTTCTCGATCCGGATATCAACTCGATGCTCAAGAAGGTACTCAGTGCGTGGGGGGAATTTTTAAAGTCTCCTGAATCGGCAGTGGTGCTCGACGACTCACGGAGCGGTTGGTTTGGTGAGACTGGACGCCACGATCTCACTGCCGTTGCGAACATCGGGAATACCACATATGAGTTTGACGAAATTTTCATCTGCGACCCTAGCGCTCAACATCACGGTTACAAGTCGTGGGATGACTTCTTCACGAGATTGTTTAGAGAAGGCGTGCGGCCTGTTGCAGCGCCGGACGACGACTCGGTGATTGTCAACGCCTGCGAGTCCCAGCCATACAAGATTTCAAGGGATGTCAAGGGGCGAGACACGTTCTGGCTTAAGAGCCAGCCCTATTCGGTGCGCGATATGCTTGCCAACGACGACCTTGCCGGCCACTTTGTTGGAGGGACGGTCTACCAGGCCTGGCTCAGCTCGCTGAGCTACCATCGATGGCATGCACCTGTCAGTGGAACGGTCAAGAAGGCGTATGTTGCGGATGGGACGTATTATTCCGAGCCATTGTTTGAAGGAGTCGGCGACCCTGGAGCGCACACACATGGGATCAACCTAAGTGGAGAAATCACGGCACAGGGATACATCACCTCAGTGGCTACTCGTGCGTTGATCTTTATCGAAGCAGATAACCCGGCCATTGGTCTGGTGGCCTTCATCGGCGTTGGGATGGCAGAGGTTTCAACTTGTGATATCACCGTCAAAGAGGGCGATCGACTCGGGAAAGGGGATGAGATCGGCATGTTCCATTTCGGCGGTTCGACACACTGCTTGGTCTTCCAGAGGGGCGTGAATGTGGAAGGGTTCCCTGAGCCAGGGAGACAGGAGAACGTGGCTGTCAAGAGTCAGTTGGCTGTAGTCCGGCAGTAGCATGAGAGCCCAAGAGAGCAGAATAGTAGAGCAAATAGTCCTAGAAAGAGTCGTTCGATATGCTGTAATTTCATGTTTGAGATAGATTCGACTATACACTTTGGAGTTTGAAGGACGGGGCTGGGATAGATGTTGAAGAGGAAGTCATTGTTCAATGGAAGAAGAAGAGGAGAGATAAATGAGGAGGAGCCAGGAAAGGTACCAGAGAGGAAAGCAGCAGCTCCCCTACATAACAAGGGACAGTCGACCCGTGCCATAATTAACGGAAGCCACATTGAGAGGTAAAAATAGAAGGAAGAAAAAAAAAGAAATGGAGGAGGAATTCTGACTCTCCTACTTGTTGTTGTACATTGATCAATTATATGATGGGGAAAAATAAAACACAAAAAGAAATGCTCACACGCGGATTCGAACCGCGGACCTCATGATTACTAGTCATGCGCTCTACCAACTGAGCCATGCGAGCTCGTTGTAAGCCTGCAAATAATAATGATACATAGCTCTAAGAAATTTGATTTAGTTTCTTATAGCCTTCTGTTTCCTCTACTTTATTACAACATATTATTTCTTTTCTCTCTTATCAGCTTCTCAAATATCTTCCTGCTACTCACTTGGTCAGTCATTCGATCCAAAACAGCTCTCTTTTTTCATTTGTTAAGCTCTTTATTTTGTTCAACTGTTCCCTCAACATGGTCGGTTTCTCGGAAATATAAATTGGTATCATGCCCATCTTCCTCAAACCCAACAAGAGCCAGTGATACACCCCTAACAGCTCGCCCCATCCAGGCCTTGACCAATCGGTCCACTATCATCTTCTCATACGAGGGGCTCATTCGATACTTCATTCTAGTCCTATAGGTGACCTTGAACCCGGCGGTGGCTCTTGTTACGTCCGCCGGCACTGTCTGTTTTGATTCTTGGAATGACGGGGAACTCAGCACGATTACGCCCTCGTCCCCATGATCAACACCGACGTGAAACCTCTGACGGCTTGCAGGGTCGGTAAGACAATGGATTGAGAAACTTTCACGATGAGCAGAATCGTCTGCTGGAGCGTGCGTGCTCGACTGGATTTGCCCATACTGGATACCCTGCCGCAACAGGGTATTCGCCCAGATATCCCGGTGGCTGCGAGGCGGTGTGCTTGGGATCTCGCGAAATAGTCTGGCGAGCACAATGAAGGCAAACGCCAGGGCGAATTGGGTGATCATCGCCCATTCCCAAAAATTTTCAATGGTCATGATGCCGCAGATACTCTGGGCCACCGGCCCGCTCAGCGTGACAACGAAGAGTCTGTAGACGGGACGACAGGCAAGAGTCAGTGCAAGAATCTCCTTCAAGAATCGCACATAGTCTTAAATGACTCACTGGACTTCAGCATGGCAGAGGGCCCGGAGGGCCTTCTTTAAGGGGTGGAGCATTTCCTCTGTGTTGCTTGCATGTTCCCGGTTCGGGAAACATGTAAGTTGAACCTCACCAGTAAAGGTATCATCTGTGATAGGCAGAGACTGGACAGCCTCCACGGCCGACAGAAACAAAGCCAAAGAGCTTATGATGTGAGACGTTTCAGAGCGCTTCTGACCATCACGTCGAATCCATGCCATGGTGTGGGTAAAGCCACTAGAACTTTCTTAATATAAACTGACACATTGATGGAACTGAGAGGGAAATAAGGACAACCCGTACGTTTTCATCTCCCCCAACCTTGCAGAAGGTCGAAACGACTGGAACACCGAAGAGAGATACAGGTCATTTCCTCTGAACCCACCGGCCGAGATTTGCTTCTCAGGGACAAAGCTGACTGGTAATTTCTTGGTCGGGGAAAGATCGTCCTTGATATCGATGACGACCGGGCCTTTGCATTCACGGTCAAAAAGAGCCGTCTTTTCCATGTCCGCAGAACGGTGGATGAAATCAAAGATTGGTCCAGCTGTTCTCTCCCGACGTAGAGAGCTCGATTTAAGACAAAGCAGACGAAGGAGAAGAAGAACCTGATCGTATACAATCATCAGCGGTACACCACACACTACACTGCATTCCCGTCATGATAAGGATCTGGACTGCATGGTTTCCACAAGATGCCGTCCACCCACGCTTGGATGCAGCCACTGGCACTGAAAGATGCCGAATCTCCCAAGTCCTATCATGTAGCATATATGCATCCTGCCGCAGTGAGGCGTGCATTCAGTGTGACACGGCGCTACATCTCCAGAAACCAAGTAACTAGCAGTTTATGGTAGACAACATATCTGTGACACAGACATGTGAGAATAGGTAGCCTTGGCACTACCATCATGCAGAGGGGTCATCCCAAGATAGCCCGTGTCAAGTATAACTAGACATGTGAATAAAAAGTCTGGTCTTTATGGACTATCTTTGATAATGGTTGTTTTTATCTCAGCAGGTTTTTTAGCGTACTACCCACCACTTTACCATCCCTTCAAAAAGATTTCCCCAGGTGCTACAGAGTAGCATCAACCCACTGATATTGGAAGTACAGCTCGAGCTTCATCTAGACGGGGGCTGATAGTTAATCATCAGGCTTTGTCACACAGGCCCGTCTGCCGCGGAAGAAAATGTTGAATCGGTTCATTTAGAGGAGCATCCAACTTACCTGTGATGGGAATGAGAAAAATCAACTTCATGATAGACCCTTGGAAGAGGTATCATTGAGGTGTGAGCAGCGGCTGAATGGCCCGCTACCCTATTATATATAAACGCGAGGGTTTCCTGCGCTTGAAGCTTCAAACCACTCTCTTGATCTACCATCCACACGACCTTCTAAATACTCTGCAACTTGCCGCTCACAATGAAGACTTCAACCCTTCTTCTGGCATCTATTCTTTCCGTCTCAGCTCTGGCCAGTCCGGTTCAAGATCCCAGTCCTACACAGACCCAGGATGTCGACAACGACCCCGTAGAAAAACCTCTGCGGGACCTTTGCGTCGTAAGCCCCTTGTATCCCCTGCCCTCTGGAAACAACTAAATACCATCTGCAGCTGAACTGTCTGAGAACCACTATCGCGCCACTTCTGGGATGCTCGACTATCGCCTGTATCTGCGGAACTGGCGCTACTAGTCCCGCCACGGTCCTTAAAACCTGTCTGACGACCAATAAGTGCAATACAATTGAGACGACAGTCATCGATAGCGCGGTTGTCACTCTATGTGATCTTGCCACGGTGATGAGCTATTCGCCTGGCTCGAACACGTCTGGGACTGGCGTACTTTCCCGTGTATGATGGACCCGTTTTCGGATGGATGGCATTGTAGCTGGTTGGAATCTCGATACCAAGCAATATATTGATTGTGTAAGCTAAATCTTCTCTCAAGTAAGCATAGATACGCTGTTCTGTACATCGTCATGGGTCATGAATTGACTTGCATCTTCTCAAGTTTGGGAGCCTCATTCGGAGTAACGAGACTCAGGGAGTCTTTCATGGCTCGAAGTGATCCAATTCATCGGTTATGTATAAGGCAGTGTTTCTAGAGTAGCTCAAAAGGGAGATGCATTCTTCGCTAGAAAGAGTCGATTCCTAGGAGTTTGTTGTGGTAAGGAGTAAGGCTTCACTAAAGTCGGAGGTTCGGTTTTGATAATAAAGTGGTTGCCTGAGGCATAAAAGCATGCCTTCCTCTTTTTCTCACCTGCAACTTGCCTCAACGTCTCTCTCTCTCCTTCAGCTCACAATAATAACTTAAAAGACCCGGTATTCCGACTGTTGGTTGCTTTGGATGACACCAGGTAGGCTACTGAAGAATGGATTGACTGTAGACTCTTCTCCCATCGACAGACAGGCTCCTCAGACAGGCTTATCTTCTCACCAGCAGTCTTCAGGACATCAGCAGGCAATGTACCCCCAGGCTAGAAAACAGTCTCTAATGTTACTTGAATGAATAGGAACTACGGAGTACAAAGAGTCCGTCTTACGGGAAATCCCAAACCTGCAATGTCTCGCCATGGATTTACTGCTTCCTGATGGCCGAACGTGACTCCAGTACGATGTTACTACATCTAATGTTGTCTTTTCCTTGCTGGGAGCGGCGCAGTAAAACCAAAGGAGTGTATCAAGACACGCCACATTCGTCAAACTTGCGTCTCCTGGTTGTCGAAGCCTACACGGGACGGGACAACTGTGCATGGCCCAAGCACTGACGGAAGGTATGTCATATTCGGTGATAGATAGGCACTGCTGCTGTCATGTACCTTTAGTGAACCATGGTACTTCACTCTCATGTATACCCATCTCAGTAACTAGAGATGGGTATAGATACTCTAGTATAGAAGTTCACTGACTTTAAGGCTTTGATAATTGCTGTTTACTATCATTGTCTTCTAATTTACAGAAACCCGTAACTATTGTCTCCTGATAACGGGATAGCAAGGATGACGCAAAGCAAATCGCCACGTCGCTAAACCCGCGACCTGTCATACCCCGGGACTTCAACTGATCTACAAGTGGCTTGCTTATTTTGAAGCCATTGCTCAATGCTATTCGGAGAATTTATCGACACTAATCAACCATGCTCCGCATTGAAATAAAGCTGTGGGGACTTTTCAAACGCCGCTGTCTTGTTTATGACGCAATATGTCAGACAGCATAACGCAAACTAATTTTCCAATATCAATTCTAAAATAAACCATTGGTACTGTCAGCCCGGAGAGAGTTGTTCTTAATCGAATGAGCCGTCTGAAATACGGCGATCTGAAGCTTGATTACCAGTCACTCACTTCAGGCTTCATCCATGGCGTCAGACGGCCGACCTGTCCTGCCCGATGCTGTCGACTAACAATCCCGATTCACAACCGCAATACTACGCCTATTAACATTCATAGACAGGGATTAGGGAGACAACCATGAGAAGAGGGGGTTTGACGTCAACATTTCCTTCGCGGGCATATAACATTCCTTTTCTGCTTTTCCCTAGTCTTGAGAGTATTCCAACTGCAATCTTATTACTCCCAGGGAAATAGTTACTCTGTCTCAAGCACCAAGACCAAGTACCGGCGATATGCCTCTCTTCCATCGAAACTCCTTTAACAGCTCTTCTTCCTCCACCGGATCGTACGATGAGCCCGAACACCACAGCAAGTTCTTCGGCCATCGCTCTTCCAACTCATCGGCCTCGTCCAACAACAGCCGAAAGGGTAGCGTGAATCGCCACAGATTCCTCTCCCGGAACCATGACGACCCGTCCATCTCAGCTGCCAAGGACCAGGTTTTCCGTGCCGAGGCTGCAGAAAAGGAAGCCGACAAGGCGCTGGTAGCCTCTCGGCGCGCGGTCCACGAAGCCAGAGACCATGTGAAGCGATTGGAACGCGAGGCTGCAGAGGAGTATGTCGCCTCCCCTATCTACCATTCATCCCCTTGACTGCGATGGAAGACATGTACTGACATTGGTCAGGGCCCGCCTGGCCAAAATCAAGCAGTCGCAAGCTAAGTCGATCTCGAAGAGAGCAAAGCCTCTTGGCCGTAAGTACGATAGCTCACTATGTCCTATACCCATCACTAACCAATATTCCCAAGGCCATGATCGCCACTACTGAACATAGCTATCTACTATCCTTATGGACCTGCTCTTCCCTTCGGATATGTATTACTATTACGCGATTCTAAAGACACCTCTGTATTATAACTCTCTCTCCCTTTTCTTTTTTATGAATTATGAATTTCTTTTAAACAGACGAGCTCTTTTCTTTTCTTTTCTTTTTTATTTTAAAAAAAGAAACAATTCAACTAGTTAGAAGCCATAAAAGGGCCCAAGTAGTTCGCCTTACCCAGGGGCACCCCCTCCTTGCGCAGAATGGCATATGCAGTCTGGATATGGAAGAAGAAATTCGGCAAGGCGAAAGTAGTGATGTACGCTTCGCCCTTGAAAGTGAGCTCCTGCTGCGGACCGAGCTTCATCTCAATCACTTTATCCTCCTTGCCCGCAAAGACCGCCGCATCCACACTCTTGAGGACCTCGATGGTGCGCGCAATCCGTTCCTGCAGCTCCTCGAAGGTCGTCTCGGTGTCTGCCATGGGCACGGGCTCGGTGCCCGCGACCCGCACGAGCGTGTTCTTGGCCGTATCGCTGGCGCGTTGAACCTGGTAGGAGAGCGGCTTCATGTCTGCAATGAGCCGGGACTCGGCCAGCACGGAGGTCGAGAACTTCTTCTCCTCCGCGTACTCCTCGGCCGTCTTGAGGATGGTCGACAGCATCGTCAGCCCGTTGATGAAGACGGGGACGCTGTAGGTGTAGAGGGCGGACATGATGATGACTTGTTGTTTTTTTTTTTAGGATGAATAATTGATCCCGGCTCGATGTTTTCTGTTTCTCTGAGCTGATAATCGGCTTGGATGTTATTGTTTATCTGTTTTTGCTCAAGGGCGAGTCTTGATGTCGTCCTATTTATGGTTCCACTAACCCCGCTATGAGGCTTGATGATTAGAAATAAATCTCATAAACTACCGATGCATTACCAATCAAGCTTCCAATTCTTTCTATGTCCGTAGCACAGAGGCATTTTACTATTTTTTACTCAATTGAGCGGTCAGCGGGGTGTGTTTATTGTTAAATGGTCTTGAGGGTGAAAGATCTTGAAGGTCAGATGTTTGTTGACGATGTGGCATTTAATCAAAACGATCTCATATGAGTAAGGAAATGAGCCATAACTGTCGAATCAAACAGCATGAAAATGGGTATCAAAAATCCAAAGGACTAGCTGATTGTTAAGCATAAGAAAATAGCCGGTGCTAGTATTGCTCCCAGCTCGAAAAACCAGACGGTCTCCATTCCTGGCCAGGGTAAGCAGTGCTGGTCATCACAATCTCTTCACTCGAGTCATCAGCAGTAGCAGGAAGCTCGACGGGCGCTTCAGGCTCGTTGAGCGCCCGCGCTCCGGCCAGGTGAGAATGGGCTGCATCGCTGGGATCTTCTTCCTCCGGAATCGTTAGCGAGACGAGGGCATCAGACTCACTCAGTCGTGGCTTCGGAAAACCAGGCCCATCAATTGTTTGTTCTACTTTAGACGCCTGGGTACTGGTCTCAGTAGGAAGCGCGTCATTTTGCTGTCGCTCCTGACCCCCTAAATGCTGGCTTGGAGGTGTAGCAGGGAGGGCCCCTGGGTTGTGTGCAGGATCTGGGACTTCAATGCGTGGATATGGCTGTTCCGTAGGCGGTGGGGGTAATGGTTTGGGGTTCTGTGGTCGGAAACTCAGGGCATTGGCAATCTTTTGGCCCCGGGAGAAGGGAGCAGGAGGGCTGTTCGGAGACATGGCTGACAGAAGAGGCATACTGGCTCGACGAGGGTTTGGCTGAGGCTCAGACAACATAGGTTGTTGCGGGTGATTCACTGGTTGAGTAGCGACACGTTGCTGCAAGCGTTGCGGCACAGAAGATTGGCACATCGACATATCATTGTAGCCCATGCCGGCCTCCAGCTGTTTCTCCGTGGAGAAATGGCCAGAGGGCGGAACTTGTGTCGGTGGAGCATAGTATCCTTGAAGTGGAGGAGGCTGTCCCAGGAACGGGCCACTGTTGCTACGAGACCGTGGCTGGTGACCTTGAGAAGCGAAGGGGGGAGCTGGCGGCTGAGGAGAGGCCAATGGGTATGTGGTGGGTTGTGAATTCATCATCATAGGATAGCTCTGCGAGGGTGGTAGGCCCTTCGGAGGAGGAGCCGAAACAGGAGCCCCTGACGCATTTAGATGCTCTTGGGTGGTGGGCCGGTTGAAAATCCCCTGTTTCCAGGTTAGTAAGAGATGTATTTTCAATGCAAAAAAAGATTTCAGGGAGAGACAAAGCACAAGACATACACTGAATCGTCCCAGACCCTTTTTCTTCTGTCCGTTTTTGGAAGTAGTCGGAGTTGGGGCACTGCCCAGGGAGATACGATGCAGCTTGCTGATATTCTTCAGCTTTCCCATCGCCGACGTGGCCCGCTGCGAGACCGGTTGTTCCGAGCGAGTGACTGGCGTCGCAATTGCGTCCACCAGCTCGATCCTAGATGTATTCGCGTGGACGCGAGTACTGTCGGCACTCTGAACGCTATCTGAATGAGGACTACTGCCGCCTGGGGGCAAAGGGCCGCCCTGAGTGCCTGTAGTGGTTGGAGTATTGTGCTTGGGAGAATTTTGCCATGCATTATCGCGGTCACTCCTTTGAGCAGGCGTATGTGCGTCTGTCCCCAGCCCTTGAATGCCGAGGGGAGACTGCCGATGATTCCAGTCACCCGGGTCCGATGGCAGGGAGACTTGGGTCATGCTGAACCGTCGGAGCGAGTCGTCGTACGCCGAATCTGCAGACTGTCTAGACTGGAGATCTGATATACTCGAGCTCTGGGGCCTATGTTGCTGCCTGCCTCTCACGGTCCCCAAGGATGAGATTGACGGTACCTGGTGCAACGAAGGATTCAGCGGCGATGGCTTTGGAGGACTGTATTGTCTCAAATATGCTTGGGGCGGCGCCTGAGCTGGACGCGTCAATTGAAGTTTCGGAGGTGTGGGAGAAGGTGGTGCTCGTCCATTCTGATTGCCACTCTTGTTATCGTCATTGATGGCAGATAGATAGAAGCGTCTTGTTGAGGGTACCGTTAGGGCATTCTTCGGGCCTATAGGGGTAGTGATCGTCTTTGAAGGTAGAGACGATGGATTTGTAATTCGTTCTTCTTGGGTAGTATCTTTGGTCTGGATAGGGTTGGAAAGTAGATGATGATCGACACCTTCGCTCACGGTACCATTGGCCTGATGTTCTTCATGTGATCCATTCAATTGCTCCTGTTCAACCTGGTTGGACCTCTCGTTGGGTGGCTTTTGGTCATAGTCGCTCTTCTCAGCGATGAGACCCTTCTCCGCGTTGAAGCCACTGTTATCGCTATTTGTCTCAAAAAGCCCATCCCCAGTACCCGTTGGCTGAGAGGTAACCTCATCGATGGAAATTTGCGAGAGCTTCGCAGTGTCAACCTTGTATTCCTCATCCTGATCTTCCCCATTGAGACAATCTGCTGGTAGATCAAATTCAGAGACCTGGAGAGAGATAGGGATGACCCGAGACAAAGACTCTGTGGCAGGGGCATCCGCCTGGGAATCGCTTAGATCCCTGGTCTGTGTTGATGCTTGGGTAGACTCTGTATCCACAAGGAGCCTGCCGCCTGGTTCTAGATCACCAGGGTCATGGACCCCGACCAAGACTGGCTCGGAATCGAGCAGCCGCAGAGCAGCGACCAGCTCTTCCCTTAGATCGGCGGCGTAAGAGAGATCATCTGTCGGTGACGACCGATCTAGGGCGGGAGGAGCAGCTGAGGGACCGGGTGGAACGGATGACGACTCCTGACGTCTTTCCCATCCCGAATCTTCGACAGTGCCAGCTGCAGTATTGCCCGTGGGCAGGTGCTGTTCGAGAGCCTCTTCCATATTGATGGACTGTTCAACAGCAAACGAACCGTCCGGTTCTGGATCTCTACTACCAGAACCAGCAACGGGCTCGAGACGATCCTTTGCAGAATTGCCATGGGCGCTCGGCCAGTCAAGGGTCTCGCTGGTTCCAGTTCGTTTGAAAATGGGCAAACTTGCAAAATGGAGAGAGCTTCGACGGGGACGATTCTTGCCGAGAGAGCTATCAGAATCCATGCCAGGTGTCACTGGGCGATCTGATATCTGCAGGCTCCTGCGAGCACCAGGAGAGGATGACAAGACCTACAGAATTACCACCGCATTAGAAAGCAAAACTATCACGAAAAGCAGCAGAAGCAGCAAATAGACGATGAGAAGCGTGAGAGAAAAATGGAGAGAGAACATCAGTCATGTCACATTTTGAGATGCACTGCTCATTACACTCTTGGTTGGTATCACATAAGTTTCATCAAAACGGAAGAGCGACGAGAGTTGAAAAAAAAAAGACCCAAGAAACGCCCGCCTTCCCGGAGACAAAATAGCAGAAAAGAGACCGTGTCGTGCTTGACGTGTCCATGAAAGAGAGTTCAAGTATCTACCTTGTCGTTGCCCCCTCGAAATTTACTCTTGCCTTTTGCAAACAAGCCCTTGGCTGCTTCTCGGCCCTTGCCACCCAGTACGCCAGCCGTGTGCAAAAGCTCTTTGCCTCGCTGTTCCACATTCTGGCGGTTCATCATCGCCCCAAGGGGCGCAGAGGAGCGCCGAACATGCCCGGGGCTTGAAGATGAACCGTCCTGAAGGGAGGTGAAATTGCTAAGAGAGGGCAACTTGGGAAATTTGGGTTTTGCCGTGGTTGGCCGGTATGCCGAAGTGGAGGCATTCTGGCTTTGTTCAATCACGTCTGCATATTCGGGGTAAGCTTCTAGCATCGATTGAATCCAGTCGTTTAAGCCGGTATCGGTCGCGGCGAATTGCCCACGAGTGCGATCAAAAGCTCGTACTCGTTCTTCCGAAGACTGGATACCAACAATGTCTCGGAAGCCCAAGATGGTTGGCTCCTTGAGCGGCTTCTCAGAGATCGGAATAACCAACGGCGCCTGAGCTGGAACCTCGCGTTCTTGCTGTGGTTGGCTGCCATCCAGGTCCGCAGTGCCTCGTATATCTTTTGGATCTATTGCCTCTATAGTGGATTCATTTATAGGAGCAGGAGGCAAAATAGTCAGCTGGGGCTTTTCGCGAGTAGATGGCCGACTAGTGCTCTCATCACTGGTCGCGAACGCGACAGGTTTGAGGGATTCTCCGTCCGTCGTTGGGAAGTATGATGGTGCAACAGTGTTGTTTAACGAGGGATCAACTGACGGTGAAGTAGCAGCATTGTCAGGAACCGGCTCAGATGCTTCCGAACCACTCGATTCCCACGAAAACCGCCTCTCCAGCTTAGGGCGAGGAGCAGTTGACTGATCTGACTCTGTGGTAGGCGGCGGGATGGAGGGCAGAGATTTCGAATACAAGGGCGGAACATCATGTTTTTCTGCATCTGATGCCGAGTTGCCGCCTTGGTCTCCGGCAGTTCGTGCATCAAGCTCCGATTGTGGTCCTGGCTGGGGCTCATATGACGGGCTGTTCTCCCTACTCAAAGACATAATAATCTCCCGTCTTAGTCGGTCGTTCTCCGTATCCTGCGGCGAAGTATCCGTACTTATGGACTGCACAACAACCGGAACTTGATCATGAGCATTATCAGGATCAGGATCGGAAGAGACACTGCTGTTGAGCCTGAGCGGCGGTGGCAGATATATCTCAGAGGCACCCAAGTGTGGTTGTTGAGAACGCCCACGAGAGCTATACTCGCTGTCTACAGGAAGCTCTGGCTTTGTCAGCTCATGGCCCTGTTGCAGAGAGCTTTCGTGACCATCTTGAGGCGGAAGTCCTGGAGTAGCCAAGTCGACCACGGCAAGTTCGGACTGATGTGACTTCTCTGACTCCGTAATAACGGGACGTCTGGAGGGGCTATTTTCGGAGCTTGGTAGGCTCAAGTCTCGACGATGGCCCGGCTTGAAGTCTGCCAGAGCATTCCCTATCTCTCCAGGCTCCTCCGGGATGGTTGGTGTTTTATCGTCACTGAACCCACGATGACCAATGATAGGACTGATTATCGAAGTACCGTCACTATTAGACCGGACGACGCTTTCGGTGGTGGATGTCGGAGTTTGAGCATCAAAGGCCTGGTGCACCACGGAACGAAACCCAGATGATGATCTGTGGTGAAGTTCTCCTGACTCCTCCAAGGGCTGTGGCTCTGTGGTTGTTGATGTCTGGGCATTCGAACCAGTATTTCCAAAGAAGTCCGCACTAAAACTTCCCAGTGGTTGGACCGGCGGTAGAGAAACAGATGGAGTTCCTAGGGTAGGGGCATCACGCGCCACATTCTGTACCGCTTTCTCGCTTTCCCCCCCACCGATGCTAGGGGAGGGCTCAACCAATGACTGCTGCAACGGGGAGCCTCCTAACACCATCGTGTCTTGTACAGGCAGAGCGACGGGTGGGGGAGGAGCCTGGGGCTCGATTCCCGGACCACTAGGCTGATCTACAGCCGGGAAATCCGACACTGGTTGACTAGACTGTGAGGCAGAGCTGTTCTGCCTTTCCTTCTCTTCCCGCATCCTCTTATAGATATCTGCTGGCCGTATGAATGGCAGTGGTTTGGTGTCCCTGGACTCCGCCAAACTTTCTGCTTCTGCTGATTGACTTCTACCTCCACGATCCTCAACTTTCAAGGTAGAGCCGATGTGATCGAAAGAACGTGAGCGGTCCATAGCCGACATGGGAGCCGGGCGGCCCAGAATTTGGGAGGGCAATGGTAGAGTGGAGGAGCGGGGTGGATGGCTCATGGCAGAGGCCGGGGCAGTTGCATTCGAACTGGTAGGACCTATCGCAGGAACGGGGGGAGCTGGCGGATCATTGTCGTACTCATCATACTCATCGTCACCCCAATCGTTTCCATCGTACGAGTACTTCTTTGCCTCCACCCAGCGTTTCGTCTTGGCGCGGTTCACATTCGTCTTAAATGATATCGGTTTGCCGCCGTTAGGGCTCTCGGACCGCTGGTTGTCCATGTTTGTCCGGCTGTATAATCCATAGACCATTAGAAAACACCGATTGAACAAGAACTGCAAGCCTGCCACACTCACAGATCATTTGCTTGGAAAGGACTGGCCATTGTTCCAGCAAAGCATTGGACTCAAATGCGACTGCCGTGTACCACTTAACTTCGAGCCCGTGGGAACGCGGCAGAGGCCCTCCGATGAGTAGAAATGCCTCAATAAAGATAAATGTAGATAATTAAAAAAATAAAATCAAGGGCGGTTATATATGAACAAAACCGATGTCTTCGGGGCGGGTAGGTTGCGCAGGGCACCCTTACGTAGATGGTCTCAATCCCGTCACCAAGGGTGGCGTGAGAGCTTAACCTTGGGACTAGAAAAAGGTAAGATTAGGTGGTAATCTAAGAAGTCACCGCCGAAATGGACATCAGGAACCAGGAAAGATTGACGGCCACAGCTCCGTCGGGTTATAAAGCAACGGGGAGAGAGGGAGAGAGGGTTGGGGATAATGACGATGCCTGTAGGGAGGAAGCGACAACGGCAGGTGGTCAGTCTGGCCCCCTGAGAGCCTGAGGCGCCCAAAGTTACACGCTCGTACCGTATGTACCACGATACGTATGGAGCCCGTAAGCCCTAAGCCCGTAAGCTTACGAGCGCAAAGTAAGCGCTTAGCGCATGCCACTAAGCCCAAGACGGCAGAGGCTGTGTGGCTGGTGCGCCGCTGTCACGTGGAGATAGTAACACTAGGCCCTTTTCGGCGTTGCCAGTCACGGACGAAAGCGGGTTGGGGGCCGGGGCAAGTGAGCGAATGTCCAAGTTTATCTCCTCCTTGCCAACAGCCAGCCATCCTGCTTGGTGCCGAAGCGATGATACCCCCGTGAACTCGATTCACCAGCGATTCCCAAGACGATCCGATCCCTTCCTGTTATTTCCTCCAGAATAAGTGTGCCTCTGCTCTTTTACCGCTCCGTCAGAGCACCGGACACGTCGCCATTCGCCTTCGTCCTCTTCTCCCCCCCCTTATCGATTAACCACCAGCCAGCCATCGCCGGCGCGCTGTTTTGTTTACGGTGCATCGGGAGAGTCACTCGCTGATATCGGCTTCAATCTCCGGACGACGCTACTGCACGCTCGTTTTTCCTTCTTTGTTTTCTTATTTTTCGCCTCAAGCAGAAGGGAGATTACCACAGAATGACCGGCCCGTCGATCCAGGACCGCACGGTCGAATTCCACGCCATTTTGGGCCAGGCCCAGAAGCGCCTCGCCACATCGAAAGTCGGATCACAACGTCAGGCATTGTTGTCCGATAGCCAGCGGAGGGAGGCGAATGTGCCAGCGCCAGGAGACAGAAAGGCCGCTCGGTCGGAATTTGCCAAACGGGCGGCGGAAATCGGACGCGGGATCACCACCACAACTGCAAAATTACAGCGACTGGCAGAGTGTAGGACACATCTAGCTCCCCGTTAGTGCAAGGACAATCAACTGACAGAGATATATGCTACAGTGGCGAAGCGCAAAACCCTCTTTGACGACCGACCAGTGGAGATCTCCGAGCTGACCTACGTGATCAAACAAGATCTGGCATCGTTGAACACGCAGATCGCCTCGCTGCAGGCTCTGACCCTCTCACAGCACCCGAAGTCGAATCGGTCGAAGACGGATCAGGAGGGAGAACACAATGATAACGTATGTTCGGGACTTGTCTTTTCTCTGTCGTTATTTGGGTGTACTGACATTATACTTCAGGTGGTGGTAATGTTACAAGGCAAGCTGGCCGATGTGGGCGCCAACTTTAAAGAAGTGCTCGAGGTGCGAACGAAGAACATCCAGGCGTCGCGGACGCGGACAGAGAACTTTGTATCGTCGGTGTCGTCGAAATCGCAGGCTGCGCTCGACCCGCAACGATCGGATTCGCCGCTGTACAACACCTCCGGACGGCGGACGCCGCAACCGGGATTCCATGGCAGCGCATCAGATGTGCTGAGCCTGGAGCCGTCGAACCCATCGCCACTGGGCCGCCCAGCGATCCACTCGGACCAGCAGCTGTTGGTAATGGAGGAGGCGCAGTCGGGCAACACATACATCCAGGCGCGTGGGGAGGCAATCGAGGCCATTGAGCGCACGATCAACGAGTTGGGCGGTATCTTCGGCCAGCTGGCGCAGATGGTCAGCGAGCAGTCGGAGATGATCCAGCGCATCGACGCCAACACCGAGGACATCGTCGACAACGTCGAGGGCGCGCAGCGCGAACTGCTCAAATACTGGAGCCGGGTCTCGGGGAACCGGTGGCTGATTGCGAAGATGTTTGGAGTTTTGATGGTAAGTTTTCTTTTTTCATGTTTCCTGGATATTTAATGTTTTTTTTTTTTTTCTTTATGCTAACGAGAGCAGATTTTCTTCCTTCTTTGGGTGTTGATATCTGGATAATGACGCCTTGGATCCGTTTCTGATGTACCATATTTAATCACTGCGGCGACGCAGTCCCCCATACTTTTTTTTCTTCTCATTCTTTTCCCTTTTTTCTTCTTTGCCTCTGTCTTTTTCTTGTCTTATGAGTCACTACACTACGCTTGCTGAGTACATAGCATGCATGATAGAATATGACTGTCAGGCGATCAGCTTTACGAACCTGGACCTTATCTAGGCAGAAGAAATAACTATATGGAAGAACGTCATGACTAGTTTTGAAGAGTACTGCATTGTTGAGTACCCGGGTGAGAGAGGAGTGCTGTCTAAAGCTATCCTGCACATTAATATATAGGAGGGTGCAGTATGTGCTGTCTATGACGGGAGAACGGAAAGGGAGGGAGAAAGGAGAGAGAGGTCAAGATTCAATCAACCTTCGAAAACGGAATGGTTGAGTTCGACCCCCATCTCTTTAGCCATATGGTGCATGGAGGCCTCGATGTCGTCTTCCATGCCGCCGCCGAGATGAAGCAGCTGGCGCAGCTTGGTGAAGTAGAAGAAGATGTCGGAGGAGAAGAGCACGAGACGGAAGAGACAGTGGCGGCCTAGGTTGACCACCTTCTCGGACAAGGGCAGGTCTGGCGACTCGACGAGGGCGCGCGAAGCCCAGATGCCTGTGATCTTGATGCGGTTGACGGGCGAGCCCAAGAACTGGTTGTTGCCCTGGACGATGCGCAGATTGCGGCCGATGAAGATCAGCTCGCGCGGCCACTTGTTTTCGTCGCCGAGGATTTCGCGGACCGCCTGGCGCGCGGCCTGCTGCATCTCGTAGGAGCGCTGGGCCCGCTCCCGCTGCGACAGGCCGCGCAGGCTCTGCTGCGTCGACCGGTCGCCGCCTGCGTAGGGCCGCAGCAGCGTCGCCGAGGCGAAGAAGTCGGCGTTGGTCACCCCCCACCCGGCGACAATCTCCTTGATCGTCCGGTTGTCAAAGGTCATCAGCGCCTTCCAGAAGCGCGCGTAGTCGTGCCGGAAGCCCGTCTCCATCTGGATGTACAGCCCGTGGTCGATCAGGACGAGCTCCGAGTGGCCCGACGGCCGCCGCCGGATGAAGATGTTGCCCGGGTGCGGATCGCAGTGCACGTACCCCCATAGAAACATCTGCGCGGAGAACAGGTCCACCATGGTGCCCATGACTTCCTTCAGCGACAGGCCCAGCCCGCCGCGGTTCTTCCATCCGCGCCAGTGGTTGCGTTCCGGCTTGAGCTCCACAGCGCCCGGGTGGCGTGCCGCCAGCTCGAGGGGACTAGGTGTGCCGGGAGGATCGAGCGGTGTTCCCTGGCACCCAGGGCTGCCCTCACGCCAGCCACCGCGCCATTCGCGTGTGATCGCCTCCTTATCCCATAGCCGGACGCCCTCGATCCATTCCGAGGTCATCACCCGTCTCGAGCTGAGCTCGCGGTACACCTTAGGGATATACACACGATCCCGGAGCCGCGGCTCTCCAGCCACCAGGCGGGCCATGTTTTCCGCGTTGTCGGCCTCGTTGACAAAGTCCGTCTCCAGGTACAACCTCTCGCTGACGTAGGGCACTAGGGTGTAGAAGGGAATATCAAACGACTTGCTGTAGATCCACGAGACGATTCTGAAAGGTCAGAATGGGAAAATTTATAGATAGATAGAAGAAAAGAAAGGAGTAATGCTCACTTGAAAGCCCACAGATCCCATTGGATCTGTTGAGCGATCTCGCGCTTCTGGATCTTGATGGCAACCTCACGGCCGTCGGCCAGCCGGGCCCAGTGAACCTGGGCGACACTGGCGCTGGCTCTCGCCTTGCGCTCCATGATACCCTTCTCCGGGTCGCCAGTGAATGAGACCCCAAAGACCTCCTCGGGAGACCGGCCAAAGTCCTCGCGGATGACACGCTCGGCCTCCTTCCAGTCGTTCTGCGGGGCGTCATCGAACATGCGGGCAAACATCTTTTGAAACTCCGGGGGCAGGATTGCTGACTGCATAGCAATCGCCTGGCCGATCTTCAGGTACAGACCGCCATTGATACGCAGCAGGTCGGACAGCCGCTCGGCATTTCGGGCGTGCACTGCGGCAATGGAGGAAGCCAGCGGCGGGTCCGGACGGAAGTTGATCTTGTAGTCAAGCGCGACGAGGAGTCCAACGGCAAAAGTCCGCACGGTACGGGTCACACTCGCGGCGTAGAACTGGTTATCAACGGCGTAGACGACCCCCGTGGCCATCGAGAGGTAGAAGAGCCGGCGTAGCCATCGGCTGGTACGCGGGTATGTCTTGGCCGGTGTTGGCTTGCCCAACTCGGCGGGTGAGGGCGGAACGAACGGCTGGAACTCATTCGGATGGACAAATCGACGTAGCGATGGTCTCACGAGCGGTCTCCGAGACGAAAAAGCAGTCGGTCGTCGACAGCGAAGCAGCTGTGACGCCATGGAGGGAGGGGGGAGAAGGAGTGAGAGGCGACAAGATCACGCGCGTTGCATACCACCGAAACAAAGGAGAGGAGTGTTGTATTCAAGACAGACAGAGGGCCAGAGCTAGGCTGGATCAATGAGAGGCATAGGCTTTGGTTGAGAAGAAGGAAACTTCTGATGGGAGAAGTGAGATTTTGAAGTGAGACGGAGATGGAGATGGAGATAAGCAGAGGAGTTGTCGTCATTTTCGAAGCCCGCGGAGTCCGCGGAGGGCGTATTGTAATGCTGTAATATTACCTACACGATGAAGTTTGAGAATGAGAACATTCAATTATTATATGAGTTCGCCTCTATATAGATCAATGGGATTGATAGGAAGACTGTTTTATGTCTACTATGGAGACAATCAATGGTGGTAATGAAATAGATCTACATGGTCGTCTACTGAGTACTTTCTACTACAGTATTTGATGAAACAATAATTAATACCTTGGTTCAATAGTTGAAAAATCTCAGTGGTCTTTAATTACCTAGCTATTGATTGTAATATGATAGATGATAGTAACTGAATCATGTATACGTTTGCTCCTCTCATGATCGTAGTATATGATCCAAGCCTGCTCAGAGATCAAATGCAATGATATTTCTCGATATACGTAGCGCCAGGCAACCGTCACAGCACATACCGAAACCCAGCTGCCTTCTGAGCGTCAGTCGGTCCGTGACGTCCCGTGTCTAGTCCGTGGTCCAGCTTGTAGTTCTGGCGTCGCAGGTAAATCCTGGTCACCGTTGCGAGGATAATGGCCAGCACTGCCGCGGCGAGGTTAACCAGGAATGCAGCCAGATACCGAGGCGAGGAGTAATAGAGATACGAGGTCCAGACTGGAGATCACCAGTTTAGCAAAAAAGGAGGATCTGCGTTCAGCGCAGGATTCTCAACTTACTGTTCGGAGTGTTGCAGACGGCGTTTATCAGAGCGAGGGCGGTGGCCCGCTTGATCGAGGGCTGTGAGAGGGATCCGGCTGCCCACGAGAGAACAGCAACCGTGCTTCCATAGAAGGAAGACGGCATAAGCATCATGGCAAAATCTTGGAGAAAACCTAGTTAGATCCGGTTTTCATAGAGTTCAAATAAGGCTATTGCTCACATCTTGCAGCGGTATTAAGAGTGGACACAGCAATGATGTTCGCGACAACGCAAACCACCATTGGACAGACGATGTGGAGATATCGCTCTTGTTTCTAGTCCCAGGTAAGTAAATGGGAGATACCACCATAGCTATACATATCTACATAAGAAAACACACATACCTTGTCAGAATGAAATCCGTTGATAATCATGACAATGACACAAAGCACAGGGGGGCTGAGGATCACATTGTTAGAAATCAGAAACAAGAGGGGGGTCTAGCACGTCGCTCCGGTACGCACCGCAGTAAGGCCATAAGTTTGGTTCCTGGAGTACCCCAGGGTTCCGACCACTGTTGGAAAGAAGTTGGTGACTGCAGCTGCAATATAGACCTGCAAATTTCAGCTATAGGCCCTAGGGATACAGCCCGATTAAGTCATAGGGTCTCACGTACCGCATACAAAGTTCCCATAATCATCCAGGTCTTTGGATCAGTCACTGCCATGATGAATCCTTTCCAGGCGCTAGCTTCGCTGGCATCGTCTTGCTGGCCTTGATCCTTCTTGAAGTTCCATTGAAGAAACTCTTTCTCCAGTGTAGTGAAGCCGGAAAGGGAGTGTAAGGAGTTTGGAAGCAACAATGCAATGATCAAGGCTAGACCAACGGTGGCAGCCCCTTCAACGATGAAAAGCTACCAAGCAATAAGTATGGTGGGTGGACGGCCAACCTGGCAAAATGGGCTATTGCACTCACCCATCGCCAGCCTTCCAGGCCATGCACTCCGTCTAGCTGCAGGATTCCAATGGCACACAATCCGCCGAAAGCATTTCCCAGCTGAGATCCAGAGTAGAGAATAGCGGTGCGAAGAGCATATTGCTTCCTGTTGTAAAAGAGCGAGAGGTAGAAGATAGCTCCCGGGAAGAAGACTGCTTCCACGAATCCAAGAAAGAAACGGGTTACTAGAATGCCTTCAAAATTCTGGGCTGTAGAGACACAAGCTGAGATCACGCCCCAAACTGCCATGGCGACACAGATATAGATGCCTGGCCAACGGATCTTGCCCAACATGATGTTGGAAGGAACCTGCATAAGAACTGAGGAGGGTTGGCTCAATTTCTCGCTTCAAATTTCTTCAGAGCCAGTCTCAACACTTACTGTAACCAGCAAACAAAACACTGATGCACGTCTGATACTGCACGTCAGACAGACCCAGATCCTCCGTGATGCCGGCCAGCTTCGCCGAGGCAATGTTCTGCCGGTCGAGGTAGTTCATGATGAACATGATGACCATTCCAGGCATGATCCGAGCATCCAGCTTCATGGTTGCCCGGCGGCCAACAGCACTGTACTCCGCCTCGGACAGCGCTGCCAGTGAGGCAGGCATGTCGAGAAGATCTGCGTCATCCCCAACAACCTTCCCCTTGACGGATTCCACCTCCTGCATGCTTCTTTTATCGTCGGTGGCCATGGCTACTTGGTGGCTAGCAGAGCTACTTCCAACACCGCAGATCTGTGGACAAGAAGCAGCAATTGTCAGCTCGAAGGCTCCAGACAGGGTGGCTCGCCATCGCTCTTATATACACGATACAGTCGACGATTGCTACCCCACGCGTAGCCAGCCCCCACGGACTTATACCGATGGTCAAATGTCGGGATCTCCATCCATTTCTGGAGTTTGGAGCCCCGTAACCTTTGCCGTGGGGGCGAAATCCGTGGAGAATTTTCGACTCCATAGACGCCCCTGGGGTGGACTCGGTATAGAAATCCGGGAAAAACAAAAGAGCCACCCGAACACTTACCGGCACCATATCATCCGGCTGCCCTCCCGCCCACGCAGTGTTCATCGAACCCTCCATACAGCAGCATCCCATCACTCGATCCACGACCTCCTCCTGCTCCTCCTCATCGCTCTGCACGCTTGCCATCGACGTAGCAGCCAGACACGACTCTGCTGGTGGAGAGAACAAGGAAAGTCCCTGTTTTTCAATAGCCACCTCCTTCAATAGCCGACAGGACAAGGCCCCGGGCAGACGTGGACGTGGACTGGACTGGACTGAGAGACGCGGCAGGAGCGGGGACAGGGCATTTGCGGATTTCCCTTTTCGGAAAGATTGGAGCTTACCTCAGCAGTCCCTATCTTATCACGTGCAATGATTGGTTGTCTCGTGATCGCACCAGTTCCGCCATTCTTATGTAAGCGGCACCTGCCCACGATGACCCTCAGCGTTGGCGTCAACTTCACTCTGTGGCACGGCGTGGACCGAACTACGCCAGTGGATCAAAGATGGCGTTGCTTGGCCTGGTAGAAGTCGACTCTCTTGAGGCTCTCATCATCGTTGACAATGAGCTTGATCCCATGTCGCCTGCTGCCCCAGACACCGTCCAGCTGTCCGGGGGCATGGGCACGCTGGGGATGTGTTCTCCGCACGATCTACACGATAGGGGAGAGGCAGTTAAGGAGTTGAGGATGTCAGATATCTGCTGTTCGGCGCATGGGCTATCGGTTCTTGTGGTATGTCAGATGAAGAAAGGGTAAATCGGTCTGGACTGAAGCACTGTCTATTAGACGGCCACGAAAGGGAATGTGAAACATTCTATCTTGTTCGATGCAGGGCCTGAGGAGGAGGTCTGGGCAAAGAATGTGGCCCGGTTGCGACCAGATCTGGCATCAGTGGAGCTTATTCAACTCTCGCACTGGCATCGAGACCATTCAGGCAGGTTCCGGCACATAAAACAAGCTGGAACCTCCAACTGCGAGCTAACTCGTTGATCTCGGCTTTCCAGGTGGCCTCCTCCGCGCAATACGTATGATCCAAGATGCAAAAGCTGCCCGGGGTGCTTCTCACCATCTGACCCTCGACTTGCACCCGGCCAGACCCGACTACCGCGGTTTCATGCTTGGTGAGAAAATCATCTCACTCGAAGCAGATCCATCCTTTGACGATTTGGCTGCCGCGGGGGCGACCATCGACAAGCATGATGAGGTTCACACTGTGCTTGACGGTTTTTTCCTCATTTCAGGCGAGGTCCCGCGAGTCACACCGTTTGAGAAAGGATTAAAGGGAGCAATGAGGTACAATGGCCAAGAGGACGAATGGTATTCCGACGAGGCAATTGCAGACGAAAGGTTTCTCATGTGCAATCTGAAAGGTATGGAACCCTTGTTTGAAGGGAGAGAAAGGACACAGAGCCCTAACACTTGATGGGTTTAGGAAAAGGTATTGTTATGTTCACAGGCTGCGGCCATGCCGGAGTCGTAAACTCGGCAAAGCATGCAATTGAACTAGCCAACAAGTCGATGCCGCTCCATGCGGTCGTAGGTGGCTTCCACCTGGCAACAAGTGAGCCACAGCAGGTAGATAGTACGGTTCGGGCGCTGAAAAAGCTGGACCCTGCAGTGCTCCTGCCTGGTCATTGCTCAGGTTGGAGGGTCAAATTTGCGATCGAGAGACAAATTCCCGGGACCCTGGTTCCCTGTACCGTGGGAATGAGAATCACATTCTAACCTCGTGTTCTGTTCTGACTGTGCTCTACCTTTTGCAATATGATGCTTTTTGCGGGGTTCTCCACAGTCATCACCGCGCAGATCTTCGTCGCGCCAATCAAACCTGTTGCGAGGATAGATGACTGAAAACGCTAACTGGCGCCTCGGTCGAGGCCATGGTTCACATGTCCGAGCAGGATGATAGAGACCCTTGATCCAAAAAGGACGTGATTCCCTGAACCTTAGGACCGACGATTATTGACCATAGCTGTATTGCCAAGTCCTCCAAGGAGACACCAGCCATGTCTGTCATATTATGTCTGCTACTCACGCCGGTTCTTGCATCGATTGCACTGATTCTATTGATCGTCATCGTTCGGTCCGTGAGGTGCTTTCTCTATGATCTCCAGGTGAGACGTCGTGGGGGCATCCATGCGCCCCGATTGCCTAGTGGTCCAGTAGCAGGTAGATAATACTACCATTTCTTTTCCACTAAGAGGGCTATGTACTAGTTACAATGCCATATGCTGACAATCAAAGCTTTTCAAACGCTTGCCAGTGCTGCAAAAGCACAGAGTGAGAATCGCCTGCTTGAATACTTCAATGACCTCTTCCGACATGCAACAGATGCCTCACCCAACTGTGTTGAGGTCAATTTGGCTGGCGGATGGCGTTCATTCTTCACCCGCGACCCCGAGCATGTCAAAGCGGTTCTGACAGGCAACTTTGCGAGCTATGGGAAGGGCGAGATATTCCATGAGCTCTGGAGCCCCTTCTTAGGGGACAGCATCTTCACAACCGACGGTAAGCAATGGTCAAACAGTCGGCAGCTGATCCGGCCCATGTTCATCAAAGACCGGATCAGCGACCTGGAGATATTTGAGCGCAAGACGCAGACTATGATGAGCCTCTTTGCCTCACCGGGCGAAGCCTTTGACCTCATGGACCTGTTCTATCGTATGACTCTGGACGTCACGACTGAATTTCTGCTCGGTCGTGGCATCCACAGCCTGGAGAACCCTCAAGGGGAGTTTGTACACGCCTTCGCAGAGGTGCAGCGCATCCAGATGCTCCTCACCGTACTAGGGTATGGTTCTTTTACCCCTTTTTTTTTTATCTTAGTACACAGGCCCTTTCACTCACCATGTAAGACCCATTCAAGCATTTATTCCCCGCGGGGCGTACAAGCGCGGCATCAAGACAATCGACGACTTTGTGCTTCCATTTGTGCACAGCGCCCTGGCCCTTCCTGTGGACGAGCTTGAGAAGCTGAGCAAGTCAGAAAAGTCGTTCACGTTTCTGCACGCGCTGGCCCACTTCACGCGCGACCCGAAGGTGATCCGCGACCAAGTGGTCTCGGTACTCCTGGCAGGCCGGGACACGACGGCGGCTACGCTGTCATGGGCGTTCTACGAGCTGTCGCACTATCCAGGCATCTATGCCAAGCTGCGCGCCGAGATCCTATCGACGGTAGGCCCCTCACGCGCGCCGACGTACGAAGACCTCAAGAACATGCCTTACCTACGCCACACAGTCAACGAGACGCTGCGTCTCTACCCGGCTGTGCCGTATAACATCCGTTTCGCGCTGACGGACACGACGCTGCCCCATGGAGGCGGCCCTCACGGCGACCTCCCACTGACGGTGCTGCAGGGCGACGCAGTCATCTACTCGACGTACGCGATGCAGCGGCGGGCGGACCTATACCCAGCCGTGTCAGACAAGTTCGCGGACCCGGCCGTCTTCTCGCCGGAACGCTGGGAGACCTGGACACCCAAGGCGTGGCAGTACATCCCGTTCAATGGCGGGCCGCGCATCTGCATCGGACAGAACTTTGCGCTGGCGGAGATCGCGTACACGATGGTGCGTATCCTGCAGAAGTACGAGCGACTGGAGTATGCAGGCGACTGGGAGGCACAGTTCCACAAGGCGGAGATTGTCGGGACGCCAGGGAAGGGGGTGAACGTGAGGTTTAATCCATGATCCTAATCCATCAATGACATCATCACACCGTAACATTATATACCTAAGGTAGTTATATACCTACTTACCTAGTCATATACCTGGTTACCTAGTTACTATTTATCCTACCCAGACTTGACTGATAAGTGGCATCACGCTACAATGGAAACCTTTCCCCGCAGCACGCTGCTCGAACCCGCGCAATCGCTCTGCAACGCGTTCGCCTCGTCGGCGTCGCTGCCCACGCTGCTATCGCATTTCACCTCGAACCCGCTCCCCGTCGTGCACGAGCACGGGCTCAAGGGCCTCGCCCCGTTTCTCGGACGGAGTTTCACAGGAATAGACGGGGTAGCGCGGTACTTTGAGCTGATCGGACAACTGCTCGAGATCCAAGACATCCGCTTCGACGCTCTAGACGACTGGGTGGTTGATCCGGGCTCCTTGGTGGTCATGTTACGCGGGTACGCGAGGTTCAAGTGGCGGGAGACAGGACAGACGTGGGATGAAACGGTGTGTTATCGGATCGGCCTTGCTGAGGAAATCGTGACGTCCTCCATTTCAACTGCGTCTGGTTCGTCATCACCATCTTCCTCCAAGCTTAAAGTACAGGAGTATCGCGTGTGGGCGGATACCGGGGCGGCCTATCTGGCTCGGGTGGGGAGATTGGAGGAGGTGCAGGAGAAGGAGGCCCAGACGAGGAAGGAGATCGATAGACGGAAGAGCGGGTGTGGGGATGTAATTGGGGGGGGGTTGAAGTATTACGGGGGATGCAAATAGAGATGAATTAAGTAGCATAAGAAGTGGGCATTTGCAGCACATAATTCTAATTCCAAGGACTAGTGTCAATCCAGGCGGTGTTGCCAAACTCTCCCTCTGGGGTCTGGAAAACCTTGGCCGGCGTGCTATACGGCTCGTACTCTTCATCCGTCATGATTTCGTCGAGTCCCCCCTCGATGCGGCCGGTGAGGTTGAAGCCAGGCCCGTACGCCTTGTACTCGGCGAAGAGGGTGTGGTTGTTGTAGCGGTAGACCCCGTCGTCAAGCCAGTTGATGTAGCCGGTGGAGATGATGCTGGCGTCCTCGTACGTGCGGGCGAAGATGGTCCGGTCCAGGCTGTTCCAGGGGCGGCCCAGAGCACACTGGCCGACGATCTCTGTCGCGACAGAGGCGTTGGCGGCGGTCACTCGCGAGTCGACAATGTAGATCCCGTACTTGTTCTCAAAGGTCGTGTTGTAGCCCTTCCATGCTGTGATGCCGCCGCCGCACCCGCGCAGCAGGATCTGCGACGACTGCACCCACGCAGTGCCGAACCCGTAGAAGAAGTCTGTCTGGCCTGCAATGATGCTCTCGTAGAAGTACGCATTGCCCAGTTTACCAATGTAGACCTGAAACGACTTGATGAGAAAAAGTAAAAGAAAGAAAGACAGAAACAGAAACGTACTGTATCCTGGTAAGAGTAGAAGCCGCAGTAGTAGAAGCCGCCGTTGGAGCGACTGAAGCTGATGGCCAGCGCGGGTCCAGCAGAGTAATTTGCATAGATGTTCTGCAGGTTGATGTTGTACATGCGGAAATCCTTGTTGCCAAAGGGGGTGTCGTCGGGGACGTCGAAGCCCGTGACGCCGGAGCCCGTCAGACTGGCGTCCAGGGTGGGCGAGACGGTCAGCGTGCTGGTGTATTCGTCGTCCGGGTAGTTGTCATCGCCGTCGGCCGCCGCCCAGATGAGATTGACCGTGTTCTTGGAGGCGTCGGTGAGATCGTCCGTCTGGCCCAGCAGGGTGACGGGTCCCGGGCGGGTGATGTTGACCTGCTCGGTGTAGTCACCAGTCAAGATGAGGATGACCTGCGAGCTGTTGTCGTTGGGCAGGGAGTCGATCGCCCCCTGCACGGTGGAGAAGTCGGCCTTGGGGTGCGACTTGGAGGAGACGACGATAGTCCCCTTGGGGCAGTCCTTCAACTTGGTCTGGCACGACTCGCGCGACCAACTGGACGACGAGGACCCTCTCCCCTCCAGAAGGGAAGAAGGGGAGCCCAGGGCCGCGGACCACACAAGGGCCACATGGAACAGAAAAGCAGAGAAGAGGAGGAGAAGCTTCGTCATGTTGTATCGCCGTTGAGTATGCGGCTACCGTTCTTGCATCTTTCCCTTCCACACGAGAATATGGATCCCTCTCATTTATATTTCTCCCGTAGGATCAGGGAGGGGGAATCAAAGCAATCAATTCGTGCTTCCCCTCACTCTCCCCCATCGTGATTCCGGGGTTGGAAGAATTGTGGGGAGAGAAAATTGCCGAAGATAGTACTCAATCCCATCTGGGGTATGGAGAGAAGCTTAAGCAGGTGAATTATAGGAGCAAGGGATCTGCAGGAGCAGAGATTCGCCGCCAATGACAGAGACCGAGTGTTCCTTATTCAAGATTGTCGCCGGCAAAATAGCAGACGTGCGTCGGAGAAATCGACTCCCACCTCTCAGACGACAGAGATGGGCTGCAGGCGAGGTTTTGCAACCATAGGATCCGGTGTTTGTTAAGTCAATCCATAAGTAGAGTGGTAGCTGAGTAGAGTCATAGCTTCTTCTCCGTACTCCGTCACTTGTACGGTGTCAGTTGCCAGTTGACAGTGACAATGTCACAATGGATTAGTTTATCACATGATGTCACATGCTTCATGAGTCATGTGATCATATATCACATGTCTATATCACATGATTCACATGACTAATCTATAACAATCAACCAAGTTATGTACGCACAACACTGCATAGGCTATAATCGTAGATCATGCCGTCTACTCCAGCCCATACTCTGTACTCCGGACTCGTAGAGAGCACCACTCCGGACTCGCGATGAACGACGGAACTAATCCGAACTATATTTAATTGAAACAAAGCTATTACCCGGGCTAGATCCTCCACGTCCTACCGAGGAAGCCAGTAGCTGGGGGGAACTTGAACCTGGGTAAGGTTTCCCATTCCCATCCCTGGAGATGAGGTGCAATCATTAATCTCCCGGTGAATCGAATCGGGAGCTGGCCGAGGGTGACGTAGCTGTCCTGCTACTGCTACTACTACTACATACGGAGTAGTTAGTATGGAATAGGTAGTATTACAATTTACTAGTAAGAGGGACTAGCTGGAATACAAGCACGAGCGTATTTTTCAGTGGGACCTGCGAGTGTGTGTTCCTGACATTAGGGCGAGGCTAGTTTAGCGACTTAAAAGGGGGCGGGGCTACTATTGATTATTGAGCATAGCTACAGAGCTATGAACTAACTATGCTATAGAGTAGACTGTTAACTATGTTAGGTAGCTAGGAATAGAGTACTCCGTAAACTACAAGCTAGAAGGGCAAAGCTACAAGCTACAAGCTACCAGGAAGAAAGAAAGATACTCCTCAACTAAATACCACTATTAATGACATACATACATGAGTAGAAGTGAAAAAGTGACTCTATCGACTTGGAACCCAGATATGAGTGAGAAAACAAGGTCTATAATACGTGGTAGTAAGAAAAAAAGTAACGGTGCTGCTGCCGGTCAACACAGCCCTGCATGCATGTGCCCCAAGTGATATGTCTGTTGTTGTTGTTGTGTGTGTGTGAGGATATGTATTAAGAATTGAAGGGGATTAAGAGGGAGAAAAAAAAAAGATTTGGTTTAAAAAAATTTAACAAACGCCGAATAAATCACCAAGGAAGCCACGGATTTACTCGTCGTCCTCGATCTGCTCGGCACGAGCACCCAGAGTGTACTTGGTCTTGCCGGTCGAGTCGGTCTCGAGCTCGATGGCCAGCTTGGACAGGTGGGCGATCATGTTCTCGATCTGGGTGTCGGCCTTGGAGCGGGTCTTGCGGCCAAGGTTGTCCAGAGCGGGGATGATGGTGAGCAGGTAGTACACACAGGCAATGATCACGGTGACACCGATGGAGTAGGCCCAGATGACAACGATGGTGACGATGTCGACGTGACCGTTGGTGGTGAAGTAGGCGGTATCCTTGGGGTCGGACTGGACGTAGGCACCGCCGGACAGCCAGCCAAAGGCGCAGAAGAGGGTGGCCAGCACGTCGACGACGAAGATGGCACCCACCAGCTGCCACGAGGGCCAGGTCTTGCCACCACGGGTGACGAAGATGAGCCAGTTCTCAGTCAGGGCGATCTCGAGGAACAGGATCTCCTGAGGGGAACCCCAGTTCTGGATGATACCACCGTTGGGCAGGAACATGGAGCCACGGACCACCCAGGTGGCGGCGGCGAGCAGGCAACCCAGGATGACGGAGATGACCCAGATCTTGGGCAGCTGCCACTCGACGGGGCGGGCCTCGAAGTGAGCGTTGTCGTAGGCGACGGCGATGGTGGCCAGATCAGCGAAAAGGGCAATGAAGACGATCAGGTCAGAGCGGACGGTCTCCTCGATGATGATCATGGAGGTAACGAGGTAGATCTCGAGGTGGAGACAGAGGGCGATACGGTACTGGATGTAGGCCTTCATACGCTGGAAGATCTGACGGGCCAGCTTGATGGCATCGACGATGGTGGACAGACCGGGGGCAAGGAAGACGATATCGGCGGCAGCCTGGGCAGCCTCGGTGGAACCCTCGACGGCAATACCGCAGTCAGCCTTCTTGAGAGAGGGGGCATCGTTGACACCGTCACCAGTCATGGCGGTCAAGTGACCACGCTGCTGGAGCATCTCGACGACCTGGTACTTGTGCTCGGGGAAGACTTCGGCGAAACCATCGGCCTTCTCGACGAGGTCGTGCTGGGCAGAGCCGGCGAGACCACCGTGGATGAGACGTTCGGAGTTGTAGACCTTGGTACCGAGAGCCAGCATCTTGCAGGTTTCCTTGGCGATGGCGATGGCATCACCAGTCAACATCTTGACGGAGAGACCGAGGTTCTGGGCCTCAGCGATGGTGTGGGCAGTGTCGTCACGGGGGGGGTCGAACATGGGGTACATGCCGAGCAATTGCCAGGGCTCACCCTCCTTCTGGACGGCGACACCGAGAGAACGGAAACCACGGCGAGCGAACTCACCAGCCTTGTCACGGTAGAGCTTGGCCTCCTCCTCGGAGCACTCGGACAGGTTGAGGATGGCCTTGGGGGCACCCTTGGCGCAGGTGTAGCGGACACCGTCACAGGTGCAGACGGTGGTGATGCGCTTGGAGACGGGGTCGAAGGGGGTGTACTTCTCGGTGATCCAGTTGCGGGCCAGGATCTCACGAGCCTTGGGGTAGCGGCGGAGGGTCAGGATGGTGACCTTGTCGATGGGGTCCAGGTTCTTGACGTTGTGGGACGAGGCGATGGCAGCGACGGCCATCATCCAGTTGACATCGACACCCTCGGCGACGTAGGGCTCACGGATGGACAGCTGGTTGGCAGTGAGGGTACCGGTCTTGTCGGAGCAGAGAATGTCAACACCAGCGAGGGACTCGATGGCAGTGAGCTTCTGGACGATGGCCTTCTGCTCGGCGAGGTAGGCAGCACCGACGGCCAGGGTGGTGGTGGTGACGACGGGGAGACCGACGGGGACACCGATGACCAGGAGAATCAGGGTGTAGCGCAGGAGGAAGTTCTCCGAGTTCTCGGGGGTGGCGATCTTGAGGTGACGGAAGAAACCACCGATCCAGGCAGCGAGAATCCAGAACATGACGAGAACCAGGAGGGAGGTACCAATGTTGTCCATGACAGCCTTGAAGTGACCAGAGTCCTTGGCACCCTGGACAAGGGCGGCAGTCTTTCCGACAAAGGAGTAGCGGGCGGTGGCGGTGACGATGGCGTAGGCCTTGCCACGCTTGCAACCAGTGGTGTAGTAGCAGGTGTCGCCCATGTACTTGTCAACGGCAAGAGATTCACCGGTGATGGCAGACTGGTCAACGGCGGTGAGAGAGACACCGGTGTGGGTCTCGAAGCCGTCATCCTCCTCGTCCTCCTTCTCCTTGAGGGTGTCATCGTTGGCGGTAGCAAGGAACTCCTTGTAGGCCTCGAACATCTCAGGCTTGTCGTAGTCGCAGATAAGACGAACATCGGCAGGAACGACGTGACCTTCCTCAATAATGACCTGAACAATTAGTACGATGGATGCATGCATGCAACCGCCGGAAGGGTGATTGGATTGGAGAGAGAGAAACTCACAATATCACCAGTAACGAGCTCACGAGCCAGGATCTCTTCCTCCTGACCATCACGAATAACCCAGGCCTTCATAGCGATATCACCCTTCAAGCTGGCGACGACATCGGCAGCCTGCTTCTCCTGGTACCAACCGACGACAGCGTTGAGGAGCAAGATACCAATGATGACACCGAAATCGATCCAGTCACGAAGACCGGCAGCGAGGAGAACAGCCAATTCCATAACTGCAGGGCAACCAGGTTAGCGGGACCAACCCAGGAACCCGGGAACGGGAAACCAAACGTACCATAGAGAATGGGACCACGGAAGTAACCGATGAACTGAACAAACAGGTTGGTCTTCTCGGTGACCAGCTCATTGTAACCGGTGCGCTTGCGACGGGGTTCGATATCAGCGGAACGAAGACCCTGACGGATGTCGGTCTCGAGCCACTCGTCGGGAGCAACAAAGCCCTCCTCGGTGTCGTCGCCCTTGCTGCCAAAGGGCCAGCAGCCACGGCCGCCCTTCTTGTGGCTCAAGCCTCCAGCGCTGGAGGTGGAACCACGGCGCTTGTCGCGGGCAGTCGAGATGTACCGGTTGAGAGCGGCGTACTCGTCGAGACCCGCGGCGTCGTTGACATCAGGCTGGGCGCGATGGTGGTCGCCATTTTCCACGTCGGGAGCGTAGGAGATTCTCCGCTCCGCCATTTTTGCTTCGGCTCACACAGCCTTTAGGAACCCAACGATGAGAGGCAAAGCAAAGAAAAAATGGCAGGAATGGCAAGAGTCGGATAATTCTCTTGGAAGGGAAAAGAAGAAGAGGGGATGGAAAGGGGGGGGGGATGGGAAGGTCTTTTAATATTGCTGGGTGGGTGAGTGCACGGGATGGGCTGTCTGTTGCTCCTAAGCTCTAACGGGCGACTTGCCCCGTCGTATCCGTCTTGTCTGTTCTCGGACTAGTCCACTTTTTTTTCCCTTTTTCGGGGGGGGGGAGATTTTTCGTCTTTTTTTTTTTCTCGTTTTCTCTTATTTTTTTTTTTTTTACCCCTACGGTCACTGTTGCCGGGAGCAGCCACTGACTAACCATTTTTTCCAGACGCCGTATGTAGTATGCCGGTCTCTCATTACTCAACCTTCTTTCGTGGGCGCCAAGTGGGCCGTCCCTTCCGTTTCTCGCCTAGTGCAAAGCCAATTGATTATTGCGGAAGAGAGCCAAAAGAAAAAAAAAAAATGAAAGTGAATTCGGCGCTAGACCTAATTTCCCATTATGAAAAAAAATTATTTCCTTTCGCTTCGCTAGCATTGGAGGGAATAGCCGGCATAAGCGTGCCGAGTTTCGCCTCTCCTACCTTCTCCGTGCTGGCAGTCCTCTTTACTAGGTACGAGGTACGTGCTGGCAGACTTCATCCGGGGGATCGAGCGGTCTCAGTGAAACATAGTGACCATACACATTACATAGATTACATAGATTACGCATATTACACATACCATACGCCCTCTCTATACTCTTTGTCTCACCATGCCGATAGCCAAGTAATTCCTGATTCCCTTGATTCAATTCTTGTTTCTGTGTCTGAAAATAAATAAGCAGAGCAAGTAGAGTAAAGCAAGTAGAGTAAGTAGGGTAGAGTAAGTAGAGTAAAAGTAGAGTAATAAGAAAGTAGAGCAAGTACCAGAACTAGTAAGGCAATACATGGCCCCCAGAATTGCCGCTCGCAGACGACGGTTTCTATGCGCGATTTTTCTGCTTCCTTCTGTCAATGTCGCGGCAGCCTTGAAGTGGAAGTCACTGGGAGGTACCGAGTACATCAATTGGATTCATTGTACACAATTATGATCCTCATTCATATACTTATTCATATACTTACTCATTCATAGACTATATACTTATTCATCTCATCTCTACCACTCAGTCATCAATAATACAATAGCGTCTATGTAGTAAGATTACTCTATCTCGATCCTCGCAAACACGATTCCACCTAATCAGATTGTTACCTGACTAAGACGCATGATGACATGGCGCACGTCCAGACTATCACAATTAACTCGCTAGTAGATACTTGCCTCACTCTCTAAGCACATACTCATAGTAGGACTATGGTCTGTAGGAGGGGAGATACTTACTACTCTCTAAGTACTACTACTCTCTAGGTACTACTACTACTCTCTACTACTCTCTACTACTCTCTAGTTACTCTATCTCCGTGGAGACCTACCCCTGGTTGGGGGTTCCCACCATAGCTTTTTCCAGTCTCCGTATCGCCTCACCCATGGTCGATCGACAAGTCGTGCCGCCAGTGACGAGGTGATCCTCAATTTCCCTGGCTGGTTGCCTCCACCACGTTAGTCCCGAACGAGGATTTCCCCCCCTCCCTCGTGGAGCATCAACCACGTCAAGAGCGTCATTTAATGGCCGACCGGGCCAGAAGACCTGAGAGTGGGCAGCCAATAAATGCAGAGATGGTGCGGACTGCCCGTTTCGCCTGTCGGAGAGCGACCATTTGTTTTGGGACGGCTGATCTTTGTATCTTAGTCAGTCTCAGTTATTTATTACCTTGTACTAAGCAGATATTCCGTAGAATTGCCGTAACCCGAGTCCATACGACTAACTACTAATAAGAGTCTACCTAGTACTCAGTACTAGGTGCAGAAGGGATAAAATCAGACAACTACTAGACAACTACGAGTATCATGCCACAACGATAATAGACAGTACAGAGACACCTACTCAGTCTACCTACCCGACCGACAGCAGTAACCACACCGTAAGATAATACCCCGGTCGTTCTTTTCCCCAGGATCGAGTAACATCACCTGCAGACGCAGCGCCCAGACCTGATCCGCACGGCCAGAGTTCAGTCATGACATCGGTGGTAGATTATGAGATCATTTATTTCAGGTATACTTGATGATATGATAGATATAGATATAGACATTAGATTTTATGATAGATATAGATTTTAGATATTATAGGTATTGACTACTAGGTACATCTACATAAGTACTACAGTATGGGTATTGCATTCCGTCCGTCTCCGAGTGGCTCTGGCACGACTTACCCGTTCGAGTTGGCCGGCGCTTTCCGCGGCTATACACAGTATACATATACAGTATTGGACAGGCTCCATTTAATAATAGCTTTCAGTTCGTAGTAACATGTAGTACAATAACAAGAGTAACTTACCTAGTTAGAGATCTGGGGTCGCAACGTCAGCCAAGGTCGATCATTGAGTAGACTGACTACCTGGAGTAACTCCTCCGTAGTAGACTCAACTACTACATGGTAGGTACAGTTGACTAGTTACTACATAACTAGGTAACTAATATCATCGATGTATGAGTAATATTATTTTTATTCTAGTATTCTACCTCTATAGTCTAATCTACCCCTTAACAGCTGTCGCGTGCCTTATCGCACGTTCTGGCTAGTAAGCAGCCCCAATACAATACGATACCGCCCGGAGTATGGCACTATCAGGTAGTTATCTAGGGAATAAGAAAGAATAGAATTGGATAATAATAATAGTAATGGAATTCCCTCATCCTCCTACCACTGTGGGGGATCTACTGCAGGAAAAACCCGGAGAGTGTGAGCACATACTCCGTCCGGCCAGCGACAAGTGCGGGATAGGAGGATTCGACCGACTTCACTCACCGACTCACCCCGACGGGCAGAGACTAATACCTTAAATCCAGGTACGGACTACGGACTACGGACTACCTAACGGAGTAACTACCTAGGGACGGTACCTAGTATGAGGCATATACGGTCTGGATCCGAAGGACGGCAGACAGCGGCAATAATACGGAGAGACCACGGACAGTCGGAGACACCACGGAGCACTCCAGAGGGTAATGAGCGTAGTAATACCGAACACGCAGTAGGTGCATATGCAACTGAGAAAAAAAAATATGCAGTGTCCACTGTCCACTGTCCACTGTCCATGTCTTGTCCACCCACAACCGCTTGCCACTGTCCACCTGTCCACTGCCACGCTTCTCGACGTTTTCTAGAAGCCTTGCCCCGACCGAGCCGTGGATCGCACGAGTGAGTTTTCGCGGGCCACAACCGACGTCGGCTGTCAATTGACAATAATTGACAATAATGATAATAATAATAATGATAATAATAATATATGTAATGTTTAATGAAAGTGATAAGATAATATAATATAATATGATAGACTATAGTGTTGTGGTCTTTAGATGGACATCCTCGTAAAACATCTTTCGGATTCTCTCGTCTTCCACGTCACTCCGGAGGTCCGAGGCGGGAAATGTCGGAGTTACCGGATTCGTCTATAATACGACTAATACATTCACTGTGTTTCTCCGTACCATTAGGTAGTGTCCTCCGTACCATACCTACCTAGTGTCCTCCGTACAATAGTGTCCTCCGTACCACTAGCTATTCTCACTGTACCTACAGTAGCTCAGGAAGACCCTCTGGCGTCGTCTGTGCAGGGGCGCCGGCCCACACGATCGACTGTCTCATCGTTTCATCGTGCACGGATCTGAGGGATTTTCTGGCAGTTCTCACTATCCGAATACGTCTGTACTTTACGGAGTAGACATTGATCGTGGTAGTCGAGTAATAGAGTCGTAGTAGTATTAACTACAGTACTAGAGCAGTAGTACTCTGTAATGGTGTCGAGGTAGAGTAGGTATGTAAGTATGTTAGTGTGTACTATGTAGAGTATGTACTACATAGAGTATGTAGCTGATGACGTCATTCGGCAACTCGGCCGGCACGGAAATCGGCACGCATCGGCATCTATATACTAATGACTATGTAGTAGTATGTACTATGTAGGAGTATGAGTATATACTATGCTAGATTAATTTATTCATAATATCAATGCCATCTGAGATAGGACTAACAATATACATATAGGTAATATGTATATATATAGGTATATATGTAGGTGTAATGGAGTATCCTCACAAACACACCAAGTAGTCACTAATAGCCCTATATAAGCACATACAGCCTTACAGAGTCTGGAAGAATATTCCGTTCTGATTCAGTGGTTGGAGTATATCAAGGACTGCTGAGTCACGAGTACTTATTGTATACTAGGTACTAGTTATAGGGTCGACCAGTAAGTACTCATACTACATAGTTACTATATACCTAAGTTATTAATAAACTACTAATGACTGCAATGTCCAGACTAGACATATATTCATCTTGGTAACATAGTGGACAAGTATATAATAATAGTATAGATAGGTAGTAGGTACATACCTGTAGTGAACTGTATTCACGTCATCATTCTCTTCTAGATCTATCATACTTTACTATAGTTTTTTAAACTATGTAGCCAAGACAGCAGTTCTGTAAGATAATGTAAAGTACAGTACATACTGACGCATTACGAGTGACGGCATCTTCGTCGCATTGGGAATGTTTTTTTTTTCCTTTTCTTTCTATTTCGGGGACTTGGCAGGTGGCATTCATCTCATGCCAACCGTTTGCAGTGACACAAGTCTTGACTCGGTATCACAATGCAGGGTTGGACTGATTATAGTTGGAGTGCTCGTCGAGTCCCTGCATAATGACAGTATATCTTTAGTATAGAAGAACTCTGTACTCCGTCATATTATATTAAAATAAGACCTTCCTTACATGCTGTCTGTTTCTTCTCTTCCCCCACCCCTGTTTGAGATCGAGATTCAGCCAAGCATTCCTTATGATAGGGTTCATGCAAACAGTCCTCGCCAAGAGTCGCCTTGCTGATGCTCTCAGTCCGTCACAGAGTCAAGGATAGATGCAGACCACGGAAGTAATTAGGTAGTTTTGGCTGGGGATGTGCTCTGTAAGATGGGATCAGCAATCGCCCAGCAACAGTCTTCCTTATTTAGTCGTTCCCTCATTGATGATCTGTCTATTGAAGAACTATCGGATGATTATCCAGGGGGCTTGGCTTGGCTGTGGGAATAAATAAATAGCTTATGCCAGGCACAGGAATGATCTTGGCAGGGCATAACAAACAATGGAAATGACAAATAGGGCGGTTGTGAGTTGAATCAGCTCTAGAGTATTGGTAGAGTATAGTTATATCAGTGGTACTATTACCTTATAAGCCCTAAAGTAAATAGTCTTTTATACTTGATTACTTACTAATAGTAAAGAGATATTATAAGTCTAAAGAAAGATTGATTTCAATATAGTCTACATCGTAATATATTTCTATTGAAGTGAATATTATATTCTTCACATGTCGCACAACCACCTCGGCCTTAGATATAAACTACTCTTAAGACAAAGTGTTGAATAATAGTCATCTATTCAATTGTATCCCTACTGTACTACCTATTATCCCCTATTATATACTTATATATTCTTCTGCAATACAACTATATACAACTGCTACGACACCTTTGCATTCCTATTCTCCAGCTCAAGCCATGGAACCTGGATTTAAGCCTATAGAGTATTCACTTTATGTTATTAGCATCTCTCCGTATTTGTGCCTCGGAGTGAGTCGAGCACATGCAATCTTGCTCTACAGGGATTACCTCCTGCTTGGGTGGTGACTGCGGGGATAAGCATATAAATCGAGTCAGTCATCACTATAATATAATATGCTATGCTATTTCTATTCTTAATTCTAGTACCCACCGAGTTCTGAATACTCTCAACCAACCTGTCGGTAATATGAAGCTGTCTATTCTTCTCTCCCTCACTCTCACTCTCGCCAATGCATCCCCTATTATCCGACGTGATGGCGCCGCCGTGGTCTCCGCCATCACCACGTTAGCCAACCAGTTGACAGCCCTGAACAGCACAGTAACCAGCTACGAGGGCGGACTGGCCGGCAGCCTGACAGCCGTGGAGATCCAGCTACAGGACGAGGCGGTGGTGACCGACCTCCAGGCCGCGGTGACGGTCACCCAGCAGAGCGCCAACTTCACCGAGACGGAATCCGAGGAGGTCGCGGTTGCCGTGCTCGATCTCGAGCCCAAGATCGTCTCCGTGCTGGCGAATCTCGTGGCCAAAAAGCCCGACTTTGAGACCGGCCTGTTGGGCGTCTTCTCGCTCGACGCCCTCGTCAAATCGGATCTCCAGCAGCAGAAGATTCTTGCCGCCCGACTGGGCGATGCCATCGTCGCAAAGCTCACAGCTACCTATGCCGCGGTGGCACCTTTGATCAATGATGAAATCGCGGACCAGTTTGATAGTGCCATTGCGGCGTTTAGCAGTTAGCAAGTACCTAGCAGACACTTTAGCATAGTATCTAGGTACCAGTACTAGCAGATCTCAAGCATATCAGCATGTCTGAATGAAACTTCATTATTGATCACATAATACATTGGAGAATGAAACGGCAAGAGGGCAACTTGCTAAACCTGAGCAGTCGAACGCCTCCGACATCAGAAATGGGAAAAATAGGAAATAGGAAATACAAGAGCAAATCACTCTAGATTAGTAACCTCGACTCCAAGGAAGAAGAAAAAATAAAAAAAAAAAACAAATCACTGCCGCCATGATTTGCCGCAGTTCATGCATGTACAGAACAGCGTCATCGGTTCGTCGGCACTGCGAGTCTGGGCTTCGGTGTAGGTGACCTTGCGCTGGCCACACTTGCCACACTGCAGGCTGGTGCTGATGCTGCGCTCAGCCTGAGCGACCATGGCCTTGTCCATGTTCTCCTTCTGGATCTTGAGGTCCTTCTCGCGCTGCTCCGCCGATTTGAGCTCGTCGTGAGTCATCGTCACGAACTGCTCCGCCGTGATCTCGTCCGACAGCACGCGCACGCGCAGCTTCGGGTTCGACTTGTTCTTCAGGTTCTGGTACAGGCTGCGGATCTTCGTGCGGTACTGTTCCTTGGTCTCCGGGCCGAGGGCGTTGTATGCCGCCGTCTCCACCGCGTTCGCCTTGGCCAGCACCGTCCGCGGCGCCTCCGTCGAGTATTGGCACAGCCCGTCGTACATGAGCCCGACGCAGCTGTCGCGAATCCGGTTGCCCGTCTGGTTGACGTCAACCCCGTCCGCCTTCCAGGTCCGCTTCTCCGGCGCTACAGACAGCTTGCTCGCCTTGTCGGACGGCGTGGCCGCAGGCGACGCCGTGCCGTTCGGCGTCCGTCGCGGAGACCCGCTGGACCGCTGGCTCGCCCCGGGAGACCCCGTCGCCTTTTGCTTGTTCACCTCGTTCCTCCACCGCGAAACAATCTCGCTCGATAGCCGCGCCACCTCGGGCGACTTGTGCTGCTTGAATTTGTTGACGATGATTCCAACCCGCGTCGACCGTAACAGGTCTTCCGTGGCGCTCACCCCGTTCTGCAGCTCCTTCAGCAGCGCGACAATACTCGCGGGCGGCTCATTAGACGTCGCTGCCTTGGTGAGCGCCTTGGCCTTCAGCTCGATCTCCTTGGCGTCCAAAGCCATCTTTGTAGATGCGTACTAGGACCTAAACAAACACAGCTGTGTAGCCATTAGCCAGACTGTCCGGTAACCCATTGTATAAACAACCCGCCACCAGTCAAAGCAAAGAAATAGTGGTACACTATTTCCCCATCGCTGTAAAGAGCCACAGTCTATCAAGTAATGTGTCTTAAGCGATAGCCTGGCGTGAACTGACCACACCTTCACTGCACCCCCTGCACCCCCCTTCCCAAACTATCCCCAGCCTGTCTTCTATCCGGAAAACCTAGGCAAAAAGACCATCTTGTCCGCGCAACTTACCGCAAAGGAGAAACCCCGGCGACTTCCGAGCGCAGGGCCGCAAAAAAAAAAAACGCGACAGCGAAGGCGACACAGCACACGACGAAGGCACAATCCAGCAGCAGCCAAAGACCCAAAGATACCGACGAAAAACGCACCGATAGAAGCCGGCGATAGAACGAGCGATGGAAGGTTGGGGGCGCGGGGAAGGTGGATTGGGAGAACTGCTGAGGTGAGGGGGACGTTTTTGTCAAAGTGTCGTTCGCATTTCCATCTGGTTGGATGCCAAGACTTGGATCGCTCATTTCGGCAATGTACCAGAAGACCAGCAGGAACATTCTACGAGACGAGGAAATGTGCGTGGAAGATATCATCTATATTCGAGGATAATTAAGTTGTCAAGTGCACAATTTAATGGGCGATTTTGGACCTCAGTAGGGTGTCTCAGACGAAAGTGAGGTGTCTCGGTGAGACACAGGAAAATTATATACAATCGACAATACGCAGCAACAGGTATGGAATTATGCTGATTAGACATGTCAATAGATCTATTTTTTGTATTCTGCGAAGTGAATAGGGTCTCAAGGGCTATGCATGAATATCGAGCGCAGAAAATGGTGTCATATTCAAGCCGGAAACGGTGTCGTGATAAGCAAACGGCGGGACAAGAGACAGACAACAGAAGCAGGCCATCCGGCGTCGCCTGATTCCGCCAGCTTGCGTCTAGAACGCGTTCTGTTGAACGGTCAAGGGGGAAGGACAGCGAGTGAATCCATCTCACGCTGTTGGAAACAGCCAGGCAAGTAGCTAGCTGCCCAAGGGGGGGGGGGGGGGAGGCACCGGGTATATGTGGATTGTGCCATGGATTGAAAGGGAAGAGGGAAGAAAAATGCCCCGAAGCGGGCATTACAGACCGGTCTTGCCTAGGATATCGGCCAACTGGTCGACATCTTTATCTTTCTCCTGAGCCACATTCGATTCCTCAGCCTCGATGGCCTCCTTGAGAGTCTTGTCAGCCTTGCGCTCTTCCTCCTCCTCCTCCTCTTCTTCCTCTTCTTCCTCCTCCTCTTCGCTTTCTTCCTCAAGCTCGTCGAGTTCATCGATACCCCACATTTCCTCCGGGTCGTCATCTGTACCGTGTTCCTCCTTGCGCTCGTCGAGGAGTTCGCTCAGCTCCACGATATTGCTGTCATCCTCGAAGAACCTGTTACCATTCATTTCGATCCGGCGCAGCGACGGCAGAGCGGTCTTGGCAGCGTGGAGGAGTTGCTTCACGCCCTCGGCAGAGATCTCGTTGTACTGCAGACGCAGCGTCTCGATCTTTGCGTTCTTGCCCTCGGCGAGCGCCTGAGCAACCTTGATTCCACCGCGCGCAGACAGCAGGCAATCTCCAACGCCGAGCTCTCGGAGAGACTGCCAGCCGGTCACAACAACGGCGAGAGCGGTCGATCCCATGATGGTGAAGGTGTTGTCCTGGAGGTCAAGCACCTCGAGCGCACTGGCATGGCGCAGACCATCCTTCAACAACAATGAAATACCCTCCTGTCTGATACCATTCTGGGTCATCTTCACCGAGCGGATCCCCGCCGCATGCACCTTGTAGGCCCGGGCCCAGGCAGCCATGCTGCCATTCTCCAAGCGATTGCGACCGCAGACAATGCTCTCCAACAGCGCAACCTCCTTCCCACTCTTCCGAGCCTCCTCCTTGCGCTCGCCGAGCTTGCTGAGCGCATCGGCGATCAAGGTTCCAGCCGCCGGGCCCAGACCGTTGTTGTTAAGGATCAGGTGGCGCAGGGGCACGTGGCGGGACAGGAAATCGACCAGGGGCGCCTGGGTGTTGAGACCGAACGCATTGTCGGAAAGATTGACAGTGTGGAGGGTCGAAATCTCGAGAAGGGCATTGAGGAGGAAGGAGAGGGCCTGTGGGATCTCCGACAGCAGACGTCCCGTAAAGATATCGGCAAGATCGGCGACTTCCAGCTTCTTCTGCGTCGTTAGGACCGCAGCGAGGCGTTCGCTGGCGCCAACACCGAGCGTGTTTCCTCCCAGACGAATCTCCGTGAATTCGGTGCTCTCAACGAGAGGCTTGATATGGGACTCAATGTCCTCGGCGGTGTTGAGCTTGAGGCCTTTGCCCTCGAGGGAGAACACAGTTGGAGGGGCCATGGCGGGGTATTTTCAAGGGGGCAGGGCGAGGATCTTTGGCAGGCTTGAAGAAAAAAAAAAAAAGACCAGAGAAAGGTATTGCCAAGGAGCCTGAGATATAAAATTAAGCGCCCAGCAAACGCACGTAGAACAAGGAGTCTGGAGCGAGGAACCACCGCGGAGAGAGGCAAAACAATCCAGTCTGATCCTTGCAACCAGATCGTTTTTTTGCCCCCAGCAGGCGCAAGACAAAGTACGGCAGCGCACAGTGGCCGACTGTGCATTTCTGTCGTGCTTCTGCCCTTATTAATCAACTGTGACTGAGAGGGCGACAGCGACCTTTCAGATGCCTTTGCAGTTTCTTTTTCTTTTCTACCGACCATCCCCCCTGCATTGATAAACCGTTTACATCATGTCCTGGCTTTTCGGTTCTTCCAAGAGTACGTACTACCTTCTCGATCCTCCTAGTATCCCGGGCAGTCCTCCGCGGCCAGTCTCCAGAAGACTAGATACAATTCGGCTCCAAAGCGACCGTCGTTTTCCTCTTAATATAAACCAAAAGAATAGACAGAAACCCGGCTGATCTGATGCTTCTTCTTTAGCTGCCGCAGTGCCCACTTCTGAGCTACCGGAGATTGCCAAACCCGCCGAGAAGCCCAAGGTACATTCTCTCTCTCTCTCTAAGAAGCAGCCCCGTTACAAGTTCTCTGCTGACTGCAGCCTCTTCCCTCCTGCTAGCCCTGCTGCGTCTGCAAGGACGAAAAGACCTCCCGCGACGATTGCATGCTGTTCGCCAAATCCGACGACCCGCAGGCCGAGTGCACGCCGGTGATCGAGCAATACAAGGCCTGTATGGCTTCTTACGGCTTCAAGGTCTAGCGGGAGGAAAATCCCGTTTGTTGCTGGCGTGTATCATGTACATTTGTATTTATATTGGCATACTGGAGTTCTTCTTTTTGTTTTTTCGATTGTCCCCATGGATTGGACAGTATTAGATTAAATAAACTTCTCTCTCTTTTCAAACCTTTTACGCAAGTAGTAGGGAAGTATAATATGGTACAAGAATGGGTATCAATGTTCGGGCTGACCCGAAAATGCCTCAAGTAAACTCACTCCTTCTTCTTGCGAGAGGCCTCTGCCTCAATCTCTTCATCAATGCGGCGACTCTGCGTGATCAACTTCCACAGACACCACAGGTACGCAAGTCCGAACCCGGCTGCTCCGATCAAGACGTTGAGAACCACCCATAAATCTGGCTTGCTCGCCGGGGGAGGCACAAACGCCTCGACGAGATGCCAGCCGATCATGGCCGCATAAAAGGCCATGTGGACGAGTTTGGTGAGCAGATGAGGCTCCAGCGCCACAGTGGACTGCTCCGAGGACGGCCGGCTGCGATAGGTCTCCAGGGAGGTAGGGGGAAGCGCCATCAGATATGCCCAGAGGAGGGTGATGACGAAGTAAGGAATGCGTAATTCGTCCCGCTTCAGGAGAGGGTATAATGTCCAGACCCCGAGCAAGTTGGCCCATCCAACCCAGGCGCGAGTTTCCTTGCTGAGACCGCCGTCACTTGCGAGCAGGAGCGTCATGGGCAGCAAGGGGAGGAGAACGCTCTTCTCGTGTACCTGGAAGGAGAACAAAAAGAAACCCCAGGCGGCACAGGAGAGAGCGAGAAGCAGTAGAGACGGGCGCGGGTGGCGGAAAATTACTACACTGGGAATGAAGATGGAGGCCAGTGTCGCTCCCAGGGAGACTCTTTGAAGCAATGCAGCCGGAAAGCGGTTGAGCTTGTAGAAAGTATGGATAGCGCACCATGCGTTGGCGACCTTATCTTCGAAGAGTCCACGAGCGAAGGGAAAGACCCGGTGAATGACCTGCGCCATCTGGAAGACGGGGCCGTAAACCCATGATTTTTGATTCGCAGCGAGGGGAAGCGCCTCAAGCAACGGGGGAAGCGGCATAGACGCCTGGGCCGCGTGGGCTTCCTCGCCGATGGCACCCAAAAGTAATGGCGCAAACAAGACAGCAAACGCAGCCAGGGTGACGACCGAGATGCAGATAAGGCGGAGAATACGGATGTGAGGGAAGAAGCAGACACCCAAGAGGAACGAGAACATGATCGGAGCGTAGTAGAGCGCCATCTGTTTGAACCCCAGGGCGCCGACAAAGAAGATGCACGCCCAGAGCATCCGTCCCGCAAGGATTGCATCGAGACTGGCAACAACCAAGCCTAACATGACCGTGTTATATTGGAAGTGACCGTGGTCAACGAGAATCGTCGCTGGTTGCATGAGAATGGCGACTAGGGCGATGGAGCTCGACCATGCATGGACACCTTGTGCGCGGGTATAGCGGCGAAGGAAGGTTACGATCGCAGGGATATAGATGAAATATTCAGAGACAAAGACAGTGGCCCGCATATACACCTTGAGGTCCGGATGCTCGATGCCACGGGATGAGTCGAGGGCGAACCAGGCGGGGTCAAACAGCGAACCGCTATCACAAGTTAACAATATGCGACAGACAACCTCATCGCAGATCCACAAACACTTTGCCTAGCAGCCAGCTATGGTATGCAGTCAGGGGGGGATAGTCGAGCCCCCAGTACTGTAGGTCGTATATGTACCACTTTGAGATAGGGAGGTGAATGGTGAGTTCCATCCAGTGTCTTTGCGCTTCAAAATCGCCATGCATAGGAGGAACCTGGAAGCCTGATTCAACCATCAGTATATCGATGGAGTCGCAAAGCACTTGTCTTTTATCCTTATACATACCTGAGTACCCCCAGAGACTGACAGCCCATCGGAACAGGCCGACGGCCATCAGAATGAGTGGTAAGATGAGCCATTGGGAGACACCAGCGCGGCCAGCCCAGAGGAACGACACCAAGGGGAACGCCGGAAAAGATTTCTCGTTGCCCGAGCTGAGGATCAGGCTGTTGTTCGAACCGGGAACCGAGCCGGGCAGCTTGTGCTTCTTGCGCGGACGGTGAGAGGACGGGGTGGGAGGAGCCATGGTCGATTACAGAGGACTATTCAGTTGCCTTCCATTGGCTGATGAAGCATCTGGGTTCCTTCAAGAAAGGAGATGAAGTGTAATGGCTCTCAGCGAAAAGACTAGCCAGCAGTGGCGGGCAGTGAGGGCAATAATATTCATATGTAGGACTCTGGATGCAGGTGGGATGCGGAGAGGAGAGGACAGCGATTACGTTCTGCCTCAGGCAAGGATATGTATTCCTTAGGCACCAAATTGGTGATTTCTGCCTCAGGTTTCATACCTTACCGAGATAGGTTAGTAATTAGCCTCAGGCACGAGTGCAGTATCCACAAGACCCACAGCAGTCGCATGGATTGGCCAGGCTCGGGAGGCGGTGAGATGAAAATTTCGCGCCAGCCTCCCCCGTTCCGAAAAATTTTTTTATCTCTCAGGTGCTCTTATCAGAGCCGTTGGTTTATTTTTTCTCTTCATCTCTCTCTTCTTTCCCCCATCATCTTCTGCATTTTATTGCAATTTTCTTCATATCCCATCCTGAGATTCAGATTTCTGGAATCAGCTAACTGACACAGTAACGTGGGCCGTACTTGACATAGTACACTTCAACAGACATCTTGTGGGCTTTATTCACATCGAGGGCTGTGGGCTGTGGCATACTGCAATATACTCTTCTGTGGGTTCTGAATCATAGACGGTTGCATATATCCTGTCCGTCTCTGTGGGCTTAGACCTTGTCCGTTGTGGGTTTACTTGTGGGTATCTGAGTTGAATCTCGAAAGGGATTCTCGTCCAGCTGTGATCAGTTCACTCCTGGCATAATTTGCTTACCGAGGGCTTTTCCTAAATTCGGGTGTTGAGGGATCGTAAGATTTGCCGCACTTTCTTGAAAAACATTGCACTCGTCGTAAAGAGGGTTTTTTGTATCAGGTATGTTGTCCTCCAGGCCGTCTCACCACTTCGTTTTGGAATCCCATCTGACCTTGTATTCGTTTCCAGAAGAAAAAGACAAAATGTCGAAGACCAAGTCCGCTTCCAAGGGTGCCGATAAGGCTTCCAGCAAGGTCCTGAGCAAGGTCAAGGATGCTGGCGTGAGCAAGGCTGCCCAGTCTCCCAAGGCTAAGAGCAAGCAGATTGCTCGTGACATTGCCACCAAGGAGAAGTCCTCCAAGAAGAACAAGAAGAAGGAGCCTACTCCCAGCAGCTCTTCTGAGTCTGAGAGTGACGAGGAGATGGACTCCGACTCCAGCAGCGAGAGTGAGAGCGAGGAGGAGAAGCCCGCGAAGAAGGAGGTGAAGAAGGAGACCAAGGCTTCCAAGAAGGCCGAGTCCTCTTCTGAGTCCGAGTCCGAGTCTGAGGGCTCTAACAGCGACGAGGAGATGGGAGATGCCGCCTCGTCTAGCGACAGCGACAGCGAGAGCGAGGAGGAGAAGCCCGCCAAGAAGGAGGTGAAGAAGGAGACCAAGGCTTCCAAGGCCGCCGAGTCTTCGGACTCTGAGTCCGAGTCCGAGAGCGAGGACGAGGCTCCTGCTAAGGCCAAGGAGACCAAGGAGGTGTGTACCACCAGGTCGCAGTCTTTCATTCTTGATACAAAATACTAACTGGCATTAGGAATCCTCTGACGAGTCTGCCGACTCTGACGACTCCAAGTCCGACTCCGATGACTCTGACGACTCTGAGTCTGAGGAGGCTTCGAGCGAGGAATCCGCCAAGGAGTCCTCCAAGAAGCGCAAGGCTGATGACGAGGCCGCTCCTACCCCCAAGAAGTCCAAGACTGAGGAGCAGACTGGCAACGAGTCCACCAACCTCTTTGTTGGCAACCTTTCCTGGAACGTCGATGAGGAATGGCTGAGCCGTGAGTTCCAGGACTTCGGTGAGCTGTCTGGCGTTCGTATTGTGACTGAGCGTGACACTGGCCGCTCTCGCGGGTACGTATTAAATTCATTGTCTACCGTGCGATCTCTAGTGCCTCCTTGCTGACCTAGTTTGTTAGCTTCGGTTATGTCGAGTTCGTCAACGCCGCCGATGCCGCCAAGGCCTTCGCCGCCAAGAAGGACACTGAGCTTGATGGCCGCAAGATCAACCTCGACTACGCCAGCTCTCGCCAGTCTGGCGGCAACAACCAGGGAGAGCGCACCCAGGCTCGTGCTCGCTCCTTCGGCGACCAGACCAGCCCGGAGAGCGACACCCTGTTCATCGGCAACATCGCCTTCGGCGCCAACGAGGAATCGGTCCGTGACCTTTTCGCTGAGCACGGCGACATCCAGGGCATCCGCCTGCCCACCGACCCCGAGACTGGCCGCCCCAAGGGTTTCGGCTACGTCCAGTTCGGCTCGGTCGACGAGGCCCGCTCCGCGCTGAACGCGCTCAACGGCAGCGACCTGGGCGGCCGCCCGGTCCGTCTGGACTTCAGCACCCCCCGGGCCAACAACGGCGGCGACCGCGGTGCTCCTCGTGGCGGCGGTTTCCGTGGCGGTCGCGGTGGTGGTCGTGGAGCTCCCCGTGGCGGTCCCCGTGGTGGTGGCCGTGGCGGTGGCCGTGGAGGCAGCTTCAACAAGGGCCGTGGCAGCATCCCCGAGTACCAGGGAAGGAAGGTCACCTTCTAAGCGTTTCGTTGCAGCGCTGTGTATCTACTAACTAGTGTAATCCTGTTTGTTCTGTTTACTATACTCGGGGGACCTTCTAAAAAGTTGTTTGCTTTGCACGGCGTACCTCAAAACTCTAGTGTTCTTTCATATCATGATATTTATTTGTACTTCATTTGATCTCATTCCAAAACCTGATCTATAGGCCAACCCATGGTTCTTTGCTTTTTACTGCCACGCACTCCACCCCCGCATTTCTTCCTCGTTCTGCCTCGCTTCGTAGAGACTAATTGGTAAGTGTGACTCTAGCGATCTGTTATTATTCCATCCGCAGACCCCTCATCCTTGTTCTGCAGAAACTATTCTCAGCCACAAAGACGCCCAAGTCGTGTCCGGTTATTCTGGTGCCTATACGCGCTGACGGAGTAAGAGCGTGGCCGTCGCCTTATCTCGCGTCCGTCGTACTCCGTACTGTTTCTTGGCCCTTTTGTTCTTTGTCTCTCTCTCGGTCGGGCGCGACATCGCTCCCGTCTACGCCTCCATCCCCGTCTGTGTCCCTCATCGACCACACCACCCTTGACGTCTGCATCAGGTGCAACGGGCCTTGGGCAGCATCGTGGGCTGATTCGACACCTCGTCACCGCCGTCATCGGAGGCGATAAGATAGGTAGACAGGCAGATCAGCTGTTCATGGTTGCTATTGGATTGCCTGCTCGTGTTGGCCCCCCCCCGCACTTCTTTCATGCTCGTCGCCTCTATCTGTTTAATCAGATAGATTTATCTACTGAATTTTGTCTGCATCGATCCTTTTTATACCACCGTGATTGTTTTCTCTTCTTTTTTTTTTTTTTTTTTTGTTTCTTTTCGCTTCCCTTGGATGAACCACCACCATGCAACCGAACCACTCCGACCTCCTTGGTCAGGTACGAGAGAGCCCCTCTGAACGGAGGGTCTCTGGCTGGATGACACGAGAATCAAATCAGGCGCTGCAAGAGAATCATCACCGGCCATGGTCGCCAGCTGCTGGCGGACGGGCTATGAGGTCAGAAGGTATGAACAGTTCCAGGCTGACTCCTGCAGTTTTGAGATACGCTGCAGCAAGACTCACCGCACTTTCTTACACTACCATTACCCCTTTCTCTTTTATATATTCATACCATTCAGATGTACTCATCCTGGTATTATATAGATTCGTGGATCGAACTCTCGTCCCAACCCTCCTCGTCTTCCCTGTCTTCTGCGGCAACGACCGACGACATCATCACCACCGGCCTGCGAGTTGACCGTGAGTCCGTGACGCATCATCGGAGTCGCCGACGGCGTCTGCAGCGCCTGGCGGCTGTGACGACCGCACAGGTGGACTATTCGCCGCGGGAGCCGAGTTTGGCAAGTAGTAGCCAGGACGAATATGATGAGAGTGAGAGCGAGTCGGATCGGGTTCTCAGCAGCTCAAATGAAGATCTCAACGACCAGACCCTGGGTGACCCCTTTCTCGTTCACACAACTGCTAGAGCCGCTGCCCCGACAATGTCGTCTGCTCTAGATGCCGACTGTTCTAGTGACGAGGAGGACGACAACTCAACCGCCCTAGGGATGCGTATCAGCTCGTCCCCGTTCGTGCCTCAGCCTAATGCCTTCTCACACCCACCGGCCAGCCAAGATCCGTCCTGGACGCGGGCCACCGAGTCCCATCAATCGCATCCGAGTTTCTTATCCAGCTCCAGCCGCCGGACGGCTATCCGACACCATTCTAATACCGGGAGTGTGCGTTCGAGCCGGCGGCAGCCGCGACAACAACAACAACAACAACACAGCCCCTACAACATGATATCACCATCACACCATACCGACCATGATGCCGCACTGCGTGCTAGTCTCTCTACCCTGCTGTCCTGTGCAGCCGCAGCTCGTGGTCTGCCCAAGCATGACTCTACACAGCAGCGGCGGCAGCAACAGCAGCAGGCTCCCATGATCGGCCCGCCGCGAGCACACCCGGCCTCATTTCGCCTGGTTTCCGAGTCGGTTGTCATGGGAGAGGAGGAGGAGGAGGAGGAAGGAGAAGAGGTCGTGAGCGAGCCAGGACCCTTCATGAATAATAGCCCGCCATCTATCCGGCATCTTCATACACAGCCGGCGGGCCACGAGCACCCCGTCTCCCGTCGTCCACATGCGTCCTCACCCGCACCCAAGGCCAAGCATCGGTCCAGCGCGTCCAAGGACCGCTTTGTGGCACATGCCGCGGCGCGGAAAAGCCGGCGCGCCAGCCTGACCGAGTCCGCGTCAAACGCCAGCCCAACCCTAATGACGTGGGTCATCAGCGCGGGCGTCGTGGTGCTCTTCTCGGCCATCAGCTTCTCAGCCGGATACATAATCGGCCGGGAGGTGGGCCGCGCAGAGGCTGCCCCGGGTATGATGGGAGTCCCGGGCCTTGGGGATGGAGCCTCCGGAGCGCGCGCCTCGGCGAGCTGTGGGCGAGAAGCCGTCCAAGGCGGGCTGAAGCGCCTCCGCTGGGGGTCCGCTGCTGCGGCTGGTTCGAGCATCATCGCCTAGATCAATCGCTCTATGTTAATGACTTGATATGATGATACTTGACATGATTGATTGACGTCGATAATGACTGGATGGAGTTTGTGTAGAAACCTGGCTGGCCGGTCAAAAATCTCATTTGTTTTTTCTTCTTCTTTTTTTCATCTCTTTTTGATAATTCTCCTTTCCTTTCTCCTCCTCTCTGCTGGAAACTGCCTCACACCCCTCCCTTTGTCTGAACCATCTTCAATCTCTCTCTTTAATCTTGGTGGATATGACTGCAATGCAAGTATACCCCTATCCTTGGCGTCTTGGTTAGTATCTGGTTATGCCTTGTATTTATGAATATTTATAGCAATTAAATATCCAAAAAACAAGATTCCCCGGTGTAGTAGAAGTAGGATATAATATAGTACTCAGATTGCCACCTACTCTACCCCTCTTACTGCCATGACTCAACAGCAACCAGCAAGTCAACATGCATGCTGACTGACTAGCCGTACCAATGAAACCTCTACTTATACGAGAATATATTAAGGGTTCACGGGTCTGCACCTGGGTAGTGGTAACAATACTATTATGCCCGCCATGCCTGTACATATAGCCTGCGCAACAGGGACATAGCAGGACCCTTACTACACAACTAGAGTCAATCCTCTACTGAGACACTATTGATTGATGTCAACCTGAGGTACGGAGTATAGGAGGAGCGTTCCACTGCATAATCAAGAAACCGGTTGATCCGAGTCTCTAAAAAGGAAATATCTCAAACCTCGAGAACTTGATATTAGATGGACTATGCATATCCTTGAACAAGCTGGCCGTAGTACTATCTGACTACGTACATCGAAGAAGTAAACCAATATTCGCCATGTCATACATACATAGGCATACGTAGTCAAGCAGTTGGAATCAGGGACCAAGACTGCCACGCCTTCAATAATGATCGAGCTGAGCCAGATCGGTAGACTCAAACAAAGAGATTAAACTATGGGAGTAGATACTCTGTAGATACTCTGTACTCCGTACTCTGTAATCCGTCCTTCATGCAGGGTTGACCAGGTTGCACAACTGCGGCTGGCGCAGCTCATTCAATAAGCTCCGCTACCTGTACCACAGGGACATATATCTGCCAGGAACGTCTAGGCGAGAATAGGCAGGAGGGATTGGCTACGACGCCGATGCTTAATCTTTGACCCGCGACAAGGAGATTAAAAAAAAGTAAATATCAAAAGAGAGAGCGAGGGAGAGAGAAAAAAAAAAGCGCACGTAATGATTGATGTGCAGCGAACCTCCGACCTTTGCTGCATGAGACCTCTCCAAACTTTTTGAAGGAGTCGTTCAAAGGCGACGACATGCATTGGTGGAATTACCACACTGGCGAGTACGGAGTACGAGTACGGAGCATACTCCGTAGAGTATGAAGCAGTAGCCGTGAGGTCTGGAGAGAGTTGGAGGATTGCCTATGTAGTATATACGACAATGTACCTCTATATTCGACTATGGCTGATGTAATTCCATGCCGCACGGACTGACCGTTGGTCTGACGCAGGTCGACTGATGAGGTATTAACGCATGTCCACACCGCTGCTGTGTAACTGGCGTACGAAAGAGTTGATTAGGTAGCTATGACTGTTCCTATTGAGTAAGGACAACATGTTTAGCCAAGATGTCACGAAAAGAAACAAGGGGTAAGCAAGCGTCAACCCCCTTTCTTTGCGCCCAGCACTGTCATCCAGAGGACAACGAGGGAGATGGTGCATATGATCTGCCAGTCGCAGGGCGGATGACCCGCAACGAGCCGATCCTGAGTGAACCTTGTCTCTAGATTATCTAGAGTTGGAGGAGGAGGGCGATCGACCGATCATTTGTAATTACCCTCTAGTATCCAATCGTTCTGAAAAGTGGAGCACAGATAGTCAGACAATAGAAGGTGATCGAGTCAGAAACACAGAATAGTCGCTCCGTACTCGGTGAGGAACCTGGAGTGACGGTGAGAGAGAGTGAGAGAGAAAGGGAGAGGGAGAGGGAGAGACTGACCGACCTTCCTGGGATCTTCTGATGTGATCGACAGATGATCCCTATTTTGGAATGGCCACATTCTGCAGCGCGGGGTTTTCTGCCGGGAAAATATTTCCTGCTCTTACAAAGTAGAATAATGGCAATAGAATAGGAATCATCTGATTATTGGATTATCTAGCTGAATAATAATGTACTCATATCTCCGAGATTATGTAGGTAGTGTAGATGGCTGACCGGAACTCCTTGCTGAAAGAACGAAATGACAAAGGAAAAAAGACTATGCAATGGTGGTGACCAGGGTATCCCAACTAACTATGCTCTGCTATGATGTCCAACCGAAACCGAAAAAAAAACCATTAAGCTATGATATGACATGTAGGAAATGATGTGGAAGGAGAGAGATATATCGCTTAAGTCGAGTGGGGTCGCTTTCGGACCATTGTTTCCGTCGAGGGGCTGCGAGGCTCTTTGAAGAGGAATCGTCGTAGCTTGTTGACCACTAGCACCATTGTTAGACCATTATGATGATGAAAAAGAAGAGAGGTTAGAAGAGACATACCACTGTTACGGCGTAGCCGGCGGGATTTCGAGATGTATTCTTCCTCGATGGGATCGGTGGCATAGGCTCTCGCCCAGTAGTCAACATGATGGTATCCGGTGAAGTAGCCGGCGTTGGACCAGGCATCCGAGTCGGATTGCAGCTGAAGAGCGGAAACGTGAGGGTAAAGGTTGCCGAGCGGGTTGAGAACGAGCTCAGAGGGGTATGGTCTCTTGAGATCGAGACTGGCACGAGCCTGGAGAGAGAGAAAAAGTTAAAACTCGAACTTTTGCCTTGAGATATTTCTCTTTCCTCTTCTGGGACAGACTGAGACAACTTACATAAAGCTCATAGTTTGTTTTGTAGCTCATGATGGAAAGCCAAAAAAGAAGGAGGTCTTTGCAGTGGGAGTAGTGAGTGGTCGTCCGTAGAGGAGGGAGAACAATAGGACAGAGACAATAAAGCTGGTGGCTATCAAACAATGAACCCATGAGGAATGCCTGATCTTCTTATAAAGTGCAGAGGCTGCAGACAAATACGAACTGGGCTTTCAGGCCTTCAGCTGACCGATCTGACCCGGTATGACAGACAGTCCCCCCCCAAAGCGGGGAGCAGATCTCAATCGCGATCGATCAACCTGACCATCCTGGTCATCCTGGCTAGCCAGCTACTAGTTTCTAGTTTCTAGTCAGCACAAGCGACTGATTAACATCGACTAGCGTTGGCTAGCAAGATTTGTCAAAACTGGAAGGCTGCTGCCGCCGGTTATAGGCTGTGGCAGCCAGGTGTCAGCCTGTCAGGAGGAAGAAAGATCCTCAAGAAGCCTCGCTAGTGCACACTAGTCGAGGGGTCTTTTTTTTTTCTCGATCTTGTTTCCCCCGGCCCACTGCAAGCAAAGTGTTGAAACTTGGCAGGGCCGGCGATGCCCGAGCACGTCCGGCGATAGTCCTGAAATCATCGTGACGTCGCTCACGCTCTCTCTCTCACGCAAGGGGGGGGTCAACTGCCAACCACGTTGTATTCGTATGTAGGCCGTCTGTCGGATAGCAGGTTCACGAGATCATGCCCATACTCTCGGTCGTACGGAGCTCGTCCAGAGAGAGCGCGCACTTACTCCATACGGAGGACTCTGCTCTCTCCGGCAAGAAGGATACGTAGTAAATGGGTGTTTCGGCCTGACCCAGCGACCAGGAACCGTGGCTGACCAGGGTCGCCAGGAACATCCCAGCAAGCGTCGTGGATGTCAGGACTCAGGACTGGCCAGAGGTGCAGGGCAACCCTGGCCAGGGGCACGCCAAGTGAGCCCGACTAGCAGCCTGCAGCAGGCGCCGACGGGCCAGAGCAAACACTGCCGATCCACGGTCTTCCCCGAACCAGCCTGGTGGGCACCCGGTGCACAGCCACCCTAGACTCGCTGTTTCGGGTCTAGCGCCGCGTGTGCCACGAATAGTGGCTCAGCCCTGTGGCTACCACATGTGGCTCAAATTTGTGGCTAGCACAGCCAGTGGCTGGAAGCGCCGGCGGTCCCCCCTTCCCTCGTTCGCGCTGCGGATAGCCTCATCCTTGGCCCCGGTCTATTGCTTGTTCGTGAGACCTCTGGTGGAGATCGGCCACCGTACCATCGATAATAATTCAGATCTTAGCTTGAAAAAATTTTTATTTGTTTATTTTTCCCCCTCTCTCTAGCCAGGATGGAGCCTGTCCATCACAATCCTTTTGGGAGTTTGTCTCCATGTCTATCGTGTCATGTTTCCACCGACTTCCTCCGCTCGGACAATTGGACTGGGCCCCGACTGCCCCAGGGAGTCAGTTATAAGGAGAGATGAGTGCCGGTTGTTTGTGCATGTCCGGATCCAAGAGTCAAGCACTTTGCCACTGTCACTCAACCCAGCATCGTCATCCCCCCTTGAGAAGGAAGTCCAGTACCCCCCATTAAAAAGCTTCTTTTTGCTTTGTTGTGCCTGCCCACTTCTCCCCTGATTCATGTCCAAAGTCACCCACCATGGCGATGAGCGTCAAGGTTTCCGCAAGCGAATGGTTCGCCGGCTCTCCAGCAATGGCAATGCCCGATCTTTTCTCTCGCGACTCTCTCGCTCCTCTTCCCGCCGGTAAGTCGTCGCCCTTGTTGTTTTCCTCCCTCCCCATCTTTCTCCTTATCGTCCTTCCCCCGACCTACTTCGTACCTTTACCTTTTCTTTTCTTTTCTTTTCTTTTCTTTTCTTTTCCTTTTCCTTTTTATTTATTTGGCGCCCCTATCTGAACTGAAGGACAGGGATTGAGACTGAACGCACGCTTCACGATAGGCGAGACCCTTCGTCGACGCCGACGGGCTGGGAAGCTGGAGGCCATCTGCCAGATCAGGCTGAGGACTTTCCAGAGTCGCCCCGTGGCGCCCGGCGCGTGAGCAATAACCACTACCACCACCCCGTCACCGCCGGTGCTGCCACTACCAATAATGAACCGGATGTGCTGGCGATGGCGCACGTCGATCCGGCGGAGTGGCATCCGTACTATATGCAGTGTCTGCAGTACTTTGTAGAACACGGCCAGAACACGTCGGGCGTGCAGGCACTCGCGGCTTTTCTTAATATCCGTCTTCCCTATCAGCGAGCCTCCACCACCACCTCGCTAAGACTCTATATCCGCCGACTGATCGTCACGGCGCACGATTCCCCAGACACGCTCTGCGCGTTTTTTGGGGACCACTGGGACGCGGGCATCGGCCCCATCCGCGACCAAGAACGCATCAACTACCTGTTCACGGCGAAAAGCAGCGGCTGGGCCGAGACCAAGACGAGCTACGACATACTGCCGGACGAACACACCCCGTTCCTGCGCCCGCTGCGCGAGCCGCTGGAGGAGGAGATCCGTACCGCCGAAGCGCGCTGGAGCGAGTGGCTGGCGATGGAGGACTGGATGCTGGGGCCCCGGAGTCCGTGGTGATAATTATATATCTTTCTCAACTGCCTGGCAAAGACTTTCCTTGTCTCTTTTCATTTGTCTACTTGCTTTTGTTGTTGCTTCTCTCTCTTTCCTTCTCATGATGAGAGATGAATTCATGATTAATGACAGTCGCTCTTTTCTCTAATAATATATTGTCCAAAGTAAATTACATAGCAGAAAAGTAGTAAGATCAACTCATGATTTGAAAGTGCATGAAAATCTACAACAAAAACAGCCTTCAATCCAAAGCTAGATTACTATCTAATCAATATGATTCGACAGACAAGAATATGTCCAGGCACTGACAGGCGTCGATCCCAGGGAATTCCAGGAATTCAGATCTGGTGGGGCTGCACCGCCACAGCCATCATATTATTACTAATAGTTCCTTGGCAGTCTTTACTCTCTAGACGATCAACTATTATTTTATCTTGGAGCAGGGTCTGTCGGGGACTCCGTGGTGAGGTGGAGAAGTGAATGACTATTGAATCTTTAATTTAAATTTATGAGGAAGATTAATAATTCTCCGTAGTGTCTTGTTGTATTATTATTATTATTATTATTATTATTATCAGGTTACCTTGGTTAGTGAATTATCAGGATTCAGTTGAGTCATACCAGGTCTCTATTTAAAGATAATTATTCATTTAGTATTCTATAATGAATATCTGTTCTATACTAGATATACTGCATAGTACAGAATACTACATCTAATAAGCTTGGAAAGTAACTACTACAGTACTACAGAGGTACAATGATCTACACCCACCACTCATCCACTGTCCTCCCCATCTTACGCAGCCATCTCCCCTACTCAGGAAGCTGTCTCCGGCGCATCCAACACGCCGATGCCTATCCCACGCCGACAGTTCGCATCTTGGCGACTTTCCCCCCTAGCCAACCTGTTTTGACGTCTACCTCCACCGAGTCCGACGAGGACCCCTGGCTAGTCGCTTGTATCGACCCCGGGCGCGCCCCAGAGACGAGCGTCTTCCTCTACTGCAGCCTCGAAAGGAACGCCACAGACAGAGGCGGCACAGATGGAGCTGAAGAGGCGAATGATAATGGGTACGAATTCTCCGTCGACGAGCCTGTCAAACGCCTCGTCCAGGCCCGGCTCCGAGCTTTGCTTCGCGAGATCCAGCGGCTCCACCGACTTCAGCCCGCCACAGAATTGACAGCGGAGAAGAATACTTCAGAAATCACCGATAACTACAACAGTAGTAATGATGAAAACGACAGGCATAGTGAAAATGGGAACCCCTTTCTTGCCACCCTCCATCCAGCCTGTTTCGCCCTCCTAACCGTCTCAAACACCTTTGCAGACCCGCGACCCATCCCGGGGCTCCGAGTCCATCGTGTGACGAACCCGCCCTGGATCAAATACTTATTCGAAAAGCAGACGGAACCTACGGATACTGAACGCATTGAAAGCTCTGTTCTTCCGCCCGGATATCGATTCACTGATACACACGGCGCCACGGGTGTCCAGCCGCGCCACCATGCCCTTGTCCAGGCCAGCACGGAGATCCGCCGGTCCGAGATGACGCTCTCCCAGATGCCGAGTGTAGCAGTATACAAGGACAGTAATGTCATTGCCAACGATGAAAGCAAACGTGATCCTCATACTGGGAATTCCGATGAGCCTGTCGGGTGGGCCTTTCTGAGCATCTACGGTAGTGTGGCGGGGCTGTACGTCCATCCTGCCCATCGGGGACGGGGTCTTGCGGGCCTTCTTGCTCGTGAAGCGATGCGGAAGGGGATGCAGGAAGGGGGGATCTTCCATTTACCTACAAGTGCGGGTATGGAGAGCGAGAGATACTATTGTGCGGCGGAGGTTGCCATGGCGAACACGGCGAGCCAGCGCGTGATGGAGAAGATGGGGGCAAGACGTACTGGGATGGCGGCGTGGACGGTTCTGGAGGTGTCAGAATAGAATAGCTGGATTGCAATACAATGGATGATTGGTACTCCGTACTCCGTTTACTGTAGATCGTGTGCGGAGGTTTAATTAATTAAAACCTGCTTTTAATAGTACTCTGTACTGACTATTCATCTATCCCTGTCAACACTAGGCCTGAAATGTCATTTTTTAATCTACGCGAGATTATCTCCATCTAGGAATAGACCAACTAACGTCAAGAATGTCATTCTTTTTTCTTCCTCTCTCCTTTTCGGGCTTATGTAGTATATCGATAGTCAGTAACGATGTGGTACTCTGTAGACGTAGACAATGAGGCAGTGGCTGATGCCCCTTCTGACCACTTTACCCCTGCTAATGATTTGGATTCTGCGCCTCCTAGAAGAGGAAAGAAATGCTGCAGAGGCATATCTTAGCGAGATGAGGACGGCGAGTGAGGTAGAGTTGGCATTGTAGTTGTTGTCTTTGTTGACATCGAGTAGCCCGGTTTCAATGCTCTCTGCACGGTTCAGCGCGGTTTGCAGGCTGGACACAGTCCTGCAAGCATTTGAGCTTTGCTGCAGTGAGGGATTTAAGTTTTATCGCCATGGATTTTTTGTTGTTAGATGTCTAGTTATACTGGAGTCAGTTAGAAGATGATCTTGACGTTGAAGAGGGCACTGTACGCAGAAACATGGACGAGACTGGAAATTGCTGCTGTCGGAAGCTGTCTTCATGGTGAAGATCGTGTTGAGTACGGGCGGGTAATATGACACGCATTAATCTATTTCTGCATGACTCCTAGTATTTGGGTATACTGGCATTCGAGGTCTGAGATGTGGATTGACCAATATTCACTTAGGGCCTCAGATACCGCGTTGGACTGACTAGAGTGTCGATTGGGATCTTCAAAGAGCTCAGTAAAGTGCTTAGTATCTTTTAAATTAGCATGGCTTTGTTAAATTTTGCCGGTCAAGGCGTGTCTCTCGCTGTGTTTAACACCGCTATTTCAATCAAATAATGGAGGTGCTCACGTGGTCAACCCGATTCCCTTCCTGCTCTGACTTTCTTGCCCGCTTGGCCTCTCACAGAATCGAGCTCCAGACAGTGGACTGGGGAATTGAATGAGCCTGATCTGCTAATGACATCTTTACATGAGCAGATTGTCCTTCTTCCAGGCCATATAGAGACTGTTGTCTAGGAAGACAGCAGTGGAAGAAGAAGAAGAAGAAGAGGAAAGAGAAAACGGTCATTAGGTGACTTGGACAGAAATATCAGTGCCCATTATAAAACAGTATCCAGGTAAGTACTATTCATTCTTCCAAGTCCACCTCTGCGTCATCATGGAAGATAACCGTCCCCCAGTCTGGCCGGTTGAAGCGCTTCCCCCTGGGCAAGGACAATGCATCCAACTCCTGCATCTCCTGCTTGCTCAGCTCGACGTTGCCCCTGAGGTTAGCCTCGATCCGTGTCTTGCTCGTGCTCTTGGGAATGACGCTCCACCCCTTCTGCACCCCCCAGCTGAGCATGACATTGCCTGTCTCGATGCCTCTGTTCGCAGCGATCCTCTGAATAACCGGGTGTTGATGCAGCGTGCTCCCACTGCCCCCGAGAGGCCCGAACGCCGTCTGGTGGATCCCCCTCTGGGCACAATACTCGTTCAGTTTCCGCTGGGGAAGTAACGGCTGGATCTCCGTCTGGTTCACGGCGGGGACTACCGTTGCCTTGGCGAGCAGCTTCTCCAGATTCACCGTCGAGCAGTTGGCCACCCCAATCGCACGCACCTTCCCCATGGTGAGCAGCTTCTCCATCTCGCGCCACGTGTCGGTGAAATCCCACCCCTGCGCGTGCACCTTGCGGTTTTCCTTGCCGTACTGAGCTGGACCTGGGTTCGGATCGAGTGTCACGGGCCAATGCATCAGGTATAAATCGACGTAATCCAGGCAGAGATCAGCTAAGGACTTGTCCAGAGCTTCCGTGATGCGGCGATGATCAGATGACCACCTATCTCTAAGGTAAGATATTGCTTCACAAACAAGAACGTTTTCTTCTGGGTGGATCATGGGCCCACATATGGATGACTCTCCATATATGACAGAAAGAGTCTTACAGTTTCGTGGTCACAAAGTATTCTTCACGAGGCACATTGATACTCTTAAACACCTGGCCTATCTCGGCCTCATTCCCATCTATTCATCCATCTATTAGTTGCGAGTTCAAGTTCGAGGCCATATATGCGTCGAGGGGTTGCATACAGAGAGGAGCACAATCCTGATCATCATAATTCAATGAGAAGTTATTTCCTCATAGGATAAATAGTAGGTACTTACAAAATGACGATATCCAGCTTCAAAAGCTATCCGAACAGCCGTAGCAGCTTCGCCCGGTGCAGCTTTCCAGGTCCCGAATCCGACGGCGGGGATCTGGGCACCCGTATTTAGTGTGAAGGTCTTCATTAGGAAGAATGTCCGACTTGGTCTTTATCTTTGGGAATGTTGCTATGGCATAGTTGGGTACTTCTGAGGTTAATAATAGTTATTGTACATGTCTACAAGTGACTACACTTACGGAGAGAAGGCCGCGGGTCCTGAACTCGGTTCGGAAGAGGCCCGACAGATACAAAAGAAAGCGTACTTGAAATAACTCTGTTGACTTCATAGCTTTCACAGTGGACTAGGCAGCCTCGATGTGCATAGCACTCCCCTTGTACTCTCCCGTGTCCATCATTTCTCGCACATCTTGGCGCACCTTCTCCTCCTCAGTCGGATACGCATGCCGCCACATCGTCCACAGGGGCTGCTCGAATAGATCGTCCATACTTTCAATGGACCGGCCCTTCAGCTCTGGCAGACAGAAGAAAATGAATACAACGCCGACATAGGTCAGCAGTGAGAATACTAGAAACGTGCCCCAGCCTAGATTGGTGATCATGTTGGGTGTGGCGCGTGTGATGCCGTAGTCGACAATCCAGTCGATGAACAGGCCGATGGACATGCAGAAGGAACGCTGACTCGTTAGAATTCACACTCAATAACTGGATTTAAAGGAATAGAAAAGGGCAACTGTACAATTCTGCTGGGGAAGATCTCTGCGGCAACCACATATGGAGCAACAGAGTGTCCAAATGACCAACCGATAGCGTAGATGTAGATCCAGACTACACCGACAATGCCTCCTGCTGGCGTGCCTCCGATGGTTGAGGTGTTAGAGCCTGTGAATCGTAGATACAAGGCGAGATACAGCATCGCCGTGGCTTGCATGGTGGCACCGACGAGGAGAGGGCGGCGACGTCCGATTCGATCGACCAGGACTGCGACGTAGATGATGGTGGAGACGAACTTGACCACGCCGTAGATACCTGTTGCGAGCAGTGTATTATCGTTGCCTTTGATCCCGATGAGCTCAAATATCTCCGGAGCATAGTACTAAAATCGTCAGACCAACAGTACGGGGGTAATAAGGCCGAAACCACAACATACATTGAGGGAATCTGTTCCGGTGAATTTGTGGAACAAGAACAGCCACACCACAAGAAAGAAGCGCCGAAAGTTGCTCTTCACAGTGAAAACGTCCTTCAACACAACCCAGTAGCTGTGTCCAGCATGTGACTCTTGCTCATGTCGCACCTGCGCCTCGATCTCTTGGTACTCAGTCTGGAGATACGGATGGTCTGCTGGCAACTTGCGCAGTTTGCACAGGTTCTTGACCCCCTGCTCTGCCTTTCCTTGATTGATCAGATACCGCGGCGTTTCTGGCACAAAGGGGATCATTAGACACAACAATACTCCAGGGATGATCTGGATGCCCATCGCAGTCCGCCACTGCGAACTGTCTGGGTTCTTCCAAAGGTCCACCCCGTAGTTGATCCAAAAAGCAAGCATGAGGGTCATGATAATCATCAGGTTGTACGTGGCCGTCATGGATCCACGCACCGACCGCGGTGCGTTCTCGGCTAGGAACTGCGGCGTCAACATTGAGCTGGCACCCACCCCCATCCCGCCGATGAAACGGCCAGCCAGTAGCACGTTATACTGGGCAACCATCTGCATGATGGCGCCAACAACGAATACCAGTCCCCAGCTGAACACAGACCATTTTCTACCCAGGAGATCAGATGTGGGTGCTGCCAACAGCGCACCAGCTGAGCTTCCGGCTGCTAACATGGCGGCGATAGTACCCTAATCCCCAGTAAGCAGATACCCAACAAGCTCGAAGTCCACACCTCCATACCTTCCGGTTGTCCAATGCTGACGTTGAAAGCTTGTCCAAGCCAAAGTCCTTCTCAAACGAAGGCAGCGTCAGGATACCGCTGATATTGCCCGTGTCGAACCCATAGAAACACCCAGCCCAGGAAACAGCAACGAGCAAAAAGAGCAACCGGGGATTGAAGATCTCCCTGGGGTCGTTCTTTGCATCCTTGCTAATCCAGATGCTTGTTCCGCCTGCCATATTGAGCAGCGCAAAAGAAAAGTTCTGATGTAGTGGGAAGGTACCGGTAGATCAGGTGACTCTCGCGTCCTCCGCCAAACACGGCAGTTGCACTCACAACACGTCGACCACGACACTCCTATATATAGCCTTTTGAATAGGAGGTGAGGACAGCATCATCTCGTGTGAAAGGCATTTTCCCCGCCAATGAGACCCCTCAACCGTGCCACAGACCCCAGACTCGCCAGTGACCCCATGGGGAGAGGGTGTTGTGGAGAAACGAGGTGAAAGTCGGGGGACAGTCCGAGATATCGAAGTTGTCGGAAACCAAGCCGGCGGGGTGGGCAGATGAGTTGCTATCAAGAGAATCGCCGTTGGCGATAAGAAAGCGCCTTCCAATCACCGGGGATTGAAGTAGTAAGTAGAAGTGATAGTACTTATAGAAGGTTGGGTGTGTATCATTGACAGTGTGAACAGGACTAGGACTCTTGAAATATGGCTACCCCCGAGATGTTGCCCACCCTCCAGTCCCCTCCCAGACCTTTCTCTTACAAGGAAGCGTTCATTCCCGCCCTGACAACGCAATGTCACGCCTCGAATTTGCTGCTGCTTCCCAACGGGGACCTGCTGTGCGCCTGGTTCGGAGGCAGTATGGAAGGCCGGCCAGATATCTGCATCTACCTATCGCGACTGCCCGCGGAGCAATCGAGCTGGATGCCGGCACAGAAGATCACGCACGATCACACGCGTAGCGAGCAAAATCCCATACTCTTCCTCAATCCGTCCGACAACCAGCTTTGGCTGCTGTACACCTCGCAGGATGCAGGCAACCAAGACTCGGCTATAGTCAAATATCACACTTCTACGGATGCCGGGAATACCTGGAGCGCAGAAGCGCACGTTCTTTTCCCCGAGCCGGGTACCTTCATTCGCCAGCCGCTGTGCGTGCTGAGTGACGGCAGCTGGGTGATCCCCATTTTCAAATGTCGGACGGAGCCGGGTGAAAGGTGGCTGGGTAACGATGATATTTCATGCGTGCAAGTTTCAAGGGACCAGGGCGCAACCTGGTCGGAGAGAGAAGTGCCAAACAGCTACGGGTGCGTACATATGGCAATTAGACAGCTCAAGGATGGATCCTTCCTGGGGCTGTACCGCAGTCGATGGGCAGATAACATTTACCTTTCGACCTCGGATGACGGGTTGCAATGGAGCGAACCAGTTCCAACAGCCCTGCCAAATCCCAATGCGGGTATCTGCTTCGACGTTCTGTCCTCAGGAAGAGTGGTGTTGGTGTATAACCATTCTTCTCGCAAAGACGCACAGAGCCGACGTGACGGACTATACGACGATATCGCCGATGGAGCGGGTGATGGTCGATCAAACCAGAAGAGCAAACATGCAGGCAAAGAGGCCTTCTGGGGCGCTCCAAGGGCACCGCTGTGCGTGGCCTGGAGCGACGATGGGGGCAAGACGTGGGAGCACCGTGTTCTGGAGGACGGCGATGGATATTGCATGACGAATAACAGCGAGAAGAAGCTCAACCGGGAGCTATCTTATCCAAGCATGGAGATTGGAACGGATGGAACGATCCATGTGGCCTATACTTTTTGGAGACAGCGGATCAAGTATGTGCAGTTGCAGGAAGACTTTTTTCAGCAATCGGATTAGACAACTTGTTACATTAAGAAATGTTAGAGTTTCTTCAAAATTGGAAATTGGGTTGAGAATGAAATTCATAAAATCTATAGTCTATATTCATATTTATGCAACGTCCGCCAACGACTTCTCCAAATCGACCAAGTGCTGCATCACCTTAACCACCCACTGCTGCTTCTCAGTCCCTGAGGGCTTGTACGGCTTCCGGGGCCAGAAGGCTTTCTCATCCGGGATGCCAGCAGCTGGGCCGGCAAAGTAGGCAGAGGCATACTTGGTCGGTGCGATTCCCTCCTTACACGCTTTCTCTGCCTGCGCGACCAGGCCTTGCAGCTTGCGTGCTTCGGCGAACTCTCCTTCCTTCCACAACGTGTACAGTCTGGCTACGCTCTTCGGAAACACGTTGGCGATCCCCGTGACGCAGCCGACACCGCCGCCACTCAGGCATGGGATCAGCCAGTCCGATGACCCGGCGTACACGGCGAATTGTTCGGGGGTATACTCCTGCGTGAGTCGAGTGACCTTGCCGGCGTTACCGCAGGTGAGCTTGGTGCCGACGATGTTTGGATGTTGCGCCAATTCGGACATGAGGTCGGAGTTCATATCGACACCGTTGCATACGGCGGGGAACTATGTAGATCGTCAGCCGGGAAGAAAAAGAAGAAAAAAAAAGGGGGAGCTAGAAGCACTAGTACTTACGCTGTAGATCACAATTGGAAGAGACGTAGCGTCTGCTACCTCACGATAGAAGTCGACAATAACATCCCGGGTAACCGCTTTGGCCCAGTAACTTGGCGGTAGCAAGAGGCCAAAATTCGCACCGGCAGCCAACGCATCCTCCGCAAGACGGACCGACTCGTTGGTCGACTGCCCGCTAATACCAGCAACGATAGGGAAAGTCGGCCGTTTGAGGTCAACGGCTGCTCTGCGAGCCACCTGCACGAGCTCCTTTCGTTCTTGCTGCGACAACAGCACGGCCTCCGCCGTGGTGCCAGCGAGCACGAGCCCGTCGATCCCGCTGCGGATCAAAAAGGAGAAAAATTTGTACGAGGCCTCAAGGTCGATCTCTTGTCGCGCGGTCGTCTTGTACAACGAAATCACCGGGCAGTAGATACCGGGAGGGATCGCCTTGGCCTTGGGAGCAATGGAGGAAGTCATTCTGTCGTTGTGTTTCCAGTTATGTACTATAATTATCGTAAACGTATGTAGTATATCTCACGTCTTCTTCAATGCGAAAGAGAAGACTCTATACCATGATAGCAAGGCAGCCGTCATATCAACCCCTCTCGCATGCTCCTTTTCCACACCCTCGGAATTATATCCAGCGCAACCCCCGTAGAAACCGAGATTCACACTCGGGGATGGCCCGACACATCGCGGGGAAGCTTCAGCGCACATCCAATAAAAGCAGACGTATTCTGGAATCCTGGTCCTGGATCAGCTGGGTGGGCCAAAACCATGGCAACACTCGTCGACAAATACGGGGTGACGCTTACGCAGCAGGCCTCGCTCCTCTTCCCCGCGGCATAAATAACGGACCTCCTGCTCTCAGTCGGAGAGGTGTCCGGTCCTCGAGACTGCCTCTGACTCTCTTGCAGCAGTCCCTCACACCATGACGAAGAGAAAACGGCTCTCGACCGACGTTGAGTCGGATACCTTGCCGGCGGTGCCTGACCAAGCCACGGACGCGTCACGTGGTAGCGTTGCCCATCGCCGTCACGTGTCCGTCACGGGGGAGGAGAATCACGTGATTGATATATTGCCGGGGATTACCCGAAAGATCACCGCCTGCGCTGCGTGCAGGAAGCAGAAGGTGCGTTGCACGTCGCAGAATACGGAGGATGCGGACAAGCAGGAGCCTGGAGAGCATGCTGACGGCTGCAGATCAAATGTGACATGACCGATGGCCCGCCGTGCGTTCGCTGTCGCCGTCGCTCGCTGTCCTGTGTCTTGAACAAGAGCCTCCAGTCGCTGGTCGAGGAGGTCAAGTACGTACTGGAAAAGCGCTGGGATGTTTTGCAGAAAGAAGTGCTGACTGGGGGCTTTAGGAACACTGAGCTTCTGCAGACGGATATTCGGAGTATCCATGAGACGCTCGAAGCAATCTGTCGGCACCTGAACCTCCATCGGCCTAAGCCGTTGGTATCTACGGCGGACACCGACCGTGCAGAAGAGCATGAGGATGGCCACAGCGACAATGAGCGAGACCAGCACGATCTCTCTGGCTGCGAGGTCTCGCCGCCAGACACTCCGTCAGCAGTGCAGGCGCCAATCCACACGTTTTTAGACATCGCCAAGCTGGGGAGCCCGGGCTCGTCAGAGAACACGCCCCCCAGTGCGGCCCGTCCACGTCGGCGGTCGATAGTGCCGCAGGACCTTGTCAGCAAGGGCGTCATCAGCCTAGCGGTGGCGGAGATACTAGTTGATCGTTACTTCACCCAGCTGGACCCGTATGTCTACGGAATATGTAGCGGGTTCAACAACTTCCAGCAGCTGCGGACGACGTCACCGGTCTTGTTCGCTGCCATCTGCACTGTCTCAGCGCTGCATGATCCGCACGGCCAGCAGGTGTACGAAGCCTGCAACCGTGAGTTCCGCCGGTTGGTGGCTCGCTCGTTGTTCGAGAAGCATGATACCGAGTACGTGCGGGCACTCTGCATCTGCTCCTTTTGGCTTTCCGACGCGTCGAGGATCTTGTCTAGCGATGCAATCCGTCGAGCTGCGGACATGCGTCTGCACCGCAGCTTTGAGCATCTCTGGGTGCCTTCTTCGTCACACCTACCCTTGGGTACTCCGCCGTCTACTGAGGTCAAAGACCGCGTCCGGCTATGGTATCTGATCTTCATTTCCGACGAACACCTCTCTATCCTCCACAACCGTGACCCGCTGCTGCGAAGTGACAAGGAGATCGCCACGAGTTGGGAGTCGTATCTCAAGCGTGATGATGCCTCGGACTCGGATGTCCGACTGGTATCCCAGGTCGCCCTGCTGTTGATTATGAGCCAGGTCCGCGACTTGCTCGGCTCCGATCAAGAAACCCGCCTCCCCCATGTCCTCGTTAACCAGATTGTGCAGTCCTCGCGCCAACTTGACAAATGGTTTACCAAGTTCTCGGCCTTATTCAAACCGGACCCATATATCGGCGATTTCCCGAAACGGGGTCTTCAGTTGCACTACCAGTTTGGCAAGTTGTACCTGGGCCATCAGGTTTTTAAGGGTTTGAATGGCGAGCCTATTCCATCGCCTTTCCTGACTGCCGCGAGCATGGCGCACGACGCTGCCGTTGCTATCTTTGAAATGATCATGAACGAGGAACCGCTGCAACGCAGCCTGGTCGGCATGCCGCACTACTTCCACATTATGATTGCCTTTGCTGGGCATTTTCTCCTAGAGGTTACCAAGAACTATGCAGTACAGCTGGGGATTCAGCCTGCACATAATTTCGAACTCATTAGGAAAGTCCTGGACCGGTTCCGCGGCACGCAGTGTATTGCGCAGCATCCAATCTGGCGGATGACGCCCGGACTGGAACGCAAACTGCTTGACTGCATGACGAGCATATCCGGGGGGAACGTGCACATAGACCATGGCTTGTCAGTCATGACTTCATCGGAAGGAATGGGGTATCCTGCCCGATCGGCCGAGAGACCAATTCATGGCCCGTTTACTTTCCCCGGAGATAACTTGGTGAACTCCATGGATGACTTTTTGTTAACGGATCTTGGCGAGTTTACATTCCCAGGGATGATGTCTAACGGGGTGTGATATGATTTGTTCTATAGAGCCACCGTGCACTAAAATACAGAACAGACTGGAAATGCCATATTGAAGAGATTGAGGATTCTCCTCTCTAACTTGTGCCCCGTATGAAAACTCCATGTCAGATAGCCTGCAGCGCTAACGGTCTATACGGCTCCTCGAGCATATCGAGCTCTTCATCCGTCAATTGCACGCCTAAAGCTTCGGTGGCAGCCTCGATTCGCTCAATGCTATTCAGCCCAACGATCGGACAGGCCCCTTTGCGCAACAGCCACGCCATCGCCACCGCGCTCATGCTACACCCTTTGCGGCTTGCAATGGCCTCCACCCTCGCGACGATCATCTGGTTCTGGTCGCCGACGAACCATTTCTTGGTCTTTTCGTCCTGGTCGCTTCGTGCTGATTTTTCGTGCCACGGTCGAGCCAGCAGGCCTCGAGCTAGCGGGCTCCACGGGATAAGACCGATACCCTCTGCTTCACAGAATGGGTTCATCTCGCGCTCCTCCTCCCTGTAAAGCAGATTGTATAATCCTTGCATGCTCGTAAAGGCAGTCCACCCGTTCATTTTTGCCGTGTACTGCAACCGTGCCAGCTGCCAGCAGTACATGCTCGAGGCGCCCAGGTAATGTACCTTGCCCATGCGGACGAGATCGTTCAACGCCCGCATGATCTCCTCCGGCGGTGTCTCGAGATCAAGCCGATGCAGTTGCAGTACGTCGATATAGCTCGTCTTGAGCCGGCGAAGGGACCCTTCCACCGCGTCGAAGATATGTTTCCGACTTAGCCCCATCTGGTTCACGAGCTCGCCGTCGTTGACGGCTGGGTTTGGCCGTGAGTCCAGGTCGTCTTCGAGAACAGGGTAGTAGAGTTTGGTCATGATCACCACCCTGCTGCGTGGAATGGCGTACTTGGCCATCGCGGTGCCCAGGATCGTCTCCGACAGCCCGTTCGAGTATGTGTCTGCCGTGTCAAACGTGTTGATCCCCATGTCAAACGCCTTCTTCACAAGAGGCAGTGACTGCTCCTCATCCAGCACCCATGGAGAACCCTGCCATGACGGATTCCCATATGTCATGCACCCGAGTATGATTTTGGACACTTTCAGCCCGCTATTTCCAAGACGCTGGTATTCCATCCTCCTTGACGTCGCCATACCCGTTGACTTGATCCACAGACTGTTTCAAATCTCCGACACCGTCTCGTATCACCCACATACCGATTATGAGCAGTCTTTTAACCCTCAGACGGGGTTTGCCCGATGTTGTCGCCGGAGACCTTGCCGAAATGTACGGCGTCCCGGAGTCTGCGATTTCCAGAAAACGGACATACCGATCCACCAAAGCTGGCAATCACAGCCTGTCACTTCTCTCTCACTGATCAGGCGCGATAACACACTATGGCTTGGAGGAGTCGTTGAAGGGTCCTTGTGAATTGTTTCTGTTCGACCGTCAGAATGGCTGCTTCCATATTCGGACTAGCTTCCGATTTCGCTCCCCGCAAAGGATCACGTGAGAGGCTAGACCTCTTTGGGAGCTATGTGTCATACTGATCGCTCTTATCTTCTGCGGTTTTCCTCCCACGGTCTTCGTTTGGCAAACACAACATCCTCGCTCCTCTCCTCAATCTCTTACCTCTCAATTGACTTCTCGATTGACTCGTAAAAATGAGCGGACAGAAAGCTGTTGCAGAGAACATGCTCTGGGGAGGTCGATTTACTCGTGAGTAGTGTTTGCTTCCGTGCCGTTTGGGTGGTGGTTCAAAGAAAGAAGCTGATCTCCCGCTGTAGAGGGCCTCGACCCCCTCATGGTGCAGTACAATGAGTCCCTTCCCTATGACCGGATTTTCTGGTCGCAGGATATTGCCGGGTCCATTGCGTTTGCCCGTGCGAACGCCAAGTCCGGCATCCTCACTGCCCACGAGTTCTCCGAGATCGAGCGAGGCTTCCGACAGATCGCCGAGGAATGGAGGACCAACACGTTCGTGGTGAAGCCGAACGATGAGGACATCCATACCGCGAACGAGCGTCGTCTCGGCGAAATCATCGGCAAGGAGATTGGCGGTAAGCTGCACACGGGTCGCTCTCGCAACGAGCAGATCGCTACCGACATGCGGCTGTGGCTCCGGGACGAACTGCGCAAGATCGACGGCTTCCTCTCGGACCTTATCAAAGTCTCCATTGCCCGTGCGGAACGAGACATTGACTACCTTATGCCTGGATACACCCACCTGCAGAAGGCTCAGCCGGTTCGGTGGAGTCACTGGGTTCTGTCTCATGCCACTGCTTTCGCCAGCGAGCTGCAGCGGTTGCGAGAGACGATCAAGCGGGTCAACCGCAGTCCGCTAGGCACGGGTGCTCTGGCCGGAAACCCCTTCCACATTGACCGTGAGCAGATGGCCCGCGAGCTCGGCTTCGACGGCCTGCTCTACAACTCCATGAACGCCGTTGCGGACCGTGACTTCGCCATGGAGACCATGCAGTGGGGTAGCTCGTTCATGCTCAAGATTTCTCGCTGGGCCGAGGACCTGATCATCTACAGCAGTCTGGAGTTCGGCTTTGTCCGTCTGTCGGATGCTTATTCCACTGGCTCTTCCTTGATGCCTCAGAAGAAGAACGCAGGTGAGTGTGAATAATACAGATTCTTGTTCTTATATCTGATCATGTGCTAATCTTCTCATCAGACAGCCTGGAGCTTCTGCGTGGTAAATCCGGACGTGCCTTTGGCCAAATGGCCGGCCTGATGTGCACAATCAAGGGCCTGCCCACCACCTATAACAAAGACTTGCAGGAGAGTGTTGAGCCCCTGCTCGACCACATCAAGACTGTCAGCGACAGCATCCAGATCGCTACGGGCGTGCTCTCGACGCTGACCGTCATCCCCGAGAAGATGGTTGCCGCCCTCGCTCCGGAGATGCTGGCGACCGAGTTCGCCGACTACCTCGTCCGCAAGGGCGTGCCCTTCCGTGAGGGCCACCATATCTCCGGCCGTGTCGTCGCGCTGGCTGAGCAGCACAATGTCCCGATGGACAAGCTCAGCCTTGAGCAGCTCAAGGGCGTTGACGCCCGCTTCGACGACGATGTCCTCGAGTGTCTGGACTACGAGCGGGCCGTCGAGCTCAAGGACGCTATCGGTGGCTGCAGCAAGCGTGCTGTGCTTGAACAGGTTGCCGTCCTCAAGAGCCTGCTTTAGAAAGTCGAGACAAAACAGGAAAAAAAAGGCACGATTAGATGGCTTTGTTCGGGTTTCTCATGTCATATATACTCATTTAATAGCATCATGAGCTATACGAATAGCATAAATAAACTGTACAGCAGGAAAGAAGAAGAAGCAAAAAAAAGAACGCAATCTCCAGGACTGCCCAAGTCTCAAGCCGCGTTCTCCTATCTTAATCCCAGACCAGCCCGCTTTTCATCACCATTCACACCCAGCGACTCATACTGCATAAAACTCATCACATGCTCATACTTTCCCACGGGCCCGGCCCTGATCTCCCGAGAACTCCTCAGGGAGTCAAGATTCGACCCCATCACCACCCCGTCAGAGGTAACTACCGTCCTCGCATTGGCTAGCGCATCCATTTCTTGGACTTTGATGCGCGGGATGCGGCGCCCATTGATCATTTCCCCTGCAGAGTCGGTCGACAATTCCGCTCGTGGGCGGTAGAGACCTGTATCTGATAACTCGGATGCGGCGCCAAGCACACCAGGCAGTTCGGCGAATGAAGCGGTATACCCTTCCTCCTTTTCATCGCCTTTCTCAACCACCGTAGGCACAGGTACAACAATAGACCTTGTTGTTGAGTCTGGGGGAGTGATTGTAATTGACACTGGAGCCTGGCTCGCTGGATCGGTAGAGATGAAGGTGGTATTCGCCTCGACGTATGCGTCTCTACCGACATCTTCGGGAGAATGGTAAGATGCTATTAGAAAAGAGAATGCGTCAGAGATGATTTTTCTGTAATCTGCCAGGGGGAAGCCTACGAATGAACAGGCTGAGAATGTCTCTGGTCCGGCGATTCCACCTTCCGTCTGTCGTCTGAGTGCTGCTTCCATTGTCGCTTTTCTCGGTCACGGAACGCCTTGCTTGTCTCTTGCGGCGCCGGCAGTAGAACAACAGAAGCAGCATGAGAATTATCACTGCGGCTGCCACTCCACCGGCTACTCCGCCAACTAGAGCTTTGTTCATCTGGTGCGGACTTGTAGCAGACCCAGTGCCTGTGTCTGACGAGGAGACGCTATGAGTAGCTGTACTGCTGGTGGTAAGAGTGGCCTGAGTACTGGTTTCTGAAGCCGATTGACTGGTTGACTCTGTCGTCGTTTTCTCTGCTATAGTCGTAGGCGAGACAAACGAGAAAGTGTTTACTACTGCCCCGGTGATCAAACTACTCGTGCTGGCCGTTGTTGTAATTAGGGTAGTACTCGTAGTACTCTTGGTGCTGCTCGTGGTGCTCGTACTGGAGGTACTCGTACTCGTGATGCTCTTGGTGGAGGTACTGGAGGTACTCGTCCTCGTGGTGCTCTTACTGCTAGCACTGGTGGTACTGGCGTTATCAGGACAAACCCCGTCGGTACACGGATTAGTCGAACAGCATCCCTCGAAGCCGCTTTTCTCACAGACATAATATGGGGCGCTCGCAGAACAGGCCTCGCGAGGAAGAATCCGAAACTCGCCCATGGCTATCTGCCATCGCAAACAGATCAGACGGGTCCAAAGACCAAAGATAGGGAGACGCGGTGGGAGCAAACGTACAATTATACCAGGATCGAACTCCATGTTCATATTAACCAGGAGTGCTCTCTTTCCGTTGTGTGACGTCCAACCCAGGCAATCGGGAACACAACGGGATACAACATGGAGACATGCCAGGGAAAAGACATGAGGAAGATAAGGTGGCCACGAACAATTCTTGGAGTTCGGCCATCTTCTTCAAGGCCCTTGAAAACTAAGAAGCCGTGGAGTCTTCTTTGTCAAGGACCCTTGGCTGGGTTATCGTTGTTTGCTATTCTTGGACTCCAAAGAGTTTGACAACCGAGGCAGCGGACAAAAGCCCGCCTGCACAGCCATCTTGCAGACTATTTCATCACGAATCTTTTATAGAGATATCTTCATCTATACAGATAAGTTGTAGTTGAGTTGAGCTTGCGATTCCTTCGAATGGGAGAATTGTCATTAGATGACTGAGCTGTCCACCGAGGATAGACTCACCTGTCAGTAGCATTTTTATATGCCCTCATTAAACCCACCGGAATCTCCCAGATCATTGATCGCCAAACAGGAGGTGTCCATTAGGCCGTCGAGTTCTTTGTTCTTGTCACGAACTAGGTACCGGGTCTCGTGTTTCATATCCCTCCCAGTCTTTGTCTCATTGACGGAATAGTCAACCTTGTGTCTTGGGTAGGGACCCCAATCTTGCAAGGGGCATTTAATAAACGAAACAAATTGCTTTGTCGGTTAAGCTTCAGGGTACACTCTTCGTATTGCTCTATAGGCGAGGAGTACCTGTAGTGGGTGTTGTCAAGATATGAGATGACACCTTGGTGCTCTGCTTTGCGAGAACGCTGAACCTCCATGAAACGGCGAAGAAATTCGGGGATTTTAGTTGGCAGAGGGGCCATGGGGGAGGGAGAAAGGTCTTCTTTACACAGAATTCCCATCAAGGCCTTGAATATGAATCCAGTATTTGTACAAACACTCAAAGAAACTCCAATTGTATGACAAAGCTAACAGATAGAGAAAAACGGCTAAAGTGAGTGCACCAACTCATCGCCTGGAAGAGACCAAAAAAAAGAAAAAAATAAATAAAAAGTGGTTGCTATACAGAAATAAGATATGGGGAGAAGTGCATATCTGGTCCACTCTTCCAGGACCATGTACCCCTCTCCCTCATTATTTTTCTCCGGCAGATGTTCCGTTGACTCCAAAATAAAGGGGCATGATGCTGGATATCTTTTAAAGGTCCACTACCCGAGGATAGCGGGGATAATCGAGGTGCCAGTCGTGTTCTTTAGAAAGAAATTCAAACTTTTCACTCTTCATCCCCCCCCCCCCCCCCAGATGCTCACAGTTCTTGAGAAGATCACTTAGTAGACACGCTTGAACGGAGGAACAGACTTGCACTCGGTCTCGTCAAGGGTGTTGTGCTCGACGGCACGGTATCCCAGTTCGACCTTGCCGTGGGGCTGCTTCTGCCAGGTAAGAGTATGCTTCATCCAGGTGGCGTCGTCACGGTCAGGGTAATCCTCGCGGGCATGGGCGCCACGAGACTCCTTGCGGTTGGCGGCGGCGACGGCAGTTTGGGTACTAAAAAAAAAAAAAAAGAGTTAGCGATTATGGACATTTGAGTGTGAGAAGAATACATACGCGCAAGTCAGGAGGTTGCGAAGCTCAAGAGTCTCAACGAGGTCGGAGTTCCAGATCATGCTGCGGTCCTTGGTGTTGACCTGGTCGAACATGCCATCGATCTTGGCGATCTTCTCGACACCCTCATCCAAGCTCTCCTGGGTACGGAAGACGCTGACATCGGTCTGCATGGTCTTCTGCATGGCCAGACGAATGTCGTAGCTGGACTTGGGGCCATCGGCAGTGCGGATGGTGTCGAGGTCCTGGATAGCCTGAGCACCAGCGTCGGAGCTGAGCTCACGGTGAGCCTTGCCGGGGGTGGCGGTGTCACGGACACGGTGAGACACAGCACGTCCGAAGACGACCAGATCCAGCAGGGAGTTGGCACCAAGGCGGTTGGCGCCGTGGACGGAGACGGAGGCAACCTCACCGCAGGCATAGAGACCAGGGACAATCTTGTCGTTTCCGTTCTCGTCGACGGTGATAACCTCGCCGGTGTACTTGGTGGGGATACCACCCATGTTGTAGTGGACGGTGGGCAGGACAGGGATGGGCTGCTTGGTGACATCGACACCAGCGAAGATGGAAGCGGTCTCGGAAATACCCGGCAGACGCTCGTGCAGGAGTTCAGCGGGGAGATGGCTGAGCTGGAGGTAGATGTGGTCCTTTTCAGGACCAACACCACGGCCCTCACGAATCTCCAAGGTCATGGAACGGGACACAACGTCACGGGAAGCCAGATCCTTGGCGGTAGGAGCATAACGCTCCATGAAACGTTCACCCTCAGAGTTGAGCAGGTAACCACCCTCACCACGGGAACCCTCGGTGATCAGACATCCAGCACCGTAGATACCGGTGGGGTGGAACTGCACGAACTCCAGATCCTGGTTGGGCAGACCGGCACGAGCGACCATAGCCTGACCGTCACCAGTGCAGGTGTGGGCAGAGGTACAGCTGAAGTAAGCACGTCCGTAACCTCCGGTGGCCAGAACAGTGTGATGAGCCTTGAAACGGTGCAGGGTACCGTCCTCCTGGTTGTAAGCGATGATACCGCGGCACTCGCCATCCTCCATCAGCAGATCGAGAGCGAAGTATTCGATGAAGTAGTTGGTGTTGTGGCGCAGGGACTGGCCGTACAGAGTGTGCAGAAGAGCGTGGCCGGTACGATCAGCGACGGCACAGCAACGGTAGGCTTGACCACCCTTGCCGTATTGCTTGGACTGACCACCGAACGCGCGCTGGTAGATGCGGCCATCCTCGGTACGCGAGAAGGGGCAACCGTAGCCCTCCAGCTCCCGAACACTAGCAGGAGCCTCTCTGGTCATGTAGTGAATGGCATCCTGGTCACCCAGCCAGTCAGAACCCTTAACAGTGTCGTACATGTGCCATCTCCAGTCATCCTCGTGCATGCTAGAAAAGGGAGGCACGGTCAGCAAAACGAACCTCTACACTTCCCCCGTTCCAAAATGCATTTTTTTTTAAAAAAAAACTTAGAAAAAAAAAAGAAACTTACTTTCCAAGGGCAGCATTGATACCACCCTGGGCAGCAACAGTGTGACTTCTCGTAGGGAACAGCTTGGAGATACAAGCAGTGTTGAAGCCGGCTTCCGCAAGACCGAAGGCGGCACGCAGACCGGCACCTCCAGCACCGACGACAACGGCATCGTACTCGTGGTCCTGACACCTGTCAATATCCCGATTCCATCGGCGTCAGCGGCGACTCAAGCTTACAATAATGGGGTATTTCTGCGAGATGTAGCCATTGGCCTCGCGGGCGCGCAGAGGCTGGTTTGCGAAGATCCGGGCTAAGATGGAAGGAGGATTAGCAACGGGGGAACTAGGAGACTTCGCGGGTGTCTCAGGGCGTACCAGCCGGACGAGTCGAGGAGAAGAGGCGTCTCTGGCTCAGAGCACGATGAACCTGCGAGACAACCAGTCGTCAGTACCAGGAGAAAAAAAAACCTATTCGCCGAGGGGCAGGACGGCGTCGAGAAGAAAGTCGAACGAACGCACCTTGGAGGCGGGAGCTAGGCTCCGCAAGCTCAGGGAGCTCATGATGGCAAGTCAAGTCAAATAAACAATGACAGGAATCAGCAGAGAACGAAACGCTCTCGTGCAAGGGGAGGGAGTGGAGTGGAAGAGCTGGCTGGTCTCTTTCTACCACAGGCTGAGTTCGATCTTCATCGATTCCGACGACCTGCGCGAAACCCGAAGCAAGCGGGCTGACATAATCATTCCTGGCTTGCCGACGGAGAAGACCGGGGCCGAGCGGGCCAATCAGGGCTCTTGCAGTGGTAATCACCTCGGGCGGCCGGCAGGAGTTGATTGGCTGGGGTGGGCGACGGCACGTGGTTTGCGCCTATACTTTTCCCGGCGGTGCTGCGACTCTTGATAGAGGAGGCGTTTCTCTGGCATTTAATTGATAATGGATGGGCTGTGGGGGTTACTGAAGAGGATTGCTATGAGATGGGGGAATTTCGCACGGGAAAACCTGAAATTGGAGGCATGGCTCTGCTCTACGCGGTGGCTTCACGCACCCAGAAACTCCCGACATTGTCCCGGCTAAAGTCACATGGTCTATGGTCACATGATTTATTAGTCACATGATATATATCACGTGATAGGAAGATGGTTTGTCCGTTGCTCCCGGTCATCACTGTTAATTACTGTATGAAAACACATCTACTCCAGCAGAATAGGTAGATTAATCCATTCATAGACCTAGTTAATAAGCTGATATGATCGTACATCCGTCCAACCATGCGATGCAACCCATGATGGTAGAAGAAGAGAGGTCGTCGTCGTCTAATTGTACTGCATGTATGTCGCAGTGGAGTTGAACTTCAGATTACCCTTGATCACCTTGTCCACGGCAGCCAGGAAGTCCTTCTCGGTCGCGACCTTCCGCCTGGCCCGGATGGCGAACATACCGGCCTCGGTCGCAACACTGCGCAGCTCGGCTCCCGTAGCGTTAGGGCACAGGCGCGAAATGAGCTCCCAACGGATGTCTCTCTCCACCGACATGCTCTTGGCGTGGATGCGAAGGATGTTGGCACGGCCGTCGACATCCGGCAGCGAGAACTCGATCTTGCGGTCGATTCGACCCGGACGCATCAGGGCGGGATCCAGGGTGGATGGCCGATTGGTGGCGAACATAACCTTGATGTTACCACGGGCGTCGAATCCATCCAGTTGGGTGATCAGTTCCAGCATTGTTCTCTGGACCTCATTGTCACCGCCAGCGCCGTCGTCGAAACGTGCACCACCGATAGCGTCGATTTCGTCGAAGAAGATGATGCAAGCTTTCTTTGTTCTGGCCATCTCGAAAAGCTCTCGCACCATCCGCGCACCCTCACCCACGTACTTCTGCACCAGCTCACTGCCAATGACACGGATGAACGTGGCATCTGTCCGGTTGGCCACGGCTCGCGCGCAGAGGGTCTTGCCTGTCCCGGGCGGTCCGTAGAGCAGGGCACCTTTGGGAGGGTCGATACCCAGGTTGACGAATCGTTCCGGCGACAGCAACGGCATCTCAACAACCTCTCTCAGCTTCTCGATCTGCTCTTTGCATCCACCCACATCGCCATATGTGACATCGGGCTTATCCTCAACCGTCATCATCGTCACGCTCGGGTCGATCTTGGGGGGGAGAGGCAACATGATCTGGTACTTGTTACGGTCCACACTGATCGATTAGTACGATCCATCATGGTGAAAAAAGCAGAGATCGATGCACTAATCCACTTACCCAACTCTCATGCCTTCTTCGATATCCGTAGGACTCACGCGTTCGCCGAGGTTCACCACGAACTTGGCAATCTGCTTGACGTTGATGACATATTTGCTCTTATCCGAGTCTTTTTCATCCTGAATGATTTTCGTACAGCGCGCGACTTGCAACGGTTGCTCCTCTGCCATCCGCTGTCGGTCCGCAGCAACATCCCACAGATGCGGAGGCGCCAGGCCTGTATCGGATTCCTAGCCCCAGTCAGCGATATTCCCTCCCTCCTCCCCCCATCTCAACACATGCAGCTCGGGACCCATACTTTTACCCCAATCTTCTCATTCACACTTGCTTGCTTGTCCTTGATCTGCTTTTCCAGGTTCTTCAACGCAGCGGCATAGGGAGCAGCACCGTAGGTCTTGAGCACTGCAATATCCCTACACATCCCAGTCAGCCATCCCATCCGCTTTCTATCTCGAAAAAGCTGGCCTCCAAGAAACTCACTCATCAGTCAAAGGCGTAATCTTCTTCTCTGGCTCGTCATCATCCGCGAAGGTCTTGCGGTACTTCTCCCAGTTCTCTCCCGTGGCGCTAGGCATGGTGAGAGTTGTAGGCACGGCAGCCGGGGCAACACAAGGGATGTTTGCGTCCAAGTAAAGATAAAAACAGATGAAGCGTCAGCAGAGAAACTTTCAGGACTATCGAAAAGCAATATCAACCGGCGTGCGTGGAGTAAGATTCAGCAGAAGTGACGAGTTGTTGCTGATGAAGCTCCGGCTGCGAGTTGGCGGTCGAGCTGTCCGTCACCGACGCTAGTGGCCCGCCAAGCATCCCGAGCACCCAAAGAAACAACTTCAGAAATTCCCCGTCGGGTTTGTGTCTTCGCCAACGCCACCTTCAGAGCTGTCTTACGCTTTCGTTGATCTGCTGATCGGGAGATTCTCAATATGGCGACCGCTGTCTCCCAGGGAGGCCTTGGCAACAGTGCCTTTAAGGTAGGTGAAGAGCGCAGCAGACTCGTGTGGGCTGGGTTCTGATAGCGAGCAGGACAAAGAGAAGCCCATGGCGGTGCGAACCTCGAATATCCTGGCTGCTAGAGGTGCGTACGATGATCTACAATGTATTACGACTTGGTTTCTAACGGTAGAGCAGCGGTTGCGGACGCCATCAGAACGGTAGGACTTGGTTTTGAGGAGGTTGAAATCTGAATGAGGGGCTAACAAGACCAGTCTTTGGGGCCGAGAGGAATGGACAAGATGGTGAGTGAATGAGGTTTATTATTTTTTTAACCTTTTCATTTTCAATGGAACTAATATATGAGTAGATTCAAACACCCAAAGGAAACACGATCATCGTACGAGTCCTCCGTGCCCCTCTGGCGAGTCTATAGACACTGACCCTGACACCCCGCAGACCAATGATGGAAACACCATGTTGAAGGATATGAGTGTGATGCACCCTGCCGCCAAGATGCTGGTTGATCTGAGTGCCGCCCAGGACGTCGAGGCTGGTGATGGAACAACCTCCGTCGTTGTCATCGCCGGTAGCTTGCTCGGGGCCGCTGAGCGACTGCTGACCAAGGGCATCCACCCCACCGTCATCTCGGAGTCTTTCCAACGAGCCGCCGCTGCCGCTGTCCAGATCCTGCATGGAATGTCTCGCCCGATCAACTTGACCGACCGTGGTACCCTCCTCCAAGCCGCGTCGACCTCACTCTCCTCCAAGATCGTGTCTCAGCACTCTGGTCTTCTCGGCCCCATGGCCGTCGACTCGGTGTTGAAGGTCATTGACCCCAAGACAGCGGACAATGTGGACCTGCGGAACATCCGCATCATCAAGAAGGTTGGCGGGACGATTGACGACTGCGAGATGATCGACGGGCTGGTGTTGAACCAGGGAGTGATCAAGAGCGGCGGAGGTCCCACACGGATTGAAAAGGCTCGGATAGGTCTGATTCAGTTCCAGCTCAGCCCGCCCAAGCCTGATGTATGGAATTGTTGCATTTCCTTTCTGTTTAATGATCGTATCTCTGGTGCTGACTGCGACTGCCTTCTAGATGGAGAACCAGATTGTCGTCAACGACTACCGCCAGATGGACAAGATTCTCAAAGAGGAGCGTCAATATATTTTGAACATGGTGAAGAAGATTCAGAAGACCAAGTGCAACGTTCTTCTGATCCAGAAATCGATCCTTCGTGACGCCGTCAACGAGCTGTCTCTCCACTTCCTCTCTCGTCTCAAAATCCTCGCGGTCAAGGACATTGAGCGCGACGAGGTCGAGTTCCTTTGCAAGAGCCTCGGCTGCAAGCCCGTTGCCAACATCGACTCTTTCACCGAAGACAAGCTGGGTACTGCCGACCTTGTGGAGGAGGTGCAGGCCTCCGGTGCCCGCTACGTCAAGATCACAGGCATCAAGGCCCCCGCCACGACGACCAACCAGACGGTCTCGATCGTGGCTCGCGGTGCGAACAGCCTCATCCTCGACGAGGCCGAGCGCTCCCTGCATGACGCGCTCTGTGTCATCCGTTGCCTGGTGAAGAAGCGTGCTCTTATCGCCGGTGGTGGTGCTCCTGAAGTGGAGGTAGCCCATAGCCTGGCCCTCCGCGCGCGAGAACTGACCGGAACGGAAGCCATCTGCTGGAAGGCCTTTGCGGAAGCCATGGAAGTCATCCCCACCACCCTTGCGGAGAATGCTGGTCTCAACTCCATCAAGGTCGTCACCGAGCTGCGCCACCGCCACGCCCAGGGCCAGCACAACGCCGGCGTCAGCATCCGCAGCGGCGGTGTCAAGGACGATATCACGGAAGAGAACATCCTGCAGCCTCTCCTGGTCAGCACCAGCGCCATCGAGCTGGCTGCCGAGACGGTCAAGATGATCATGAGGATCGACGACATTGCTCTCTCCAGGTAAAAAGGAAAAGTTGTATATGAAGGCTGTCTATCATCACGAATAATTCCATATAAAAAATAAGCCGCGACTTGAATAGAATATTCCTTTTGCCTTGATTTCTACATAATTTTTCGTCCAAGTAACAGTATTTAGACCCTTCAGCAATTCTCAACACTGGGTTATCATCTACTCCATATCCCTTAAGGAGATAATTCTGTTGATTTTATTCAATATCATGCCAAATAATATTCAGATTTGTTCACACCATAAAAAGCCAGAGTGATAGAGAATCTATATATATTACTCTGTGGATAGCAATAGCTCTATTGACAGAAACAGTTCTCAATAAGACAGGGTTCTCTCGTAATCCTATCAATCATTGACAGCCATTTCGTACCGCTGTTTGGTGTCTCCACCTGAAGCTGTTGCTTATCTGCCTGGCCTGTCTGTCTCTCTCACTCATCCCCCGCCTGTCACTCCGATCTGGGCGAGTTTTAAGGCAGCCAGTCCATCCTCTTAATGAGGACGAAGGATGGTTCTTTTTTGATAACTTCCCGCTGCTGATTATACCCGTTGCGAGATCCTGGGCTGCCCCCCTTGTATGTGTCGTGTCTTATCTCTCGTTACCGACTCCTGGGCTGCCTGGTCTTCTTTGTTCCTCTATAAACATTAGGTACGAAACATACGAACAATGGGAAAGCCAGAGACTACACCATTGAAGCGAACGGCTTCCTCTGCCTCGCTATCCAGCACGTCGACCGCGTCGTCGCTCTCCGACGAATCGGCGTTTCTCGCTGACGACTCCCTACCCCAGCCGCGAGACACGGTCGGAATGAACAGCGGAGAGGACCGATACCGCGATATTGAAGATGGGGAAGGAGATCCGGAGGAACCGTTTCTGCCTGTGCGTCCCAAGAAGGCTTCCGGAAGCCGTTCACGACGCGTGCTGTGGGTGTTGGGGATGCTTTGTGTGGGAGGCTGGGCGCTGGCGTTCCTCCTCTTCGTGACACAGGGCCACGGCACGGCCAGCACGGCGGCAACAGCAACGACAGCCTACGATCCAGACTCTGCTACGGGGAGCACAAACTACGGGAGGCCCGTGACGCTGGACCAGGTTCTCGGCGGGGAGTGGTCGGCTCGTCGCCATGCTATCTCGTGGATTGCCGGGCCGAACGGAGAAGACGGGCTTCTGGTGGAGAGGGGGGAAGGAGGGGATAAAGGATACCTGCGTGTTGAAGATATACGCAGTCGCAAGGAGGGAGCTGAGGCAGCGGCACAGAGCAGGGTGTTAATGAAGGATTCCTTCCTGCGTGTGGGCGATCGGATGGTCGCGCCGAGCGACCTCTGGCCCAGTCCGGACATGGAGAGTGTCCTGATCGTCTCGGACAGGGAGAGTAACTGGAGACACTCCTTCTTCGGCAAATACTGGATTCTTGATGTCAAGACTCAGACCGCTCAGCCTCTCGACCCGAGCAATACCGAGGGACGGATCCAGTTGGCTCTCTGGGCGCCAACGTCCGATGCCGTCGTCTTTGTTCGAGACAACAACATGTACCTCCGGAACCTAGCTTCTACCGAGGTGATCCCCATCACGAAGGATGGTGGAGAAGATTACTTCTACGGCGTGCCTGACTGGGTCTACGAGGAGGAGGTGTTTGCTGGGAGAAGTGTGACGTGGTGGTCGAGTGATGGCAAATACATCGCCTTTCTGCAAACCAACGAATCGACGGTCCCTGAATACCCTGTCCAATATTTCCTGTCTCGCCCGTCTGGCACGAAGCCTCTTCCTGGCCTGGAGAACTACCCGGAGGTCCGTCAGATCAAGTACCCCAAGTCCGGTGCGCCCAACCCGGTTGTCGCACTGCAATTCTACGACGTAGCAAAGAACGAGGTCTTCTCCGTTGATATTCCAGGCGACTTTGCTGACGATGACCGGATCATCATCGAGGTGTTGTGGGCCTCCAAGGCCAAGGTTCTTGTCCGGGAAACCAACCGCGAGAGCGACGTGTTGAAGCTGTTTCTCATCGACACAGAATCAAGGAGCGCCAAGTTGGTCAGATCGGATGATGTGGCAGGTCTGGACGGTGGCTGGGTTGAGCCCACTCAAAGCACCAGGTTCATCCCGGCGAATCCTGAACGAGGTCGGCCTGACGATGGATATATCGACACCGTCATCCATGAGGGCTACGATCACCTGGCTTATTTCACCCCTCTTGACAACCCCAATCCCATCATGCTCACCTCCGGAGAGTGGGAAGTGGTCAATGGTCCCTCGGCGGTGGATTTGGAGAGAGATCTCGTTTACTTTGTAGCGACAAAACAGGCCCCGACCGAACGTCATGTGTATCGGGTCAAGCTGGATGGATCTGGATTCCAGGCTCTGACGGAAACTTCCAAAGCCGGATACTACGGCGCCTCCTTTTCGCACGGGGCTGGATACGCGCTGGTCAGCTACCAGGGCCCCTCGGTTCCCTGGCAGTCGTTGATCAGCACCCAAGGGGCTGAAGCCGTGACGGAGGAGGTGATCGAAGAGAATCCCGAGCTCTCACGCAAGGTGAAAGAATACGCTCTCCCCATCGAGATCTACCAGAATGTGACGATCGATGGATATACCTTTCAAGTGGTTGAGCGGCGCCCCCCGCACTTCAATCCGGCGATGCAATACCCCGTCCTCTTCCACCTCTATGGCGGGCCAGGCTCACAGACGGTCGATCGGAAATTCACCGTTGACTTCCAGTCTTACGTTGCGTCCAACCTCGGGTATATCGTCGTCACCGTTGACGGGCGAGGGACCGGCTATATTGGCCGCAAAGCCCGGTGCAGCGTCCGTGGGAACCTGGGCTACTATGAGGCTCATGACCAGATCGAGACGGCCAAGATCTGGGCCAGCAAGAAGTACGTGGATGAGACTCGGATGGCTATCTGGGGATGGAGCTTCGGAGGCTTCATGACTCTCAAAACGTTGGAGCAGGATGCTGGCGAGACGTTCCAGTACGGGATGGCCGTCGCACCCGTCACGGACTGGCAGTTCTACGACTCCGTCTACACAGAGAGGTACATGCACACGCCTCAGCATAACCCGGAAGGGTATGCGAACTCTACCATCTCCGACATGTCCGCCCTGCAGAAGAACACTCGGTTTCTCGTCATGCATGGTGTCTCGGACGACAACGTGCACTTCCAGAACACCCTTGCCCTGCTCGACAAGCTGGATTTGGCCAGTGTCGAGAACTATGATGTCCATTTCTTCCCTGACTCGGACCATAGCATCTACTTTCACAACGGCCACACGATGGTCTACGAACGTAAGTATACTTTCCCCCCGGTTTATGGAACTATCTGTGCTAACTGCTCAGGTCTTGCAAGCTGGCTGATCAACGCCTTCAACGGTGAATGGCATCGGATCGCCAACCCTACGCCAGACGACTCGATGTGGGCACGTGTGAAACGGGCCTTTTCTCTTTCTTGAATCAGTGTACAGTTGTATATACACCATAGGGCCATGTACGGCAATCTCTTGCTACTTCCTGCTTGTATACCATATCATAACATGTATTTTGGATTCAGGCGTACCGCCGCATTCCAGTGGCAATGGCCTGCCGCAGCAGCCAACTGGTTTTTCCACTGAGGTTAAGGTATTTACCCGGGCAAACTGTAGCAGCAGATCTTCAGGACCTGCTCCTATGTCTAGTCGAAGTCTACATATCGACTAATCTCGAAGAGTGCACATGCCGGAGAGTCTACTCTGTTGTAAAACAGCTCATCTCCAATGCCTAGAGAGCCTACACTCCGGCCTCCCCCTCCTATCATGGACTTCATGGTCGGTTGGATCTGTACTCACAGAGCCGTGAGCACCTGGACGAACGGTACGATGCCGCCGAAAAAGCTGAAGCTGCCTTGGCCAAGACCGGATCTGCAATACGCATTCATAAGACCTGACGTGTGACGCAGCAAGACATCACGTTCTTCCAGCCGCAGACACGAGCTACCCCGCTCTATCCAACATCCTGGTCAAGCAGTTCTCTCGTTGTATATTGCTACAAACCCACAAAAAATGGCTTCTGATCTTCGCTCCACGTATCAAGGAGCAAGCATCGACAGCGACGGGGACGTTCGTTGCAAGTGCGGGTTCGACCTGCGCACGTCCACCGTGAACAGCGAGAAGAGCCCGTTCTGTGGGAAAAGGTGTCAGTCAATGCCTAATGCTCTGGGTTTTACATCACTGAGGTTTATCATAGATATGACATGCAAGCAAAGGAGAAGAAACGAGGAAGGATGTCGGATTTATATCTGGAGCGACGAGCTTCCTCGGATAAAGCGGCTACTGCCTCGATTCTCAGAGCCCAAGACACCGAAGAAGACAGCAGATATCCGACGGTTTGGCATCGTGACTCCATCAAGCTCGAGGAAGACTCCGCGAAGTGAACAGGGTCATGATGTCTCTACGCAGAAGAAGCGATCATTGTTTACGTCTCCCGGACAAGACTCCAAACGGGCAAAGATCTTGACGACGCCGCCTGGATCGCCGTGTCCGCCGTCCAACAAGTTTGATGGCATCGCGTCTCCAAGGTCAGGAGAGTCATCCTACCAGGGGAAGTCATGCCGATGGGAAGAATACCAGAAGGATTTACTCCGAACACCGAGCAAAGTGAGGCCAAAGAAGACGGTAGAAGAGGAAGATCTTTTATCAGACTGGGAGGATGCTGTTCTCTCCGAGGTGATTCGAATTGCTGACGGGATGAATTAGAATGAATATATGTGCCTAAGGTCTATTCTAGTAGACTACATACATTTGACTGCTTCTACTGTACAAGAGAGGAGACTAATCCAGCTTATCTTTTCTCACTCCCTCCTCACTCTTTCTCTCCATCTTCTGGTGCTGCTTGCTCACCCTCCTTCTCCTGAGCCTCTACATCCTGAGTCTCCGGTTTGTCCTCTTTCTTGATGGTGCGCCATTCCATGCCCAACGCACTCACCAACCCACCCAGCGAGACGCCCATGGCAGCCAGGAAGATGCGGGTAATGGCATAGTTGTACGCAGAGCGCACGGCGACCTTGTCAGCGTCTGGCACCAGATCGATCAAGCCGGTTGTTCCACTGCTGGAGATGGTGCTGGCGTCCAGACCGGGCACGATGCCCTGTAGGCGCGAGACAAGCATGTTTTCCAGCATGTTCTCACCGACGGCACTGAAGACGGAACCCCCGAGCTGCTGCAGGAAGAACAAGAGGGCGATGCCGAGGGGGATATCGTCAGCAGGCAAGATGCGCTGGACGACCAGGCCGGAGATCTGCAGACCGAAGCCCAGACCGAAGCCCGACAGGAACTGGAAACCGACCCAGCGCGACATGCCTGTATTGAGATTGAAGGTGGAGAGGAGGCCCAGGCCGGTGGCCAGGATGGTGGGACAGATCAGCATGGCGGGCACGTAGTAGCCTAGGATCTGGGTGGTGATGCCGCCGGAGAAGGTCGACACGATCATGCTCAACATGAGGGGGAACATGTCGACTCCGGAGCGAGTCGAGCTGAAGCCTTTGACGGTTTGAACTGTTGATCAGCATCGATATTGACAGGGTAAACTGTAAAGATTGACGTACACCATTCCGGGATGTAGTAGATCATGAGAATCATCCCCCCCGACACGCAGAAGGTGTACAAGGCGGCACAGAAGATACTCCGCTGCATGACGATCTTGGGAGGAATCGTCGCACTGTCCGGCAGGTATGCCTGGACGGCGCCGTACGCGATGAGAAGCACGCCAAAGACGACCAGCAGGGCGATGACCCGCCCGTTGTTCCAGGCGTATGTTGTGCCTCCCCACTGCAGCGCGAGGATCAGACACGCCATGGCGGGAATGAAGAACAGCATTCCCAGCGGATCGAGGCGTTTGAAATGGGTGAACGGAGAGACAGCCGGGCGAGGTCTGGCGGGGGGATGCCAGACCAGCAGCATGAAGACCCACGAGACGGCACCGATGGGGAGGTTGATATAAAAGCACCATCTAGAACAGCAATCAGTATTCATCAATAAGTAAAAGTAAGAGATGAAAATACCTCCATGTAACCCCCTGGGTAAATCCACCACCGATCAAAGGCCCCAGGACAGAAGCAACCCCAAAGATCATGCCGAACATGCCCTGGAATTTGGGCCGGATATGCAACGGCACCATGGGAATGATGACCAGCATACAGCCCGAGAAGATGCCGGCGCCGGCAAAGCCGGCGATGGCACGTCCGGCGATGAACGCGCCGGAGTTGGGGGCTGCACCGCAGAGAGCAGAACCGGCCTCGAAGACGACAATGGAGGCCAGGAAGGTGTATTTCATGTTGTAGAACTTGTAGAGTCGGCCGTAGATCAACTGCCCGACGGCGCTGGTCAACATGTACGCCGAGACGTACCAGCCGATGTCTTGCAGGGCATGGAACTCGTCGGAGATCTGGGGGATGGCGGTGGTGATGATGGTGCGGTCGAGGGCGACAACGAAGAGGGCAAGAAGATTGCAGGCGATGACCAGCCAGAACTTGACGGTTTGGGGCTTGTACAGTCGGTCGTCATGGGGGTCATCTTCGCGGGTGTAGGAGGGAGATTCGGGGGGTCCTGAGTCAGTAGTCATGATGAAGATGAGTTGACAGATGTGACAGTTGACAATTGAGACACTAGAAGAGTTGGTTAACCTGGGATACTGTCTACTTTATGTATTCTGTCTTCTGTCTGTCTTCTGTCCGTCGGTTGCTTCGGGTAGAAGAGATACCCGGTATTAGGGTTAGGGTTGGTTAGGGTTAGGGTTGCAGACATTAACACAGATAATTGTCTATTATATTATATAAATATATTATACAATAGAATATAGAATAGAATATAGAATAGAATATATTCTATATTCTATAATATATATAGAATATATAATAGACAATTTATTTTGCAGAGCAACCCTTGTATCTACAGTCCTCCGTACTCGGGTACTTCATACCCGGACTTTACCCGTACTGACCCGTACTTGACCTGTACCACTCCAGACAAAGACTCATTCTCAACAAACAACGTGAACGAGATGAAAAAACTCCCTCGAGGCCAGTCGTGCATGCTGTGTCAACAGCGAAAAGTGCGCTGCGACCAGCAGAAGCCGTGCGACACCTGCGTGCGCGCCAAAGTCGAGTGCACCGTGGTGCCGCTGCTGCCTCCCAAGCCGCGGCGCACCCGGCAGTCGCTCGACCGCGCCGTGATGGACCGGCTGCATCGCTGCGAGACTCTGCTGGCCCAGCACGGCGTGGATGTCGAGCGGGAGCTGCCTGGAAGCTCCAAGGAGAGCTCCAGTCCGGCGAGTCCGGGCGAGGGGACTCCGCGGGCGAAATGGTTTCCATACTATAAGGAGGTAAGTAACCCTAGGGTTATAACCCTAGGGTTGTGGTTTAACCCTAGGGTTAAGGGTCCAGTGTAAATCTAGGGTTAAACCACAACCCTAGGGTTATAACACTAAGTACAACCCTAGGGTCTAACTGCTTCAGTATCAAACAACAGATGAACTATTACGATACTCATCCGACGACGAATCCGACCAACCAACCATCCACCACGGCTTCGACGCCATGTTCGACGACTCGGACGGCTTCCCCCTGGTCCTCGCCGGCAGCGACAAGATCGCCAGTCTACACCCGCCCGGCCTGGAGATCCTGCAGCTGTGGCAGGTCTATCTCCAGCGCGTCGACCCTCTGCTCAAGATCACCCACCAGCCCACGCTGCAGGCCCAGATCGTCGCTGCCAGCGCCAACCCGACCGCCATCCCCAAGCCGCTCGAGGCGCTCATGCTGGCCATCTATCTGATCTCCGTGCATGCCATGGCCGACCAGGAGGTCCAGGAGATGTTCCACGAGCCCAAACCGCGCCTTCTGGCCCGCTATCATCGTGCCACGCAGCAGGCGCTCGTCAATGCAGCCTTTATGCGTTCTCAGGAACTGATGGTTCTCCAAGCCTACCTATTATACTTGGTACTCCTACCTTTCTCATCCTTTTAAGTCATTCTTCTAATTCTTTCATCTTTCAGTTCAGTTCCAGTAGTTCGGTCGACCCCCGTTCCCTGTTCTGCCTGGTAGGCATTGCGCTGCGCATCGCCACTCGTCTCGGCCTGCATCGCGACTGTGCGCGGTTCGGCGTCTCGCCCTTTGAGACGGAACTGCGTCGCCGTCTGTGGTGGCAGATTGTCATCTTCGACGCGCGTCTGGCCGAGATGACGGGCTCGCCCATCACGGCCCTCACCACGCTCCCCACCGACTGCTGTCTGCCTCTGAACGTCAACGATCCGGACCTGCATCCCTCTGCTAAAGAGGCGCCCGCCCCCGCCGGCGGTGCCTCGGAGATGCTCTTCAGTCTCTCGCGGGTTGAACTCACGGTTGGTCCGACCGCGACGGCTCGCGCGCGTTCTGGAACCAGCGTGGAGCACGAGGGAGAAAGAGAAGGAGGAGGAGAAAAGGAAAAGGGGACAGGTCTGGACGGATACGCCACGTATATCGATCTTGCGTATCTGCAACACTGCGACCCGACAATCCCCATCCAACAATTCACCCTTCTCATGGCCCGCGGGACGCTCTGCAAACGCCGGATCTTCCGCTTCATGTGTCGCGGGGTGCCCAGCTCGACCCTCTCGCTGCCAGACCGGGATGCTCTCCTCCTCGCCGCCATCCAGATGGTCGAGTACGACACGGCGGTATATACAACGTCAACCCTGCGTGGGTTCCGCTGGTACGCAGACCTACATGTCCCCATGCTGGGTTCGATCTTCATTGCGAGCGAACTGCGTCTCCGGCCTCGTGGAGAGCTCTGCGAACGGGCCTGGAAGGCTCTAAGTGAGAACCAGCAGCAGAGGGGAGGAGGCAGCAGGGAGCCACAGAACAAGAAAAGAACCAGTCCCATGCATGCTGCGTTTGAACATGCCCTTCTCAGAGCGTGGGAGGCATACGAACAGGCCGTTCTACAGGGCGGAAGCAGCAGCAGCAGCAGCAGCAGCAGCAGCTCGCAGAGACAACCGCCGCCATTAATCGTGCAGATCAGAGCTGCCAGAGAGGAAAGTCATAGTGAAACAGGCAGTTTCTCTCTCGATCCAACAATGGCGTTTGACCCGATGACTGCCCAGCTCACTCCTTCTTCTCCTTTTCTCTTTGACGGCTCTGGTCAGGGCTTTGGGCCGGCGATCCTGGATTATAGCCAGCTGGACTGGACGTATTTGATGGGGGGGTCATAGTAGACCTTTAGTATCAGACTGACAATCACTTCTTAATTGATTATAATATAGTTTGTCAGCCAGTTGTTACCTGAACTGGATATAAATCATTTTAGGGTTAGGGTTATCAATGCTTAATCATGTTCTGTCATTGGTATGATCTGTTAGTTGAGTTATATTATTACAGCATGTGTATATATAGTTGTTGTCTTAGTTGAATATCAAATCAATAGACTGCAGCCATCTCATGCGGGCTAGGTTAGGTCAGGATTCTTTACAGATTATCTCATCAAGGGACAGTCAAGAAAGTAAAGAGAGAAAGGTAAAGCTGTTGGAGATCATCGTTAGAATTATAAGAAGTCTACTGGATATGCTGATTAGTTATTGCAGTATAGAAGATGAGCCCAATACCCTTACTATGTGAGGGAGCTCAAGAGGGGGCTATAATTATTATTATAATTAAAATATTATAGAGTAGAGCTATAAATTAAACCTGCTAGACCTATGGCCCTCTATAATAAGACTTGTCTATATACTCAGGTCTGTTGGCAGCCACTCCAGACCTACGGCCCTACATTCATAATTAGAAAAAAGGTCAGTAAAGGATAATAGAGGTAAGAAAAAGGGCGACTTTATGGACCTTTCTAAATAAGAATACATCTTAGTGCTAAGAAATTGATATTTCTATATAACAGAGTATAATTCACCTATAAGTGTTAATCAATAATATTAAGGATAATAAACTATATTCTTTATATTCCTCTAATTTAGCTACTTATACTATATATTATATAATATTTAATCCTACTATTCTATATAGTCTTGACTATATTCTCCTTTAATGACAGATAAGGATAAACTATCATTAACCATTATCATTATAATACTTAATCATCCATAGCCCTTGCTAGAAACATACTCATCTGGCTCACTGCCGGCGCTTTGAGCATCGTGAAATGGTTTGCCTGCTGCAACACTTGGATATGCATATTCTCCCTCCCAACCAAGACATCCCACCCATTCTCCCTGAGGGCTGTCTCTGCCCGCCGTCTCAACAGCCAGTGCACATTTGGCGGATCCTCCGGCCGGATGACAATCGACTCATCATCGTCGACTCCCTCCTGCGCCCAGATCACCCACGTCTGCAGGGGAGAGAATCCCATGAACGGTTTAGGAGTGTACGTGTGTAGGAGATCGACAAAACCCTGGAAATGAGACAGCAGCCAGGAAGGAAGAGGACGATTCTTGTTGGAGGAGGATGCGGTATCTGCACCAAACACGCCCAGACGAGTAAACTCCTCGTACAGACGGAGCGGCAGCTTTGCCAGACGGATGGGATTCGGACTGTCCATCAGGATGAGGCGGGAAACCGTCTCCCCATCCGCCACGAGGCGTTGGGCCATCTCGTACGCGCAGATCCCGCCTGCAGACCATCCGCCGAGAAAGTACGGTCCGTGAGGTTGTCGGCGACGCAGTTCGACCAGATACGCGTCGATGAGCTCGGCAAAGGAGCGGCGCGACATGGCGAGATCGTCTCGTTTGACGAACGGGCTGTTCAGTCCGTACACGGCCACGCTGGATGGGTGGATGTCGATGTCTGGCAGGGTGAGGTATGCTGTTGCTAGACCGGAGCCGTCGGGGGCGAGCCATAGCGTCTTGGAGGCTTGAGGATTGCCTTGGAGGAGGACAGAGCTGGCGGGGGGGAGAGGAAGCTTGTCATTCACATCAACCACACTGGACTGGCTGGAGGGCGTATCGAGAGAGTCCATCTCGGGAGACTCCATCTCGGGAGAGTCTGTCTGTGAATCTCCCACGATAAAGTGGATGACTTCTCTCACGGTCAAAGAGTTCATAAAGGCCGTGGATGGAATCTTCACGTTGAACTCCTCCAAGATGCGGTCGGCCATGGTCAGCGCCAGCAGCGAGTCCACGCCGAGGTCCACCAGGTCGTCGTCGTCTGTGAGGTCTGTCAGCGAGACTCCGACCTCCTCGGCGACGAGCCTTCGAATTGAGTCTTGAGGTTTGACAGGAGAGACAGGAGGGATAGACATGGGGGGGATGGTAGGTGTCATGGAAACCCTAGGGTTATTAACCCTAGGGTTGGAACCAAAGTCCATAACCCTAGGGTTAGGTTGTACCGCGGTAACCCTAGGGTTATTTGTAGAGGTAACCCTAGGGTTAGGACCCGGGTTAGAACCCGTGCTTAGGGTTTGGATGAGACGATCAAAAACACTCCGACGGAGAACATTAAAGACAACCCCCTCGTACATGCCAACAATGTCTCCATCTCCATTGAAGATGTACAGATCGCCCGAATACGCCGACTCATGCTGCTGCATCTTGACGTAGGTGCGGTACGTGGTGTCCGGGGCCAGCGGCGTCAATAGCCTCATACACCCCCATCCATGATTGATAAACACCTGCGTCTCCGTGTCGAGCGTCTCGTTCCCGTTGAGGGTGAAGCCGGTGATCTGGCCCAGACTCTCGATCCAGTACGGAGGACAGCCACCCCAGTGTTCTGCTTCGTCTGGCGGCGTGTTGAATCTGATCCGGGCAGTGCATTCCAGGCCGGCGGAGTGCATGAGGAGTTCGCGAAGACCACAGAACGCCTCGTCGTACTGCACCAGCGACGAGAAGAGCCGGTAGAACAGCGCAGGCCGGAGGAGCTGGACTGCGCCGGCGTCGGTGTCGTCGTCGTGCAACCCTCGCTGCAGCTGGTCGATCCGCGCTGTGACGAGGAATCGCCTCCGTTGCCACTCTGCCTTCCACGCGCTGGTGGGCGTAAACGAACCGGTGCATCTTGCATGCTGTTCCTTGCGCTGACCATCGGGCGAGACGCTGTGGAGGGTGAATTGGGCGGTTCGCGATGTCCAGTTCGCCGTCGCGTTCAGCTCGATCCATTGCGCCGGCATGGGTTCTGTCTCATCGAGGAGAAGCGCCTTGTCGACCACCATATCCGCTACACTGACGCCCAGAGAGCCATCGGATAGAGACGATCCGTCCAACAGCCGGGTGAACAGCGTCAGCGCCATGTCGGCGTACACCGACGACGGACACATCGGCCGGCCGTTGATGCGATGGCCACGCAGCACCGCCATCAGGCGCGGATACTTGACGTTCGACCGTGCCGTGATGGAGCTCTCGTTAGGGTTGTGTGTTTCCTGGATGATCTTCTGCACCGAAGCCGTCAGGGGTTCCTCTGCTTCCTCTGGCTCCTCTGGTTCCTCTGGTTCCTCTTCCTTCATCGCCACCGGGGGATCCCCCTTGGTCAAACACCAGTCGTGTCGGTAGGGAATCCAATACTCTTTAAGATCCCATTGGTATGCCGGCAATGGGAGGACTCGCCATCCCTTACCAAAGCCACAATGGTATTCCCCCCAGTTGACAGCCACGCCGGCCGTGTATAGCGCCGCGAGGGTCGAGACGATGGTCGCCCAGTCGCCCTCGCTGCGACGCAGACTGGGAAGAACCTGAACGCCAGCGCCGATGCTGGTTCGCAGCATGTTGGCGCAGATCGGATGCGGTCCAACCTCGAGCCACACCGTGCGGGCTTCTACCCCCTGCAGCGCCGAGGAGAAAGCCACCGGTTCGCGACAATGACGAGTAAAGTAGCCTGCTGGGTCGTCTTTTAGATCGGAGAGGGAGCGAACTGCGCGGCCGAGCAGGGAGGAGAGCAGAGGAATCTTGGGTTCACTGAAGGTGATCGCCCGACAGCGCTGGCGGAAGCCATCGAGCATGGCCTCGACCTGCGCCGAGTGAAAGGCAAACGGCACAGACACGCGAGTGGCCTTGATGGACTGTCGGGAGAGTCGCTGGACGAGACTGTCGATGGCGGTGGTTGGGCCTGCGACGACAGTATCTTGCGGTCCGTTGATGCAGGCAATCTCTACCTCTACCCCGGCTTCCATCCCCAGTATCTCCCCTGCCACTCGCGGTGACACCTTCATGGCCAGCATGGCGTGAGTTCCAGCTGTGCAGTGTTTCTGTAGCAGCATCGCCCGCGTGCCGACCAGGTAGATCGTGTCTGCGTCGGAGAGCATCCCCGCCGTGTTCATCGCCGCGTATTCGCCCAGACTGTGTCCGATGACCAGCTGGGGGATGATCCCCAGGCTCTGCCAGTATTTGGCCAATGCCATCTGCAGGCAAGTCTGCGTGAGCTGGGCTTGAACAGGCGACAGTTCATCGAACGGGATGCTGCCGTCCAGAACAGACAGCACAGACGGGAACTCATGCAGCCGTACAAGACCTTCCAGATGGACCAAGAGAGCCCGCAAAGGTGGCATCTCCAGCAGTTGGCGGCCCATGCCTACATACTGCGCTCCCTGCCCGGTGAAGCAGAAGCCGATGGGAGTGTTGCTGCTGCTCACACCGGTGGCAGGACTGGTCTCGGCGTAGAGAGCATCGCGGATGTCTCGGATCGAGCTTCCAGTCACCATGACACGAAAGGAATGATGCATGCGCCGGGCGGTTGTCGTAAAAGACAGCGAACTAATGGAGAGATCGCCAGCTTGGTCAAGATGTTTCTGTAGTGCGCGGATATTGCCCTGCAAAGCTGTTTTCGTCCGAGCAGAGACCGCAACAAGATGCACCGGGCGTGGATCTGTCGGCTTCTCGTCCATCTGCACAGGAGCATCTTCCACCAGGACAGAGGAATTCCCCCCCGCTGCGCCAAAGTTGTTGACAAACGCGCGCCGACCGTGGGGGGCCTCGCTGGGCGGCGGGCGCGACCACTCCGTCTCCTTGAACGCGATGTGCACATTGCGCTGCGCCAGATCGGACGGGAAATTGCGATTCATGCACGTCGTGATGCCGACATGCGGCGGAATGCGTCCATGCTGCATCATCAGCAAGACTTTGATCAGCGATGCGGCGCCCGACGCCGACTCCGCATGGCCGATGTTAGCCTTTGCGGAGCCGAGATACAGCGGCGCGGGCCGGGCCGCTACCGCTACCGCCTTCTCCCCCGCCGCTGCCGCCACCGCCGGGGCAAACACATTCAACACGGCGTCCATCTCGCACGCGTCGCCTGCCTGTGTGCCTGTGCCGTGCATCTCGACGTAGCTGATTTCGTGGCGGTCGATTCCCGCGCCGGCCAAGACGCGCGCAAAGATGGCGCGTTGTGCGCCCGAGTGCGGCCGCGTCATCGACACCGCCTCGGCCGAGTGGTTGGTGTACGCGCCCAAGATGGTGCCGAAGACGGGATCGCCGTCGCGGAGGGCATCGTCCAGCCGTTTCAACACGAGAGTCGACACGCTCTCCGCGCGACAATACCCGTCGGCCGAGTCGTCAAAGGTGCGACAGTTGCCCGTCGGCGAGAGGAAGTGCGCGCGATCCAATCCCGCCCAGTTGTCCGGGTTGGTCAGCACATTCGTGCCCCCCGCCAGCGCGGTGTCACAGTCTCCGCGCCAAAGACAGTTGCACGCCATATGCAGCGCTGCCAGACTCGACGAACACGCCGTGTCGACGTCCAGACTCGGCCCGCTGAAGCGCCAGTGGTAGTTGATGCGCGCGGGGAGAAACGCCCGACTCCCGCCCGGAACAAAGTACGTGTCGATGTCCTGCCCGCTGTTGCATTCGCGGTAATCGTCGCTGGCGGTGCCGTAGAAGACTCCCACGCGGTCGCGCTGCGTCGAGGGCGAAGCGTCGGGGACCATCCCGGCCATCTCCATCGCCTCGTACGCGGTCATCAGGGCCAGTCGTTGGGCGGGATCGGCCTGTTCGGCTTCCCGCGGGGACAGACCGAAGAAGCGCGCGTCGAACAGCGCCGGGTTCTTGAGAAAGCATCCATGTCGGACCCGGCTGGTGTTCTTGCGTTTGCCCGTTGCGTCGTAATACAGCCATGCGTCGAACCGCTCGCGGGGGATCTCCCTGTGCACGTCGCGGCCGGCGCGCAGCAGTTCCCAGAACTCCTCGTTGCTGTCTGCGTCGGGATACCGGCCGGAGAAGCCCACGATCGCAATCTTCTTAGCCCTGGATGCGCCGGTTTCTGTCGTCCTTGCCGCGACGGTAGTATCCACGAGGCGCAACCCGTGTTTGGCAAACGGAGTGACAGCACTGCCCGCTGCAAAGGGGAGAACGGCTGTCTCGGCGGATGATGAAAGAGAGTCAATCGCCTGTTCCGTCATACGATTCCACTGCATCGGCTGCGTCAGGATCTCGGCAATCGCGATGCGAAGCAGGTCGGCAGCGACATTCACCTCGCCAATGACCTGTCCATCCACATTGGACAAGACATGCAGACGGACAGGTCGAGCGCAGATCACACCCTCCGCCAGTGCCTTGGCTTCGTCCGCCGTGTACAGATGCGACGCGTGGAACAGGCCCCGAACAGCGATCGACGCTGTCCGCAGATGCGCATGGCGGGCGCGGAACCGCTCCAGATGCACGGGGGGCCCGGAGATGGTGACGGTTTCATGGCCCTCCGCGCTGCGATACAGTCTCGTCGCAGCGGGGAGACCCTCGGACTCGGCATATGCAGCGAGCAACGGTTCCATCTCGTCCGGGGAAGCATTTGCCACCACCATGGAATGGCACGATCCCGCGGCAGGGTCGAGGGTCACCGCCGTCGTTCTGGTCTGCACCAGGAGCCCGATGCGAAAGGCCAGGGCGACCATGTCTGGAGCCAGGACAAGCAGCTCGGCAATGCTTTGGCTGCAGCTGATCGCGGTGGCGGCCAACAGACCAATGCAGCGGCCAACAATGACAGACCGTGATGGTTGGGGGTATTCGGCTCCAGTATCGATGATGTATCTAGAAAGTCAACCTATCTTAATCTGTAGCTATAGATCTATAGTATAAGAGGATCTTACGAGACAAAAGCAGCCATCTGGCTGAGACAGACCAATGCACTGTCCAATGCACAGCTGGCAGACGGGCAAGTCTTCTCCCCCTCCAGCAGCTCGTCGAGGGAGGCCAGCTTGGCTACAGCTGGCCTCTGGGAGCTGGGGAGGCCGATGATCTCGCGCGTCAGGGCTTTGTGGCTCTCGGCCAGCAGCATCGCGAGCAACGGGCTATCCTTTCGCAGAAGTCTCTGGAGGTCATCTCCATAAGGCACCGCCTGGTCACCGAAAAGAATGAGCTGTAGCATGACTAGAGTTATTGAACCTATAAGGTATTAGATAGATATAGAATAGTCTGTAAGTCTGTAAGTCTGTAAGTCTGTATAAATAGTCTATAAGTCTGTATGAATGCTCGAGTTAGAACGTCAGATCTATTCTATCTTCTCGGATACACGGGTGTCTCCTTAACCGTCTGGTTCTACCCGATTCATCTCATCCTGGCAGTGACAAATAGGGTAGAAGTAATCTGTCCGAATACGAAGAGTGAGATTACAGGCTTAAGACTATACTATACGGCTTACGACGGAAGGATCAGATGGTGGCGCTAAGATCAGATCCAGACCGACCCACTCATGCATGGAGGCGGCCCGTGCCTGAGTCTCCGCAGAATCGCAGATACGGAGTAGATAATCTACAGTGTACGACATCACTACGGAGTCCTTCCTTGGATGTACGGCTGCATCGTATGATTTGATTGTCGACTGCATTGCAGATGCAATGCAAGTCATGACCACGTGCATTATCAGTCTACAACTACATCTCTATTGGGTAAATGCTCAAGGATAACAATCAATAACATACTATAGGATCTCTCAGTTGCAACAGCAATCAGCAATCAAGCAATCAGCAATCAGCAATCAGGCATTAGGCAATCAATCTCCAGACAGGTCCAGACAAGACAAGGCATCTACAATTTCGCCGTGGCGTGATGCTTTTCCGAGACCAACAGGCGGCCATCCTTGAGCAACGGGGTATACCACCCCAGCATCATCTGCGAGCGCTTCGTGTCTGCAAAGCGGTGATGGTCGGGCCCGACGCTCTGCTTGAAGAAGTCGTCGGCCTTGAATCGGATCCAGGTCTCGATGTCGGGCATCACCAGCGTCACGCAGACGTCAAAGGGGGCGTAGTTTGAGAACAGGCCGTCGCGGATCCGGTCAAACTGCGCGGGCGACTCTGCATCGGCGTGTGTCTGAAGCATCAAAGAATAAGCATCAAAGAATAAGTATCAACAGAATAGTAAAGACAATAGATAGATAGAGAATGGATAGAATACCATCGTCCAGTGAACAATGCCATACTTGGCCAGTAAACCGCCTACATGCGGAGCATGCACATTGACCATGTAGTCGTAGTATTCCTGGGCCGACACGGCGGCGTTCTTGAAGCCCAGAATGTTGAGGCACAGGTACTTTTTGCCGGGTTCCATTTAGTATTGATGATAGTAGATTGTAGTTATGCGATATACGAGTGATTGCTGGCCAGAATAAATACCCTATCTGAGATGTGCGACGGGTCCGATGAAGCATCCGTACCGGTAGTATAGAATATAAGAATAAATCTTGATATATATAAGATTCTGATATTGATACAAGATCATACATATACATCAAAACAACAACACAACATGGAGAACAACATGGACAAGACAGTCTCCAAAAACAACCTGACCTCCCGCGACTTTGTCCCTCGGGGCCGCAAAGCGTCCTCCCATCGCAACACGGCGCTGTTTGTCGGCCTGCGCATGCTGGACTGCTTCTTGCAGTCGCGCGTGCTGGCCGGGGCCCCCGCGGTGACAACCCTCCTGGGTCTCTTTGGTGCCCAGCAGATCTCCAGTCCTGGATCTTCTCTATCCAGCTATCGCCAGGTGTTGCTGGCGATGCTGTGCACCACGGCCGCCAAACACGCCTGGTTCGCGACGTGCGTGACAGAAGAGGCCTGGACGGTCCACGGCGCCCTGGCAATCGGAGTCTACAACATCACCTGCAACACGCTGAACAACCTGCTGTTCCTGTGTACGGCCACGTCGGCGACCCGTCTACCCGCGGGCGAAACCCTGGCCAACCCCTGGCTGCAGGCGGGCGTTGCGCTGTTCGTCCTGGGCATCGGCGCCGAGTGGCAGTGCGAGCTGCAGCGCCGGGCCTTCAAGACGGACGCGCGCAACCGGGGGAAGCCCTTCACGCAGGGGCTGTTTGCCCTTGTCCGCCACCCGAATTATAGCGGCTACACGCTCTGGCGGGGGGCCCTGGGCCTCGCCACCAGCGGGCCGCTGTCGGGGCTGTTGATTGCGGTGTTTTTTGCCTGGGACTTTTGCAAACGCGCAATCCCGGCGTTGGATGAGTATTGTTCGAAGCGAGTATGTTCTTCCTGTTCTACTCTCTTTTTATCCATGCTGACTTTGTAGTATGGCGCCATGTGGGTGGAGTACAAGCAGAACACGCGTTATCGGCTGATCCCGGGCATTCTCTAGATGAAGATGTTAGTCACTAGTATAGAATGGTAAATGCTTGAAGTCAGGACTATTAGTTTATTCTTAGTGTAGTTTGGTAATATCATCGGATACAAATCATTACTTATACAAGGATGTGGTGCAGGTCGGACCGGGTATCATCTTCACCGACAGGAGGTATATATACACAAGTAGGATGACACTCACACTAAAAGACACATCAATATGAAACACCTCATTGTCTTCCTCTGCTGTATTCTCCCTGCCATAAGCGCCAGGGTCAGCCAGACCCTGCGCTTCACCTGGGAAGAAGGCGCCCCAAACGGACAGTCTCGCCATCTCATCTACACCAACGGGCAGTTCCCTGGTCCGCCGCTGATCTTGGATGAAGACGACGAGGTCGAGATTACAGTCATCAATGACTTGCCTCGGAACACTACTGTCCACTGGCACGGTTTGACGTACCTACCCTACCTACCCTAAACCTATAACCCTAGGGTTGTTAACCCTAGGGTTTAGGGTTACCATACCTGACTTGATCTAACCCTAGGGTTAAAAACCCTAGTCAACCCGGAACCCCCTGGTCAGACGGGGTTATTGGCCTCACCCAACAGCCAATTCTACCCGGGGAATCGTTCATCTACCGGTTCACGGCCACCCCCCCCGGGACGCACTGGTATCACTCGCACGAGCGCATGTCGCTTGTCGATGGGCTGTACGGCGCCATCTTCATCAAACCAAAGCATGCGCAGACCGACCTGTGGGCGCAGATCAGCCCTGACCCGCTGGAGATCCAAGCCATGGCCCACGCGGCGGCCAATCCGCAATTAATCGTCGTGTCTGACTGGTCGCAGTATGTGTCGGAAGAGTACTGGAAGGCCAACGAAGAGTCGGGGCTATTAGTTTTGTAACCCACCCCTACCTACTTAACCCTAACCCTAACCCTAACCCTTACCTACTCTACTACTCTACTACTCTCTACTCTCTACTCTCTACTCTCTACTCTCTACTCTCTACTCTCTACTCTCTACTCTCTACTCTCTACTCTCTACTCTCTACTCTCTACTCTCTACTCTCTACTCTCTACTCTCTACTCTCTACTCTGCAGCCTACCCTAATATGTCTACTCTAACATTATAGCTGCGTGGATAGCATCCTGGTCAACGGAGTAGGGGCCGTGTTCTGCCCCCCCCTCGACTTCCTCGACAACCAGACCGAGCCGAATGTACGGCGAACAGCATTTGGCCCTGATGATCATGTCACCGACAAGGGATGTCTGCCCTTCCTGGTCCCTATTGAAGGCGGGCCCTGGAACTACACGTACCACCCGGAGAAGATCCCACCCCGGATGCAGGAAGGATGTGTACCGTCTCCAGGGCAGAACGCAAGCATCCAAGTCGATCCCGCCGACGGGTGGGTGAGTCTGAACTTTGTTGCGGCGGCGACCACCGTGCAGTTTGTGGTTTCGCTGGACGAACATGAACTCTGGCTGTATGAGATGAACGGACACTACGTCCGCCCGCGGCCGTTTGTCGCAGCCGTCATGTCTGCCGGGGAGACTTTCTCCGTGCTCGTCAAGCTCGATCAACCGGCTGGCAGGTATACCCTGCGGATCCCAGACTCGGGGGGCACCCAGGTGATTTCTGCATTTGCAGAGATTGTCTACAAGGGAGCTGATGATGAAGATTCCTCTTCTTCTCCGTGGTTGTCGTATGGCGGTCTCGCGCTCTCCGAAGAAATCCATAGCAGGACCTTTGCTCCATGGGGAGGCGATGATGGAATGACCCCCTGGCCGTCTGTAGGACCGTACGCCGGTCCAGCAGATGAAGAGTATCTGTTGGTGATGGGTCGAGTGGACTCGGCATACAACTACACCATGCGGACGCATTATCTGTACCCGCCCAGCTTCCAGGCCGACAGTCCCTTACTCTTCAATCCGAATGCCACGGTCGGCACCGAAGATGAACACCTGGTGATCCGGACCAAGAACGGTTCCTGGGTTGACTTGATTCTCGAGGTGTCGACTCTTCCAGGCGACCAGGCGGCGTTCATGCACTTTATGCACAAACATGGGAGTCGGACCTGGCGCATCGGTCAGGGCCAGGGCCGCTGGAACTATTCCAGCGTCGAAGAAGCGCGCGCGGAGCGTCCCCAGGACTTCAATCTTGTGAACCCGGGCTATAGAGATACCTGGCTCACCCAGTTCTCTCCTGGAGGCGGCTACTGGAGCGTGTTGCGCTACCAGGTCGACAATCCGGGGCCCTGGCTCTTCCACTGCCATGTCGAGCTGCATCTCATGGGCGGCATGGCGCTGGCAATCCTTGACGGCGTCGATGTCTGGCCGCAGGTTCCGCCAGAGTACCGTCTGGGAGGGAATGGCTATCATTCTGAGCAGAATTGGGGGAGCAGAGTTTCTCTCCAGCTTTGGGGATATGCAAAGCAATGGTTATTGTTTTGGGGTTAGCCGTAACCCTAGGGTTGGTATATAGTATAGATATAACCCTAGGGTTAATGGAATTAACCCTAGGTTTGTTATTATAATAGTAACCCTAGGGTTAAGTCCATTAACCCTAGGGTTATAGCTATACTATATATCAACCCCATAATCCAACCTTAGGTATAGCCTAATAGTATACCAACCCTAGGATTAATACTCAAGTAGAGCAATCTAACCCTGGGGTTAGTTACCTAAGTTCACTCGGCAGATATTATCGCCACATATCCGTACTCGCTTGTATGTCGAATAACACTGGCTACTGCATCTATCCCTGTCGGAGATGAGATACCCGATCCTGCCCGAGCCGTAAATAATAAGATTATAAACATATATTGTGGTCTAACTTGGCATTTAATCTTCCTCAACTTTGGCACATCAATCATGTCTGTCCAAATCTTCCGTGAGGCGCTCTGCCGCGAAATCAACGTCCCAGACATCGCTCTGGACACTCCCTTTGCCCATCTCGACGTCGACGCAGCTGTTGTTTTCGCCGTGCTGGCGCAGGTGGAGGAATCCACGGGGATTACGTTTCCAGCCTCCCTTTTCAGAGACTGTACGTGTCTGGCGGATCTGGAGAAGCGGCTATCAACGTCTGGTATATTTACTTTTCAGTCTCTTCCCTCTTCACTTGGAGTTTAATAGTTTAATAGTTTATATGATAGCTCTCTCCATCCGCGAGGCTGCCAGGGAGAGCAGCCAACTGGTGAAGGACTTTGCCGCCGCAGCGGGCACGACCGATTACTGGCCGTCGGTGGCTTCGGATCAACATCGTCTGGTGATAGCCTATATCTGGGAGGCATTGAAGCAACTGGGATGTCCACTTGATATAATGCCAGCAGGGAGTAAAGTGGTGCCTCCTACTGTGCAGCCATCACACCAGCAGCTGTTAGACACTCTCTTTGAGATCCTGATACAAGAAGGCCTCATTGAAAGAGTGAACAGTGACCATCTTGTGCGCACTAAAGTGCCTCTTCCCAGCAGTTCAGCAGCCATACTCCATGAACGGATCCTCCTTGACCATCCACGACACGCAAACACCCACCGTCTGCTTCATCTCACGGCTCCAAGACTTGCAGACTGCCTGGTTGGCAATGCAGATCCCATCCGGCTGCTCTTTGGCTCGCCAGTTGGTCGTGATCTGCTGCAGGACTTTTACACCCGGGCGCCCATGTCGATGGCCGCCTCACAGCAGCTCGCCGCGCTCTTCCAGAGAGTCTTCGAACCGCTCAAACAGTCCACTTCAGATCCCATTGAGATTCTAGAAGTGGGAGCCGGCTTCGGCGGCACAACAGGGTTCATTCTTGACGCGCTCGTCGCAGCAGGCGTGCCATTCCGATACACCTTCACCGACGTCTCTGCCTCGTTCTTCAAGACCGCCCGCCAGCACTACCGCACCTCAGACATGCCTGTTTCCTTTGAGGTGCTCGACATCGAGACAGTCGCCGGGCCGCCGTCTCACCTGCAGGGTCGGTTCCATGCCGTCCTCTCGACAAACTGTCTGCATGCGACGCGCGACCTGGCTGTCTCGGCGGCGAATGCGCGCCGGCTCCTCCGTCCGGACGTGCCGGGGGCGTTCCTCGCGCTGATCGAGTTCACGGAGCGCATCTTCTGGCTGGATCTGGTGTTTGGCTTGCTGGACGGGTGGTGGCGGTTTACTGATGGGCGGCGGCATTGTGTGGCGGGCGAGGGGTTCTGGAAGCAGAGTCTCGTCAAAGCAGGCTTTGGACAGGTCGTCTTTACAGAGGGGAATGTCGAGGGCAAGAAGCCGAATCCTGAGGTGATTGTTGCGTGGTAAACATACAGTATACAGTGCATACAATATTAGGTTAGGGTTGCATATCAGAAGATCTAGGGTTTTGCTCAACCCTAACCCTACCCTAACCCTTAGTTTTTCAATTAATTAAATTGACTGTAGAATACAAGACTAGATATATTAAGTATACTAGGGTTTAGGGTTTAGGGTTAGGGTTAGGGTTACTCTGGACAATATGTTAGTTATAATAATACTAGACTAAGACTAGACTAGATACCAGCTAAAAAACGACAAACATCTACACACGCATCTCGCAGCGACTTCTGAGACTCCCATTGCAGCTCCTCATTAGCCCGAGTGGCCACCGCAACACAAGATCCAACGTCTCCAGCACGCCGGGCAGCTGCTCGTCGTGGGATGGGTCTACACGCCACCGCTTCCATGGCGGAGAGAACCTGCAGCACGGAATGGCCTCGTCCAGTGCCCAGATTAAAGGCCCGAAAGGGCCCCTTCAGGGTGGTGCTGCTCCCTGCCGTGGCGGCATTGAGGGCGGCAATGTGTCCCCTGGCGAGATCGGAGACATGGATGAAGTCGCGGACGGCCGTGCCATCCGCCGTGTCCCAGTCGGTTCCGAAGACTTGCACTTCTTGCGCCTGACCGGTGATGACCTTGACAATGACGGGGAAAAGATTACAAGGCGGCTGTCTGGGGTCTTCGCCCAGGAGGCCCGAAGAATCGCATCCGATCGGATTGAAATACCGCAGGGCGACAATCGTCCATTCGGGATCCGACACGGCAAGGTCTGCCAGCAGGGCTTCACACATCCACTTGGTGCGTCCGTATGGATTCGTGATGCCGGCGCACCCTTTCTGCTCCCCCCCTTCTTTCTCCTCTCCATCTACTTGGTGAGCACAGCGCTCTTCCGTAAGGGGGAGATCCCCGGCGGCTGCTCCGTACACCGTCGCAGATGACGAAAAGATAAACCGCTTGATGCCATACTCACTCAGCAGGGAGAGGAACTCAATCAGCCCGCCGACGTTGTTGGCATAGTATCTCAGCGGGTGCCTGATGCTCTCCTCCACACACTTCAAGGCGGCAAAGTGAATCACCCCGGCAATCGTCGACTGGGGGCTCTTCCCCCATCGCGATGCGAGGACGTACTCATCCAGCAGAGGTCGGAGACGAGCCGTGTCGCGGTAGTCATGGGCATGCAGACGCAGGGCGGGCATCTGGGTTCCCTTTTCCTCGTGGTACCTGGAGGCGAGGGCTTCAATGCGGGCAAGGACGTCTTCGTAGGCGTTGCTCAGGTTGTCGATCACTATCACATTATACCCGGCTTTGAGCAGCTCGAGCGTCGTGTGGCTACCGATGAAGCCTAGACCGCCGGTGACCAGTATATCCTGGTGTATCTCCTTTGCCATCAGGCTTAATTCATTGTCAGAAAGTGTCCACTGCGTGGCTGGCGTGTCTGGAGAAGAATCGGATTCCATCTTAGTTTTTATAAGTCTAGGGTTAGGGTTTAGGGTTTAGGGTTTAGGGTTGTAAGACTTGGCAAGCTAGAAGAGCTAAGCTAGCGACAGGGCTGAAGACTGATTTAGGGTTAGGGTTGGTCAGACAGACGACAATGTCTTATTTATCTGGGAATTAATCTATATAAATAGAATCAGAATTGTCATTTGTGCCACTGTCTGCATTTCTGTAAGACGATTTCTAGTTTTCATGATCTGAGAGCACGTGAGCTGGCCGTCTAAATCTAAATCTAAATCAATAGACTCTTTCATCTTGACTGTCAGCAATGAATTGTCTTCTGATCCCTCTCTACATCTACCCTGCTCCAGGGGCATGGAAGCCACTTGAAGATGCGTAAGTATCCTTTCTTTCTTTTTTCTTCTTTCTAATTATATTCTAGAATCGCCACTCACCCCAACATTACCTTCACCATAATTATCAACCCAGGCAACGGACCCGGTCCATCCCCCCTACCCGACGCAAATTACACAAGGGAGATCCCCAGGTTGACCCGATACGCCAACGCGCGCGTGCTGGGATATGTGGCCACGACGTATGCCCGCCGGGACATTTCGCTTGTGCGCCGCGAGATCGCGACGTACGCGGCGTGGCCGACGACGAGCTCCATCCCGGGCCTTGCAGTCCAGGGCATCTTCTTCGATGAAACACCGCAGCAGTTCAGTGCCGATGCAGTCATGTACCTGGCTGAACTTGGGGGGGTTGTGAGGACGACTTGGAAGAGTGGCTATGTATGTATGGTATTGGTAACTGTATTACCATTCACATCGTATCAGTACATTGTATCATGTATTCATCTTCATATTCATATTCTTTCAGATCATTCACAATCCTGGAGCCATCCCAGACTCACGCTATCTGTCAATGGCAGATTGCACCATTGTCTTCGAGGCAACATACGATACCTTCCTTGAACGCCACGCAGCGGGCTTGTTCGCCGCCATTGCCAGGGATCCTCGCGCGCAGCTGGGCGTCCTGGTGCATTCCGTGCCTGACACCGTCCAGGGAGCGCAGCTGCACGACTTGGTTGCGCAGGTCTGTCGGGTCGCGGACCAGGTCTTCATCACGCATCTGGCGGTCGATTACTATGCAGGGTTTGGCGGGCACTGGGAGGAGGTTTTATCAGGTACAGCTTTTGATTAGTTCAGTGGATGGTGTATGATTTGGAATTCTCTGTCGTACAGTGAGTAGAATTGATACAACTGTTACTATTGATCAACACCTCTCCATCCAATTGTCGAGATCCATGTTCTTGAGCAGCGTGGAGAAATTCCCCGACCCCGAAAACGTACAGAACTTGTCCCTCTGGGCGGCGGTGACGTTCAACTCGTTGTCCGTCGAGTCGCCCTTGGGATACTCGATGTGAAAGACCGGCTTGCCCGTCTGCGCAAAGACGGCAAACATGTCGCATTCGTCGTACTGCACGCACTGCTCGTTCACGCTCCACTGCATGTTCGCCAGCACGGCCGGGATGATCTCGCCCGCGTTCTTCAACCCGACAGACATGTTGCGCGCGTGTGCCTCGTCCGCCAGCCAGTTGACGTACTGGATCGAGTCCTCCTCCGTCAGGCCTAACCCGTTGTCGTTGTCGTACCCGTCCACGTTGTCCGGGTCCACCCCGTCGCACGCCTTGCCAACCGCCAGATCCAGTCTTCTGGCCATGATCTTCCGCACGTTCGTCGAGCTGATGTTCACCCATCTCTCCTCCGGCCACCCGGACACAGTCTTGCCCAGATCAGACGCCTCAAACGACCCCTTGTCCGGCCGCCAGTTCTCGTACGTCCCAGCAGAGAAGTAGCAGATCACCTTGCGCCCGGCGTCGTGCAGCGCCGAAATCGTCGTCGCGGCGTTATCGAACAGGTCGATATCGTACACCTCCACGTCTACCGAGGTGTCGTTGAGCGCGTACAGCAGCTCGATCTGCCACGTTGTCTCCACGCCTGGCTGCCATTTCGCCGTCGTGATGTTGCTGACGTTGCTGACGTTGCTGCTCTCTGTTGCATTCTCCTTCCCACTGCCTCCGCGGCTTTTCAATCCAACCCCTAGACCAACTCCAAGTCCAACTCCCAGAGCGACAATGACAATTCCCCCGCCGACGAGGACTTTCTTCAATGGCCACCTAACAACTTGAAGTGTTCCCATCGTGATAGACAACTGTAATCAACAGAGTGCAGTGGTTCTGGAGACTGCCGCTTCTTTCATAGACTCCACCGTCGCACCATCTCGCAGGATATTTGCTGTCGTCGGAGGATATCTGAAGAAGAGTCAAACAGCGAAGGTGGTTGTTTGTGGTGGCTGAGCCTCTCCCAGATGGGAATCGGGTAATTTTCATGTGACATATTACATACCATACACTAGCACGTATCCAGTTTAGCTATTTACAGTACCATTATTACGTGCAATACGTGGTACAATCTCTGATCCAGACCCGGCGTTACACTATCTTTATGATTTGGAATTATGCTTGATTCTTCTAGTGTTATGTAGTGTTCTACATAGGTAGATAGATAGACAGTGGTACTGACAAGTTCGGGTAGCTGCGTACGAGGTTAACAATCATTGTAATTGATCATCCTACCACGGAATAGGAGTCGAGAGACTAAAAACCACCGGAGATCCAGACAGCTGCACCCAGACGGTCAGTGGGTCGCTACCTAGCTGCTCGGTAACGAAACCCAGGGTGCTGGTGGGGGCAACAGGGAACGTGACGGGAATAGGTTCGCTGCAGGTGTTCCCATCTGCAGAAACAGTGAGGGCAGTGATGTGCCGGTCAGAGGTGGTATAGCTGAGAGAGTAATGGCAGGCATCACGCTTGTAGCGGGCCAAGAAGGCAGCAGACATCTGAAAACGCAAGTCAATCAACAGCAAAAATCTAAACGGCCCGAGGAAAGGGGAAGGAAGACAAACTCACATCCTGATGCTTGAGAGTCACCAAAGGCCAGTCCGCCAGACGCACAAACTCTTGGACTTGGGTCTCCACCCAGGCCTGGAAGAGGGAGTATTTGGCCGTCACGCCGTTGATGGTGATGGGATCCACGTCGGCGTTGCGCAGGTTGGCCTGGTGGAACATGTACGGGTCGTGACGAAGGCCGAAGAGGTGGAACATGGTGTCAGATCGTTCCGTCGCGAGGAGATCGTCAAAGCTGCCGCTGCCGGCAGAAGTGGCGATCCATTCCTCCACCGTGCAGCTCGGGGTATAGCAGTTGTAGTAGATGCGTGTGGCCCACCGGCCGTTCACCTGCATGCCTGCAAAGCCATCGTCGGCATCGGTGGTGAAGTAGGGCCACATTTCGTTGACAGTGTTCAACAGCGCAGGGCGGGTATTGTCGCCCACGCAGTTGGTGATTCCGTTGTCCCACCAGGCCTGGAGAGCATCGCCGTTGTGGAGGCCAGTGATGGCCGGGGGAATGATTCCGTTGGAGGTAAAGTATGTTCCCGATGAGAGACCGACATGCTCCAGCCAAGCCTGGTTGAAAGAAATCTCCTTGTCAACGTCAGAGAAGGTCGAATTGTCCTCTTCTTCATGAGTGAACGTGTGCGAGATGTGGGCAAACTTGTCTCGGTTGCTGGGTTTGGCCCACCATACCAGAAGCGGATCAAGCTCGGTGCAGTCTGCGGTCCAGTTGTAGGTTGTACGAGAAGCAGGCCATAGGTTAGTGCCGGTACCTAGAGGCTTCTTGAACTCGAGGGAGGTATCCGGGGGGGAATTGTACTCAATCCCGCCACCATTGCAAACTGAAGCATCCCTGGCACTGTCCGCCGCGGCTTCGATGTTCCCATTTCCATTGTGACCGACCTCGACAACGTAGGTACTGCCAGCATTCATCTTCGCGTTGACCATGGGGACCCAGCTGGCAATCCCGTCGAGATCACCAGGTGTGATCCGAAACGTGGTCCCATTGGGCTGGTAAATATCAGACTCGAGGAACATGTCATCGATCTGGGTATTCAGGTTGACACGACGGTACCCGGCATAGAGGCCACGGGTGATCCATGTGATCCATACGTGCTGCAAGTAATTGGAAGTGGCACTCCAGCTGCAGTCAAAGGCAAGGAAGAAAGCCATTTGCTGGCGGCCACCAAAGTCGTTGATGACTGCCGCCGTGGTGTTTGTAGAGATGACCGAGTTGGCCGCAAACAGGGCAATCTCCTTGGTTGTGCTGGTATCGGTGATTGTTGCTGGGTAATGCCAGAGCCCAGCAGTGCTCACCCCGGCACCAGTCTTTAGACCCGAGGTGGGAAAGTCACTGACATCAGTCAAGGAGAGGAGCTGCTCGACCCCGGTCTCACAGCATTCCGAGACATCGGTTGTACCAAACTCAGGGCCGGGGAAGACGTCGTACTGTACCATTCTCACGCCGTACTCTAGTTGATAGGCGTAGAGCTGATCCCATTGCTCCGGTGTCAGGGCACTTTCGTAGTTCGTTGTGCCGGCGTTGCCGGCGTCATCGTAACTGGCCTGGGAAGCAACGACAATCCCTCCGAAATTCCCTCCCAAGCTACTATTGAGAGCAGGAAGGGCTACCCCTGACTGGGGTACAATGAGGGTGGTGAAAGGAATCCCGTATGCATTGAGGCCAGAAGACGCAGTGCTAGCCGAGGAAGTATCTTTGGCAATGACCAATATGTTGGCCGCAACGTTGGCAGAGCTGATGGGGGTTTCTAATGAAACGATTGAGGAGGACGGAGTGACCAAGGGAGTTGAGAGAGACATGACACTGTACATATGATGGAACGACCTGAGAAAAAAGATAGAGCAGATATAAGCAGAGCACACAGTCAGACAGACAGACAAACCTGCTCTCTGTCTTATAGAGATACCCGCTGCGTAGAGAAGCAGGGAAAGCTGCAGGTATCAAGACTAAGAAAACCTGCTTTATCTCAAGCAGCTCTATAGAGAGTGCCTGGGCAGTTCTCGGAGAAAAGAAAGGCATCTGACCTGCATCCTGCAGGTCCTCCACATCTGCAGTTGTTTCTTCATGTTTCCAACCAGTCTCTAGATGCGTCTTCTTTCATTGGCCCGTCTATCAATTTCTAGCAGAAGGGAACTCCAGTCAGCCACAATTCGGAACCTTGCTCTTGAGCGTAGTTTGATGACTTACCTGGTCAGGAGGTGACCCTTGTTTCCAAATTCTGAAGTCTTTGCACGGACCTGATTTCAATCGAGTGATTGCAAGGTGGTACGTAGAGACTCCGAGGTCACACTCAGACGGGGGGGTCAATCGAGGGCCACCAAGTGACACGAGATGGGCGCGCGTAGTGCATTGCAAGAAGAACCAGGGGGGGGGCGGGGGGGTAGAGAGACAGAAGACAATTTCTAGATGAGCAGGTAATGTGACTCGATGAGTTGATGCGGAATCGATGCTCTGTAGGATGGTGGAGAGTGAATGAGGAAGACGGATTGGAAGGACGCGAGGTCTGAAGGACGCGAGGTCTGAAGCTATCAGGTGAAATAACCCTAAAAACAAGCCCTAGTTTCTTTTTTGGGATGTCCTGTACAGCAATACACAGAATACAATACAAGTCATGGGTATGTACTCCGTACTGTCTGATCTGCCGTACAATACGCGTACTGGTACGGAAGCTGGCCGAATCAAGATTAGCCGCAGCCACGACAGGCCATCCCAATACGGAAGGGAGTAGCGACTCGTGTCTGCTTTGGCTTTGCACCACCACCGCGCCGTAACCTACGACCGATCCTGGTTTGTTTCGAAATCGCTGCCATTCCATCGGATCTGGTGTTGTTTTTTATCTCCCTGGGAAGTCTATCAGTAGCTGCCCCGAGCTTAACCATGGAAGAGCCTGCTATTCGAGTCTGTCGGGCGTTGGCGCGGCGATGGGGGAGACCTTGTGTTACTCTTCCATCGTTCGCCTGCAGAGTGTTTCGTCGTTCTTGCGGTAAGCTATTGTTTTATGACTTGTTCATGACTGCTTCTGCATTCAACCAGGAGCGATCAGTTGCTTGATTTGTGTCTGGGTGTCTCGAAGCTGACGATGGGTCTACAGCCGAAGATCTTCCCCCTCCCCCGCCGTGCAAGGACATTCCCTCACCTTTCGATCCAAAGTCACAATCGAATCGCTGATTAATTGAGCGGGAAAATATGCCTTTCACCTTGCTCTAGTGCATTTTTCTCTTTTGCTCTCCCTCTCTCACGCAATTCCTCCAGACTTGCTCTCCGTCTCTTTCGAGTAGCTCGCTTGCTGTTTTCCTCTTGTCTATCTGTCTCCACCACAATGATCATCTGAAAAGAGGTCCTATATGAGGCATACATCTGGATTCTCCGTGTGAGGTACATTTCGATATCTCGTCAAGACACCGGCCTGTCAACGCTCCAGAACCATGGCCAAAATTCTCCATACTTCTCCGGTAGGGTGGAGCAATATGACGAGACATTGGTGGCAATTCGTAAGTCTATTATTAATCACAGGCTCACACTGTGGCGTGACTGACTCATGGCAGGCTCTGGTTGGTATTTTGCTCGGTAGTGTAATCCTGGGATGTCTGTATATCCTGTACTCGGTGATTCGTCGATCCATCAGGCATTTGAAGGTGAGAAGGCATGGTTATCAGCTTCGTTGAATCCATCTAACCTGAATTTCGCATTTCATGTAGTCCCGAAAGCCACCAGAAGCCATCTCCCCGGAAGTTGATAGAGCGCTTGAAAGGCTGACAGACCAAGAAATCGCATTGGGAACTAGTAACCCCAGTAGTACCATCGTGAAGAAGAAGCCCTCTTCATTTGGTGTCTACCTTGGAAGCTTTAATGTGCCTCCAACGGAAGATCAGCTTCGTTTGCTTACTCGATGGGATCTCTTGATTGTAGACCCATTGCAGGTTGGCATACGAGACGCTGCGTCCAAGTACGACTGTAGGCAGTTACTAGGGCGGATCAATCTCACTCCAGTCCTGTCTCAGAGAGACCCAACCTTGGAGGCAATTGACAAGATTGAGAGAACACTGGTCGGGTTTGATAACACCGTCATCTCTGGCGTTCTCCTTGCAGGCTGGCAAGCTGTCTTCGGTCATGATGTGCTAAGCAGGGTCTTGAAAGCTCTCAATACACTCGGCTTGGCCGTTTACTTGGAGGCAGAACCTCCAGAGTTCCTGACGGACCGCAAGGTATTGCAGACTAATCATATTGCGGGTCTAGTAATTCGCAATGCAAGTATCATGTCCGATGGTCAGAAGCGCGATTACTTTCAGTTGAACACTCTTCAACGCACAATTAAGGCGTTTGTCTCGGAAGCCTGTGTACGTGATTTTGTTGTCATGGCGTGGGAGACGGTGGGGGATGAGGTACACATACCGACTGCTATCGTTCGAAGGTCATTTCAGTGGTGCACCTTTTATAGTATGATCGTTTGGATTGGCACTGAGTCTGCATTGCATGATGCAGCCCTGAACCTTCCTATTGCTGAGCCTCTCTCTGCCTTTTCATGGCTGAAGGAAAGTGATGTCATGAAGGCCCATGAGATCTGGCGAACAAACTCCCATCTTGTCAATGAGGCATCCGATTTAGAGGCTTGGAACATCCTTGTACAGCAGTTTCCAAGCCTTGAACAAGTCCTCGCTCACAAAGAAGTAGCACCATCGTCACCGTCCAAGGATACGCCGTTTTGTCTTTGTGAGCCTCCAGAATGGGTATCACAGACCAAGTCTCAAGGCAGCCCGCTGTCGATGTCAATGTCAGGGGAGAACTACCAAAACCTTGGCTGCCTGCCACTTGGTTCGAATGCAACTGCTTCTTCTTTTGCTGAGATCCTCAACTCCCAATTGCAGCTTAACAGTCTAGGCCTGCTGCATCCGCTTCCATCGTCGAAAATAAACGCCATTTGCACAATGATGAAACAGTTCAACGAAGCTGATATTTTTCCACACCGCACTCATAGGCCCCAGCTCATGGCAGCACTCGAAGGTATTTCACAGTTTCCGAATAGTGAAGGGCTACGTATAAATCTCTGTTTAGACTCGGGTCTACGTCAGAGCGCAGATGTCCGTTTCTGGGCCGTCTACATCCAAGACTCAGAGGGTATCGAAATCTTTGTCTCTAAAAATGTTCAGGGGCTGGCTGGAACCGTCCTGCATACCTTCCTTTCCGCCCAGGGCTTCCCTAGGCACGTCTGTTTCGAAGCAGAAATCGAATTCGCTCGCTGGTCTGGAAACCTCGTTGATGGTTCCGGACTCACTCGCCGTATTGTGCAGGATATTGATGGCCTGGGTCCTGAGCAGCGGCTTCTTTTGCTTCGACATTTATCACTGAGTGATGTTCAAAGTAAATTGACTGAGACTATCTGCACATACATCAGTCAACAGCTCGTGGACGTACCGTCCTTGATGCAACTCAAAGAAGTCAACACTGTCGGCTATCTCGATGGATCTGTTTCCACAGAAGTCCTAATCAGCTCTCGACTCAATTGGCATCGCGACGAACAATGCCCGCACCCATCATTCCCTGCTTCTCTTTCTCTGTTCATCGAAGTGGATCGTACATTTATCAAGATTCTGGAAGAACGCCGCCAAAGAGATCTCGCTAGGATCACCAAAGCGCTTTGTAAACTTGTTCAGAGGAACAAGCTAAACCCTCATGTTGACTTGATGGCTCTCTCCCTCTTCTGTGCTGCCCGGAAAGCTGCATTTGATCAAATTTATACCGAAGTAACCGATAGAAACCCGCTATTCAACTCCCATCCTGACCAGGCTGCTGCTTTTGCCGAATCATTTGCTCTTGGCTCCCGATGTGAGGCTTATTTTGATATGAGCCCCAACGCCTTTGGAAAACTACTGTCTGATCATTTCCGGGCGTACTACAATGAACGCCAACCGCCCAGTTGGATCAATGGCTCAGCGGAGATGGCTACCTCTTACGCTGGTGCCCAGATCGATATCGACCTGGATATCAAGCCCACCACAATGCGTGGCTACCAGAGGTTTACCTTTCTCAGTGTCTTCGCTATTCCCGCTTTGATCGATATTCTGATGCTATCCACCATTGGCCGTGGACTGTACTTGTCTGCATTCATGACGCACCATGAGCAGCTCAGCGCAACCACTGCCCTCATGATCTCCCTCTTACTCTCAGGTGTAATCGGCACATGCATCGCGTGTGGTGGTCCATATTACCTGATCTCCATGGCTTTTGCCGCCGCGAATATGTTTGTCTTCACCCGTCTTCTTGCTGGCTTTGCCTTTACCATTGCAGCTGGTTGCATTGGGCTCATCGCCATCTCCAGCACAAGAGGTCCACGGGCCGGTATAGTTTTCTATCTGTACTTGGTTGCCTTGACGATGTATTTCTCCATCTTTGCGTCTCTTGCTAGTTTCAGCTACCCAGGCAGTTCCTTTCATTCGGGCCGCAAAGCCATCCTAGGATGTATCCCCCTCTTATTCATCAGTCCCGTGGTCACCACCTTCACAGGCTATGACTCCATTGTCTATCTCGTCGTGATTTACTGCTTCGTCATCGTGCTGCTAGTCGGACTGAGAAAAGTCACGTCCAATTGGGTGACATGGTACCAGAGCATCCGCCGGACAGACGACCCAGAGATCAAGATGTGGTATGTGACCACCTACGGAAAGATAAATGAGAAGAACATTGATAAGCTCAGCGATCCAGCTGTGCTCAAGCTTGCGAGTGAAGCTTTGCTCCATGCCGTTCAGACGGAGAGAAGACGGGGACCTTTCACCACGCCGACTCCAGACAAGCTGGTCTTTGAACTCGCGAGAGACTGGGACTCAACCAACTTTCTACTTGACTGGTACTGCAGGTACGCCAGTTTACCGCGGCCCATTCCCTTCAGCTCATGCTGGAACACGTTGACGAAGGTTGGTCTGGACGTCATGCGAAACTCCCAGAAAGGCATCCGTTTGCACAACGCTTTCATCCACTGGCGGCAGTCAGGCAGGGAGATCGGTTGTGGGACTTTGTACTTTATAGTTGCTCTTTTGGACAAGTGGATTGAATTGCTCACTGGTGGCCACCTAGTTGGTCTCTCTGCGTCTCTCACAGACACTTCCAGGACGGCAGTTGGCTTTGGCTTAGCCTATTATTTAATCGGGGCAGTTCTCATCGACACCAAGGCCCAAAAGCTCCATGCCCTTGTTGGCTCTCAAGAACCGGATGCAATAAAGTCGGTTGAAGACATCCAAGCGTCAGTCAAGCGTGGTGTGAGATTTAAGCGGAGCGTGTATTGGAGGATACTTATCCAGTTTCTCATGTGGCATGTCTGGAGTCTTGCATTCTCCACGGTCCTCTTATGGCTATTCCAGTCGTCGCTGGAGGCTGTTGTTATGTTTCTCGCCTACGTTCTCGCGTACACCGGCCTATTGTGGTATCAATACACCAAGATCTTTTCTGGCCCCCATGCTTTGATACCACTTCTCGTCGGACTGGCCATCGGCTTAAGCCTGGGAATTGCGCTCCGAATCTGTCTTCCCAACCTTTCGTATTCTTCAGTCATTGGTTTGGGAACCGCAACATGGACAATAGCTATCCTCACTCTTTGGAGTGCCGGTTTACGGATGCCTAACAAAGCGGTAGCTCCGGATAGTTCTGAAAAGGTCTACCATGCATTTACCACGTCGTGGGCCGATCCTCAGTGGTCGCAAGAGGAACTGCAGGCTATGTACAAAAGTCTCTCCCATATACCGGACGAGGCTCGGATGAAGATCAGTCCCGATTCTCATCCAGGACTGGAAATCACAACTTTGCTACGGTCACGCACAACTGATCCAATGATTGGAGAAGCATTCCCCGAGTCCAGCCATATCATTGAAACGGCGCTCACTTCATGGAACAGGGGAGACATGATTTTGGAAGTCGTCCCTCGGCGTTCTCTCGGGCCAGGTACTCGGGCGTTGAGCTGCAGCCACAAAAGTCGATTGCATATCATTATTTGTCTTGGCCGAGGAGCAACCCAGCGAATTGACATCAGGGGAAATTGCAAGGTCATCGCAGAAATTGTTGTCCATACAGTTGCTGAGGCTGTGTTTGGAGTTCCTCACGACTATGCCATCTTGGCCGAGTCTTTGATTACTGCCGGTATCACACAAGGGATGGCACGACAGTTGTTCGAGGAAACAGATACCCTGCCCGTTATCCACTGGGCTAGAAAGGAGGTTCTGCGCCAATTATGCCTAGGCTTTGACCTAGAAATTCACTGGGAGAGCCTTCCAAAGGGCATCCGCCGCATCTTACTGAACCGTTGTCTTGGATTGCCGAGCTCTTTGTCCGATTCCCAGGCCCAGTGGCTCCAGGAGCAGCTCTGCAGATTCGATACCAATGATCTTTCTGTACATGTCGCTCGCTGCAACCTCGGGGCGGCAGTTGCCACAAGCATACTTGAATACGCCCGCGTTAGAGCTGACGGGTCTGTGGCTCCTGGAGGCTCTGAAGCGTCTCTGGACATCTTATACACTGCAAAACCGTATTCTCGAGGGACTTCTATTTTGAAAACACCGTTTAGTTGGTTATATCACTGCTGTGGTGATATAACCAAGTTCCTTGTCACTGCCATGATAGCTGACCCCGAGTTTCAAAGGGAATTCGAACATGTCATCCGATCTCGCCCTGCATTCATCAGATTGCCTGTCAAACTTTTCCTCAATCTTCTCTGGTCATATTCCAAGACGGTACAGGATCTAGGGTTGATGTTCTTTCTTTTTCATGGTCGTGGAAATATAAAAGAGCTGTGGGAAGAGACCAAGGGAATGACAATTGACATCAAGAAGAACAGATTTACGATCCAAAGCCCAGGCGGTACCTTCACTGCTTTCAAGCATGATAACGATGAAGACGGTGGTTTCAAGGTATATTACTATACCGGCCACCACAAATGTGAACCCAGAGACACCCACTTCCTCAAATCTATGGGTATCTACTCTCGAGCAATGCTTCTGCGGGCCAGGAACGAGTTCAAGGATGGTAGGATGTTGAACGAATACCAATATGAGTATCGCGAGCCCACAAGAAAGGGTCCTAAGCTGTCCAAAGGGGTGAATAGCAAGATTCCTATCCGTCGACGATGTGTACAAGGCGAGAACCAGTCGCAATGTGTGCAATATAACCGAAAAGGCTTCATTGAGGCAGGCCTCTACATGAAGGATGGCAATCTGGTTCGCTTCCAATATCATTACCGCAAGAATCCCCAATTCGGAGACGAGCTACTCCGTGCTGAATACGTTCTATCTCACATCAGCTGCACGGTTTCCTGGTGTGCACCTCCTCATCGGCATCCTGAAAAGGCCGACCGCTGGATACCATGTTCCAAAGTCACGGAAGCAACGTTTGTGCAGGGCCCGGATGTGTATGAAAGCCGTTGGTTCTATGACCACAAGTTCGAGCCTACCATTGTAACGACTCTCAATGGCGAGAAAATACAGACACCACCGATGATCGAACATGACTATCTCGGTGTTCTGTCAAAGCCAAAGGATACCGGTTTTGCGCACGAAAACCCCCTTGTGTACTGCGAGAGTCTCAACTCGAACTTTCTGACGCGGACATTAGGCCTCAGAAAGAAACGGTTTCCGGTTTCCACGTCCCAAGCCCGCTCCTTGATCTGGCAGGCCTGGAAGGAGCGGATGGACTTGGATGGCGTGACTGTTCGCTGGATGGACGATCGGCTCCTGCGCAAAGACAAAGTGTTGGGTCCCTACTGGCGTTTGCGAGACCGCGGCAATCTGCGCGCGGCGAAGAAGTTTGTGTCTCTTCGAGCCGACGCAATCATGGCCAGTGCTGACCTTGACGACAACATCTCCGGCTGGACACCACTGGCGGTCAAGCTGAGTGACCTGGTCCAATTTGGCTCTGGAGGCGATGCGGTCGTGAAAACCAGATCAAACGGCTTTGGCCCGGATACCGAGAAGACACTGCACGTCCTCGCAATTGACAATGGCACCTGGCCCAACGAAGGTGGTGGTGTCTCGGCCTGTCGACGTGATATGATCGACTCGTTGCGTACAATCAAGTGGCATATGATTTGCGAGTCGGCAAACGACTTTGGCATTCCCAAGCATCAAACAGAAGAGAATGTGCATTCCCTCAAGGTGGTCCCTCTTTGGGGGCTGGACTTTCTCACCCCTACCCACGGGCTATTCAGAAACAAGCTCGACTCTGAAGTCGACGATGTGACCTCAGCCAGTCAGCTCGATATTTCCATGAACTTCATACCCATTCTGACCGCGTTGGTGAAGGGTGCTCGCGCGGTCCATCTCTCCAAGGCCGATATCAAACAAGCGACAAGGGCTTTGGTCAATCTGAATACGTACTTCCAGGACTCGAGACATTGGACGCAGGTATGGAGCAGCGAAGTTGTCAAAGAGCGATGGCGCGAATTGTGGCTCGCTCAGGATATGCCCAACACTATTCCATCATCCCAGTGGCTGGACACAGAACTTCCTACGCTGGGCACGCTTGACACTGCTATGGATCTATGGTATCGCTACCTGTTCATCTTCTCGATCCCTGTCCCTGAAAGAATCCCCGCCGTGTTCCAGGCATCACATCATAGTGTCAGCGCGTCTTATGGAGTCGTATGCAAGATTCAGAGGGGCTGTACACTGCAGATCTGGGATCATGCAATCAGCTGGCGGGAGACCAACATTTGTCTATCGTCTGCCTTGTGCACACTCTCGCCATTCGTGCGCAATGCACTGCTCGGCTTGTTACGTATCACGTCGGTGCTCTCGCTGCACCACGCAGATATCGTCTCCCCCTGCGCTGACTTCTTCAACCCTGGCTGGGAGATTGAGATTGGGACCTGCCAGGGGACCATTGAGCACCGCAATGTCTTTCGCCGAAAGGTTGACCCTGTTGTCAACGGGATCACAGACATGCAGAAGTTCACCCCTGTCCAGGAAATCCAGTCGCAACGTCCCACTGCCACCATGCTCTCGCATGTCTGGTATGCCAAGGACATCAAGACAGCTCTCTTGGCTGCGGATATCATCATCAACCAGTGGAAGTTCCATGACTATTACCTGGACATCTATGGCGCACTTGACAAAGCGCCCACATACTCCACCGAGTGTCAAGAAATAATTGCCTCCAAGGGCCTTCGCGGCAGGGTCACATTGCACGGCACCGCCGACCCAATGAAAGTCCTTGAGAACACCTGGCTCTTCCTCAATTCTTCCCTGTCTGAGGGTCTGCCGTTGGCACTGGGCGAAGCAGCCCTGACCGGGGCGCCTGTTGTTTGCACGGATGTCGGAGCCTCACTTCGCGTGTTAAGCGACCCAGATGACTTCTCGCGATTCAGCGCAGTCGTCGCACCGAACGATGCGGAGGCTCTTGCCCGAGCTCAGATTTCCATGCTGGGGATGTTGGGAGAGTGGAGCCAGTTTGCCGACGACAGCGACCCGGTGCCTGTCCTGACCTCCTCTCCCACTACCGAAGAAGTGGCTCGAATCACTCGCCGGATGTATGAGAAGAGCCAGCACCGCCGGAAGCTGGGTATGATGACACGAACCATTGTCCAAAAGTCCTTCAGCGGGGATCGCTATCTCCGTGAACACGAGCAGATGCTCTGGATCGGCAAGGCCCTGCAGCTCATGGCCAGTCGCTCCACCGCCAGCGATAGAGCAGTAGTTGAGCAGGGTACTAATGATTATTCCTTCGCAAGGGAGGGAGGGGGAGGTCCCTCGACTGACTCCCGTAATGCCATGGGGTCAGGCCAGACATCTGCCATCTCTGCCGTATCAGCTCCATATACCGATGCCTCCAGCCTTCCAATCTTCAGAGATGGTCGTCGAGACTCCTCCACCAAATCCTCCGGAATAAACAGCACGCCCATCAGCGCCAGCGGGGATTACTATTCTCTACGCTCACCAGACGCCCCGTTGCCGGTCTTGTTTCCTCGCGAGGTCCCCAGATACTCCAGGGCGTCAAGCCATCCCCATCCATTCAACCAGTACAGAACAAGTCGCTCACGTTCACTCTCGATCTCTACGGCCGGTCGGAAACAGTTCCATGGTCTTCACGACGCTTTGCATAGACAGAACAACACCTACCCTGCTGCTTGATTGTCTGTTTTATTGTAGGAATTCTCATGGTCTAGACTGGGCTTCTCACACCATAAATGCTACTACGACTCAGGCTCTCCCTGGCGGTGACAACGGCGTCCGCTCATTTCTATGGCGAACCAGTTAGCTCTAGCAGCAGATAGATAGAATAACACTCCTTTCTGCCTTACCTTGTCTCTCTCGAATCCAAACAAAATTGTATGCCTGAGGTGGTGATGGCATATTTCCGAAAGCGGCATGTTTGACAGGTTTGCATCCACGTCATGCAACGGCGAGCGCCCAACAATTCCATCGCAACTCCGTCGACTCGACTCACTCTCATCTCGAGCAGACAACAAACGCCGGGGGATTCTTTCCGGCAGTCTTCTTCATTGAACTCCAATTGACCTGCAAGACCGTTTTCAGAGGCCTGTCGCCGTCTGGTCGCGTGTTTCGCGAGATCTCGCCCTGGTCTGGACGCTGCTCTTTTTCCCCACCAATCCCCCCTAAAAACACGACTAAATAACTACCTCCCAACAATCGTTGGAGTATATAGTAAGCAGACCATGTTCAGCATCTCGCTGCCTTCTCTACAGGGTCTGTGGCCTTCCAGGTCCGAGAAGGGCGTCGATATTGCGTCGGTGAAGATTCACGACATCCAAAATGCACAGGAAAGACCCGCCAGCTCGTTAAGACACTTGTTGAAGCTGAACCATGCGGACAACGCTGTACTTTATAATGGGCTACGATCTCAGAACCAGATGTCCCATGTGCGTGCATCTTTTCTTTTTTTCTTTTTTTTTCTGATAAAAAATCAAGGATCAGGATGGCATGTTAATATTGTGCAGGTTTTGAGTTCCTCGTATCTCCTGGGGGCAACCCAACACGATCTGAATCGGATTTATGAGGTTGCAGGCAAGGATCTGGAGCACTGGGAAGAGTCACCCAGTGAAGTATGCTCTTACGACTGGAGAGATTTTCTCGGAAAGAGGAAGTACGACTATTTTCTTTTTTCTTTTTTTTTTCGCCTTTTCTCGCGCTGATGGATACAGCTATCAGCAGGCCTACATCAACTTTTTCGACGATGAGCTCGTACGGCTCGGATACGACTGGAGGCAGGTCGTACACGACTATCTACTCACAGGGGAAAAACCGTTGATTAACTCGATGATGAGTGATCGTATGTATTTCCGCCAATTTGGACTGGGTTCGAGCGGCTCATGCTTTTGATTTTGTTTAGTCGGCCACCCCATCATCCATCTAGCGTATGCGTATGAGATGTCGAGTCGCGAGATGGCCACAGAAGCTCTAGGTCTTGCAGCCACCTGTTACAGTGACCTTCATAAATATTTGGAGGACCCGTCCTACGTCCAGACGGAAGCCGCGTACCACTCAGCCTCGCTATTTGAGATTCTGGAACGCGTCCGAGCAGACAAGAGCTTCGACAATCTCTCCGATGGCCACGACGGCAACACCCTTGACAGCGTGTTCCAGGCGCGCGAGTCGGAGCTCCTCGGCCACTGGAATGCATGGAAGATCGACGACCCCATCAAGCAGTTCCGCGAGAGCCAAGAGCTTGCTGCTGCGCTGTTTGTCTCCACCACCCCCAAGGACAGCAAGACGGACACCTATAGTCTCTTGCTTGTCCATGTCCTGACGACAAGCCACGCCGTGCGCATCCTCCTCCCCTTCCTCCCTGCCCGCTTCCAACTATCTCTTGTCCGGCAGTGGCTGCTCGTCACCCTAGCCATCTACATCGCACAGCTCCGGCCACAAATCGATCTCGACAGCATCCGTAGCTTCAACCTGGAGGGGCGGGACTGGAAATCGGTCGCTTACACGGCTGTCCAGGGCGCGCATGCCACTGATCCCCATTACCTCAAGGCAATCCGCGCATTAAGAGAAGCCGCCGACACATGGGGGGATCCAGACCAGTTCTACCTGAAGGCTGCCGTCCAGTTTGCACATGAGTTCAGTGGATGGTCTTGATAGTACTATGGTACTAGTTAATTATCATGTAACTATATTAGATCTAACCATGTATACTTGATTTAATGCATTTGTGGAATACTATCCAGCGTATACCTCTGATATGTTTGCACTGTTTGCCTCCTTAGCAAACAAAACAAATTTCGATCTTCGACTTCCCAACGCGAACTTCACCGCATCCTCGTACGAGAGACACAAAGATAACCAAGGAAGATGAAGAGCGATGAGACACTAACCTAGGCAATTTGAACGCGTTTTTCTCCTCTCTTCACATCTGGGCTCAGGGGTACGTCGACGTTTGTCGCCAAAAAAATGGACAGGACAGAGAGTACACCCGTGTTTTTGCACGCAGAACTGCTCCCCAACATCCGCCAAATCACCCTTTACATCTCCGTTCCTATTTCCTCAGATACGACAGAAGAGAGCTCACTGCATCTAGACCCAAAGATTACGCTCTCAGCATCCCGCCGAGCCATTACGGTGTCGTTTCCTGGCTTGTCGGAAGATAGCGCGGAAACGATCAAACTCCCCGCCCGGGTGAGCGACACGTCGCGGCGGATGCTAGATGTTGCTAAGCCGCGTGGTCAGCTTGTTGGGAACGGCGGTCTGTCGCACGAGAAGAGAATGGAATTCTCTCTGCGGATGCCAGTCGACACTGCGGAGGGACCACTGGTTTCCAGGGAAGAATTGACGGATGGGTTTGTGCCGTGGACGGCTGGGGACATGTCTCCTCGCAGCGAGGTGCGGTGCCGGCAATGCAGTACGGTGTTTTTGAGCTCTGGGGCTCATAGCTCCTCTGGTGGAAAAGATACTGCCATTCCGGGAGCAAAACGTGGCTGGGTGTGGAAAGACCTTCCCAGCGGCAACTGGGCGGAGATGATGGATTTCTGGCATTGCCACAAGCCTGATCCGCGCCACAGCCATGACCATGGATCTGATAGCGGAGATGTTGGGATCGTTGATGACCAGCAATCCCAGATCAAAGGATATGGAGCGGCAAATCAGGTGGTGGCAATTCCCGGGACAGTGCTTGTGGATGTAGCCACTTTCTTGGTTGCAGAGATGGACTGTCAAGGTTTAATAAAGGTAAGGATAGATCAGGGTCTGCAATGCAATCTCTCTCTCTCTCTCTCTCTCTCTCTCTTCTCCATTCCTTGTCCTTTTAGAAACTCGTTATTTGACAACAAGAAGGAGGCCTCGTCTACCCAATGGTCTGGCCTTCGATACAATTGTCATATATGGATGATCTCTTGACTTCTTCTCCTTCAAAGACTGCGGGTTCAGGCTTTGCGAGGGCTCGCTCCCGATCAGCGAAGGAGGGAATTGTAGCGCAGTCATCCTCTCGAGCAGATGGATTTCGCACGACAGTTTCTTCCCGGTCTGATCTGCTACGCTTCTCGCAGCGCTTCCCTGTTTTCTGTGGCGGAGATTGTGTCCCCTTGTGTTTTTCTCCGTTGATTTCAATCTATTGCAGAGTTGTGAGATCGACTTGATAATAAACGAGGTACATTTCGAGTCGGAAAAGGCGTTGGGTGGATGTTTCAGACCCCCGTATCTCTCCTGCCCACATGCTGTCAATAGAACCACCGCCTCTATAATTCCAGAAAATCATTACCTGGTCTGAATATTTAGCTTGAAACCCCCGTGCTGACGCTCGGCTTCCTGTAGGCATCCCCACAAGATCCAGACACGTCTTCAAAGCTCCAACAACACCCTATAGAATGCGGGAAGTGTTCTTCTATTATAGGCACGGAAGACCCGGTTGCCCAAGGCTGGAGGCTCTTCAAAACTCATATCTCCGTGGTGACGAAGGACGAAGACGGGTCCTTGCAATGGCGAGCCTATCCAACAGAGACTATCGTGGCTGCGCAGCTGCTCGAGCTGGTAGAGAGAGAGAGCGCTAGACGCTTTGTGGTACATTGCGGACAAGGCCCTGGCTTGCTTGTTAGTCACCGACCCTGCAATGGTCATATTGTCAGCATACTGATCTCTTCCCGTTTAGCTTTGGACGTTCAACCCCGACCTTCGATACTCCAGCTCGGGCAGAGATCGGAGCATTGCTGCACAGAGAGCAATGAAAGTACTCTTTCAGCAGATATCCGACGTTGATACTCTTCTGTATCCAGAGACTGGCAAAGCAACCCCTCTGGCTCTGGATGAGCTCCGATTGCCCACGAAAACGTACACGGATCTCTGTGCGGCTCTGGCCAAGACCAATACCATGCTCCCAATGTCTGCAAGGCTTTTCCAAGACTGGACTGTTGGCCTCCTCGATAGGTTTGAAAGGACAAACAGCGGCTGATCTCTTCCGGGGGGGATCATTGATATACCCTATTTCCAGGGAGCTGTGGGGTCAGAGAGCCCTTTCAATGGCCAAGATGCAGGGAGCACAGAGGGCGAGAGCAACACAACACGTGAGTATGTTTGTCCTACCTGGACGCTAAGAAATGAAGTGAAGTGAGAGTACAGGCGCTTTCCTTTCTCTTTGGTTACAGACACGTGCTGTCTTCTGCTCTCTTCGCCCCCCTCACCTAATAGCGCTAGGCGTTGTTTGATCTTTCTCACTGCCTCCTCTCTCTTGAAGAAACTTCTTCTCTTCTTTTAACCTGATTCTTCTTCGTTATTCATTGCTTATAAGCCTTGACTTGAACAGCTTTATTCTACCCACCCTCAGCGTCTCCTTCAAAACGGGACATAGAATCACCAAGCAGATCTTTCGGTCAAGAAGTTTTTGAATCTCTCACCGGGAAAAAAAATGTCTCGGTTTTACTCCTCTTCCACAAAGAGAGCTTCTCTTCAGGACAATGATGACGGGGTGACCTGGGAACACATCGAAGATATCTCAACCCTTCCCGAGAACCAGGTTGCCAGTGGTGGGTATGGAGCGAACCATCGCACCACTACTACGAGTAACGCCTCTCCGGCGTCGAATGCAGGCCCTGTTGCAAGTGGACAGGCCCAGACCAGGCCTGTGGTCAAGTCTGAAACTCGGGGCAATATTGCGGCCACCACCTCCCTCGATGCGAAGGAGGTCGAAAGCTCCTCGAGTGGCCATGAGTGAACACTGTCTAGCCATACCCGCACCCTCAAGAACATCAGTTGGGCCTTTGCCTCTACTGCTTTTTGGTAGGTATTCTGTCGCTTTCTGATATGGCCGTGTGCAAGTCTCTTGCCGGGTGTACTTGGCTATCGCTGGACATAAAGCTAACACCTCATGATAGGTCCATGAAACGACGGTCTCCGATTCAAGATACTTGTGTTTGCCAGAGGGGATGCTTTAGGATGGAAGAAGAATCTACGGTTTAATGAGGGGGGGGTTATTTCGTCATTTATTTCATTCTTGGGTTGCTTGATATCTTCATAGATGTTACATCACATCTGTCAACCTTTTATGTACCTACCACTTGTTCCTTGTCCCGTTTATCCTTCGAAGGGTGTCTCATATGGAGCTTCCGCCTGCGGGGTGATGCGTGCGAGATGGCGTCTCTGCCCATCTTCCCAGTCGAGGAGGGCGGAGTGTGCAGTGATTCGGTTCTAGACTTGTCAGAAAAGGGTCCCTTTTCCATATCCTGGGTAGAAATGAAATCATAACATACATCCCATACAACGACGGTTCCTGGCCGCCATCTGACACGAACCTGCAAGTCCTGCGAAAGAGCAATGTGATCGAAGAGGAACTTGAGGAGGTTGTCTGATTCCTCCTTCTTGTAGCCAACAATGTATCGCGTGACTGGAATAAATGTTAGTAAGCTCTTGGAGAATCGTATCAGGTCTGTCTGCCAGGTAGCTCGCTACTCACACTGAGGGTTCACGTAAAGGGCTTTCTCGCCAGTGACCTTGTATGCATGTTAGGGAAAATGCGAAGATATTGACATAATATGAAGGAGAAATGACTTACAGGGTGGGTCCTGACAAGAGGATGCTCGCTCTGAATGGGGTCTCTACGCGCAATTCCACCCCTGTTCAGACTGCTGTTCACCTGTTCGATACCTGAATGAACGACCTTCAGCCCGTGCAGTCTCTTCCGGAACTCGGGCGAGAGACGACGGTACGCCTGGGCCATGTCCCCGAAGAGAGTGTCGCCTCCGGTCGTGGGGCCGTCGAGTACGTACAGGAATGTCGTTCCGGGAGGCTGCTTCTCAAAGGTGACGTCCGAATGCCAGGTCACGGTGTTGGTACGGGTTTCCAGGTACGAGGCGCCAGTCGTGTCGTCGGCGCCGCGGTGCACGAGGTGAATCTCTGGGTAGCCCTTGGGGGCACCAGAGGTTTGGTGGATGTGGTGTCTGCCAAAGTAGCTTCCAAATTCAAGGGCCTTGTCGATGGGGAGGTGGGCAAAATCCTGGTCTCGGAAGGCTGCGGGATGAAGGGTTAGTTGAGCGTTTGCGGAATAAAGATACCTTGACGGGGGTCTTGATTTTTCTTTAAACCTACCAACAACTCGCCGTTGGGCAACAAACAAGGCCAGTTGGTCCTTTCCTTTAGCACTCAGTTGGCTGAGCTGGACGCCAGAGACTTCGCTGCCGATGGTGGGTGTGAGATGATCGACTTTAGCCTTGTCCTTGGGCAGCAGGTCGGCGAATGAGGGGTCTGCATCCTTTCCGTGATCATAGTGCTCGAACGGAGTCAGAGGAGGGTATCTGGCGTCGTTTAGATTCAAGTGATACTGGTGTAGAGTTATATAATAACAGACTCACCTCTCTGTCTCGTTGTCCCAGACGGGGAGGTAGTTAGGGAATGAAGCCGCCTGGTGCTTATCGGTTCCCTTGAGCTCGCCCTCTGCGTTAAAAGGTGTGGCATTTCCGGAAATGAGCTCTTTGTTGAACCCGGTGTCTGTTTTAAGCTGGGCCTTGGGAGCTGTGCGGACAGGAACTGTTTCAACAAGCGCGGGAGCCATGGTGGATGAGTCTGCTAACACAAGATCTAAGCAGCTGTAATGTTCTCAACACTGTTTAATATACTAATTTGTCTTCTCTTGTCAGAGGGTTGACATTGCTATGGGTATATATGCGTGTTGATTATCTTTACTGCCCTATGAGAATATCAGAAACCATCCTCTTGCGCAATAACTGCGGGGGATGGTCAAAGAGAGTCGAATGGGGAAGATGATGAGCTTGTCCGGGAGATGGCATAGGTCTGACTCGCTGTCGGTTTCGTTTTTGTTCTCTCAAATTGCGTGATGGCAACAAGGATGTACGATGCCCATTCTAAGCGGGAAGCTGGAGGTTTCTTCCTCGACATGACTGGAATTGATCCCGGGTTTCTCTTATAGAAGATGTGCGATCTCCCATCCCTCGAGGGTTAGGAAACCTGCTGTAGGTTGAAAAGATTGATCAAGCACTCAATAAATCCATGTATACCTATAGGCTTCTCGATCAGCCTGTCCATCACACAAAAATTGCGGTTCTATTCGAACTTCAAACGGTCTAGATGGGTCAGTTTTACTCCTGATTGCGTCAAGGGCAATATGCGTTATCAGATGTGAAAGTCCTCGTATCACCCCTCTTTTATTTATCATCATCCTTGTAGATCCTGAAGGTGATCAATTATGGCTTCAAATGGCGTGATAGAGTTCTCGACTGGATCAGAGTTCCGCGAGACACAGGGCTCCATAGCTTACGGAGTATATACTAGGGCGAACAGGCATCCATTAGCATTTGCGCGGCTCATAATATAAGACAGCGGTGGGATAATTCAATAAAAGGAGTATGGCACGATATTATCATGGTTGCTGGCAGCACAGTTGAACGCCAGCCCTTGCGTACCTATATAGTTCAGATGAAAGCTAAGAAAAGAAGTATCCATAGAAACCAAAGTCTTTTGATCGATTATATGTAAATATCTATGTGGGCTTGCCTGTTTCAAAGGAGAACATTGGCAATGTTGTCTCGAAAGCAGCTGGAGCCTGGAGGTGGTGTGAATCCAAACTGAAGCCCACGTGGGTGGTTGCTATGCCTAAACAGGGAGGAGGCAACGACAACCTCAACTTTTGCTCTGCTACATCTCTCTCCATCTGCAGTCCCAGGAGCTTTTCACCGGCGACAAATATCGATATGATGGCCGTGGCTAATATATTGGTCTGCCAGACCCCTCCTACTACTCCATATGGACTCTGGTCACTATTAACTCACGTCATCGTGTCAGGACTTGCGTGATTGAAAATCAACCGCCAAGATTGATCACCCCCCACTGTCAGGTATTAAGCACACGTTATGTTCTGGGCCAGGGGCCATTTTCTCCATCCATTGAAGTCACACAGAGATGGCATAATATGGGTTGTGATGGTGTTTTCAGTGCTCTGATTGGGCAATTTGGGCCCCTGTTGCCAGAAATATGTCAACATGCTGGAAGAAACGACCACCAGCAACCGGGATCAAAGCAGTGTGGCAACCAAATTTCGAAGTTGGTGCCTTGCTATTCGTAATTTGTGCGCAGTCTACGTTTAAACATATCCACTTGCGCCGATGGCGACAGCGTTCGCCCACCAGCCTAGGCCAAAGTATAGCAAAGGCTAAAAGAGATATAATATAAGGGGATTTCCTGTCTCTCATTTTTATGGCAACAAAAACGGACCAGTGCCTTTGAACACAGCCTTTGCTGGCTGCATGGAAGTAGTTCCCTGTGCTGCACAGTGCTCGAACTTTGACTCGAACTTCTGACATTGCTGCGGAGGAAACAAGGAATATGGCCAGTGATCCCAAGGATTCCAAGGCCGTGGGACTGACCCTAGAGGAATCTTCGCGGTCATCTTTCTCGACTAGTGAAGGATATGGCTGGCTACAATCAGCCGATGCCTCCGCCTTTGATACCAGTGAAGATGCACGTTACTATAAGCCGATTCCAACATATGAAGGAATTCACCGCTGGGACCCCGAATTTGAGTGGTCAGAAAAGGAAGAAAAGGACATCGTGAGAAAGGTAAGTAGCTTGCCTGCTTGTCTGCTGAAAGCTTGGTGTGTATACTGACCACAGGAAAGATTGATTGGCGGGTCTGCACGTTCGCATGCATCACCTTCTTCGCATTGCAGCTGGATAGAGGCAATATTGTCCAAGCCAATTCGGATGATATGCTCGAGGACTTGGGGATGAACACGAACGACTATGACACGGGACAGACCATCTTTCTGCTTTGCTTCCTTTTCGCAGAGTTACCGTCGCAGCTCCTATCGAAAAAGTTCGGACCAGACAGATGGATTCCCGTTCAGATGGTTGTCTGGAGTATAATTGCGGCCTGCCAGGCATTCATACGCGATAGAACGGGCTACTATGCCTGCAGAGCTCTTCTGGGTCTTCTGGAAGGAGGATTGTGAGTACCCGGGCAAGAACAAAATCCTCGTGATGATGAGCTCTAATGCCTTTACAGTATCCCGGATACGATCCTTTTCCTGTCTTTCTGGTACAAATCAAATGAGCTCCCAGCCCGTCTAGGCTGTTTTTGGGTTGCTTATGAGGCAACCTCGATTGTGGGGGCATTTCTCGCATTCGGCTTTCTACGCGTCCAAAATGCCGACGGCCAGGGCGGCTGGCGATATCTGTTTGCATTTGAAGGGCTTATTACCGGCGTGATTGGCATCATTGCCGCATTCTGGATGCCTGCTTCGCCGACCCAAACCAAAGGCGGGTTCCGGGGCAAAGATGGCTGGTTCAACGAGCGTGAAGAAAAGATCATGGTCAACCGCGTCCTACGCGACGACCCAAGTAAAGGAAGTATGCATAACCGGCAAGCCGTGACTCCGAAATTACTATGGGAAGCTCTCCAAGACTATGACATGTGGCCTATCTACCTTTTGGGGCTGACCTGGTTGATCCCCTTCACTCCTGCGTCCAACTACATCACCCTGGAATTGAAAGACCTGGGCTTCGCTACCTTGACGGTCAATCTTCTCACCATCCCGTCCTACGTCATCTTCATCCTCAATCTCCTCCTTTTTACATGGATCTCGGAGCGCTTCCACCAGCGATTCCTGCTGGGAGTCATCTCCATGATCTGGTGTTTGGCACTCCTGATCGCTCTGGAGGTACTCCCCGACGACGCCAGTGCATGGACGAGATGGGCAATCCTGACACTCTTGATCGGCATGCCATATATCCACCCCGTGATCGTGGCCATCACGTCTCGCAACGCGGGATCAGTTCGGACAAGAACCGTTGCCTCTGCGATGTACAACATGTGTGTACAAGCAAGTACCATTGTCTCTAGTAACGTATGTGGATGAGACATGAGACAAGTGATAATAGGTCATCTTGCTAATGATATCTCTTCCAGATCTACCGAGCGGCTGATGCACCGTACTATCGGACTGGAAACAAGGTGCTCATTGCGATTGCAGCATACAGTCTGGTCGTCTTCATTGGAGCCAAGGTCTACTATATGCACAGAAACAAGTAAGTTCAGTTTTACAAGTCCCAAAAAAAGCTACAGCAAGTAATCGTCGACTGACTCCACTGCGGCGAGTAGATCCAATGCCGCGAAATGGAACGCAATGAGCAGCGAAGAGAGGCAAGAGTATCTCCTTGCCAACCACAACAAAGGAAACAAGAGGTCTGTTTCCTCTGCCTGATATTCCACCGGCGCTGTTACTTACTGACATGATTGTGACAGACTCGACTTTCGATTTATCCATTAGTTGGTATCACTAGTCCGAAGGTAATGGGAAGCTGCGATTCAACAGACATTTTATGAGTAATGATTGCATTGTCCTCCAAAGCCTCTTTTCGAGATAGTCAGGTTTTTATATAGACATGTTCAGATATTCCCCAATACAGTTTATATTATAACTTTACTCCCCAACTATATACTCGCATCCTTCACTGCCTATCCATACCCCATGTAGCTTTCCAGCAGGAACATCGATCCGGGCACCTGGCCCAGATCTCTCTTTCTTCACTTCTCCGTGGTGTAACGATGTGTTGTCTTCGGGGTACGTGATGGTAAGAGTCCCCCGGCGGATGAGATGGGTTGTTAGCCCAGAATGAGTGTGTGACGGGTAATAGGCATTACTGGACGTATCAGTAGATATACTCAAGGTGTCATCCTAGGGGATGGGCATAAAGATATAGATGTCATAGATGTACCTGCCATCAGTCCAGATAAAAACATTACCGAAACCCCAATCTCGCACCATCCTTTCCCATTCTGCACGAGACCGTATCTGGTATTGTTCTGCCATCGTCTCCAAGGCGAGATCGCAGCGCGAAGTCACCAGTCGTAAGGAAGCGCACAGCTCGTTTTGGGCTGTCAAGAGAAAGTCTTGTTCCAGCGAGAGATTGGGTGCGGAGTATGACGTAGCTGCGATTTTGGTAGCCAGCAAGAAGGGTTGACAGGTTTGCTGCAGCCCCGTCTCCCCAGTCCCGACTACTTGATACCGGGAGTTTAATCAAATCGTAATCTTATCTGAGTGATCCAGAGTAGACACGAAGCAAGAACGCAGGGAATTGGTATCAAAACCACTGGAGAATGATGGTTGGCTCCAAATCCTGGGTGGTAACGAAGTTGAGGTCGGAATGGAGGTTACCGTCAGGGAGAGAGAAAATCCAAATTAGGAAGTCACGAGGCAGAAAAGGGAGCGCGACCTCACCGTCGTCTTGTCTAATCGTCCCTCTTACTCAACTCCAAACCACTCTTCCTCCAGACCGACAAACACTGAGATTCCTACGTGATACGTGCGTAATCCTGCTTGAGATGATGATTATATTCTTTAATGTTTCACTATTACATGGTCCCTAGTCGACATATGCCGTGATCTTGGGCAGCGGAGCTCTCCTGTTTCTCTTGCTGCCTGATTTTTCTCTGATGAATGGGCGATTCTGCCGCCATAAGAAGGTATGCGATCTAGCATCCTGTGTTGGACCTTGCCGAAGGGCCAATACCCAAGTGGTTGAAGGGTGAGACAATGCTAACCAGGGAGCCGTCAGTACAGACAATAACCATCCGGAGGAGAGACCAGTACCTCATTATGATCCCGAACATCATGATTATCACCAAACAATGTTCAACACATTGTTCCACATTCATGGCAGTTCTTCCCTGGAATTACCCATACCTCCCTGCCATGGGAATGACAGCTCGGGCAGCGCACACCAGGCATCTTGATGCATTCGGAGCACTCGATCAGAATAAATCTAGGGCCAACACTTGGAGTCCACGCCTTACCGGTAAAGCATTCACATTCACAACGCGCGGTAACCCAGCCCTGGTTTCGAACATGCGAGTCCTGTGAACCACACTGTGCGACGGGGTTGGGCGAGGGTCAAAGTTCAGGAACTCAGACATGGCGTTTCTTTGGACTGTCGAGGCTGAAGGGGAAAAAAGCTTGTTTCTTTGTTTCGATGACTTTAGTGTTGACCCAATTCCAGAAAGTCAGGGCGGGAGGCTGCTTTTATGCTCTTGGGCCCGCAACCCAAGAAAATAGACATAGCAATATCAACAAGCACCGCTACCCCGGTCGAGCTGTCAGAAGGGTCCAACCTGATTTGGTAGGTTCACCAGTGATCAATCCCATCTCTTTGCTTTTCTTATTTTTTTTTATCCTTTGCAGACTAGCAAACACGTCATGTCGAAAATGAAATTTAATGGCGTGCGCATGACCCAGCTGGTTCGGACTCGGTATGACAAGCGTCTGACAAACAAACAAGGTGGTTCCTAGCGGAGGAGTCTATGGCTTCCTCTCATTCGAGAGTTTGGGGCTAAGAAGTGTTCTAATGATAGTGCTCCTTTACAAACTTTCGGACGACGCTGCTCCACATTGACTGTCTGGATACCTGGGAGGCTCGAACTGAAACGGATCTTTCTTTATCGATATGCCGAGATCCAGGCCCCTTACAAGCTCCTTACCTTCCATGGATTTCTTCTTTCCTACCGAATTAGATAGGAGTCCTTCTACCCGTTGAGATACCACCCACCCATCGATGCTTATGATCATTTGATACGTGTAAGAATCATCCCCAACTACGTTACACCATCTGCTGGATATCAGTTATTTTGATTTCTGCTAGCGCCATATCTTCAATTCTTTTTCTTTGTCGCTTACGGAATCGATGCATGTAGCGAAATAAAAATTCGATGTCGCCTCATCAAATCATCCTCGATCTTTAGAACCGTCATGGGCTGGGATCGGATTGAAAGTCGTTGCTTCCGAGAGGCGTAATGCACTTGCAACGCTGCGCAAGTGCCTGCAAGTGTCAAACAGCCTGATTGTTAATGATCAATGGTTCCGTACAGCAGCCAAATTTCTACCCTGTCAATAGAAAAGGCATCTATCTCACCCTAAGGATATGTCGATCTACGGAGTAAGCGATGCTGGGAAATCGATCATGTCGATCCGCTGTCACCCACCACTCCTAGAGGATACCCACTGGGTTTGTCGTTCCTTGGCTGCATGGGAAAAGGGCTAATACGCCAGGGATTCCTCGGAATTTGGACTAGGACCGGGTACTCCGTACGCCACGCTTCATTTTCCTACGAGAAGAATCACAAGGTCGCGCTCGAAGGGCCATTTAATCAACGCTTTCACCCAGACAAAGGGGAAGAATCCCCAAGTCACCAAATATCTCTAAGACACTAACCATTCGCCAATACGCCGGTACTTGTCCGGTTTATGGAACCAAACGCACCCCATATAGTTAGTTACCTAGTTATACGCGTCTCACCATGGACCGCCTCCCCTAAGTTACACGTTCTTTTCTCCCGATAATTAAACTGCCTGAACGCTTCTTTCCTGCGCTAGTACATGCTTTATCGGAACTTGAAGTCTCGCCCCCTTTGATTTAGACGAAAAATGGCATTGTCCACTCATCGTTCCGCGATGGCTTTCCTGGCTCCCCCGTGGGGCCCGCAAAAATTGACAGGTTCGCCAAAATACACTGCGATGCGGGGAGTTGATCTGTGATGATCGGTGTGACAAGACGGGGCCTCAATTTCCTAGTCTAAGTCCAGCATTACTATTATCCGATATGTCCGATTGACTTGTTGCTATTTTCACCTTGCCATCCATTCGCACTTTGCCCCGTTGCCTGGCCTGATATTCTCCCTCGGGATCAAGCAGACTCTAGGTCACGCAGTACATCCGCAATGCATTTCCGGAGGTATGTTGAGAAGGTGCAGGTGACGAAGATCGCCACAATCCGGAGACATACCAATCACCTAATGATATCTGCGCGGCAGTTGGATGTGTTCAAGTGGAAGCATTGTTTTTTTTTTTTTTCATTAGTTCCTTGGTCTGTGTACTATCGACGGATGCATATTGGTTGCCAAATCTCCGGCTAGGTTGCAGGATCATAACTAACCATTTTCCTGGATGCAGTGACTGCTCTGGTCTCCACCGCGCGTGCTCCACCTGCAGCGCTCGTCAGTTTCGGGATCCCCGATCGATCATGGAATAGAGTACATGATGGGGACCACATCGCGAGATCTCTGGGTTGGAATGGAGAACGTCTCCAATTCCAAGTGGTGCGCTGGAGAAGGTTCAAAGCAAAGGATGATCACCAGGCACAGCATGCTATTGTTGTCTAGGGCCAGCCAGCCATCCTCCCCTTAATCGCGACTGACTATAACTATCATATCTCATGATAACAAGTACAGAGTACGGGGTACTACATATGCTGTGCTATACTACTAGCTACTGAGCCTGAGGCTTACTAGTGGTCATGTACGGAGTAAATCCTGTCACTGATGGGTACTAGTTACAGTATGTTTTCAGGATCTAGTTGGTTGGTTGGTGCCTGTCTTTTCGCTAAAATTTGACAGAATGAGAATCACCACGCCACGTCCCCCCTATGACCTTGACTAAACAGAGTATAAAACTTCATTATTGGGCATCTTTCGATATAGCCACCCCCGTTTTACGGAACTTGCGATTCACGGGCTGTCTCTGGCCGAAGGATTCTGATCATGAATTGATGCCAACATCTTTCCAATGTGTCAAGAGAATTTCGACCAGTTCTCACTCTCGGACGACTTGATCTCTCATTAGTGGTGGGAATGGGACGACGACTATTCAGCATTATTATTGGTCTAGATCAAGGATGCGGGATCTGTCAATGCAAAGTGATGTAGATCGTCTAGTGGATTGACAGATGAGCCAATCACCCCGCATGATCACTATATATTTATGTTTGGGGGTCATGCGCGAGGGCCAAGGTACTCCATTGAGTCCATTCCCTGTGCGATGATGAGGTGCAGAGACTCTATCAACAATTTTGCACCGAAAAGCTGTCGTACAAGATGACACTATTCCTCACGACAGGGTCTTCTCAATTCGGACCAACAACACGCCGTCAGTTTGGACGCCTTGCGCATCCCAGAGATGAACGAGCCGATACCCCTGTTGTAGGCAATCTAATCTAATACACGCCCAGGCGGCGAGCGCATCTCTTCCAATCTCGTCGTCTTTAATTTTGAACCTATGGCGCCACACCGTGTGTTAGCAATCTGCAACTAGCAGGGATGACGGTGGGGAACCAGGTGGAAGAAAACGTTTTGGCCCGAATCACACCGGACCAAGAACAGCTGCACGTCAACAGCACGAGCCAGGCGCGAAAAAAGAAAAGAGAAAAGAGAAAGGAAAAGAAAAAGAAAAGAAAAGAAAGGGGAAGGAGATAAACGAGCAGAGATTGCGAACCTGACGAAACTCAAGGCATCTACAATACCAGCTACGGAAGGGAATTGCAGCTTGGCGGCACCGAAATCAGGATCGGTGCCGGTGGCACTTTTGGTGGTACGTTTCCAAGTGGTGTTGTCCGAATCCGAGAGCTCGTCCCGATTTGCGGCGGCGATGGCGGCAATGTCTGTGTCGTCTGGTTGCTCAACATGCAGCTGGCAGCTCACGTACGGATGAAATCGATTCCCATTGGACTCGCCAGGAGGAAGAGGGATCTTCTGGGCGGCAAATATCTCGATCGAAAGATCGAGGGTCTGTCGCTTGATGGGGAGGGCATTCAGGTCACTAGGAGACAAGTCCGAACTGCGGTAGCCGGGGGGCTTCAGCACCCATCCTTGCTTGCGGGGAAACATGCCCTGGTTGAGCATCATGCCTTTGTCGACGTTTTGCCAATTCAACGCCGCCATTTGGACACCCCGTCTCCAGCAGAAGGACGGATCGAGGTTAGACGATGTGATCCGCATGCCTGACGGGAATACTCGCATCCAGAAGCTGCGGTTGTGCTCGAAAAGAGCCTCGCCGTGGTTCTCATGGGCATCCTTTGTTGCGCTCTCCGAGAGAGAAAAGACATGTGTGGGGAGCTTGGCCTCTAGCAAACACACATAATCAGTAGGCTATCAGGTCCACCCAGAGGGGGTAAAAGCAAATAAGGAATAGATATATGATCCGGGTGCAACATACCTGGCTGGGCAAAATGGCGGAAGTGGTAACCTTTGGTATAGACTGCCAATTTACTCAATGCTTGCAGTACTTTTGAGGGTTTGGCTGTTGGAGGAGCTTCAGATCCAATGGGTGTGCCTCCGGGAATTGGTTCCTTTGTCTTTGGCTCCCCCTTATTGGGTTCTTGGGGCTCCCCCGCCGCCGCGCTTACGGCCTGTTCGCCAATCGACGCCGGCACCGACTTGACCTTGAGCAAGATCTTGCGCTTCAGCTCGCCCAATGATGGCAGCCGGGTGCTGTTCTCCAGCTCCGGTGTGACCTCAACCAACAAGCCTTGCCAGACGTCTTTGATGATCTCCACCATGGTCTCCTGCTGCTCCAGGCATGCATGTATCTCCAGGCTCACGATGATTGGCAGATCGCTAGCAACGAAGGCGCTGTCCCGAATGGCACAGCAGACGTCGCGGAAGGAAGTACTTTTCGTGAGGGTGTGTCCATGTAAGACCCGAGGCTCTGCACGCGCCGGGATTTGGGGGTCTGCGTCCGAGGTGTGGGCGACAGCGGCCGCGGCGCCACGGCTGCTGGGGCTATTTGAAGAAGGCCTTTCACGAGACCCTGTCTGATGATGCATCAAACCTTCCAGCTTTGACGAAAGCCGTGCAAGTGTTTTGGCAGCCAATTCCTTCTCCCCGTGGAAGCTCTTTCTATCCCCTGGGCTCAAATCAGCACTACTACTCGACTCGTAGTCACCATCCCAAACATCGATCTCAACACATCTCCCACCATTGAGAAGGACCTATGAGAAGAACGGAGTCAGCCGTCGTGCCTCGCCGGGGTTTGGCAGCTTGCCTTTGTCACGGAATCGATTTTTGCATGTGTGGGTGGGGAATCTCTCCCTGACGCCGCATTCAATATATGCACCGTTTTTTACGCGGCCATGCAGTACAATTCACCGTGACAAATCCTGTGCGCATGATAGACGAGCAGATCAGGGAGGCCCTCCGTTTGCAGCGAGATGAAAGACTAATGGTCACATAGTATACAGGGATAGAAGGGGGGCCGTCCTACATGTGTATACGCGCTGGCGGCGGCCTCGCTGTAGAGTTGGTTCCCAGTCAAGTACGTGTTATGGCTCGAAGAGACATAGTAGTCGGTGATGGGAGCAGAGAGGTCCTGTTCCTTTACTGGCGCCAATGCATCCGATGCTGAGCTGGCCATGTATGCGGAGAATGCAGACAAAGAAGCAAAGGAGCTAGCGAGTTCACTGCCCTGCCCGCACCTGTCTGCCGCCGCGGAAGGAGGGCCATGCTGGGCCGTCGAGGCCTCCGAGCTCAAAGACTTGTAGATCCGAGCCAAATGTGACGAGATTGACGGCGAGAAGGACGGCGACGAGTGATCCTCGCTCGGCTTTCTCTCGTTGACCATGATGCTGACGGGAATTCTCCGGGTCCAAGAGGGGGGGTTTGCATGCAAAAAAACGGCCCGTTCCTTTTTCCCAGACTGCTTCTTCCCTTTTTCTTTTTTGTCAACGACTTCAAAACCTGCCCAGCGGCTTGGACTGTTTCCCTATTCAGTGTTCACTGTCCAACTTGCTGCGTGTTCGTCACCGAGATCCCGACGGGGGGGGGAATTGCCTCGAGCAGACGCAGCAATGGAGGACGCTCCTCCGGAATACCCTGTTGGGAGATCAAAAAGGCCAAGTGTCAAATGAGACAGAACAAAGACGCGAGCAGGGGGGGGGAGGGGGGGGAGGGGGGGGGGGGGGAGAGAGAGAGACCTTCTCAGGTGTGTGACAGAAAAGAAGGCAACGAGAGACGGTCAGCGAGCGTCGTGTGTTGGTGTCTGTTGTCGACTTGCAGATCCACTCGCGCCTGGGCCAACGACTGACAGTCCGACACGGGGTTGGTACGACCGTGACCTATCAGATAGATATTCCTGCCGCATCTCTGTTCTCTTTTTTATTTCCCCTTTATTCCCGACGCTTGGCTGGTTGTTTTCTGCCTTGACGCAAAGACTCGTCTGCTCAGCTGCGGGCGAGGTGGAGAAGAGGGGAGGGGGAGGAACGCATTGTTGCTGTGAATGAAGAGGGACTGCAAAAGGTATTGACCGTTATAGAGACCTGAGGCATCATTAGTGATGTATCAGATTCAGTATTGCGAGAGGGCGAGATGCAGAAAACAAGTACGGAGTAGATTTGATTTCCAGCTGGCTGCTGAGTTGAGCTAACTAGGAGTTGGTTTACTCCTATTCATTCATTCTGATATTGACTGAAGATATTCAATTCGAGGCACTCGGTTTTTTTAAAATAGAAAACTCCCAGTCAATTCGAACTACGGTGATGTGTCTAAACTATAGCTGAGTGGAATGGTTAGGGGAAACCGTCTATCCTATATCGATAGCGGTTCATCATCTACAGTGTATCCCATTAGGATTCATCTTGATGTCCTCTGTACAACTAAATCGTCGTCTTCATCGCCTCCTTGTCATATCGCTGCATCTTGATAGAATCTTCGAGAGATGTATTAGGCCTCGAACTGGTCGTGCAAACGCGGTTCTTCAGTATTGGATAGATACAGTGAAATCTTGTCAGTCAAATAGGTAGTAGTATTGGTATATTCATATGATACATGGGGGAGGCAGAAAAAGGGGAGGAGCAAAAGGCTGCGCTGGAAAAAACGAAAACGAGTTTACAGCCCGCGCAGGAAGTTGTCCTCACGGATACTCTTCCGTCTCGCCGCCCGTGCGCCCTTAGTGATCTCGGCGCGCTTCTCGAGGCTCTGGAACGCCTGTGCGACAGGCGAGGCCGTCCGGTCGGGAATGATGTCTGTCGCGTAGTGATGGACGGGGATCGGGGGGGGGAGGTCGGATTTCATTGCCTCAAGTTTGCGCTCGTATCGTTTGCGTTGTTTTTTGTTCAGTGCTGTTCATTAGCAACAATGTACAAATATATATATATATATTCAATATTTATAAATTCTTACTGTTCGGATCGATTTCCCCCTCTGTAAGCTTCGCTTTCTTAGAAGCATCATCGAGCAATTCCCACAACCACTCCGGGTACTCGCTATCCTCCAGGGCTAGGACGTCAGGCTTGTTTTTGAAATAATTGAGTCCGTTCAGCTTCGTCCCTGCCGGACAGATGCTCACGGGACGCTCCACGGCTGCTGGGACTTCCTCCGCGGGGATACCGGAGGCGCTGACTCCCTCGGGCGTGCTGCTGGGCGGTTGCTGCGAGGCTCCAGGCGTGGCAATCGCCGAGGGGATCGTGATGCCGCCCACGACGGGCTGGCGGGGGGTCGGCGGCGCGCTATAGCTTCGCAGTTGCAGGCGAGATGAAGCCCTGACTGCTGGCTGCAGCCGGGAGAGAATGCTTGTTCGACACCGATTGCAGATCATGGTGTGATATTCTTTTGATTGAAAGAGATTATACAGGGGATGAGAGGGAATCCAATTCCAGCTGGCGGACAGCACTTGCCGAACTGTCGGAGGTGAAGCTGCAGTTTTGAACCTGCGGGATGAATTTGTTGCGGCCGGAAATGTCACGTGATTGGTGCGTAGCTGAGTCAGCGTGTTTGTACATTTGCATAATTGCTTTGCGCAATCTCTCTATAATAATATTTCTATTGATTATTTATAATTGCTGGTAACTAAAAAGCCAGGGTCTTGCCCTCCTTGGAGCTCTGCTGGGCCAGCTCAATCACACGAATGACACGGCTGGCCTCGGCGCCGCTGGCCGGCAGGTCTCCATGGCCGGCGAGAGCACGGGCAAGCTTGCGGTAATATTCTGTCCAGGTGGGAGGTTCGACGGTGGGAAACCGTTCCTTGACAGGGGTTCCGTCTTTGATGGTGGTGAGGACGCCTATACTGTTAGAAAAGAATCACTGGAAGACACGAGTAGAAAAAGACATACCGTATCTGTCGCTAGGCTCGCTGCCGAATCCGTGATCTGTGGCTTTCATGCCGGCCTTGAGCTGTTCTTCCTGGATATCAAGGTGGAACTGGAAGATTAGTCTTTCTGCATAGTTGTTGGGGTTGTTGGGGTTGTTGTTTGACATACCTTTTTGTAGCTCCCGTCCTCGCCACGCACCCAGAAACGCAGCTGTTCCTCTTCCGGGCTGACAACGGCCGCTTTGGCCGTCACCAACAGGCCCGAGGTGTAATGCAGCAGGACGGTGAACGAGTCCTCGTATCCGCCCGTGTCTCCCTGTCGCTGCGTTCCGATGAACCCGGTCACCCGGTCGGGGGCGCCGAACAGGTGAACCGCCTGGTCGAGCACATGCGAGCCAAGGTCGTAGATAGCACCCCCGCCGGGCATCACCTGTGTCTTCCATGAGGTTCCTGTCGGCACGGCGGGTCTGTGACGGTCGAAATGGGTTTCGTACTCGACGACACGGCCCAGGGCGCCGCTCGTGACAAGCTTCGAGACGGTGACGAAGTCGGCGTCGAAACGGCGGTCTAAAAAAGAAAAAGAAATTAATTAGACGGGCACAGTAGGTATGTGAAGGTGTCTTACTCTGGTAAACGGCCAGCAGTTTGTTCTGGGCCTGAGCCAGGGCGACGAGCTCGTTTGCTTCCGCTTCGGTAGGAACGAAGGGTTTCTCACAGACAACTAACTAGTTAGCATCAAGATGAATTGTGGTCATACGTCTCAAGCAAGTGATTACCATTCTTCTTCGCCTCCAAAGCGAGCTTTACCAGGTAAAAATGCGAGTCCGGCGCGGTGGTGATGATCACCACGTCCACGGCCGGATCACGCACCATCTCCTCGGCACTGCGGTAGACCTTGATTCCCGGATGATCCTTCTCGGGATCGTCATCTGGTCTGGGCGTGCGCTGGACGACGGCATACAGCTTCAGGTCAGACACCTGCTGGATGAAGGGGATATGGAAGACTTTGGCACTGAAGCCGTAGCCGACAACGCCGACGTTGAACGATTTGGTCATTTTTCTTCGTATATACACGACTCAAACTCTGTACAGAAATAGATTGGATAGATGAAATTGAAAGACAATCGACGAGACCCAAGGGCAATCTTATAACAAGCTGAGGGTGCGGGGGAAGGTCCTGGCGAGACGACGGCGGGGCAGAACCAGCTGGTTGAGTGGAGACTGACGACTGTTTGTGCAAAAGAAGGTATCAGTTATTACGGATTCGCGATTCCGACGCAGCGAGTGACTTCGATGGCATCCTAGTCGGCATTCGCTCGGATTAGCGTTGATCAAAGCCAATAATAAAAAGTGCTGGGTCCAGGATAACTCACGTCTTCTCCCTCCGGCTGGACCAGCTCGCTCCGGTAAATGAGATTCGGGTTGCCGACGACTTCAAAGGCCGGGGCCGAGTCCTTGCCCATATACGAGGCCAAGACGCGGTCGGAGAAGCCGGTGGTGTTGAAATTCTTGCCCCCCTGCTGCAGCTGCAGCTTCTGCTGTGCGGCCTGCCGTTTCTGCTCGACCGAGCTGCGCACGTACTCCAGGTACGGCGGGTTTCCCGGGCGGACGACGTTGTCGGCGGCAAGCACCGAGCCCGGAGACACCATGCCGTACTGCTCGCACAGCTGGAGATCGGAGGTGTAGGCGGGTTTATAGTGGTCGAGGAACATGAGCTCGACGTGGCGGACGGTCTGGCTGGAGTACAGCCTGTGCAGGGAGAGGTCGCTGCGTCCGACGCAGATGCGGACGAGGTCACGCAGCCCGGCCAGCTCGACGAGCATGTTGGATATGGCGGCAAACTCTGGGTTCAACTCGAGACTGAAGTAGCGGGTGCCGCCGTTGCGTCGTACGGCGTCGCCGAACAGGATGGCCGAGTAGCCGACGTAGCCGCCCAGCTCGAGCATGGTCTGCGGGCGCAGCTCGGCGATGAGGTCGGTGACGATGCGGCCCTTGGGACGCCCGACGTTCATGAAGTGGTATTGATACTCCTCGCCGAACCGCTCGATCAGATCCAGCACTTTGCGTGGGTGGCCGCGGATCGCGTCTAGGTCGGGCTGGCTGTACACGTAGTGGAGGAGTTTCAGCTCGCGGCCTGGTTCGCGCTGCTTCATTAATTCCAAGATCAATCCTCAATCCTACACTGGCTTACCGAGCGTTCTGACCGGGCTACCGAGTACTGTTCAATGCCAATCAGTAGAGCACGTAGAGAGACTAGGCACAGGACATACTGAACGAATCCCGCGAGGGACTGCCGCTCGTAGGATCGACAAACGAGACATGGTGAGACTAGTTATAGATTATTATAGATTAATCTAGCTTGAATGGATGGAATGATGATTGATGGATTGATGGAATAAACTCAATAACCTCAACGCCGTGTTCTGTTTATCAATCGCAGCTCGGCGATCACATGCCGATCGGGCAGTCTACGCCGAAAATCATGTAGTACAAAGTACGAAGTATACGGAGTATGTCTATGAGTAATTATGAAGCTATTAGCTATAGCTATAAAATAGAAGTATAATTAATAGTTAGAAGCCAGAAATGCTGGTTTTCTGGTAGTTAATGTTTACTGGTAAGAGGATAAGGCTTATATCGCCAAGTGTCTATGGAGTAATATCTTGCAGGTAATATGGAATAGTTATTAATAGCAGCAAGGCAAGGAATAAAAAGCTACTCTTTCTAGGCCAGTTATCTTTATCTTATTGAAGATCGAAGAGATTGGGCATAATAGCTTATAGCCCAATTGTTACCGTACAGCCTTATAGAGGTAATAACTGCCGAGCGCATATATTTACTATTGGAGAATTTGCACTTGTATTATTATCTTAATTATAAATGACAATTGTTTCTTCGATCGAGAACTATTTAAATACCTAGTATTTATATAGAATATATAGATTAGCTACATGGTAGACAAGCAGTCTCGTAGTCCATCCATATCCATACTACATCTATAGCTTTATAGAATAAAACACAACGTATACTATTCTTAGAATCTTCACTGTGTAGTACAGCTGAGATATACTTTAGTATCTATCATACGATCTTTCAATTCAAATAATGAAAAGTTCAAGTTTCAGGAATGTACAACTGGCTATGACGTGGTCAGCGTTGCACCAGCCCCTCGTCTTTTCTATCGCCAACAAATTCCTACTTCTCCCGATTCTGTGCTATTTGCGTGGTTTTTTCCTTCTCGAGATATGAAAGACTGAGGAATGTCATGAGAGAAGAAAATACTTACTATCATTTACCAAGTTTCTAGTCTCTATAAACCGTTCATGGCGATCCCGCAACAGACGAGGATGGCCTCAGGCACACAACCCCTCACGCACTTTCTAAGAGTCGCCGTCGCTTTTGCCCTCCTTCCCATCGACACATTCATCCTCGTCGTTTCCTACACCCTCAGCCATCTCACGACACTCGAGCAGCATCCGACCGACCAGCGCGATACCCAGGTCTACTCCAAGACCGTGCTGGTGACGGGGATCGACACCCCCCAGGGCCTTGCTGTCTCGCGAGCATGCCACCGCCAGGGCCACCGCGTGGTGGGCGTCGACGTCGACGACCGCGATACTGTCTACAACCCGCTGCTGTGTGTGCGGTCGGGCGGGAGCCTGTCATGCTCGGTGGCGGCCTTCTACCGCATCCCGCGGACGCTGTACGTCTCAAGCCTGCTGGATATTGTGCACCGCGAGAAGGCGGATCTCTGGATCCCCTGCTCGGAGCGGGTGACGGTTCTGGAAGATGCGGTGGCGAAACAGGTCCTCGAGAGTCGAACGACGTGCAAGGCTGTCCATCTGGACGCCGAGTTGACGGACCGACTGGCAAACGCCGAGTCGCTGGCGCAGTTCCTCGTTGACAAGGACCTGCCCGTCGTCGAGAGACATCGCGTGCAGTCTCGCGACTCGATCCATAAGATCCTGCACCGCTCACCAACAAAGGCGTACCGGATTCGAAAGCTCGCTCCGGTTTTAGAAAGCAGCTCCAGTACCAGCAGCAACAGGAGAGACATCCTCCTACCGAAACGAACCCTCAGCCAGACCTACTCGGAGGTCAGCGAGATCCAGATCTCCAAGGACGCCCCGTGGGTACTGCAGCAGCAGACTCGGCTCGGCGAGTTCTGGGCCGACACCCTACTGGTCCGCGGGCACGTCGAGGCCATCAAGGTGCGGCCGGGGAGAAAGACGACGGAAGACATGAGCTGGGGCGCGTCGCGGCTGGACGAATCGCTCGCATCAGCCATCTACCGGGTTGTCGAGGCGTTTGCGTCCAAGGGCGGCACGCGGATGACGGGCCATCTGTCCCTGCAGCTGATGGTGGACGAGGAATTCGAAGCCAACTCCGTCCGGCACTCGGTGCACATCGCCGGCTGCACGCAGGGCGCGGGCGCAGTCACCAGCTTGCTGAGGGATCCGTCCTGCGCCCTGGCGGGCGGGTACCTCGCCCTACTCCAATTGAAAGAAAAAAGCAGCGTCCGTTCGGAAGAAAGGGCTGGTCCCGCCCGGATTATATCGCTGACTCCACGCGCCGCCCAGCAGGGTCTTCTCGCCCGAACCAGGGTCACTCTGAGCCAAAGGGTTCCCGGGGCATCCGGGTTATTCACACTGGGAGACGCCCTCGCCGACGAGACCACTCTCTTTCTCTTCTGGGAGCACCCGCTCTTCCTTGCCGGCGACCCCATGCCGTGGTGGTGGGATGTTCATGTCTCTCGCCCGGCACAGGAGGTTTGGAACATGTGTAGAAGAAGTGTTAAATAGATAGACAATCCTCATCGGTGTACGATTCCAAGTCTGGGTAGTTCATTGCCGAGCTTATAGTCAGTATCTGCCTAGAACAATACCTTTTTGAATACGGCGAAAAGGCTTTGATCCGTTATAATCCGATGGTCTGAAAGAGTCTTCTGTAGGGAGGCCTTGTCTAGCCATTCAGGATGCTTTTCTTCTTTTCCATTGGAGCCGGCTGCCTATCGAAGCAAGGAGTCAAAATCTAGGGAACATTTTGACACTGTAGATTGAAAATTATCCTCATACCCATACTTATAATCTTCCTACATATTCTTAGACCGGAGTGACACGGCTGATGACGACGAGTGGAGGCGCAGTGGACAGCCCTCGTTCTTCTTGCTGACGAGAGAAAGGCTTTGCCTTCGTTGTCAACAGCAACCTCTTCTCTCATCTACTCATCACACACACAGATCCCCAGTCATCGAGTTATTATTCCTACTTTCACTCCTGTATTTTCTGGCTTCGATAGTCGACAAGTCAAGCCCGCCGAGTTCTTTCGCTCCACCTCGTTGCTATCGAGACCCGCTCGCTCGTGTAAACAATTGCGTTGCCTCAGCCCGGTTTCATCCTCCATCCAACGATTCACCCACGCGGAAATAGACACGAATCTTCCTTATCACGCGCGTGAGGGGACTACTGCGCGGACATCTGAGAGGATATAAGAAGTTCCCTGCGTTGCCAATCACCGGTTGTGGTGTCGCAGAGTTGGGAGGAGATTAGGCACCCTTTTTCAGCCCACCGCGACCGACCCTTTGCAGGACTCTCTCGACTTGGTCACAATGAGACGACCGTTCAACGGCGCTGCGAACCCAGCGCGGATAAAGAACACAATCCATGGGTTCCAGGGGTTCATCATCTTCCTGGCGTGGGCGCTAACCATCGCCGTCTTCACGAAAGGCGACGGCATGGACGGGCGGTCGCTTTGGTACTGGGCGCTGGTAAGTTCCTTTACCAGGTACTCTTGGGCAATATTATCTCATGGCATGCTAATTTCTGTCTTTCTTGTTTTCTCAGTGCTGGGTTACCGTCCCCGCCCTGATCTACCTCGTCGCTGTTCCCATGTGGCCGCGCGCCCGGCGCTTCGGCAACGTCTACGCGTTCGCCACGATCGACTGCCTCTTCACGATCTTCTGGTTCAGCGCCTGGGTGGCCGTGGCGGACTATGTCGCTGAGGGTAAATCCAAGGGGAAAACGGACAGTAAAAGTGGCTGCGATGCCTGGTCCTACGGGAGTGCCAGCAAGTGCGAGATCAGCACGGCGACCGTCATTCTGGGCGTGGTTATTTTGTAAGGCTGGAGATCTTGTTCGCTTTCGAACTTTTTTTTTTTCTTTGCTAATTCTCAAGCCTTCTCTTCATTGCGACCTCCTGGCTGTCCTTCCGCAACGTCTTCCACTTCCGCCGCACCGGCACCCTCCCTGATATGGGCAACGATCCGACCTTCGCCGCCCAGACACAGGATGCCTTCTCCTCCAATCCGCACGAATTCGAGGACGACGAAGATGAGTTCCGCTCCGGCCGCGCCGAGATGGGCGTCCCTCCCTCGCGCGGCGACCGCGACGAAGACTACGCCCTTCTGCAGCACAGTGAGATCGACGACCTGGGCGGCCGCTCAGCCCTGCAGGGCGCCTACGATCCCACCGCCCCAGCCCCGGGGGGTGTCCTCCACGACTATAACACGGGCTACGGCGGCGCTCACGGCCAGCACTACGCCCCGCCGTCCGAGTACGAGCCTACAAGTGAATACGGGCGTTAGTAACGAGGCTGTGCCCAAGGCTGCCGAGCGGCTATGTCCTTGGCTGTATGATTTATTGAGCAAGCATGTATCTGTATTACATACAGCGGTGTTGGGCGCATATTTTTTTTTTTTTTCTTTCTTCTTTTTTTTTTGTTCTGTTTGATATTGTTTTCTCCTTTTTACTTGGAATGCATGTTTCATTTTGTCAAGGTATAGTATAGATCCGAATACCCAGTGAATGATGTTGTGTATTCTTCCGAAATTGACTACCCTCTTTCTACCGATTAAAAATCCAACTCCAGTTTCTCTTAATGTGTTCTCCGAGCAGCTTGCTCACACCAGTCCCAGAATCTCCCAGAATATCCCAACCCACCCTCTTCCACCGGCGTGAGGGCCTGGATGAGGTCTTTCCGCGCGCAGTCTTTATCCTCCCGGATCCTCCCCCAGGGAATGATATACGCGCCATTCTTCTCCACGGTGATCTCGGGCGATAGCCCGGCGTACAGAGCGGTATATGCCCCGAGTTTCACCTCGTACAGGACCCGATTGAGCAGACACATGAGCAGCGCAGACGTCCCGTCGAACACTTTCGTCTTCAGGTTCCCCGGGTTGATGACCACGCTGATGATATCGTGCGGGTGTCGTCTCGCGAACTCGGCGCCGAGCATCCAGTTCCCAAACTTTGAGACGGCGTAATTGCGGACTCGACTCTGGGTGCCCTCGTCCAACGCGTCGAAGTCGATTCCGTGCGCCGGCGTGCCGCTCTCTGCTAGGACGCTGCTCGTCCAGATGACGCGAGAAGGAACAGCAGAAGCAGATGGAGAGAAAGGTTCGCTCCCAGCTTGCAACTGGGGCACCAGTAGCTGTGTGAACAGCTGCGCTGCGACGCAGTTGATCCCTACCATCGCCTCGAGGTTCTGGGCTGTTCTCGCCCCGACGGCGACGCGGTTGCCGCCCATCCCGGCATTGTTCCAGAGGACATCGAGCCGGGATTCCCGTTCTGCGAAAATGGATGCTGCCCTTCGGACGGACTCGAGATCGTTCAGGTCCAGAGGGAGGAAGTAGATTGTTCCGGTTTCGGTCGATGAAGATGACGAAATAATGTCCTCTATGGCTTTTTCGGCTCGTTCCTTCAAAATCAGCATCCACAAACAACTAACTATATTGAAGTCTTTCATCAAAGACATACCCTCGATCTAGATGCCATGTAGATACTCGCGCCGGTAGAATACAGTATCTTGCATAATTCAAAGCCAATGCCGCCGTTTCCCCCCGTCACGATGAAGACTCGGTCTTTCTGCGAGGAAAGATGGTTCTCGGTAAATGAGGGTGCAGGGGGGAACCACTGAGTGAGGAGGTTGTGGAGGGCCATGATACTATTAAGTTCAAGTGCAAGGATGGATTTATAAGTATCAACTTACAATTAGATGGAATTAATTTAAAAGGCTATCGTCAGCTTTAGCCCCCAAGTCAGCTGTCAGCCTCCCTGTCCGCACTGTCAGCTAGTCTATTCTCTATATTTACTGAAGATAAACCATTCATTCTTCAAAATTTTGATATCTAGTACCCTTTTCAATATTCTCTACAAGCGGAATTCTGATGCTATCGTCTGATAATCAGCGATACTAGACTGAATGCATAGGAGTTATATCTACAGATAGAGAAGTGAATGTCCTCAAATGACAGCCTACTTTAAATTTAGTCTCGACTTATTGTTCAGCAAGAAGGCATACAAGGCAGGTAACTACAGACTACCAACTTTCTGCCCTCCGTCCGGCAGGGGAACGCGGAACAGGGCATAAGGCTTCTGGCGCTCAGATCGCCAGAGCTGATTCTCGGTGAAGTAGACATAGCCTGTGGTGGCAGACGAGCTACTGTCGTTGCTCGGCAGGCTGACGACGCTCAGGGTATCGGTCCAGCCGATACGCGGGTCGCGCACAAAGGTCGACACGGTCAGGTTATCCGGGAAGAAGATATTAATGGCGTTGGCCTCGAAACTGCCGAGGTAGATGTATCCGTTCGAGTCGACCTCGTAGCCGTCGCTGACCCCTTTCTGTACCAAGCGGTTGACTGCCGCCAGGGACCGCATCTGCGCGTTGGTCGAAGAGCTGTCGAGCAGCCGGGCGGTGGGCACCGAGTAGATGTACCGCCCGCTCACCACGCCAAAGTACAGCGTCTCCCCGTCGGCCGAGACGGTGATTCCGTCGCTGCCCGTCGCCTGGTTCTGGATTGTGTCCCCCCAGATGGTCACCTCGAAGTTCACATCGGCTTTGGCCCATAGCAGATCATCCAGGTGTCGCCAGGATTCACCCGTGCCCAGGTCCACCACTACGATGCCATTGCGGCCCACGAAGCTTGAGTCGGTCAGATACGCGACCCCTTCTCCGGACTCGGTGATGGTGGTGCGCAGATCAAAGCGTACATCATTCAAATACTGCAAAGGTCAGCGTGAAAATAAGGGTATCACAGTTTAGGTCACCGGTTGTTTCATACCGAGTCCGGATACGCCACATCCAGCGGGAATGTAATGGTCTGGAACACTTCGTTGGTGGTGAGATTGACGCCGACGATCTTAGGACCACCATGGGTGGCTAACAGTAGGTTGCCATCAGGAGTCTGCGCGCGGCCCGTATCCAGAATCCACAGTCGGTCCTTAGCATCGATATACACGCTTTGCACGCTGATCAGGTAATCCGCATAGTTGACCGAGGTCTTGATCTGTCAGAAGGAAGCTTTAATCTATAACTACTACCACGCAGACTGACCGGAGGAGTGGTAGAATAGTTGAACGGTCCTCCAGGAGGAGAATTGATCTCGGTAGTCGGATACGGCGTCTCGGCGGTGCGGTTGATCAGCTCGGCGACCTGGTATTTGGTGTTGTTCGCATCCAGCCCGAGAGGGTAGCAGGCGAACATGCGGCCGGTGGACGAAACAGCAACACCTGGCCTATCAGCTAAATGTGCAGAATAGCTAATCAACCCTCAAGAAAACTATGTGACTACCTGTCGGCCACTCGTCATAGAACTCATGAACGAGCTCCAGCGGCGGCCCAGAGACGCCAGGATCCCGCGCAATGGCGCTGACCTGGCCGGCGATGGCGACCTGCAGCAGTACCTGATTAAAGCGCATTTTCACAGGGAATTGAAGCAACTCAAGCACTTCTGAAGCTCATGTACAACGGCTCTGCAGAAACATGATGTTTAAATAGTTCCCCGACGATCTGCAAGGGTAGCTGTGGAGAAAGTGCGGAGTATGGATGGTGTATTTCTCAGAGTAGTTTAACCTCCGCCAGATAATTATTAATCATGAAGATGAGCAAAATATCTTTTGCATCGGCTCACCACCGGCTCGTATTCTTTGGTCTACATCGGATGGTGCGGAATAGGTCGGTACTATTCTGCTCCGGCGTTGCTCATTCCTTGAGGTCAACAGCATCAGGTTGCCGGACCGTTGGCTGTTCCTGCATTAGTTACCACCATCTGGAAACTTCAACCTGCTGCTTTATGAAAGTGACGAAGATACTCGATCAAAAGTCATCTCTAATGAGTTGCTAAATCAATTCGTGGTTTCGTCTTCTTCCAGTCAATGAGTTCTAGCAGCCACTGTGAAGAACTTACTCGAAACCCGAGCAGTGCTGTCTCTACCAGTGTTGCCTTCGTCTCCTGACATTAATATGAAGATCGAAGCACAATTAAAGGAACAGAACGACTCCACCCCTGTGCGTTCCCTGTTTGCCAGCGCCGGTCCTGTCTTCGGACTCCCCGGTGGTTCTCGCTCAGTGGAGGGAATCCACCAGTAGGGTAGGTCAGCCCATCTAGAATGATGCATACAGGTCAGTCTTGCCTTATTTCCAGGGTTAAGAGCGCTACCGATTAGTTGCTACTTACCTTGCGAAGAAGATGATTGTCCTGAGATGAGACGAGGAGGTCCTGCAAGAAGGAGAAGGAAAGCACCTTCCTTGTGCGGAGTACTGCCTGCCAGGTCCGCCTCTAGGGTCAGCTGATCAAAGAAGATATCACATATAGAAAGGAGAAGGGGAGAAGAAGAGAGAAAAGGAGAGAAAAAGAGAGAAAAAGAGAGAAAAAGAGAGAAAAAGAGAGAAAAAGAGAGAAAAAGAGTTGTGTACATACTTGGGTTCCTAGGTAGCCAGTTGAAGCTCTTTCGGATGTGCACCTTATATATATTCTCCTGGTTGGTTCTTGTAGAGAAGCACCAGTCTAAACTGTGTATAGCACAGATATTTATATCATGATACTACCACCGACTAATATGTCGAGATACCACCAGGATATCTAGACAGCTTTAATATAGCTTCAAACCAGGTCAGGCTCTCTCAACCTGTCTGTTTCTCAGACAGTGACCCATGAGTTGTTCTATAGATATCGATAATCGCCTCTTTCTGCCACCGCCTTCCTTTCTAGCGCACCTCTTCTGGACAGCTGGTGTTGACCTTGTTGTTGCGAGACACTTTTGAACAAAGAGTAATTACCATGTAAGTAGAGAAGCCCCTATCGATTGAGCTGGCTCTGACGAACAAGAAGTGAGAATTGCTTCGAACGGACCGTCTGCCACGAAGGAACCATGGCGACAGAAGCCGACCTCTTCAACCAGTACCCCCTGCACCTCGACCCGGCGACGAAAGCGATCTCTCTCGCCAGTTCAGCCGGGTACACCGCGGTACAGATCGAAAATGTCAACAAGGAACTCACAGCGCTGAACCAACTGCACCGCTCGCTGCTCGCGCTCGACCCGCCCAACACCCCCCCGCCTCCCCTGCCGGTGAACCCCAAGCGCAGCGCCCAGATCTCCAAGCTCCGCGACACCGCCAACGCAGCCTACCGCAAGGGCACGCACGTCGAAGCAGTGAAGCTGTACACCTACGCGATCGATATGGCGCTCGGCCGCCCCGGCTGGGAACCCGTGGGCCTCGCCCGCGACGAGCTGTCCGCCCTCTACGCCAACCGGGCCCAGGCGTACATGGCGCAACAGGCGTGGCCGGAGGGATTGATCGACGCGCGGGCCAGCGTCGACTGTAAACCGGTGGGGAATGTCAAGGCCTGGTTCCGTGCTGGGAAATGTCTCGCGGAGATGAGCCGCTGGGAGGAGGCCAAAAATATGCTGGACAAGGGGCTAGAGATCGAGGGCAAGGCCAGCGAGGGGGGGAAGGAGTTGCTGGGATTACTGGGTGAAGTGCAGGAGAGGTTGAAGCAGTAAATTGGACGCTTGGATCTTTGATAGTATGGAGTACGGCGTTTATATCATTGCATCAATGAGTTTCACATCACACAGTCTTCTTCTACGTAATCCAAAGGTTAAAAACAGTAATTTAGTGGTAGATAGCAAACAACTAAGTGAATGATGTTTTTGTTGTGTTGAAAAAAAGAAAGCCGAACGCGGGGGTCGAACCCGCAGCCTTGAGATCGCAAGATATAAGAGTCTCACGCTCTACCGATTGAGCTAGCCCGGCTGTTGTTGAAGAGACCAAGAAATAGTGCTATATAACCTAAAAGTAAAATATAAACCTAGAATATATTCAAATAAATACGTCGTGTCTACTCATAAAAAAAGGCTCGCTCGTGTACCGTACAAAATAACAAATTAAACCAACACACTCGACCCATCGTTCTTCTTACATGCGCACACATCCTTCCCTGCCGCCACCTGCGACGGCGTTCGCGCATAGCTAGGCGGCACGTCGAGAACAGGGTTGCGCTTGAAGAAATGGCGCGGCCGCAGCAGGACGGTCATCGGCTCCGCGGGCATGATCGGGTAATCTTCCGGCGCGGGGAAATGGGTGAGACCAAAGGTGTGCCAGAGGACGATGTCGGTGTTGTCGATGGAACAGGTCTCGCCGGCCTGTTCGATCCATTGCGGGATTCCCACGGACGGTTCGCCGGAGGTTTGGGGGACGTGGCGGCCTGCGGGATGGATTTGGTCGTCGGAATCTAGAACAATTAGCTTGCTTATCACAGAATAATCGATTTGATAGAAAAGAATGGGTTATACATTTGGTAACGTGAACGGCGTGCCTGGCAAACCCTGCACGTTTCCAGACAAGAGAGCCTTCCTTGGGAAGGAGAGGGGGCACCTCCCGACTGACAAGCTTGTAGCTGACGGGCCTCTTGCTGTACTCGTTGAGTTTGTTGGTGTTGGCGATATCCCATGTGCGGCTCGTGCTGCCGTCATAGTCGGACATGGCCTGGCGCGGGGTGGTGAACTTGGTCTTCTTCGCGTAGAAGGCGTTGCCGTAGGGGTTCTCGGGGCTACCGACGGCACCCTCGCCGCGCACGGCGTCGACCTGGAACACGGTGTTGTTGGGCCCGTCGACGTTGGCGTCGATGCGCATGCAGAACAGGTGCTGGTGGTTGTGGGCGTTGACGCCCGGGTAGACCTCGGTGCCCCAGCCGTGGGTATCCTCGCCGGGATTCATGGCGTAGGTGTTGAGAATGCCGGTCAGCTTGATGTCAAGCTGGATGGTGCCGTCCTGGTGGAAGATCCAGTAGACGCAGTACTCATAGTTGGCTGCGGTGAAGATGTGGGAGATGATCAGCTTGCGGCCACGGGTGACGATGACCGACTCGTCGCGGAAATCGGTGTGCTTGAAGAGGATGCCGGCGTCTTCCTCGTGAATGCAGATCGCGTTCTTGACCACCGTGCTGGCGCCCGCCCGGTTGACAAACGCCGCGTCCATGTAGTGGATGGCTCCCTTGCAGTCGCAGCCCAGCGACAGGCTGTTGGTCATGTACCCGCCGCCGTACTCGCCCAGATCAAAGGCGTGCTTGCGCTGGTGCGGGTGCTCCGGGTTGCCGTAGGGAACCACCATCTCTGCCAGGGAGAGCCGGTAGAAGACGGGGCGCACGACGCCCTTGTCGTTGAAGGTGATGTTGTTCAGGACGATTCCCTCGCGGTAGTTGAACCCCACGTGGATGCCCCAGTTCTGCCAGTCGATGGTCCGGCCATTGATGTTGAACGAAACTCCGTCGGGCTGCGTGATGTGGATGGGCTTGATGTCGGTACGGAAGCCGCCTTCCGCCTCCACCGAGGCCGGATGGTAATTGTTCGGCGGCGCGCGGCTGATCGGCCGACGGACATTGGGGATGTCGATGTGAATGATCTGCTTGGTCTCGGCGTTGAAAATCGGACAGAAGTCGAGGGGGTAGGTATACTGCGAGTCATCGACATGGGGGCGGTAGTACATCAACGCCTGCTGCAGACGGACACCACTTCCGAATCGCTCATCATATCCAATTGTCCATGCTATAGAGTTTAGTCCGGAAGAAGAAAAGAAGAGAAGGAAGAAGAACTTACGGTCACAGTACACCTTGTGCATCTCCTCCTTCGGAATACCAAGAATACCACACTGCTCGATAACTTTAGGATCCTTGCGGACCACATGTTCCACCTCCTGCAGATCCTCCATGGTGATCAACGGCTGCACGTTCGGCGTATGCTTCCACTCCACGATCTTCTGGGCCTTCAAATCCACCACCCCGTCGTACACCTTCCCCCCGGGTGCGATGGCGACGACATCTGCCGCCCGGAGTGGCCGCGGCGCACGCTCCGGGTCCGCCAACCACGCCATCATCTCCTCCTTTCGGGGCTCCCACAGCGTCACGGCGTTGAAGTTGAGCGGGCCATGTTCTTTGCGGACGATGGAGACCGCGGTGTCGATCTCGGTGGTGGTAAGAGGGTCGAACGGGTGGGGGGCCGGCGAGGTGCCGCCCACCTGGAAGGCCAATTGCTTCAGACGATCGGTCATTCTTCGTGAATAGCTGTAGTCTTCTTGGTCTTTGTGTCTGTCTTGTTAACCTCTTCCTTATCTTATCAACAGATGGAGATAGATAGAGGGAGATGTTCCAACCTACCAGATGACTGTTGAGAACGATTCTGGAACAGATCTCGCAAGTTTCCGCAGGTAACAAGATGAACTCACGTCGAAACACACAGAGCTCAGGATGAATCCCGTCAGTCAATGGATGAAGGCGAGGCATCATATAAATGCAGACTGCACGACACCTGCCAGGCGAGGCCCGATAAGCAGGCCGGATCGTGGACCCAGATTGGGACTAGCGCAACCCCTCCACAGCGGATTTCTTTGCCTAAAGAAAGAGAAACGAGGATTGTCGATACAATACAGCAGATAGAATGCGGAATCTCGATAGTGTTGAGTAGAAAGAATGCGATTGATAGTCTGGGGAACAGTTACTATGTAGTAATAGACATATGTCGGAAGAGATTGGAGGAATAAGCCAATTGTAGAGAGTTACTATCGTCTATGACTGATGTAAATGATTCTACGCAGCTATCTTATGTTTCAGACAACAGCAGAGATAGATTGATCCCGGAGGATGAGAAATGACACAAGAAATGAAGAAATGAAAAGGAACAAACACCGACTACCGTTGCACCACCCCCGCCGAGACATACTCGGCAGAAAGAAAAAAAAAAGAACTTTCCCAGACCAATGTAGCAACGAGCGCCTGTATGTACATGCTAGTCATCATCCTGTAAAATAGAGAGAGAGAGAGAGAGAGAAGGACTCGTTCAAGCCTTTCCGACTTGAAAGATGCCGCCCGGGGTCAGCGCACCGATGCCCATGACATGGCCCTGAGGCGTCTGGTTACCCGTGACGGCATGGGAGATGTTCGGGGTGCTCGGGGTACCTGCAGCGGAGGAGTAGATCGTGGCGCCGTTGAGGTTCGGGGTCTGCTGCAGGCCGGCGTGGTAGGCGGCGGCGGCGGCAGCGGCAGCAGCAGCGAGGGCCGGCATCTGGCCGTTGAGCCCCCAGATCTGACCGGAGTACTTGGACTGGTCGATGGAGCCGCCAAAAACGAGCTGGCGCATCTTCCAGTAGATCTCGCCGGTGACGAGGGAGTCGGAACCGGCTTGGTGGGCGATGCCGACGCGCTTGACACCCAGCTCGTCGGCGATGTCCTGCAGGCCCGATTTCTGGCCTAGATTGGTCAGGATCTGGGCGGCGGCGGGGGTCAAGGGGGAGCCGTTGACGGCCTGGTTGCGGCCGGCGTGCTTCATCAGGTACTTGATGTCGTAGAGCGAGGGGAAGAAGATGTTGAGCAGCTTGTGGAACTCCTCCTCGTTCTCCGGCAGCGGGGTGCAGAGCATGATCTTCATCAGGTAGCCAAAGTCGTAGCCCGAGTGGAAGGAGACCCAGTGGACCTCGTCGAGCAGGACCAGGCCGGAGCTGATGAGCAGGGCGCCAAACTCAAAGGGGTCGATGCCGTTCTTCTCGTGCATGGAGAAATCGATACCCGCCTTGGCCAGCATCGCCGTCGACTCCTGCGCGTACATGTCGTCCTCGAGCGAGAAGCGGAAGTTGAACTGCCACGTACACGGTGCGGGCACCAGCTGCGACCCGTACGGCTGCCCGCTGCCGTCCGCCGTGTTCGCCGGCGGCACCTCCCCCTCCACCGAGAACAGCGTGATGCCCAGCTGGATCATCTTGAGCAGATCCACGTTGCACCGCAGCGTCTGGTAGTGGTAGTCGGCCTTGTTTGTAAATGATCCGATCGGACGTGCCACAATGCCGGGGAACTCGGTATCCTACATCAGCACATCAGCATAAACCGGCAAATAAACCAGCAGAAAAAAAAGTATTACCCACCATACTGATGTACGGGTACTTTTCCACCAACTGCCGCAACACAGCCATCTCCTGCGCCAGGTTGTGCTTCCACACATCCCGGATCCGCGACTTGACAGCCGCGCTCTTGCCATCCAAAGTCAACCGCCCGTCCGGTCCCTGATGTAACTGCTGCTGCTGCTGCATCTGCGCACCCCGAGCAAACCCCATCTGCGCCGCATGGCTCGCCAGCCCGGTCCCATTGCCGTCGCCGCCCATCCCTCCCATCCCTCCCACTCCTACTGCGGCTCCCGACCCGCCCTGACTCCCGCCAAACCCAGCCACCGACATCCCGTTCGCCAACCCAGCACCCGCCAGCGTGAACGGATTGATGCTACTCGTCGGATTCCCCGCTGCGAACCCGGGATGCCCACCCAGCGAGGGAGGGGGGAGAGCCGTGTTGGCGGCGGACGGAGCGTGGGCCGGGTGATGGGCCTGCTGCTGTTGCGGCTGCTGCTGCTGCTGTTGGAGATGTGCCTGCTGCAAATGCGAGTAGGGGCCTGCCAGGCCGGACGGCCCGTATCTGCCAACAGGGGGTGGCATCTTGTCGTTCTTCCTGGCTTGCGTGCTTGGAGATGGTGGTTTTCTTTCGTTGGTTCCTTCCCAAGTCAGTCTCGCTGGGCATTTGGGAAAGGCGGCGGGTGGGCCGAAAGCGGGTTAGCGCGCCAAGGCCTGCTCTACAGCTTCACTTTGCAGTCTTGAGGAAGGCAAGACTACGACAGCCCGTCAGTTCGTCTGGAATTCCCTGCCACCATTGCCGTCTGCGAGTCTGTCGGTTGATCAAACATTCGATTTGTCTCTTGTTGCCTGTTTCTCTATTCTACAAAATGGCTCCCAACCCCACCGGCTTCTCCATCAGCGAGTTCAAGGCTGCGGCCTCGCGCTCGTCACCCTACGCCAAGCGAGACCCCTGGGCGAGACAGTGAGGATATAACCTGGATAATCTGGATGTACTTTAGTTGTATATACTGATGGGAATTTTTCTTTTTTTTCTAGTGAGGCGTGGCGATACAACGGTCCGTTCTCTCGGTGGAACCGGTTCAAGGGTCTCTTCCCTGGTCTGGGGATTGCGAGCGTTGCGTTTGCCGCCTATTGCACGTACGAGGCGTTGTTCATGAAGGACGACCATGCGCACCACGGTGATGGACACCACGAAGGGCACTAGAGAAGGAGATGAGAAGTGGGAGACTGAGAAGGCAAGATGCGAGGAATTCAAGGAAACAAAGGATTGTCCGCAATAGATCGGAGACTTGATAGAAGCAAGGCTTCCTGTACATAGATTGATCATGGTACTGTTGTACTCTACGTGTATAGCCAAAAGTAATCGTAGTTGATTGGAGAAGCAGCAGCAGCAGCAGCAGGAGGAGGAGGAGGAGGAGGAGGATAGTCTATATTTTCTATTATGCTACTCTTCAAAAACGAGGACCACTCCATCATCTCCGGCCGTGACGACGCGCTTGCCATTCCGTGCCTGTACAAAGCCCATAATACCACCAGACTGCTCGCCCTCCTCGGTCTCGGTGAGGCCGACATGGCCGCGCCATTCCTTCAGCAGGCCCTGGGCCGCCGCGGCAGTGCCTCCGCGCGCGTCCCAGCGTCGGACGACGCCGTCAAGCCCAACCGAGGTGAGGAGCCAGGAGCCAGGAGCCCCCGCCGGAGTGACAGAAGCCGGGGCAGAGGGGGCCTGCAGAAACTCGACCTTGACGACGGCGGCGCCCTCGTGGGCCTCCCTGATGTGTCTTCTCACGGCGAACCGATGAGCCGCGTCGAAGAGAGCGATGGATCCGTCCACAGACCCCGACGCAAGCAGCGTCAGCGGCGGTGCGGAGAAGGAAAGCGTCTCGATCCCGTCCGACTGGGCTTGCAGAGAAGCGAGGATGGTCCCCGCCGCAGAAGCCGTGGTGGTGGTGGTGGTGGAGGCGCCGCCCTTGCCCTTCGATTTAGCAGAACCTGCCGGGGCAGCGAGACGCGGCAGACCAACGACCCGGATGTGACCCTCTGCACCACCGACGGCGGCAATGGCCCCGCCCGGCGAGATAGCCACCGAGTACAGGCCACCCTCGACGGCGAACCGCTGATCGTCAGCCGTCAGGCCGACGACGGCGCTCGTACCCGCCGACAACGCGACGCCCGCCGCAGCGGCAGCCCCAAAGACATCGTAAACGTAGAAGCTCGCGTCCTCGGAGACGGTGGCCAGCAGTTTGCCGTCGGGCGTCCAGGCACCTGCCGTGCACGACGCCGTATGCTGGAAGAAACTCTGGATGATGGAGATGGGCTGCTCTGTGTCGGTGTGGTCGATGCGGAACACCCAGGCGGAACCGTCGTTGGCCCCGATGGCAACCACATTGCTTTGCCCCTGTTCCTGGCCCGGCGGACACGGACACGCCGCCACCCAGTTGATCTCCTCCACCTCCTGGGCCTCCGCAACAAACGCCCACGCCGTTCCATTCAGCTGTGCAGAGGTATCGCGCCACACGCGCAGGCGGCCGTCCAGCCCCGCCGACACGGCGTACTCGCCCCGCGGCTCCGTAAAGACCACCCCGTTGACTGTATCGGTGTGGCCGTCCAGTTTCGCCAGGGGGGGCAGCGAGGCCCGTTCCTGTTTCGGCTGCGGGTTCGACTCGTAGCTGGCAGGGAGCACCGGCCTGCTGCTGTCGTTGTTCAAGGGTGTCGAGTCGAGAATGTACGCCGTGTCGTCGCCGGAGCCCGTCAGCACGATATGGTTGTGCACCGGGTGCTGCGCGATGCAAAACACCGAGTCCGTGTGGGCGTCAAAGTGTGCCGACGAGTCGTTCTGCAGCGTGATCTCCTGCTCCTCGAACATCATCTGGTCTCCATCCTGCTCTTGCTCCTGCTCGCCATCCGAGTCCATCGGGTGGTCTTCGTCGCGGTTGAAGACCTCGGCGGCCTCGTCGGCCTCGATAAACGCCTCCTGTGACATTTTGCGATGGAATAACGCCTTATCGAGGGAGAAATTGAATACAAAGGCAGAAAAGAAGGACTTGATCCTTTTCTCTTCTATAGAAATCGACAGTTTCTGCTTAGAAATGCCCCGCGAGCAAACAGTACAAACAGTACAAACAGTGCAACAGTGCAAACAGTACAAACAATACAAATAATACAAACATAATAACCCCTCTACAAGGCAGGAAGTCCCGGTACGGCCAACCTGTCTTTCTATTCCAGATACTCCTAGAGACGATTCTCTAAATCTTCGCTCCAGCTTTCCGCCGTGCCTCCTTCTCCTGATCCCGCAGCAGCCGGCGTAGGATCTTCCCACTCGGACTCTTGGGCACCGCGTCGATGAATCGAACCCCTCCCTTGAGCCACTTGTGGCGGGCCTTGTGGTCCTCGACATGTTTTTGAATGGCGCGGATGGTGGCAGCGTCGTCGTCGCCCGCGGCAGAAGATTTGGACACGATCGCCTTGGGGACCTCGCCGGCGGATTCGTCGGGGATGGCGATGACGGCACAGTCCGCGACGAACGGGTGGGTTAAGAGGTGGGCTTCCAGTTCGGCGGGGGCGACTTGATGGCCCTGAAGAACATTAGAACTCGACTAGAGACCGACCATACCATACTAAATATGAAAACAAAGTAGATTACCTTCACTTTGATGAGCTCCTTGATTCGATCAACGACAAAGACGTGCTGGTTTCCCGATGGGCTGAGCCGAATGGCAATCTCGTCCCCGGTGCGCATCCAGTCCTTGTCAAACGTCTCGCGGGTGGCCTTTTCGTTGTGCAGATAGCCCAGCGTGACACTGGGACTGCGGACAATCAGCTCGCCGGGGGTGTCGAGAGTGGTGATCTCGTTCCCTTCGGGATCGACGAGACGGGCCTCGACGCCAGGGAGGAGCACGCCGGAGGAGCCGAACAAGACGTCCGTCGGGTGTGTGGAGGTGACCACCGTGGCGGTCTCAGTGAGGCCTGTCATCTTTAGCTCCTTTTTCTTTTTCCTGGTCTTTGGATTCACAAAGACATACCGTATCCCTGTCGGATGATCATGGAAGGATTGAACTCTTGTAGCTCGCGTGCGGTTTCTTCGCCCAACGGGGCGGCACCACTGAACAGCGAACGGACGCTACTCAGGTTATATTTTTCTAAAAGCTTCTTGTTCCGCAGCATGGCGATGATGATGGGGGGCACCTAACAATGATTTTAGCACGCCGAACAGGAGAGGGCAAGATGCATGCTTAGTTGCTTACCACGAACAACGAGCTGATTCTGTAGTCTTGAACTGCCGCCAGGAAGGACTCGATCTCGAACTTGGGCAGGACGATGACCTGGTCACCGCGGTAGGGCCCTGCATGGCACATCACCACCAGGGCATAGATATGACTCTGCGGGAGCAGGCCGAGGGCAATTTCCGTCACGTCCGACTGCACGCCTGGAGGTCGGAGAGAGTCACGGTAGTCCTTTTCAAACGCGGTGATTTGGAGGGTATTGGCAATGACATTGCGGTGGGAGATCATAACTCCTTTCTGCGGAAGTCAGCATAACAAAGACATGAAGAGAAAAGATGGGTTAAGGAAGGGACACAGCATACAGGCAACCCAGACGTGCCACTTGAATAGCACAGAAACGCGGTACGTCGACTCCCCTCCCCCGCCGCCCACTGCAGCTTCTCAACACGAGGGAGCGATCTCCCCCGGTCGACGAGCTGAGCAACGGTCGTGAACTCGGCAGGTTGAGCATCTCCAGCTATCTGCGGCGGGAGACGGAGCAGGTAGACCCGCCGACGAGGGATGCCCGCCTGAGCCGCCGCCTCGAGCGCGGTTTTCAACAGGGGCAAGCAGGTGAATAGGGAGGTCGCTTTGGCGTCACGCAGCTGGTACGTCAGCTCGGCGACCGAATAGGCGGCGTTTGCGGGGGAGACGAGACCCCCGAGCCGATGGACTGCCCACGCCAGAGGAAGCGTATCAATCTAATTATCAAGAATCAACCAAGAGAATGACTAGAGTCGAGGGGGTGTGAGTTACTGTGTTCAAGCTGAATACACCGATGACTTTATCCCATTCCGTCCCCCTGTTCGGCGCCCAATCGAACTCGTTCGCCAGGGCGCGCGAGAGAAAGTCGACCCGTTCGACGACATCAAGAGCTGAATAGGTCTTCCCCGTCAGACCGCAGGTGAACGGGTCGCGCGAGTACCCCAGCGGTGCACGACCGTAGCGTTCGTCGAGGACGAAGTCTGCGATGGGGATGTGGTCGGGGATGGGGGGTAGCTTTGCTACCCATTCGGGAGGTGTGAAGACCATATCGAGAAGACAAAAGTAGTATGTCTATGAATGTAGTGTCTATAAGACAAAAGATGGAAAAAATGAGGGGAGATTGGCTATAAGAAGAGTCGGCTATTAACTGACGCGGGGAAACGCTCGGTAATATTAATATTGGTTCTAGGAGATACTCCGGGGTATTGACCTGTCACCACTTGAATAAGACGATATTCATTGTGTACCTGTATGCTATAACACTTACTTATTGACATTGCACAGTGTCAGTCTGTATCTCAATTATCCTGGTAGAATGATTATCTTCCAGGCAAAGCACTCATCATGGAAGAATCGTACCGAGGTACTTTGATCTTCTATTTCCCCGCATTAGTGAAGATGATCTCAGTATCTCCACACGGATCCACTTGATAATAGCAGTATACTTAGGATATGAGGAGTTGATAGTTAGTATAAGTGTATGCTTCATCTAGAGTTGGGGTATAATTCAGATCTATAGATTGACAATTACTGTATTAGAGGGATATCATTGAACAGGCTTTACTCTTAACTATTACAACATTACTAGTCTAATTACCATAATATAACCAGTATGTACTACCTAGGTATCATTTGTATACCGTCACATCTCTTCAATCCACATCCTCACTTCCAGTCCTCTCGTCAACAATCTGGCCAGGCCGTGAGGGGATGAGCCAGGGTTGGAGAGACTTGAGAAGGCTTGGAACCGGACCACCTTGGATCAGGGGCAGATAACTGACATCGCGTGGTCCGCGCCTACTGACAGTGGTCGGAGGAGGCGACTGTTGACCGTGGAGAGCCGCTTGCCATGACTCCAACTCTGCCCTGGCTCGAAGAGTATGGCCATCAGTAGCCCCAAAGCGCTTTTCCCGTAGCTGGAGATAGCTACTCAGTAGAGGTATGGCGTCAAGGTAGCGCTCCTGGTTCTTCATGATGAAGGCCAGGTTGGCCATACTGGTTAGTGTATGAGGGTGCTCGGCACCAAGCACTCGCTTTCTTGTCTCCATCACGGTCAATCCAAATTGTTCGGCCTCATCTAGTCGGCCTTGTGTTTGGTATAACAATGCAAGGTTGGACATGCTTATCAATGTATCAGGGTGTTCGGCACCAAGCACTCGCTTTCTAATCTCCATCACAATTAACCCAAGCTCTTCGGCTTCATCCAGTCGGCCTTGTTTTCGGTATAATGATGCCAGGTTGGACATGCCTATCAATGTATCAGGATGTTCGACACCAAGCACTCGCTTTCTAATCTCCATCATAGCCAACAGAAGTTGTTCAGCTTCCTTATATCGGTGCTGATCCTGGTATATAGATGCAAGGTTTGTCATGCTCATCAATGTGCCGGGGTCTTCGGCACCAAGCACGCGCTTTCTTGTCTCTATCAATTGCACCTCAAGCTCTTCGGCTTCCCGATACCGGCCCTGATTCCAGTATATGGATGCAAGGTTTCCTATAATTATTAATGTATCAGGGTGCTCGGCACCAAGCTCTCGCTTTCTTATCTCCATCACAGCCAATTCAAGCTGTTCGGCTTCAGGTAGTCGGCCTTGTGCTTGGTATACTAACGCGAGAGTCTCCATGCTCATCAGTGTGTGGTGGTCTTTGGCTCCAAGAGCTAGCTCATTTGCTTCTTTTGCTGCTCGAATCAGAAGCTCAGCCTCATTATAGCGTCCATCACTATAGAGGCAGAGACCAACCCGCCACCGGATGTCTCCTCGCAATTCAGGATCTGACTTTAGCTCATTGCATTGTAGAAGAATTTCAGCATGTGGTAGGTATTCGCGCCATATATTTCGATAAGGGTGGTCATTCGATGGGAAAATTTGACTCAAATGATTCCCAGCTGTTATTACCCTTTGCTGGAGTTGGCCTTCCTGCCGTAGCCAGCTCCGGATGGCCAGATGAACAAGCCGGTGCATGCTAATAAATCGATTATTCGTCTGTTCAGTGATGAAAGCATAGGCTTTCAAGACCCCTAATGCTTTCTCTTGTGCAAGTTCAGATTGATCACATGGAATGAGTGATAATGGAATATCTCGCGCATCAATACATGCGATAAATGCCAAGTATTCAGCGGCTAGGTCGCAGGATTGTTGAATCTGTTGGAAAGAGATGAACCAGGTGGTTGCAATCGGGTTTTTGATATCTGAATATCGATAGTCATCCTCAAAGTCTTGACTGAGTAGTTCAATCATGCTGGTTTCTTGTTGATCAAGAAGAGATAGATAGGTCCTCAAGGTTATAGAGGTTTCATTGATGAAGCTTGCGGCCTGAGTAAGAGCCAAGGGGAGACCACATAGCTGGCGCATAAGGATGGCAGTAGATTCTTGGTCTTCTTCAGGTAGATGCTTCTGTATTAGTAAATCCTTGAACAGGTTTACTGCAGTAATCGGATCTAGTTCTGAGAGACTTATAATCTCTGGTCCACCAACAAGACGGGTTGCGAGTCGCTGATTCCGTGTGGTGAAAAGGATAAACCCATTATGGGTCTGGGGAAGAAAGGTCTTGAGTGCAGGCGAGGAGGCACCAAGAGGCTTCATCCAGATATCTTCATCATCTGCATTATCAATAATAAGCAGCCAGGGGCTAACTCCTGTAGAGCTCAAGTATGTCTTGATTTGAGACTTTATATTAGCAGCCGTTATATCTGGGAGACGTAGCTGTTCGCCAATATTCATGAATGCTTGCTCGATGGCTTCAACAGTCGTGGATGGAATCCAGAAGACAGAGTATGCAGGGTCCTGTTCATGGATCTGGTATGCCACTTCAAGTGCAATCTGGGTTTTCCCAACTCCTCCAAGCCCAGAGATCGCCGCTTTGCGCGTACCATCCCTGCGCAGGATCTGATCTTTCAGCTGGATGATCTTATCATCTCGGCCCTGAAACCGGGGATTTCGATTAAAAGGAACCACCCAAGTTCCCGAGGGTTGCAGTTGCTCCTGCTGACCGTAATTCACTGGTATCACAGAAAGAAGAGTTCTGGCATATATCGCCGCGACCAGTGCTGCATATCCTTGCCACTGCTTATTTTTATGTGAGTCGCAGTAGTCACAGATGCCACGGACCACAAGACAGGGAAGATGGTTCATGATGCCTGCAGCTTCCATTTCAAAACAGAGGATATTGAATTCCCGAGCAATTGCGTCCCGCTCAATGCCGTCTTTGATCACTCGATTGCCAGATGCGATGGTTCCGTAATGGATCTGGGGCTCTCTCAACACTCGCGGAGCACGATCCTTTTGTTCTGCAGGATCGCATCCAAGGCACGTACTCTCCGAGGCTGCATGCTTATAAGTCGAGCGAAAGAGACAGTCCTCCTGCTGTGGTCTAGAGAAGGCCTCTTGCATGTCTGGATGCCGCCGAAACACCTCTGACATCCTTTCCAGAATGAAGCCATCTCTCTCCATCATGCGGTTTGCTTCCAGCTGTGAGACAGCAGTCAAAAGGACCATTGGTGGTTGGTTTAGCATGCCGGTATGTTGGAATCGTCCGCCACTGGTTGCCTTTCCAAAGTCGTACTGTATAACACCACCAAAACTACCAGTAGGCCTGCTGACCACCACATCTCCCAGGCGAACGTCGGCTGTTTTGCTCGGTACTCCGCCTCCGATGCCTACCAGAATCCCGTAGCGAAGGTTGGGGAAAGTCGACTCCAGGTGTGACACCACCGCCGTTGCGGATGTTGTACCATATATCCCTGCAGGCAGACAGGTTAGAACGATATGATGATTGTGGATTCTTCCCAGGGTATAGGCATTGTGAGCAGTCGTGGCAGGAAGGCTGGGATAGGTCTCGTCGAGCATCGCAGAGGCGGCGGCCAGCTCCAACGGTAGGGCGCAGATCCATGCAAAATGGTACTCTGTGCGTGAGGGACTCCTGGATGCTGCCATTTTGAAAGTATAGCATTGATTCGACGATGGGTTGAAGGGTTGGAGCAGGAGTCCTCAGGGAGTTGCACATCGTGAGGAGTTGAGAGAGTGAGGCTGAGTGAGGGGCATAAGTTATATTGCGAGAGCGCCAACCAGGCAGGTGTAAACAACGCCTCAACTTGATTTTATATAATTCTTTATGAAGTTTCTAGAACAAATCAATTTTATACTGTAGAAGTTGCTGAAATAATAGTATAATATGAGTAGAGAGATGAATTGCTTCTGTTCTAGCTAGATATAAGTACTAGTTAATACCCAGATATCTTGCTAATAACTCCTCATTACCACTGCTACACCTCCAATTTAGAGCAGAAAACACTCCTATACTATAACCATATAAAGAACAGACAATCAATTCATCACATCTGCTTTATTTTATCCTATACCGTGGTTCTGATCCTACTAGACCCCCTAAGGATGCCAACATGTGACCATGGATCCTCTCCTCCTCTCCCCCTCCTCTCCCCTTTTTCTCTCTTCCTCTTCGTCTCATCTCTCTTCATCGAATCCATCAGGATATACTCTCAGTTCATCGATGACTTCTCGGTTGATGCCCTCAGTGATGCCTATACAAGTTCTACCATATACTATATCTCCAGCTTCTGCTTGAATCATTGCTCTTCGTTGCTTCCTCTCGTTGCGTGTTTCCCCATCTGATTCTCCTATATTTGCCGAGCTTTCTTTTCTTTTTATCAGTATATTTCCAATTGATGCTTTTATATAATGGCGCCCCTGAAGCGGCGGGCGAAAGACCAAGCAGGAAGGGAGGCGAAAAGAGCCCAAGCTGTTGGTAAGTACCAGCGAGATCTGCCTCAAGACCACTCTGCTAACGACCTAGGTCGAGAAACTCCTCGGACGGAATCACCTGTGCATGGCGAGCCACCCGCGTGGGCAGAGGTGTGTACAACCCACTTGGATCTTGATCAATTCGTCTGTTCTTGCTGACTTTGCAGTCCCGACCAGATCTGTGCGATGCTCTGCCCTGGTTTCGTGCCGTCCAGGGCGGCTCCTATCATAAAGACGGCTTCTGCTGGGGATACCTCATCGATGCGGACTCGGGTATCCGTTCTTATATCGACGATGAAATCGTCATTACTAGAGTGTAGGCGAGACATGAAATTTCTTTCTTTCAAGAAGAGGAAACAAACTGACGTAACTTCAGTGGCGGCGGTTGCACTAAAGATGCGGATGGAAATCTTGTCCTGGTCAAGGATCAGGATAGCGATGGCTGTATTATCAGCAGCCTGATGAATAGCCAGGCCATGAAGGTCCCTGTCGGGTTGGTCATAGGTAAAGTCTCGCCGTCACAACTGGAGGCCTCTCTTTCCTAACTTGCCCAGGAGATCGAAACACCCTGCTTGGCAGAACGCTCCCACATCGGTACAATGTCATGGGATACTTTCGCATCACTGATATCTGGTATGAGAAGATCGGCGGCCGGACGGGAGCCAAGGTCCGGTTCGAGAAGCTTGATCTCGCCGAGAAGAGCTGGTGGGCAGGAAAAGACTCGCCGGCTCCTCCGTCGCTCGCTGAGCGTGATTTCGCCGTCCGACCCGAGACGGAAACATGCGCCGTATGCGTGCGTGAGAGTATGAAGATGTACCTTGACGGTTGGATGTGTCTGAACCCATCCTGCGCGCGGTTCTGGACCCTAGCCGATGAGAACCGACCGACTGCCGACGACCTGGCCTTCCACCCGGCTTTCTTACGGGCTCGTCACATCCCAGACGCCCACATGCAGCCGCACGAGAGCCTGGTGCCAGACCTACTGGAAACGTTGGGTGAGGGGTCGGCGGCGGCGGACTGCAGCACCGCCAGGATCGCCTGGAAGGGGATCGTCTGTCCACAATGCCGCAAGTGTATCTCGCGGCGGTTCTGGCGAGGCTGGAAGTGTACAGACGAGATTATGGCCCCTGATACCGCAGCCGTAGCTGTGACCAGCGCGCGACCTGCCTGTTCCTTCGAGAAGATGGTTGATATGCAACCGATTTCGCTGCGCGCCGTCGTCGACGAGTTCGAACTGAGCCCCATCAAGAGGGCGCTCTATTTTGACACCAAATATGCGGTGCCTCTGGTCGACGACCATTCCGTCGCACCCTACCGCAAACTGACTTACCTCCTTCCGGGCGTCGGCTCCATCACCCATTTTGTCGCCAACCGCGCCATCAACCGTCGGACCAACGGGCCCGACGATCTGTTTCGCCAGCTGCAGCTGCTGGATCTGGGGTTGCGACGGTATCCGTTGCAGCAAAGTGTGGGTACGTGTTCTCCTAGAGATTAATAAGATGATCTATTATCTATTCATCAAATCAGCTACTGATTGTCAGTACCTGGGACGCTGACGGCACATTTTGCCGTAAACTATGTATGTATTCTTCGGATCCAGTCACCTCAGGCACCCAACTGATCAGCAGGGAATGCCATACAAGTATGTCGTTTCGGTGGACTCGAAGGGATTCGATGAGGCATCCGATGAGATCCTGCGAGCCTTAGGACGGCTCTCGTGGGCCACGGAGCAGGCCGTGCAACCAGACGAGGTCCTGCCTCCAAACGAGCTCTTGGTCCTGGGATATTTCAACGAGATGAAGATTGGCGTATGTTTTCCCCTCGTATCGCTTCTTTTCTCCTATTTTCTGTCTCTTTTTTTTTTTTCTTTTGCTTGCTAATCAAAAAAGTATCATGATGACGGCGAGTCAGCGCTGGGCCCGACGATCGCAACGCTGTCGCTCGGGGCACGGTCCACGATGAGCATACGGATGAAATACAAGTACTACCACGGATACAGCCGGGCGAAGAAGCTGCTGACCGACGACCCGGTGCTGGCGGGGTGTCGCGGCGAGGAGTCTCGCCGCACGCTACGGGCGCAGATGGCCGCCGGGCAGCTGGAGCCCGGGCAGTATGACGAGCAGCGCCGGCAGCTGCTCCTGCAGACAAAGGCGAGCACAGGGTGCCGTCGGGCAGTTTCACGGACCAGCGAGGCGCCCGTGTGCGTGCGACTGGCGGTGCACCATGGCGACCTGGTGGTGATGCACGGCGAGAAGCTGCAGCAGTACTACGAGCACGCCGTGGTGCCCGAGGGTCGGCTGAGGTTTGCGCTGACGGCGAGGCACATCCAGCCCGCACAAGTGGCGGCGGGGGAGCGAGTCCGGGGGGAGACGATCTTGCAAGGGGAACAAGTGTATGATGGGAGATAGCAGACTCCAGAGGTCAAAGGTCTCACCCTATGGTACTCCGTACCAGGCAGTGGCCACTGGCCACAATTCGAACCATGCTTTCAATAAAGCGTTGCATTGCTAAGAATAACTATGGGGAGATCTAACCTCTTCGATCCATGATAGCCCCCGATCTTTGCCTTTATAGATTAAAGAAAATACGACACGATAAAGTAATAGTAATAATACCCCTTTCTATCACTTTCAAGACCTGCAGATACTTCTTTTGTGCCTCAATGCTTTGTCAGACGCCGTCAGCCTGACTCGTATCTCCTCCTCCTCCTCCTCCTCCTCCTCAGCTGTCGGTTGCCTGCGATCTTCCTTTCTCTCTCTGTCTCTGGGTTTTTTATTCTTTTATTTTTTCGTGTCTCTTCTAATTCCTCTTACCTTTTAATTTATCCCTGGCCTTTCTGTCCCATTGGTTCTGTCTCCTCTCTCGCGTTCTGGTCTCGGCACCGGTCGGGTCTTACGGTGGGGAGAGAATCGAAGCTCGTTCGTTCGTCCACACGCGGCCAACACTCTCTCTCCCTCTCGACGGTACGCCCCCCTGTTCCACGAGAGTGGCAGATCCGTCGAGGTGGGTGTTCTTGCCGTGATTCTATCTCTGATGAATACTGATGGCTGGCATTTCTAGTCGTCGCCCGTCCTTCTCGTTCTGCCTCGCTTCGCTGTGCTGGACCAGGCGACAGTCTCAGCCTCAGCCTCAGTCCCGATCGTCGGTTATTTACCGAGAGAGGAAGAAGAGAAAACAATAAGAAGAGGAAGACCGTCGATCGATCGATAACTGGCTTGAAGAAGTGGAAGCACGGCTCTCAAGATGGCTCACTACAACTCCCAGGCGGCCTACCCCTCCGTCCCCCAGCACCACCACCAGCACTACGCACATGCCTCGCAGCAGCAGGCCCTCGCTCCGCCCGAAGAGCGTCATCACCAGCAGCAGCTGCGACGGATGGCGAGCTACGACGCAGGCGACGATGCTGCCGCCCTGGCGGAAACCGCCGCGAGCCACCGGCACGCCCACGTCTACAACGACCGCTACTCGCACGCCTCCTCGGCCACCCCCTCGGCGCCGAGCAGGGCCTCCTCGCAGGGCTCCTATCAGTACACCACGACGGCCTCACCCATCCTGCCACAGCAGTCACAGCAGCAGTCACAGCAGCAGCAGCAGCAGCAGCAGCAAGGCTCCTCGTACAACCCGCAGCAGTACGCCCCGCAGCCGGCGCTGGCCTATAATCCGCTCGCCTACAATCAGAATCAGGGCCAGAATCAAACTGCGCTGCCTCACCAGTATAACCCGGCCGCCTACCATGCGGCCGCGAGTGTGCCCCGACAGTCGCCCTACGCGTCGCCAACGCTGCCATATCATCAACAGGCGTCGTATCCTGTGGCGCAGTACGCCTATGCCCCGCCATTGGGGAGCCCCAGGGCCACATCCTCATCCGCTCCGTTGAACTACAATACCCCCTCGACTGCGTTCAACTCGACCGTCGGCCGGACCTACTCGCAGACCTCGGCGGGCTCTTCGCCGTATCTGCCACAGACACCACAGCGGTCCGAGTTTGGCGGTCTGTCCCCGTACGAGGAACAAACGCAACAGGAGCAGCAACAACAACAACAACAACAACAACAACAACAGTATTCGCAGCGGCCTCCCGACCCTCCATCTCACGATGATCATTTGTACGGTAAGAGAACGGGCTCTGGACGCTCTTTACCCACACCGCCGATTGTCGCCTCGCCGCAGTCCCCGCACCGTACCGATACCCTCACGCGACACCCGCAGTCGCGTCCCCTCCCGGGTCCCCCCATCGATGCCCAGAATACCGTTCCGTCACTCACCACCGGGGTGAATGGGACGGGTGGTCTGCGTCATCGGACGGCGGAGGAGGAACAGCTGGGCTACGACGAGCTGATGCGCGAGGTCGAGGCCGCAGTCATGGACGGCAGTCGTCGGTCGCCCTCCTCGGCAGCGATGACCGCTCGGCGGCATAGCTCGCGTGCCTCCCGCCTTGGCAGACCAGATACCATTCAGGAGACGGCCGAGACGCTGTCGGGACGGGGACAGCAGCCGCGCCTGTCGCCGGACGAGCGACACACCCATACGAACGGGAACATGGCGACGGGCACAGGCCAGTACGTCAACTACGACGCCCACAGTGACGACAGCGATGCCGAGGCCGTTGCCGGCCTGGCCATGTTGCAGATGGCGGAGGAGGAGGAGCGTGCCCAGGCGGACCGCCTGCGAGAGCGTGTCCGCAGCGGCACCAACGCCTCCATCATCAGCGCGTACGCTTCGCCCAACTCGGGCGATGAACTGTACAATGGCGAGGACCATGACCGTCACAGCAGCGACGGTGATTACACCGGTCACGACCTCGCTCTGTACGGTGGCGGATACCCCGGCTACCTGCATTACGGCGATGAGCAAGAATTTTCTATCGATCAGTACATGGACGATGAAGTGGAGCAGGATGAGCAGCATGGTCTTGCTCCGCTTCCGCCGCTTCCCATAAAATTGGAGGGGCAAGAAGGGGAGGTGGAGGAGGAGGAGGAGGAGGAGGAGTACTCTCGGGGCGACGATCGTCTGCCTCGGTATTCCATGGAGGCACGGGTCGACGAACGCGGTACAGGTGGCTTATCCGAGCCTACCGCGCATGGCCGACGTTTGAGCTTTGATTTTGGCGACGAGGGCGAGACCCCCGTGTCGCAGGAGGGTGTCGAGGGTGTGGACGAGGACGGCCATGGTGGCGAGCCCGGGGATCTTTTCTTCCATCCGGGCATGCGGCCATTACCCCCAGCACCGGTAGAGCCTGCTAGCAATAACGCTGAGCTTAGATCGAACTTGATGCCGGCGGGTACCTACCGACCTCATGAGCAGCAGCAGCAGCAGCAGTCGCAGTCGCAGTCGCAGTCTAGGGCTGCGCAGTATCCATACCCTTCCTTGTACCGTGGTGCTGCGGACGACGGCTTGTCTGGATCAGCCGTGCCCAGCTCTTCCACGGCCGTTCCACGGTCATCGTCTCTATCGAGTCATCCTAGTGGACCACGTGCTGATCCTCCCATCAGATCCAAGACCGACGCGGACCGCGCAAAGTACAAGCTGCAGCTGGATATGCTGCGTGAACACCAGCCGCAACCCCCTTCGCCGCATCTGCACCAACGGCCTCGCACTGAACATGGCCAGGACTCGCCCCAAAACCGGCACCAACATCAACAGGCGTTTGGATTTGATGCGGGCCCGGCCATCGCTCTCGATCTACCGGCCATCCCCCCCGGCCGGCGCAAGAAGTTCAACCCGGCCAAGCTGTCGTCCGAGCAGTTTAAGAAGTGTAGCGAGCCGTGGGCGCTGAGCTCAATTCTGGCGTGGGTCAAGGACCTGAGCGAGGACGAGACGGATCTCAAGGAGCAGGCGATCGTGGACGCCATCGTCGCCCTTTTCACGCACAAGGTGCCCACGATGAACATGGCCGACGCGGAGACGCTGGCGGCGCGCGTCGTGCGCACCATGAGCGCCGAGCAGGCGCTCGTGCAGGACGAGGAATGGGTCAAGTTCGGCCCGGGCGAAATGTCCGGCGTGCTCTTCCAGCTGACGGGACGCGGTTGCTACTCGTCGCGGCTGCATGGACTGCCCACGGAGGACCCTGCGGCGACGGGAGGCAGCCAGCTGGGCCGCTGCTACGCGCATCACTGCATGCGCACGCTCAAGAAGGTCAACCTCCGGGCGCAGCCTGTGGCCGAGACGCAGCGCAACGCCGAGGACTGGGTCACCTTCTACCGGGTGACCAAGGAGATGCTCGAGTCGTACCCGAAGAAGGAGATCGACCGGCAGAACAACCTGCACGAGATCATCGTCACCGAGGACTCGTACATGGCGCAGCTGGACGTGCTGCGCGAGCTGTACCGCGACCAGCTGGCCGTGATGCAGCCGGCGGTGGTCGCGCCGCCCAAACGGCTGGTCAAGTTCCTGGCGGATGTCTTTGGCAAAGTCGACGCCGTGAAGAAGGTCAACGAGGAGTTCCTGCTGGCGCAGCTCAAATACCGCCAAAAGGAGCAGGGGCCCTGGATCGTCGGCTTCAGCGACATCTTCCGCGAGTGGGTGCGCAAGGCCAAGTCCGTGTACATCGACTACGCCGCCACTTTCCCGCAGGCCAACTTCCTGGTGCGTCAGGAAGCGGAGCGCAACCTGGCCTTCCGCCAGTTCCTCAACACGGCGCGCGATCACCGCCTATCAAACCGGCTCAGCTGGGACACCTACCTGAAGGCGCCCATCACACGTATCCAGCGGTACGTCCTGCTGCTGCACACGGTGCACAAGAACATGCTCAAGGAGTCCGAGGAGAAGAGCAACTTGGGCCAGGCGATCGAGGAGATCAAGCTCGTCGCGTCCGACTGCGACAGCAAGGTGGGCGAGATGGGCAAGAAGGTCGACCTGATGGAACTGGCCGCCAAGTTGCAGTTGCGCCCGGAGATGAAGAAGGAGGTCGAGCTCAACCTCGAACACCTGGGCCGCGAGATCATCTTCCGCGGCGACCTGCTGCGGCCGGGCACCCGCACCCGGCTCAGCATCGTCGACACCCATGCCATCCTCTTCGACCACTACCTCGTGCTGGCCAAGAGCTCGACCGTCAAGGATCCGACCCGCACGGTCAAGTACGAGACGTACGACGTTTCCAAGCTGCCGATCCCTATGGACCTGCTCGTGCTCGAGAGCACCACCGACGACCCGGTCTCCAAGTCGTCGCTGACGCCCGCCAACGTGCTCGAGTCGTCCAAGGATGACAAGATCCTGTACCCGTTCCGCATCAAGCATCTCGGCAAGACAGGCACCTACGCTCTCTACGCCCCCTCCGCCCAGAACCGCCAGGAGTGGTGCGACAAGATCACCGAGGCCAAGACCAAGCACGCCGCCGCCCTCTACGCCCAGAACGCCGAGCCCTTCCGTCTGCGCGTCCTCGCCGACACGGCCTTTGCCACCACCGATCAGTCCTCCTTTGTCGCCCCGGCCTCAGCTGTCGCGGGCGCCGCCGGTGCCGCAGGCGGCCCTCGCACCGTCACCATCAAGGGCACCCCGCTCGACCGCGCCATCCGCGAGGTCGAGGCGCGCCATGCGGCCACTGCCCGGCCGCTGCCCGTTTGCCGCAGCGCCGTCCACTGCGCGACGGTCTTCCGCCAGCCCTCGGGCCGGATGATGTGTGCCGTTGGCACCGATAATGGGGTCTACCTGTCTGACTACAATGATCCGCGGGGATGGACGAGAGTGAGTCTACTTGTTAGAATCTAAATGCTTTTATACTGACCATCTAGGCAATTACGATTTACAAGGTCACACAGATGGCCGTGTTTGAAGAGTTCAACCTGTTCCTGCTGGTCGCAGATAAGTCGCTAATCGCACACCATCTGGATGCGGCGTGCCCGCCAAACGGGGTGACGGCGCAGGCGGCGAACGCGTCGGCGCGCAAGGCGCCGCAGAAGCTGTCCGGCAACCGGGAAGTTGGGTTCTTTGCGGCCGGGAAGATGAAGGACCGCACGCTGGTGATCTACAAGAAGCGGGACGGGCTGTCGTCGACGTTCAAGATCCTGGAGCCCGTGCTGCAGCGCACGACGGCGAACCGGGCGCGCTTCTTCCCCTCGCGGCGCGGGCAGACGGAGTTCTTCCGCGAGTACGACGAGTTCTACATCCCCGCGGAGAGCTACAGCATCAACCTGTTCCACTCGTCGCTGGCCATCTCGACGCAGCGCGGCGTCGAAGTCCTCACCATCGACAAGAAGCAGCCCTGGTCGGTGCCGCACCTGCGCTCCGAAACCCCCGAAGCCCAGGCGTACCTGAACAGCATCGCGCAACGGATCAAGGACCTCCGCCCGCTGGGCATGTTCCGCCTCAGCGACTCCGAGTTCCTCGTCACCTACGCCGAATGCGCCGTCTACGTCAACAACCTGGGCGACGTCTCGCGCAGCGTGGTCATGGAGTTTGTCGGCCACGCCCACGCCGCCACCCTGCACGGCCGCTTCCTCATCCTCTTCAACGAGGACTTTGTCGAGGTCCGCAACGCCATCAACGGCCGCCTCCGCCAGGTCATCCCCGGCCACAACGTCGTCTGTCTGGATGACGGCACCTCCCTGCCGGGCTCCGCCTCTACCCCGTCCCCTTCTTCCCCTGGCACCCTCAATCTCGCCTCCGGTCTGGCTTCTTCGTCTTCCTCCAATGGCGCCGCCGTTCCCTCGGGCCGCACAGTCAAGATCTGTATGCAGCATCCGGATTATGAGCGCAGCCAGTTGGTTCTCGAGTTGATTGAAAACGAGGGCATGGAGGATTAGCTTTTCTTCTCTTCTTCTCTTCTTTCCTATCCTTCTCTCTTCTTCTCTTCTTCCCTTCTAATTCCTGTTTCTTTCCTTGTTTTGCTTTTCTCGGTCATATACCCTGTCTATCATATTACGGACGTACATTACGGTGTCGGTACATATGCATGTATAGTAACCAATGAATTGATTACCCAGTGCATCCACTAGTTCGTGAAATAGAAAAAGATTACCTAGGTAGTAACTAGTAGATATGGTATAGTCAAGTCGAACAAGATGCAATTCCTAATTATAGCTCAAACTCCACCTTGCTTACTTCCGTCCCACCACCGCCACTATGATACTCCGCAGAAGGAGGAAGAGGAGGAGGCTGCTGCTCCAGTTCTCCCCGACCGATTTCCTCCGCCTCGGCGCCCTCGAGGAGATCGCGATCGCGTTCCCGTACGCTCCGCCGTTCCGGATCGGCACTGTACGCGCCTGCGCCCCAGCTTGAAATCCCCCCGACCATCAGCGGGGCAGACTTGCTGCCGCCGCGGTTAGTATGGTGATGGTGGTGGTGGTGGTGATGTTGCTGGTCGTCGTCATCTTCGTCGTCGTCGTCTTCCTCTTCGCGACCTAGGGCGTTGCGTTCTAGCTCGCGCTGGGCTTCGTCCATCTTCTTCTTCACCTCGGCGGCCATGCGGATCCCGTCCGAGACAATGTTGTCCAGGACGCCGCGCAGGCCGCGGGTCGGGGGCACGATGCCGCCCGAGGCTCCTGCGACGGAAGCGCTGTTGAAACCGGGCCCGGTGCCGGGCTTGTGCGGGGTGCCTAGATGCGAGAAGGTGGTCAGGTTCGACGAGAGGGATGTCGATGCGGCGAGCGAGGCCGGGATCGGCGTGTCGGATAGGTGGAAGGAGTGCGGGAAGAAGGACTCGAAGAACTGCTCTAGCAGCTCGTCGGCGAGGATCACCATCCGGAACGTCGGCAGCGTGATATGCAGTGGGTTGTTGGGGTCCAGCGCCGGGTTGGCACTCTGCGACGTCCGTTTGCTGTCTGGCGAGGGCTTGCTTGACGTGGGTTCGGCCGAAGCGGCCGGTTCACCCGGTTCGGTGGGTTTCGAATCATCCATCTCAATCAAGTCCTCATCGTCGTCGTCGTCGTCATCATCATCGCCAATAGCAAATGCGTCTAATTTCTTCGCTGCCTCGTCGGGACCATCCGTTGGCGTTTCCCTAGACGGGCTGGTCTGGCTGGGATCTGCGTATTCAAAACACCGACGGATAAACGCGCTGACACTGCCCAGGAACTTTTCGTCCGTGTTCAGAGTGTCAGCCTCTGCCGGCTCGTGAGCGTTTCGGTTCTCGTCAAGCGACGCGCTTGCAGTGACCATCCCCTCGAATCCCCGTCGCGACAGGAAGAGAAGCGCTTCAGACATCCGCAGGATACCCTCGCGATCAACCTGACCATTACCGTCGTCATCGTAGAGATCAAAGAAGTAGTTGATGTTGTTCATGATGTCTCTGGTGCCCTTGAGGCGTGCGAGCCCGTTCACCACGTTCTGCAGGCTCAAGCCTTCTACTGGATCGGTTGCCCACTTGCGGTAGAGCCGCTGCATGAACTCGTGGTCTGTGGGCTCCGGTCTCCCACTCAGTAATGAGGAGTTCTTATTGAGACTGCGGACACTGCCCCCGCCGTTGCCGTGCTGGTCCGAACTCGACTGCTTGCGCGAAGGGCCCGGTGAGTCTGTAATGGCCCATTTCGCTGTCCCGGCGAGGAACTCCCGGAAGGCGTTGTAATCCATGTGTGTCGGGCTGGGACCGAGACCGACACGGCCCACCTCTCTGTCTGCCGGGGGACCAAGGACCGAGATCCGCTCGATCTTCTTCCTTTCCTGCCGCTTCTTTTCTTCATCCAGCAGCTTCTGGCGCTGTTGGTAGTCGTACAAAACTTCGTAGAAGCGATCGTAGATGATGCCCAGATCGTCCACGCTGAGGCGCTTGCTGTCCGGTCCCAGGTTACGGATGGACGTGCGCTTGGCGAAACTTTCGATGCTCTCAAGAACCGCGTCCTTGTGTTTCTCTCGTTGCTCGGTGATCGTGCTGTGAGTGATGCCCGAGAATTCCTTAAACGCGACTACCATCAGCTCCTGGAAGCGGGTGATGGCTCGCAGCTTGGGGTTCTCCGACCGCGGATGGGCCGATTCGTCCAGCCGCGCAAAGTAGGACTTGAGGACCGAGATAAACGACCCGTCATCCTGCACGTCTAGTAGTTCTTCGCCGTTGATCCGAAGAATGGCTAGGCCGACTTGGAATAGAACTTTGGGACCCTCCAGGAAGAAGACGTCGAGCACCCGGAAGGCGAAAATGAGTGGCATGGAGTTGATGTACAGCGACAGGAACCAAGGCAGCGACACAACCGAGAGTTGTACGTCCGACTTGGCGAGATGCTCCCACAGGACAGGCATCGTCTTCTCCACGAGTGACTCAAAGACCTTTTGGTCCAGGAGCGTTCCGTACATGGTGGTCGAGTAATATCCAGGAAGCAGCCGATCACACAACACTGAGAGTAGGAAAAACGCCTGTGCCTCGGACATATATCTAGTTGGATTAGTATGATTTATTCGTCTTCGAGGGTTGCATAACCTACATAAGCAAAGCCGCCACCACGATGTTCATCGCCTGGCAATAGCCCACCTCGGTGTTAATCCAGCTGTACGCCGTTAGGACGCGTCGCAAGCGACCGATACCCTCTTCGCTCTGGAAGCCAGGGTACTCGGGCAGACTGCGGTTCAGATCTTTCTCGATCTCGTCGATTGCAAGCGATTCTCGGCCCGAGAACTTGGAAAGGGTCTCGTCGTATAGTTTTGGAGACCGTATCCGTAGATATAGAGACCCCGAGCTCAGTTCCCAGATTTCTCCGCGTAACCGATTGGGCAGGCCGACTCGGATGAGCTTGTGGAACGTCGGTTGTCGAATCAGTGTCGCGTTGCGACCATTTTCTAGCCAGGGATGAGCATCGTATTCAAAGGTGGAGAAGGAAAAGGGGGGGGGGGAAAGCAAAGAAGACAGATAAAATCTTACCCCGGAAGTACTCTCCCCATAGTCTCATTTTACTTCGATCTCGCAGTTTGCGGGCATCTCCCGGGTAGCGGAAAATCATACCCAAGCCGGCATCAGGCGGTTGGCGGACCTCGCCAGAATCAGCATCTTGCTGAGCCTTGGCTGCCTTGGCCCCCGAAAGAAGATACTCCGAGTAGCAGTCCGACACGATGGCACGTAGGTTTTCAATCTCCCTCATGCAATCGCGTAGGCCGCGTTTGAGACCATCGCAGAACCGTTCGCAGGCCTGCCTGCTCCCGACGAGCTGGACTGTGAAGCGCTGCGGAACAAACCCTGGCTCCTGCTGCTTGCTTAACGAGCCGTTCCACGTCGTCAACGCCAGTGAGAAGATATGGTTGAGCGAGTTGAGTCGTTCCACGCGCCGGATGCAGCACAGCGGCAGAGTGAAGCCATTGCCGGACGGGCCGGTGCCGTGCGTCTGTCCGGTCCAGCTCGTCGACGCGCTGAGGCTAGCCGAGGGGAGGAAGCTGGTCGGTTGGGTGGAGAAGCAGAGGAAGCGCTCGCTGAGATGTAGTCTTCCCGTGTAGCTGTTGCCGGGCTGCCGCTCAGCACCCTGTGTCGCACTGGACGACGACGACGCCGCGGCCGACGAGGTATGCGGAACGGGGAGTATAAGCTCTGCAGTGATCTCCTGGAGCGGGTTCTGAGAGTCTGGAAGGCGGAACTGCTGGCGAAACAGCGACGACTTGGATGGATTGCGGTCGGTGGAATTGAGGGTCGGGAGGTTGAAGTTGGCCGGATCAATAAAGGACTGCGCCTTTTGGACGAACGAGGACCACTGCAGCATGGCGGCGGGTGGATTCAGCCGGGACGAGATAGCTGTATCCTAGACTGGGGTTTGGAAAGAGATGAAAGAGGCAGCGAAAGGATACGTAATGGGGCATCAGCCAAGCGCTGACTGACTTGACTGGGGGTTTCTTCGGCTCAGGTCCGCGCGAGGCTCCAGCTGAAGCTCAAAGGGCGATCACAGACGGATGCAAGGGCGCCCACGGATGGCAGAGCATGTGGCTGGGGGTCATTGTAGGCGCAAACGCAGCATTTCTCGCGACGAGGGCGATCCAAAGCCGTTCTGCGTTGCTCAAGGGAGAGAGAAGGTCGTCGTCGCGGCTGGATGAAACGGAGGGGAAACATCACGTGATGAGCTACCCATACAAACTACAGTATAACTACTAATAGACAGTACAATGTACATACTACATAAGACGAGGACACGATCGACGGTAGATAACAGGAATCTAATTCAACTATTTGCAATGTATGTACATCCGCTCAACCTACGAGCAGAGCTATAGGCAACGGTGGTCTTCAATTTGTCTCTAAAAAGGTGGCCAACTAGACCTTGGGGATTGTAGCTCGCTACAAGGCTGAAACGAAGAAGAAATCTGAGGCAAGGAAGTCAGGGGAAAGGGGGAAGGGAAGGGGGGGGAGAGAGAGAGAGAGAGAATAGTGGAAACGGCGGTTAATGAGAGGCTATTGACAAAATAATGGACAGAAGAAAGGAAAATAAGAAAGAAGAAAAAAAGAAAAAATAAGGAAAAAGGTATGAATGAGTGTCGAGAGAGAGATGAGCATACAATCTCAAGAGTAGATAAGAGATCAAACCCGGGTTCGTAACTTAGTTCTTGTCGGTAGGAGCAGCATCAGTGTACTGAGGGGGGCATTCATCAGAAACCTCGGTCATCAGACCCTGCTTTTCACTGGCGGAACCGCGCTCCAGGTTGACAGCGGAACGCTGAGCGCTGGAACGGCGGTAGCGGAGCCACATGCAGACGATGGCCTGGCCGACGAGCATGCCCAGGGCGCTGGCAGCCAGGCCGGCGAGAACGCCGAGGATGGCGGGGACGACGATGAAGCGGACGACGCGCGAGAAGGTGTGTTTCCATCCGCTAGCGTGCATGGAGTGCATCATCATGCCCTCGCCATGGTGATGAGCGTGGTGACCAGCACCTTCACCGTGGAAGTGTCCCTCATGGTGACCCTTGAAGAAGTCACCCTTCTTGTCCTCATCCAGCATGAAGTGGAAGCCATGTTCGCCCTTGTGCTCGCCCTTGTGCTCGCCCTTGTGCTCACCCTTGTGCTCACCCTTGACGTGAGCACCCTTGGCAGGCTTGTGGTGACCCTTGGCAGGCTTCTCGTGCTCGCCCTCGGTAGGCTGGGCTTCTCCGGCTTCAAGGTCCTCAATCATGACGAAATCCATTTCTTCCTCCTCCTCGACAGGCTTCTCGTGCTCACCCTTGTGGTGCTTGCCATGCTTTCTCTCGGCGGTTTCTTCTTCTTCTTCATCATCGCCCTCAGGGTGCTTGCCATGCTTTCCGTGCTTGCCGAACTTGCCGGACTTGCCCTTGGGGTGCTTATCGTGTTCGCGATGGTCGGGCTCACCCTCTTCCATGTCCCAAACCTTCATCGGGTGGTCGCCGTGGTGACGGAAGCCGGAGAGGGGCTTCTCCTCGTCTTCAGGGCCCTCGAGGTGGTGGTGGTGGTGGGGGCGGGGGGGTCGGAATCCGTCAAACTTCTCGGCACCGGCACAGTCCATACCCTTGACGCCCGGAGGCTTGCCCAGCATGCGCGACTTGGCGGCCGCGAAGAGTTCGCGCATCCGGTCCATGACCAGATCCTTCAGGCACATGGCGCTGCCATGGCACTGCTTGCGGGCGGGGAGGCTAGGAGCGGTCTCTTCGATGGCAACCTCGGCGATAACCAGGTCGGTCTCGGGGGTGGTGAGCAGGGTGATGACAACGGTGTCAAGGGCCACGGGGTACACATCGACCGCGAGGACGGTGAAGCGGAGGCTGAGCAGTTCGGCGCCGGTCCCGTCGTCCGACGTGGCCACCGGGCTGACCTCGAGAGCATAGTCCAAAGACATCGGGTCGCCGAGCTGGCCATCCGAATCACGGTGCTGGATAGCCTCGATGCGCATGGGCGGGGGAGGGAAGATGGGGCGGTCGTTGGCCGTCAGGAAGTTGTCCTTGACAGTGAAGCTCAACTCCAGAGTCGTCTGCTCACTGTCGGTGAAGAAGGTCGACTCATCGTCCAGAATCTCCCGGAACGGGCACTCGGCACAGGTGAGGAACACTTTCTCGATGTCGCCCTTGTGGAAGGTGAGCAAACCCGACTCGGTGGTTTCGACGGTTTCGATCTCGGCGGCAACGACGTCAACGTCGACGTCGACGCCCTCCAGGGTATCCGGAACAACAAGCAGGGCGCTGGCACGCAGGGCGAGGGCGCCCCCTAGCAGAGCAGAGCGAAAAATCATGATGAATAAAAAATAAGCACTAGGTGTTTAAAGGACTGACATAAGTTGGAGAGGCGACACAACGGGCGGGAGAAGAGAAAAACTGGGGGTAATCAGTCGGCGAGAGGTCAAAACGGCGGCTCGAACACACACACAGCGTATTCGAGGAGACGATCGAGAGTACAAACCAGATAGAAAATCGTGTAGGAAGCCTTGCACCACGAAAGTATGTAGGAAATGGGCTGGAAGGGGGTGGGGAGGGGGGCTGTGCAGTGTGTTAGCACTGACTGTAGGCAGAAACGTATGTAGCACGGAGTATGGCGGATGGCGGATGGCGGATGGGCGGCGTCGTCGTCGTCGTCGTCGTCGCCCGGGACCGGGAGGTGCAACTGTCAACTGATAGGGCGGATTGCGTCTGCGTGTGGACGGGCGGGACGTGATTGGCTGTTGGGGCGAGAGGGTGGGGGAGGATGACGCATGCGCTAGGCTGGAGGGGGCCTAGTGCAGCGTGCCATTGTCACGAGTCTGAGTCAGCTGTGAAGTCACGTGGGCTACCACATGACACACACGTGATGTATTAGTCATTCATGTCATGTGACTGATCGGTATCCATTGGCCTCTTTACAACAATTACTGGGAAACATTATTCTACTGCACTCTCTACTGGAAGACTCTCTACGGAGGGGACGGACTCTACGGAATACTCTGTCCTGCGTGATCCAGACAAAATGATTAGGTATTAACGGTGCTAACTAGGTACTACTCAGGGGGATTCACTTACTTGAAACAAGCCAGGTCGTTGCTCTGATTCTACCGTCTATCCCAGGTTCACTCGGTCGGTATCGAGCCATGTCACAAAGTCGTAATTCAGAGCGTTGAGGAAGGTGTTGTCGCGTCGGACGCCTGCACGCAGCTCCATCAGTACGTCGGGAGGGATGTGGTTGGCCCCCATCCACGCCTGCCGCTCTCGGAAGCACGACCACAGGTACAGCATCACGGCGACCAAGATGGCTCCGGTGATGTGCCACGCGTCTGGCCGCGACGGGTCCGGCGGGGCCTCCGCCTGCACGCCGGCGTCCTGGCGAGAAGAGACGGGTCGGCCTGGAGGAGGCGCTGTGGTGGTCGGTCTGCTGAAGAGGCTGTCGTGGCCACCACCAGCTCGAGATCTCAAGCCGCCGTCTAAAAGCCGACGCCTCTTGACAGGATAAATAAGCTCATCTTCCGTGTACACAAGCCTGGGTTGTTTCCGGACCCGCACATGGCCCAGTCGCACAGGCGAGTGCCCTTGTCTCGGCGGCCGCCCGACGCGCGAAATTCGATTAGGGGCATTCTTGTCGCTAGGGCTGTCGTGGCCACAGTGGGGGCATGCATGCACCGGGGGGTGGCCTTCGTTATCGTCGATTGATCGTCGTCTCTTCTGTGATCCAGAGCCAGCCGAAGCAGCCTTGTTGTCCGCCTCCACGGTCGACCGACGAGGTCTAGTGGTCCCTCCAGGACTGCTGCTTCGTGTTGAGGATGAGCTGCCTTGTGATCGGGACCTCCAGCTTTTCCGTTCCGCGGCTTCGAGGCTTTCCTTCCTCGTGCTCTTCCACGTCGGGCCCATGTACTCACTGTTGTCATCGCTGTGGTCAGATATCTCGAGCTCGTTCAAATACCGCGGATGCTTTGAGCTCCCCAAGACGTCGTTCTCCGGTGCGAAGTCCATAGTGGGGGATCCATCAAAGCCCGCATCGCCTAATTCCTCTGAAAGAATCCTGGGAGGAGCATAAGGTCGAGGCGGAGAGGGTGGCTTGAACTGATGAGAGGGAGGAGGGGGGGCTGGAGGGGGAGATGGCTGAGCTAGAGGGGGAGATGGCTGAGCTTGAGGAGGAATTGGAGATGGGTGAGCCTGAAGAGAGGGGTCAGGAGAGGTCTCGGAACCATCAACCTGAGGGACACGGGGAGTAGGGGCCTTTGCGTCCGGCATTTGTTCGTCGTTTGCTGGTTGGTTTGGATGCGTACGGCTGAGCACCGGCTGGTCAAACATGGGATGATCTTTCATCGGCTGGTCATAGATCATCATCTCAATATCAGACACAGGAGACATGGCTCGAACAAACTCCTCGCCACCATGGCGGATCTTGTTCACGCAGTCCATGTCTTGGAGCAGTTCTCCCCGGGCCTCGCTCTGCAGACCCTTGACGGCCAGGAAGGCGTTCTCCGAGTCAAACGCCATTTTCGCCGTATCCTTCAGACCTCCCTCCGCAATCTTCATCGCCTGCTCCAAAGTGTACGTGCTGTTTTTCATCTCCAGCTCCATCCGCTGCCGCGCCGCGCGATGCGACCGGATCTGCGTCTCGTACACGTTAGCCGCCGCACTCACCTCATCGAGCCGAGCCTGCATCTTGGCCATCGAGGATCCCTGCACCTGGTTCTCCTTCTCCAAACGGCGGCACTTGTTCAACAGCGCGTTGACATGCGAGATCTGGCGCCCATGCTCCTCCATCAGCTTCGAGTTCTCCGCCTCTGCCGCGAGCGCATAGTTCTCTCGCGCCAGGCACTGCTGCTCCATGCTCTGAACTTGCGCAACCATCTCATTTATCTTCGAGTCGTGAAACAATTTCGCCGCATCGCCCTGGCAGATCATATTCTGCAGCTCGCACACCTGCGCGCGCAGCTGCATGTTCTCGTGCTGCGCCGCGCTGGCTGACTCCTGCGCCCACTTTGCTCGGCGCTCCCGCTCCTCCAGCATCATCATGTACCATTTGTGCTTGCTGATCTCCTCGCTCTTACTATTCCCGTTACCGGGGATGTTAGGAATGCCGTTTGGAAATGGGTTACCGAAGGCGTTACTCGGGTCATTGCCGTTGCCAAAAGGGTTGCCAAACGGGTTCCCCTTGCCTTTGCGATTGCCTTTGCCAAAGGGATTACCAAAGGGGTTTCCATTGCCGTTTCCATTGCCATTCCCATTGCCGTCGCCAAAGGGCTTCCCAAAGGGATTCGCAGTGCCGTTTCCATTGCCATTCCCATTGCCGTCACCAAAGGGCTTCCCAAAGGGGTTCACATTGCCGTTCCCATTGCCGTTCGCATTGTTGTTGCCAAAGGGGCTACCAAAAGGATTTCCATTGCCGTTGGAGTAAGGAAACCCGTTACCATTGCCATTGCCATTGCTGTTGGCAGTGTTGGCAGTGTTATTGACAGTGCCAGTGCTACTGTCAGTGCCGTTCGTAGTATTGGTACCAGTGCTGTTCGTAGTTCTGGTGTTAGTATTGGTCCCAGTACTGGCAGTAGTACTTTTATTAGTGCCCTTGCCAGTACCCTTGCCATTACCGCTAGTAGTGTTGTTATTATTATTCTTGCCGGTGTTGGGGGCAGTACTACCCGCGCCGTTTCCAGTGCCTTTATTATCATTGCCGTTGTCAATGTGGCGGAAATCTTTGTCGGACGGCTCAAGCATCCGCGGCCTAAGAGGTCTGTTGTTATTTGCGTTCTGCGCTGTCTGCTGGGGCGGTTCACTTGCTGTTGTCCTATGAGGCTGGTTAGCCAGCTGTAGTGCCTGGTTTCGATTCACCTGCTGCTTCTCTGGGGGGGCTCGCGGAGCCATTTTGACAGTGGGATGAGTTAGGACAAGAGTATCCTAACTCGAGCGATAGCTCGTAGTGCGTAACGTATTATCTAGAATTGTTAGTCAATATTACCGTAACAGAGGGGGGAGGGGGTTAAATGGGGAGTTGTGTCATGATCCAGCTGAAGTCGAGGGGAAATGGATATATATACAGAACCTTGAATGTGCAGTTTCTTTGTTAGACCAGAAAGGCTGAATAGGTTTGTTCTATTCATTATTGTTCTTCTTAGAGACACTCTGTGATCTGTTCTAGGTCTGTGAAAGAACCACTCGATGTGATCGAGGAATATGTTGCCGCCTTCTGACAAAAAAAGGAGTCTTTGAGAGAAAAAGAACGTTAGTTGGGTGGTGACTGGTGAGTTATAGAAAGCCTTTGTTCATTAAATTAATGTCCTGCTTTGTTGATATCCATGATCACCCTCGTTGGTGCTGGCTGTCTTTGTCTAAGAAAATCCTTTGTCACGATATTTCCCGGGGTTTCAAGTTCGATCAGCTACAATTTCGCCTTTTCCTTCTTTTTCCCCGTCACATTCTGGATCTCCTGGCCTGACAGGAGATTATCGGGATAGTGGCCGTAGCTGGAGCCGGTCACAGAGGTACGCCAGGAAGCGCCGTCCACTTGTATTTGTTAGTCTCGGTTGGAAGAAAAAAGGGGAATCTGCTTGGATATACGTGCCAACAAGAGTTTGACCGTTGACGTAGCTGCCTGTATCGGCGAAGAGGTAGACGGTGGCATCGGCAATATCACGGACAGAGCCGAGTCGACCGAGCGGTTGCATGCGGACGTACCTCTCTTTGATATCGGTGGGGAGAAGACGTTCGATACCCTGCACCATTAGCATATAATCAATGGAAGATTGATCGAAACATGATATAATATAGACCACTCACCTCGGTTGCAGCAATTGGACCGGGAGCTATAATGTTAGACGTCACTCCGAGCGGACCGTACTCGATAGCAACGCTGTTGGACAAGGCGTCAACAGCGGCCTTGGCCACCGAGACGTGGCTTTGGAAAGGCGTTCCCGTGTAATGCAGCGTGGCGCTGACGAAGATGATTCTTCCACCGGTCCCTGCAGGAGATGGGGTATCTAGGTGCACTTGAGTCAGCTTTGTAGTAAATGGTTTCTAGACTCCTGCAGGACTGACTGGTTGCCGAATCCACCCGGTGCTTGCCTCCCGATGTGACTAGGTGCGGAACCGTGGCTTTGAGTGTATTGTAGGAGCCCAGCACATCAATATCCATGACCGACTTGAACGCATTCACCGATAGCTGTTCGATGGACGCGAGGAAGTTCCCTGCAGCCCCGGCACTGAGAGCAGATCAGCGACCGGGTACCTGGATGCAACGGTTTACAGGGACGCACCTACATGACATAGTCGATTCCTCCCAGCTCCGCCACGCAGCGGTCGACCGCATTTTTCAGGCTGTCGAACTGACGCACGTCGACGGCCCCGATCCCCATCACCTTGGCGCCCGACCGGACGCTGGCAATCTCACGGGCCACCCGCTCGGTTTTCTCGACGTTGCGCCCGACGATGCACGCGTTGGCACCTAGATGGACAAGAGCTCACACCTGTGCGCTGCAGATGGTGCCAGCACCGCCGGTACAGAAGACGACCTTGTTGGCTGGAGTAGGGATCCGTCAGCACCTGGACGCAGCTCACTCGCGGGTTCCTATCCTTACTGAACAGGCCATCCCTCCATGAATCACTTAGATATTCAGACTTGGGTACAGCCATGATGGTATTGAGATAGAGAACCAGAAAAAGCCCCTATTTGTTGTAGCTGGGGAACAGTGCAGGAGCCCTTGTTGGGAAGGTATAGGAATAATTGGATATGCGGAGTAACGTGATAGCCGCGGCACCTGACACAGACTCGGCTGGGCACTGCTTCATGATTACTGATCAGCACTCGCGCCCGGCGTGTCGATACAAAGAATTCTCGTGCAGGATGGATCGAGAACAGCCGTGAGACGCTTCTCCCCTGCCGTCTTCGACTGGCCGATAGAGTTGTGGGTTCCTCTGAGTCTCATCAATCCCACCGCTGCCATTGGCCGAGAGCGCCCAACTCGGCGACGTCACTCGAACCGCTCTGTCACTCTTTCTTTGCGAGAAACAACGACAAGCACTCAGCCACTGTGCTTCTACGCGTTCGTTGAAACTGGGAAGGAAGCTATCGATTTTTAATCTTGGCCATCGAGAAACAACAGTTTGAATCTCCTGGAGCGTCATGGCGTGTCCCATCACTGTCTCCAAGTTCGTCGGCACGGTCTCTCTCGGGTTACTGACAGTACGCGCTGCGGATTCAACAAACCCCCCTAGATTGCTTAAGATTATCCTGCTGACTGCTCTTTTCTCATATAGGGCCTGTCGTATTCGAATGCTGCCATCACCATCCCCTCCCTTCAGCTCCTGCCGACTGCCGCACATGCCTCCCGCGCGCTGTCCGACGTCCAACGGCTCACCCGCAAACACGTCGTGCGTCTGACCAACATCACCACGGGATGTCTATTATTCTCGTACACAATCTCGCCGAAACACAGAAAACACCCGTATCTTGTCTGGATGGTTGCTGTGGCGGCCGTCGGCTCGTACGGAGTGGACTACTGGTTCCACCGCCAGCTGGGTGTTAAGGGCTGGGCTCTGAGCCTGTTCCGGGACAGCGGGCGCTTCTTTTTGTCCTCCAAGGGCAAACAGCCTGTTGCGAAGAAAGAGGACGATCTTGTCGTCGTCGAGGCGGAGGAGAGTGCCAACGGGGAGAGCGTCCAGCGGGCGATGGACAGGGAACGTAGACAGCAACGGATCCGCGTCTGGCTGTCGGGGACCGCGTTCGTGATGGGAATCGTTGGCCTGTGGGGGGATAAATCTTGAATTCCCCCTGACTATTTATAACTTATATCTTCGCTTTTCCTCTGCCAGTTTGGGACCCTTTTTTCGACTATATATATCTGGCGTTGAGGTATAGGTCCAAGCGCGATCGGTTGGTAAATCTCTACGGCGCCTTGGACTTGGAAGGATATCAAGCTTATTCAAGAAGTGCAATATCTACTATCTTCTCTTTATCCTTCTCTTTTGTGTATTTTACTATTTATACTGATTGAAATCAAGCTGGCTTGTCTTGAACGTGGTATCCCGGATCTATGCCTCCTGTTAATGGGGATAAGGCTACATAGCTATACTGTAATACTGTAGGATATCGTCCTCTGGATATAGTAAACTCCAAAGAAATCGACAATCTCTCAAGTTCACCGTCTCAGTCGTCGTGGGTAGGGCCGATGTCGATTAGTCAGCACGAAGGGTGCCTGCCTAATCAGGAAGCCCTTCACCGACCTCAAGCCAGCTCTCGACTCTGGATGACTTCAATATTCGGGGTTTTCATCATCTACAACTATCTTACATTGAGTCCTCTATAAGTAAATCATTCGAATTATGACCAAGAGATTGACCGAGAACGCGTCAAGGCCTCATTGGCCGATATACGCCACCTTTCCTGGGTCTTTCAGCCTCGTTGGCATCCCAAAGCCTCAGCACTTCTCCCACTCGAACACCCCGCCTTTTACTTCTATCCTGACAGAAATTCATTAGATTCATTGTCTTCATTCAAACTTGCAATGTCTGACAAGTTGAAGTGCTCGGCCGCGTTCCCCACAGTCCCATCATATCCAGATATCTCTGGTATCGGGGTGAGGCGCCTAATCTAAACGCTCTGAACAGACCGAAAACATGGACTGATATCTTCATTCAGGTGGTGCTAGGCTACGCGATAACCGGTTTCCTCGTGGTTGGCGTCCTTACTGTCTATTATATCTTCGCCTTTCGACCGGAGCTGGATCCATTCAGAAAGGAAGATAAGCCTTCTGAAAGTGAAGAAGAGACCCCTTTTCGGCCGAATCCTATAGACAACTTGATATGCCAATCACTGGAAAAGATTCGAATACGGGCCTCCAAATCGAAAGGAATCAATCAGCGTCTCGAGACGGCCTTGGCTAAGGTAGGTAGTAGCAGCTCGTTCAGATGATTCAAGTCGATTTACTCATATGACAAGTTTGTCCTCAGCATGAGCGACCTTCAGATAATGAACGGACTGTCTATCTTGATCACTGGATAATATGCCTTGGTAAAGTCGGATCTTTCGATTTACAATTGGCAGGTGCTCGTCTATCTCGCTTGGTTCTCAGCGCTGACGCACCTCTGTTGTCTATCATTCCTGAGAAACTATCTTTATAACCACCCTGGACAGCGCCTTTGGAGAAGCTTAGCTACTTTTGTGATCGTTTCCATGCTCTTGGTAGCGATTTTACCAACGAGCAGCTTTCAGTGGGATGATGATGATACTAATCAGTCATCGCCTGGCCGACCTGCTCGGTGTTATTTTGGCAAATTACCTGATACCCATTCTTCTACGTTTGACTCCATGGTACTCTCCATGGCTCTGCTTTCTTTTGGCTTTATCTTAGTATTGAGGCCCTGGTCTTCTCAGCCAGTGGAAAAATCGACATCCTCATTTTCTTTTTGAGATGGCAAGAAAACCGAGTCTTGGGACTTTTCTTGCCTCTCGCCCAAACTTTGAGCTTCTCTTCACTGCGTTTACTCTTGGAAATTGCTTCACAACATAGTAAACTGAAGTTCCTACAAGGGAGGCTCCACCTAGCAGTGAGATTGATACTGTTTGGATGGTATGCATACCTCATCATCTCTCCCCAGGATGGAGCCATCTTCAGCTACATCACATTAGCCATTTTATTATACCCATCCATGTGTGTTTTATTTATCTGGTTCTTCATGATCAAGGAAATACGGGTTTGATATGTTACTATTCCTTATTTTGAAAAGTGATATACCTGCAAAAATTGCTACGCATGTTGAGATCTAATACTATAATTTTCAAACGCAACGCGTTCAAAAATAGGAAGCCTTCGAATAATGAAGACACCCTTTGACATCATTTCATCCTATTAATATGACTGCAGTTTTTCTATAGTAGTCCGTGTCTACTCCATGCTGATACCTGCATGACATAGCGTTATGTTATCCCCTGACAATGCGGAAGCCTTTGAATGTGGGAAGCACTGCCCGGATTTCCTCGGTATATGGAAACATTCCACCTGCGTAACAAGTCTGCTCGAACGCTTTGCCCAGGATGCTGCTACCCATATACGTCGACCTTGTGGTCGGGAGTAGAGTCTCATTCGACAGCTCGTCGATATGGGCCTTCCACTGCTGCGAGGCCTCCTCTGTCGCGTCAAGATACTTGATTCCTTGCCGCTCCATCTGCTTGATCGCGTCGACGACCCATTGGCACTGTATTTCAACCGCCGTGGGACCGTTGCTCAACAGTGTCGGTCCATGCGTTCCATACACATTAAACATGTTGGGGTATCCACTGACGGTCAATCCCAGGTACGTTCTAGCGGCGGCCTTCCAATCGTCCTTCAGGGTGCTGCCGTGGATGCTCTGTATACCCATTTCTGTTATTCCTCCGGTGACGGCGTCGAATCCTGTCGCGAGACCAATGATATCAACCTCGTGAACAGTCCCATCCTGCAGTTGGATGCCGGTTTTGGTCAATCCGACGATCGGGTTCTCTTTGATATTGACTACGTCGACGGTGGGCCGGTTGAATTGCTCATAGTAGTTGTTCTGCAGGGCAGGACGCTTGATTCCAAAGTGGTGGTGAGGTACTAGGGGGGCGAGGATGTCCCGTTTCCGAGGATCGTCGATGCCTTGACGCACCTTCTTCGCCCAAAAGTCATATACGACTCGGTTAGTTTTCGCATCGAAGAGGTAGTCTTTGTAATTCTGCAGCCAGAACCGGAACCCGCCCGCCTCCCAGAGCTTTTCGAGAAAGGCCTGTTGCTCTTCCTCGCTGTCTTGATCCAGTGTTTTCTCCACAAACGTGTAAAGAAATCCTCCAAAGGTACGTTCTCGTAAACAGAACAGGTCTGGATAGAAAGCTTTGCTCTGTTCTTGTTCCTCCCTGCTCAGTAGTCTCCGGCGCATGGGAAGAGTCAGATTGGGCGTACGCTGGAACACGCGGACTGAATCAGCGACAGGACCCCAGGCTTGTGTGAGCTGTACTCCCGAGGCGCCCGTGCCGATGACAGCGCACCGCTTGCCGTGCACATCGACTTCTTTTTCTGGCCAGAAAGAGGAATGGTGGATTACACCCTGGAACCGGTCGAGGCCCTCCCAGTCCGGAATGTATCTCTTTGCGCTGAACCCGGCGGCTACGATCAGATATTTGGCCCTGGCAGTTCGCCCATCGGCCGTGCTGATGTGCCATCGGACCTCGTCATGATTGAAGTGGGCCCCGACGACGACGCTGCCAAACGCACAGTCCTTGCTGATCTCCAGTACCTTGTCCACATGGTCAAAGTAGGCCCGCAACTCCTTGTAGTCGGGATAGTTCGAGCTCCACGTCCAGTCCTGCCACGTCTCGGGGATCGAGAACTGGTACACGGGGACCTCGGAATCTACCATAGCGCCCGGGTAGCAGTTCCACTGCCAGGTGCCTCCGATCCCTTTACCGGCTTCATAGATCACCGCCGAGAGACCCTGTTTGCGCACCTTGTGCAGACAAAAGATACCCGAGAAGCCCGCACCCACGATGAGCACATCCACTTCGAGATTTGCCGCATAGGGAGGAGAGCTCTCTTGGGGAGTAGATGAGAAGTCCGTTAAACTTGATTTCATTGTGCCGGTTCGAGAGGCCGTGGATTTATTTTGGAAGGCTGAAAGGAACTTATCTCATAGCTGACTGAGAAGTGAAAGGATTGCAAGCTCAGAGGGTCTTTTACACCAAGTAGTAATCCCCTCTTTGTTCAACCCTGTCCCCCCGCAGGAGGAGGTATATCATTTAAGCGAGGTAAGCAACATACCTATCTAGGTGCAGTACCTCCTGCATGCATTAGCACAGTGACAGCGGAATTTCAGTAGCACGCATCATTTAGGTAGGTGATGCCAACTTATGCCAGTTTTCCTCTCATGTCCGAGAAACGCAAGTCAGAGGTGTCGCCAACCTCTCCATGAGAATCACACAATGGTCTGTGTTCTTCGTGCTTCCTCATAATGTAAGCTTATATCTATTAACTACCGGGGCGAGTGCATATGAGACACAGCCGAGGTTGCAGTATGCATAGTGCCTGGGTATTTGATTTACCGTGGAAACAACCAATATGACCTGAGAACGTGAGTCGAGAAAACTAATGAAATTTAATAAGAGACAGATTGATTGGAGGATCTCATAGAAATGAGGGGTCCTGCGATAGAAATTAGCTGCCTTTTTATGCTCCCAATTCCGAGGGCTACATAAGACTTTCAACCTGCAGGCAATATCCCAATAACAGCCTCAATTATAATCACCATTTGTCTGTCCATCAGAGGAGTTCCAACAAGCTCTTCGTTTCCATTATACACTAAGCCCCCGGATTCCCCGACCATCCAGCGTCACATCGTATGGGTGGTGATAGAGGATGTGGGATAGATGGATATATCAGATTCTGCTGGTACGAGAATTGCCAACATTCCTGCAGTGACTCCGATACGCCGACTTTGGAAGATAGCCGTGCATTGAGGAGCAATATGAGCGGTTTTTGTAGCAAATCGATCCGTACAAGTCCATTTCGAAGCGACGAGATTTCTTAGGCTTGAATCCTGATCAGCGTATATACTAGTAATCAATAGCAGCTCAACTTACCAACGCTGTTGCTTCCAGACTCCAGACGTAGGGATGATGTGAGGTTGAAGTATTTCTGTCAAGGAAAGAGCGGAGGTGAGTCAGGCTGAGGATGGCGACTTCCCAATTAGGCAAGGACTCCAAGGCAGCTCAACATAAAACATTCACAACATTCGCAGTCACATAAAGAAAGGCCTGGATAATTCTAACACAAAACCCTTCCCTATTACATTAACAGCATCTGCTAACACACTTTAATAGACACAAGATAGATAATTCATCACCCCCACCGCCACCAACACCATCCTCCACGAAACCCTGAACCGTCGAGACCCAATACTAGTTGACGCAGTCGCACTGGAGCCAGTTGCAGTTGACGTTGACGCCGATGAGCTGACACCAGCCTGCACCCACGGCTGCGCAGGCAGGGTATCCGGACTGTCAGCCTCCGTCTCGGCGCTGAGCACCTTGTTCTCCAGCAGCGCGCAGTCGACCCGGTCTGCCGAGGCGGAGATGCTGTTCGTCACCTCGATCGGCCAGTCGAAGACGGTATAGTAGTCTGTCCCGTTCCATCGGAAGGACTGGTGCATGGTGATATTATATGTGCCTCGATCAGAGGAGGAGGAGGAAGAGTCTCCATTTCCTACCAGACACGCCGGCCAGATCCAGTTGACGTGTTTGACGGTCGAGGAGGGTTCGAGTGTAAGAACTGGACCGACGTATGCGGTCGAGTTATGTGCTGGCTCGGTGCCGTTGGAGATGGTGAAGTTGAGGGATTTCTCATACGAGGTCAGGAACAAGGTGATGCTGTGGAAAGTGGTGGACGAGTCGTTCGACGGGGGCCACGGAAGCTGGCCATCACCGGAGACGTCGATGGCGACCTGGAGGTTATCTGTGAAGGAATAGTCAACCCTCGTGGCTAGTAAGTAGTTGGTGGGTTATGATCTACCTCCTCCCAGCGGGGTGTTGGGCTGCGGCGAATCGACAATGGCTAACCCGGGCGTGTATAACTGCCCATTGACGAGGGTGAAATTGGACATTTTGGCAGACGAGAGGGGAATAAACAGGAGAGCTGTTGAAGAGGGAATGGCCAAGGGAGTTAATAGTTATGCGAGATGACCATTCAATTTTTAATTAATTAATGAATTAATTAATTTGTTCGCTATGGGGGTATACGAAGTAGTACTGCGTCGATCGATTTAATCTCCGACCCTGCACTAACGCAGGGTCTCAGAATTACCGGATATTGTGGGTACTGAGACCATGAACAATCATCAATAGAAACAACTGTTCTCTAGAAATAACTCTTCGCTAGATGATAGTTCAACTTATAAATCATGGCGATGGCGTCTCCAGGTGATGGTTTTCGCCCGAGGCCCTCTGCAGTCATAGGTGACCATAACCGTGTCGTCGTCCAAAGCCATGACTCCCGGCCAGACGCTGGCCTTCTCACAGACGACCAGCGGGGCCCCCCAACGGATCCGACCATCCTGCGGCGGACCAGCGAAGACCACTTTGATGGCGGCATGCTTCACCCATTCCACACGGTCGGCATCCTCGTCCGTCATGAAGACCGCGGCCAAGCTCCCGTCTGCAAAGGAGGCGATCTGAGGGGCGCCCGCGTTGTGGCCCCGCGGCGGCACATACACTTCATGGCGGTGCTGCCAGGTCGCCCCGTCATCGTAGGAAACGACCGCCTCGACGTTGAAGGTGCGGTACCGCGTCGTCTCGAAGACCATCACCAGCGCCTCGCGGCCCGAACTGGCATCCCTCGTGACCGCAATCCCCGTCATCCCATCGCGCAGCCGCTCCTGCGCCCCCTCCACACACACAGGCGCAGACCAGCTGCGGCCCTGATCCCTGGATACCACCAGCATTGTGCGTTGGTCGTCCGGCGCAAACTCCTGTGAGAAGGTCATCTGCACCTCACCGCCGCGCCCGAGCCGCATAAAGGGCTCCCACAGACCTAGCGGAGCCCGCTTCTCCGCCGCCTGCGAGAGGAACATCCAGCTCCGCCCGCCATCCGTCGACTGGCACACCGTGATCCGGAAATACGTCGGGCGCCCGTGCGGGTCGAGATCATGGTTGCGGAAAGCTGCAAGGACATGCCCGGGCCTGATCTCCAGCAGGAACAGGTTATCCACGTCGCCCGGCCCGCGGGTCACCTCTGCAAAGGCGGAGAAACTGCCTGCATTGTCGATGCTCTTGGAGATGCTCAGCACACGCAGGCCATTCTCCCGCCGCGTCATCGCTGCCAGAATGGACCCATCGCTCAGCCGTGCCAAGCGTGGATATGTGCCGCGCTCGCCTAGGATGCGCTCGTGTTCGTGGTCGATAACTGCTCGCTCGGGCGGGGAATTGTGTTGCGAAGTAGGTGTAGTAGTAGTACTACCGGGCAGGTCGAGGTCGACCCCGATCTTGTGCAGTAGCTTCTGACCGAAATGCGAGGCCATGGTGCCAGAGAAGTTGTTATTGTTCAGAAATCCTGGATGCTGGAGGAAAGAAAACAAAAATGGGTGCCTGAAACCTCGGGGGGACTGACAGCTGGTCATATGACGTCATGTGAGATCACGCGACTTGGGGTTTCCATTTCGGGACATCCCACAACAACCATTTCTCAACAAATTCATTCAGTGACTTGAACACTGACTGTATCCTACTGACTCTCGTCAAGGACTGGTATACCTGATCCTCTGCAGGAGAATTGTTGACTGTGCTCATGTGAATTGACTGTCAGGACAGCCATCACAGCTACTATTATCCCTGATGAGTTTGTTCCAGACAGTTCATATCGCTGCCCCTCGAGACTAAGCCCTACTTTTGAACCAAGTTCGTTCTGCTGACTACAAGAATCTCGATAAGATAGATACTCTAGGGTGCAGAGAAAACTTTCGATATCTTCACAATACATGATTTGATACATTAATATTCCAATAACAGATCACCCATACTCTGACTTATATCGTCCTTCTTGGTCCCCCAACTCAAATCCGCCAACAGTGCTGCTCTCTTGGCTGGAATATCTCTGAGCAGCTGACGTCGCCTCCAGCCTGCACCCCAATCCGCATAAGACGCCAGCATCAAATGTCGACGCACCAAGCACCACTGAGATTCCCGTTCCAAACGGAGCATGGCAGCCGTCCAGCCGCCCAGATGGTCGAGGGCGTCTTCCAGTATATAGGCCAGGAAACGGTATCCGTCCATGAATTCTGAATCATCATGCATCTCCTGGTTTGTTTTCGTGGACGGGAACCCATGCCCGAAGCGTTCCTTGATGATGCACACCACCTCTTGGATCATATTCCAATCTACCGCGCCTTCAAGCTGCGTCGAGCCTGTTCGTACCTCCAGGTCTTTGATATTTCGCAGTCGGACAAACGGAGCGAAGAGCACCCTGTAGTCCTGCAACGCTTCAAAAAGCTCCTCGCCCATTCTCGAAGTGGCCGCTTTGGGAAGCCCCTCGCACATGCTCGACGTGGCCGCCTCGGTCTTCTCGTCGTACCATGCCGAGTTCTCGTGTGAAAGAAAAGAGACCGTCATTTTCTTGATACAAGATACACGGATCCCTTGCAGAAACTTGACCAGCCGGTTTACCTTGCGCCATAGACAGAGCAGTTGGCCTGGGTCGTGGGGATCAGGAGCAAGAAGGGAGATGTTGAGACTTCGTATACGGTCAAAGGGGAAGTTTTCGAGACCACGATCGCGAGCGTCAGTTTCCCCTCTGATACACCACACAGCCTTCTTGTTGATGTTGTAGGCTGTGAGCCAGTGATCTCGTCGGTGATTGGGAGAAATCTCCAGGTTCAGTTCGAAACCGTGGTACAGCTCGTAGGATATCTCCTCAGCCAAAGCTTTATTGGCTCGAAGGATAGACAGGCTGGTCTTTGGAGCTCGTGTCGCGGTCGTATCTTTGCCCTCTGGTTGGAGGTAATTCCAGATCATGACACGGACCTCCGGGGGAAAGTGATGGAAGTTCCCAAGGATTAACTTGGTTTCCATTTTGTTAAAGTTCTGGAGACTGACAGTAAAAGGGATTAAGATGTAATGGCCACAGTAGTAGGTGATGAAGGGAGTCTATTAAGAGAGTGTATTAAGAGGATGTGTTGAGAGAGAGAGAGAGAGAGAGAGAAGGAGGGAAGGAAGGAAAGAAGGAAGGAAAGAAGGAAGGAGAGTATAAATCATATTCATTGAATAGGCAGGCAGGCAGCACTCATCTACTAAGCCTTATTAATACAAAAACCATAGATTTATGAGAATGAAAAGATCTATTATAGCTTTTATCCATGGTTATGAAATATCATTTAATCAGTGCAGCCTGCTGTAGACTCACATCAAAATGACCTCATTAAGATGAGTATTCGGGGGATAGTAAGAAGGAAGTTAATAGTCTTAAAAATCAAAGAGAGAGAGAGATCATATAGTTATATGGGGAAGCCTCGAGGAGTGAATGTCCAACGATCAAATCGATCATTCTATACCTCCTGTAGCAAAAGCTCCTGACTGATGATATGCGACTCCCCCAGCATCCCCTTGGCAAGCAAGACCAACTCGTCTACCGTGACCAAGAACTTCAAGTACAGATGGATGGCCACGCAGAACTTGCGATAGTCCTCGTTTCGGATGAGATCCTTGCTCAGCCAGGCCTCCAAGTGCCGACTCTTCCAGTACACGTAGCATCGCTTGGCTAAGGGGGTAGGGAGTGCTTCGGGAAGAGGATCGCCGGTCTTGAGTGACTGCTCAACCACGCTCAGCACAGCCATCACATCCCCGATATTGGTGTGATCCAAAATCCCGACGATGGCCTGGATCCGTTCTTGCATCTTCGTCGGCAGCGAGGCAGAAAGGTATAGGAGTCGGCCGAGGGTGTAATTCATCACATGGCAAAGGGTTTTCACTTGGTTTAGACTCTGGCTGTCGAATGGGGAGCTGGAGAATTCGTATTTCAGCATGGTGATGGGACCCGTGAGAGGCACAAGGGCTTCGTCGAGAGCGAGTGTGATCTTTTCAGCAACGATTCCGATTTTCCTATCAGGCCGATTCCAGCATGACAGGAGGAGAGCGTAGTGGTCAGATAGACTGCGCATAGCGTTGGAAAGAGACTTGCTGATGTGGCGAGACGCAGCCGGCGGTCGAGGGAAGACTTGTACAATGATAGCCCCTGTCGTGCCGACCAAGACAAGGACGATACGACGCCAGAAAAGATTATAACCAATTCCAGCGTTGCCGGGGGCGGGAATATGACTGGAGCTGTGGTCAGGAATCGCAAACAAAGGGCAAGCCAAAGGACCCAGGAGACAGAAAAGTGACTTACGTATCGTCCTCGCTGTAGCCCACTATTAGAAGGAACGTTGCCGCACCGATAATGTTGGCTGCCATCAGTGCAAAGTTGGAAAAGACCCTTGACCACATCATGATTGCGATCATTACTGCTGATATGGCCGCCAGTCCATACGGGTTGCCTGGCCCACTGCCCGAACCGATGTACCAGGCTAGCAATCCAAAGACACCACCAACAATCGTTGCGATACTGCGAGTCAGTATCGAGAAGGTGAAATCCGCCATGTACGGAAGAAGCGTGAGTTGAGCCATAATAAGTCCCCATATACCCTTTTCTCGATAATAGAAACCAGCGCTGGAAGGAATCGCGGCCGGGATCGCGAGGGCTACCGTCACGATCACAATACGCAGAGCGTACAATCCTTCTGTATTGATAAACCAGTGATAGGCATTGAAAATTGCGGTGGCAAAGCCACCCCGGCGGTTAGTTTTGTACCCACGGCTGATTTGGAGACGGATCTGTGCTTCTTTGAACTGTTCTTCCACCACGTCCGGGTCCACAGAAAAGGACTCGCCGGGGATAGGGGCTGCCACTTTCCTCCCTAGCACCCAGGCGACAGCGTATCTGATTCTAGTGGGGAACCAGAATCTGGCCTTTGTACGTCCCTTGGACAATTGGATAACACGAGACAGCAACCCGACCAGTGAGTCGGCCACGGAAATGATATGTTCCTCGAAGACCATCGAGAATACAATTTGTTGCATGGGATAATTGAGCTCTCTCTCGGGTGTTGCGAGATTCCCTTCATCATCGAAGAGATCAGCATGTATCTCCAGTAGCTTCTCTGTTGTATCTGTGGCAAAGGACGTCCGAGTTGCTTTGAGGTTTTCAACGGCGGCTTCAGCTCGTTGTACCAGGCTGGCAATCTGTTCCTCGGATGGACTTGAAAACCACCGGCGCGAGTTCACCGTATGAATACATTCGCCCGTTATGGCGATCGCATCCGAGCAAGCCGGCAGTATCTCCGACGCTGATTGTCTGAGTACCTCGATAGTCTCCTCAGGTAGATTATAATTATCGGTGCCTCGTACGGCCCGCCATAAACGTACACTTTCAATTATTTGATGGCGCCCAGCTGGTTTGGGACGTCCGTCGCTCTTTTCGTACTCCCATGAGCCTTCAATATCTTCCACAAGAGGTGCCAGGGTTTCCGCCTTGACCGCACCATTAGTCCGGCCAATGTGGAATTCGAGTAATGAAAGACTGGATAAGGTGGCCAGTCGAAGAGGTTCCCTCAAACTCCCGATGTCATCTGCGCTCCAGCGGCCGTGAGAAAAATCCAGGGGAAGAAATGCGAGAGTAGGTCCCATAGATTTGTAGACCATTATTATCTTTGCCTTCAACCCACGTAGTGCCTGCAGGTCCAGTCTTTCGGCGTCCCTGGCAAGGTCTTTTGTTGTCAAGTTGATAGGGGTGTTGATCAAGCTCAATACGCCTTCCATTGCTGTAAGGACGGTGTAGGATGTGGACTGTGGGAAGAGAAGAACCGATGCCGCAAGCCCTAGTCCGATTCCAGCACAGCTGGGAATAGCAATCGTTTTGGCCAGGTTTCCATCAAAGGTGTAAAGCAAAGGTCCATAGAGGAGGAAGAAGTCGGTGACAATGATTCCCAGGATTTGTGTCAGGGCAAATTTTGGGTTGTACATTCGAAGACGTGTGATAAAGTAGATGAACAGACAACCCAGGCAGTAGTAGACGGCTGTCATTCGCGGATCAAGCATCTCTCCGCCGTAGATAAGTAGTTCTGCTTCTGTCGCAACGCTGCGTCCAGATACCTTTGCCTGGGCAACGGCTGCTTCCTCGACGGCTTTGAGAAGGATTTCTGTCTCTATTTCGGAACGAATGGCCAGCGCAGCCTTCATGGTGATGGCTCCCCAGGCCCAGGCGAGACAAATACCGAGAAGAAGAGTGACTGCAGTCAGAACAAAGACAAAGACAATGCCCATGGGGGGCGCCATGAACAAGATAAGGCTGAAGAGTCAGTAGTATTCTATACTATGAAATTCTGACCGGCGACAATTTACCATGCAAAAAAGGTGGCCTGTCCGAATTCGCGCAAGACGGGGTTGATAAACATCAGCAAGCATGCCACCCAGGCTGGAGCCCAGCAGCGAAAGAAGGTCTTGAGATCACGGGCATTGAAGTGATCAAGCCAAGGAGGCAATTCTCGTTTGGGCTGGCCAGGTGTCACCATTTCTGTCGGCGTGGAAGCAGCCGCATCTTGTTCGCTCTTGGGCACCGTTTGCGAATTCACGCGGGCGTCTTCGGATGATGCCGGCTCTGACATCTGGAGGCCAACACTGTTTCATATGAAGAAGCAAAAGACCGAATAATCAAGATGATAAGTTCAGGTTCACATCTAGGGGAATATATTTCGTAGGGCGATCTATTTTAGTCCCATAATTAACAAACAACATGACATTTTGGGGACGACGGGGGCGCCGGGAACGACCTCAGCTTTGTAGCGCCCCTGTCCATAGCATCGGAGGTTATCTAGAGTAGACTATACATCGTATAGCTGCATAATGATAGGGACCATGGCGCAGCATTATGCAATTTTTGCCAATCATTTTGCACGCTAGCTGACCAATTCATGCTTAGTAGTGTTAGTGCCGCAGGATGAATGATCCTATACAGAATAAGGCACTAATAATCCTCTTGACAATTTGAGTGGCTCAGTGATCTAGCGTCCCTTTGGTTTTGTCATAGTTGGTGTATGCGCTGCATGATCAGTAAGCAGGGAAGAAACCTGGATTCCGTCAGCCAGGAGGTGTTGGGCAGATAAGGCCTGGCACTCGAACAGCTAGAGGGTCTTTGTCTTTTTGAAGTGACAGGAAGCTTTGATATGCAGGGATGGCCATACAAAGTCCAGACCAAGGCCAAACAGATACTCGGAGTCTTACTCGTCTTGGTGCCTTCTTCTCTTCGAAATATGTCCTCGAAAATTCCAACCACTGCTGCCACCGAGACTCCAGCAGCGCTTTTACATGTTTTAAAATCGTGAGAGATCTGTTTTTCGACACCACAGGTCTCCCAGTTGGTCCATAAGCGGTGTATAATAGGCATATGGCACAAGTGTCCCCGGTTGTGACTGTTCCAACAGCAAGAGGTACGCATCGGGCGTAGAAGACGACGAGCGCAGAACAGAGACGCTATCATATGCGCATCTCTTTTTGCCTTCTCGGGTGAGTAGCTTACCCCAGTCAGCTTCTTGGTTTCCTTGGTGCAGTCCAGCAAGAATTTCGAGGTACAGATTGGCTTCTTCTCCGAGATCTCGGTACCGATTGGGTGAACGAAACGGCATGGGACACGACAAGGCAACCCTCCTAGATGTCGTGAAGCTGCAAGATAGCAGGCGATGAGTACAGCTGTCGCATCTCGGCTTGATTTCATCGAACTAAAAAATCCTGTCAGCACAAACCCGCCCCTGATTCTCAGTTTGATAGCCTCTCTACCCCTACTACTGGCCTTGATATCTCGTTCTTTGCATTGTTGACAACCAATCCGTGATCTCTTACCATTTGCTTTGGTAGCTGGCTGGGTTGCTTCCCCTAGTGAAGTCGAAGAGAAGAAGTGAGAAGGAGGAGAGGAAAAGCCAACTTCTGCTAGTGACTTTTATTTCTGGCTGTTCCCGTGACCTGCTCGATTCAACCTCCCAGCACAACCAGAAAAAACTGCCCATATAAAACTGCTTACGGTTACTCGGTTTTCTCGGTTGTATTCATTTCATCCACCTATCTACTACATTTCCCCCTTTTTCAAGTTTCTCCACTGTTAAGGAAGGTCACAGTTTCACCTGGAACCTGGGATTTGTCCGGATCTGCTCGCCATATTTGTATAGAAGCACCCCTCCTGGAATGATGGCCAGCGAGATGAAGCCAAGCAACGAAGCACTCCAAGCCACGCCTAAGGCGTTCAACATAGGCCCGCCAGCAAGGGGGAGTAGAGCTCCGCCGAGTGATCGCAGGATAGTATTCGAAGCCGTTGCGCTGGCGGCGTATATCACATACGCGTCTACAAGGTACATGCTCACGGACATCTGCATACGAAGAAGTTAGGAGGAGAAATAAGGACTGAGGAAGGTATCACATACGAAGATGGTCATCATACCCATTCCCACAAATGATGTGCCGATGATAGGGCAGATCCAATGGACCCTCGCGTGAACCGACCATCCATACCAGAACATGCCGATGGGAAGAAGTACGGCGCCTAGAATCATTTGGGGGAGACGGTACTCCGGCTTACGCTCTCCACCATGCGATAATCGAGTGACAAGGGTGTCGGAGCCTGCTCCGGAGATGGCCAGGCCGACAGCACAGCCGACTCCGATACCGAGAAAGGAGAGGCCGACTGTCCCCTGCGAGAATCCATAAATACCCTCGAACACGAAGGCTAGAGTGGTGAAAATCAAATATAGGATGCCGTAGACGACGGCGCAATAGGTCGAGAGGAAAAGCACAATGGGCGAGAAGAAAAGCAGTTTGAACGGCCGGGATATAGCAAGTTTGATTTGTTGGCCTGGTGTCAGCATCTCTGTGTCAAGCGCTGATCGATATTCTCGGTCATCACCGTTTTGCCGGCCCTTCTTCTCCAGCTTCTGTGCTCGCTTGCGAAGGAGAACAGGAGGATAGGTTTCCCGCATGAATATGAGCGAGACGACTAGGAATGCACCACTCTGGTTCATCGATTCATGGTCAGTATACAAAATACATCAAAACCGATATGGGATGGCCACGCACCAGGATAACCAGGATCCAGAATGTCCACCGCCATCCTTTATATTCTGAAATAAATCCACCGGCTACCGGTCCAACGACAGGCCCAAGAATCGGGCCCATCGCCCAGATTGCCATGACGGCACCTCGTCGCTCCGCAGGGATTGTATCCGCGATCGATCCGGCCCCGATGGTGATAGGACAACTCCCGGCAATCCCTGCCAAGAAACGCATCCCAATCAACATGCCCATACTACTCGCCTTGGCGCAAGCAACTGACCAGACGAAGAAGAGGAGATTGCAGGTATGATATACGGGAAGACGGCCGTACAGTTCCGACGCGGGTGCCACCAGGATAGGGCCAAAAGCGTACCCGAGAACAAAGACCGAGACTGCGAAAGCCCCCATCATGGTGCTGGTAGTATTGAAAGAAGCCATCACCTCTTCCTCGGCGGGAGAAAACATGGATGATGAGAGGGGCCTAGGGGGGAAAGACAACATATTCAAGTGAGCTTAGAGGCTCATATACCCTTTCTGAGAGGCGCAGGGATCACACACGTGATGAAAGTCATAACAGAGATGAGGACAATAGTCGGGGCTTTCCTTGAAGGCTTCCAGTTCACGGGATTCTCGGGGTCATCAGGACCATCCCAGTCGACTGTGACAAGATCGGTGCTGACTATCACATCGCCTTTCTCACTCTGGGCATTGGCTGATACGGACATGACCCCGATTTCTTTCTCGAAATCAGTCCCCGGGGTCGAGACCATCCTTGGAGAGCTCTACTCAAACGAGATGGTTACCAGCAGATCGATTGTTATATTTATCTTGGAACAAGATGACTCGGTACAGCAAGAACAAACTCCTCTAGATGAACACAAAAGATCCATCAAACCGACGGCCCCTGGAGACCTTAAATAATGAGGTACTAATGATTAATAGGCTAAGTTACCCCCCCAACTCTTCGCTTCGCTATGGTCATATGCTGTCGTATTCATACAGAGCGACCTACGATTGGCTCATTTTTATTGTGTTAGAAACAGATTCGGGTTTCATAAATATTGCTATCCGGTTGTGCATGCATAAAGCGATCCTATCTTATCTTCCCCGGATTATGGTACGAAGTACATATATGAGACCAAGCCCTTGACGAAGCAGTCAAGACTTGATTATCAGAATCAAGCATCTGGAGCTACTCAGCCCAGGTGACCGTCTTGGTCTGGAGAAACTCATCAAAGCCCGAAGAGCCCCCGAAACGACCGAATCCGCTGCTTTTCCAACCTCCATGCGGCAGAACTGGTTCATCATGGACCGTGATGGAATTAATATGGACAGCCCTGCAGTACATTAGTATTGAAAAAAGGAGATGGCGATACCATACTACTAACCCGGACTCGATCTTTCTTGCAATCTTCAACCCACGCAGAAGGTTCTCTGTGAAGACCGCCGCACTCAGCCCATACTCGGTGTCATTAGCGAGGGCGATGGCGGTTTCGTCATTATCCACGACGATCAGTGAGACCGTCGGTCCAAAGGACTCTGTTGCATAGATGTCCATTTCCTTGGTGACTCCGTCGATGATCAATGGCCGCATGCTTGCCGGGCCGATCTCATTTGCGTCGGCGTCTCCGAACAGGACACTACCTCCCTTGGCCACTGCATCTGCTGCCAGCTTGTGGTTTCTAGCAACAGCCGCTGTCTGCACAAGCACCGGTGCAGGTATATCCTTGCCGAACATCTTCTCAGCGGTATCCACGAGTCGTTGGCGGAACTCTTCGGCAATTGCTCGGTGCACGAGGATACGCTCCGTCGACATACAGATCTGTCCACTCTATTGTCTTATCAGTGAACTCTGTTCTTTACTGTTTCCTTTTTCACCTTCAAAATTACAGGTAAAGGATCCAACTTACATTCATAAAAGATCCTAGGACACAACAAGCTGCGGCATTGTCCAGATTGGCATCATCGAGAACAATTGCCGAGGCCTTGCCTCCCAACTCGACGAGGATAGGCTTTAGATATTTGCCTGCGGTGGATGCAACAAGAGAGCCGACGTGGGTGCTCCCCGTGAAATTGACCTTGCGTACTGCCGGGTGCGCAATAAGGGTATTAGTCACTTCCGCGGCATCAGCAGGCCGATGATACAGGATATTCAGACATCCTGCGGGCAGTCCCGCCTGTCTGAAGATATCTCCCAAAGCCCAGAAGCACTTTGGTGAGAGTTCCGATCCTTTCAGGACCACAGTATTGCCTGCAGCGAGTGGAAGGGCGATAGCCCGAATGGCAAGAATGAACGGAGCGTTCCTAAAAGCATTACTGATGAAAGCTCACAGATAATTATGGATGGGAAAGAAGTTACAGTACTTACCACGGGACAATCCCCAAGATGACACCATACGGCTCCTTATAAATCATGGCGCCCCTACTCTGGTGTGTGACGGCGGGCACGGTACCCTCGATTGTTGGCACTCTAGCAGCAAAGTCCTTCAAGAGATTGAAGCCCATTGTGAAGTTGATGTCGGCGAACTGCCTGGTCGCCCCGGTCTCCTCGCACTGGTACGCCAGCAGCTCTTCTTTACGGGCGAGCAGCAGCTCCGCGGCGCGCATCAGCAGGTCTCGGCGCGGGTATGCTTTCATATCACGCCAGGCTGGGAACGCAGCCTGGGCGGCGTCCACGGCACGGTTGGCTTCAGCAACCGTTGCGCCCGTGCAGTGGTAAATGATCTCGCCGGTAGCCGGGTTTTGGACCGGGAAGAGGGTGTCCGTCGTGACGGAGTCATTATTGATAAGAAGTGGGATGGACATGGCGGTTTTCTCTCCCTCGCAAAGTCCAGGCTTATGATGATTGAACTTCAGTTGATTCTTATAAAGGGTTAACTGCAAACGAAGAGGGTTTGATCTACATTTATCTGTTTGTAAGAACGGGCGGTCAAAGCTTTCAGACTGCCGAGACGCCACCCATATAGCTAAATATGTAGTTCAATAGAGTTTGTGTATTTGATGAGAAGAATATCATCTAATTACCTTAAATATAGCCATAGCACTATAATAATAAGGGCAGTAAGAAGGATGATCTTGTTCCTGAATAGAAGCAATATAAGCACGTATGTAGATCATAGAGCTAACTAATCAGTAGGTAGTACAACTAGTTGACAAAACCATTGTAAGCTTATTAAGTATTCATATAGATAAATCATGAGAAGCCCTCTTCTTCCAATTTCTCATCCTTCTCTTCTTCCTCTTCTTCCTCTTTTCTTCCCCCACAATCTTCGCTTCGCCAGGTCAATCAGAAGACGTTAAACCCAATCCAGAGGCTCTGATAAGATCCACCGATGGTACTCTATACTCTGAGACGGTATATCGATAATCGATCTGCCGTCTTATTTACCGAAGGTATCTCCTCCTCGATTTTGAGAACCGGATTGTAGTCATAGTGATCAATCAGTGTAGTGAGTCAGTTAAGCCAGGTGTTGTTCTGTCGAATGCCTCAGGAAAATGTATGCCTGAGGCAGAAAGTCTCTTCGCCAAAACTATTTAAATGCCCATATTTCTCCAGATGCTAAATCCATCTCCCTTCTAATACTCTAGACCCTAGACCCTAGACCCTAATCTTATCTCTCTCACTTCCTCTTCCCCTCTCATGAATACCTGGTGTTCCGGTAATTGCCGAGTGTCATACGGTTCCGATTACTCCGTACTTCTGTCTACGGAGTACACAGTATCGAGCTCACAAGGAGGGGGAATATGTCACCTCACATGGTGACCTGATCAGCCTTAGCAGGTGGTGAAAGCATCTCACAGCCCTCGTCGACGTCTTGCCCTCTTCATCAAGGCTGACGTGGCAAAATGGGTAAGAACAGAACAAGTGTCTCGAGTCTCCAGGCTCATCCTACACACATCCATTGAAAGTCATGGGGCTGTAGTAATGCGTACGCAAAGACAGATTGGCCATATTTGACCTCCTGCAGTTCATGGCTAGCCTGGTTTACCGCCAGTTAGTTATGGACGGGGTATGCAAACACTTGGTGCACTCACTCACCATACAACGAGATTGGGGATGTCATCCCTGTGCAATACACCTAATCATTTAATATATATGATATATATATATTATATATGAGGGGTTATGACCCGGGCACAGCCTCGTTTTGGAAAGGGAGAAATGCAGCTAATGGGTGATTTTCACCCATGCAGGGATCCATTTACCTATCTGTACGACTTCAATGCTGGATAAACTGATCTAGCAAACATTCCAGTGCTGGAGACCTCTGATGTGGCTCTTCTAGACACTGATGATACCAAGAGAAAAACGAGGTCTCTTGATGTACAGGTTTATTTCAATCATCAGCTCCCTAAAATATAAGCCGCCTTTCCCCCCAAGCTTAAACTGCGTCTTGAAGAATTTTCAAGTCTGTCTCCGCGATTAGTTAGTTCAACTATATCCCAGATCATTGAGGCCGAGAGGCTCCTCCCAGGGCAGTCTTGCGGAGTGGAGATGACCAGCAAATCATGCCTATTACTGCAACTTTTTTTTCGCCAAATGGGAATTTCTCCTTTATGTAGGTCCTTAGTTACACTCTAAGGGCAAGCAAGTGTCAGGAGTATTTAATCCTTAGTTTGAAGTCCTCATAGATTTGTTGCACTCCAGCGACTCATAGATTCTCAGGGAGCTTGGGGACGTTGGCCCTATCCTTATGAACGAACATCTGTGTTGCATTAAGTGAATCCTAGCTGGATCAACATCTTATGCACTGCAAGTTAGCACACTCCATGCTGCCCGACTGCGGGTGATTCGGACAGCCAGGGCTAAGAATCATCCAGCTGCAAGCCCACTATTAGAGTCATGATGGCGCTCAACTATCGGGTGCTGCCGGCGAGGGCCCTGTCAGTGGAGAGACTATCAGTCCTATAATTAAAATATTAATTATCTTTGCGATTCATCAGGCTTACCTTTGTTGGGCCGTAACTGCCTCCAGGACTACAGACATTCATACATGCCCTGTCTAAGGCTGGGGCTTATGTCTTCGGCTATGATTTCATCGTGTGCCTTGCCTGTTTGATTCCTCTTGACCTAGCAAACTCCACCATTGTCAGCGTTCCTTTTATGCATCCTGTATGGTACAAGAAATCTTAAAATATCTTATCTTCTCTATATTTTTCTTCACTTGAAGATAGTCGACCTCTGTTGCCGACATGGGTGATCTGTACCAACTGTGTAGAAAGCTCATGGCCGCTCGGATAGAGTGTGATATTGGAAACCATGATTACTTTATTCCTATAAATGAACAAGTCGCCCTGATCAACGAGCAGTCAGTTACTGCATTGTTAGACGATAGTGATAAAGATATTGCAAGGAGAATCTGTGAGGGAAGCCGAACTCTTTTCGCAACGCTTTTGTTAATACGCCGCCCTTCGGACATCCTGAACTTCCTAGAGGAAGGGGTCTATGACAAGCACTTGCCTTTCACACGGATCAAGAATAACCTGGAATTTGAACTCAATCTTCAGTCTGGAAAGCCTGCACAGAGTACCCAGGGCTGGGATTGGTCCGATCGAGAGTATTTTGAACGATATCAGTGGTGGATGCTGGCGCCTGTATTCGAGGATCTGGAGCACTATGACCTTTATGAAAAAGTGTTACTACCATTTACCTCACTCGGGGATGCTAGGATCAAGATTCGGGGAGGCGGCTGGAGTGAAGTTTATCAAGCGCGGGTTCATCCAGCGCATCACAAATGGTCAGCAGTCAACAACTTAGAGGTGAGCAGATGGTTCCCTTGAGGAGTAATCGGGGATTTAGATACTGACGCTTCTTCCAATTGCTCCTCAGTCCAGTGGGCCTCTGGTCGCCGTCAAACGTTTGTATGAGTCTAGTGAAGAGGAGTTCAAGAAGGAGCAGAGCATTTTAAGGAGGCTGGGGGCTAAAAATCATCCCCATCTGATCAAGCTCTTGTCCACATTTCGTCAAGGAGGTAAATGGAATTTGATATTTCCATTTGCTGATTGCAATTTGAGAACATACTGGGATAGCCACCCGATTCCTGCCTTTGAAGTCGAGACAATTAAATGGACACTGGACCAAATCATCGGTCTTGCATCAGCCATATATCATATTCATGACTTTCGGCTGGAGTACCGGCAGAAAGATGTTTCTGTAGCAGGACTAACTCTGCGAGTACAGGAACAGGAGAGAGTTTATGGCCGTCACGGCGACCTCAAACCTGAAAATATTCTTTGGTTTAAGGAATCCCCCAATATCAATGCAAGAGGCATACTTCAGATTACAGACTTTGGATTGGGACGATTCCACGGTCGAGTTTCACGGTCAAACGTCAATCCCAGCTCCGTCTATGCATCACCTACCTATGAAGCTCCAGAATTGAAACTCTCAAGGCCTGTATCCCGGGCGTATGACATGTGGAGTCTTGGTTGCGTGTTTCTTGAGTTTCTGACGTGGCTGCTCATGGGGGCTAAGGCGATAGAAGATTTTGCGGATTGCCGTGGAGAGCCCTCGAATATCAGCGACGACGGCTCCATTACCTTCAGCGATGATAACTTCTTTACTATCACTGATCAAGGACAAGGAGGGAAAGTGAGAGCAGGGGTCATCACCTGGGTGGAATCCTTGCACGCCCACGAAAACTGCTCGGGATTGATCCATGAATTACTTGACTGTGTTATGGATGGCCTTATTGTCATCGATGCAAGCCGGCGGTTCAAAGCTGGCCAGCTGGTGAGAAATCTCAAAAGCCTCAAGCAAAAAGCCGACTCAAACGAGGATTTCATGATGCGGCCGGCACCTTATCAGGTAGAGCCTCCATCGCCCCCAGACTCTCCAGGATCCAGGCCGCAATTTCTGCTCGCCCAGTACTACTGATTTCTGTTTCCCGTTGTTCGGTGCCTCTTCCTAGGTGGAAAGGAAACCTTTTTTTGCCTTCCTCTTGTCTATCTCCTTGTTTTCCTTCACTCTCATTACTCCTGTCTGAAGATCGTGTTCAACCTTCTTCTCTTCTCGGGTCATGTTTAAACTGTAATTCAGATGGTGGTCAAAGGCCATGGTAACTAGAATCAGAAGCCAGTGGAGCGATTCCCAGCTAATCTTGTTTGGACGTGTCTTGTCCGTGTAAGCATTCAAAGTATGATTCAAGGTAGTATATTTTTTATTCTCTCTTGATAGAGACTCACCTCATTTGATTGATCTTATTTGTTTGAGAGGAGACGAGGATGTTGACTGTTAGTAAAGCTGTCAGATGTCGGTGAGCTGGTGCGGTTGCACGCTTAGCTGTCATCACGTGCACTCGCTTCCCAGTCAGGCAGGTACCCAAGGTCGAATCCTTTGTCACTGGACCATATCAAAAATATCAAGGGAATATAGATAATTCAATAGCTAGTCAATTAGTACTTCCATTTTTAATGCTATCATCAATTAGAACCCCTTCCCAGCTCGTTGATCGCGGAATTTTCAAAAATATCCTGGCTTCCCCCCTTTAAAGCTACATCCAGCATCAACCCAGCCAGTACGTCTACTTTCACAGACGGAGCCAACCCTTGAACCAGCCTGTCTTTCAGTGTCATTTCCTTCCCCAACACCATTCCAGGCCGTAGAATGTAGAGTTCGAAGCTATCCGGATGCGCTGCGGCGTGCGCCAGCAGTTCATTTTCTACCTGACCCTGCTGACTATTAGCATAGACATTCAAAATACCATATAGCAAGCATAAACGCACTCGGATTCGTCGATATTCCTGAATGAACCAAAGAGATTTTGTTTGGTCTCGTTCTGCGGCGGCTCCGCTACAGTATACGAAGCGGATTTTCTTCGTAGGCAAAGTCTCATTTCCATTTCCATCTTTATTATTTTCTGCAACCTTTTCAAAGGCCGCCACAGCAGCGAGTGTATAGTCGAGACAGACTTTGCGTGCGGCTTCGCTGTCGGTCGTGGGCGTTTTGCCTAACGTCCTGCCACGCAGTGTGTCAGACGATATTCGAATTCTCAGTCAAGAGCTAAACTTACCATATACAGGCATCTGCACCGTTGATTTCTTGCAAGACAGGATCCGTGTAAGAGAGGAAATCGTCCAAAATGACGACTTTCAGCTTGGGGTTTTGCGTGACCGAGGCAGGCAACTCGCGGCGGGAGAGAGCAACGATGGATGTGATAGATTCGCAGGCGAGACACAGCTCAAGGACTTCGCGGCCTACAAGGCCTGTTGATCCTGCTAGTATGATTTTCATCTTGGCTGGTAGAGAGCAGGTTGGTATGGTTTCGATGGGGGCGAAAAAGGCGGGGTTCGCAACTTTAAATAGGCTGCGAGGAGCGGATCGGAGTTGAGCACGACGTCGAGGAAACGATTTCAAGATATTTAGATGAAAATCCTCTTGACTATTATGTAGATATTATGCTCCGTCGATGTGTAAAGGGATGTCTACCTGAGTACTTGGGGTAAAGGGAGGTCCCCCCAACACGGTCTAGCCGGATACGGTGAGCTCATCGACGACCAGTTTCACAATTCCAACTTTTTCTTGCCTCGAGTCATCCTCCGTCGTCAAACTATTTTATACTGACGAGGTAAGACGTCTGAAGGAATTTTTCTCTAAACAGAGACTGATGAAGAAGTCTGAAAGAAGCTATTCAGAGACTGAGGAAGGTCAAATATTTTGTCTAACTGTTTCCCTCAAGCTCAAACTGATTGTCTCCAAACAGGGCCGAGTCAGACGATCATTTGAATCAGGTTTTCATGAGGCGGGCTACCCGCTATCAGATATTGCTTCACTATAATAGAGCTATCTGAAACATATCCGTGTTGGCAGCTAAGCGAAACAGGCCATGGAACCTTGTTTGGCGGATACATTGTCAGGTCATGCCTAAAAATAACCCCCAAGAATCTACTAACAAAATATGTTTCAGTGGTCTCACTACAGCAGATCAATGTCCTTCCCGTTCAGACAATCTTCATACTGCTAGAAATGCCAAATTGGGGCTACGGTAGGATATGGAGACTGAGACGTGGACATCAACGCCAGACGGAAGGTCAATGGACAAGATGAAATTACCTGTAATTTGTCTGTTTCAGATCTAGGAGCTATGAAAACGCTAGAATCATCAATCATACTACAAGAGTAGACTCTCATTTAACTAATATGAGATTAATGTAGATTCCAACCATACAGAGTAGGAGATACAGAAGACCTGGAGTACGCCAATCAGCATACCTACAATGTATTCTTCTAGTACTCCATACTTTTTAATTACTAGTAGCTAGCTGCCTTAGTAATTATCTCATAATAAGCAGATTTTATTAGGTATAACCAACTGGGAGAATAAGTGCCCACTGAAAGTGCGGTGAATAGGATCAGGCTGGAATTAGGCAGTAACCAGATCAGATGAAAGGAAGAATCATAATAATTAGTCTAATTACTGCTAGGTACTCCGTACCTACCTCTATCAACCCAATAATACAATGTCTAGGTAAACCACCTAATAATACCACCTAGGGTTCAGATCTCCACATACGTCAATCGACTTCCCCCAAGTTCCAACAACCCCCCACCAACACAACAAAACAAACAAACCACAACGATGGACCTCCAGCTCTACATTCTGACGTTCAACTGCGGTCGCACCCTGGTGGATGTGGACCGCTTCGCCGCCCATTTCTTCCACGCCCTACCATTGTCCAGCTCCGCCGATGGTGCCCAAGCAGGGAGGCGGCCGCCAGAGCTGATCGTCCTGTCGGTGCAGGAGATGGCACCGCTAGCCTACGCATTTCTAGGAGGCCACCATCTCACACCGTACTTCAAGGCACTAGCCGAGACGGTCCATCTTGCTGTACTGAACAGATGGAAAGATGAGGAAGATAATAATATTCGATATGTGAATATTGTACGGGAAAATGTCGGCATGACAGGGCTAATGATCTTCGCGCGCGCCGATGTGTCGGACCAGATCTGTCGCATCGAGACGGCACGGGTGGGCCTAGGCGTCCAGCAGATGGGGAACAAGGGTGCAGTTGGGGCCCGGTTAGGCTGGCAACAAAAAGGTTCAGAGAGAGGAGCAGATTCGGAGCGACAAGGAGTCCCTGGTTCAGAAACGATCGATCTGGCCTTTGTGGCTGCGCATCTGGCTCCGATGGAGGAAGCGGTCGCGCGACGCAACGCGGATTGGCGGGCGATGGTTGAACGATTGGTTTTCAACAATACTACTAATTCTAATTCTCATTCTCCGGCCTCTGTGGGTCTTTTCGAACCCAACACTTACCTCTTTGTCGCGGGTGATTTCAACTATCGTACCTCCGACACGAGGCCCGTTACAGGGGACCATCTGCGGTTCCCGCAAATCGGGGCGGAGGGGGACACACAGAATCCAACGCGGGTTGACCAGAGTCTACTAGCCGGGGACCAGTTGACGCGCGAGAGAAAGAAGGGAAATACCTTCCATGGCCTTTCGGAGGCTCCCATCACCTTTCCGCCAACATACAAATACTCCAACGCTGCACGAGCTGCAGCGACTACTACCGACAGCAGCCACGGCCGCCACAATAAAGCCGGGACTTGGCAATGGACTCAATACCGGTGGCCTAGCTGGTGCGATCGGATCCTGTACCTGGAGACAGCGTCTAGACCCGTCGAGACAGGCTTATACGATGCGCTGCCGCTGCTACCCACGTCGGACCATCGGGCGGTGGCTCTGAGCGTTTCACTTCCTATACGACGGGCTTCTGGATTGGGCGGTGGAGAAGGGGCGGGAGAAGAAGGATCTGGTAGGAGTATTGGTATTGGTATTGCTAGTGCTGGTGCTGGTTCTGGTATTGCTAGTGCTGGTGCTGGTTCTGGTATTGCTCCATTCCCATTAGATCCCACCTGGGAAGCCCAACTGCAGGCGGCACGGCGCAGGGAAGTGGTGGTGGGCAGTGTAGCCTATCTGGGGCTAACGAGGGAGGGCCAAATGCTGGTGCTGGCGACAGTGTTGGGGGCGCTGGGGGCGTGGTTTGTGCTTAGCAGTCTAACAGAGCAGTTGGTTGGTTGATCAGCCTTACGATCTACGAAGTATACAGGTATCTAATCTAGTAACTAGTTAGTTAGTATTATCATTTAGAAATCTTTCTTTATGCACCTAACTGGACAGTGGACAGACACTACATAAGTGGCTACCAAGTACCTACCTAACACTGTACTAAGGTTAGGTACCTTACTTATAGACTAATGCATCAGTCATGAGATGCTCAATACTCCATACTCTGTTATTCCAAGTCATTCTTAAGATAGTATATTATTATACTACTCCGTACCTAGTAGTTAGTAAACAGTTAACTAACCAAGGAGTACTGACTAATCACTAACTAACCACTAATGACCCGACAGTGCGGCACTACCAAGTTCCAGAAGGGAGGAAGAAACTGCTAGCCAGTATAACTGTAATATACTACGCTGTATTAGTGTAAGTAAAACGTCTCAGGCCGGTGGAGCGCAACCTTAACGGCCGCCTCCCTTGCTGTCAATGGGCTCCACGCGGCTCCTGCAATATGCAATACTGCGAGTCATAGCAATTCCCAGGGTGTTCAGGATGGATTCGGGATTTAATTTTTATTGGGATAGATAGGATTTCCTCGGGATTTTAATCTAAATAATTTTGATATATTGGTAGCTATTTATTTCTGTATTCTGCTGTCCTATAGGCTACCTCTATATACCTTCTACTAGGTAGTTACCTAGTACCAGGTACCAGGTACTGCCGATGAAGTTCTCTAGTATTGGGCACTCACTGTATTACACTGAGGGTCTAGCGTAGGATGAAAAATAGAATAAAAAAAAATAATTTATTGGAAATATAGCCAAACAGAAAAAAAATATATTTCTATTTTCTTTAATTTTGTCTCCTTTTTTTTTCTTTTTTTTTCCCATTCCCGTATCCTGAACTTTCTATTCCTTCTACACTTCTCCGTCACCATACAAATACCTCCTCCCCCCAGCCTGCGGTCTCGCCCGCCCTCCCCTCCTCTCCTCCTCCTCCTCCTCCTCCTCCTGTCAGCAGTGCTCGACACCAGTCCGCTAGATCTTCGACGTCACCCGTGCAGGCCGCGTTTCTTTCTCTGTCTTCAGCGCTGCTTACTGTCACTGCTTATTGCTCGACTTCTTTAATTGTCTTCAGACTTGGCTTTCATTTCTCGATCAATCGCATCGCACGCATCATGTACTCTTGCTCCAACTACCCGCGCGGATGTCGCGGCCGCGTCAACATCCAGGGTGGAAAATGCCCCGACTGTATAGTAAGAAACAATTGATCCGATGAAGAAGATTATTCCCATCTTTCTAACAATATAGCAACTCAAACTTCGCCGACCCTCCTCCCTGTCCTCCTCCCCCTTCGCACAGCCTCGAGACTACCGGCGCGCCCTGCCCTCGGAGATCCTCACAGGCTCGCCATATAAAGACCTACACTGAACCAGAATGAATCACTCGTTGACTGCAGGCGGTCAAGTCAATTTACCTCTCCTCTATCCGGTACATCCATCTATTCGACCCGGGTTTCTACTCTACTTGCATCGGCGGTTCTCTGTTTTGTTTTGTTCTTACGACCTACATAATAAGCATAAGCATACGAAAAACCACAACTTTTCGAAAGAAAGGGGGAAAAAAAATCGTCAAAAACACACGGAAAATTCGCTAAAGGAAAAAACCAGAAAAAAAAAATTACGGAGGCTAGATTGAATTGATCATTGTTGAATTGCATGGCGGAGGATGGATCTCCACTGCTGGCAGCAGTGTGGCGCAGGTGGCAGCTTTGTTCTCTTTACCCCTGTTTATTTACACTACTATTAGTATTTCCCCTCTATTCCTCTGTCTATAGAGTTTTCTTTTGTCAATACCCATCTGCATGTTATTAACAGTAAATCTACCTACTACCTTCTTAGTTGATAGTTAACTACTACTACCTAATGGTGGGTCCAGTTTGATGCCTAACTGAATCTGAAGATCCTTTAGAACCTTCGTCGAAGCCGATCGTGGCGATGCGATCGAATTACTGGCACGGAGTATACGGTACGAGCTAGAATAGTATGTAGTAGTGTCTTACTAGGTAACTAGTATTATTACTATGTAGTATCTAGTCAATCGGTGAGATTACTTGGTAGTAGTAACTGCTATGTACGATGTACAAACTCCTCACTAACCCATTTGGCGGTCTGCGTGTGTAGACTCCAGTGTCGCTCTTCTCCCTCCAGCTTCTCTCTCTCTCTCCTCCTATCCAATGCTTCTAATACCACCAGCTGGTCTCTCATGAATTCATCCACACACGGTTTCCAAGAATCCTCCGATTCGGATACGTGTAGTTCGTCCATGAGTCCCGCGATACACCGGTGAACGACCTCGTCCTCTCTGCCCCCCAAGGCATCGCGACCCAGTCGGAACCCGTTGCTCGTGTACGCCACGAGTAACAGGTACACATGTGTGTGGTGGGAGGTTGTTTCCACCCTGCCCGTCTGGATGGGTATGTCTGTTTCTGAGTCCCGCAGTCGTTGGCGGAGTACTGAACAGGTTCGTTCCGCCAACTCGCAAGCATGAGGCGATAGGACCGTCGCCTCGATTTTCGTCACTTGTCCGCGTGGAAGGATAGTGATAGAGGGATAATAATGGTCATCCAAGGATTCTGCACTCGTGTGGAGTGATACTTTGACTTCCCCAAGTCGATTCGATCCAGTCGTCCACCCGCGTCGACACAGTTGCATGTCTATCCTCGGCAGCCCCATTCGTTCCAGGTTGGGGATCAACACCTGCTCAACATAATCGTATGAAGGCGCGCGAGGGACGTTCGTACCCCCCGTGATCGTCAGAGTGATCGGCAGGGACGCAGCGCCCCGCACCAGCAGGTACGGATATACCGTCTGGAAAATCAGGAAGATCGAACCGGGTGTCGATTGTTGGATGGAATATCCTGGGAGAATAGTACTACTACTACTCTCTTCTTGGTCTCCCGGAACGAACGTTAGTCTTTTCGATCCGACCTCTCCTCCAATCACTTGGCTCCCGCTGATCTTCGCCAGGAACTGGATGGCCGTCGAGTGAGATTGCTTCAGCCCTGGTTTTCCCTTGCGCTTGGCCCGGATCGCGTCGATCGTTACGGCCTGCCCGGTGATGGCGGACAGAGCGACGGCGTTGCGGACCAGCTGGCCGCCTCCCTCCAGGTAGCTGCCGTCTAGATGGATCATTGACCTTAGGTATACTGCTTGATTTTTTTTTCGAGTTACAGGATACCTATCAACAATGATTTGGGTTGTTGATTTATAACAATACTCTATACTCCGTACTCCTTAGTATACGGTTTATTACGAGTCATGGGGCTGTGTTCGAGTCATAATCCCGAATTGTATACGAGATCTGACTCATACGATGTCTGTCTGTTCATGCAGAAATCCAGTACCAAATTACTAACCACCAGGTAACCGTCAGTCGAACAGAATATGGATGTTCTTACAGTGGATAGAAGTATCTGTTATCTTGACTGCGGATAACTGGTCGGCTCCTTCCGAATCTGCCTTCCTTCCTATCCCATCCTAAAACACCACAGAGAAAGAACAATCAATGGACGTGGTAATGATTTCTCTCGACTGGCTCGCCTCTGGCGTCCCTCTCGTCTTCACCGTCGCAACTATCCAGATACTCGCACACATAACTTCTACTGCGATTGATACTACACCAGAAACTACCACCAATAGTACTACAGTATGGGGTTCACGTTCACAAATGACCGTCTACGGAGGTCCAAGTCCACGCGCTCCTTCCGAGGGTCGCGCCACTCCTCCTCGACTCCCCAGGAGGCTTTCGATCCAGAGCTCGCCAAAGTCCAGGCCACGGCCGCCGCTTCGTATGCCATGCGGCGCTCCGGTGAGCGCTCATCGATGGATTCCAATTCCAGGGGCTCGTACAATCGTCTAGGAGGGCCGGGGAATATGGCAGTCCCTCGCAGGTCTCACCACAACTCCTCGGATGCATCGTCGACGGCAGACCAGATCTCTCTGTCTGATACCGTGTATCCCTCTCGTCATCCATCGAGCCAATATCGAGGCAGTCATGAAAGCTACTGCCAATCTGACACCGCCACTCTTCCTCCGATCAGTGAATTTCAGGGTCTCGATGGCCGTCTAGCCGAGGAGCCGTCCTCTTATCGCCGACTTCGTAAGACCAAGTCCATGTTCTCGACCAAGCGCTACTCATCAGAGCCAGGGGATGGGTCTTTCCCACCGGATAGTAACGGCTATATCGGGTCTCGCAAAAAGTCCTATGGAACCCTCCGACGGTCCATGTCTTTTCTTCGTGGCGGTGTTAATCAGCCTGAACAGAACATACGCCATGCAAAGAGTCACGATCTCGCCATCGAGATGGCTCGGAATCAGTTCCACCATGACCACCAGGATCCATCACCGGTTGAACATTCTATGATGACAGCCAAGCAGTCTCGGGATCAATACAGACCTTTTCGGAAGACATTTCGCGTCACAAGCGCCCCGGCACTCGATGCACCAACGGGAACTCCATCCTCTCTTGAGCAACAGGTCAATTCCAAAACCCTACATGGTAAAGCTCGTTCCTTCTCCCTGTCATTCAAGAACGGCATCCGTCGTGTATTTGGACTGTCTAGAACAAACCATGGTTCTTCTTCTCCTTCCTCTTCTTCTTCTCCTTGGAGAAATCGAGCTTCGACGGAGCACCATCAAAGCCCGGGCCAAACCAACACTGTTATTCTCGATACCCCGGAACTGCACAGTGTTTCCAGCTCTGAAACCCTACGTACGTCAACCTCTCGGGTGACCAGTTGGGCAGACTCGACGGCGGCGAACACTGTTGTCTCATCCCGAAGGCCAGCAGACCGGAACTCTCTGTCGATCATCGAAGAACATGGGAACCTGAACGCTTCACCTCTCAATATACGCCCCGAACTCTTCCGACAGAACGGCTCTGTTGATTCCCAGAGAGTCTACTCCGCTCTTATGAAGCGAATTAATCAGGCGGCCCTTGAAAATGAGGACGGGGAAATCTCGTTTGGTACAGTAAAAGAACACAGACCCATCCCGGAGCGGGCGTCTTCCATCTACTCCCATCGCAGCAAGAGGACAGTCCGACGTGTTCCAAGCTCAGAATCCGTCGCATCCATAAGGTCGTTTGCAACCGCCAGCTTGCACGCTCCTGGTATGCTGGGATCATCGTACAACCCATCGTTTTCGAAGGCGCCAAAACAACAGCAATCTCAGCAGCAACGTGAATTTGTCGGCATGGCTATGGGATCCACCGCTACGCTGGATTCTGCAAGTGTATATTCCAGAACCACGGGTGGTCATTCTCCAGTTGATAACAGCAACAGCAACAACGGCGAAACTGGTTCGGATCAGGAGGCGAGTGAGGAACTCGGAATGGCAACCATCTTTGAAAGCCAGAGACAGCCCTACAGCTCCCCTAGACGGAGGGCAGCTGACACGGCGTATTCGGCCAAGCCCGTCCAGCCAAGTGGTAACTGGCAGCAGTGGGTCAGCTCGCAGATGGCGAGAATTGAACAGGTGACGCCCGTGCGGGCTCATTATAGGGAAGATTCGCAGGTCAATGGTGACACAGAGAAAATTGTTCCGTCTCTCTCTTTTTCAGCTGTTGAAGGCACCATCACCGAACATCAGGAGCCTACCGCCTCACCTAGGTCCCCAGGGAGCACCACCACACCGCCACCAAAGGTTGCAGCTGCTGCTGGTGCAGATAATTTTTCCCGGCCGCTGACCCGGTCTTCGAGTGTTCGCACCATTGTTCCATCCATGGCTCTGAGGAGGAGCCCGAGTGCTCTTTCAGTGATGGGTTACCCCAGCAGCAGTCTGGCACTACCTTCGCCGATGCAAGTGCGTTCCAGCAACGTGGTGCGTATTCCTGAATCCCCGACTCCCAAGCGCGAAGGGACCTTGTTGGACATGCGGAAACAGATGGGCGAGCGGGATCGACGATCCTCATTGCGGTATCCCACTGGTCCACAGGATGTCAAAGCTGTTCCGTTTCGGTCGATCCGGGGGAACAGGGGCGGCCGACAGCCAATGAATGAGAACATGAAAGTTCAGGATGAATACGGGGACGACCCGATGCAAGACTATACTAAGCTAGAAGAACTTCCCTCGACGATCTCGAGCAAGCGGATGGTGGAGATATTTCTAAGCAGCCGTCGACGTCAGATGGGTGGGAGAATGTCAGAAGAGAGCCAGGAAGCGTTTGTCTAGCTGGTTTGGAGCATAGCCGGCTGGAAGGGTGTCCATCAGAAACTATTCGTAGGATTATTTTTTCTTTCTAGTCATTCATTTGGTACAGTGTAGTTAACGAATAGCCAGAAATCAAACACAGGTACTCTAGTTTATTATATATTCCAGGTACGTAGGAGAGTAGTTAGACAGACAGAGGAAGCAGGTGAAAAGAAAAAAAAGGCAAATCGATGAACGTCCAGATAATGCTTGATACTACTCCGGGTTATGACGATTATTATGTTATAGATTGAAGAAGACCAAGGGAAGAGAAAAATGAATAGAAGGGGGAGGGGGGAAAGATAAAATATTGCGAGTTGAGGGTGAAAGTGATTCTTCATTTGACGTAGTTTGCAGGAAAGCTACCCTTGACGCCACGCAGCTCACCGACCCACCAGTCATCCGTGGTGTCAGTCTTTTCGAGGACGCGGATGCGGTCACCCTCACGGAAGACGAGGTCACCGGCGCCCTGGCCGGCAAAGTCGTACAGGGCGGTGACGAAGAGGATGTTCTGGGCGGACGGGGTGCGCGGGGGGGGCGGGGGCGGCGGGGGTTTCTTCTTCGAGGCGATGATGGTAGCTGTTGCTGAGCTGATGCCGGCGTTGGCTAGAGTGTTTGGGGAGGAGAGGTAGACTGCGGAGGGTTGGCGGTCGCGACTGAAGTAATCTGGCCGCGGGGCTGCGGGGGAGAAGGCGAGGGAAGCGGTTGGTTCGGGGCTTGCGTAGGAGTCGAGAGAGGAAGGGGAGACCTGGGCGCTGCTGATGGGTACGGCGAGAGAAGAGGACGATGAGGCTAGGGGAGGGGGAGCAGCAGGTAGGTCGCTTAGGCGAGGCTTGGTTTCGTAGATGGGGGCCGGCGGCGGGACACTGCGCCCTCGAGCCGCCGCCGCTGCAGGCAGGGAAGAAGAAGAAGCTGAGAACATCGAGGCCGACGAAGGCGACGACGCCGGGATGTGCGTCCGAGGGGGTGGGTGGTTGCTGCTGGAGCGCCGGGTGCCCAGGATGGGACGGCCGTGGCTGCGGCTGCGGGTGCGGGTGTCCTTGTCGTCGACAGCAGCAGCAGCAGCACCGCTTCCACCGCCAACGGTCTTGCCGTTGGCCAGACAGGCGAAGCTCTCCAGCTCGTGTTGGACAGGCAGGCAGTCCTGTTCCCACTCCCGGATGACCTGGTCCATGGGCGGGGGCGGAGACGGGAACTGTTCCTGCTCGCAGTAGTTGTGCAGGATGGTGTAGTAGTGGGCCAGCATGGTGTTTTGAATCTCAACCTGGGCAGCCAGTATGTGAGGCAGAATGGAGAAGACGGCGGTGATCAGCGGAGGCAGATTCTGTCGCAGGTGTTCGTCGGCGCCATTGTATTCCTAGAAAGAAGTCAGCATGAACTGTTACACTTCTTCTTCTCCTTCTTCTTCTTTTTCTTCTTTGGACATACCTCCGTTGCCCTGGCGAGATCGCTCTCTGCCTTGCTGAGAGCAGCATTGTCCCGGTCCGATCGCTTGGTTTTCTTGGAGTAGTTATCCACCCGGCTCTGGTAGCGCTCAAAGTCGAGCTGAAACGGGTTGTCAGTCTCATACTGAATGACGCCGGGCAAGGATCAAGAATCACAAACCTTTCGATCGTCGCGTTTCTTGATGGTCTTCTTGATCGGACTCAGGTAGTCCTTGGCCTGGACCGCTGGCCGGATCATGCGCTCTTCCACCGCGTTCAGCTCCTGCAGCAGCTCCTTGCGGAGGTCCTCATATTCCTCCTTGAGTCTGTTCGATCTCACCAGCGTCGCCTCCGGCGTGGGGACCGCCTTGTGGCCCGCCGAGGGGTCGGAGGAGCCGAGGATGGGCGCATAGAGGCTTTCGAATTCAGAGGCCATCCGGGCCTGGTACATGAGGAGCGACGACCAGGCATCGCGCCAGGCTTTGGTGGAGTCAATGATCTAGAGACTCGAGAGCGTCAGCCAAATCATCCACCAGGCAGAACAATTCCTTCCCTTCCCCTCTGTTCGTTCTCCTTTTGACAATCGGTTTGGACACGCACCTTGGCCAACAGCTTGTCGGCATCGTCAAAGTCCTTGAGCAAAACCGAGACCTGGCTGTCATCGGCGGAACGCTTCATGAAGCGGCCGAATTGCCGCTGCATTGACTGCATCGTGAGGGCCTGAGACCGACCGATCGGCCTCTTTCTTTGGACGCAGAAGAAGGGGGTGAAAGCCAAACAACCCCAGCAACAGCAGAGGGGACAGACAATGGCAAAACAAACAGACAAAGACTACCCTGGGTGGTACAAAAAACAAAGCCTACCCAACGCCCCAGGAGGTCACGAAAACAGGCGAGTCGGAGGCGAAACGGGGGGGGGGAAGTGGTGATGCCAGGCCAGAAGGAAGAATCCCTGCGTGTTTCAGACTTTCTGGACCGCAGTCGATCGCGCTTTGACAGCCCCGCCAAACAGAAACGATGTCGGAGTACCATGGACGATGGGTGTCATGTCCGGCTTTACTTTTACGTTTGATGGAGGATACCAGGATTACCTTCGGCTGCCGAGTATTTGATGTCAATATTCACTGACGATTTCCTGTGTTGAGAAGTCAGTCTACTTGGTACAGAGTGGCTCTGGGTATGTAGTACACAACTAACTACTGGGGCAAGGCCTCGTACGTCACGACGCGGCCTCGCCTCAAGCGATTGAATCTAAGCCACGCTGACTGGAGACTAGGAGTTAGGGATTCCTGGTAGTTAGTCTGGGGCTGTCACGATCTGTTGGATCACTCCATACAGTACTGTTCGGTCAGAGTGTCTGAGGCTCTGGATAGAGGCCTGAGGCAGGGATCCAGGCACAAATCTAAAAATAGTCTGGTGCCTGAGGCGTGACGTTATTGCCTGAGGCATAAACATAGTCTATGTTTATGCCTCAGGCAGATTTTTACCTCAGGCAAAAGTCACGCGTCGACGCGACGAGGTAAAGTGCACTCACTCACTGTACGCAGTGCACACATTTTCATCCCTCCTGCCACTCCGCAGGCTGCAGGCACTAAAATAAAACCCAAAATGCCTATTGACGGCAGGTATCGGCCATGTCGATTCCTACATCCTCAGCCGTGCGTGGCGCACCCAGCTTGAACGTGCCCTCTTCCCAGAACACCGCCCCGGTCATCAAGTTCCGCTGCCTCTACACTCACGATGTCCGACGGAAAGCCAAACGATGGCACGACGGCTACCTTCGCTACCACACCTTTAACAAACGGGTCATGGTGTACGATACCCCGGGAAACTTCATCGGAGACCACCACTGGCGACAAGACGAGCAGATTCAGGATGGCGATGAGCTCGAGCTGGACAAGGGCGTCCTCATCCAGGTGGGGGAATGCATGGAGAGAACGCAGACAGACCTCTCGGGCTTGTTGGAGAAGAAGAGACCGAGTCAGGGCTCGCCGGTGGCAAAGGAACCCTTGACCCAGGTCTCGCGGGTCTCGTCGCAGACGCCTCGGTCCCTGAACGATTTGCTCGGCATACGCAAGACCCCCATGGGACGAGCATGCGTTCCCAAATCACCATATGAAGAACGTCATCAGCAGCGTCAGCAGCAGCAGCAGCAGCAGCAGCCATCGTCTAGCGACACATCTAATGTGGAACGGGCTTCAAAGCGTCAAAAAATCACCACGGAAAAACTCCATGAAAAGAGTGCCAATGCGCCTATTCGGCCCCAGCCAGTGGTCGATCTCTGTGAAGAGTCGGAAAGTGTGCCTCAAAAGCCTAGGTTATTGTCACGGCCGCCGCTCGTGTCGCAAAATGCGAGAGCAGCGACCGCTTCAAGTGTTCAACTATCGAAACCTCCACCCTCGGCCCCATCAGGGCAGTCGATTTGTCCGCAAAACATGACGAAACCAACTACCACCTCGAGTATCCAGTATTCAAAGACGCCGTCTAATACTTCGGGGCAATATGTTATGCCACAGACCGCGAGGTCAGCAGCCAAGCCGCCTTCCATCGCACCAGCTGCGAGAGTAGGGGCCACCTCACAGCTGACATCCGTTACTGCGTCAGTACAAGAGACTGCAAGATCGGCGGCCACAAACGCTCAACCGTCAACCAAGCTACCCTCCATCACATCAAGGCAGCCGGTTGATTCTCCAATGAGTGCCCAACCGAAAGACAACTTACAGGTGGGCACCGCCGAGAAAGCTGCTAGCTGCCATCCACCAAGAAGCAACGCCAGCCCAGACGCACCGATCAATGCACTCCGCATATCAAGCCAGAAGCCACGGCGAAAACTGATGTACCGAGAATTGCTACCCGGCCAGACGACCTCGAAATCTACGAGCAATGTGCCCTCTTCCGCAGAGCCGGAGCCGGAGGCAGACAAGGAGAATCCCCAGTCAGTATGTTTCTGGACCGATCCGAGAAATCCCCGCTTACCATGACAGTGAATTCAACCCGTCTGACTCGACTCTTTTCATTCTAGAGGAGATGATAGATACAAGTGAACACACCATACTTTCTCCTACCATACCAAAGCCGGAGCAACTTTCGAGCCCTCGACCAATTCAAGTAGCTCAACCTCAAATACCTCAGCCAACCCCAGCATCAAAAGCACCTCAAATACCTCAGGTCACTCAAGTAGCTCGACCTCGAACAGCTCGACCAGTTCAAGCACCAGCTCAGCCACCTCAAAAAGCTCAACCGATTCACCTACAACCGCAGACTGGTCCAATTCAAGCGCAGCCAAGACTCCCCAGAGCATCGACAAAACTCGCCCCCTCTCTCAGCGAAAGCGCACCACGGTTCCACCCGACGATTAAGCGCCAAGAGAACCTCCTCCGCAAGTCTCACTCGGACCCAAGCGCCCTCGAGACAGGGTCAAGTCGACACCTGCCGGGGCGCTGTCCGGAGACACTGCAGGACCACTGCAAGCCGCAAGGGCCGTGGACGGCGGAGGCGATGGATCTATTTGATTTCTGGCCTCCGGGAAGACCTAAGACTGTACATAATCAAGACCATTGAATACCATTGAATAATGATGAATGACTATGGATACCATTGCATGACATTGAATGACATTGTGACTGGAAATCAAAGTATACGACATGAAAGATTAAAGTCTTTTGACCAAGCGGCCCGCGATATACGGCAAAGTCGAGTTCCCGAACCAAGCATCCAACTCGACGAGATCCCAGCCACCATCCCTGTCCGCCACGCCACGCAACGCGCGCTCCGTATCCCTATTCAACGCACAGTCGCCCATGAAATAACTCCATCCCAGAAAAGTATAGACGACCTGCATCGCACGCGCCACAAGCGAGCCCTTCCCGCCACGCCAGGGATTCACCGTATGTTCCGTGACGAGAATCTGTCCCCCGGGGCGGAGGAGAGCGTACAGATCGGAAAGGGTGGCTTCTAGATCCGGCACGGAGCAGAGAACCCGCACACACACGATCGTGTCGAAGAGGCCGCCTTGGCGAGCGATCTCGTCAAGAGTACGCTCGGCCGGCACGATGCCCTGCCCCGCGAGAGCAGGGAGTAACTCGTTAGCAGCCACGCCGCAGGGTAACACGGTGTATACCTCTGTCAGGCCGTGTTCGGCCACCGCCTCGTGCAGCGCAGCGTGGAGATGTCGGCATGGTTCTGGGCCGTAGATGGTTCGGATGCCCGGTGCGTGCTGTTTGGATAACAGGGGCATCTGGGTGCCTGTCCCTGGACCGATGTCGAGGACAACGCCTGATGCCCGGGCGAGGAGCGGCGGGATCAGATCGGACGAGTTCATCTCGGAGGGATCTTTGCTTTCTTCTTCCATGTTGATTTTGGGTTGCATGGCTGATCACTTAGTATGTAACTTCTAACAGGATGAATGTATGTATGTACCTGATAGCTGGACCCAGAACTTCCCAAAAGCCTCGTCTCGGATTTTCGAGGCCTGCAGGAATGGAGCGAGGATCTGTCCCTCCCTGATGAAGCGGAAGCAGACGCGCACGTAGGCTGTTGATTAGTATAGGGCAGAGATTCATAGAACAATTGAAACAACTTACAGGCCATTGCCAAGCTTAGCATCATCCCAGGCATGATCACGATCCGGATCCATTCGGCGATTGTAGGGTTGTTGTGACCCATCTTGCTGTGAGTTGATTGACTCAGTTAGGGGAGACAGACAGAAATGAAGAGGGGAAGAGAAGAAGGATGAGAGGAAGCGATTTTATAGAGCCTGTCAGCTGATCGGGAGTGAGACTGTTTGATTAGCCTATTTGAGAGACTACCATAGATACTAGTATTTAGTATGGATTAGAAGATACTCCAATCATATCTGATGCTGAGGCAATCTATGATACGGAGTTGTCTGGCTAGAGTCTGATACATTCTGTATACTATAAGGCAGTGCATTCTACCGTACGGCTACACAATCTGACTGTCATTACAGATTCCAGAAGGCTCAAGAGATCCTACACACACACACACACACACACACACACACACACACACACAAAAAGGTCGAAGAGAAAAGAAACACGTACAAAAATAGTGATTGGCAGAAGAGATCCGTAGACAAAGGAATTGGACAAGACAAGAAAAAAAGAAGAAGAAGAAGAAGAAGAAGAAAAGGACCGGAATGATTGGAGTGTCGGGTGCGACACGGACATCGGGGTTGGATTGTTCAAAAACATAGGAAAGAGGTCAAATAGATAAGGTAGGTAATGCAGTATGCAGTGTTCGCAATGTGAGTGGGGGACAGGCAAGTAATGCAACGGATTGAAAAAAACAAAGAAAGGCTGGCTTATTAATGGTGATGCTGGATCCGGTTCACCCGGGGACTATACCGACTGACACGCGAGAGCGAGCCAACATCGTGTCTGCCGTCGCAGCAGGCGCGCACGTTCTCGAGCCGGTCAGGGTCGTGGTCATGATGTCGCCCCGGCGTGTGTCGCAGATCCTCCACGCTGTCATTCTCGTCAAAGGCGCTGTCCCCCTCCTCCATCATCATCGTCGTCGCCGTCGCGCCCTGCTGCCGGGCCGCCGCCCCCTTGAGGCTGGCAAACGACCCGCGAATGGTGCTGTTGAAGATGGAGCTGATGCGCGTCGCCGACCCTTGTCGTGACGAGGCCGAGTCCGGCACTTGCAGGCTGTTCTGCGGCGCGCTGAGCGCGGGCGAGACCCGCCCGGGAGTGACGGGTGCTCGGCTCGACATGGCGGATCCCGCTCGCTGTTTGGGTACGGTGCGGGTGCCCCGGCTGTTGTACGACGAGAAGGACATGCGCGCCGTGTTACGCGAACTCGACCGGAACCCCGGGTTGAACTCGTCGATGTGGTTGTCGGCAGCTACCTCCTCGTCATTCTCCGAGTTGCGCAGCAGCAGGTACGACAGGGCGTTGAACCAGGTCTCGTGGCGCTGGCTTGTCGTCGCGGTGAACCGCACCCGCCGACCGGGACTGACCACCTCCAGGCTCTTGCAATGCAGGCCCGGAGGGTACGGGTTGTCGTCTGCCACGACCCGGACGGCCTCGATGGGCACGCTCTTGGTTCGGAGCTGGGTCTTGCCCGCGGTCTGCGGGTCCTGTTCGCTCCAGTACAGGGTTCGCGTGTACGGATGGACCCAGAAGTACCGCCGGTGCCGGGTATTGGAGATGTCGCCCGACACCTTGCGCGTGTACTTCCACAGGAACTCGCCAATCATCGTTTGCGTGATGGCTTGGATCATCCGCGGGTCGGTTCCCGCCCCGTAGCCATTGGTATGTGGTCCCAGGTTCAGGCTCGGGTTGAAGCGCTCGTCCAGTTCGGATGCAAAGGAAGAGATGGATGACTTGCGCGACAGCTGGCTCTGGCTTTCACGTCGCATCTTTGCCCGTGACGACGTTGTTCGAGTGGAGGCACCCTGTGAAGCAATCGTGGGGACTGCTGCTGCTGCTGATGCTGTTGCTGCCTGCTCGCTGGGGGTCAACGGTCGTGGAGGAGGACCATTATTCGTCGTCCTGTACGCCGAAGCCGGTGCGACGGGGGGACCCATAAAGCTCGGCGGCTGTGCCTGTGGATACTGCTCCATTGATCGCTTCTCGGCAGCCATGATGATCTCGCGATGGTCGGCAGGAAGGGGCGGGTGATTGTAGGAACTGGACGCTTGGCTGGCAGCGCTACTGGGCCGCTTGGGAGTGAGCTGCTGCTGGACAGTCGCGACGCTCGCGGACTGGAATTGAGGCACAGCAGCTGCTCGTGGTTTGGCCTTGGGTGTGGCAAACGGAGATGGGTTGGGATCGCGGGCCTGGTCGCTATCCGGTGGAGACAAGGGACGCGGGCTGCTGACGCGATCCATCAAGATCTGGTCGATTTGTTGTGCCGACAAGATCGTCTGCGCGCCCTGGTCAGCGTGCTGTTTCACCCCGGAAGATGACGGTTGCCGTCCATGGCGGGCTGTCGTGTTGCCCGAGATGGCCCCGAGTGGCAAGCCAGCATCGGTGTCTTCTTCTTCTTCTTCTTCTTCCTTGACATCACGGGTGGTGTTCTCGGCATCGCTATCTTCAGCAACTATGATAGGCACAGCAGCAGCAGCAGTATGCTTGTCCTGCACAGCTGTACGAGGTCTTACCGCCCACTGCTCAGAAGCCGGAATGAAAGCCGGGGCCAATACAGGCAAGGGTGCCGAAACAGGCTGAACCGGCGAGGTCTCGACGGAGCGGATGTGGGAGAACGACAGTTCTGGCACAATCGGCTCAGGTACCTCCGGAACAACAACAATGGCCTGAATGGGACTGGTCTCGACGGAGGAAATGCTGGAGACCGAGAGCTCGGGTAGGATCGGCTCAGGCATAGACACAGGCTCCACGGGACTAGTCTCAATGGACCGAATGCTGGATACTGACAGCTCGGGCGAGATAGGTTCAGGGACTGAGGCTGGCAGAACTGGGCTTGTCTCGACAGAGCGGATGTTGGACACCGATAGCTCAGGTGCTTCAGGTAGCCGGTGGACCACCGGCTCAGTGAACTGGGCGGGGATCATGGACAAGGTTAACGGCGGGCTGGGTATCGGTTCGGGTAGCCTGGCCTCCACCGGAGCGGTGTGCTGCGACTGAATTGACGAGACTCCAAGCTCTGGCAATTCCTTCTCTTTTTCAACGGGGATAGGGATTGGAACAGGGAGATCGCGTTCCAGTCTAATGATTTCCGCCGCCACAGGCTCCGTGTATTGAGAGTACACGGAAGAGAAGGCCAGCTGGGGCAGAGGGGCTGGCTGGGGCTCCAGCGGTGGAGGTATCGAGACCGGCGCTGTAGCCTGTGAGAACAAGGATGACAGAGCGAGTTGAGGGATGACAACAGGCTCCGGCTCTGGCAGTCTGGCAATCACAGGTGCCGTGGCTTGTGAGTACAAGGATGACAGCGAGATTTGAGGGAAGACAACAGGCTCAGGTTCCGGCAGTCTGGCAATCACAGGTGCCGTGGCTTGTGAGAACAAGGATGACAGAGCGAGTTGAGGGAAGACAACAGGCTCAGGTTCCGGTAGTCTGGCAATGACAGGCACCGTATACTGCGGAAGAACAGAGGAAAGATCCAGCGTTGGGAAGCGAAGAGGCTCGGGTTCCGGGAGCTGCGGTACCACGGGCTGTGTGTCTTGTGCGTGAATGGACGACACTGAGAGTTCCGGCAGTACGGGTGGTGGCAGTTGGTGTTCCACAGGTTCCGTTGCACCGCCAAGAAGGTAGGATATGCTGAGATCCGGGCGAGTGGGTGGCACCGGGAGGGTTTCTTGGGTAATGATGGACAGATCCAACTGCGGCAAGCACGGGGGTTCCGAATTGTCCTCCGGCGTCGTCGTTGACAGCTCCCGTTCCTCTGTCGGGGCATGCTCGTCCCAGAGCATCTTGGGCGGCGTAGGAACACTGGAGAAGTGATCTTCGTTGGCGCCTTGGGGTGAGCGAAGCGGTGTCCACTGCGTCCCAGAGCTGACCAGCTTGGGTGTGCTTCGGACACGAGGGGTCTGTGGCTGCTCCTCCTTCTCCTCCTCCTCCTCCTCCTCCTCCTCCTCCTCCTGGGTAACGGCGGTCTTGGGGGTAGAGGGAACCGAGTCAACGGGTCCCGCCTCCCTTTCTTCTGCGTCCGCATAGAATGTTGTGACCGGGGCCATCATGGGGGCGACCCAGGGTTCGGTCATGACGCCCGAGTCAACCATGACGGGTCTGGGCGGAGGCAAATCATCAAGCATGGCCTCTGAGGGACGCCTGGAGTCCAGAGCGGCGCGCAGACGCGGGGTAGATGACTGCGAAGGACCAAAGTCATCGCCGTCATCGCCGTCGAGTTCGGCGAGTTCGGCGAAAAGACTCTGTCCCTCGGGCAGCTCGGCCACATCTTCTTCTTGCATGAAGCTGGTGGCAGGCGAGTCTCGGGCACTGGATGGTTGGCTGTTCGAGGCCATGGGAGCCTCACCCGAGGGACGGATGCGGCGTGGGAAGCTGCGCTTGACCCTCAGGCGATGCCGAGACATCTGAGAACCGGGCGATGGGAAAAAGGCATCGTCATCGTCATCTTCGTCTGCCGAGGTCGACGCTGTACTCTGGAAAGAGCTGCGGTCTCGAGCCTTGGCAAACGAGAGACCGGATGGCATTCGTTGACGAGGGGTGCGTGGAACGTCATTATTATTATCCTCCGTCTCCGTGAGCTCGTCGGTGTCACTGTCGTCTGCCATGCTCTCGATGCCGGTCTGGAAGGCCTCGCTTTCCGTCGCGGTCTCCCGTTCGTTGGCCGTCTCGAAGGCGTCCTCGGCCTCGGTCGCGGTCTGGTAGACGTCGCTGGGGTTATCCGACTGCTCGCCGCCTACAGGGAGGCGGGAACGCTTGACCTTGATCGTGTTGGTGGGGCTGATGTCGCCGAGGTTGTCTTCCCAGTCAGTGTCGTGGAACTCGTTGATCTCCTCGATCTCCGTCGTGCGGCCTCTGCGGCCGGCGCCCAGGAGATCAGGGCGGGGCGGTTTCTTGAAGGGATCCGGCTTGGTCTTCTGGCGCTTGTTGGTCGACTGGGCGGCCCCCGTGCTCTCGCGGCGGCGGGTCTCGATGTCGTCCCGGGCTTCCTGCAGCATGCGCTTCAGCTCGATCTTCTCTGTCTTCTCGCGGTGGATGGTGCTGCGCAGGTTCTGGATCATACGGTGAGCGTGACCGAGCGAGCTGCGCAGTGTCTCGGTCTCGAGCTGGTTGTGACGCGGGGTCGGCTTGTTCGGAGACGGGGGCGGCGAGTTCTCCGGGGTCTCTTGATCGGGAATCTCGTCGTCAAGATCGGGCGAGAGATCGCGGGCCGCCTGGGCCTGGGATTGGCGCAGCTGGACCGCGAGGGCCTTGGCGAGTTCTTGGTTCTGCGAGGTCAGGTCGAGGAGTTTCTGCTGGAGGGCAGACTTCTCCGAATCACCGGCGGTCAGGTTGCGGCGCAGCAGGTGGATCTCGGCATCGTTCGCTTTCTGGGTGACGGTCTGCTCCTCGAGAAGCTTGGCGTTGACCTGTTTCAGTTCCTCGAGCTCGCGCTCGATGGCACCCTTCTCGGCCGTGATGGAGACTAGGCTACTGTTGATACGCGTCTCGCGATCGGTGGCGTCTTTGACGGCGGCCATCAGCTCGTGGGTCTGAGTCTCGAGCCCCCAATTTTCGTCCTTGTACCGCTGTTCACTCTCGTCCAGCGCGCGGATGCGCTGGGCGTACCCTTCGGCCTCGAGCTCCAAGCGTGATTTCTCCAAGTTGGTGGTCTTGAGCGACTCCTCTCGCTCGGCCAGCAGGGCCTGCAATTGACGGACCTGGGCCAGGAGGGAGGTGGAAATCTCGGTGGCGAACTCGATGTCATGGACACGGCTGGAGGGTTGGTTGCGCTGCTTGCGGGATGGAACGCTGACCTTGCTGGGGGAATTGGTGGCTTGGCTGGTGAACAAGGCGGGACTGAGCGGAGACTAGATCGAAGAAAAGAAGAGAGAGAGAGAAAAAGAATCAGTACACCATTCCACACAGGCTATAATAAATACCAAGTGGGCATGGGAGAGCGCAAAAAGATACCTTCTGGTCGAAGGAGGGAGTCCCCGGGTTGCCTTCGTCGAGGAAGCCGCCCACCATGCGCTTGGGCGCGAGGAACGCGCGCGCGGTCTCCCGGCCGATCTCATTGTACTCGCGTTCCAGATCCATGAGCTTGCGCCGGAGCTCCGGGCCGACCTGTCCTTCATCCTGCTGGTGCTCGACCTCCTTGAGCTTGTCGGTAAGCTCCCTCTGCTGCTCGATCAGCGCGGTACCCAGCTTCGACGCCTCTTCCAGTCGGCGCTCGGTCTCGGCCAGATGGGCCTCGAGAGCCCGTTTGGCCTGGGCGGGGGATGACAAGTCGAGAGTGAACAGCTGGGTGTCAAAGGACGAGAACCGGTGCGGCGAGCGAGGCGCCGCCGTCGGCGCCCGCTCCTCCAGATTGGCGACGAACGGATCGTCCATGGTCGTCATGACGGTGTCGTGCTTCCCGTGAACAATCGCTGCCCGGCGTTCTGCTGGAGTATACACTCTCCTCCACCTCCTCCGTATCGTCGTCGTCGTGGTCGTCGTCGTCGTCGCTTGGGCCACGTCGCAGCTGGTTGCCTGTTTCTCAAACCACAACCATCGTCCGAAGCGCTCAGTATTTGATCAGTCGGTTGATCTGCGTCAGGATTATATTTTTTTTCTTCTTTCTTTTTTTTTTTGAATTCGTAAGTTATTTTATTTTCGTGATTTTTTTTTTTAAAAAAAAAAGAAAGAAAGAAAGAAATATTATTTCGATATTATCCTGGAGCCGACCAGCGACCACCAACACCGTTCAACGTAGCAAACACCCGCCCGAGACGCGCTGAAGCGGCTTGCGACAAAACAAGCGACAGCGGCGGGTCGATCGGGAGATCGTCCAAGCCCAGAACAAAGTCGAGGGGCGGGAGAGGAGGACAGGTTAATTATTTCGAGCGAGAGAGCGAACCCCCAGCTGTTTGTTGACTTTGGGGGGGGGGGGAGAGGGCGATAGACAGAGAGAGAGGGAGAGAGTAGGAGCAGTAGTGGTGAGGGGGGCGGTCGGTAAGGAAGACAGTAGACAGTAGACAGTAGACAGTAGACGGACAGCTGGTGACGCGTTTGTGGCCTTACGGGACGTTGTGCGTGCAGACACTGGCAGCTGCAGATCGCACCACCACAGCCAGGGTAAGGGGGCTGAGGCGCAAGAATGGCACGAACGGAGAGATGGAGAGGTATAGTATGGATCCTCGCAACGTCTTTGGATGCCGGTAACCGAGAGGACAGGTGGTGGTGAGGGCAGGGAACCAGGAAGGAATTGGACTCGTAAGAACAGGAATCGACGAAGGAAAAGAAAGGAAAAGAAAAGAAAAGATAGAAAGAATGACGAATGAAAGGTCGGGATTAAAAGTAATTCGATTCAAAAAAGACAAAGACAAAGACAAAGAGCCGCGAGAAAGAAAGGAAGAGTGGGAGAGACGGGCAAAGTTGGGCAACGAGACGAGGTCGCTCGTTGGGCGGGGGAAAGAGAAGGGAGCAAAATGGCGATGGTTTACGATGAGCTGAACGAGGTTTCACTAGGCCCAGTTGAGCGGATGTAGTACGGAGTACATAATGGCAGTCTGGGATCAATAACGATGATCTGCGCATAGACATTATTACATACGGAGTGCGAGCTGTGCGAGCTATCGGCAAGGGATGTGACAAGACGTTTCCTCGATATGGTCCGTACCTGAATCCATATTGATTCTCTGTTCCTGGCCTTGGTTCGGAGAAAGCCTAAAGCTTCGTGAACGCCGTTTGTGGCATTAGAGAAACACGCGTTGGTTACTAAGCGGATTACTAAGCTGTCGGTTATTCACGTGTTGTGTTAGTAATATATTACATAATCACCGTGCCAGTGGCAATAAATGATCAACTATCACCTCCCACCTCCAGTATCAAGTATCTACTACCTATCTACCAACTCCCAATTTCTACCATCACCATGGCAGACACCCCCCAGTTTACGTTCAAGAAACGCTCTGCCAAGGCCAAGGCCAATTTCCGCAAGAAACCAGACACCCCCCCACCCGCGTCCGAGTCAGAGTCTGCTGGCTTCACCTCGTCCGACGATGACGAGGGCCGCCGGATCAAGCGACGACGCAAGAACGTCGCCGTGACGGCCTCATCGGCGACCAACCCGACGGCTCGGAAGAAGGGCGCCGACAGCGACGACCAGCCGACCAGTGTGGCTCCCGTACCCTTAACGTCAAGCAATGATGCGACCAAGGCGGCCAACTGGTACGACGAAGACCTTTCCGAGCAGAACCTTTTGGGTACAACGCGAGCTTCTACTACTACCACTACTACTACTACTACCACTACAGACGGCATGTACAAAGGGACATCCAACTATCAATCGTTTATCCAGAAGAATCCAAACGCCCCGACAAAACAGTTTGGTCCGATGAAAGCGGCGACCAACGTACGGACGGTGACGGTCATGGACTACGCGCCGGATGTGTGCAAGGACTGGAAGATAACGGGGTACTGCGGGTACGGCGATTCGTGCAAGTACCTGCATTCTCGCGAGACGTACAAGCAAGGATGGGAGATTGATCGGGAGTGGGAGGTCAACACCAAGGGCAAGCAGTTGAAGGGGAAGATTGTCTCGACGCACAAAAAGGATGGGAAGAATGGACACGACGACGACGATGATGATGATGATGAGGAGGATGAGGAGGATGAACTGCTTGAGAGTATTCCGTTTGCTTGCATCATCTGCAAGAAACCCTATCAGAATCCGATCGTGACCAAGTGCGGCCACTACTTTTGCGAATCGTGTGCGCTGCAGCGGTACCGCAAGAACCCATCGTGCGCGGCCTGCGGGACAGGAACGAGCGGGGTGTTCAACGTCGCGAAGAAGCTCAACGATCTGCTGGAGAAGAAGCGCGAGCGGGCACGCCGACGGCGGGAGAAGGCGATAGCCGAGGGGGAGGAGCCGAGTGAGGGGGAGAGTGACGGTGAGAGTGAGAGTGATTGAAGAACAGATACCCATTACGATTCTTCTCTATTGATAGATGGACATTCTCGTATAGTACTCGTACGTCCGAACTTACTCCGTATTTAGTATATTCCCAGGATCTATGTAGTACACGCTAGCACGCGAATCCTTGACCTCTGGGTACCAGGCTACAAGATTCTGTCGATTAATGTCCAATAATACTTGATTTAAATAGTATCATCTCCAGATTTATTGTAGGATAGGATAGTCTAGACCAGATACTAGATCTCTTAGTTATGCTACAGCCTCAGATCTCTACTCCTAGTACTAGGTACCTGGTACTGTTGTATGTAATTACGGAACACAGTTACAGCCGAGGCTCGCCATGACTCGGGCAAAAGAATGTCATTCCAGGCTGTTTTGATTGGTGGGTGGTTCAGGTACAAGTAGAATTCTGTTGCCTACTGGTAGAGTCTTGTAGATTATGTTTTATATTTTATGTCAATATTTTATGGTGTCTAGTGTTTAATTATCTTATAGAAGTAATATATGTAGTAAGTTAGGCTCTAAGTGATATTCTAATAATCTAAGGATAGACAAGTATAGAGTAGGACTACTAATATAGGGTAGTATATACTATATAGTATATAGACAATTAGGACAGTACTAATATATACTATATAGTAATAATACCTCTACTATCCTATATAGTATACCTAGGTAGTAGTTATAGCGTAACACCTGTACCACTAATAGACCCTACCAGGCACAATAATTCACTCACCAGGGTATTATTATTAGGACTAGTCGCCACACCTGTAACCTAGTACAGAAATAGTACTATCTCCCTAGACAGTAACAGGTACCTAGGTACCTTACCTTTTTAACTAAATTAGTATCTTTTATAAGTATACTAAGTAGGCGCTATATCCTAGGTACAGCTATCAACTAGTACCCTTCCTGAGATAGCTGTAATCAAGTAAATTACCATGCATGAATGATGACTTTGCTTCCATCGCCAAGCTTCGCGCTAGCCACAAATATAGAGTTGAGCGTGGGCGGCGTGGTCCCGGATGGGCATTCCTATTGGTGGGGGGTTCTCTAAGCTTTTATTTGATCCCTGGATTGGTGGGGCTCTCAGGGCTCAGACTATAGACCATACCAAGTACAGACTAGACCATACAGATCATACAGACCGTACAGACCCGTACAGACCCGTACAGATAGTGTCAGGCAGTGTCAGGTACTGCCCGTGTCCGAGGAGGTACGGCCGATGGTACGCATGGAACTGAGGGCTCCAGGCCTCCCAAGCCTCCAAGCCTCCAGGCCTCCAGGCCTCCTTAAACACCCTCTTGCCTACTTATTCTTGACCATATGGAGAGAGAATCTACACCCTCACCCTCGTTCTCGTCATTCTTTCCACCATGAGGCTCGGACTCCGTCTCCTGCAGTGTCTCCTCCCCACCCTGGTGGTCGTCTATCTTTTAAAGTGCCATGTTCTGGACCTCGAAGACCAGTACCGTGCTGGCGTGTATTTCTTTGCATGGCTGAAAAATCACCGCTCCCACGAGTACAAGGGATTGGTCGCGCCGCACGCCCAGCCAGGCGACAAGATCATCGTCATGGCCAAGTTGGAGGCCGAGTGGACGGACTGGGTGGAGGAGGAGCTTCCAGAGTACGTCTACCTTCCTACTCTCTTACAGTACATCGTTTATTTTTCTTTCTTCTCCTTCCTTTGCTAACTAATAGTCTAAGCTGGCAACGGGCCATCTACGTCGTCAATCCCTCACGCAACACTCTAGCCGATACCTCGACGCTGACCACCCCGTTGAACAAAGGCCACGAGTCAATGGCCTACCTGACCTACATCATCGACCACTACGATTCCCTACCCTCGACCGTCGCCTTCCTGCACCCCCACCGCGCCGGCTTCTTCATGGCCTGGCACACCGACGAACCCTTACACGACAACGTCGAGGCCATGCGCTCCCTACGCCTAGGTTACGTCCAGCGCAACGGCTACGTCAACCTCCGCTGTAACTGGAACCCAGGCTGCAAACCTGACCACCGCTACAACCGTCACGTCACCGAACAGGTCTGGCGTGAGATCTTCGAGGGAACAAGCACCCCGCCAAACATCACAGACACGCAGTCTTCGCAGTCTTCATTAACTCCCACTGATGCAACAGCAGCGGCAGCAGCACAGTCTGTCCTTTCTATTCCAGACCAGATCGGGGCGGCGTGTTGTGCCCAGTTCGTCGTCTCGCGCAACCAAATCCGTAAACGCCCACGAAGCGACTACCTCCAGTTCCGCCAGTGGGTTGTCGACACCAACAAGACAGACGCCATCAGTGGTCGTGTCATGGAGTTTCTATGGCATGTCATTTTTGGCAAAGACAGTGTATAGTATGTCCCATCTCTCTCTCTCTCTCTCTCTCTGTGTGTGTATGATGTGTGCGCTGACCATTGGCATTAGCTGCCCCGATGAGCAGGTCTGTTATTGTCAGGTCTATGGACATTGTTGATCTCCTGTACCTTAGCTTATGATACCAATAGACTTTCTACTATTCCGTATATCTTTTGTGTTCGAACGTGCTCTGAATTGTGCTCTATATGTCTACAGGATATATATAGAACAGATTGGTGTGCTCTCGATCTTAAACACTGGAGTATCCTCTGGCGGGTCGATTCTAGTATGATAACCGAGATAGACTTCGTTTACCACGCTGGAATCAGTGGTAAGTATGAGTGTATAGGATTGTGTATATATTGTTGATAGATGTATGCCTAGAAGTATAGAATATGTCTGTTTCATGAACCCCAGCAATCGAATATATCAGTGGTAATATATTGCGACTACTTGTTATATCTCTTAAGTACCATCTAATTATCCCTATCATAGTTAGGAAAAGAAAACTCTTAACAAGGCGTTTAAAAAGTGCGAAAAGATCTGGCAAGGGGGAAGAAAAAAGAACTTCAAGAGGAAATTTAAAAAAAAAACAAAGAAAAAAAATGACAAGAGCGAGATTCGAACTCGCGCCTCTTTCGAGAGTAGAAACCTAACCTTGGATTTGCTCCAAAGAAGAACACTAGGCTCTTGAGTCTACCGCCTTAGACCAACTCGGCCATCTTGCCCGTTGAAGACTTTGGCTCTACTTGAGATTCTTGTACTCGTTACTCTTTCATTAACCAAACAATGAACATACCTCAACAACCCCCCCCAAGGTAGCTATTTAATAATTTAGGCAGTGCCTACGATTTATACTCGAGAAACTCTTCTACGCGTTCCACCAAATCTGCCTTTTTTCCCGCAGTAGAGCGGCCGTGCGCCGTCAGGAAATCTTTCAGAACGGCCATCGTAAGCTGTTCCTCAGATCGTCAGTACAAGCCAAAGAAGCCGATAAGAGGTAAAGAATAACCGTACCCGCGAGACCATCCCCTTGTCGAAACTCTTCTGCACCTCTTCGTCGATATTCGCAGGTGTCTCCGCCTTGACTTTCTTCGCAGGACGTGTCCCTTCCTCCTTCCCAGACCGGTCACCGGCCGGCCGTTTGACCAGCGTCGATGTCTTGGTGACACCGGCGGAGAGTTTCTCGTACTGTTTGTCCAGTTCATCGGACCATGCCAGGACGTAATCGCCCGCGCGCTGCTCGTTAGCAGTGGGGAAAAAACATACATTCTACAAAACGATCGCAAGCATACCTTGTCTATTTGTCGGTATTTGGGGACCGTCTTGTCTTCAGGCTGTTCGGGGAGGTCTTCGTCCAGAGCTAGGGCCTGTAGGATCCGATAATGCCATTGAAGAGCTGCCAATTAGCCATATAAACATATAACTCAATCGTATAACAGAGACAGGGAATAACGTACAAGGGTTCGGATATTTCTGAGGCTCATAGACCGCTTTAGGCAGCTGTAGTTGCTGGACAACCGCGCGCATCTGGTCGATAAGCGGTTCCGGTGCCACTGTGAGCGTCGTGTCGGGATTCTGACGGACGTCGTCGGCGAAAGGAAGAGGGATAAGCCACATCCCCGGCGGAAATTTCTGCACGCCATTCTCGTCCACCTTTTCGACCCCCGCAAGCATCGCAGCGAGGACTGGCGCAGCGTTTCGGCGAGGGATGAACCAGACGAGCGCCAGCTTTTGGTCTTTCGCCAGCTTCTGCTGTAGCGCAGAGAATACCCGCGTCGAGCCCACAAAGTCCTCTTCTGTGGGGTAGATGAAGGTCGGGTGCTTCACGTTGGCCCAGAAGGGCAAGGCGGAAAGGGGTTTGAAGCCGATGATACGGATCACGGGGTCGCCGAAAGTTCGCAGCACCTGTTGCTCGTCCGCCGTGAAGGTGACTTGCTCGCCACCGAACTTGTATGCCTTTCGGATTTCCCACTTCTCCACTGTCCGCGCGGTGTCGTCCGCGATCTGCGTGGTGACCCCCTTGGCGATCTGGGGAGTTTCGCCGCCTAGCCAGACGTAACAGCTCCGTGCGGGTTCCTGGCGCTTGAACATCAGATATCCGTTGATAGAGATCTTGAAATTCGGTCCTATTTCCAAAGGTACGTTGGAGAATAGTGCCCGGCGGGGGACAGATCTCGAGTTGATGCTGGACAAAAGCGAGTTCAGCAGCGAGATACCATTATCGGTAGCCGTTGCGACCTTTGTGTCTGGCTGTAGGTATGCAGGAGCATCTGCATCTGTCGGAGAGGATTTGTAGATGATATCCTGGAAGAAAAGAGTGTCAATACTACCCACTCCCAGAATGGGGTCAGGAGGACGATGCCTACGTCATAGAATCTGGATGTGTCAAACTCATGGTCTGACCGAGATATCGGGAACAGCTCAATAGTCACGCCGAGATCATACAGATCTCTTGCCCGGACCGTGGCCGCCGAGCGTTGGGCCTTATTGTCGCTATGAGGATCATCATTGTCCGACACAATGAAGAGCCTCCTAGAGAGGAAGTTGGAAGCCTTCGAGGTGAAGATCTGATTGGCGCAAAACAGAACATTCGCCATCGACACCTTTTCCTTGGAGGCAACAAGGATTTCCTGCGCTTTTTCTTCCTCCTCGACCAGCGACCTCAGTTTCTTCACATCCTCCGCGGCCGGCACGTCCAAATCCGTGAACAGGTAGCAGTGTGGGTATGAGAGATCGCCTCGGCTGCTCTCGTCCTCACCATAGAACTTGGATGCCTCTGTGCCATAAAGCAAGACGCCGATCATGTCTCGCGGGTTAGAAATGATCCGCTGTTGCATCAGGTGGTATGCGCACTTCAGCGCGGCCGTGGTCGGCGATTCCTTGGCCGTCTTCTTCGGATCGGACGACACACGAGGCGTCAACATGGACTCGCTGACTTCGATGGCGAACAGCACCGCATCTTTGACCGATTTGTAGCTCTATCAACGCACAGCCATCAGTATTCCGATCGCAGCCTCGAAACCTAGCAAGCCCTCGTCAAGCTTCAGCTTACTGTCTCGTCAACCTCTTCCTCCTCCTCCTCCATCTCGTCATCTCGCGGCGGGTATCCTTCAGCCATGGCAGAGTTGATGGATGTCGAACAATTGCAGCATCGAAAAACAGAAACCAGCAGTCGCTCCGATGGCTCTCTGCCTGCTGCTGCCTGCTGGGCGCTCGCTATCACCCCGTCACGTCTTATCTGCCTGTGACGCGATCCCGACGCGGGGAAACACGAACATCACGTGAGGCGGTGAGGGAGTTTGCCTGTTTGGACTGTTTGTCTGTGTTTGATTCATGTTGCAGCTGATTGGGGGGATCGAGATCATCTCACCTGCGGTCCTGCAGAGTTGCAGGTAATTCTGGGTTTCCCTGTTCATCAGCCAGCTGAAAACCGGCTTATTATAGTGGGTATTGTGCAAGAAAACCGGGAGATCCCGAGTTCCCTGGTTTCTTTATTTGTGATTCAATTGTTCTGTGTCGCTACGCCCTCGATCCTTGTCCCAACCCGGCCGATCCGCTACCAAGTTTGCCAGGTGTCAGAAACACCGCAAAATGGCGTTGCGGAATCCCCTTTTTTATGGTAGGCGGGCATGGAGTGGTGCAGCTACGAGTGTGCGGCCGGTTGCTTCAAATTTGCTTCCCTATAACCAAACGCGGAGGTCTGGGTTGGCTACGGCTGTGCCACCGGTGACCCAAGATGCGACGGGCTCGAAAGGGCCGACAGCCATGGTTTTTATGAATATGGGTGGCCCGTCAACGACATCCGAGGTGGAAGACTTTCTTAGCAGATTATTTGTATGGTTTTTTTTTTTTCAATGATCTATCTTGACTTTGTGGAAGGAGAACTGACTGATGCTTTGCCCAGGCCGATGCCGATTTAATACCTCTAGGCCGACTACAGTCGTATCTCGGCCCCCTGATTGCGAAGAGACGAACGCCCAAGATCCAGAAGCAATACGCAGAGATTGGCGGCGGCTCACCGATTCGCAAGTGGTCCGAATATCAATGCGAGGAGATGTGCAAGATCCTGGACAAGATATCCCCCGAGACCGCTCCGCATAAGCCCTACGTCGCATTCCGATACGCCGCGCCGCTGACAGAAACGATGTACGAGCAGCTGCTCAAGGATGGCTTTGGACGCGGGCGAGGCGGCCGCGCCGTGGCATTTACCCAGTACCCGCAGTACTCATGCTCGACCACTGGTAGCTCACTGAACGAGCTCTGGAAATGGAGGAATCGACTTGAAGGGAAGCGTGCGAACGGCGGCCAGGAGCCCGTGGGCGCCATTGAATGGAGTGTGATCGATCGGTGGCAGACTCACCCGGGACTCGTGGAGGCTTTCGCCCAGAACATCGAGGCCCAGCTCGCCACCTACCCCGAGGATAAGAGGGACGGCGTCGTTCTTTTGTTCTCGGCTCACAGCTTGCCCATGAGCGTAGTCAACCGAGGCAAGTTGAGCTTTGATTTTTTGATCTTTCCAATTCCCAACTAACCGATTTTCCAGGTGATCCGTATCCAGCGGAGGTCGCAGCAACAGTCCACGCGGTGATGCAACGACTCAAGTTCCGCAACCCGTACCGGCTGTGCTGGCAGTCCCAGGTCGGGCCATCGGCCTGGCTGGGCGCTCAGACCAGCGACACCGTCCAGGAGTACGTGAACCGTGGCCAGACGGACCTGATCCTGGTGCCCATCGCCTTCACCAGCGACCATATCGAGACTCTGTACGAGCTCGACCTTGAGGTGATCCATGAGGCGAACCACCCGGGGGTCAAGCGCGCCGAGAGCCTGAACGGGAGCCCCGTTTTCATACAGGCACTGGCCGACATCGCGCATGAGCACCTGCGCTGCGGAGAGAAGTGTTCCCTGCAGATGACGCTCCGCTGCCAGGGCTGCAAGAGCGAGAGGTGCCTGGAGCAGAAAAAGTTCTTTGCTGGCGAGCAGGCCGCGATGGTTGTCTAACCTGTACAATTCATTACTGCTACGTGTCTTACTGTTTGCTGTATACTAGTCCACGATACATTATATAATTTATCCAGCGTATGAAATACGGAGTACCTAAAATAATAATAATAATAATCCAGTTGCGGGGGTCAGCGTTGATTATAAATCGGTCTGAGGCAGGTTTTACGTGTGCCACTCATCTTGGCCCAAAGCAAGGAGTCGCGCTGGTCGGCGCTTTTTCCTCCCCTCCTGTGAGTGAGCCAGATAACTAACTAGCATGTGGCTTGTCGATTATCTTATCAATCCACAGCCATTGGCAGTCTGGCATCCTGGATCCTGAATCCTGGCTGTTAGGCAATTGGCAGGTCTCTTGTCGTGGGCGCCGTCCGACGACCGGAGAGGCCGTTGAGAAGCCCGTCCAGCGAGTCTGGCGTCGCTCCAGTCTTCCGACTCCTCTTTTCTAATTCCCTGTTATCCAATATCAGGGTCGGATTATTTTTCAATTATTATATGATAGTTCCTCTGTGACACGGCTTTCCTGGAAGGTTGGTTCTCAGTTCTGTTTCTCTTCCCCTACTCACGCTCTCAAACCGTGGTCGGCCTGCTGATCTCTTCTCATCAATAGAATAGAATAAATCTCTATTATATCGAATATATATTATATAATATATAATGTCCGTTGAGCAAGCCATGGAGGACGAGATAGTGCTCATCGAAGAAGCAGAAGTGGACACTCGAACACCGGACGAAGCCCCTCTCAAACCCCCCGGCACTTCGTCGACGCTGGATAGAGAAGAGGGCGAGATGTTTCCAGAAGGTGTTTGTGAGCGGTTCCACAGCCTGACATGGTGGAGGCGGCCGAGTGTGAGTGCCCGGCGATCTGCGGTTCTGCAGCGATCTGCTGTTTGATTGACACGATTCCTGGTAGATCTGGTGGCTTTTACCGTGTGTGCTGCTCTTCACCCTGGGGTTTGGATCGCTCTCGGTGCCCAAGGTCAATCTGGTCCTCAACCTCGTCTGCCGCGACTATCTGGCCGAGAAGGCGGCCGGTGATCCCGGCTTCACATACCTACCCGTGATCTTCGACGGGGAGAACTCCCAGTGCCGGATCCCCGAGGTGCAGTCGCTCGCCGCGGGTTTCCAGCTGTATATCAGCCTGATTTCAGGCATCTTGTCGGCCCTGGTCAGCCCCCGACTGGGTCTGTTGTCAGACCACCATGGCCGGACCAAGCTGATGGCCTATTCGGCTGCCATGGCTGTTGTGGGCGAGACGATGACGCTGATCGTGGCCACCCGGCCGCATACCATGTCGGTGAACTTCCTTCTTCTGGGTGCCTTCTTCGACGGTCTCGGCGGCTCTTTTACGACCATGATGGCCCTGGTACACTCGTACGCGTCCGACTGTACTCCCACGGAGCAGAGAAATGTGGCCTTTGGCTATTTCCACGGCGCGCTGTTCTCCGGTATCGCCCTCGGCCCTTTTTTGGCGGCGTTCCTGATTAAAACGACGGGAGACTCTGTGGTGGTGTTTGTCACCTCGCTCTCGCTCCACTCGTTCTACCTTCTCATGATCTCGCTTGTGGTCCCGGAATCCCTGTCCAAGGAGCAGCAGCACATGGCACAGAAACGGCACCAGGAACGGCGGTCCCAACGGGAAGAAGAAGACGAGGCATCGCTCCTCTTCCACGGCAGACTTTCTCTGAAGCAGCTGAACCCGCTGAATTTCCTCGCTCCGCTGGCGATCCTCGCCCCGGCGGTCGGCAAACCCAGCCCCCTCTTCCCCGGGCCTCGCGGCGCCAGCCCGGCGCTGCGCCGCAACATCATCCTCCTGGCGGCCATCGACACCGTCGTCTTCGGCGTGACGATGGGCATGGTGCAGATCCTCATCATCTATCTCGGGTACATGTTCGGTTGGGGCAACGTCGAGTCGAGCATCTTCGTCTCGATCGTCAATTCCGTCAAGGTGGTCATTTTGTTCATCGTGCTGCCTCTCATCACTCGCTTCTTCAGACACCGCCCCGCCGACGGCACACCCCATCGCAACACAGGCTCCGACATGCTCGACATCGTGCTCATCCGCCTCTCCGTTTTCTTCGATTTCGTCGGCTACGCCGGGTACGCCCTCTCGCGCCATGGGTCCATGATGACTCTGTCGGGCATCGTGACCGCCATGGGCGGCATGGGCTCCCCTACTCTCCAATCCTCCCTCACCAAACACGTCCCCCACGACCGCGTAGGGCAGATGCTGGGTGCGACGGGCCTCCTGCATGCCCTCTCCCGAGTGTGTGCCCCGTTGGTCTTCAACCTGATCTACAGCGCTACCGTCGGCACCATGACACAGGCCGTCTTTGTCTGCTTGGCAGCTTGTTTTGGAATAGCCCTAGGCCTCACTTTCTTCATCAAGCCTCATGGTCAGTCTCTCTCTCTCTCTCTCTCTCTCTCTCTCTCTTCAATATCCATCATTGTAATATTTCCCGCTAACTGTTTAGTCATCACCCCCGATGTCGATTCCACCGATAGCGAGTATGAGGCCAACCTGGACGGGGAAGCCGAGGAAGACACCCTTCTGCATATCTAGAACCACATCTGCTGTAACATCACCGTCGATGACCAAGTGTTGATTGTCGTCTGCTTCTCGCACTCATTTCCTTGGGACTATAGTATAGATTTTGTGTAGTACTATGTCTCGTCTGTTAGTCGTCTTCACCACCATACTTTACATAAATTATTTTCCATTCACTTCCATCAGAATAATTCCCTCTTCACTTTATTACTACAATTAATCCCCTCATTTCTTATTGATTACTGTCATTGTATGTTGTAGCAGACTCCAGCAGGCGACAAACACCACAAGCGCAGCCATCGTGCCACTTCAAAACGCTAAAGAGAAATCTTCCCTTGAACCTGCCGGAACTCCCTGAACCCCCATTGCGCGTCGTCGTGGTCTTATCTCCATCCACTCTGTCGACTAGTCATCCATCTGCTTTTGAATTGATTATTGTCTCCTATTCATGCTCCGTTGATACGGTACAGCCCGCTCGCGGCGGTGCAACCCTCCCCCGGTTCTTCTTTTTTCTATCACCACCATGTTCACGACTCCCAGCCCCGGTACGCCGGCCGTTCCCTCGCGGAACGCGCTGCGTGTCTTGCGGAAACTGGCGCTGGCGGGCTCGACGGTCGGCAGCTTCTGCACCATCGCCGCCATGACGTACGAGGTCAATCGTCGCGTCCGGGTTGCCGAGCGCATCGTCGAGAACAAGCGGGCGCTGCAGACCTCGGCGCCGCACTACGATGCCACCGCTGCGGCGGGTCGGTTGGCCCGGATGATGGAGGCGGCGGAGGCGGGCGAGTTCATGGGGATGGCGTCCTTCAAGAAGGAGGAGGAGGAGCGAAACCTGCGGTCGAGGCCGTCTTTCTCTGTGGAAAACGAGGAGCCTCATCACGGCGACAGGGCCTTCATCACGACAGAGGCGTTGCATCCGGGTCTGGAATACGAGCTCACTAGTACGAGGGCAACTCTATCTTCTGATGAATCTTTAGGCACGGAAAAGTATCTGGATATTCCTACGCAGATCCAGCCGCCGAGCCTTCTCGCCCGCTCGCAGGCAGCGAGCCACACCCCCCCCGAACAACCGACACCCGACCTGCTAGAGACATCGACTGTGGAGGGGGCGACAGGGGAGCCTAATTCCACCATACAACAGATCAGGGGGTTGATCGACCGGGATCGGCCGATCGAGGCCGCTCAGCTGTTTCTCGACACACATCCTGCCACCGTCCAGGGGCTGTCGTTCGACCGACGGGAGCTCCTGGTTCAGCTTTTCTATCTGAACTGCAAGCAGGACAATGTGTTTATTGCACGCACGCTCTTCCGGCGGCTCGAGGAGATTGATAAAGTGCCCGCGTCCATGTGGAAGACGCTGCTGGTCTTGCTGGCGAAGAAGGGATGCATCGAGTCCGCCGCGTCGCTGTACACGCAATACATGCACCGGTTCTTCCTGCCAGAGGACCTCGTGGACGTGGTCATCCGATGCCTGGTCGAATCCCGGCGGCTGACCACGGCCAAGTTTGTCCTGTTCCGCAACCTCCAGTACGACCGATCGTGCGGGATCTGCGGAGCCTATCTGGCTGGGCTGTGGCGGAAGACACGGAGTATCGAACTCATCAATGGGCAGTTGAAGAAACTGCTCTCGACGCTGCCGCGGGTGGGCAAGTTGCCGACCGAGAAGTTGTTCAACCCGGTCCTGAAGGCGTACATCGAGTTTGGCCGGTACGGGGACGCCGAGGCCCTGGCCAAAGAAATGCAGACCCGCTATTCCCTGGCCCCAAGCTGTCGCACCAAGGGCTTGCTGGTCTACGCCAAGGCGCTCAGATGTGACTGGGAGGCCGTGGAGCTCGGCCTGCAGGAGATGCACGACCTGGGGCTGACGAAGAATTACAAGCAATTCGCCAACGTCTTCGACCGGATCTTGCTGGAGTTCTACCCGGCGCATTCGGGCGGCGCCATCCGCGACTTTCTCATGCGCAGCATCGACAAGTACAATATTATTCCCGACGAGGTCTTGTACCGGCATATGATGCAAGCCCTGATCGAGAGGGGCGACAAGGATATGATCTCGGAGCTCACCACGGTGGGCCAGGAACGCTCGTGGCGGGTGTCGATGAACGAGAAGGAGTTCAAGGCCCTGCTCCGCGCGCGGCGGTTCGCCCTGGAGCACTCCCCCGTGGGCTTCTGGCAGATGTTGCAGGCGGCCAAGGTGAAGTACACGCAGGCGGCATGGTCGCAGCAGCTGCTTGGATACGACCAGCGGTCCTTCCCCATCGACGAGGTGAACGAAATGCCGCTCACCCGGGAGACGATGACGTGGTTCGAGCGCACGCTGCGCGAGACCACCCCGTCCAAGGCGGTGGACAGCTACCAAGCGCTCGACAAGCAGATGGCGCACTACATGCACGTGGGCAAGATGGCCGAGGCGCTCGACTGCTTCTCACGGGCCAAAAACGCCGAGTACACGATGCGAGCCCTGCACGTGGAGCTGGCCGTGGTGGCCACCCTGCTCTCGGACGGGCTCGGGGCTGCGCGCGCGCTGATCGAGACGGAGTGGCGGGAGATCCGCCATCGGCTGACCTTCATGCCGTACTTCTTCCAGCGGCTGCTGGCGCTCGACGTCGCCGTCGCCGAGACGGAGGCCCTCCAGCTCGGGCTGTTCCATTTCTACCACCTGTGCTGGGAGAACCCGCGGATGATCGTCAAGCACCACATCACCGTGGCGACGAGCCACCGGCTGCTGAGCCAGAACCAGCCGGAAGCGGCGCTGGCGCTGCTCCAGGCGGTGTACATGTCTCGGTACGGGCGGTCGGCGAAATTCGACGGGACGTGCATGAAGATGATGGTGCGCTGCTTCGCCAACCTCGACGACATGCTAGGTCTGCGGTGGTGTCTGCTGACGGCTCTCACGCGCGGTACCGCGCTGAACCACAGCCTCGTCGTCGAGGTGCGCCGTGTTCTCTCGACCCTGCACGCCCGCCAGGGCACCCGTTCAGCCAAGCACGCCCGCGCTCGCAGCCTGCGCCTCGAGTACCTGGCCCACCTCGCCGACCAGCTCGAGCGGAAATTCCAGGGCGACCCGGAAGCCCTGTCGTTGACCTTCCGCCGGCCTCCCCGGCGCCTGTCACGGAAGACCATCCTGAAACGCGTCCCCAGCGGCAACAACCACTCGTTCCTGTTCCAGGTGAGCAATGTGCGCGAGCAGGCCGAGCGATGGGACGAGGAGCAAGAGTTCGAGGCCCTGTTTGGGCCCCTGGAACGCAACCAGGAGGTCATCGCGCGTGTCTGGGACGAATCCAATATGGTGGTCACCGACGAATAATGGCCTGCATTCTCTGTACAGTATAATAGAATAAATACATTCACCAGTCAATTATATATATATACTGTAGTCTAAAAAAAAAAAAGACCCTGCCGGGATTCGAACCCGTGTCTTTATGTAAGCAGAGTGATTTATCCCTTAAGCACACCGCGACTTTCACATGCTTTGACCACGCCACCGCATCTGCCCATATTCTCTATCGCTTTTTTCCTCTCCGCCCCTTTCCCTGGCCTTGTTTTTATTTGACTGCGTCTTCTCCCTTGGAAGCATGCGTTGTCGCTGACTCTGACGCTCCAATTGCTTCTCCTCTGTCCTCCCGCTTTCGATTGACCGTTTCCCCTGACTTGTTCGCCATGACTTTTTCCTCTACCACCACCACCACCGCCCCCGCCGCTGCTAACGGGGCAGACGTTGCCGAACAACGGAGACGTATACACCACGAGGCCGATGTCGTGATTATTGGAGCCGGCGTGCTGGGGTGTGCCCTGGCGGTAGCGCTAGGGCGTCAGGGCCGCAGCGTGATTCTGCTGGAGGCGTCGATGAAGGAACCGGACCGCATTGTCGGCGAGCTGTTGCAGCCGGGCGGGGTGCGGGCGCTGGAGCAACTAGGACTGCGCGACTGCTTGGAGGAGATCGATGCGATCAAAGTGGCGGGCTACTTCGTCACGTACATGGGCGAGGAGGTCGACATTCCGTACCCGGTGGCTTCGCCGACGGCGGTCCCGCCGGAGGGACGGTCGTTCCATCACGGGCGGTTTGTGATGAGGCTGCGTGCTGCGGCGCTGGCTTGTCCTAATGTGACGGTCGTGGAGACCAAGGCGACGGCGTTGATCACCAGTGATAACTCGGATCAAGTGCTTGGCGTGGAGTGTATGGGCAGCGGCGGCAGCAGCAGCAGCAAAGAAGACGAAAAGAAGGACTGTTACTTTGGCCATATGACTGTTGTGGCGGACGGTTATGCGTCCAAGTTCCGCAAGCAGCATCATCAACACACACCCAAGGTCAAATCCAAGTTCTGGGGTCTGGAGCTGATTGACGCGAAACTGCCCCGGCCAAACTGCGGCCACGTCCTGCTGGACGACCACCGCCCGCCGATTCTCATCTACCAGATCGGCACGCACGAGACGCGCATCCTGGTCGACATCCCCGAGAACCTGCCGTCCGCCTCGGTCAAGAACGGCGGCGTCAAGGGCCACCTGCGCAACGTCGTCCTGCCCTCCCTCCCGGAATGCGTGCAGCCGTCGTTCCGCGCCGCCCTGGAAAAGGGTCAGCTGCGCTCCATGCCCAATTCCTTCCTCCCAGCCTCCACCAACAAGACCCCGGGCCTCGTCATCCTAGGCGACGCCCTCAACATGCGCCACCCGCTCACCGGAGGCGGCATGACCGTCGCCTTCAACGACGTCGTCGTCCTCCGCGACCTGCTCAGTCCAGAGCGCGTCCCGGACCTCGCAGACACCCACCGTGTCGGTAAACAGCTTGCTTCCTTTCACTGGAAGCGCAAGAACGGCTCTTCCGTCATTAACATCCTCGCCCAGGCTCTCTACAGCCTTTTTGCTGCTGACGGTATGCCCTTCCCTTTAATACTAATACATAACATCTATCTCTCTCTCTCTATGTATTTACTCATGTCTTTTAGATGACAACCTTCGCGCCCTCCAACGCGGCTGCTTCGCCTACTTCAAACTCGGCATGATCGAGGGCCCCGCCGGCCTCCTCGCCGGCCTCATCCAGGAACCCTTCGTGCTCGTCTCGCACTTCTTCTCCGTCGCCTTCCTCTCCCTCTGGCTGCTCTTCAAGCAGTCCCCGCTCCTCCGTCTCCCTTTGGTCCCCTTCCAGTGTCTGCTGGTCTTCTGGACCGCCTGTATCGTCATCTTCCCCTACATGCTCGCCGAGTTACGGAGCTAAAATCCCTTATTCTATTTTTATTTTGTTCTTCTTCTTTTCTCTTTTGTTCCCCCTCATGACTGCTGTTTTGTATCTCCCTTCCTGTATTTTCTAGATATATATACATAATCCTTGCCTCGCGCAAGGCCAGATTATTAATCATCCTTTTAATCACGAAATATCCAGTCTTTGCTTGCTGTATTACTTTCCTATCTTATCTCGGAGTACAAATATAGACGATTTATCATTTCTATGTATGATTTTATGCACTGGCATCAAGCTGTCCAAGATAGCAGCCTCAACAGAATAAGCAGGGTCGTAAAGAGCTGCCCAAGTAATGCAACAACAACCAACAGATGACATGCTATGTAAAAAAAGAGGACAAAAAAAGAAGAAGAAGAAAAAAGAAAAGCCAGATGATCCATGCAATTCCAGTGACTGCAGAAAATCAGCCAATCACCCCTTGACTGCCAATTCCAATTCTGTGATTTGACCCTGTTAATGAAACGCCAATATGGATGGATAATCAGAAAGAATCAGGCACGTCAGCCGCAGTATGCACATAAAAAAAGAAGAAAAAGCTCAGAAATCAAAACCTAGGATTTTATACCGTCAAAAATAAGAAATGGGGAATTCAAAAAGGGGGAGGAAGGAAAAAAAAAAGAAAAAAAAAAAAATACTTGGACCGAGACAGACTAGTTTTCGTTTTACACGCAGACTGGGCTGCCGTTCTTTTTTTATACAAGATCAAGGATCCGGTTGTTGATGGGATCCTTCCACATATAGATGTCCTCTTTTGAGGAGACGGACGACAAGGCCAAAGCGATCGTTCGAATATGCAAGAATAGCCATGGCAGCTCTAGATCGAAGAGAGTTTGGGCGTCGAAAAAAGAAAAAAAGAAAAGAGAACTCTCTCTCTCTCTCTCAAAGACGAGTTCAACCGCCTTTTCGCAAGGACTCATCGGCAGGCAGCGGCTCGGCGCCGTTGCTGACCGGATGCTTGGGCTCTAGTGAAGGCTTGCCGAATCGTCGATGTCTTTTCTTGGTAGTCTGCCAGGCCCCAGTCCCTTGGGGAGTGCCAGACTCATGGGTGACAGGACCAATACTACCACCCGTTGTGCCGACGCCATGGGGTCCTCTCCGTGATATTTGGTCTGAGTGACGGTCCTTGCCAGTCTCTATCGGCGATGGATACTTCGATTTCGCCTTATGGCTGGCCCCATTTGGCTTGTCGTGGGAGTCCGGGTGATTCGGCCGACGTTTGGAGCGCGAGTCGGAGGAGGTTTTCTCCATCGTCACGACAGAAGGACCTTTCCCCGTGTGGACAGTTTCATGGGGAGATGAGGTGGGGAGACGAGGTGCCGACTTGCCTTTATCCGAGCCAGGCTTCGATAAAGATGGTTCCAGAGCTTGCTGCTGCTGCTGCTGCTGCTGCTGCTGCTGCGCGTTCGCAAGGTGTAGATTTTGAAGCCGCGTCGACAGTAGGCCGAGCCGTACGTTCGGCCCATTCACCGTGTGTGCTTCGACGGTGGGTGGGGGTAAGTTTGACGCCGGCTGGGTGAAAGAGGTTGACTGGTCCGTCTCCACCGAAGACAACGGGTCGGAGGTCGTCGTACTGGCCGGCGTGTCAATTAGCTGGTCATCCGAATTAGATGTATAAGGGTCAATCATTGCCGTTGTGTCGTAAGAGTCCAAACCCCGACTAGACGGGATCGGTGATCGAGACTCGCTGAGGGGGACCGATCCATCGATAATGAGCGGACCCCGGTCGGCGGGCATCGTTCGAGGGACTGTGCGCGGCGGGCGCGGCGGTGGCGGCGGCGGCAGCGGCCATGCAGAAGGCGTCGAGCTGGGATCCGGAGAGGATGACGAGAAGGCAGGTGCTGATCGCACATCTTGTTGGGTCGCACCCCCCAATAGGGAGAGGAAACCACTAGTCTGCAACGCCGTCAAGCCGTACGGCGAAGCCGACAGAGGCGCAAACAGCTGCGGCGGTTGCTGGTGGAACGTATGCATCTGCGGAGAGGTGCCAAGATAGTACCCAATGTACTCGGATGGTCGGTTCTCATCCCAGTAGGCCGGGATGGTGGCGGGGGAGCGAGATCCGGTGGGTATGCCGCGTCTGCCCTCTTCCTCATCCCCTTCCTCTTCGCTTCGACTCTGGGCGCGGTCTGGAGAACTGACGGCAAGGGCGGGCGATTTGGGGCTGGTGATGATGCCCTCTCCAGACTGAGCGATCGAGGCAAAGGACATGAAGTTTGGTAAGACCGGGGAATGCAACGATCTCGCCGGCTGCGAGTGGGCGCGGAGCGACCCGCCGGGGGAGCCGTTGGCCACAGACGATCGACGAGGATTGCGCCGCAGATCCGGCAACGCCACTGGTGCCGCAGACGGCGAGGGAGGGTTCGTATTGCTGCTTCCTGTTACCCCGGGTACGGCAATGGGTAGATAGGCTGATGGATAATAGATGGGCTGGCGCAGAGGTGCCGTCAACGGCGGGTGGTTGACCGTTCCAGACCGGCTGCGGGGGGTTTCATCTCCGGTCGCCGTTGTCGTCGTCGTGTTCGATGCATTGGTTGTTGTCGAGGATGACGTTGATGTGGACGAAGATGTCGACTCCTGTGGGGGAGCTACTGGGAATTGGATGAAGGGCTGGCGGATCAAGACCGGTGGCGGTCGACCGGTCAGCAGCGCTTGGTTCTGGAGTTGTAACCGCAGTTCCTGCTCCTGGGCTTGCAGGATCTGGATCTGCTGGTATAGATGATCATGCAGCAGATACTGGGCATGCTGTGCGTGCAGCGACAGCTCCGACGGGGTCATGCTTACCGTCGAAGGCCGAAAGTTATTCGACCGATTGCTGCTGCTGCTGTTGTTGTTGTTGTTGTTGTTGTTGTTGTTGTTGTTGTTGTTGTTGTTGTTGCTGCTGCTGTTGTGATTGTTGTTATTGTTGTTCGTGTGCGAGGTCCGACGGCTGAGATGCGGCCCTCCGCCCCCCCCACCGCCACGATGATTCGAATGGCGACCTCCTCCACGGCCAGCTCCTCGCCCGCCGCGGATGGCGGTCGAGGGGGTTGCGGAGAGCACTGGTTTCGGCTGAGGGGGTGGACGTTCCCATAATCGCTCCTCCTCCGGCGGATACTCGTACTGTTCGCAACAGTGCGCCAGGCTGCCCTCGGCGATGGTTTGGAAGGCCCGACGGAGTTCCATATGGACACCACGGAACGAGGTATCGTCGGCAGTGTTGCCCAAGTTGCGCGAGGTGTTGAAAGGCTCCTCGACGCAGAGACGATTGTTTTGCAGCAGATGCCACCCTTTGCGTTCTTTCGAAATCAGGCGGCCCTCGCGGACGGAGACGACATTCTTTTCATAGTCAAGCTCATGACCATAGTAGCGGAAGAACTGGAAGAGTAGATCTCCCAGGGTCTGCTTGTTTGGCCGACCAAACCCAGCCAGGGAGTCGAGATCGTCATCAAAGGAACAAACTAGACCGTCCGTCGTGAGCCGTTGCGGGTGCGGACGGGCCTGTAGACTGGGCAATATGGGGGGATCTCGAGTTTGAAGGAAGTTGATGATTAGGCAGATCCACGTATACGAACTCAAGGTACCGCCCAAAGCTAGACGGTTTTAGTTTCTTTCTTTTTTGGGGGGTTCTGTTGGGCAAAATCTCTTTTGTCCTAAAGCATCGGAACATACCAGCATCGTTCAAGATTCGGCGCTTGGTCCAATATTTGATAATCATGGCCAATGGTCGTACCCGCTCGTCGACATCAACATAAGTCCGGATCATGCGAGTGTTCTCCAAGGCGAGCGTGTTGTTGACATTCATGTCGCAGGCCAGCCGAAGCTCTGGGTCCCAGATCTTCACAATTGGTACCTTGGCGTGGGAGACGCAGACGACGCGTTCCATTCCATCTAGAATAAACTCCAGTCAAACCATTGTTACAGCCCAGGAGGGGGGGGGGGGGGGGGGGGGGGGGGGGGGGGGGGGGGGAAGGGGGGCCTTACGCTTGGCGAGGACTTCTGCCAGGAGACACACACGTTCGAGCTCTTTGTAGGTTGTGGTGATGCAAATGTCGACTAAGTGAGATCAGTTTCACTGCTCATTTATTCTTGGGGATTGGGGGGGGGGGAGTAATGTACCATCCGAATCACTTGAGCACAGCTTGTTCCCCGAGGAGCCAAAGACGTGGACTTTGATATCGCGACCCGGCCACTGGTCGTTAAAGAGCTTTTCCAGTTTGCGAACGAGCTGGCGACGGCGGTCATCGCTCTCAGCCGAGGGCAGCAGCTGGTCGTAGAGCCGCAGGATGTCATCGGTCAGAGTCTTCTCCTCGCCGGGGGCCAGACGGTCCTTGAGGCCATCCTTCTCGGCGGGCAGCAGGTCGGCGCCGAGGGTGTAGGGCATACGGCGGCGAAAGAAGGCCATGCTAGTCTCATATTTGCAGACGGCGCCGGAGGGCCGAAGCGAGGGTGGCAGGTGGGTGGTCTCGGAGTGGGTAGAACGGGGCGAGGTGCTGCCGCGAGGCGGCGAGGGCGAGCGAGAGTGGAAGGAGAGGTTGCGCGCATGTTGATAGGGGGTCGAGGGCAAGGAATTCGACTGCTGCGAGGTCAATGGCGGGCGCCCGGGGGACTCAGAGGGCGCATCGCCGGGCAGGATCCACGCCATGGGCGGAGGCTGCTATTGTGGGTGTAGGGCCACCTGCGGGAGAGGCGAAATCGACATGCCCATAGGAGACGCAATCGGGGGTCGGACTGGCGGCGATTCCAACGCCCCGGATAGACGACGTTGGCCTTCGACAGAGGGATGACGGAGGAGGAGGATTGGTATTCTGTGGTAAGAGTTGGTGCAGTTCTTTGATGGGTTGCTGGCGGGATCGGTAGCCCCTCGTTCGGTCCAGAAATCCAGAGGCAATCAGTCCGCTCGACGGGACGACAAGACGTAAAGCTGAGGCCCGCAGCAACGGAGAGACCTGGAGGCAGCGGGAGACGGAGGGGGCAGGGGTGGAGGGGGTTCTTTTTTTTTTTTTTTTTTTTTCTCTCGAGGACGAGAGTCGTGTTGCGAGGGGTTGAACGGTGGTTGATCGGGGACTGGACCGGAGACAACGCGACGGGGACCAGCAAAATTATGTGGTCGGGTGGAGTAGCGAAGGACCAGAGACAGTTAAGAGGCGACGAAGGAGAGGGGGAAAGAAACAAAAAATTGAGGGAAAAGAAAGAGGAGAGGAGGTCAAGAGGAAGAGGGCAGGATGGGATGGGATGGGGGGAGAGGTGTGAGGAGAGTGATTGATTGATGGAGGTTTCTCTTTGACAGGCCAGGAACGACCGTGCCTCCACACGTTTTAAGGGGAGAGCGACCTCGACAATAGACAATGCCTATAATAATTAAGGGACTCGATAGTAAATTGGGCAATACTGGGATAGTGGACTATTCCGTTGGGTAATATTGCTCAAAAAGAGGGAATTTTCTGCTGCACTGAAGAATAACCGGTATAAACCACTGAATAGTTCTTTTACTCTGTCCACAAGCTGGCCTTGTTTTATTTTATGTTTTATTTAAAGGCAGACCATCCACAATCAAGACAGTTTGTCCGAGTGGTTAAGGAGTTAGACTCGAATGGTCCAAGACCAATCAATCTAGTGGGTTCGCCCGCGCATGTTCGAATCATGCAGCTGTCGTTCTTTTTTCTAATTTTTTTTTTATTTAAGCAAATACTTTTTCTTATACTTGTACTACCTTTTTAATCTACAACAAATGGCATGATACTAATGATGATGGTGTGAATAGACAAGTGTCACCGATGGACTACTATAGCAACTTGATCGTGCCACCACCTCGAGGGTTCTTTGATTCTGGAGACTCCGGATTGATCGATTCCACGTGTTTCTAGACCAGAGCTCGGAACAAAGAGCATTCCTTATCTTGGATTCGATGGAGAGGGGTAGAGCAAGGTCCAGGCAGTGTATATTAGGATGGAAGATCTAACTATGCAGTTACGTAACTGGGCACTGTACAGATACTGGTTATATAGTTAGTACGTACTCCATAGTACCTAAATATATAGAAGACCATATAATCAATAGTGTACATGTCCGTCAGTAGGTATTTTCCTAGTGCATGAGTATGTTCCGGATTTATATAGTTACCCATAGTAGTTATGTACTATAAAGTACTCCGTATACTCCGTATACTCCGTATACTCCGTACTCCATACTAAATATACCTCTCCAAAACATCAATAACCATCAACACTCAAATGTAACGATGCGCCAGATCCGAGACTGCCGCCCCACTGCCCCTGAACCTTGGTATATGTATATGAAGTATGTGGAAAGAGGTTTATTATTCACTATATATCACTATATATCATAATAAGATATGATAATATACTCTTCCAGAAGAATAATCAAGAATAGAATATATTCACTAGTTAACCAAATACAATAATAATGTCTGACTATATGTAGTACTTACTATTACTATGATCCGAGTGGGACGGCAATTTCCGGTTCTCGGTCAGTCCATATCGTGAGAGTCCCTCAAGGACCAAATAATAATTCACACTCACATCTGACAGTCGGACAGAACCAACAGAATAATAATACAATTGTAATCAATAGACACCATAATAATAATACTCTACAATAGTAATCTACCACTCTACACACCCACCAAGTATCTAGAATACGCCGTTATCCTCCGTCCTCTCAACCGACACCCACCGACTAGGCCGGCCTCCACGACCCCCTCCTCTCCCTCTCCCTCTCCCTCTCTCCCTCCCTCCCTCTCTGGCCCCCCCCCCCTCCTTTTCTCCTCTTGCTCGCGCTGTTTTTTTTTCTCTCTCTCCTTCTTTCTCGCGGTCCTCCCTCTCCCCACCACTCGAGACGCCCTGTGCCTCCCCCAGGCCTGTCCGTCGTCTTCCGTCTCGTCTCGTGGTTGTAAGCCTTCCCCGGGATTTTTTTTTTCTCCCGTCGATTCAGGGTGAGTCGCATTTCTGTTTCGATCGTTTATTAAAGCGCCAACACGCTTCAAATTTACGCCTGTACGTACAGAGAAAGTCTGGTTGGAAATAGCCTGAATACAGAGAGAGAGAAAGAGAGAGAGAGAGAGAGAGACGCACTCCGAGGTGTAGCCGACTTGGGAGCACAATCCTCGCATTGGTGAATAGCCCCGGTCGATGTCATCGGGTGTGTCGCCTCCAGCGCCAGCTGATCTCCGCATCTGCCTTGTTTTCTGGATTATTCTATCTGTTCTTTTTAGTTTCCCATTTCATCGGTTCCTTTTTTTTTTTTTTTTTCTTTTTTAGTCCGTGTTCTGTTCCTTCTCTGGGCGAAGGTGGTCGAATGTTGATTTATGTGCACTGTGCGCTGTCTGAACCAAACGGCCCGCTTACTATTTTCTCTACGCTGCAGATTGTGTCTCTCCGTCGCTGCCGTCCGGCCCAACCACCCTCCTTCCCCCCCTGATCCAGCAGTCGAAAGGATATTCTTCTCCTTCCTCTGTCTGTCGTCCTCCGACTCGACTCGACTCCGCAGGCAGATAGACCAGCCATGTCCGCCTCATACTACGAGCCTCAGGGCTGGCAAGCGCCCTCGGCGCGCCAGGTGTCTTGGGAGCAGCCTGCGCCCCCGTCACGGTCAGGTACGACAGAGAACGCTAGATAAAGTACAAATGTCATGCGTGTGTGAAACTGACGGTGTTCATTTTTTTTTTTGGTAGGATCGAGTTCTGTGTCCCAACGTGAGGAGTCTCCGGCATTTTCTTCCCAGTTCGACGGTACGACCCCTAGAAATTTTTCAAAGCCGTTTTTTGATGCCTTGATCCTCATCGACCCTCATCGATCACTCGGATCAAATATGGCTATCTGTCGGAATTTGTATGGCTGATTTTTTTTTTTCAGAGGTTGACCGCGCCATCGATAACCTTGTCAAGAGCGGCAAGTTGTGGACTGCTCCTCGACGGGATTCCATGCCGATGATGATGGGCCGTCCCTACCCCGAATATGGTATGTGATCAAGGCCGCCACGGGACACACACGCAAATTCCAGAGCTGACTCTGTTTCAAGACCCCCGCTCGGCCTCGTCGATGCCTCCCCGACACCACTCGATCAGCGAGTTCGACGGTGCTCGCATGCACCCGTCCCCCAACCTTCAGGGGTTCTACGCCGCCCAGCGGTTTCAGGGTCGCCCCGGCGAAATGGAGCAGATGATGCAGGCGAAGCGTCGGATGGCAGCGCAGCGTGAGAGGGAGCTCCGCAACTACCACCAGGAGCAGCAGTACAACCGAAGTACGTGGCAGTAATCGTCCTTCTAGTTGATTTCTTCTTCTTCTTCTTGTCATATTCCCCACTGCTGCCTTTCTTCTCATGTATAATATATATTTTAACATGTGTTTGTCTTAAAGGCCTTCTAGCCGAAATGTCTGGAACCAAGTCCGACCGCTCCGTCAGCCCGGCCGCCATGAGCGAGGAGAGCCGTCGCGAACTTCTCACCCGTCAGCACCGCGCCCTCTATGGCAACGAAAGCCCCGCCTTCTTCCCCGCTGGCAGCTTTGACGACTCCTCGCGCCCGGACAGCCAGGCCGGAGCGACCCCGTCTTCCGGCGTGCGCGGTTCCTCCCCGCGCGGCGTCGACCCTTTCGCCCCAGATAACCAGGTGGCCGCCGCCCTGCAGTCACCTTCGCGCGCCAACAGCACCTCGTCGCCCAGCTCCGGCGTCAACGTCAACCAGGTGTACGGTAAGCTGGACAGCAGCGTGGACGGGCCCGTGACCTCCACCTCGTCGCCCACGGGTGCCGACTCGCCCTCCGCCCGTGGCGGTAGTGTTGGCAGTGGCCCCAGCGGCGCCGGACCGACCGCCAAATCCAACATGGTCGGTCCCATCGGCTCGTCTCGCCCAGGCCCGCCGGGCAGCGGCCCCGGTGGCGTAGCGATCAACCCGTCGCTGAACAAGCGCTCGACAACCCCGCTGCCCTCGCCGCTAGGCTTCGGCTTCTCCAAGGATGCCATGGCCGGCGGACCCAACGAGCGTTCCACCTCGTCCGCCTCCAACAACCCGCCCAGCTCGGCTGCGGCAGGTCCTTCCGGCGGGGCCAAGGAGTCTTCTTCTTCTTCCTCCGTCGGGCTGGGCTGGGGGAACAGCAGCGGCGTGTGGGGGAAGAACGGCTTGGGCGTGCAAGCTTCCGTCTGGGGATGAATTGTTTCCATCTCAAGCCTTGAGCTTCTTCTTCTTCTTCTTCTTCTTCTCCCCCCTCTCTTCCTCTTTCTCCATAATTATTATCTACGACACTTTATACTCACTCTTGGTTCAGCATGATCGCATGTGGCGTTTGTGAGACGGTTCCATTGGTTTACTGATCTTGGCCGGGGGCTTGGAAATTGGACTTGGAAAGAAAAGAGCACGGTACATACGTTTGGCATAGCATTGCTATGGGAGTCTTTTCTTCTCTTTGTTTGTTTCGCTTTTCCTTTTCTTCTTCTTCTTTTCGTTTCCTCTCTTCTCTTCTTGATTATCTGTTTATTTCTCTATTGTCTGTTTTTTTTTTTTTTTTTTTTTTTTAATCCTTTTTTTTGGTGTATCTACCCAGGATCTTGGTTCGGCTGGAGGACGGTGTTTTTTTCATTTTTCATTCTTCTTTCATCTTACCGATCTTCTTTGGAGCTTGTGATCTTTCTCTGTCTATGTCTTCGTGTCAGCTTCTTATCTTCCTTGGCTTGGTTAGCACAGGAATGGGGACAAAAAGGCGGGTGCGGTGTTGATAGTTGGTTTGTCTATGGCCCGGTATGGTCTATGGTCTGTCTATGTCTATGGTCTATGGTTTTGTTATTGAGTCTAAGGTATTACTAGTAAATATGTAGTTGTACATCTAAGTACGGAGTATATCTAGTTAAATCCGATAATGTATGTACTAGTTAGTAGATAGAGCTATCAAGGGAGCCGGTTCTCCTCGCGATGACCAATATAATAAACGACCTGACCGAGGAGAATCAAGAGGAAGGCCAGCGGGTAGAGCACATGGACATGGAAATGAAAGATGGCGATGCCGATGAGGACCCCCCAGAAGTTCATGGTCAGCAGGGAGATATTGAAGAAGGCGGCCGATGAGCGACGGAGCAGGAACGGGACGAGAGAATAGAACAGCGTAAGAGAGAGGGTATACCCTGTAAGATATACCGAAGTCTGTCCGTCGAAGACTATCCGTGCATCTCCGTTGAAAAGCAACGCCTGCACGCCGTTGATGAGGGTTGCGAAAAACGCCATCTGGCCCAGGACCTCGTAGACCGGCCGCGTACTCACCAGGTACTCCTCTGCGGTGTTTGTGAGGCCGTAGAAGGTTGCCCCGAGTAGAGCGAACAGATCTCCTTTGAGGAGATCCGAGCTGTCACCATTTCCACCATTTCCACCGTTATTGTTTGTGATCTTGTCCGAGGCAAGGAGAATGATCATCCCCGCTATACAGGTGAGGATGCCCACGATCTGGACCAGCCGGTAGCGAACACCGAGGAAGAAAGCCGACACGAGCACGACAACGACAATGGCCCAGAAGTTGATGAGCTGGGCGCTTAGGATGGTCGTGTGCCGGTATGCCAGGACGATGAAGAAGTTGCCTTGGACATCGCAAAGGGCGAGGATGGCATCTAGATAGGTACATGGACCGGTTAGACTAGCTTCTATCTGGGAAAGAACTGATAGGGTATTACATTTCCATCCATCCCGGATGAGAAGACGGGTCCAAGGTCTAAAACCATAGCGGTAGACGGTGTACGGGGTAAACAGGCAGTTGAGCAGGGCGTAGTTGAGGATCGTCTGCGCGGCGGGGATGGAGGTTCCGTGGCGGGCGAGCAGGGTGGTGAAGCTGCTGGCAGCGGTGTTTGCAATGGCTAGGGTTTGTCTAACAGGAATTAATTCAGTAGATAGTAGCTAATAGGGACAGGAGGATAGAGGGATAGAGGGATAGAGGGTACCCCAGTAGGAGAACGAAGAGCAGCTGCCTCGTCTGGAATGTCCTCCCCTCCGGGCGGAGGATCAGGGGGGTGCCCTCGTTGAAGTCATTCGGCATCTGCACAGCAGTACACAGCAGTACAGTATGCAGTGTTTAATCTTAGTATTGTAGACCAAGACCAAGACAGAGACATAGACAGACAGAGATAGAGACTGAGACTGTAGATAATCTGAGGCGGTGAGTTCTACGTGGGGTTAAAATCTAGAAGTTTGAGCTATTATTACAGAGTACCTCTCCGTATATTGAGATTATCTGGTATTCTATCGTATGTATTAGCGCAGTTATACAGACCCATAGTCTCGTATTAACTATTACAGTTGTAACATGACTCAGATGAAACCAGATGAAGCCGAACCAGATTCTCTATTGGCGTTGGAGTTTCATCGCGATCCACCCCTGAAGCCTGAAGGACGGCGTCAGCTTGTCGAGCACCGTACGTCATTCCTTGACTGGGAAGTAGAGTATATATGTAGTATGGTAATTATAAATTCTTACCAGTATATTCGTATAATCAAGTAATAATATTCTACTATATGTTGTAGTACTAGTATCAGACTACGATCAGTAAATATTGTCTCTGCCTCAGGCACCGTGCCGAGGCCGTCAGGTGGCCCGACCCAACCTTCTCCTCTATCAGCGTCCGTCGCCTGTTCCCCCGTCACCAAACAGCGAACTCGCTCTGCCTCTTGCGCCCTCGCCCACTCCGCCCTCTTTCTCGCCCTTTTCCGCCCCCGCTCGCGTCGATCAGGTTTGCCGGCATCCTCCGCGACGTTTCTCGCCCCCTCGCCGTCCTCGCGCTCGCTGCGCTGCCGGTCCGCCGGCGTAGGCTGGTTGCTGCCAGACCTCCGACACCCGACAGGAAACAGACCATGGCGCTGGCGGTGCCGCCGCCCAGTGATCGCAAGCGGGTGAAAGTATACGAGCTGCGGAATAACGACTGGTTCGATCGAGGCACTGGCTTCTGTACTGGCCAGATTATCGAGGTAAGTCGTCGGTGTTTGCGCGCTGGGCCTCTCTCTCTTCCAGTGCGACCGTGCCACGGTCGCGTGTCTGCACGAGAAAAAGATCCCGAACAACACACAATCATATAATATATATGTTTATAATATATATATATATATATATATATATATATATATATACATATATATATTAACACGTCACGCTCTGTCACAAATTTCGCTGACCACATTGATATATATCTTTTCGATAGGATGAGCCCCGGATCTTCGTTGAATCTGAAGATGAACCCAACCGCGTCTTGCTCGAGACCAAGATCACCAAGGACGATGGCTATCAGAAACAACAAGGTCCGCTCTCTTCCCCTTCCCCTTTCGGGCCGCCGGGAGATACTGATCAAGGGCAGAGACGTTAATCGTCTGGACTGAACCGAATGGTACGGATATGGCGCTGAGTTTTCAGGAGGCGGAGGGTTGCGCCGTCATCTGGTGGGCTACTCTCAAGATAGATAGGACGGTCGACCAGCAATTGACAGCGGTAGGGATTTCGTGAATCATGTGCAGCATCATCTGCTGAGCATGGCGGCTGCAGGTGAGGGATTTTCTCTTTTTTTGTTTTAGTTGTTTTTTTCCGCTCTACTGACTATCTAGATGACGCCCTGTCGGACGACCTCGAGAGCTACCAGCAGATCATGTTACCGTCGCCCGAACTTGGAAACCTCCCCGAAATTGAGCAGGTCATGAGAGCGGCGAGCGTGTCTCAGACCGGTCGGGATGCTCTGTCAAAATACGTGATCAAGGACGAGTACATTGCGAAGCTGATCCCCTTGGTCACCATGGCGGAGGACCTGGAAAGTCTCGAAGACTTGCATCGGCTGTGCAACATCATGAAATCCCTGATCCTCCTCAACGACAACACCATCATCGAGAGCGTCGTGACCGACCCTATCATTCTCGGTGTCGTCGGCGCCCTGGAATACGACCCGGACTTCCCCACGCACAAGGCGAACCACCGCCAGTATCTCGCCGACCAGTCGCGCTACAAGGAGGTCGTCCCCATCAAGGACCCGGCCATCCGCCGCAAGATCCGCTGTACCTGGCGCCTCCAATACCTCAAGGATGTCGTGCTGGCCCGCATCCTCGACGACCCCACCTTCTCCGTCCTCAACTCCCTCATCTTCTTCAACCAGGTCGAGATCGTCAACCACATCCAGTCCAACGCCCCCTTCCTCAAGGAGCTCTTCGCCGTCTTTGACCCCCGGAACCCGGACACCAGACGCAAGGACGACGCCGTCCAGTTCCTCCACCAATGCGCCGCCATCGCCAAGAACCTGCAACCGGGTGCCCGCGCCACCTTGTTCGCCAACTTCATCAGCCATGGCCTGTTCGCTGTCATCGCCTTCGCCGTCAAACACCCTAGTCCGGCCATGCGCACCACCGGCATCGACATCCTGGTCGCCCTGCTTGACCATGATCCCGTCATGATGCGCGGGTACATGCTCAAGGCCGTCAACGAGAAAAAGACCCCGCTGACCGACACTCTGATCGATCTGCTGCACATGGAGACGGACCTAGGCGTCAAGAACCAGCTGGCCGATGCCATCAAGATCCTACTCGACCCGCAGATCCCGCTGCAGGACACCATGGGCCGTGCTGGCGTCGAGTACTTTGCCAAGCTGCGCCCATCCAACCTGCTCTCCGATGCCTTTGTGCAGAATCATTTCGACGAGTCAGCCAAGCGATTGTTCCAGCCGCTCAAACGACTGGAAGGTCGATCTTCTCGTATGTTCCAAATCTCTCTCTACCTTTGCTCACCTACGGCTAACGGCTCTAGTTCATGACCTCACGTTCCAGGAAGTTTCCCTGTACGCCCTTCTGGTCGATATTTTAACGTTCTTCGTCCGGCAACATCTGTTCCGGAGTCGAAACTTCATTCACAGCGAGTCTTTAGCGCCTCGTGTTGCACAGCTCCTGCGGGTACCGCAGAAGCACCTCAAACTCACAGCCCTCAAGTTCTTCCGTACTCTAATCAGTCTCCAAGATACCTTCTACCAAGCGCTAATGACCCACAACAACACGTTCGGCTTGATCCTTGACATTGTGCACGAGACCATGCCGCGCGACAACCTGCTGAACTCGGCCTGTCTGGAACTGTTCGAGTTCATCAAGCGAGAGAACATCAAACCATTTATTCTGCACGTGGTCGAGAAATACCGCGAGAAGCTGCTAGCCATTCACTACGTGGAGACCTTCCAGAACCTGATCCTACGGTACGACCAGATGCAGGGCTACGGAGCCACCGCCGAGGGCGACTCGGCACTCTTCTCATCGCAAGAAGAAGGGACCCCCGTCGCGGCGGGCCGGGCCCAGCCAAACGGCGGCCAGCGCTGGCAGGGTGCCAAGGAGATGGACGCCGCTGAGGAGGAATACTTCAACACGTCAGATGACGAGGATGAGGTAGGTCTTGTTGTAGAATACCTCAGTGAGCAACACGGCAATGAGTCTAATTTTCAGACGCAGTGGGGGCCGAACACTACCGCTGCTGCTGCTCCTCCAATTGCAGCTTCCCCGACGCCCAACGGCTCTGCATCACCCGTGGTGAAACCCCTGGTGGATTATCCCGACGATGATGACGAGGAGGTGGAGGATTCGATGGACGTGAAAGAGGCCGAACCAGCCGAGAAATCGGGAGCACCGGAATCCGACCCGAGCGAGACCACGACTGCACAAACGCCTCCCGAAAGACTTTCTGAAAAGCGAAGGCGCGAGGAGGAAGACGAGGACGAGCTGATCAAGTTAACGTCCGTTCCGAAACGACGCAGCTCGACGAGCAGCCACGGAAGCAGCACGACGAGCTCGGGATTCATGCGGCGACGGAAGAGCCTGTCGATCGGGCCTATTAACGTGTCGGAGAAGGCATCCACGACGACGACGACGACGACGACGTCAAGCAGGACGAGCGTGCCCCCGAAACGCATCGCAATCAATCTCGGGTCTGCGGCAATCAAGACGGCGTCCCTGGAGACGGAGCCGGACAGCACCAAGGAGAACCAGACGGGGGATGGGGGGTAGCCAAAGCAAGATTTTTTTTTTCCATCTTCGTATGCTGGTTCTTCAAAGTTGCGGCCTGTGTTTTTTATTCGATAGATACCATCTGTCGGATGGTATAATTTCCCTGTGATTAGTTGGGCATTGTGGGACTCCGCTTTTGATACCATTGCAGGAGCCGGTGTTTTCGTCTTTGACTTGTGGGATACGCCCGGTTGGTTGGAGTCAGTGTATATCATGACTGATGAATGTAAGATACCTAGTAGCCTATGATGCTGTAATGAGTGGTAGAGACGTAGTTTTACCAAGGTGTAGATAAGGTGATTGACGTGGAGATATTTAGATAACTACCTAGGTACGTACCGACTACCAACTATCTACCAACTACCGAGTACCAACTAAGGACTACCAACTACCTCTACCTCTATTCTATTGACTACAGCGATTATCGCAATGAAACCAACAATATCATCAGAAGTCTTCTTCTCCAACTCAACCACAGATACATCCGTCTTCTTTATCCCCGGCAACCCCGGTCTGGTAGAGTACTACCACCTCTTCCTTTCGCTGCTGTCTTCACAGCTCCAGGACGCATGCAGCATTTACGGCTGTTCCCTGGGGGGGTTCATAGAGAGAACCCGTCTCTACAGTCTGGAGGAGCAGATCGGATATGTTGAAGGGTGTCTTGAGAAATTCATCGCCTCCCGCGGGGCGAAGAAGACAAAGGTGATTCTGATCGGACACTCTGTCGGATCATATATCGCGATGGAAATCATACGCAGACACCATGAGAAGAATACCGCCGAGAAGAATAATAATGATATCTCCTTTGAAATCATCGGTGGGACGATGCTCTTCCCTACCGTGATGGAAATCGCAGACTCTCCGTCAGGAAGAAAGTTAACAGTAAGTTGCAATCTTATAAAAAAAAACGATATTACAGAAAGTCGATAAGCTGATGAGAATCAAGTCCCTCCTTTTCATCCCTAAACTCCCATCTCTCGCCAACTTCCTCTCTCGAGTCCTCACTTCTCTCCTTCCAGCTCCTCTCCTACGCTGGACTGTCCAGAGAGTGACGGGGATGCCCGAGCCGGCACTCCAGACCACCCTGTCTTTTCTACGGAGCAGACAGGGAGTCGAACAGGCTTTGTATTCCCATCTTATCCTGCAAGAAATATTCTTTCTATATCTAATTTAATATAGGTACATGGCCGCCGACGAGATGAAGACCATCACGACAGATAAATGGACGGATGAGATCTGGGGCATTCAAGGACCGATCGAACTGTTCTTTTACTTTGGTCGCGATGACCATTGGGTTGCCGAGGAGACGAGGGAGAAGATCATGCAGTCGCGAGGACGGCATGATGATGGACCGACCATGGTGGTTTGTGAGGAGGGATTGCCTCATGCCTTTTGCATCAGTAGGTCTTTTTCTTCTTTCTTTCTTTCTTCCTTTCTATACAAGCTAAGTATTAGGGAATAATGAGGTTATGGCGAACAAGGTTGCGAAGATGGTCAGAGACATCATTACTCATGATAAACTAGAATAGACAATAGACTATAGACGTTCTTGATATGCGAGCCCGGCTTTGCGGAAGAGATCCCCTAGCACATCGCCTTGGAATTGAGGCTGAGGTTGAGGTTGTTGATACGGTTGCTGGTACTGTTGGTGCTGGTGGTGCTGGTGCTGTTGAGGCTGGATATGATGCGCCTTGACACTCCACTCGTCATCCTGCGCCCTCTGCTGCCCGAACAGATCCTTCAAAGAAATCTGCCGCCCCATCGGCACTGCCTGCTCGGCCGCCACCTCGTCCGTTGGAGCCGTGGAGGCCGCCGCGGCGGCAACGTGTAGGCCATTCTGGCGCAGGGCCTCGAGTCGCTCGCGGGCCAGCTTGCGGCTCTCGCCTGCATGCACGGCACATTCGCGGATCACCTGGGCATTGAGGGTACGTGTCTCTGCCGTCGAGTTCGGGGGTGGTTCGGAGTAGATCCAGAGGCCGTAAATCTGCACATCTCCGTCCGTAGCAGCAGCAGAAGCAGTAGTATGATCATATTCGTTGGTTTTGTCCACTTTGAGAATCACGTATTCCTCCGTCACCTCCACGTTGTCCCCCTCTGTCAGTTGGGTGTCGAAATTATTCAACCCCCGCCGGTTGAGCACAAAGACGCAATACCGCTCTTCCCCTTGGCTCCCCTGCGTCAACGCACACACAAACATGCTTCCTTCCACCCCGTTCTTCTCCCACTGCCGCGTGGTCGGACTGAACAGGTACACGACCGCGTAGGGCGCCAGCGAGAGGATGCTTGTGATCGCCGGGTTGTGGCGGCGCAGCACGGCGAGGTTCAGCTCTTCGTTCGACCGCTGTGGCGGCGAGGCCATCACGAACTCGGCGGGCGGTTTGCTATCGGAGAGGTAATTGTAACTAATCGTGTCGGATTCGTAGTCGGACGGTTGGATCTGCTGTTGGTTTCGTCGTCGTGGTTTGCGGGACGTCATTGAGAGGAGAAAAAGATAACAGCCAAAAGCCAAACAAAGACAATAGAACAGAGACAGCCAAAGAACTGTCAGTGGTATAGAGTATTAGTCTAGTGATATTAACGACTTTTATTAGATAGTTCTCAGATAGTTGGATAGTGTAGGATTGAAGCTCTGACTGAAGCTCGACTGAAGCTCTGACCCACTGCTACCTCCACTTCAGCTCCTCATCAACTCAAAGGAACGATCAACCACCTCATTGCTGTTGAACCCCTCTACAGTCAATCAAACACAGTCTACATCTCTCCCTCTGGTGCACCGACTGGCTTCCAAGATCGCCCCAACCGCTCCCCTTCCCAGCTGTCGTCACCGTCAGTCGCCGTCAGTCGCCGTCGCCTTCCGGAGGTTGCCGTCAGCCTTTTGCCCCTCACTGAGGCTGGGATCTGAATCCAGTCGAACGAAACCCCTCATCCTTCTCCCCCCGCGTCTGGCCAGCTGCATCGCGTGATGCAGGTACATCGTCTGGGCGTCTGAGCGCGACGAGTCGTGATGACTGCTCTGCTCTTGATTCACGTGCCTCGGTCGCCTGGTTGATCTGTTCGACAAGTTGATTCTACAATCTGACGGATTATTTCGGGAGAGAGAGAGAGAGAGAGAGAGAGAGACATAAATTGCTATATATATTATTATCTATCATGGTTGAGTCTGGTGACGGCTCCTCGGCCGGGGAAGAAAGACGGCGAAGGAGCTCCGTCACGGACCTTTCGTCGCTCTTTGGTGCCGTCAAGGCGAGGAAGGCCGAGTTTATTCGCCAAAGGTCCATTCGCGTCAAGGTCGGCACCTGGAACGTAGCGGCCATCTCTGGCACGGAGAGAGATGTCGGCAAGTGGTTCGTCGAGGGCGAGGGGATAAGCAGACGCTTATCGGGCCTAAAGGATATTTCCGGGCGGAGGGCTACGATAATACCTGGAGGAGGAGAAGGAGAAAGAGAAGAAGAAGGGAGAGGAAGACAACAGGATAGCGTTCAGTCCGAAGGAAGCTCCGACCGCCGTCCCCAGATCGACCTGTACGTTCTCGGGCTGCAGGAGATTGTGGACGTTTCGTCGCCGGCAGAGGCGTTGAGGCCCTACGTCGACCCGGCCCCGTCGGGCAGGTGGAAGGCGGCGGTTCAGGAGGCTCTGCCGCTGGGCTATCAATTGGTGGCAGAGGCGCAGCTGGTCGGTCTGTTGCTGCTGATTTACGCTGCCCCCTCGGTGGTACCGGACATCACGTCCGTCAGCAGCACATCCGTCGGGACAGGGCTGTTGGGCTATATGGGTAACAAGGGTGCGACGGCCACGCGAATGGTCCTCGGAGAAACCACGGGATTGATCTTCATCAATTCCCACCTGGCCGCGGGATCCGACAAGACCAGCTTGGAGCGGAGGAACTGGGATGCCGGGCAGATCGTCAGCCGCACCAAATTCGAGCGCATCAGCCCGGAGCGTGATCTGATGGAGACCGCCTGCGATCTCATCGGCGACGAGGACTTTGGTTTCTGGTTCGGCGATCTAAACTATCGCCTGGAGGATATTCCCGGCGACGATGTCCGACGTGTCCTGGCCCGGCATGCGGAAAACGAGTACGACCGCACCTGCGAACCTGTCCCCAAGACGGACGACCAGGAGGAAACTGCGGACACCCCTCACGCCGTCGTGCAGAAGAAACAGAAGGAGAATGGCCGCTTGTCATCGTCCGACCTGGACGGCATCCCAGATCCGGTCTCGGACCATGAAATTGAACCCCATAATGATCCGGCGTCTCTGCAGACGACGATCTCATCCTTGCTCCCGCACGACCAGCTGCGCATCCAACAGAAGCATGGCAAAGCGTTCCACGAAGGTTGGCGCGAGGGTGAAATCAGGTTCCTACCGACCTACAAGTACGATGTCGGCAGCGTGGCCATCTTCGATTCCAGCGAAAAGCACCGCGGCCCCAGCTGGTGCGATCGGATCCTATATCGCACCCACCAGGACCGGCTGGATTACGAACGACGTATGAGAGAGAGCGCCGAAGCAAATAAACGCGACGAGGAGATGAAGGCGCGTGGGTTGGACAAGGCGGCGGCTGATGACAATGTCCTGTTTGAATATGATCCTGCCACCGACGGTGCGGATAGCATTAGTGACTACGATCCTAGTGCGGACGGTGATGGCATGGGAGACCAGGAAGACAGCGGCAGTCAAACCGCACCCGCCAACGAATCGATCCGTTTGGAATACTACGTCTCTCACCAGGGCATCCTCTCATCGGACCACAAGCCCATCAACGCTGAATTTACCCTGACCTTCGACGCCGTGGTGCCGGATCTCAAGGCCAAGGTTCATGAAGAGGTAGTCCGGGAGTTGGACAAGGCTGAAAACGAAGCCAGACCAGCCTTGACGCTCGTGATCGATGTGCCGAGCCACGAGGTCAAGGCAGCCCGGGAGGGCGGAAGAAAACGACGGGGCAGCCTGGACGAGATTGACCTGGGCGATGTGCCATTTGCTGTTCCCATCACCCGGTCCATGACGGTGGCTAACACGGGTAGCGTCCCTGCGACCTTTAGCTTTGCCGAGCGGCCGACAACCGTTGACGAAGAGTCGACGAAGAAAGAGAAAGATTCGACAAAGGACTCGGCTCTCTCTTCTCCCTCATGGCTGACCACCAGGGTTGAACGAGCCCATGGCGACGATAGTCCCGGCAAACACGAGAAGCACGGCGGGCCAGCCGACGAACATACTCTGCTCCCCGGCGAGGTGGCCAACGTGGAGGTGACCGCCTGTATTCGGGACATGAATCATGTCCGGCTGCTAAACTCCGGGCGGCTGAAGCTGGAAGAGATCCTGGTGCTCCGGGTGACGCGTGGTCGGGACCATTTCATCCCCTTACACGGGCAATGGCTGCCCACCTGCTTTGGTCGCAGTCTGGACGAACTCACCCGTATCCCTGAGGCTGGCGCGCGCAGCCTGGTGGCTACCATCACCGCTGCCACCACTGACGGGAAGGATCCCCTTTCCGGGGAAGAGGGCCCAGAAGCGTCTCGGCTGTCAGCGCCGCGCGAGTTGTTCCGCCTGACCGAGGCCATTTCTGAGATGACCGAGCGCGCGGTGGCCGAATGGGACATGATCAAGGGGGGCGGCGGCAGTGCGGCCGACATCGATGAGGTGCCTCCGTGGATGATGGAGCCGTATGGGACCGGTTGGCCCTTCAAGCCCGAAACGTGGACGCTGCGGAATGAAAACGAACGCGCTCCGCTGCTGGCAGCCGTCCGGAACGCACTCGACACGAACAAATCCGTGACGGCAGTCTTCCCTCCCGAAGTCCCCTCGCTGCACCGGTTGGAGATCCTTTGCGAAACCCTCGAAGCCTTCCTACCCTCGCTGAGCGACGGGGTTGTCACAGCTTCCGTCTGGCAAGAGATGGATCGACAGATCATCGACCGGGAGAAGAGTAAAACACCCCCACGTTCCTGGGAGGAGTCGCAGGCCTGGGTGCTTGAGAACCTGGCCTACTCGCCTGCCCACAGCGTCTCCTTCACCTTCGTCACCTTCATGCTCGCCCGTATCGCCAACGAGATCGCCCCTGTCGCCCCTGCTGCGCTGCGCTCATCCTCTTCATACAACGCCACAACCACCCACCAGCCATCCTCCTCCTTATCATCGACACCCACCACCACCACCACCTCCTCCTCCTCCTCGTCTTCCGATAGACGCGTCTCTTTTCCCACCCCAGCCTCCACCGCCGCCTTCATCGTCGGCGGGAGCTTCCGTCGTAAATCACAGGCTGTACAGTCCTCTTCCTCTTCTTCTTCGGCTGATTCATCTACATCCACCCCTGCGGCCATAGCAGCAGCATCAAGCGAGAATGAGAACCCCGTGATGCTCCGCCGTCAAGCGATCGAGCTAGCCTTTGGTTCTCTTTTCGCCGGTATGCTGATTTCCTCCGATGTTCCTGTGCCGAGCAAGGAGAAGGACCGCCGTGCGCTAGACGAGCGGAAGCGAAGCATCATCGAGCCGTTCTTGAAAACCGTCGGTGTTGACTCGCAGGGGCCTTCGGGGGGGAACTAGATGACCTCATTTATGTATTTATGTATTGCATCTGTTCTAGATAGCTTGTACCATTGAACAGTGTTTCTAGTTTGTTTATACAACATTGAATTCATTGATTTGCATTAATATCGCTGACTATGCCGAAACTAAACTGTACATCAAACCCCAAAAAGTAGACACAACTATATAACCGAGATTTATGTATAGAATGGCCCTTCTTCAAATCTAGTTGAGACGGGACTGCTTTCGTACGACTCTGTCTTTACTTTTTGACGATGACCTGGTCACTTTTGTCCTCCGGAACAGCGAGGGAAACAGACCGAGACACCAGGAGGCCGTGCGGGCAGGGAGGCCGGCGAGGAGAAGAAACAGCTGCGCGGGGAGGACGACGACGGCGCACAGCGAGTCGAGGAGTTTGAACGTGTAGCTGTGCCGCTGGCGGAGGTTTGACCGCTGCGCGGACGCTGCCAGGGCGAGCGCGTCCTGGACCTGCGCTTCGAGCCGCTGGAAGCGGCTGTCTGTCTGGAAGGATGTCAGCGCGGTGCGTTTCTCGTAGCGCCTCACTGCGCGGTTCAGGGCGTCGATTTCCGGCTGGAGGCCCTTGCGGACTTCTGAGGTCGCTTGCGAGATAATTGATGGGAGGGGGGGCGCAGGTTCGTGTTCCTGGTCCTGCGAGAGCCGCGCGGCCGCAGCCTCTGCCACATGGGCCTCGAGCTCCTCGAGTCGTCGGGCGAGGTCTGGAATCTTGCTCGCGTCTAGCTTGTCCTCTTCGGACGGGGCAGAGGCCACGACTTTCTGGAGATAGAGCGTCCGCGCTTGGACCATTTTCAGCAGGTGTGAAAACGGCCGGATCTCCGAGGCCAACAGGAAGATGGTCAGGTTGTAGTTTGACACCAGGCCTTCCGATGGCCTGGAAAGCTTCGACCGGATAGTATGCAGGACCCAGGTCCCGATCATTGGGAAGACAAAGCACGAGGCTAGAGCGACCAGTTCATGGGTCTGTAGCTCCCGCGTAGCGGCCACTGCTGCAGCCGACATTTCTCGACATTGTCTGGATTCTTTGGTTTTAGGCTCTTGGCTTATGTTTGATGAGTCGTTATGGTCATCTTGGTCATCTTCGCCTTCCTCCTCCAGTACATCGTAAGCGGCCTTGCTATCCTGCACGCGTATAGCTTGGGCCGAACGATACCAGTCCCTGAAATGCTAAGATTAGCCGGCGACAACGCTACCGGGGTTCAATTTTCTTCCCACATACCATGGCAGCCGGACGGACCAGTTTAAGAAAATTGCCGCCAAGGCTAACAAGGTCACGTCGGTGATGACCGCACTGCCATTCTGGAAGAAGAGACCCGCGATGGCGGGCAACAGCGCCATGGCCAGGGGCGCCGAATGCCAATGCGATTCCTCATCTGGGACATGCGTATCCGCCTGTCTGGTAACTCGTGGAAAGAACAAGTCATCCGTGGACGACCGGATGGAATTGCGTGCCTCGGATACCGAATCCGACAGGGTTGAGTTGCGGCGCTGTCTCGGTATACCCGTCGGGCTGTCTGCGACCATTCCCGCACGAGGCAGGCCACGATGTCGCAGATTGTTCATCGAGCTAGATAGAGCGGCAGAGCTGCCAGATCCCAAGGATCCTGACGATGACGCTGTGGGTTGTCGAGACTGCTCTGCCATCACAGCCGATCTAGCAGTGGTTGTGTACGAGTTAGCAATGGCCGATCTCAATCCATTCCTACAACCACCAACGCATCCAAGAGTTAACAGCAGGGATCACACAGGCATTACCATAAGCGAGCCGCATCTCGGTTCGTGTCAAGCAGCCGAAACCCGGAGGGGTGGTTCCAAGGGAGGAGTTGGGCGGTTCGCAGCAGGAAATGCGGAGAAAGGCGTATGACGACATGCAGGGATGCCCAGGCCGGTTTTGCAACAGCTGCGATCATCCACAACTGGACAGATAGTCTTGTTGAGCCACTGAAGTAGAATGCAAAACGCTCCTGATAGTCATTGTCGTGTGCTTGAGTGTGCTGAATGCCTCAGCTGAAAGACAAACTTACAAAGAAAAGAGGAGGTCACGCCGAGTTTCTATTTTGTGGTAAGCTTTACTGCCTGAGGCATAATATACCAAGGCAACAAGGCATAAATCAGGGATTAAGACATCAAGGTACCAAGGCAGTAAGGCAACAAGGCAATAAGGCACTCTTTGCATACCATCGAATAACCAAGCAAATGTTGATTCTCTTTGTCTACATGCAGGTTCTGTTTGGATTCAATTGACTGAATATCTCCTATTGACCTCTCCTATTTGCCTCTCCTCGGATCCTATTTTGGGATCTGTGACTGTATGATGCTGCTTCAGGTGTAACCAGATGGACTGCCATGTCCGTTTCTTTACTGATTAAACCTCGAATCCACCCTTCTCCTGCAGGATCCCGAGCAATGGGATGGAGTAATTGTGCAATACAGGGTACCTGGGTAGGAAACTGGCTGAAACTACCGGTCCTTGCTGGATTAATTGTCAATCGGCTGGTTTGGCGGGTGGGCTTATTGAGACCCGAATCCGGTAAGTTCGGCAGGCCGAAAGTGAAGCACTGAAGATATCTTGTTTAGCCAACCGTAGTCTCCGCGTCATTCTTCACTGGACCTTGATTCAGCCTTATTGTCGTTTGCTATTAAGCGGGGGATTGGCCTTGAGTCTGGACTCTCGCTGGTGTATCAAATCAATAGCAACGACCTCCTTCAAAGCGCTCTATACAGCGTCACTGGGGGCCCATCCCCCCCCCCCCCACCCCCCTCTCTGATTGAGAAGATGCAGTCAACACACTGTCTGGGAAACTGCCATTTTGGTGACTAGCAGGCCGGGGGTATCTCTGATCAGTCTCACTCTCGTTCTGAACCAGGAGTCCAACTGACTTTCAATGTTGGGAGCTGCGTATCCAGATCGCATATATTGTATCTTCGCCAGTCCAGAGGCTGAGGAGACCACAGCCTACTCTCATTAATTTTCATATTTCATCGAATAACCTGTGTCCAGGCCGTCGGGGTTCCTTGTGAACTGATATACCCGTCTGATCCTGTATGCTCCTCCAGATACCCTCGGTATCTGCTGCTGTCCGACACCTGTCGGTTGACACAATGGCGTCGAGCACATACCGCTATCCTGTCGCGGTGATCATTCCTGTCCTCTCGTTCCTCTCGATCATCATCAGCATCCCTCCTTTCCTTTTGCACTGGAAGAACCGCAATTTCCCCGCCACCTTGTTGATAGTGTGGTTCCTGCTGACCAACGTGTTCAACATCACGAATGCGCTGCTGTGGCCAAACGATGACACCAAGAGCTGGTGGGATGGTAAGGGTCTTTGTGACTTCGAAGTCAAGATCATGATCGCCAGCTACGTCGGCGTGCCGGGTGCCATGCTCTGTATCTTCCGCAGCTTGGCCTTGGTGCTGGACACCGACCGAGCCACCCTGGTGCCCAGCCGTTCACAGCGCTGGCGGACGCATGTTACGGAAATATTGTTCTGCGTGGCGATTCCAGTCCTTGCCATGGCTCTTCAGATTGTCTATCAGAAGAACCGATACATGCTCTTTGCCATCTCTGGCTGCATCAACTCCTTTGACGAGAGCTGGGTCTCTCTGGCGCTCTCCTTTGCCTGGCCGACAATCATCTCGTTTGGGGCCGCTTACTACTGCTGTAAAAAGCCCAGTTTGGTTTTTCCTTTTGTCTGTGTGTGTATGACAGCTAACCGTGAGTTCGTCTGCAGGCGTTGTCATCTATCGGCTGCACAAGTACCGGAGTCAGTTCGGGGATATTCTCAGCGCTTCGAGCAGCAAATACAACAAGTCGAGGTTCCTCCGCCTCTTCTTTCTGGCTGCCACCTTGCTCCTCGGAATCCTGCCGGTCTTCGTCTGGATCCTCTACTATAACGTAACGCTGTCGCTGCCATGGCACGCGTATTCATGGCACAAGGTGCACAGCTCAGATTGGAACACCATCTACAAGATCCCCACTGGCGGCCAGGCGTTCTTCGACCGCTGGATCCCCATCATCGCGAGCATCCTGATTTTCGTATTCTTCGGGTTTGGCAGAGATGCAACGCGGCTGTACCGCTCATGCCTCATGCACCTCGGCGTCGATCGCTGCCTACCCAGCCTTTCACCGAATCACGCTCGGCCTGCGCCTGTGCGAAACAACTCGACCGCCAGCGCGGCGGTTTCAATCAGCAGTCGTGCCAGGTTGCTCTTCCATAAGCGATGGACTGGGGGATCTAGGTGAGTGCGCGAGCGTTTCTATTCGTCAGCGCCTTGTTATAAGATATAGGCTAACAAGTGTGTTTTTGTTCTTTTCTTTTTACAGAACCTACGTTGACAATTCCTTCTCCATGGCTACGCTGGGCGCTGGCTCGGTGCATACCGAGAAGAGAAGCTTGGCCACCAACGTCAAGAGCCGATCGTGGTTGCGCGGTCTCTTTGGCCGTCGTCTGTTTTCGGGCACTCGGAATCGCAATCCCTCTGTCCTGGATCTATCTGCTCCCACTAGCACCATCCGGACTAATGCCTGGGCGGAGGAGAGTCAGACGCGCACCGTTGACAATGAGACTGACTCCATCCCTTCTCCTGGTAGCGAAGGGTTCATTCGAGTAAAGCAGGTGATTAGCCAGCAGAGTGAGATGTTTGTCTGACAGCGTTTCATTTCGAAATGACTTGATGTCTTCCCTGATTGACACCAACCCCTTGCCGAGCCGATATGGTTATAACCATGCTGGTCATAGTTCATCGTGAATATACTTTTTCTTGAGAAAAAAAAAATCAACTCCAAGACGCCAAATAGTTTCAAATGATCCAATAAATACTCTGGATCCTGCATAAGATACTCAGAAACAGCGGTGTGTAAAGCCAAGGTTGAAGACAGGAAATTCCAGGCCTCCTAGATCGAAGACGGCAGTGACATAGCGATCAATATATCCTCTGGAGGCACGAAACAGTCGGTGAACCGCGAGCCTCGTCGAGACTGGAGAGGGAGCCGGTTATCTATGTTAAGCAAAGAAAGGATCGGAGGGGGAGAAGGTAGAGATACACTATAGATTAAGTAGATTGGGTTAACTACAGTGGGCAAGGGGAAAAAAAAAGAAAGCCCTCGCGACCTGTCTTCATGTATACTAAATCACCAACATATCCATCCCTTTCACGGCATTTCCTCGCCCGCAAACTGGTCGGAGACTCCGTTGTCGGTTTGGCGATTCGGATTCGGTCGCTTTAGAACCTCAAGGGTTTCTGCAAAGAGAAGGGATCAGCCAGGATCAAAGGAATGAAAGAACGTATGTCATCTGGTTGCTCACTTTGTATGATGTTCAGAGAAGAATGTCTCCTCCCCTCGGCATCCTCCCATGGCTTCAGGGAAACATCGGCGTCGATACACACAAGGGTCCTATACACGACGCATTAGCTCTTCAACCCAAAGCCGAGGAAATAGACAAATATCTTTCCAATCCGGAAATATAGAACACTGGATATGACAGACTCACCCCTTCGACAGACTAAGCACGAAATCCTTCTGCGGCCCGTTCTCCAGGAAGCTGGTCACACGGAAGTAGCTGGTGAACCGGTTATCAGAGCGGCCGTGTGTTGACGCAATCGTGTACTTGATGACATTCACGCCCGTCGACGAGGGGATCGCCTCCGGCTCGGTTGCAAGCCGCCCGGTCAGTATCATCCGAGCCATCGCCTGCGACGCGGAGGCGCTGAAGGCGCGTGCCGAGAGGGCGGGCGCAGAGCTGCGCAGGACAGGCCGCAGCGTGTTCAATCCCAACATGGTGGATCGTTAAATGTTCAAATCTCTTTGGAGATCGACGTGATGGACGGTAAAAAGGCGGGCAGGGTTGCGGTATGCTCTGTATACACACCTCGAGGCTTCGTAGCAGCTTCGTGTTTTGCCGTCGACTCCGCGGTGAAGCTACGAGGCTGACGTAATACTACAAGTTTTTTTATGCCCTGTAAATAAGGCATCAGTAATTCATCTGTTGCCTGAGGCATAAATTTACACCTCAGGCAGAACGTGCGGTGCCCATTTAGGAAAGTAGAGGCTTGCGGAAACCCAACAACCACAACCTCGACCGTGTCTACTACGGAGTACATACGGAGTACGAAGCAATCCATCAAGCATGCAATGATGCTCTATTACCAAGTCTAGCCTGCAGCTGCAGCTGTCGCTCGGTTTTTAGGCTCACAACGACCGAGTCTTGATTGTTTACCCGGAAGCTGGACCTCGCCTGGACCTCACCTGGATATTTGGGCTGACAGACGCGTTCGACGGCGTTGACTCGATAATAACATTGTTTCTGGTCAAGGTGGAACTGTGAATGAAGTGTCAAAAACATAAACACTGAATACCATGAGCTGACACGCTATCTGGCAACGCCGTGCGGAGAAAGATTGGAAAATTGGACACGTCCGATCGAGCAGCAGCCAACAGGCGCTATTAGCTGGTCGGTCCCTGAGGGTGTTCGACAGCTGGCCCCCAACAGTCTCTCGATTTGGCATGGTAACGATTATTCTTATCGATCGTCATCGGCGTGCGCAACGTGACTCGAACCGTCGGGTATTACAGAATAATGTGACGGGCTGGTCGGCGAGTCTTGGGGGGGTGACGGGATACATCTCGCATAACTATCTGCCACCATCACGGTCTGCCATTAATTGGGATACCGTACGGGCTATTACGAGAGCTCAGGAGCTGCGACGAAGAACGGGGCTCGGAGTACGCGGCACTGTCACAGAATACGAAATGCCAGTAAGAATAGAACTATCCTCCTTCGCCACGGAGTGCTACGGAGTTCTGGGGTGCTCCATATGGCCAATCGCCTGAAATCGCCCTCTGATGCCACCCATGCAGTCCTTGGGGTCCCTGGGCTACTAGCTGAGTTCACTATGGGATGGGCCTGCATGCATGAATATTGCTTCTCGGCCTTGGAACTGGTTCCTCCTCAGTAAACCTTATCAGTGGTTGAGTGGTTCATGTCGCGTCTCTAGCAACCCTGATTTGGAATCCAAGTTACCTATCTTATTGACATTGTTTGATCGGGGCTTGTTTCGCCAGTCCGCTCGATCTGGCCCGAGTGCCACTCGATTTGCACTAGACAGCATGATTGCTTTTGGCGGTGACGATAGAGGTCTGATTCTCCCTTTTTTCTGCTTTTTAGGGTTCCTGGAATTTTATCTGACATGGTCCTTCTCGTCAGAATCTTTCTCTCTCGTTGCTCACCCAATTGCTGTTGCTGCTAGCCCGAGCGATGCAAGATCTTAGGTTGCTTTGAAGGCTCTGAACCCATCGGTCAACCCTCATATAGGCAGTGCCGAAAGCATAGCTAAGACTCTTGCAGCTTAGAGATCTCTGATCTCCATCAAGCCAACAACGCCCAGCTCGTGGGTCATTCTCTCAGAATGAGGTTTTTCCCATGGCTAGCGCTCGCCGTCTATATTGCATGTGGAACGATCAGCCTGGCGAGACAGGTGCCTCGAGATGATCGGTATCAGGCTCAAACGTTGGTCACGCTCGTGGCGAGACAATCGGCCTCACAAAGTACCATCACGGCCGGCACTGAGGTTGCCTCGACGACATTAGAAAAGACAGCGACAATCACGTCAACTTCGAGCGTAACGACGGCCGGAGCTACGGCCAATGTCACTGCCACACCGACAACTACCATGCCTTCTTTGAACAGCTCTCCTCCATCTACTAGTGAGTTGGCATTTCCCTTGAGAGATCTATACATGACCTATAGTTAATCGAAATCAGATAAAACAACTCCAGCAAATCCAGATGGCCTGCCGATTCAGCCACATATCACACCTGCATTGGGTGTAGGCGGATTCCTCCTTATGATCATTGGTGCTGCATATGCGCTGATTGGAATCCAGAACCTATGGTAAGTCCAGCTTTTGATCATTATAGCATGCTGCATTTGACTGATCAAAATAGGGTCCATGTGTTCCTTTCGGCGGCATTATTGACCAGCCTCGGAGTAACGGTCAGTGGATTTCTAGATCTATCGTATTTACATGCGTATGTTTTATCTGACTACATAGGTTTTGATTGTCTACGTCATGAGCCCGCCCATTCATCCTGCGATCCAGGGAGCTTACCTCGTGGCGGTATTTTTCACAGGCGTCACGTTTGGAGGACTGTCAATTGTCTTCAAGGAGCTAACAGAAGGACTGGGGTGCCTCCTCGGCGGGTTCTGCATGAGCATGTGGCTTCTAACCTTGAAGCCTGGAGGCCTCCTCACTGGGGCAGGGACGAAAAGCGGCTTCATCGGCGCAATCTCGGTCGGCGTCTACGCCTTGTCTTTCAGTCATCACACGCGCCCATATGCACTAATTTTCTCTACCTCGTTTGCAGGAGGGACAGTGCTTGCGTTGGGGATTGACTGTTTCAGTAGGGCCGGGTTGAAGGAGTTTTGGCTCTATATCTGGGGTGAGTTGAAGCCCCTGTGTCAGAATATAGGCGAGAAATAACCCCGGGCTGACTTGTATCCAGATTTGAACGACAATATCTTCCCGTTGAACACCAATACCTACCCTATAACCCGAAACATTCGCGTGGAGCTTGCTGTGATTGTGATTGCCTGTATTCTTGGGATCATTTCGCAGCTACGACTGTGGAGAGTCGTCAGGGAACGCCGCAAGAAGGAAGATGCCCTGCGCAAAGAAGAGGCGAAGCGAAAGGAAGAGGCCGAAGAAGAACTGGGTCGGAAACTAGAGGAAGCGAACATGAAGGAACGTAAGGAATGGGAGGCAAGATACAATGGCGAAGCAAAGGTTACCTCTGGCAGCAATGGTGACGACCTTCTGAAGAACGCAAACGTGACGGAGAAAGATCTTGAGAAGGGTGATCCGGAAAAAGAAAGCATGTCAAGCTATAGCTACGAAACATCCGACGGTTCAGGCGACAGCGAGTATGACGATGATGAGGATGAAACGCCGTCGTTGGACGAAGAAAATCGTCCAAGAAACGGCGAGTCAGGTGGTCTCAAACGCAACAGGGCCGATACGCTTGTTCCATTCAAAGTGTTTGATGGCTCTGCACACGTCAAACGAGATGACGAGTCTGATGTGACCGCTATTGTTGGCTCTGAAATTGGCTCCACCCGGTCCAGGCCTTATTCCAGCAAATCGTTTCTCAAGAGGATGTCTGCAAAGAACGGACCGAAGCCGATTTCCGAGTCGAAAGAGGCCTTGATCCAGCAAGCGTGTGAGGGCGATGCAGATGGCCTGGACGAGGATCATGGACCATGCCCTAACGCTGCATCGGGCGGACCAAAGAGAGACGTAAATGCCACTGCTGATTATATCAAGGAGGAAGAAAAATCTTCTCCGGAAAATCAGGCTACGACACAAGATCAAGGAGAACAAAATAGACCAGCATTGAACGCAGTCGCCAGAGAACAAGAGGGCGAAGATTTGGAGCCTTCTCCAGGGAACAAACTTACCAAGCCCAAGACGAAGCAAGACAAGAAGTCCCGTCGTAAGAAGAGATCGGGCGACAGGCAGTATCTGGGGATCAAGGAGATGCTAGATGATAGCCAGTTCCTTGAAGACTGTCTAGCCAGCGACGAGCAAACGAAAGTCGACCAGCAGTCCGACGACCAACCCCAGCAGCAATCCTCTGAGCAAAGTAAGACGAATCCCAAGAGGAGAAAATCATCCAAGACTCCCAGAATCCCAGATTTGGAGGCCCAAGATTCTGTGAATGATGCTGCAGATGGTGAACCGGTCGAGGCTGCGCCAGCAGTCAGTAGACAGGAACCAGCAGTATCAATCGAGAAACCTCTGGAAGGCCAAATTGAGGCAAACCCTGAGGAAGGCCCTTCAACCTTGAAGGTTGAGTCTAATCTATCCTCTGAACCAGCAGAGCTCCCTGCTGCAGACCAGCCAAAGCCAGAATCTGTGCAGCCTGCGCCCGCCACTCAACAAGAGCCAGAGACTACAGAGTCGACTGCGAAACCACACGGTTCGAAAGCTGTAACAGTGGCAGTTGCAGCGAAATCTTCCGTATCGCCTGAACCAAAGAAGAAGACTGAGCAGTTGACAATGCAGAAGCTGCCCGATACCCGCCCCGAACCGGCAGCGAAGAAGGCAGAGAAGCCGAAGCTGACAGCAGAAACGGTCGAACAGATTCCGCGGCAGACCTCGCGTCTCGTTCTCTCCTACCGCACCAACGAGTGGGCGAAGCATCTCGCCAATGCAGATGCCCCCGAGTTCGACGCTTTGCAGCCCGTCCCTGAGGAGAGAAACGGAAAGGCCGCGGATGATGCCGAGGGAGCACCTGCAGAAGAGGCTGCTGTACCGGTGAATGTGCGGGAACTGCTGCAGACCCCGCTGGATGCACAGCCTCCGCCAGCTGTGATGGAGAAACGCCCCTCGATGTCCAAGGAGCGGCCACCATTGAGTCCCATCGAGGACCCTCGGCGGCTGGTGAGATCTCTGTCGAAGTCACCGCCGCCCCGTGAGTCCATGTCACGCTCCCACTCACGCAATCACTCGCGGACGGGAGTAGTGTCACCTCTGGCACAGTTGTCTCCGCGGAGCGCCTCGAAGTCGTTGACGAACCTGGCACAGTCGCCAACCGTTGCCTCACAGTCGGCCCTGCAAGCGAGCTTTGGCGGGATCCGCAATGCATCGAGCCCGCTGCTAACACGGCTCATGGCGGCCGAACAACCGCCGACGACGGGCGAGAAAGAAAACAAGGCCGGGGCGGCTGGCGGCCCCAAGGGAAGCAAATGGAAGGGACCCCCTCCGCTCCTTGCGGTACGGGAGAACATGATGCAGAACCGCATCACATCGGTGTCGATGAGCAATGACCCCTGGCAGTCACGAAGCCATACCAACGCGAATTATGAATTCTCGTCGGCCCGAGCCTCGCCGACTAGTTCAACGTTCATGGACGAAGACAACATGCCGCTGTCGCAGCGTCGAGCGATGATGAATAACCAACAGCAGCATCAGGCGAGATCATCGCCTCCTCCTCCTCCTCCCCCACCGCACGCTATACGCGGTCCACGGGCGATCGGTACTCCGGAGGCGACGATGGCTGCCTGGCGAGAAGCAGTGCGGGAGGAATTGACGCGCGAGGATCCGCTGGCCGGGCTGACCGCGTTGAGTGTCGGACTGGGAGGAGGAGGAGGAGGAGGGACAGGAGGAGGAACGGGAACAGGAACAGGAGGAGTTAACGGAATGTCTCGCAGTCCAACACCGGCAGCGACGGTCAGTCAAAGCCTGGACGCAGCGATCGCCGAGGGCATGCAAAAGGGGGAGATGGCGGAGCTGCACCGGGAAGCGATGCGGCGCATGCAGGCGTCTGCCAAACATAGGTAGAGGAGGAGTGAGTTAACGGAAGTATGAGGGACGACTGGACTAGTTGGTTGGGTTACTTGGAATCAACGCGTTAATAATATATAATCTGTGAAGTCGGAGTGTCAGTTCATCGTCCTATCTCCTATACTATACTACTAGACTCTAGTCCCTTGCCCCGGTCGATCCCATAGTATGAATACTCCGCTACATTTAGTTAATAACTAGTTAGTTAACTATTAGTTAACTGTCTATTTATGGAATCTCTGTAATAATTTCAGTTAATTAAATGACGTATCAACTCAGCGTTTGAGTACAGTTGGTTTATATGAGTATACGATATAGTGATTAACTATATACCACTGTGGCTATAATATAGAAGAGTAGGTATAGTAGTTGAGTACAGTAGTACCTACTGCCTCGTTACGATATGTCTAAAATCAATCGATTTACCTTGATACAGTTACAGTGACAGGGAGAATCAATTAACTCAATGCTCCTAATGATTAATTAATACTGGATCCAATATTGTATCTGTAATACGCTCTAAGCCTCGCCTTGCGCGATAGATCTCGTACCGGATTCTTATATAACCTCGACCATTCTCTCAATTATTTGATTCTATCTCATCTAGTTATTGCTTTCTAGATACTCCATACGGTCATCTCTATCTCTATTCTCTAGTTCTCTATTTTCTTGCTTTGTCCTGGTTCAATCTCCCTCTCCCTCTCTTCGTCTCTCCCTCTCCCCTCCACCATCTACCAACCTCCATCTCAATTATTATCATCACTCACTTCTAGCAATCCATCTCTTTCAATCCCATCAACTCCCAAGTAACTACTAACTAATTACCTACCTTTATGTGTTGTTACACGACCCTTGCCTTGCCCCTTTCCAGCCCGCCAATCGCCGGCCCCACCCACAGCCAGCTTCAGCTTCACTTTCGCCTTCACTTTGTCTCTCCTCCTCCTCCTCCTCCTCCTCTCTCTTTTCCCCTCTCCTCTCATCCACCACCACCACCACCACCACCACGGCGCGACTCACCGTCTCGCGCTCTCGCCTTCCATCGAACCCGACGGAAACCCTCGCCCTGTCCTCCGCCTCGCCCTCCGCCTCCGCCGCCTCTCTACCGCGCTCGCCGCCGACGGCTGCCGTCCGCCTGTGGAATCCCGTCAACCACGTCCCGCGTCTCACGCCCGCCGTCGCCGCCCCGTGTCTGCAACCCTGGCGCTCGCACGACAGTGACTCCCAGCCGCTCGACGCTGCCCACCGCGACGCCTCGCCGCTGTTGACCCTCCCCGAACGCCGCCGCAGTCGTCTGACCACCACCCCGAGTCCGAGTAGTCTGCTGGTCGAACGCAGCCCCGCCGAGTCCGAGAGCGGCCGGACCAGCATCGCCGTGCCGCGCGGACAGAGGCGAGCGGACTTGCTGCTGTTGTCTCAAGAAGAAAAAGAAGAAGAAGAAGAAGAAGAGACGGGGCTTGAGAATATGACCGAGACGGGTCCCCGGCCCCCGGACTCGGCTTTCCTCGCCCACCACGATGTGCCGCGCCATGTACCCTCGCAACCATCGTTGCGATCCCAATCCCAGATTGCCTCGGTGCCTTCGCAGACGGGAGGGGCCAGCAGCAGCGGAACGGGATTCGCGGGGGAAACAATGAATATAACCATGAACACGAATCATAACAACGAAGTGGCGGAGGAGCTCGCCTGGGGGCCCGCCCATCCGTGTTATCCGCATCACAACCCACACGTCTCGGTCGAGTCGGACGAGTACGAGAGCACGCGGATCATCCGCATTCGGCGCGACTGGATGGTCTGCGGCGACCTGGCGCCCACCTTTTCCAACCTCTACCCGGAGATCCTGGACCCGCTGCTGCCGGAGCAGGAGTTCCGCCGCATCATCGCCACCGTGAACGAGCAGCTTGTCCGTGCCTTTGACCCCTTCACACCCGGGACCTGGATCGATGGCGCGCTGGGCCTGCTCACCGGCTGGCTGTGGGAGGACGCGGGCGCCGCCCGCGTCAAACGCAACCTAGGCTCCGTCGAGGCGTGGCTGGAGCGCTGGAACCGCGACGTCGGCTCCAAAGACGGCGTGCGCATCTGGAGTCTACGGCGAACGGCCTACCTCTCGCTCGATATCCAGATCCCGGACCCGAAAGTGGGCATCATTCAGAGCGAGGGGGGGGTCTCCCTACCGGGCACGCGGCCTAGTAGTATGGCGAGATAACCCTCCATTACCTTTTAACTCTATTGACTTACCCTCATCAATCCTTCTATATCATCAAAGCATGATCTATCTGATCAGGATGATTATGACTGTCCTTTTTCGGCCCAGCGTTATGACCGACTGTATACTGAATCTGTATACTGAATCTGTATCTAAATGAATAATTCTAATTTTTAACAGATTAATAAATAATAAGATTGACCAGTAATAAAATAATTAATCTGTAGACAGTTGGTAACGGTTGGCAACCTTTATTATGAGATCCCCACTGTTTTCGTTTCTCCACCGTTCGCTCCAGACCGACGTCAGGCCAACTCGCACCTCGCACCCAGCAAACGCACCAGGCAAACCGCCACGATGCTGTCGGGAATCCTGATCTTCAATCAAAAGGGCGAGAACCTGATCTTCCGGGCGTTCCGCAACGACTGCCGCCCGCGCCTGGCCGACATCTTCCGCATCCAGGTCATCTCGAACGCGCAGGTGCGCTCGCCCATCCTGACGCTGGGGTCGACGACCTTCAGCCATGTGAAGCACGAGAACATCTACCTGGTGGCGGTGACGAAGAGCAATGCCAATGCCGCGCTGGTGTTTGAGTTTTTGTATCGCCTGATCGTGTTGGGGAAGGGGTATTTTGGCAAATTTGACGAGGAGGCCATCAAGAACAACTTTGTTCTTATCTACGAGCTGCTGGATGGTAGGCATTACACTGATATTTATATTTATATCTAACGCCTATACTGATTTCCTCTTTAGAAGTCTTAGACTTTGGATACCCCCAAAACACGGAAACCGACACGCTGAAGATGTACATCACGACGGAAGGGGTCAAGTCGGCGATTGCCAACTCGGCGACGGACTCGAGCCGGATCACGATGCAAGCGACGGGGGCGCTGTCGTGGCGACGGGCGGACGTGAAATACCGCAAGAACGAGGCGTTTGTGGACGTGATCGAGGACGTCAACCTGCTCATGTCGGCGACGGGGACGGTGCTGCGCGCCGACGTGACGGGCCAGATTGTCATGCGGGCGTATCTGTCAGGCACGCCCGAGTGCAAGTTCGGACTCAACGACCGATTATTGCTGGAGGGAGATAACATGACGAGTAGTCTGGGGGGTCGACTTGACAATGCGACCGGCAGCAGCAGCAGGCGGAAGAATAAGACCCGCGCGGCGGCCGGTTCCGTCACGCTGGAAGACTGCCAGTTCCATCAGTGCGTCCAGCTGGGACGGTTTGACGCCGACCGGATCATCTCGTTTGTGCCGCCGGACGGGGAATTCGAGCTGATGCGCTACCGCGCGACGGAGAACGTCAACCTGCCCTTCAAGGTGCACCCGATCGTACGGGAGATCGGGACCACAAAGGTCGAGTACAGCGTGGCGATCAAGGCGAATTACGGCTCGAAGCTGTTCGCGTCGAATGTCGTCGTTCGCATCCCCACGCCGCTCAACACCGCAAAGACCGTCGAGCGGACCTCCCAGGGCCGCGCCAAGTATGAGCCCGAACAGAACAATATCGTCTGGAAGATTGCCCGCTTCACGGGGGGCAGCGAGTATGTCCTTACTGCCGAAGCTACCCTGTCCTCCATGACGCATCAGAAGGCCTGGAGCCGCCCCCCGCTGAGCCTCTCCTTTAGTCTGCTCATGTTTACCTCCTCGGGCTTGCTGGTCCGTTACCTCAAGGTCTTTGAGAAGAGTAACTATAGTAGTGTCAAGTGGGTGCGCTACATGACCCGTGCAGGGAGTTATGAGATTCGTTTCTAGAATACTTCTCTACTCACTTTCTACTCCCTTTTAACTACTTCTATTCTTCCTGTGTTACCATATTAGGTGTTCATATTATTCATTATCATGCACCAGGCAGTACAAAGTAGAGTGTACAGAGTATAGTATAGTACAAACAAGAGTGGATATACAACAAAGAAACAAAGAAGAGAGGATAGTATAAAACAGAGTGGATATACAACAAAAACAAAGAAAGAAAAAAAAAGAAACAAAGAAAAGATTACCGCCACATGTCGATCGCAGGGCGTAATCGTCTTCCACCCCGTCGCAGCCCGACATCGCCGTCGCCCACGAGCGAAGCCCAGCGCCGGCCGATGCTGGCGTCGTCGCGGCCCAGGCGGCGCGCACACTCCGCCCAGTCGGACTGCGAGAGGTTGAACTTGGCCAGCACGGCGGCTACGAGACGCTCGTCGTCGTCGGCCGTCCAGTCATTGTGATTATCTCGCCGACTGCTCGACTCTGTGTCTGTGACTTCGATGGAAGGAATCGCGGCGTCTGGATCGATGGGCGACCGCGGTTCACTGCTGGGCGGCGAGTGGAGGGAATAGAAATCCGATGGCGCAAGACCGAGAGGGAGGTCGTAAGGAGCGTGCCTTGATCGTTTGGGTGTAGAAAATCTGTCTGCGCTATCTCCCTCTTCCTCTTCTCGTCTGCGCTTGTTGGCGCCTCGTGGTGGCTCTGGCTTCGGCGTCGCTCGAACCCGCGACCGTGTCGACCGGGGCGGCGTGCGTAACTGCAACGGGCTCTGCAGTCGTGCTGGTTTCTCACGTCGTGACGGGGGTGCTGGCGATCCACTGAGCAGCGACTGCAGAGCGCGACAGGTGCCCAGCAGGCCGTTGCCGGGCGGGTAGTAAGGATCTTCAGGCGGTGGTGTCGACAGCAGCCGACTCGCTGCGAAGCGCGAGGGGCGCAGCAGGTCGCACGGAAGAGCTGATGGGAGGAGCATAATATAAGAACAGTTGTATAGAAACAATAGTATAGAAACGGTTGTGGTTGTGATGGTTGTGATGGTTGTTGCGCTCGCAGTTTTGCGCCGGGCCGGTCTCGACGCGCAGAAAAAAGCCAACAGGGTCAAAACCCAGTGGAATCGATAGAGAACGACTCGTTCAGTCTGCTCAGTAACTTCCGAGATGCTGCGACAGACGGGGAGGTGGTGGTACGATGACAGACGCGACGGAGCAGCGGTGGTGGTGAGGAATGAAAGTCGGCGGGGGGGGGGAAAGCAACGGGGCAACGCTGGAGTTTTAACGGCGCCGGAAACGGCGTGAGTGACACAACCCACTCTTGCTTTAATAATAGATCAACGACAATGAATTAAAGGCTTTGATGCAGCTTCTGGGGGGGTTTTAGTAGTAGAGGAGTGCTGTAGATGTATTATCTATTACTTCATCTTTGAATGTCCTGCTCTGACTGAGACATACATGAAGGAGACGCCCCTGGATGCACTACGCAAGGCACCACTTGATACAGTACAGAGTACTCTGTATACTTTATACACAGGATTACTACCTACCACTGGCTAGAGGTATTAGACTTACAGGATAGAGGATCTCCTGCTGCTGCATGCACTCCAGACTGCGGCAATGCAGCTGTCAGAGGGTCTACCGAGTACAGGGTATCTACACTGTATAATACAGAGGCCTTTACTAGATAACTAAGATAGTATTAGTAGTTACTAGGTATCTTCTAGGTATGATTCTATGACTCCTATACTCCGCCCACCACCTTCATTCTCGCCCTCTGCTATCCTTCTCACCCTGTAGACATAGATATATAAACCATGGTTCTCTCGATAGTCTCTATAATTAAATATTCTATGTCTATATCTTTGTCTAGTCTTTGTCTTGTCTTGTCTTGTCTTGTCTTGTCTTTGTCTTTGTCTTTGTCTTGTCTATTGCATTTCCCACGCGCGTCCCTCGCGCGTCCCTGACGCGGTATCTCGCGTGTTTGCGTGTCGACCAATCAGCTCGTTCAAAAAATGGCGCATCAATCTATCCTCTTTGGGAATCTGTTGACACCACCTCATATTGACTTGGATACAACTACATATACTCCGTGTTCCAAGTGGACAGACAGTGGACAGACAGTTGACAGTACAGTACTGTCTTACCTGTAAATCAAGCACGCGCTCTACAGTCCCGCAGGAGGCTGAATCTCGCATCTTATCGTCCCTTGCAGCTGCATTCCTCGGCGTGGCCTCCAGGAGTCCTCCAGGAGTCCTCCCTTTATCCATACAGGAGATATCGCATGGCTACAGAGTACAGATTACAGGGTACTCTACACCCTGTACTCCGTACTATCACGGGATGAGCCGCCCTGCACTGCATCCCTGCCTTGCTTCGACGGCTGTCAGTAGGATCGTGCGTTATCTTGCAGAACATCTACTCGGGCAGACGCATGGGCGTCTGCATGCATGATATTGCTACTTAAGTATACATACTAGGTACTGTCTAGATATCAAGGAAGATACTAGATACTATAGTGCCTAAAACGAGATCTTCATCTGATCTTCACCTGATCTTCACCAGATCTCACCCTAGGATAACAGGATCCCAGCCACTCGATATCTACTCCTTATCACTACCAAGGTGTATGACTCGGCCAGCCTCCATCAGAAGGCCCTGAATACGCATGCAAGGGGTTACTAGGAAAATCTCCGAGTGGAGGGATGTCATGGCAGGGCTGTGCAGGTACAGTGCAACAAGTCTTGTACAGAGTATAGAGTACAGAGTATCTAGGTACTAGTCTTTGTGTCAGTATCTAGATAACTAGTAGGTACTAGTATCGCTACAACTATTCTAACTGGTTACTCCGTACAAGGTATACTTCCCTGGATAGTCCTTGATCAGTGCCCTGTCTGCCCTTTCTAGGATCTATAACAGTCCTTGTCAAGGGAGCCCATCGCAAAGTAAACCCCTCTATCACATCATACTTTCAAAACTTTTCAGTGTAAAAAAAAAGAACAGTAATAATCCTCAATCCCTCATGCCATATCTGTATCCGTATGGAATATGCCGCTTCTCTCCCGTGATACAATTGTCGACTTCCTCGTACACTCCCTCTTCTACAGGGGGACTAGTCTCTTCAACTTGCTCTGTCTGCTGGATTCCGTACTCATACACAACGAGTGAACCACATGATTGTTCCATCTGGTTGCTCGCTTTCATTAGACGCTTCCGCCGGTACGATCCTCCCTCCGGGTCGGAGAGTGTTATAGAACATCCTGATCGATGCTCCTCGGGAATCTCTTCGTCATATACCTCCGAAGACAGAGGCGTGTCCCCCCGTAGACTGCCCGAGTGCAAGGCAGAGCTCGAGGTAGGAGACCCCCGCAAGTCATCGGCCACCCTGAGAACCATCGGTGCACGGCGCTGGCGCGGTTCCCAGTTCTGAATCGCCCGTCGGTACAGTTCTTCAAACCCCTGGCGGTGTGCCGCGTTGGTGAACCAGTTGTGCTGCACGGCTTGCTTCACGTCCATCCGCTCCATCTCGTCGAGAACGAGGAGTCGCCGGATGAAGTCTGTCGCGCGTTTCCCGGCGTGCACTCTTCTCAGGTCCATCTCCAATAGTTCTAGGTCACACCGGCGAGCACGTTCGACAGAGTACTCGTAGGTCGATGGATCTCTGAATGGGGACCCGCCTGTTAGCAGCACAGCAGCGATGCAGCCCACTGACCAGAGATCCACGGCCTTGGTGTATCCTGATTTGCTCAATACCACTTCTCTATATCCGTTAGAAGGTAGAAGGTAGAAGTTGGAAGTAAAGCTTGACTCACGGAGCGCTGTATTCAAACGTTCCCACAAGGGTGCCCATCCGCGTGCTTCTCGGCTTCACGAATCTGGCACACCCAAAGTCGGTCAGGACAACCCGGCATCCATCCGCCAGCGAGGTCATGAGGATATTGTCCGGCTTGAGGTCCCGATGGACAATGTCTCGCTCGTGCAGGTATTCCAGTGCTAGCAGGATCTGGCGGACGACGACTGCAGCCTCGATGTCGCCCAGTCGACCGCCTCGTCGCTCCAGAAACGAGAACAGGTCGCCTGCGGTGATGAGCTCTTGAAAGAGGTATCTGCTGGTTCAGTATCTGGTGTCATAATAAAGATGCATGCTGGCCCTTACACAGTATTCGTGGTCTTGATCACCATCTCCAAGCCAATAATGTTCGGCTAGAGATTATTACCATCAACATGGCACAGAAAGAGAACAGGTGTTGAAAACACTCACATGGCAGACCATCTGGAGAACGTTGGCCTCTCGATCATACGCTTTCAGCCTTCTCCGAACCTCTCTCGACAGGCGTCTCGCCGAAAGTCCATTCTCGCGTGGAAAGAATTTCGACGTTCCCTCCACCCTTTTGAACCGGCTCAAATCAACAATCTTACAAGCGAGTTGCCCGCCAGTCTCTCGATCAATCGCCATATGGACCTTTCCGTACGCCCCGGAGCCCAGCTTGCGGCTCGTAAGGGTATAGTATTCTCCAAACAGCTAGCCAGTCAGTGAGACAACTCAGAAAGAGGAGAGAAAAAAAGAAAAGTTTACCTCCATCTCTCTCAATTGAGTATTTTCAAACGGAGATTCCTCTCGAAAATTCCCACATCGAAACTCGAGATAATACCCCGGTGACAAGGCAAGGATATCACCGTCACTAAGAAGAACCCCTCCAACCTTCTTCCCCATCGGAGACCCGTTCCAAAGCGTGCCGTTGCGAGACAGATCCTGCGCGTACACGAGAGGCGATACCTCGCCCGGGTTATCTTTGTCGAAGAGGACGGTGTAGATGCGGAGATGTCTATTGGAGACGTGCAGATCTTCGACGACGAGTCGACTAATAGAGTTAGAGAGTACACCCATCCTCATGAAGTATCCTTCAAACAATGCTCTTGACTGACCAGGTCTTGCTGTCTCGACCAACGTATATCTCCTGGCTGCTGTATATATCTAGGGGACTGGGCCGGTGGTCCATTCGTGAAACCCGGCAGATCAGCGTGCCGACGAGGATACCGGGGTCTGGAGGACTGGAGTTGAACATGGTTAAAGATATGAAGAATAATTAAGACGGTGGTTTCGTGAAGATGGAGGGAGGCTTCTCGGTGGGAGACGTAGCCTGTAGGTAGGCCTGGCAGGTGACCTGCAGGGGATACCACTAAAATATAACACCAGCAAGTTCATGAAATATATATGTGGTAAAAGATATACGGAAGAAGATTTACTCATTCTGTACATTGCATTTCATGTCTATCTACAATTCAAGTCGTAATCTAGGTTATGGACCCTGCATTCGCCGCATACGCTCCTCGGCTGCTCTCGCGCGGCGCTCTCGTTCAAGTCTCATCCGCATCTCTGGAGTCATCCCGCGCGTCTCTTCGTCGCGCTTCTCGGCCGCGGTCTTCTCGACGGCTCCGAGACTGCGGCCGCCAGGTCTCCTGGCGTCCCAGGACGGGGCTACCTTGGCGGCATCTGCTTCTTTCTTCAGGCGCTCCATTTCGGCGGTTCGACGGTTCTGTTCCTCCTCGTCGGCCGTCTTGCGTTCGCGTTCCGCGCGGCGATCCGAGTCGGCTTTGGAGATCGCTGACGGAACACGTGAGGCATCCCAGTCCCATTTGGATTCGCCTAGCTCATGGCGAGCAACGCGGAAGGCGTCCCGGGTGGCTCGGTCACCGGCGAGCTCGAATGGTGTCCTGCCCTCGCTGTTGGGTACGGTTGGGTCCGCACCGGCCTTGGTGAGGAGAGCCGCCACGACCGATGGCGAGTTGGAATTGGCAGCGAGATGGAGAGGGGTAGGGCACCGGAAGTTCTGTGGAGAGTCGGACGGCTTGAAGGTGAATGAAGGAGGGATCGAGCTGTTGCTGATATAGGACAGTAGAGCCGGTATTTTGGAGCGGCGAATAAGGGCGTGGATCTGGGTAGTGTGGAGTATTGCAGCTTCTTCCTCCTTGGACAGCTTGGGCTTCTGCGGCTGCTGCGGCCGCGGCGTGGATGGTTTGGAGGAGACCTGCTCGGCCTTCTTCTCCGCGCTGATCAGAGCAACCTGGTCCACCTCGCTGACTTTGACCCGAGTGAGTTCCTTGAAGCATCTCATCAGTTCGGCCTGCGTAGCCCGTCGCGTGCTGAACGGGAAGCCTCGATTTCTGAGGTCATTATTCCTTAGGACCTGTCCATCATACGGACCAAAAAGAATTTTCCGATTCGTACTTCCCGTCGCTCGAATGAAGAGCAACTCGGCAGAATCGATCATTTCCTTCCATTCTGCCAACAGCTCTCGGATCTCCTTCTCAAGAGCCGCCTCGTTGTACCGTCTCAGGCTCGAACCGGCCGAATGCGCTGCTCCCTTGGCAGCATCGTTCGCAGACTGCGAACCACCTTGTTTCCGCCGTGTCGTGTAGCGGTGAAAGGTTTTGTGTGCGATCACTCGAGCTTGCCTCTCATCTACACCTCCTTGCCTGCGGTGGATCTCCGGGGCCAGCGACACGACCATTGCCGCAAAATGACCACCCCCGATCATACACATGAAGATACATGGAGACGGGGTCGAAGGCGCCGCCGGCTCCGCCTTCCTCTGAGCGCTGACGGGGGCCAGTTGCTTCTTTCGCAATGAGTCCACCAGATGAGCGGGCTCGTCTTGCTCGGCCTCTGTGAAGAGTGCTCGGTAGACACCCAGCGAGATATTTGGCGGAAACAAAGAGCTGGACAGCCAGAAAATGGGGCTTTTGCCAGCATTCTGCTTTGCAGGCATGTTTCTTTCCTGTTCTCCCGCTGCCTGTGAGATCTTCGCCTGTCTCTTCAGCAAGGCCGTCAGAGTCACATCAGCCAGTGTCTCGTCTTCATCTTCGTCCGCCTCCGACGATTCGGACCCGGAAATGGACTCGTCCAGCTCTCCTATCGCCGTTGAAAAGGTCACCTCATCCAGAGTAGGGTTCCCCCGCAGCTGCGCCTTCAGGTTATATCTATGGTGATCCGACCGCACATGGCTCCGTTGTTCCTGCACGTCGGCAAACGAGACCTTGCAAAGAGCACAGGAGGTGGACGTCGCGACTGCATATTCCTGGGTTGTCACATCCGGGGTCTCGCTGGGTGTTTCGATCGCTTCTCCCACCGCGACCGGTTGGTCGGCAGCTTTGGTGGTGAACGTCGAGAGGAGCTGCGGTGGTAGGTCATACACTGGGCGGATTAGCGCTGAAAGCATGGGAAACGACAGTGTGAATCGATCTCACCATACAGTGGCCTCCTCAGTAGCTCGTCTGAAGCCGTATCGGCCGCCATGACGTCGTAGTCGAGGGGATTCGTGGAGGGGTAATCAATACTCTCTTGACAGTCCCACGGCGTAAATGAAATAATACCCCAGAGTTACTGCCACCGCCTTCTGAGGGGCAGACAGATAGAATAAATCAAATATCTATTCTTTGACCAGTAATTGATAACTAGTTAACCATTTATTCTTTTATTTTTATATATGTTTGTATATATATATATATATTTCAGCTTGAGTAATACTGGCACTTGACTCATCTGTTAGTCACTTCGTATAGAGGAACACTCAACACTGAACAGAGCTCCAGCTCCACAGCTCATTATTAATATTTGACTTGAAGCTTCTATGGAGCACAGAAGTAAGCTATTTCCCTTATTATTAATTGTCAGAGCTTAGCTATACGCCTGTTGTGATTGGAGATATCAAAAACCTGTAGCTGTACCGGCCTCAGGCAGGTCTAATCACATACTAATGATTGATTTTGGACAGCTTCAATGAACTCGCGATTTAGCCTTGACTCATTCTGAATTCTTGATATAATCGACGTTCTAAATTCTTAATACAATCGACATTCTGATTTGTTCTTAATATACCATAGACACAGCTATAGTCCATTACGTATGCAGGAGGCTGAGAGGCTCCCGTATGACGTCACGTGATAGCTCTTCTACTGTCGAGCAGCGCCTGCGAGGGATGGAGTTTCGACGTGGACAGACTGTCTTTACTCAGCCAATAACTATACTAAAAAGCGCTCTGATTCTTTATTCCCTTATTATTAATTATTATCCTCATCTTATCTCCTTATGGTAACTCCGACTCCGGCTATAAGTTGGTTACTAACACGCCCTCGTTAGTCAGCAGAGCTTATCCTGCACCTTTTTATCGACGAAGCCGAGCAGCAGCAGCTCTTTCTTCTTGTTTCTGGCCTTGTCCTTACCCTGTGCGGCAGCTGAACCACGATTGCCCCGGAAAAGATGCTGGAGGGCAATCTCCAGGCGATTCTGGGAGACTCCCAGCTGTCTCGGTCGTCGCAGACCCTTGTGTCTCCATCCGCCTCGCGTCGACACCAGCTCTTCTGCGGCAATGCCGAGGGCTGGGGTCCATTGAGTCCCTACCTGTTCGATCTGACGCCATGTTTCCTGGATCTCACCGTTGCCCTGGTGGCCATCTTTGGCCTGGTTCTGGGCGCCGGAGCCCTGTGGCTTCTGTTCAACAAGCGGTCTCCGCAGCCGGTGCCGAAGAATTGGCATTTCTATGCGAAACTGGTAGGTTCTGCCTCTGCGATGATGAAATGGGAGGAAAACACTCCGTAACTGACCACTTTGGGCTTCGTGTGCAGACTGTGTTGGCTACTCTGATCCTCGCCACGGCGCTGCAAGCTTCCCTTCAGGTCGAGACGGACACGAATCTCGGCTTCACTGATATCCGCCTCTGGGCGTCAATCCTGACACTGGCCTCCCTTGGGGTCATTTATGCCGTTCAATACTACGAACATTGGCGCAGCAGACAGCCTAACGGCGTCGTGCTCTTCTACTGGGTCTTTTTTATCGTCGTGTACGCTATCAAGCTGCGTTCACTCGTCGCCCGCAAGCTGTACGAAGACCAGCTGCCGTATTTTATCACTTTCTGCGTGAGCTTGGGTTTGGCAGTTGTGGAATTCCTCCTTGAATATCTCGTGCCGAAGAAGCAGAGTGCGTACGATGCGCTGGGCGACGAAGATGAATGTCCCTACGAGTATGCCGACGTATTCTCCGTCCTCACCTTCAGCTGGATGACGCCGTTGATGAAACACGGGTACAAGAACTTCCTCACCCAGGATGACCTGTGGAACCTACGCCGCAGAGATACCACGCGCACTACGGGGGAGACCTTGCAGAAAATCTGGGAGCACGAGTTGACCAAGAAACAGCCCTCCCTCTGGCTGGCTCTGTTCAAGGCGTTTGGCGGCCCCTATTTTCGCGGAGCAATCATCAAGTCGGGAAGTGACATTCTCGCCTTCGTTCAGCCCCAGCTTCTCCGCCTTCTCATCAGCTTTATCGACTCCTACCGGTCGGAAAACCCCCAGCCGGTCATCAGAGGCGTGGCGATTGCGATCGGCATGTTCCTGGTCTCCGTATCGCAGACCATGTGCCTCCACCAGTACTTCCAGCGAGCTTTCGATACCGGTATGCGCGTCAAGTCCGCCCTCACCGCTCTGATCTACTCCAAGTCCCTCAAGCTGTCCAGCGAGGGCCGTGCGTCCAAGACCACCGGCGACATCGTCAATCATATGGCCGTCGATCAGCAACGTCTTGCCGATCTGACCCAGTTCGGTATGCAGCTCTGGTCCGCGCCTTTCCAGATGATCCTGTGCATGGTCTCTCTCTATCAGCTCGTGGGCGCCAGCATGTTTGCAGGTGTGGCTGTGATGATTCTCATGATCCCACTGAACGGGGTGATTGCTCGATTCATGAAGAAGCTGCAGATCGTTCAGATGAAGAACAAGGATTCCAGGACCCGGCTGATGACCGAGATCCTCAACAACATCAAAAGCATCAAGTTGTATGCCTGGAATACTGCTTTTATGAACAAACTCAGTCACATCCGCAATGATCTAGAGCTCAATACGCTGCGCAAGATCGGAGCGACGCAGTCCATCGCCAACTTCACCTGGCAGACCACGCCCTTCCTTGTCTCTTGCTCCACCTTCACGGTCTTCGTCTTGACTACCGATCGACCCATGACCACCGAGATTGTTTTCCCTGCGCTGACGCTCTTCAACCTGCTCACCTTCCCTCTGTCCATCTTGCCGGTCGTGATTACATCGATCATCGAGGCGAGCGTGGCGGTCAATCGCTTGACGGATTACTTCACCGCGGAAGAGCTCCAGCCCGATGCCGTCAACTTCCAGGACCCTGTCACCCATGTGGGAGACGAATCCGTGCGTGTGCGTGATGCTTCCTTCACCTGGAATCGCTACAAGGAGGACTGTGTCCTGCAGAACATTGATTTCAGCGCCCGCAAGGGCGAACTGAGCTGTATCGTCGGCCGTGTTGGCGCCGGCAAGTCTTCTCTGCTCCAGGCTATGCTGGGCGATCTGTGGAAGAAGAATGGCGAGGTGGCCATCCGCGGTCGCATCGCCTACGTCGCGCAACAGTCCTGGGTGATGAATGCCAGTGTCCGTGAGAACATTGTCTTTGGCCATCGATGGGATCCGCATTTCTACGACCTGACCGTCGAGGCTTGTGCCTTGGTGGAAGACTTCAAGACCCTCCCCGATGGCGACCAGACAGAAGTCGGAGAACGAGGCATCTCGCTGTCCGGTGGACAGAAGGCTCGTCTGACCCTGGCTAGAGCCGTGTATGCTCGTGCGGACATTTACCTGCTGGATGATGTTTTGTCGGCGGTCGACCAGCATGTCGGCCGTCACCTCATCAACAAGGTCCTCGGGAGCAACGGTATCCTGAACGGCAAAACTCGGATTCTCGCAACCAATGCCATTCCTGTTCTCAAGGAGGCCGACTTCATCGCCTTGCTACGCGAAAAGACCTTGATCGAAAAGGGCACCTACGAACAGCTCATGGCCATGAAGGGTGAGATCGCCAACCTCATCCGGACCACTTTGGCCGATTCGGACGAGGAAGGGTCTTCTACCACCAGTGGCACGGAGGAGGACAGCCGCGGTCTCGCCAGCCCCGAAAGCTCAGAGGTCGCCACCGTGACCGGGAACGACGACTCTGAGGATTCCGATCTTGACGAGGCCGAACGGGAGATCGGCTCGCTTGCCCCCATCCGAGCGGCCGCCGACGGTCCTCGTCGTACGAGCACGGCGACTCTCCGCCGGGCCAGCACAGCAAGCTGGCAGGGCCCGCGCCGCAAGCTCGCGGACGAGGAGAATGTCCTCAAGAGCAAGCAAACCAAGGAGTCCTCGCAGCAGGGTAAGGTGAAATGGAGTGTTTACGGTGAATATGCTAAAAACAGCAATGTGATTGCCGTCTGCTTCTACTTGTTTGCCCTTTTGGCCAGCCAGACGGCTCAGGTTGCAGGGAACTTCTGGCTGAAGAGATGGTCTGAAATGAATGAACGACAAGGGGTGAACGCCGACGCTGGCAAATATGTTGGCATCTATCTGGCCTTTGGCTTGGGATCCTCCTTGTTGGTTATTGTCCAGAACCTGATTCTGTGGATTTTCTGTTCCATCGAGGTAGGTAAAAAAAAAAAAAAGAAAAGAAAAGAAAGAAAAATCTTTCTCCCCCTCCCCCCCTCCTCTAACAGTGAAAGTGTGGCTTAATTAATCTATGACAGGCGTCACGCAAACTTCATGAGCGGATGGCGTTTGCGATTTTCCGCTCCCCAATGAGCTTCTTTGAAACAACACCGTCCGGTCGAATTCTCAATCGGTTCTCCAGGTGGGTCATGCGAGTGTGGTAGGCCTTGATGGAATCCTGTTTGGCTGACGAGACTCGTCTTTTTTTTAGTGACATCTATCGAGTCGACGAGGTCCTAGCTCGTACTTTCAACATGGTTTGTGCTCCCGCCAGAATAACAAGGAAAAGTTTAAATGAGAGTCCAAAAAGGTTTGCTGACTATCGGGCGTGCACCAGTTGTTTGCCAATTCGGCACGGGCGCTGTTTACTATGCTAGTGATTGCCTTCTCTACCCCTGCGTTCCTGTTGCTTGCCATCCCATTGGGGTGGGTTTACCTCAGCTATCAGAAGTACTATCTGCGGACGTCGCGAGAGTTGAAGCGTCTGGACAGTGTGACCCGCAGCCCGATCTACGCGCACTTCCAGGAGTCGCTGGGGGGCATCTCGACCATCCGTGCGTACCGACAGGAGAACCGGTTCGCCCTGGAGAACGAGTGGCGCATGGACGCGAATCTGCGCGCGTTTTTCCCGTCGATCGGGGCCAACCGGTGGCTGGCGGTGCGGCTGGAGTTCATTGGGTCGATCATCATCTTTGCGTCGGCCATTCTGGCCATCATCTCCGTCACGACGGGCAGCGGGCTCTCCGCGGGCATGGTCGGTCTGGCCATGGCGTACGCCCTTCAGATCACGGCGTCGCTCAACTGGATCGTGCGGCAGACGGTCGAGGTCGAGACGAACATCGTCTCCGTCGAGCGGGTGCTCGAGTACGCCAACCTCCCGAGCGAGGCACCGGAGGTGATCTTCAAAAACCGCCCGACCATCGGATGGCCGGCGCAGGGAGCCGTCTCGTTCAAGAACTACAGCACGCGATATCGGGAGGGTCTCGACCTGGTACTCAAAGACATCAACCTCGACATCAAGCCGCGGGAGAAGATCGGTGTCGTCGGTCGCACGGGAGCGGGCAAGAGTTCTTTGACCTTGGCCTTGTTCCGAATCATCGAACCAGATCAAGGAAGCATCAGGTGAGTTTATTTATTATATATATTACCATATGACGTGCTAATCAGATGACTCTCAAGTATCGACGATCTCAATGTGTCATCGATCGGGCTGTTCGATCTACGCGGGCGTCTTGCGATCATCCCCCAGGATCCTGCCATGTTTGAGGGCTCCCTGCGTGACAATCTGGACCCGCGTCATGTCCACGATGACACGGAGCTTTGGAGTGTACTAGGTAGGCTAGGTTTCAGCTGTTTAGACAGGTTGGCACTGCAAGCAGAACAATGACTGACCGTATGTTTTTTTTTTTTTTTTTTTCTTCTTCTACAGAGCATGCCAGATTAAAGGACCATGTGGCCAGCATGGAGGGACAGTTGGATGCCTCGATCACAGAAGGAGGTAATTCTTTCTCCCCCTCTGAAGAAAAAAAAAAAAAAAGAAAGAAAGAAAGAAAGAAAGAACGAAAATTAATCTCGATCAGGTTCCAATTTGAGCCAAGGACAGCGCCAGCTGGTCTCTCTTGCGCGGGCGCTTCTGACACCCAGCAATATCCTTGTTCTGGACGAAGCGACGGTAAGTCTTGTCATACTTCCCCGTTTCCCCCGTTATTTTCTTGATTTCTAGCTTCTTCTCTGTGGCAACTGGGTTCTTTTTTTGGCTTTCTTTTCTTTTCTTTTCTTTTCTCTTCTTTTCTTTTCTTTTTTCTTTTTTCTTCATGCAGGACTAACGGTGTAGGCTGCGGTGGATGTGGAAACGGACGCTCTGCTGCAGCGCACCCTGCGGAGCAGCGTGTTCCAGGAGCGGACCATCATTACGATCGCACACCGGATCAACACGATCATTGATTCGGACCGGATTGTAGTTCTGGACAAGGGGCGGGTGGCCGAGTTCGACACGCCGGCGGCCCTGATCCAGCGCGGGGGGCAATTCTACGAGCTGGTCAAGGAGGCGGGTCTGTTGGAGGTGGCGGCTTCGTCGTAAGGGAGAGAGGGAGTCCCGAGTTTACAGGAGGCTAAAGGCTGTACCGAACTCTCACTGGTCGGGGGAAGCGGGAGCAAAGCCCTGGCGGCGCGAAGATCTGGAGGGGATTGGCAATGGCTTGCTGCAACGCCCTGTCTGTCATTCCGGGGGGTTCCCGGTCCTGTCTCTCTGTCTGTGCGTCTCCCCCGGCGGGGACGGAATACACCGCGTTCTCCGTGTATGTATGTATGTATGTATGTATGTATGTAGGATGGGTCTCGGAGATTTCTTTTCATCGTCTGTAAGTCATAGTAGTACTTTGTTAACTACTACTAGTACATGAAGTATCTGACATGTCACCATTACGCCGCTTGCATAGTAACTACACTATACGGAGTACGGAGTAGTACGGAGTACATCCAGTATAGTTAACTAGAACTACTATCGTTACTATAGTTATATTAATTACTATAGTTACGGAGTACGGATACTATAGTACATAGTACATAGTACTATAGTTTATTCCAAATCGTTCAGTGTCGAGAGTTCAGTCCTTGCGTGATCGGTGGCAGGGATCAGATCTCGCATGGCCGGGATTCTGGTTCTCGGGACAGTGGGATGGGTCTAATCAAGGAAGTACGGGACCTCGTACCAAGAAATACTACATAGAACTAGTTAGTAGTTAACTACCCAGTAGTCAGTTAGTGAGTTCATAAGTCTATGTGTGGGGCGGAGAAGAGTCCCAACAATAAGAAGAAGGTGGCGCGAGGCTGAAGACTAATTTCCAATGAATATATGAGCCGATCAGGGCCGTAAGAACTACTCCTACTAGTTACTAGGTAAGTACTACAGTACTTAGTAGTTACCTAGTAACTAGTAGGAGAGTTACCTGAATACTGTAACATGGTCTAGCGGCCCGCCCCGAGACCCATGGGTCTGACACCGAAGAAGAAAACATGGCGGCTAAGGATGTTACATGTGTACTCTGAAACTAGACAAGTGGCTAGTTTAGTCTGGGAGACTAGAGGAATTATTCCTCCGTGAATACCAGTCGAATCACTTATTCCCCGACTGGTGTGCGGTCTTCATCGGTGGGGCGTCTTTCGTCATGAGTATTTCCTATACTAAGTATAGTATAGTATAGTATAGAGTATAGCATAGTATATAGTATATAGTATAGTATAGTATAGTATAGTATAGTATAGTATAGTTAGTATCTATATAGTATGTATAGTATGTATAGTATGGTAGTATGTATAGAGTATGTCTCAACCGTGACGTCGACTTCCATCGACCAGGTTTCGAGTACTCCGTACGTCTAGTTCTATTAGCAAAGTCTCTGCGGTTGGACCCCCCGGATCGCTTCCCCGATTCTGCACGGAGATTATCTGTAGTACTTTCGACTCGGTCTTGACCTGTACTGTAAGATTGTACCAGGTCTACTACCTAGTAGGTACCGTACCTACTAGGTACCTACCTAGGGACTAGAGTGTAGACCGAGATAATGCGAGATCTAATTTATACAAAACTCAGACTACTACTATCTACATACTAATTACTTATACTTATAAGAACAGAATCATAGCGGTGTGCATGCCACGTTGCAGCAGGGATCGTGAGATGGTTTATCCCTTCGAGTCATTGAGCGTTGAACGTTGACTACTACCACTACCTACTAACTACCAAGCAGGACTACAGATACTACTAGGTACTAGAGAGGTACTACCTAGTACTTGGTGTTACCGCACAGACATCGGCATTAAGTACCGGAACCTAGGCAGTACCAAGTACAAGTACTAGTACCTACTATTCCTAGGTACTCCGTACTAGTTAGTACTCTCTGTAGGTACGGAGTTCCCGCTCCTTCGCCCCCCTCCCTTTCCAGCACTGACAGCAGAACGGGCTAGACCGGATCGCTGCGAGCCAGACAGCCGGGGCAGCACTCGATCGGTGTGATCTCGAGATCATCGCCGGGCATTGGTCAGATCTAGAGGACTCTGAAGATTGGGGAAATTTACGGGAAGCGCCATGCTTCGTAAAAGGCCGACGAATATGATAGATAACGTAGTCTGTTGGCTTCCTAGTTGGGACTAGCAGTTCTACGGAGTACATACGGAGTACCTAGTCCGAGTAGTATGTAGTATGAGTAATATGAATATGTAGTATGAGTAGTATGTAGTATGAGTAGTATGTACTAGGTAGACAGTAGTATCAATATAGTTCATGTACTCTTCCATATCATCGGGCTCTCGGTGTTTGCTGACGGAACCTAGCCGAGTAGGATAAAGAGTATACGTATGTTACCTACCTACTAGGTAGGTACTAGGTACCTACTAGGTAGTACCTACCTGTATTTGTGTACTGCATGGACCGACAGTACTAATGGCTTGCGTGGGTATGCGGGAGGCACAGACAGACTGTCATTGGCTCGGAAGAAAACCATGACAGATCCGCGATCGCCGGAGCCGTAATGCTTGTGACAGTACGGCCGGTACCTGTCTGTATCGCACTTACGACAAAAGTACCAACCCGCCTGGAGAAAGAGAGAGGTACTTTGTCCCTGGCTCGGTAGTTAATCTCCTATCCATTAATCTCCTCGGCATTGATTACTCCTATACCTACTAGTAGTATACCTACTAATATACCTGGTAAATATTTCAAGTACCTGACTAAGGTAGCCTTATTCTAATCCTCAGATAGGGGGTTCAGGGAACCTGGCAGACAGAACGAAGACCTAGGGAATAGCTAGGGATCTAGCCACCGAGTAGTTAGTTCTCTACTCACTAGCTAGACTCCAACTAAACATCTGAAAGTCAATGGGAGGCATAATAACCAGTAAATGTACCAAGGTTCGTATTAAATATGACAGGATCGACACTCCGCCAGGGTCATCCATGCTCCCAGTCCGCCTGGCCAGACGCCCCAATCGGGCCAGCCGATTCGCCTGTCACTCATATAACCTCCTTCCTCCCTCGCTCCAAACCTCACCTGTTATGTCTTCACTCTGCCTCCAGTCTTGAAGTTTCTCCTCCGGAGACTTCTCACTTTTGATCCTTCTTTTCATCTCCAGATATTCTACCTCCCTGGCGCACCATGGTCATCGCTTCAGCTCCCCTCTCCTCCAGGAAGAGGCCTGCTCCTGACCACGACGTCTCGAGCTGGGGGACTGCTCCGGTGAGTCTTTCTGCCAGTCTCTGCCAGTCTTTTCCGTCAAAGAAAGAAGAGAAGAAGAAGAAGAAGAAGAAGAAGAAGAACTCTGACTGACATCTCAGCCTATGCCTCCCGTGGCTTTTCAACGTCCTATCCGCATCCCCTACGCCCACTACGCCCTGGTCTATCTCGACGATACCGGAAAGCTGCAGATCGACGAGTCCCCCTCCATCCAGAATCACAGTCTCACCATCTTTACTCCGGATGTCCAGCGTCGCTTTCTCGACTGTCTCAACGCCAAGGGTGACTACGTCCAACCTCCCTATTCTCGTATGTTCTCTCTCTCTCTCTCTCTCTCTCTCTCTCTCTCTCTCTGTGTATATTTGAGCTCACGAAAAAGGCCCCTCTATCAGACTTCGCGACCCTAGCGTCGTGTATGGCTACGATCATAGTTGGTCGTCTGGTCAGGAGGCTAAGCGCCGCAAGGCGTCCGATCAGCCTGCCCCCGCCGATGATCAGCATGCTGCCGGCGAGGACTTTGACATGGTCGAGATGGAGATCGGCAACACTGACAGGCTGCTCGCTTTCTACGAAGACGGCCTCAAGCGCATCCAGCAGACTAACTGCCGTGTCTTGGCCAAGGCCTTCATCAAGCACATCGAACCCAAGAAACAAGTCAAGCATCCTTATAATGGCCGTCGCCCGCGTGGCTCCCCACCCGGTACCAAGGGTAACCCGGAACTCACCAAGCCTCCATGGTGGGCTCCGGGCATCATGCACAAGGAGCCCGACCATATCCAGAAAGGACGTAAGTCACGGCGTCGCCTTGAGCACCGGCGGATTTGTAATATATGTACCATACTGACTGATAAACAGCGCGCATCTGCTTGTTGTTGCACATTCTACGCAAGCTGGCCGGCTACGGAATCACCTCGGATGGCCTGAAGGAGGTCCTGCTGGACAACAAGCGCACCCTCGACCAGAACGACAACCTGGAGAAGAAGAAGGGCAAGAAGGAGCCTTCGTTCAACATCATGGTCGAGATCCTCCGCGTCCGACAGGTCGAGGAACGCTACGAGCGAGGTGAAGTGGGTGAGTAACACCGGGCTTTTTTCCACCATCCTATAAAATTCTTCAGTCATAAGGCCCTTCTAATCTTGTAGACGCCACTACCTTGGTCTACGTTCGCAATCGAAACTCCAAAGGCAAGCTCGACAAGGAAGCCGACTATACCAGCGAGGCCGACGACGATACCGACGAGGGCGACGAGCAAGAGGTGCCTCCGCCCTGCACGACCCCGATGGATCCGTCCCTCTCCATGGACGCCGGCCGCGTCGCCTCCCTGTTCCCGACCGTCGATTCCCTCAGCTTCGAAGATCCGACACGATCAGACCGGCCGTGTTACACGACGGCAACCGCCGCGGCTGCCATTCCTGCTCCCACGAGTGTCGCCCCGGACTTTGCTGCCCCGGACTTCTCCTCCCCACAGAACATCCTGCGCACGCCCGCCGCCGCCGCCACCACCACCAGCACCACCACCTCCTCCTCCTCCACCACCATGCTGAGCCCGCACGACCACGCCTCCTTTGACTACCTCGCCGCTCCCGCTCCTCAGGCAATGGTCGCCCCGCCCTCCGCCGCCCATTTCGACCACTGGGCAACCCCGGTCCCGATCTTCCGCCAGAACATCTTCGGCTCCGTCGACTATGGCAGCCATCACGCCATGGCGCATCCTCCTCCCGCTCATCCCCAGTCTCATCCTCAGTCTCACCCTTCTCATCCATCCATCTCCTTCTCCATGCCCCTCACCCAAGACCCCCTGGGCCACCCGCACCACCTTTCGGCTCACCACACCATGGCAGACTACAGCCTGAAGAACCCGCCCTTCCGCACCGGCTCGCTCGGCCATCCCCACCATTCGGATGGACTTCCCTTGCATGGGATGTAGATCTATCCTACAATCACTTCCTAGTCTTAAGTGGTATCTCATTACTACTCCCGCTCTTACGACGATACGACAAGCACGAATCCATGAAAATAATCGTGCAAGCCCCTCTCACCTTACCTTCAGTTCCTTCGGTACATATCCATTCTTCGACACTCGACCTTGTCACCGGTTTTTTTCTTGATTCGTATACATATGCTGAGATAACTGTTTGGGTGGGCTCTGTGCAACAAAACTTGAGAATTTGTTAGCCATTTGAGATTCTTTCTTTCTTTCTTTTCTCTTCAGTGGTCTTTTGCAGCTTTGCTTTCTTCTTGTTCTTTTCTTTGACTTGGCTTGGCTTCTTGTTTGATCTTTCAGAACGGTGTTGGGAGACTTGTTCAGAGCGATTTCGGCTGGCGGTGTCATTAGTACAGCTACAGTATATACGATTCTATACTCATACTCTCTATACTTACTAGGTATAAGGTATACTCTATATTCTTGTCTATATTCTAGTTGTATGTGTAACTATACTGTACTGTACTGTATCTAAACAGTTAGCAGCAAGCTAACCCGAAAGGAACCAGATGACTAAGCCGAGCAGTTGATCTTCCCTCGCCCATCCAAACGACCAACACAGACAGACAGACAGACAGACAAAGAAACTCCCAGGCAGCCCTTGAACTGGGATCAAGTGGACACAGGCCTTTCAGCGATCATCTCGACGGAGATCTCCGTCCGTCTCCCCTTTCTCTTGCACCACTTCTTTTATAATCATCCCGTTTTCGCTTTCTTTGTTCCAGCCGCCGGACGCGATTCCATGCCGGGTCGATTGGCCCTCGCCAAAGGTACACAACTATCATCTAGGAAAACTAGATAGAGCTAGGGGTAAAAAAACACCAAGTCCACTATGCGATCTTTCTTACAACCCCCCCCCTGAGTTGTGGTGGCGAAAGGAGGAGAGAGAGAGAGGGGGGGGGGGGGGGGGGGGGGGGGGGGGGGGGGGGGGGGGGGGGGGGGATGGTTTGTCCCTGGCGCACCTCCGACACGGCTGACTCTTTTTTTCTCTCTCTGTTTCTTTGTTCGCAACAGCGGAATCTAGTGTGCGTGCGCGTCTCTCGAGAGACATTTCCTCACCATCCCGTCGGGTTTCTTTGAAATGGGAGCTCCGTTTGCCAACCCGTTTGCGAGCATCAAGGGAAACGGAGCCGGAAACGCAATTACAAACGTCAATGCGAATGGAAATGGAAATACGAATACAACCGGGCAAGGGAATGGTCAGGGTCGAGGCTCGGCACGTGGGCGTGGTCGTGGAAGAGGAAGAGGCGGGATAACGACGACGACATCGCCATTCGCGCAGATCAAATCGAACCAGAAACCGTTTGCCTCGCTGTTCGGCGCGCAGGAGAAGACAGCGACCTTTGGGACTGTCGGTGCGAAAGGTGCGGGCACCTTTGGCTCGCCGTCGAATCTGGATGGCACGGTGGTCGACCATACTAGGGATCCGAGGTTACGGGCGAGTGAAGGAGTTGGCGATGACCTGGCCATGGGGGGGAGTTACCAGGACCGATATGAGCAGGTGGATAGCCTTTTTACCCAGCCCACAACTATAAATCCCCTCTTTTACACCTATGCTAATAGGAATAGCTCAAGCTGCATAGGGCAAGGCAGAGGGAACAGGCCATTCGCGCCGGCCAGATGGCCGATCCCAACCAGCCAACCTCCCTCAATCAAGCCATCACCCCCGTCGGGACGTGTACGAGCATGTGTCCGGAGTTTGAACGTGTGGAGCGCATCGTTCAGAAGATGGTCGACAAGAGTGAAAAGGTAGACATTCTTGGTTTATTATTGTTGTTGTTGTCGTTGTGTTTACGCAGGTTAGAACAACGAGATGAAAATGTTGAAACGCTTCCGACGATCCGCCGCCGGCTACGACGAGCAACTCCCATCCGACATCCGCACCCCCAAGACGCTGCTGCAGACCACCAACTACCTGATCCGACATGTTCTCGGCGGGAACGAGCCTCTGGGCCTCATCCACAAGTTCGTCTGGGACCGCACGCGATCGATCCGCAACGACTTCTCCGTGCAGCAACTCACCCACGGGGAGCACGTCAAGATGGCTGTGACCTGCTTGGAGCGCATTGCGCGCTTCCACATCGTCTCGCTGCACCTGCTCTCCAGCCCGGCCAACGAGGAGCCCTTCGACCGCCACCAGGAGCGCGAGCAGCTCAACAACACCATGCTGTCACTCATGTACTACTACGATGACCACCGCGGCCGCATCCGTTTCCCCAACGAGGATGAATTCCGCGCCTACTACATCATCTTCTCCATCCACGACCAGCGCCCGGACCTCGAGGCCCGCGTCCAAAAGTGGCCCCCTGAGCTGCGCCAGTCCCCGCGCGTCCAGGTCGCCCTGGAACTATTCGCCGCCGCGGGCAACACCTGGGAGTACCAGGGCACCCTCGACGCCAAACGGCCCAACGCCATCGCCCAGGGCTTCTACGCCCGCTTCTTCAGCCTCATCGACTCCCCCTGCGTCTCGTACCTGATGGCCTGCGTCGCGGAGATCTATTTCAACCACATGCGCCAGACCGCCATCCGCGCCATCTGGAAGGCCTACTGCCGCGCCCCGCAGTCGCAGCAGCACAAGAATGAAGAATGGACCCTCGACGAACTCACCGCCGCCCTCTACCTCGATGACGGCGAGCAGACCATCCAGTTCTGTGAAGACCAGGATCTCCAACTCGCGGAAAATGCCGACGGGGATCTATATCTAAGTTGGGGGAATCGTCCGGTTGATTCTGTGGGTACGTGGTCTCTCCTCTGTTTCTCTCTATCCTTCTCAGCTCATAAATTTAGCCTTCCAACCCTCTTCGGAACATGCTTTCTCCGAAACCTATGTCGAATCCAAACGGGCTGGCCGTACCCTCGTCGCCATCATCCTGGGACTGACAGTCAAAGAGGCCGCAGCCTTGGGCATGATCGACCGCAGTGTCCTCTCCGAGAAAGCCGTGCCGGCCGTAGATGATGACGATTCACTCTTCGTGAGTGAAGATGAAACCCAGATGGTACTCCCCGGCAGCCATGAGTCGCCTCCTGCATCTGCGTCGAGCTTAGGTACCACGTTCGAGGGATTTGGACAGCCCGTGGCACCGTCCTTGGCACCGCCCGTTGCCCCAGACCAGCCCGCCAACAAAACCTTTTCGTCTCTTTTCGCAACCGTCAACAAGCCGCCTAGCCCTATCCCTACCTCTACCCTTTCCCCTGCATCATCGCAACCCTCCCTTTTCACTCTGGGACCAGCACAGACAACGCCCAAGGAGCCTGAAGAGATCCCTTCAGCACCGGCTCCTACTCCTTCGCCGTTCAGTTTTTCAGGTTTACCACCTACATTGACAGGGTCGAATGAGCCTCCTGCAGCAGCAGCAGCAGCAGCAGCAGCAGCAGCAGCAGTAGCAGCAGTAGCAGCACCTGCTCCCACGACCTCACCATTTAGCTTCCCCTCAAAACCGTCTATCCCCCCTGCCTCGAAACCTCAACCGCAGCCTTCGCCGCTCTTCAGTTTTGCAAGGCCGACTCCTGCAGAGCCGGAAATATCGCAAACGCCTGCCGTTCCGAAGCCTTCGGAGGTTTCAAAGTCTCTTTTCAGTTTCTCAAGTCAGAATGTCGAGCCGAAGCCGTCGGAGGCTTCAAAGTCACTTTTTAGTTTCCCCAGTCAGAATATCGAGCCGAAGCCGTCGGAGGCTTCAAAGTCACTTTTTAGTTTCCCAAGTCAGACTGTCGAGCCGAAAGAATCAGAGTCGAAACCGCTCTTCAGTTTCCCAAGTCAAAAGCCTGTCGAGCCTGAAACATTGGCAGAGCCTTCAGCACCACCACATGATACCCCCCTCTCAACGAGCCCCTTTTCCGCAATCAACCAGTCGTTTTCACCGAAGCCAACCACCGAGACCATACAGTGTAAGTGGTCTATTTCCTTGTTTGCCATGCTCATGAACAAGCTGACCATCAACAGCGGCTTCTCCTTCGCCTCCTGCAGCTATTACACCGAGTGTCTTTCCGGCTCCAACCTCTGTCAATGAACCGACACTTGAACCACCAGTGGCCCAGCCAAATGTGCAGGTGAACGGGGATGCTGAGCATTCTGAGAGTGTCTCCGTAGAACTAGTGCCGGAAGTCAAGGCACCTGGTAAGTTTGTTCTCGATGATCTTGAAGACCGAATAGATCCAACTAACCCACTCAGCTGAACCACGGCACCCCCCGATCCCATGGCTGGACGCTCTCAAACAAGCCGCTGTCAAACGGCGCCACCAGACCGTCACTACCACTACTACCACCACCCGGAAGCGAACGCTGGAAGATGAAGAGCGACCGGAAAGCATCCCCGAAGCGACCGAGTCCAAGGTGCTCAAGGTTTCGGATCTGGCGGAGATGCCGCCCTCGCGCAAATACGCCATGGCTCTCTCGTCGGTCAAGCCGCTGCCTCGCCTGCCGATCCTCGAGCAGATCGAAGCCCTGCGAGAATCAGCGACGAAGAGCAACGAGCATACCGCGCCGAAAAAACCCTCGCACATCGACGAGGATGAACTGCTCCTTTCCGCCGCCCGGATTGCGGCCGAGTCCCTCCGCAGCGGACCAAAACTGCTCGACCAATCCAGCTATACCTCCTTCTCCTCCTCCTCTTCTTCCTCCGCCTTCCACCTCCCGGACCACCGCCACTCGCTCTATGCCTCGTCGTCCTTTAGCCCGCGCCAAAGCATCTCGTCTCCGCTCAGCCTGCCCCCTTCGGGCAGCCAGTCGCCGTTACATCCGTCGACGGTCAACGGGTACGAGCTCGCCCTGGCACCAGAGACTCCGCTGGGTCTAGGCCGTACAATGTCCCGCACAGAGCAGCGGCTCCGCATGACGGGGGGGAAGGGGTTGGCCTATAAGCCGTTGGATTTGAAACGGAGGTAGTAGTAGTTTACGGTACTATTGCATTATAGGTTGGCATGTAGCATAAAACCCATGAAATAACTATCTATAATACTTTACCTTGGTAGATTTCACTGTATGCTCCACTCTTCAAAAGTTCAATTACCGTTAAATCACGTGACACAACCTTGGAACAAGCTCCAACCGGTCGTACGCAGTAAGAATAGATCATCACGTCCATGAATCGACACAGAACCGCCCAACTACCATCGACGGTCTTTCGAGGATTGTGCAAGGGCCGTCCTGCGAGTGTGCGGGGTCCGTCTACACGCGCTCTCTTTCTCGGAGCCGGAAAGCGTCCAGCTTTGAATTCACGGCTCATTCTAGAAAGTAGAAGTAGTAGTACCCCCCAGACACGAGATATGCGGATCGCAACGCTGCAGTTCTCGCCTGCCCTGGGCGATCTCGAGGGGAATATCTCCCGGGCGAACGCGTTGCTGGAGCGTGATCGGGGGAAGCTCGAGAGGCTTGATGTGCTGGTTCTGCCGGAGCTGGCGTTTACAGGTATGCATTTACATTGAAAGTAAGAGAATTAAAAGAGAAAGAGAATGAATTGGCTCAAGTGTGTTACATAGGATACAACTTTCCATCAAAGGAGGCTATACGGCCGTATCTGGAGGGGGAGGGCCAGGGCCGGACGGCGGAGTGGGCCAAGGAAACGGCCAGGCGGTTGGGATGTAAAGTGTGCGTGGGCTATGCGGAGATTGCAGACGGCGAGGGGGACGGGAACAGGGAGCGATGCTACAATTCGCTGCTGGTGGTGGACGAAGAGGGCCGGGTGGTGTGGAATTATCGCAAGGCGTTTCTCTACTACACGGACGAGACGTGGGCGTGCGAAGGCGAGGTGGTCGCGCGGGGGTCGCATGTCTTGGACTTTCGGGCTCGGGGGGGAGGACCAGAAGAGACGAAGCAGATCACTACGGCTTTCGGGATCTGCATGGATATCAACCCGTACAAGTTCGAGGCCCCCTTCACTGCCTGGGAGTTTGCCAATCGCGTCCTGGCAGCCCAGGCCCCGCTGGTGATCCTTTCCATGGCATGGCTGACGCTGGCGAGCCGCGAGGAGCTCGACGCACTCGCCGGTCAGCCGGAGATGGACACCTTCCAGTACTGGCTGCGACGATTCTGGCCGCTGGTCGAGCAGCGTATGGCTCACGCGGAGAGTATTGTCGATCACCGCGACGACGCCGGCGCTGAAGATCGCCCGTCCAAGAGCGTGGTGCTGGTCTTTGCAAACAGGGCAGGCGAGGAGCCTGCAGCGGCAGCCGACAAGCCTCCGGCGCGATACGCAGGCACAAGCACCGTTGTGGCCATTACGCAACCCAACCCAACACGGTCACAAGGGACAACCGGCGCGGCAGTGGCGCCAGGCGATGTGAAAATCCTCTGCTGGGACCTGATGGGGGCGACAGAGGAGGGCGTCTGTTTTGCCGACACGGCGGCGGAGCCTCGCATGGTGTTTGGCTTGAGTGGATAATACCTAGATACTTCTTAATTTAGTAAACGACTACTGTAGACCTACTAGTAGACCTCATGCTAGGTGACCATAGTGGTAGAAACAGGCTGTTTTCCAAGGGCATCCTTGTTTTTCTTGCTCAAGACTCGCCCAAGACTCGCCCGATACGGATAACCTGTCCAACAGGTGAGTCGGCGGGCGTATCTGTAGCAATAGACATCGGACCCAGAGCTCGACCGTCCCTCATGACCCTCGAGCTCCGAATATGATGCAGCCAACCCAAACGCGCTACGCCATCAACACTCCCACACACCAGCGTGAGGCACATGTGACACTGGTCCACTCACATTCCAGTCTCCCGCGGCGGTGGAGGGTGTCTTGATGGTCGAGAACACATGGTCTTCGTATTGTTGACAACCAGAACAGTTAGCCGCTCAGTTCCTCTCGTACCCTGGTTGTTTTGGATAGGAAGATCCAAGCGTCCTGAAGCCCAAGCGTCCGGAAGATCCTAGTTCGCAGTTAGCTACGTCCCACGGTGTGACTGACACTCGCCTCGGGCCGACCGGAAAGAGCAGATCCTGAACAGATCCTGAACAAATCCTGCTTTAAACCCCCCAAGATGTCTCGAAGGTGTGGTTGATCCCTGACCAGGATGGAAAGCATCTGCCCCCCCTTTCCCCTCCCAAGGTCTAGAAGGAGAAGGAGAGCCCATGCACGTGATTCCCGGGAGAATAGCCCCTCCGGCCGCCGCTGGGGGCACGCTGTGGCCCGCCAATCAGCAGCCAGACCGGCCCAGCTGAGGAGGGGCACGGGACGGCGGCACATGACATTGGTCCAGGAGGGAGTCGTGACAGTGTAGGAGAGCGTGCGAAGAGCGTGCGAAGAGGTGGGAGGGTATAGAAGAAGTGACAAGGCAGGAAGCGCGAGTGATGGTAATCCAGAGACTGTTCTTGCAGGAAACCGACTCCCGCCGTGCTGACTAACGCTCGGTGTTGCTCGCAGTGACGTTGTCAAGACGCAGGAGTCAGGACTCAGTGACAGGACGGGTTCCGGGTCAGGTGACAGCAGACCTGCGCAAAGGGTGTCTGTGGGCCACCGCAGCGTCTGCCTTTCCACCTCGCCGTCCTCGTCCCTCCCGCCACGTGAGCGCTCTACTCGAACTTCCTTCAAGTATCCCTACTTGCTCTCGCAGAGGCAACGCGCCGCGTTTTTTCCGCCGTTTTTTTTGCTCAGCAAGTGCGCTGCGACCGGTAGACCAGCCCGAGCCTCTCACCGCGCTCGATTTTCCTGTGCGATTCCTCGTTCTGCGCAATCGAACCCGCGCTGCTCCTCTTGTTGTTGCCGGAGAGCAGGTGACTTCACGTCAGGTGATAGATAGATCATCCTCATCCCAAGGTACGGCCACTTCCTCTCGCCCCGCCCCTTCTCTCTCTCCCGTCGCAACGGCCGCAAGGAGCACCCACGAAAGACGCTTTACAGCCCTCTAGCTGGATCTCGTCGCGATTTGCCTTGCTCGTCGCCGTTCTTTGTGATCTTGTTGCCCCCCCTCCTCCCTTCAGCTCGCGACCGTCAGCAACGGTCGCGACGCGTCTTCCCTGCCTTAGCTGGCTTTGACAGCGTTTTTCCATCGCTGTGTTGCTTCTATCCATCGTGTCTGCTTTTGTGTCTCGGTCGCATCTCCTCCCCAAAGCTCTGGATGTCATTTTTTCGGCGTCAAACGCCCTTGATCTCGTCGTTTTTTTTTTTCTTCGCTCTGGACATAATGGCATGCGCGTGTTGCGGCAGGGTGTCGGGGTCCGACCCTGACACCACCACTGCTTGCTCAACAGCATTCCATCTTCCTTCTGTCACCTAAGACTCATGCTCTTTTTTTTGTTTCTTTTCCTTTCCGAAGAAAAAAAAGAATCACATGTTTTTTTCTTTCTTTTTTTCCTTTTTTTTTCCGACTCGTCTCTTCTAATTTTACATCTAAACTGAGTACTGACAAAACTGGTGTCACAGAGACTGTGGTTTATCAGAATTAGGTCTCATTGATTATAAAACTCTGTGCCACAGTAGTACTCTCCTCACTGTGTGTGCTACCTAGTTTAGGAGGTAAGTTGGGTACTATTGTTGAGCAGAACTCGAGTGTCACTGGGCTAAGTAGGTCAATGCACAGGAGTCATCATCATCATCATCATCATCATACCATCAGCATGTCAGACCCGTCGCTGAACGCCACTGATGGCAATGCCACCAATAAGCGGAAGCGAGACAGCAGTGACAGCGCTGGCGTTCCCGATTCACAGCGTCTAAACCGCTCCTCCAACGGTAGCAACGGCAGCGTCGGAGGAGGCCCTGACCCGCAGACTTCCTTTCCGCACAATCCGTTGGGTGCCTACGACACCCACGGCCTTCCCACCTCCTCTAACGACATCGAGCAGCAGATTATGCAACATGTTGGTTCTCAGAATGGCGTCTCGGACGAGAATGCGCTCACAGCCAAGGCCGCCCTAGACGCGCATCCCCCCCCGGCAAAGTACCCACCACTGCCGTCGGACAATGCGTTTGACACGAATCTGGCGCATACCTTGACGTTTGGCGATGATATGAACCCGTCATCCCTGGGTCCCGCCCATGGTCACAATTCCACCGCGGCCGCGGTCTACGCGGCGCGAGAAGCCCAAAGTATGAACCAGAAGCCGTCGGTTGGCTCGCCAGAATGGCACCAAATCCGCAAAAACAACCACAAAGAAGGTCAGTAGCCTCTCCTCCCGCCCCTTCCATGTTCGGTTTCGTGTCTGTCTAACTCTTGGCATTTGCAGTGGAACGTCGGCGTCGTGAAGCTATCAATGAAGGAATCAATCAGATCGCCCGCCTTGTCCCCAACTGCGACAAGAACAAGGGTGCCATCCTCCAGCGGGCAATTGAATACATCTGCCAGTTGCACGAGGAGAAGAAGAACATGACCGAGCGTTGGGAACAGAGCAACATGACGACAACCCATGCCATTAATGAGATCAGCGCACAGAACTCCAAGCTAAAAGCAGAGGTCAACCGCCGGGGCGATATTGCACAGAAATGGCTGCAACGCTGCCGCGAAGCAGGGCTTGACTTTGACGACTACGAGGAGTCCAAAGAGCTAGAGTCCCTAGAAGTCGATCAAGGGCAAGTCTAGGGCGCGTTTTTTCCCCCTGCTGCTACCTCCTTTCTGTCTACATCTCTGGGAACTTTTCATGTGCTACGACGCGTCTTTGTTACGGTGGCTGAGATTTGAACATACCCTCTTTCCTCTTTTTCTTCTTCTTTTTCTTCTTCTTTCTATCCCTCACGCTCGTCTCTGCTCTATGCGTGTTCCCCTTCCCATTGCCCAAGGCGGAAATGTTGTCGTTGTCATTGTTCCTCGAGGATGCGCCACTCAATCTAAGGGCTGACTTTTTTTCTCTCATCGGTATGCGGGTGTCTTGTGTTTCTTTTCCCTTCTCTTTTCCCCTTGCCTTATTTCTTCTTTGTACGTTACCTTAGGCTGGGCTGGCGAATTATGGGCTGGGGTGAATAATACTATATTAGTTGCAATAGTAGTCATCAAGTAATCCTGATCTACAAAAACTATTTATATTTGAGGATGGAAAGATGCCCGGACAGGGTTGCCTTTTAGAATCAAATAGGTCATATATATATACAATCGAATAAAAAAAAAGGGGGGGGGGCCGGGGGTGGACATGGCTGTCAGCTGTATATGCTCAATGGAATGCAACAGGGCCAGGATGCAGTAATGGGTAGAATAGAAAATATATATATAAAAAAAAAAATAATGGCAAGGCAGACCGAGAGTATGGGTGGATGAGTAAAGATGATATTGAGATTTGAAAAATCAATCCCCGGGTCAGGAAATGAAGATATGTATAGAAGATGAAGACGTTTTTTTGTTTTTCCCCCCCCTTCGGCTATCGAACCTAAGAAAAGTTCGAAGAGGCGGTTGTGGTCGAGTCCGAGGCAACGCTGACGTCCGAGACGGTGATGACGGATCCCGTGGTGCTGGTCACACGGACATCGACGGTGTCGGTGTCGAAGCCGCTCTCGTTCTCGAAGTAGTTGTAGGTGGCGCGCGTGGTGCTCTGCCAGGTGCTTCCGCCGTCGGTGCTGACCTCGAGCGAGGCAACGGGCTCGTTGGCGTTGACGACCTGCATGGCGAACCAGTACTCGGAGGTGCCGTCCTTGTTTTTGAGCTGGATCGGGGTGTCGATGCCACAGGCCACGTAGGACCACTCCACGTCGATGACGCCGGTCGATATGTCGGCCAGTTCGGCGAAGGCATCCTCGAAAAGATCCAGGTGGTTGGTACCACAGCCAGGGCACTCGTCAACAATCTTGGGAAGGGATGTTAGTCTCCGTCTCCAAGTAATTTTTAAGAGTACACGGTTCAACTTACCATGGCCTTGATGGAGTTACCGCTGGGTCCGGTGACAGTGATACAGGCACCGCAGTTGGCGGCATCGTCCCAGCTCGAGGAAGTCAGGGCAGTACCATAGATGCCAGAGGGCAGAGTGTATCCGCTGAAGGAACAAGTACCGCCCGCAACGTTGCCCCCGTAGTAAGTTGCCTCGCCATCGTACGTGGTTCCAGTGCTGGCGGCGGTGCTTGCACTCGTGCTGGACGTCGCGGCCTGGGTCTCGGTAGTAGTGGAGGTAGAGGAAGAAGCCACGGCGGCGGCAGCTGTCGTTGTCTCAGCTTCGGCAGAAGACACAGTCTCAGCCTGCTGGGTGGCCGCAACAGCAGCGGTGGATGTAGTATCGGCGGCGGCGGCGGCGGCGGCGGCAGCAGCGTCGGGAGTAGTCTCGGCTCCAGTAGAGACGGAAGTAGCGGCAGCCTCAGTAGTAGCAGCTTCAACCGCGGCGGAGGTAGTGTCAGCAGCAGAGGCAGCTGCAACATCGGAAGAAGAGCCAGGAGTAGGAAGAACGGTCACGACGACGGTGGTGGTCGAGGTGGAAAGAATGGTGGTAGTCGGCTCAACTGTGGAAGCAAGAATGACCGCGCTCGACTGCTCTGTCGGGATAGAAGCAGTGGAGATAGCCTGTTCCTCCACGGTCGAAGAAGGCGTCGCAGTCACCGTGATGTAATAGACACTGGGGGTATATCCGACAGGACACTGGCCAGTTGGCGAAGGTAGAGCGGTCGATGAGGATTGCTCTGTGGGAGAAGGCGTCGCGGTCACCGTGAGATAGTAGACGCTCATGGAATATCCCGAGGGACACTGGCCTGCATCTTCGCGTGCATCCAGCAAGCCAGAAGCAGCAGCAGTCGAAGCGGCGCCCAACGCAGCCACACCAAGGGAAGCGAGAGACTGGAACTTCATCTTGGCTTCAGGAAATCGGTTGGGGGCTTGATATTGCGTTTGCTTTGTTTCAGATGAGGGAAGGATCGAAATGTACAGAAAAGAACGACCAAATGCGCACTGCACTGTACAGAATTCAAACAATCAAAGAATGGACGTTTCTGGAGCTTGGCCAGAAACAATAGTCTAAAAGAACGTAATCTGTCTCGGACAGGTGAGGTTTGAAAGTGTTGGAAAAGAGAGCGACAGAGAGAGAGAGAGAGAGAAAAGAGAGAGAGAAAAGGAAAGTCCACCGGTCTCTATGAGGGAGAAAGAAGAAAGGACTAGACCAGAGCCATCTCTCATGCGCAATTTGCCAATAAGCAACCCCGATCAAAATAAATGAAGTGTTTAATGAGTATGAGTCCACTGAGCTGGTAGCGCCACACTAGGGAAATGAGATGCCATCCGTTTCTCATCTGTCTGAAACGCTCCGAGTGGACCGAGAGCCAGGAACTCTGTGGTCCCATAGACACTTCCAACCAGTGATGGCTGTGTGCCAATGCTTCATTTCGCCTTGTAGCTTCTCTGATTGTCGAGCTCACATTTAGAGGGTGCTCCATCCCCATCTCTGGTGATTGGATTGTAAATAATCATCGTCATCATCACGGCGGAACCGGTGGAGACTCAAATCTTATGGATGGCGTCCGATATTAATATCAAATCTATCATGTCTCCTTTATGAAGGTCACTGCTGTTCAGCGAAATTAGATGGCGCGCAAGATTTTGATCCTGACGGGTCATGCATCGTCAGCTTCTGTCTATACTGGAGTCATTCTAGAATAGACTGACCTACAGGCAAAGCCCGAGAGACCACTATCATGATGGCCTTATTCGATGTTGGTGTATCGCTGTATTAATTAGTTGCTCTCCTCATAATCTTTTCAGTCTACCAAAAATACAATGTACAAAAACTCCTCGGATGATGGCTGCTTCACAGGGAGGGGATGTGTTGAAGTCACAAGCCAAAAAGAAAGAAAGAAAACAACAGCAACAACAAAAGTTATTTAATGTGTCGATTGATTGCTGGTAGAGAGAAAGAAGGGGAATCTCTATATATTATTTAGCATCCCACATGACCTCGTTTAGTCGCAAGAGGGCGTCCGCGCTGGCCTTTCTAGCAGCCATAAAGTCCTCGCGGTTCTCCGCGCCTCGGGGTCCATGGAGAATATCTGAATAGCAGAGGTCGACAAGGACTCTGAGCTCGTCATAAGTAAATGGCTCTCCGTTGCCGGCAGCCAGTACCTTTTGCCCATGGGCGGCAAAGGCCTCTTTCTCTTCCTGCGCGTAGTCGAGAGCCTTCTCGGCACCTTCCAGGAACCAGTCCAGGAATTTGGCGCTGCGGGGAAGGGCAATCACTTCGTGTGAATGGCTGTCTGAGGTCTTGCTGGTGGGATCGATGACGATGTTCTTCAGGTTCTGCTGCAAGACTAGAACATCGAGCTGGAGGCGCAATGCTCCGTTGGAGTTCATGGCCCCGATGTATTTGGTACATGTCACAAAGACTTGGTCAATGAAACGGGCAAGGCCCGACGAAATGAACCACTGTTCCGCGGGGCCAAGGTAGGATGAGATGTTCGTGTCAAACGCAATCAGATCGTTGTTCAATTCAAGGACTGTGGGCGATGCGGCAGTCGGCTGGTTGATGATGATATGCCACCAATTGATACTAAGGTCAGGCGAAGGAGTAGCCGGCTCGGAACGACGGACAGTAGGAGGATTAGGTCCAGACATGGTTTTGGTTAACATATGGATCACTCCGCAGCGGATATCGATATGCAGGGTGAAAATTACAGCTGTCGCCAAGTTGCGCAATGACTGAACGGTCGTGTCAAAGGCAATGGCCGTCTCGGGGTTGAGAGGTAGGTAGATAGGCTGGCTGATGCCATCCCGCTTGGGCCTCATGGCAGTAATCAACGTCCACCGACGAGACGGCCCGGACCTGGATTGCGGTTGCACTTCGATAACGTCCGGACCCGGGGTTGTAACGTGCCGGAGTTTTACCAGGTTGCTTGCCAGCCATTGCTATTCAATAGAAGATCAGCGGTTGTTCCTGGATCTGTCCACGAGCTGACTCACCATGCTGTTGTACAGAAGTGACAATGAGACGACTGTTTTGGGATCAGATATAATGTCATACGGCTCCAAAGGCACCTGGTCTGTGGTCTTGAGAAGAAGCTCGGTTTCCTGCGGCCCACCAGTCAGCTCTGTTACACATCCCATTAATAAATATGGCTGATACGGGCGATTTACCTTGTCGATGAGCTCTAATTTTCTATCACCTGCGCCGTTCCAGAGTTGCTGTATCGTATCACGGACATCTCCTGATTCTGCGAGCGCTGCCGCCGCCTTGAAGCGGACGGTTCCTTGAGTACGGGGCGAAACTTTGGTGACAATTGCTATATGAAGCGATGGTCAACTATGGTTTCAGCGCTCTCTTCAGATAATAAAGCCTTCCCTTACCTTTGTACCAACCGTAACACTTGTCATAATAAGTTATTATTTCATCTATGATAAGCTGTGTAAAGGCTTGATCGGGGGGGATACTATCTAGCATCTTGCTAAACACCCGGATGATTGACATGAATTTGACAGTGCCCTAGAGATCGCAAATGTTAGACCGTAGCGCAAATGACCTCAATATTAGGAGAGTGTAATGCCCACCTTGAATATTGGCCGGGGAGAAACCTTGGCCCATTGCGGGTCTTCTGTGAAGGCATCTGGAGCAATAAAATTCAAGGTACAGAGATCCGTCACGGTCTCATCCAGTTGTGGAAGAAACACGTTGACCAAGAAATCGTCCAGAAAAGAGGTGAGGGTACTCATGGCAATATCGGAACCAACGGGAACAATGTCCTTCAGGTGTTGGATGAACGAGAGAGAGGGCGGGAGGAGAAGGCTCATGTTAAAGACACTGGGCTCGATCAAGATCTTGTGGCCAGTGCCCGAGTTTCCTTGTGAGGACTGGACAGCATCGCTTGCAGCATTCTTCTGCCTGGACTTGGACACAAGACCAGGCACTGAAGACTGAAGGATCTCATCCAGCTCGTCTTTTTCGGCTTTCATTTCGGTGTTTTTTTCCACCTCGGAGAGCTTGAACATTTTCTGTAACATGTGAGCAGGCAACGCCCTGGACTCTCCGAAGAGGGATAATGGACGTACTTTATTTTTATCTCTGGCTCCAGCTTGCAAATTACGCTTACTGTCCGCATCTTCGCCTCGAGGGTGGAAAGGTGATTCTCCATCAGTTGCGAGGTAATCGTGCATGAGGGATCGAATCTAGAGACCCAGAAGTTAGAAGGCCTGCGCGTAAAAAGTACGACAAAGAAGAATGTCAATATGACTGACCTCGCTTTGGTAGAGCTTCCACAACTCTTTGAACCCCCCTGTGAGGGCGCTTCCCTTGGGAATGCCTTCACGCTCAACGATTGCGGCGGTCACATCGTGGACAACACGATGACCCTCAGCAATAGCTTCGAACTTGGCATAAAGCTGGTACAAAAATTCGGACAAGACGTGACCCCGCTTCTCGATGATCTCTGTTGGCAAGCTCGACTTGGTTTCCTGAGAGGAGAGCGTCCGCATCAAGTCCGGATAGCGAGCAAAGACTTCGGCATTGGTCTTGTCGACCACTGCAAACAATTCCACCGGCAGCCGCTGCTCGATTCGGTCGACAGCTATATCCAGATTTCCCATTTTGTTCAAGGCCTCAATGAGTAAGCGGATATAATGGAAAGTATCCGCTTCCGGATTCCGTGAAGCATCCTCCATCATCGGGGTTGAGGCATCCAGCTTGGCTAGAAAACTGTAGACTGGCCTATCCCAAACTCCTCGACCGCTTCCTGCGGTAGTAGTGACTGCTCCGCTGGTCTCGCCCTCGACTACTGGGGGCTTCCACCGGTCAGAGCAATAGGGGGATTTCAGGTAGAGATGATCGTGTAACTCTTCAATCAAAATGTCCGTAAGTGAGGTTTCCTGGTTGCTGAAATACGCACGGATGTCGGTGAGGGCGCCGATGTTCTCAAGTTCCGATCGACGAAGGAGGCGGAATGCGTCATGAAGCACCTCGATCGCCGCGAGAAACCGCTTGTCGGAGATGAGAGAGTCGAGTTTCTCCGGGAGAGATTGAATCTCTTGGATTTGGGTGAAAAGTTGCAGGATGTCGTCGTACTTCTGTGACGAGGTCGCCAATCCCTTCAACTCAGGCTTCGTGGAAAGCAAACCAGACTTGGTCTGCTCGAGGGAATGCCGCAGGTTCCGTATCCGGCTCTGAGAACTCTGTATGCTTGTTTGGATCTTGTGGTATGTTCCAATGGAGCTGTTGAACCCCTGGTGGTGCTCTGAACGAATGAGCCATCATGTCAACTTTCGGTGTACATATCAACCACAACACACACTCGTCACTCACCGTTGACAATAGACTTCAAAGTCCTTTGGATCTGATCATGCATTTCCAAGAAGTCCGGTTCCCGGTCCGCTTTCCCCAGTGTACTCGTATCCATCAGGCTCAATGCCACCTGTACCGGTACAGAGTCTTCCGAGCCCACGAAGTCCCAATCGCGCTGAATCGACTGCAGGATATCTGAACGGATTTCTCATTGTTAGATTCGTTCGAATGGAATCTTTCCAATAAGAATAAATGGTTGACAGACTTTCAATCACCTGCGGCCCTTGCGCTCTCCTGTCATCGCTTCTTCCACCTGGCCGACTCCTCTCTCTACTCCTGCTAGCCAGGTAGCTCGCCTCTTCTCTCGCCCGATCCTCGCGTGCGGCCTGCCGTCTTGCAGCCGGATCCACGTCTCTCGTCCGTGATCGAGACGCCGAGGCCGACGACGACGGCTGCGACCTGTCTCGGTCCCCTCTCTCCCTGTCCCTCCGACGCTCGGGCGACTGGGACGCCTGCTGCGACTCCTCTGGGTAAAACCCACCGTATCCGCCCGGTCGACGATCTCTCCCCCCCCCCCCCCCTCCTCCTCCTCCTCCGCCCCCGTAACCATTGACCCCTAAATTATTTGACTGTCCATAGCCGCCTTCGCTGCGGTCGTGTCTCTCGTTGTCGGAGTATCCGTATCCGTTCGCGTAGCCGTTTCTCCCGCTCATAGCAGATGTAGAGCTCCGAAGGAGAAGAAAGCGAGGATCTTAAAAAAACCACACAACGCGGGTGTATGCGACCAGGCAGAGGGAAACCAAAAGGCAATAGTATTATTCTCGATTCGTAGTCGGGTTTGTAGGTTTAGATAGGTTCAAAGGGTACGCTCAGCAACAGGCACGGAACATCACACGTAGATGACGCTGACACATTCTCGTCGCGTACAAGGTTTCTGCGAATGAAGAATCGATCCGGTCGGAAGGGTATTTCGCTTCTTTTTTTTTCTTTCTTGTCTCACTGTCGCATAGCGTGTCAGTCAGACAGGGATCGGACTTGGTGATATGACGGAGAGATCGTCAAGGAAGGAGACAGGCGTGTTTCCCGCCTCTGCTGCTCCTTTCCCCACACAAGCACACATGGGCGTCTTCACTGCTTTTGTACTACACTTACAGGTATAAAATATTGTTAATTACTATAAAACAGAATTAGGTATTTAATATATGGTGTGGCTTCATTTTCTATAAAAGAAGATCTTTTGGCTCAGGTCTGTATGACGCTGTATTGATTTATCCAAGTAAATATGGGCTATGTGTTTATATTACTTCGAAATGGGCTGGGTCTCTCGTCGGAGCCAGTTGCGAGTCAACTCGTCTTCCTCGAAATAGTGATGCGTCTTCTCCCAGACCTCGGCGTGGTAGTCATTGATCCACTTGATCTCCTCGTCGCTAAGGAGACTGGGTTCGATCAGTTTGAGGCCGATCGGGGTCATGGTAACGTGTTCGAAGCCCAACCAGGGCTTATCGCCAAACTTATGCGTAGTCTCTACTTCGCGGGCCACGATGATGTCTATAGGTTTGTTTCGTCAGTACCTGTGCTCAGACGGAAGAGAACGGTGTCTAGACAAGGTAAATTATGAACATACTCTCGATACGGATACCGAATTTGCCGTCTTCGTAATATCCAGGCTCTATGGTCGATCATATTAGCAATCGGGACGACATATCTCACAGATCTGAGTAGACTCACCGTCCGAAATCACATGTCCGGGAGCAAGGGGGACTTCAGTGTACTGGACACGAGTTCCAATGCCAATAGGACCCTCGTGAACGTTCTGCAGAAGAAAGAAAGAAGATCAGATTGTGGCTTGCTAAAAGATTCGCCATGATAAAGTCTTACCAGATACGAACCGACTCCGTGGCCAGTCCCGTGAAGATAGTCAAGGCCTTCCTTCCACAAGTATTGGCGAGCAAGGGCATCGATGGCAAACCCGCTGGTTCCCTTGGGGAACACGGCCGTGTCGATGGCAATAGTTCCCTTGAGCACCAAGGTGAACGCCTTCTTCTCGAGAGCGGTGGGCTCGCCGAAGTGGTGCGTGCGGGTGGTATCGGTGGTGCCGTCCAGATACTGGGCGCCCGAGTCGCAGAGGTAGATGGAGTTCGGGTCAATAATGGCGCAGGTTCCCTTTTCGGGTTTGTAATGGATGACGGCTCCGTTGGGGCCAGTGGAAGAGATCGTATCGAAAGAAAGACCGACAAACAGGTCATGCTTGGACCGGATCTGCTCCAGTTTGTCGGCGCCATCAACTTCATCCAGAGCGGCCTTCTTGTTGACGAGCTCATTCTCCAGCCAGGCAAAGTACTCTGATAGAGCGGCGCCATCTCGAATGTGACACGCTCGCATGCCCTCAAGCTCAGCCTCGTTCTTGATCGCCTTGGCAATGACAATAGGACTGCGAGTCTCCTCGACCTGATCTTCACCTCCCAGGCTAAGGCTCAGAGCCCACGAAGCCCTGTTGGAAAGAAGGAATTTAGGTTGATCGTCAGCGTCGGTGCTTATGGATTGCTTTCTAGTCTCACTCAGAGCCTCAGCATCTGCGAAGATAGAATCATAGGGCTTGATAATAACGTCTTGGCCGAGATGGGCCTTGACCTCAGGGGTCAGCTTCTCGTCCTCCACATAGAGCTCAGCCGTGGTAGGCGTGACAACGGCATATGAAAAGAAGACCGGATTGTAGGGAATGCTAGAAACTAGTCAGTGGGAGAAAAAAACAATTCTTGCAAACCGAGGAGCAGGGACGTACTCGTTTCCTCTCAAGTTAAACAGCCAGGCAATCTCATCCAACATGGCTAGCGCACTGAATTAGCACAAACGGAATTCCTCCACAGCATGGTCATGTATCGAAGTAAGCGCATACAGATGATAAAACCAGCCTTCTTTTTGGATTGCAGCTCTTTGCGAAGGTCGGCAATCTTCTCCTGGAAGCTCTTGCCAGCGTACTTGTCCGGATGTACCATGACCTTCTCACGTGGGCGCGTGGGCCGTGTTTGACCCCAAGCCAAATCCACTAGATTTTGCTTGACCCCGACGAGCGTGGAGCCATTCTTGCTCAGTGTCTGCGCGAGTTTACGAGCACCCGCTGAATTTGTTAGAAGACGCATCTGCCGAAAGAAATATGGTGGCCAGATTCTGGCTTACCCGCCGTGATCAAAGCCGGGTCCACCCCAACAACCTTTCCACCCTCAGCCTGCTCGGTGGTCCTACAGATCCGTCTCAGTTGCACGTCTCAGATGTGGAGGGACGAGTACCCCTACCATTCCTGCCAGGTTGGGACATTCTCAATTCCTCGCTTCAAAAGCAGCCAGTTGTTATCCAACTGCTTTGCCGCTTGATTAAAGTACCGCCCATCGGTCTCCAGCGCCGCTTTCGTCAAGGACACGACGGCTGTGCCCGCCGAACCCGAAAAGCCCGAGATAAACTCTACATCGCAGAAGGTGAGTATGGGAGGGCGATGGACAGGGCAAGGGCGATGATTCTAACCTCGACGGCCATCGCATGGAGCAATGTACTCCGACTGGTGACTATCTTCGGACGGAACGACTGTTTCGAAAGCGATCAGCATAACCTTCCGATGGACCAGGGGGTTTGCCAAGGGCATACTATATAGATCCACCTTGTGCTCCTGCATGAGCTGCCTCAGCTTCGCAAGGCGCTCGGAAGTGTTGACGGTTCCCATATCGACGGCGTAACGTGACACGGACACGGAGAAATATCTTGGGCGAGCGTAGGGCGGCAGACGGAACGATCTGAGCGGCAGCGATATGCAGGCAAGACGAACAGGAGGGAAAGACCAAAGCATGGGCGTCTGATGGCCTTGATTAGAAACATGCCCTGCACCTTGCCGGAGATCACGATCACAATTACGTACCTTCTGGCAGAAAACCCCCGTACAAGGGAGAAAAAGGAGCAAGATTAGTCGGTGGGGAAGAAGGAAAAGAGGGGAGGGCGAAGGAACGTTGCAGTCAACCAGCGATCGCGTGTCCGACGGAGATGAGGGTTCCAAGGACGCAGGATTATTACTATTGGGCGTGGTCGCTGAGGTGGTGTCACCAAAGCTGTCCGATAAGAGGCGAGACAGCGGTTAGGGGCGGTGCTCCAGCTATTCAGCTAGTACAGCTAGTACAGCCAGTACAGCCAAGGTACCTTAGTAGGTTTAGGTAGGTACCTAGGTAGTGACAGGTAGACTCCGTACCGCCTAGGTAGCCAGTAGGTATAGGTACTCGTATTTGTATTATTAACTATGGAATTGAGTTTGGTCTTCACTACTTCTATCAGTATTATCATTATATCACGACAGACTTATATATCTATGTCGATTGAATCCATCTGCAGGGCTTGAATGTGTATGTACCTGGTAATATTACCTAAAGAACACCAGGTATTCACCGTCACAACTTTTACCCGAGGTCACTTGACCCATCCCACCTTCCATTCCTGGACAGCTTCCATCGCTCCTTCCTCTTCGATGCCCCTCTATGTTCACGGCTCACCGCCTGCCCCTACAGGGATAGCGCTGCCCCACGTGATCCATATTTTCTGGCGTTGCTTGGGCGATGTATAGAGAGAGCAAGACCAGACCAGAGCGTGTGTGCCTTGCGCGTCTTGCGGTGTACGCGTTGTGACGATGGCAGCGGAGGGCTACGGCCAGGCGTCCGATGGCCAGGTTCTCATCGGCGAAGCGAGGAATGTCAGTACTATTGAGCGAGTGTCTGGTGAAAGAGAAACAGCGAGGGGGAAGAAAGAGAGAGAGAGAGAGAGAGAGAGCTTATCCTGACCGTCTCATATCATAGCTTGTCTCCCAACTCTACGACCCTGCCAATGCTGGCAACCCCGCGAAGATCAAGCTCATCCAGGAGCACCTCCAAGCGCTGCAGAAGGGACCCCAGGCATGGCTCATCGCCAATGATTTGCTCGGTAGTGATAGCACTGACGCGAGGTTTTTTGGGGCCTTGACCTTTACGGTCAAGATCAACCACGACTGGTAAGGTTTTATGCTGTCGGGGACGCACCAGAACCGGGTTTTGTTGCTGACGATTCTGATTTCAGGCAACAACTGGGCGAGAGCGATGCCAAGGAGCTTCTGGCACGGCTGGTCGACCATTATGTGTTTTTGGTCAATGGCGGAGAGCGGCCAATGGTGATCCGGAAGCTGGCGTCGAGCTTGACCACGATATTCTTGAAACCAAATGCCCCCTGGGTGCAAGCTTTGTTGAATCTGGCTGCATCGCTGGCGAATGGAAAGCATATTCCAGAGGAACAGTGCCGGTCGCTGGATCTGGTCAGTACTGTCCTTCCGGCGATGACACAAGCACAAGTGGTCGCTCTGCTCTACTTTTCAAATATTTTGGCAGAAGAGGTCAACAAATTGAGCACCGAGGCAAGAAAGAGGTCCGTTATGGAGTTACGCCCCCTTCTTTTCGCCTTCTATTGTGTCCAAGACTAATCCCGGATAGTGATGACTCTCATCGCGTGGGTGCGAATATCAAAGACGCATTAAGCCTGGTGGATTTCGTGCTACAACACATACTCCAACAGGAGGCATCCAACCACCCAGTTGCCGATATAGCGCCAGGGGTTGAGGCGATCAATTCTTATCATGCAAGTGTCTGGTTCGGGTATGCATCAGGCAGTGCACACTAACAGTTACTCGATAGTCCTGGATGTGCGTTCGCGGATCGATCCAAGTTCATGACTCGGTCGCAGCTTCTCAGCTAGCTTCGACCACAAGATGCGTCATACAGAGCTTGAACGTTTCACAGATGTCAAAGACTGCAACCCAGGTGATCATTGAATTGATCGACTGGCGGGACAGCGCCTTCACCGAAGAAAATATTCACTCGATTTTGAAATATATCATCGGTGACCATGGTACTGCACATATCGTATCCCTGATGGACGGCGACTTTGACGATGACAACATGACTTATCTGGAACTTCTCTTGGCGTATTCGACTCTGAAGCAACGGGAACTCTTTGCAGGACCTCTGACGCCAGAATACGAGAAGATTCTAACACTGCTCCACACCCTCTTTAAGGCTCCTGGATACGCCGCGGTCGACGACTTGGCGTCGCCTCTAGTCCTTGAATGGTGGACGGAAGTTGCCGACGATTTACAAGAAATATTCATGGATGCCGAAGAAAAGACTGGCTTTGAACATGCAAGACAGAACCTGGCCCAAGCCGCCATGGACTGTTTTGAAAAGTTGATGTACCCCAGCCCCGAGGAGCTACGAACGTGGAGTGACGATGACCGAGCTGAACTCAGTTTTTTCCGACGGGACGTCTGTGATTTCCTCTTGGCCATCTATCCAATGCTCGGCGTCGAGCTGGTGCAGGTTTTCCAGCAGAAATCCAAGACATCGCTGGCGGATCAGGACTGGAAGGTGTTTGAAGCAGCAATCTTCTGTATTGCGCAATTATCCGAAGCCGTTGACGAGAATCAGCATGCCGATGACTGCCTCAATGCAATCTTCTTCGCCGATGATTTTGCCCATTTGTGTAGTGCAGAAAACGTTCAGATCACAGACAAGGCGCGCCAGACGCTTGTGGACATGCTCGGGAAGTATCAGTCATACTTCGAGCGGACACATACCCTACTCCCTCGGGTCCTGACTTTCCTGTTCGCGTCTCTCAATGTCACATCCAGTGCTGCCGCAGCTTCTCGGTCTATCTCTTATCTTTGCAAGTCGTGTCGAAAGGCATTGACACTTGAATTACCTGCGTTCATGGATCAATTCGAAATTTTCAAATTCAAATCAACAGCAACATCCCAGACCATGGAGCGAGTGTTGGAAGGCATCTCGGCAATCATCCAGACTCTGCCGAGTGATGTGGAAAAGGCCCAATACCTAGAGAGGATCTTACAATTCTTCGTGGTACAGGCGGAATTGGCACGAGATGAGGCCAGCCGAGGTCTCCTAGAACCTGCCGTTAGTCGGGCTCAACTCGTCCTGCGATGCGTTGCGAGTGTTGGAAAGGGCCTCCGTGCAGATGCAGACATCGTCATTGATTCCAACAGTAACACCAACGAGGCGCCGTATCAAGTGACATTTTGGAACACAGGAAACGGTGCTGCTTCGCAGAACATGATCATGCAATGCATGCAGCTGCTGGTGAAGGATTTCTCCGCAGACATCACCATTGTGCAAGCTGCCTGCGACATCCTCAAGGCTGGCTACACAGAGAAGACCGGCCCATATATCTTCCCACCAATGGTCACTGTCGACTTTGTTCGGAATCTCCCACTCGGTACCCCGGGTGCCGATATTTTCATGGGCACTGCCTCTGCGTTCCTCGCGTCTCACAGTTCACAGCCGCAGCTCGTCCGCGATGAAGCTGTAGCTCTGGTCACCCATGTGTATCACATCTTCTCACTAATGTTGGAAAACCAACAGTTCTACGACCCCGAACTGGCGAACAGCGGGATTGACTTCCTCTCTCGCCTTCTCCCCAAATATCACCAGATGCTCTTCACGCTGACCACACCGCCACCAAGCAAGCCCACCGGCCCACCGATTCTGCAAGCGATTCTGAACTTCACGGTCGTTGCTCTGCAAGGCCCCGAACCGCTTCCCCTGCGATCTGCCTCACAGTTCTGGATCGGAGTCTTTAATCTGCCCAGCAGCAATACCTCGGGCGGGTACGACGCCGTGCAGAGCGCCATCAAGGAGTATCTCCCGGCGTTGTGTCGTGTGCTCATGACGCAGATTGCAGGCCGATGCGCCCGGTCCGACGTGGAGCATCTGTGCGAGGTTCTGCGCCGGATCATCTTCAAACAACAGGGGCTGGCAAAACCGCACCTGGCCGCCACGCTGGCCGAACTCCGCCGGCCCGAGGGTGAGACCTCGCTGCCCTCGCCCGAGGAGCGACAGCGGTTCCTGGCCTCGCTGCTGACTGCGCGCGGGGGAAAGTCCCAGACACAGCAGCTGACTCGATCGTTCTGGGTTCAGTGCCGGGGGACGGGGTTTAATTATGCACGAGATGCTTGGTCCTAGAGTTCGCCGAAAAGAGACAATTAATTTGTAGCTACTTGAAACTGGTAATTCATACTACAGGCCTTTATAAGAAATGCGATTATCCCAACAATTGTATCTCTGTACCTATTTGTGTACAAAGTGGATATGCACTGCCCTCTCAGCCACACTGTGTATGCACGCTGTGGCGGTGTATCAGGCCTCACAACACGCAAGGCTATGAGAGCCGAGCACTCCGTGTTCATTATTTTAATATGAAATGAGATCTAGAGTTGAATTGATCCAGTTCTGAATCTTATCGATCTTTTTTTCTTCTTTTCTACCTGGACTACGATAGGTAGGCAAGCCGAAGAAAAACATGCCACACATCGCCAACACACCCGAGTCGCGACTCCCCAGATCCGACTCGAGAAACCCCGCGACAACATGTCGAGGCATCACGTCGACGGGCCGGCCATGCCGCCGTGCGTTGGCATCTCCTGTGCCTGGGAGTACGTCTTCAGGACCGGTGGAGTTTTGCTGGCAGCATCAGGACCAGGCGATTACAAGGGCGAATCAGAACCAGAACCAGAACCAGAAGACCGGTACTGCACAGGCACAGGAACGGAGTAGCATTGATACGTTGGTCGACCGGTTGGGGTTGTTAGAGCTGAACGTGAATGAGCCGAAGAGACAGAGGACGAGGACGAAGAGACCACGCCGGAGATGGTGCTGCTTTGAGATCGGGGAGGAAGAGGACAATGTCGGTCCTCCTGTGCGAAAGACCAGACCGGGCCAGACGACGACATCGACATCGACATCTGGATATTCTGGACCCCCTCCATCAGCATCACCGATATCCTCTTCCAGTACCCCGTCTCGACCATCTCTATCCAATCAGTCGTCGTCTCAAACAAAGCCTCTTCTCTCCTGGATCCCACCCTCACTCTCCCCGCAGACAAGCTCCCTGCTTGCCAAGGAACTGGCGAAGCCCATCTCCTCCGCAGATGAAGTAGGGTACATCTACATGTTCTGGGTGACGCAACAGACGCCGCCGGGAGACATCGCCTCGTCGCTCGTTCCGCCGCCAGACGCCCATCATAACGGCCGGCCCGGTACAACGCGCAGCGTCAGCGAAGCGATCCGCGCCGCCCAAGACCTGCAGATGACATCTACCACTTCCCAGACGCATACGATCCGGCTGAAGATCGGCCGGACGAGTAACGTGCAGCGCAGACTGAACGAATGGACCAGACAGTGTTCGCACCATCTTACATTGATCAGATATTATCCGTATTCGCCTTCCTCCGGTTCTTCACCATCATCTACTTCACTACTATCTCCCAACCTTTCCGCAAAGGTGAATCATGTCCATCGCGTCGAACGCCTCATCCACATCGAACTCCGGGATATCAAGGCCCGCGATTTAGGCATGTGTCCCGACTGCGGCAAGGAACACCGCGAATGGTTCGACATCCCCGCCACCAAGGAGGGATTGAGACGGGTAGACGAGTGTGTGCGACGGTGGGTGGATTGGGCCGCCCAGATTAACCCACAATAACCCATAATATATCTTTTTATCCTCAATTCGATATTTTCGTATTACTGTATTTCTGAATCCATTTCAAGGAAATATAACCCATCCATATCCCCCCCCAAACCATCAATGCAAGACAAGCCGTCACGCACAGACAAGGAAGTAATAGCACCAGTCCGAAGAAGGCAGAGAGAATCCCCGCCGCCGAGGCCGCGATGAAGATCCCCGCCGCGAAGAAAGCGAGGGGGATACACGCGAAAAGCACCTGGACCGCCACCGCAGAAACAAGCAGCGGATGCGTTATTATAAAGGCCGAAATGGCTTGGCGGCGTTGCGGGGGGAGGAGGATGTCAAGGCTGGCGATCAACGCTTGGAACAGTCGGTGTCCTTGTTCTTGTAGGGGCTGTTCTTGCTCGGTTCGAATCTCCGAGTGGGTGACGGATGGTTTGGCGTCCCAGGCTGCGGGGAGGTCTAGGTTCGTGACTGGAAACTTGACAGACATGTTAATATGTACGATGTAGTATGTAGTATAGTATGTAGTGAGTGGATTGAGTGAGTGGATTGAGTGAGAAGGTTGAGTGAGAAGGTTGAGTGAGAATGTTGAGTGAGACGGTGGAAGTGCTGCAGGCGATGTACGGAGTAGCTCTCCTGATGTTATGGCATTACGTCATCAAGTATTATTGTAAGTTATTGTAATATCTTACACATCTTAACAAGCCTATAACTACCAGGTAGTTAGTTATCTAGGTAGGTAGTTAAGTAGTAGTTATTACTACATATTTACCAAGGTATGAGCTTAAGTACAATATTTACAGACTAAACTGCTGTACATGTAATGCTGAACGCTTTTATCGCCAATTCCAAGATTCCACCAAATGCATAGAGGAGGCTACCACCCCCGTTGGGCCAGCTTGTCGGCGTCAGGCATCTGCGCGACATTGATGCCGACCATGGCCTCGCCGAGCCCTGTGCTCACCTCGGCGAGCACCTTGGGGTCCTTGAAATGAGTGACGGCCTGGACGATGGCGCGGGCTCTCTTTCTGGCGTCGCCGGACTTGAAGATCCCGGAGCCGACAAACACGCCGTCGCAGCCCAGCTGCATCATGAGAGCGGCGTCTGCCGGGGTGGCGACGCCACCGGCCGCAAAGTTGACGACGGGCAGACGACCCTTCTCGGCGGTCTCGCGGAGGAGCTCGTAGGGGACCTCCAGCTCGCGCGCGTACGCGCGCAGCTCGGGCTCCGGGTCAGCGGAGGCCTGGAGGATGGCGCGCGCCCGGGCAATGTCAGCGTTGACGGTGCGCATGTGTTTGACGGCCTCGACGACGTCGCCTGTGCCGGCCTCGCCCTTGGTGCGGATCATGGCGGCGCCCTCGGCGATACGGCGCAGAGCCTCTCCCAGGTTACGACACCCGCACACAAACGGAACCTTGAAGCCGTGTTTGGTGACGTGGTAGAGATTGTCGGCGGGGGTTAGGACTTCGGACTCATCGATGTAATCCACTCCAATTGCTTCGAGGATCTACTCAGTTAGCACATCTTCTTCTTTTTTTCGATAAAAAGAAAAGATAATTGTATTTAAAGGCGTCGTACCTGACATTCAACAAAATGACCGATGCGAGCCTTGGCCATCACAGGAATGGTGACGGCCTCCATGATCTCCTTGATCATGCCCGGGTCCGACATACGGGCAACACCTCCCTGCACTCTGATATCGGCCGGGACCCGTTCGAGAGCCATGACGGCAGCGGCGCCGGCTTCTTCGGCAATACGAGCTTGTTCGGCGTTGACAACGTCCATGATGACGCCACCCTTGAGCATCTGGGCCAGGCCGGCCTTGACGGTGAAGTCGGGGGCGCCATTCGCACCGTTCGTAGTAGACATGATGGGATAGGTTATGTAGTAGATTAGGAGGCAGAAGAGTAGAAAGATAGAAAGAAAGTTGATTCGATTCTTTTCTTTCTTGAAATTGGAAGAAGTGAAGTGAGAGAAAGAAAGAAAGTTGGGAGAGAGGGAAGGCAAAAGAGATCGCAGGCAGGTCTACCTATGAGTCAACCTAGAAATGCTGGCAGATCCCCGTTTTAGCCTTCCCCTCCTCTCCCCCACCATGAACTTTTTTTACGCTGCTTTGGAAGGATTCCCAAGGTACCAGGAATCCCGAATGATGGTGTGGCCAATCATTGTGGCGTGGTGGAAGCTTCGCTTGACCAGGATGTGCTGCTCGACACAGTTTCCCGTCGGGAAGTTTATGCCAATCGCTGATCATATCGATCCAGTCGATTGGATCAGGAACACCGAGGGGGATTCTAGTGTTCCTGAGTGATGCTTCCGAGTTCGCAGGATGAGAGAGATATGGAGTACGGAGTACCTGGTTGGAGGTTGGTTAAGTAGGTCTCCAGTGACTAGTTAACAGGTAACTATGGAGTAGTTAATTACCTACGTAAGCCTCTCAGTAAGCGTATGCAAGTTGAAGTGGATGCCTGATTGGATGCCTGGTGAATTAGTATTACCGAGTAAGTTATAGTGAAAAGGACTAACTACCTGGGTAAAATGTGGTAGGTACCGTACTTATGGAAGTACTGTATTGACATATTGTATTGGCTACTAATACCGTCTAACACAGTACAGTACAACACAGTATAGTACAACACAGTACAGTACAACACAGTATAGTACAACACAGTATAGTACAACACAGTACTGTACTCAATGAGTTATCAAAGACAGCCTACCAAATCAAATAAAAAAGTGGCTTCAAACCACTTTACGCTTTCAATGCTGACTCACATCACCAACAAGCTGCAGGCTGACGGGGCGCCTACCACATACTACATATACATAAAGGTCTAGCTAGATTAGATAGCGGCGTAGAGGGTCTAGGCGCCACTGCTGCGTTAGCGAATAGGTGGCTTCTTCATATAAGAGGAAGACGATAAAAAACAATAGCCAAGCCGTCAATAGGCAGACCATACTCCGTACCCGCCGTCGATCAGCGATCCGGAAGCTGGCAATCATAACTAGCCGAAAGCACAGACAGCGGGAGAGATGGTACTATTCCTATCTAAAAGTGCAGTCTGAATCCATAAGATAAGCAGTTACATTTATCTTAGCTAACAGGTACCTAATTATTGACCTAAAGCTTACCTAATGCACAAGAGAATAGTTAATATAATAACATTTCTTGGCATGCGGCGCTAATTCAAGAGGTCAGCACTTGCTAGTTATTCTTATATATAGTATAGTACTTTGGTTAGTTGATATTCTTAGAATAATTCTGATTCCAAAAAAAAGAGAAATTTACCACTTTCTACGCCTTGAGGTAAGGGCTATAGCCTATATCTTGATATCGGATACGGAACCTCGGAGTGTTCCGCGGCCGCACAAGCTCAACCAAATAAAATTAGAGGCTTTTAAACCTTATATTTACTGCACGTCGCTGGTATAGGAAAACGTAGTATCAATCAGAATAAGCCAAAAGGAAGCTAGAATTGATCCTCTTCAGAGTCATCGTCTTCCGAACGTCCTCCGTGACCGTTCTGTTGCATTTTCAACCGGTATTCATCCAGGCGGTTCATCCTCGAGGACAGAGACCGATCTGAGATGGTGTGACCCATACCGCCGCCCACTGCATTTCGGAGCGTCAGTCGGTGGTGGGCGATGATTGCTCTCCCCACACGTCCGCTCTGGGCAAACGGCGTCGTCACCAGCAGTTTGACGACGGGATGCAGCGCGGGATTGACGATGATCTGGTTCAGAGTGTGGATGACCTCCAACAGGTCAGTGAGCCAGGCGTCTGACTCGAACCGAGCCACACCATCCATGATACAGACCACCGTGGCGGTCGGGGGCAGTTGTTCGATGAGCTCCCGAAAGGTATGGCACAGATCGAACAAGGAATGGGCCCGGATAAGCTCTTCAAAGGCTCGGGTATTGATGAAGTCAAGGTTGAACGTGGCGCGGGTCAGAAGCAACTGAACTATTAGGCTGCGGATCAATCCGTTCGGACCAGCGATAGGATCGCCGGGAGCCTCGTGGATGCCGCAGAAGAAATGAAGTACTGTGCAATTGGGATACTTGGATAAATTGAGAGACAGAGTGGCGCAGAGAGCAGACAGAGGAGAGACTCGACACGGTCCGATGATGGAAGAATTCCCTTGTACAAACAGCGTTTCTGCATGCGAGGCCTTCATCCATCGGGAGAATTCAATCGACGAGAGGAGCTGCTGACTCTGCGCCTGGGCTTCGGCAGTCAGAACGCTGTGTTGCTTCAACACGACGTCTACATCATCGACGGATGCTCTAGGAGAGACACCTAGACAACTCAAAAGATCCATTCTCGACAAAAACGACTGGGACTGAATCATGGGCGTATTCATTGATGCCACTGCATTCCAGAGGCCTTGGTGGGTATCATAAAATTAGCATATTCGCCCAAATAATATCAACTAGTCTGGGCGATTGCTTACCGGGGAAATCATTAAGAATAAAGTGGCATAAAGCAGCCTGGGCATCCATTCCTGGCTGGTATGCGGCGTATTGCTGAGCTCGAGAAGCTTCTACTTCCATGATCAGTTTGGACAGCTGGTCCTGCACTCCATCAAGTTGGACATTGGTATATTTTGAAGAACTGTTCAGCTCATCCACACCCTGTGCCAGATGAGAAACGTCTCCAGACATCCGCTCCGTACGGCTGTCAATTAATGTGGCTTGAACGCGCAGAGCGCTGGTATTCTGGTATGTTTCGATGGCGAGCTGACTTTTCACCATCTCCCGACACTCCTTGAAGTCCTCGGTGCTTTTCCGGACTCTTTGAAGGATTTGGTCGATCTGATTTGCAGTGTAGGATGGGGCAAAACATCGCTTGCTCATCCTCTTGACGTGATTCTTGAAAGATGACCCCGACCTGCTGCCCTGAAGGAGAAAGATCAAGTCTGCCAACGCCTGCACAACGGTGCTGTAGAGAGCGATCGCCTTTTCCCTCAGCACGGCAGCCCGCGCAAACTGGTTCTGCTGCTCTTCGGTCCGTAGAATGATGGCCGGGATGTCGTGGAACGCGGCCAGGATCTTCCCACGATTGTCTGCGTTCTGCTTTGCAATCTACTTCGCGTCAGCCCTCATATAACGGAAAATCCAAAGCGTGTCTTTTCTCCTTCGTACATTGAAGATGACGCTCAGCCCGGCATTTAGAACCTCCATCCCATTTCCCAAGGGAATCAGATCCACCCACGGGCGGATGGCATCTGAATAATCGCCTGCAATCCGAAACCCCCTTCGGACAAAGTTCAAATTCCCCTTGCCCTTTTGATAGTATTCCTCCTCGGCCTCGTTGAGCGTGTCCAGAACATCATCCCAAGTGCACTGTTCGATATCGAATCGCCGGTCATGGTCTACGGTCGCATTGTAGGCCTCCAGAACCGCCTGTAAATCCCTATCGATATCATCGTTAAAAGAAGTACGATTTCCCCTTTGATCATTCAGGCTCACCTGGCAGCTGGTAGACGGTTCTCATCTCCCCCTGCTCCGCTCAGAGGGGTTGAAACCCCAAAGGCATCGTGGTACTCGGATGCCCTCTCACGCACAAAAGCCGTCACGATCTGCTTCTTCTCGTCGTCTCTATTCTCCCGAGTCCGCTTCATGATGCATACAAATGCCTCATTCAAGCTCTGATGAACAGGCGGCCTCAAAGTTGCGTCAAGAGGACCGGCATTTCATTCTAGAGGCGCAAGGCTAAGCCTCAAGCACTTTCTCACCCCCCCTCCCCATAAGCTAACGGCTGACATGCAGCAGCAGCGTTGGATGTGATTCCTTGTTATTTCTCACCAAAGAGGGGCTTTTGGCCCCGCGACACACGGCATAATACGAGGCGAGGCGCATGCAGGGAAAAATCTAAATGAGAGAAGACGAAGGGGGCTGAAAAAAGAGGGGTTTTGTCAGGACTCGGTGGAGGTGTGAGGGCAGGTTGTTTTATTCAACTCTTCAGTTCTATTACACCTATTCCAAGGAGTCTGGACATCTTGCATTGCCTTCTTTTTCTTTGTTTACACACTGATTTGAATTATGGCGACAGAAGAATACATACAGAAACTGGAAGAGCGTCTACAGGCTCTCGAAGCCACGGTTCTGGCCCTGGGAAAGGCGCGAAATGACGATGGGTCTGATGCCTCCAAAGTACCCAGTGCTGCAAGCGCCAGTGGCGACGAGGACGACGATGAGGACAACAACAAGGGCGAAAACGAGGAAGATAATGAAGAAGAGAGTGAGGAAGAGAGTGAGGAGGACAGTGAGGAGGACAGTGGGGAGGACAGTGGGGAGGACAGTGAGCAAGACGACGATGACGATCAATCAACAGATGGAGATAAAAAAAAGAAGCATTCAAAGTCAAAGTCTACTTCCCGTCCACCGTCTCCCGCGGTCGAGCTCGAAGTGGCCAAGCTGCTGTACACTCCATTCATCCATCATGCTCTCCCAGCCGACAGTCGGCCGATGATCGAGGTTCTGCTGATCCCCAAGACCCGGAAAATGGCAGAACAGGAGCAGGTCTCCTTTGCCAATTCGCTGAGCAGCGTGCGGCCAGAAAAGGCCCTAGAGATGATCAGAGAGGCCCAGGCTACGCCGTGCGAGATGGATGGGCGCATCGCGGCGTTTCGCATCACCTCCAAGGCTTTGGCGCTGGCGCTCAGGTCAACCTGGGATGCCAGCGATGAGGTGGAGCAGATCATCTGCTATCGTCCGTTCATCGATCCCATGCACTTCTTTGACAAAGCCAAGACGAAGCTCGCAGAGATGGAGGCTCTTGCTGAACACGACCTGTTGCCCCCGTCTGTCGGGCGTAGGGATAGTTCAGGTGACGCTTCCCACAGAGCCAACGATCCGAGTCTAGTGGCCCAACTCCGAGGTTATGTGGAGTTCATGGAGGAGGAGATTGTGCCGTTTTACTCCCATATCAAGACCCTCACTGCTGCGGATGACTTCTGTGTGGAGTTCGATGATCTCTTCCATCTGTTCCAGCCCGGCGATATTATTGTCTACCCCGAAGCTGCTCTGCACCATGAAAGAGTTACCAGAAGTAATCGCGGAGATCAGAAGCTGTGGCGGGTGTTCTCCAAGGTGTGGAAAGTAGATAGCGACGAATTTGTGGTCAAGGCGTATTGCATCGACTACAACGGGGATTCTTACGTCTGCACCCAAGAGTCCTTTACGATCTGGCGGTTCGAAGGCGTGGCAAGCGTCTCCTCGCTGAAGGTCTTTCCGATCCGGTTCGCGAGCAACATGCAGGCACTCTACGACGATGCAAAGAGACAGGGAGAAGCCTTCCAGAAATTCATCAAGAGCAAACTGGTAGCTCACAACGGGTGGGCATCTGAGCCGAACCCGACCGACCCAACGCTTCGATACATCACCGGAGATGTGGTGATCGATTTCGCAGAAACATTCAAAGCCCATCCGGACTGCAAGCCAGTTTCGGAGCTACCTGATGTCAACTATACCGACAAGAAAAACTCCACGGCTCCTGACGATGACGCTAAATGGAGCTGGGTGAATGGGGAAAAGCTGGAGGAGTCGAAAGAAAACTTCACCTGGTATGATGGATCGTACGTTGAATGGGTGGAGAGATCAGAGTATTGTCGCGACCAGGATCCATTTCTCTCCAATCTCCTCAAGGGGGAACAAGGGCGATACAACTTGCGGGAAGAAGATCTGTATTTGCTTCCGCACAGGCTGTTCGCGTATTCCCTCCAGGACCGACGGTTCGTCGCCGTGGATGTGGACAACTTGAAGCCCATTGAATATCAGGGCTCCAAGTTCGACGACCTGATCATCAATCAGGCCCATGAGAGAATGCTGCGAGCGCTGGTAGAGTCCCACTTCAGTAGAAAGGAGACCATTGACTTGATCGGCAGCCGGATGACAGCCCAGGACATCTTTGAGAATAAGGGAAGGGGGCTTGTGATTCTCCTTCACGGAGTGCCCGGCGTGGGCAAGACATCCACGACGGAGACAATCGCCAGTGAATTCAAGAAACCACTGCTTCCCATCACCTGCGGCGACCTTGGACTGGATCCCGCAACGGTGGAACAATCGCTCAAGGAGATTTTTCGCCTAGCCCAAGTGTGGGATTGCATTTTGTTGCTTGACGAGGCCGATGTCTTTCTCACGGAGCGAGTGCCATCTGATCTGAGCCGGAACGCCCTCGTGTCAGGTTTGTCGAACCCCCCCCCCCTTTGGCTATGCTGCATACTTGCGACAGATTACTGATGCACAGAGAGAGCAGTCTTCCTCCGAGTCTTGGATTACTACACAGGTGTCTTGTTTCTGACCACCAATCGGGTCGGCACTATCGACGAAGCCTTCAAATCCCGACTGCACGTCAGTCTGTATTATCCGCACCTGAAGCGGAACCAAACCGAGAAGATCTGGCAGATCAATCTGCGGCGGCTTACGCAGATCGAAGAAGAACAAAGCCGGATCACCGGCCAGCCGTCCATGACGGTGGACCATGATGGGATCATGGATTTTGCCAGAGAACACTACCAGAAAGGTCGAGAGAGCGGGAACGGGGTATGGAACGGAAGGCAGATTCGTAATGCATTTCTCATTGCCTCTGCGCTGGCCCGTTTCGAAAAGAGTCGCAGCCCACAACAGCAACCGGCGAAACCGTACGATCTAAACGCCAGCCATTTCAAGACGGTCGTCGAAGCTGGATTCGGGTTCGAGAGATATCTCCATGAAGTCAAGGGCAAGACCGACGGGGAAGCGGCATTCCTGCAAGGAACTCGCGCAGACTATATCCTATCGTCTCAGGGCAAGCCGGATCAAAGCAGCGGCAGCAGTCCAGGTCAAGGCACACCCAGAAACCTACCCCATCGACCAGTCACGCCTGTTCGGAACCCAGCCAATGCCGGCTGGAACGGTGGATATCATAATCCCGGTGCAGCTGTTCCTTCTCAAGCATACGCCGGCGGCGGAGGAGTAGTAGCAGCAGCAGGAGGAGGAGCCTACGCAGAAGCTCCCCAGCATCAAGCCGCGTCCTATCTGTCCCCGACTCACACCCTTCTCCATCCACAGCCACAGTTCTCTATGGAAGCTGGCACATTTCAGGATAGATGGGGTCAACAACAGGCGAGAAGCTTGCCGTTCGGTGCGCCACACTCCATGGCCACCGGTCATCCTGCAGTTCAGCCGTCCTTGGGGAGCAGGCCGGCCGGCCAATCTGGGTACCGTCATGACTCCGATGATGATTAGATGTAGTAGATGAATGATGAATATAATGTTTTATGGCCTAGAAGGTGTCAAGGGGAATTAGCAGAGATGAGGAGTAATACTACATACACGAACATGCAGGTATTTCCAGTGCATCCTCGAATCATCCTGACGAGCTCGAAGATTACTGCTTGATATATCTTTGTAGTGTCTGACTGATGAACAAGCTATATAGAAATTGGATAAATTAACTGAATGATGTTAAATGCCGTTTAGCTTAAACTGTGCTTCTACTTCTAGCTATGGTATCATCCGCCGCTATCTAGAATATGACTATGCAACCAAACCAAGGCAATCGTCTATTATGTTTTCCAGCTCACCCAGCCGCTCTTTCAACCCTCGGTTTTCCTCCTTGAGAACCCCCATCACGCTCCAGGCCTCTGATGCCGGCACACCGTGGCAGATGTTACACTTGCTCGACGAGCCCCCGCCCATCAGCGAAGTGGTAAAATTGGATGAGGTGAGTCCCCGGATAACTTTGTCGTATGTGGATTGTCGCACAGGGGGTGCAGCAGCAGCAGCTGGCATGGCGACTGTTGCCGTCACGACTTTGACTTCTTTCTGGGTCCTCGGCTCCGGGGGGGTCGACAGGCTCGAGAGAGCCACTTGTGAGATATTGGGCGACAGGGAGGTGATGGTTGAGATGGGGGATTCGAGCCCCTCGCGGCCGGAGAAGATGCTGCTCCCTGCCAGGCTCTCGTCTCCCGATTCGAAGCCTGAGTCGCTGGTGAAGGTGCCGGCGCTCGAGCGTTTCACGCTGCGTTTAGGAGTCTGGAGCTCTGCACCTAGATCTGAGCCGGCGTCCGAGTACGATGGTGTGACGAGCATGATGCTGCGCTTGCGGGCCTCCTCCTCGGTCTGGCGGAGCGCTTGTTCCTGCTTTAATTCCTCCGCCAACGTGGCCATCGCCTTCTCTTGCTCGAGCACCTTGGCAGCCATCCCGTCTAGCTGGACCTTGAGGTGGCCAACGCGCGTGCGGGTTCCCTCGATTTCTTCTTGCTTCTCGTTCTTCTCCGCTAGAGCCTCGTGTAATGCAAAGGTCCTCGCCTTGTACGCTGCCTGCAGTCGTCGGACGAGGTCTTCAGCGTTGCTGCAGAGGGCCTCCAAGGCATCTTCGCTGCTCATTTCGCCCATATTCGCCGGGTACAAGGCTGTCGGAATGTCCAGGTTGAGGAACTCATCGTTGGCGGGCTCTGGGAGCTCTGTGCGGCCATCGTCTTGTTTCCGCAGGCCAAAAAACGAGAACCGATTCGTTGACGAGGTGACCTGCTTGAGTGGGGAGGTGGGCGTCATGCGCTTCTGCGACCGGGTCATCGATGCGGTCGAGTTATTTTGGAACCCAAACAGCTCGCGCGAGTTGCGTTTGGCGGTATTACCACTCTCTTGGTCGGCCATGGTGGTAGTGGTGGTGGTGGTGGTGGTGGTGGTGGCTAGAGTTCCTGGTTCCCGACGCACGACAGCCAGGCTGACAGGCTCGGACTTGCCGTGGAACCAGTCCGCCAGAAACTTGGCCCCTTCTTCAAGCTTCTTCTTGGCAGGGTTATCGGCCAAGGGCCTGCCTTGGTTATCCGTGTCTCTGCCAAAGGTTCCTGTTCCTGTTCCTGTTCCGCCTCTCGGTGGTAGCGGTCGGGAGATGAGCTCGGTGTTGGCCCGACGATGCGATGGCGGATGGAAGGCAGGTTTCTTCTCGAGAAGGGGCGAAGGAATATTCGGTCCGTGTGCTATGCCCGGCCGATGATCATCATATGGACGGGGAGGAGGTTGATCGCGTGGTAGGACACTGAAGCGGGTGGGAGAGGAGGGTGCGGAGGCGGGAGGTGGACAATTCTCAGGCATGATCCACGCCCAACTAACGCAAACCGCTAGCACGGAAATTTCTCACAGACAGGAATAGTCACGAATCACGAATCCAAGGGATCAATCACTCAGGATCAATTGTGCTGTCGTCACACCACCTGGACCAGGACTGGAATGCCACGTCGAGGGCTCAGACGCACGGTCTCCAGCCAAACTGCTGCGGATTGCAGACAAAGGAACGAACCGCTAGGGGAGGGGAGATTCCAGTGGTAGACGAGAGCTCCCCCTTTTCCTTCTCCTTGTCGGGGTCAAGAATGGATGGTCAAGGAGCAAAAATGATCCAGGAGGCCCCCAGGGGTCGATCGGGTGGAAAACAATCAACGTTGAAACGGATTCAGGAGCTTTCGGGAATCCAGACCGAGCAGGTGCACGTGCCTGTCAACAACTATCAACAACAGCTGGCTAGAGAGGCTCTTGACGTTGATTATTCTCGACAACAATATCAAGACAACAAGAGAGTGTTATTCATAGCTCCAGACTTGTGTCTAGCTGCAGATGAAAAGATCCAGCAGGGTGCAAGCTACTAAAATATCGCGAGGTTGGGAGCGTCAAGCTCGAATCACATAATCTCGGTGGCTGAAGCTCTCCACAGCACTTCGTATGGAGTTGATTCCCAAACCCAATGATCCATACAGAACACAGCTAATCCACTGATCCAGTCTGATCCAGTGCTGCATGTCCATAGTTGTTGCAATGATTCGACTGATGTCATGGCTGCAGATATCTGATCAAGTTGTACAGAGGCAAATGATGTAGGTCCTCCGCGGAATGCTGTCAACGGTCGGTATGTGTATGTGGGAATGTACGGCGTGCTCCGTCCATATGAATGAGTTCCTGGCTCTGACGGCATCTTGAAGAGAGATCAATAATCGACGTTTCTCATTTGTAATCGAAGGCTGTGAGGAACGAGGTACAGGCTGCAAGTCGAGCAGTCCACTGTACCTCATCTTAGAATCGAGGCAAGATACCTAATTTTTAAACAGTACATTCAATCAAATAATCAAGTTAGAAGGTTAGACTTATTTTTACATTGTTATTAGAGTAGCATGAGTCGTAGAGGCTGTCCAGTGTGTGGTACAGACTCCAGACTCTAGAGACTGCCCACTGTTAGTCCAAGTTTATCTCCCCTGCGATAACTTCTTACCAGCTCTTATCACTTCTTCACGGTGACCACCATGGCGCCGCCAGCAGCTGCGCTGAGCAGCCTGTCCAATGCTCTGGCTACAGTAGAGCAGCTGTCGAGCTCTTCCTCGTCGATTGACGGCGTGGCCCCTGATCTGGAGGCCTCCATCCGTTTTGCGGGCGCCCAGCTTACCCAGGCGGCTGGCATTCTTCTACGTCTGTCGCAGGATATCATCGCCCAGGCGATCGTGACGTTTACTCGATTCTGGGCTGGACCGGAGGGGGGGAGTCTACGTATCTACTCCGTCAAGGTTTGTGTCATTCGTTGACTCATGTGTTGGAAAAAAAAATTCCCATAGACTAATCAAAAACGCTTTATAGGATGTGTCCGCCGCAGCGCTGTACATGACGGCCAAGCTTTCCTTTGAACCCACCTCCCCTCGATCAGTATTGAATGTCTATGCACTTCTCCTTTCAAAAGAGGCATCGCCTCTTTGGTTCGTCAATCCGCGACGACAGGATCCCACCGATAAGCCCGCACCTGCACCCGAAACGTACTACCTCTCCGAAGGCGACTACCAGACCCAGCGACAGGTTCTCTTCCGTATCGAATCGGTCATCCTACGAACGCTCGGATTCAACACTCACGTTGTCCTGCCTCATACCGTCGCGTTGACCTACTTGCAGACGCTGGGCGTGTCGACCCCGGCGCTCGCCAACCGTGTCTTCGAACACCTCAACGCGGGGCTTCTCTCGCCCCAACTGCTATACTTGACGCACCAGCCCAACGCCCTGGCCGTTGCGGCTATCTATCTGGCCGCGCGCGAGGTCAACGTGAAGCTGGTGGACAGCGAGTGGTGGGAGGTGTTTGATGTGGACCGCGAGCAGCTGGGTTTCCTCGTCGTGGGTATGAAGAGCATGGAGGGGTTCGCCCGGGCGGAGAAGGTAAAGTGGGAGACGCGAACCGTTCCGTTGGTCGTCGAAGATGTGGACGCAGAGATCGAACGCCGGAGGATGATGGAGGAGGGCGGGTGAGGACACTTGTGGTCTACCTTGTTTTTCTACAGGGGAACAACAATCCACACTGTCCATCTACAGATGAACCCTCTCAAGGTACAAACCTCACTGGCTACTATCCTGTGATCAGATCAGGCACGGATGGCTCTCTGACCACTGGCCCTTCATGGATGCCTATCTGGATCCGACAATCCAGAGCTACAGAGATCAACACTCAGCAGCTTAATACCACTTGAATAGTTTATTAATACAACTATAATACATCAGATAATCTATAGATAATAGATACTAAATTTATATAATTAAATGGTCATCAGTTAAGACAATTAAAGAGCATCTCTACTTTGGTATAGATGATGTATTGCCCCGCGTGCCCATATCCACCCATGTGATTGCAGCGCCACTTATCACCGCTTTCATCAACTTCATCTCTCAAACTTTGACGCTTTGATGCTTTGATACCTTTCCCTTTGGTGCTATCCTCTGATACTTATCCTAAGTATATCTTAATACCATCAAGCTTGGCGATGAACATTCTACACTCGACGCTATCAACCTGGCGAGACCGTCTGGCGCCTGTCTCGCGCACCTCGACCTTCCGGACGACAGGCCAGATCACGCCCGAAGAGTTTGTCCTCGCCGGTGACTACCTTGTGTACAAGTTCCCGACATGGTCGTGGGCGGACGCCTCATCGCCGGCGAAGCGAGTCTCGTACCTGCCTGCTGGGAAACAGTTCCTCGTCACCCGCGGGGTCCCCTGCCACCGACGCCTGAACGACAACTTTGCCGGCGACGCGGGCTTGGAAGATGAAATCGTCAAGGATATGCTATCTGGTGGGAGTGGAGGGGTGGACGGCGATCCCGACGGCGATGGCTGGTTGCGTACCGGCGGCGGCAGGGAGACGGCCGACACGACCAGTAGCCAGGAGGAGGCCCGGATCCGCGATGTGCGCACCGTCGACGAGGCAGGAAATATGGGTGATCGGGAAGAGGAGGAGGAAATCCCCGACATGGAGGACGAAGATGACGATGAGGAGGCTATTATTCGTGAACCGGCCGGAACAACTCAGTATGGACTTCTTTTCATCTTACTCTCTTTCAGCTTTCAAATAAACTGTTCCACTGACGCAGATGTATAGACCTCTCCGCACCTATACCCTGTACATCACGTACGCCAACTTCTACCGTACCCCACGCCTGTATTTATCTGGCTACCTGAGCCCGTCGGAACCGCTTCCCCCCGCGCTAATGATGGAAGACATAGTGGGTGACTACAAGGACAAGACCGTCACGCTGGAGGACTTCCCCTGGTTCGACGGGTCGGTCAAGATGGCGACCGTGCACCCCTGCCGCCACGCGAGCGTGATGAAGACGCTGCTCGATCGCGCGGACGCGGCGCTCAAGATCCGTCGGGAGAAACTGGCTCTCGCGCAATCGTCTGAGCAGCGCGCCGCGGCGTCGAGCGGCCTGGAGGGATTGGTCGACGACACCAACGCTTTATCTTTGGATCAAGGCACTAACAACAACACCACCACCACCACTCCTACTACTAAAGGCGAGGATTGGGAGGTTCTCCAGCATGACCATGACGAGGACGAGGTTGCCATTCGTGTGGATCAGTATCTGGTTGTTTTCCTCAAGTTTATTGCTAGCGTGACGCCGGGGATTGAGCATGACTTCACGATGGGTGTTTGATTAAACTGGCTAGTTTTATCTATTTATTTTACGACCATGACTATCTATTATCAGCACAAGCATACGAAATCAAGTAAGAACAAGAACAATTGAATTATGATAATCATCCACTAAGATACAAACTACCTAATCTATCATTTATATCACGACGCTCTACCTAGATACAGAAAAAAGAAAGAAAAAAGACAGCAGCTGGAAGCTGTGGACATGTTGGGAGACAGATCACGCATTGGCGTTCCCAACCATAGCGAGGATCTGCCGGAGGGCCGTGATCTCGTCGCTAGAGAGCATGGTGGAAGACTGTTCCTGTCCACTGCAGCAGGAACAGCAGTTGCAGGCGCAGCCGCATTCACTGGTAGACGCAGGGGCAGTCTCTGGAGTCGGAGCCATTTCTGGGGAAGGTGCCATTTCTGGGACAGGGGCCGGAGCGGCAGAGTGAACAGGGGACACGGCCGAAGGGGCAGGGTGGGCAGGGACAGGAGCGGGAGGAGCAGTCTCCTTGGTCGGGGGAACAGATTCCATCGTGGGAGGAACAGATTCCATCATGGGAGGAACAGTCTCCTTAGCCGGGGGCACAGACTCCATGGTCGGAGGAACAGTTTTCATGGTCGGAGGAACAGACTCCATCGTGGGAGGAACAGACTCCTTGGTCGGAGGAACGGATTCAGTAGCCGGGGGAGTCCAGATGCTGGTAGGTTTTTCAGGGGGTGGGTTGGTCTCAGAGGTCGACGGCGGAGGGGGTGCAGCAGAGGTTGTGGTGCTGGGCGCCGGGGGAGCAGGAGGCTGAGTTTCTTCCGTAGGAGGGAGGGCAACCGTGGTGGTGGGAGGAGACGGCGGGGGGGCTTCGCTCTCTTCAGGCTGCGGCTGCTCAGAGTGAGAGATGGCATCGGCCCAGCTACCCATGCTAAAGCTAGGTCCGCCGGGGATGCTGGCCGTGTAGCCAGAGCCGGCACTGCTTTCGTTGGTCTCGGAATTGGAGTCGTCGCCGTTGCCTCCTTGAGAGATGGCCTCGGCACTCTCGCCTCCGCCATAGTTGGGACCACCTGGGATACCGGCGTCGAAGCCAGAGCCGGCGCTACTCTCGTTGTAATCGGAGGCTGAGTCGTCGCCGTTACCGTTGCCGCTGCTTCCATGGGAGACAGACTCGGCGCTCTGGCCTCCGCCATAGTTGGGGCCGTCAGGAATACCGGCGTCAAAGCCAGAGCCGGCACTGCTCTCGTTGTAGTCCGAGTCCGAGTCGTCGCCGTTGTCTCCGTAGGAGTTGGCCTCGGCGCCCTCGCCTCCGCCATAGTTGGGACCGTCGGGGATGCCAGCGTCGAAGCCAGAGCCGGCGGCAGCATGGTTCCCGTCCATGCCGGAGCTCTCTGGCGAGAATGGGAAATCTCTGGCGGCAACGTTGCGCTCCTAGTCTGTTAGATCGAGCCACTTCCTATATGATATTGATCACTGAGATGCGTACAATTGGCGCAGGTGCTGACAGCACCGCTGCAGGCCCAACAGCCAACAAGAGGCACAGCAGCGCAGAGCGAGTCATCTTGGTCTGCATTGCAAGCAACACGAGTATTATGAATTATCGATTAAAGAGTGACAGTAAACAATAGCGAAGGAAGGACAAGGCAATCTGCCAAAGGAAGGACTGATCGTGAAAGATAGATAGGAGACAAGAGGAACCATCATCATGACCGTCGAGCAGCAGCCTTTTGTATCTTCATGTCTTGCCTGTCTAGACCCTGTCCGGACTCCTCTCAGGGGGGGAGGGGGAAGAGGCGCAGAGGGCCAGACGAGGCTCCTGTACGCGTCCCTTTTGACTCTCTTGCAGGGTCGGCCATTCATCTCGGTGAATCATCGCCACAGGAGAACTGCGAAGCAAGGCACCCTCCTCAACAGGAAACCTTCGGAGCTCTGCATCCAATAAACAGGGCTTGTCTTGGGCTGTCTTCCTGCAGTTAGAGCTTGGGGAAGATCGTACTAAAGCAGCTCGTAATGAGACGTGGTGCCATACTATGGAAACCCAGATGCGGTGATTCATATCCGCAGTCCAGCAGATGATCTGCATTGCACGTCGATCTAGATTGCCTAGTTGGTCAAGCAGGTAACTTTCTTGTACAACACGTGGAGATCTGGGGAAATTAGCACTGCGGTTGTGCCTGGCACAGCAGTCATGCAAGGGGCTCCTCGAGGAGTCTGGAACTATCGAAAAGAAAAAGGAAAAAAGGACCAGGTCTTACTCCGCCGGCAGGGTCTTCGGCCTGGCAGCCAGGATACAATTGGGTGTTCCTGCTGATCACTTTCCTTCAGGGCTTCTCTTTTGTGGATATGTTCCACGTAGCTCACGCAAGGCTGGTCGAGATGTATATCCCAAAGAAGCTGAACAGGAGATCCCTGAATATTCATCCTGGGAAAAAGAAAGGAAAGGGGTGGGGAAGAAAAAGAAAAAGGACAAGTCAATCCTGGAAAGCAAATAAACGGAGTCATGGCCGTTCGTTATAATCGGTAGTCTTCTTCATTGACCTAATGTTGTCTCTCGCACTCAATAATTGCATGGAACCAAGTCATATCACATCAGTCGTAAAGGTTAAAATAGCAGAACTCCGTCCATATGTCCATAATAAATCGAAAGTCAAAATGGGCCTAGACGCAAATAATCCCAGCACAGTTGAACTATCCATTGGACAATCCAAACGCGGTCCCAAAATTGGTGGCATTTTTAAATTTCAATTCCGGCTCTGGCTCGCCTTGGTCAGAGGCGTCGTCGGCGTCACCCCCGTCCCTCTCGGGAGAGTCTGAGGAGGTGGCGAGGATCCTGCGAGCCTGATCGAGGAGTCTGTGGTCCAGTTCCTGCAGGAACGAGCGGTCGTGTTTCTCATCGTTGAGCAGGGACAGGGGTCCCGTGAGAGCCGGATCTTGCTGCTGCTCTTCCTCCTCGTCCTCATTTTCCGCCTCGAGCACATCCGGAAAGTAGGAGTCCGCCTGCTCGCGTGGCTGACGGACCTGCGTAGTCACGGGAGCAATGGGGTGTTCCTCATCCTCGGCCTCGTCCAAGGGGCAACAAGAAGACGATGACTGGGTGGCCGGCTGGCTCAGGCTCATTGCCTCAATTTCCGCCTCGTCAATGATAGCCATGGGCGTATGGCCTGCGTCCCGGACCAGGTTCTCCTGCGGGGGGCCTAGATCCGAGAGTCTCAATTTAGAGTGGCTGCTGCTGTGGTTCCAATGTTTTGCGTCGGCAGCCGGTTTGCATGCAGACGTGGAGGAGGGGGGGGAAGACAAAGAAGAAGGAGAAGAAGAAGTAGGGCGGTGATGGTTGTCGTTGTCCAACAGCACTGGCGACGGTGGAGTCATCACACGGGCCACAACCTCTGGCGGTAACGCAGTCGACTTGAGCGTAATCCCATCCAACTTGCTGTCCAGCTTCTCGATCGGAACGGGCACACTCACATAGGCGGTCGTGGTCGTCCCTGTCGCTGTCGCTGTGGCTGTGGCTGTTGTGATCGTCGTCGGGAACAGCGCCGCCGCCGTCGCAGCAGCGGTTGCCGTAACAGCACGGGTCAATGGAGACACAGACAACGCCGCATCGAGAGAAGGCGGATGGTGATCATCAAGACTGCCTGTGCCGAGCATCTGCCGGCTCTGCTGGATGGAAATCGCGTGTTTTCCCAGCTCCTCTACCCCCTGAAAGACCCTGGTAGGCTTGCTTCCACCCAGACCCGTCCAGGGCTGGAAATGCATTCTTCTTCCCCTGTCCCACCCCCTGTCCCTATCCGTGTCCGTGTCTCCCCCCTGCTGCTGCTGCTGCTGCTGCCCTGCACGAGCATCTCCCAACAGGACCTCCAGTTCCTGGATTTTACCCAGGAGTAACCGCCGCTCACCCTCCCACAGCGCCTTCTCTCGCGCAAACAACGCCCGTTCGTTCTGGAAATGCACCTCCCGGCTCTCCTGTAGCCGTCGCGATTCCTCCAGAATACTCAACGCGTCTGTTGTCTCTACGGTCGTGCCTGTGCCTTGGAAATTCCATCGTTTCTCCGAACGCAGCGGGTTGCTCGTCGACACGGACTGGGCGCGTCGCACAGGCGTTGCAGTAGGCGAGAACCGCACCTCCTTGTAAAGACTACCGTGGCCATTTGGTTTGGTGGATTTCATCCTGCCAGTTTCCTCATGAGTTGAATCTCCCGATTCAAAAAAAAAAATAGAAAATGCAGAACGTAATTAAGACTCGTTGGTTGGTGGTCGAGTGACGCAAAGCGGGGAAAGACAAGTAGACAGAAGACAAACGATAAAACAAAAAGGAAAAAGAAAGAAAAACCTCGCTCAGCTGGAATCCAACTGGCTCACTCAACTGTTAAGCTTGTCTGGATGAACTCTTGATGCACTGAGAGTCTGTACGGCTCCTTTCTGGGCGAGTGGGTGAAAAACTGGTAACGAGAGAGTGTTTTTATGGGCTGGACGCGGATGACGTAGAGATCGTCGAAGCTGTTACATTGCAACATTGCAGCATTTGTTTTCAGGTAAAATTATTATTATTGTGTTCATTAGTGGGAACTGAATAAGCAGGGTGCATCTGACTATGCCATAGTTTACAAAAATAATCAAGGTAGAGGTATATTATATATGTACTCCATAACGCCGTTCATCAGGTGCTCCGTATGCATATCCGCGTCATTTACCCATCTATCTATTCAAGGAAAGAAGTCAACAGATGCTGACAGGACTTAGTCATAACGACCCCACTGCGATGAGGCTCGGTCGGTAGACGGCCCAGGGTAGAAGTGGACGTCCTTGCGCAGGGTGGCGAAGAGAGCAGCGAGGCGACAGACACCCCTGGCGGCGAGCTCGCGGCCGCCGACGATGGCCGTGGGGAAATAGAAGCGTGGGTCGAGGTAGACGATGACCCGTTCCCAGCGGGGGAGCCGGTCGCGCAGCAGACGGGCAGCGCGATCATACTGGGCGAGCGAGCGCTTGGGGACGCCCATCTGCGAGTGGACGAAGAAGCGGACCTCGAAGCCCACGCTGCGGACCTGGGTGCGGGCCGTGGCACTCATCGTGTCGAGGAAGGCCCCGAGCCGGTCGAGATCGAAGGCGTTGAGGAAGAAGAGTGTGTTGCGCGCGTACAGCTGCGCCTCGGCCTCGTCGTGGATCTGCCGGTTGACGGCGAGCAGGCGCCGTGCCGTGCCATCCTCGCCCACCCAGCTCGGACACATCGCCAGGGCGCGGTACCGGCCGCGCGCCGTGAACGAGTCCCGGCCTCGATCCGTCACCACGATCAGAGGCTTGTCCAGGTACTCGTTGGGTACGTCGAGGGCGTACTCGTAGATCTTCAGCCGGAGCTCGGCCGGCAGGCGAAGGAGACCCGATTGTATTGACATGGCTTGGAATCAAGCTTCAACATTCAAGTATTAAGAATTCAATTCGAAGATCGGAACCCAAAAAATGATGCTGTCTGCAGAGTAGTAGACATATCTAAACCTCGGTGGGCCGATCAGATCGATATCATGCCGGAAAAGCTGAAAGTACAAGTGAGATAAAAGGAGGCAGGAGAAAAATCACACCACGCCAGGTGGGAACGTGGCAATCAGTTGATCTATAATAACATGATTGCCCTCGCAGCCACTCCAAAAGAGCGAGGGATGAAAAAAAAAAAAGAAAGGTAAGAAAATTCACATCCGAGGGTTCCACCTGTGGTTTTGCTGTGTGGCAACTTTTGGTACCTTATTCGTACCTTTGGTGTATAGAGTTTTTTTTTTTTTTTTTTTTTTTTTTTT